CAAAAGGCCTGCAAAGCGTGGAGCATTCCAGGCTGGATTCTTCCACCTGGTGGGGTGACTTTTTCATCCTCTAGCGGACACGTATCGATAGGAATATCTCTAGCTAATGTCCGGGTCCTACTTACGTACCTCGTACGCCTCCAAAGCTGGGAGCGGGAAGGCCGTGGAGAACAGGGTTGTTCTCTCTCGAGCAATAGGAAAAGACTCTGGATCTGCCTTTGAGTTCTCATTCCTTACCGGTAGGTATATTCTCTAACAAGTACGAGGTATGGAGAATGCTTTCCGTGCAAAAGAGAACTCTGTCGATGTGTCTCCCACTGTGGCCATCTTCCGCCAATAGTCGGTGCAGAGTCTGATCTCACCTTGTTTGCTTTTTCTTGTTTGTATCATTCTGCAACGACTCCCAGCCACCCACAACGGCAGTGGCAAAAGGAATCAATGTCACTCGTTCCTTGTCATCGATCGCCATCCACACCACACCTTGCGAACACCTTCTGAATTGAACGCGGTGGCTCGACCCTTGAGGGAACCCTTGGGTTGAAAAAGCGGCAGCTGCTTTTGCCTCCATGCCGCTGGTCCTCCGAGGAGACGGTCTCGACAGCCAACCAATGGTGAATTTGCTGGACCCAGGCCATTGACAAGGACTGAGCACACCCAGAGGGCTAGGTAAGCAGGGAAAGTACTTGTACTTACTTACTTAGGGCAGGCAAGGCAGGTAGATCCCAACGGTGTCTCCTCGTAGGAACCGTCACCTTCCTTCAGGTACCCGAGCACATCCACTCGCCCCAGGCCCCAGATGGCCCTGGGCCCTTTTCTCACATCCGCGACCCGGCGCATCATCCCACTGTGGGCGAGCTAGCTTTTGGCCTTTGTGGCCCTTGCCCGCCCCTGCCTCAAGCCGACGGCCCCCAGGCACCAAGCTGCAGGCGCCGTCGTTCTCGCGCGCGGGTCCCTCGATGGATAGTGGTCCCCCGGCTTTGTGGCCCTCAACCTTAAGCTGAATAGGCCTAGGGCGCTTCCAGAACGCCCGCTGCTGATTCGATTCTACTGAGGACCATGGTCTTGGGCCAGAAAAGAGCGTGGCAAGTTGACGCCTATCTCTGCCCAAACCCAGCCCGCTATCAGCCCGCGAATGCTACCAGAAGCACCGTGAAGACCCGCAACGTGCTGGGGCCTAACGCAGGAACACTGGACTTTTCATGCACAGTGTGCTCGACTTTTTCTCTTCTGCCCAATTGGAAGCCCGCGCTGAATGCAGGTACGACGACTCTTTTTTGCCTCATTGCCCATCAGTGTCAGATCCCTTCTCTTCTGTTCGTCCAAGCAGCTGCAGCTCGCGTTTCAGATTCGAGGCGATGCGGAAATGCCATGTGCTCATCACTCTCTTGTGCCCGATCGATCCTTCTCCCAACAGGTCCTCTGCCGTTGACACCCTATTGACTCCCCATGCCTCACTGTTTCATGTTTCTTTGAATGGCGAAATTTTTTCTTTTTTTCCCTTCCTGCAAAGCTAATAATTCTACCACGTTCTTGGTCGCTTCTAACCTCGATTCGTTATCTTGACGCTAAGTATGATGGCTTGAATAATCCTCCCAGTTTGGTGCTGGATGGACTCAGCGGACTGCAGGCCGAGCCTAGGTAAGTAGGTACCTAGAGAATTGGCCCTCTCTCGGATACGGTAGGGCAGGGATCATTAGCCATTGCTGATGCCAAAGGTATTTCGCTCTTGACTGTGGGAGGCGGAACCTTCACAGGACTTTGTGCGGAGGGAAGCCATAGTGCTTCCGGGGAAATTGCATATCCACTCTTCTATCTTCTTATCAATGATGGCGTCGGGGAAGGAGCAATGGGCCTACACCTTGGTCTCGTTTAATGTGTTCCCAATTACCACCTTTCCCTCTCTGGCAGTCTCTTTCACCTGCCTTCACAATCCAACGTCGTGGTCTGTTCGGTGGCTGCCTTTGAATATGGGCATCACGGCATAGCGTCTCATCACCATGGTTCGGGTTGGTCTAAATTTCGCCTCTTCGATGAATCCAGACCGGTTACGGTCGAAAAGTTTTCGCGATATTTGCCTTGTCCTTCTCCTCGGCTTTCACGTCAAGGCCGAAATTCAAGTTTATGAGCATTTAGAATTGTCCAGCCCAGATTGTCGGGTTGCTGGAGCCGAAGAGGAGCTGGCGACTTCGAGCGGCACCGGTGGCACTTCCGTTACAATGGGTAAAAACCGATAGCCCTCAAACTGGCGCTGTACGAGGATGATCATGCAATTGTGGGAGTTTCTCTTCACGCGTTCGTCTTGCTGAGACACAATATGGCGTCAACAAACAGGTTCATAGCACTTGTCCTTCTGCCGTGCACTTCGGTGTTTGCTTCTCCCACAAGTAGAGCATCCTTTCTGGGGAAGCCAACCATCACCAAAGTACCTTCTGTAAAGAGACGTCGCAAATCCCAAGTAACGGGCACTTTCCGTCCCGTTTGGTTGTCGTTGATTGGGAACTTTCGTGACAAGATTGTCCTCCGGTAGAGCTCGTCGATCTGAAGGGGCCACTATTCGAGTATCTTGAAGAAAACTCCGCAGATGTGGCCAACATGGATTGGAAGTAGAAGCGTTGACTCCGAGCGTCCAACATGAGCAGGGCGAGGGTTGTAACCATCGACCCTGAACCATGTTCATGCGAGATCAGCGGTCCGACAGGGCGAACCCAAACCTTCCTGCCAGTAATAGAAATGTGATGAAATGCCGGTTCGTGCAAGATGGACCCCAATCCGAGAGTGAAAGAGCTCACTACAAACGAGGCTGTGCAAAAAAGCAATCAAACATGGGCGACCAACCCTGCATTTCCACGTGTGTGTCGCAATGTTTTGTTGTCCTCGAACTGCGATCTCGCTAACCACCCTTGAAACCTGACGAGTCGAAATAAGTATTATCGGTACCCTTGAACCCGCTCGTCCTTTGGGCATCCTTTGGGCATCACGCCGATCTGATGACTCGAAGACTCTTCACCTGCCGCAAGCAACTTCGGAATCTAGGCACTTTTGATTGGATGTATCAAGTTCTTGCCCAGCTGATGGCAACCTCTCCTAGACCATGACGTCCTCGACCGATTTGAGATGCTTCCTTTCTGCCACAGTCACCTTCTTCATGAAGACTCATGATCTCATCAAAGGAAATGGCGGTGATGACCCTAATCAATCGCATCATGTTCCATTTACCGATAAGTGGATTTCGACATAGACGGGCCACAGTTATTACGTCCGGCATTACAGCTACAATGGGTGCATAGGACTCGCCAGCTCCTTACCTGTTTCGTACACTTCATGTTGTTCCCCAATGTGCTTGTATCGAGAACCTGCGGGATCGATGGCAGCGGAGCTTCGCTGAAACCCCCAGAATCCTCCATGAACTTTGGTGTCCGCAAACGTCTCAGCGAAATGGCCAGGAAAATAGCCAGCTCGCCAGGAATTTCTGGCAGTAAATTTGTCGTACTCGAACACTCGGAGAGTGACGATCCGAGATTGATTGCACGGATGACGCACTGACAATGATCGTCGAAAGGAAAGCCTGAAACTGTCCATGAAGGTCCCTTTTTCCTGGTGCCCTTGTGATAATGTTGACCGTGCGTTTGGACCACTAGCGAAGACTCCACAATGATATAATGCAACGTTCTGTTTGATGTTCTGGCACATACCCCAGAATGCTGAGTTCTGTTAGTTGCAAACGCCTATGGGCCTCACTCTTCGTCACAGTGAATGCAATTTTTTGATAATATTGTGGGATGACGGCTCTGGCGGTACACTTCAGCCTGGATTATCACTGAGTCGAATTCAGTAGGACAAAGAGACGCCGAGGTGGGTAGTCACCTCCACAAGGTTCTCTGTACAGAAACTCATCCTCCGCACGAAACCGACACGGCCGCAGATTTGCAGCGGGACCGATATCGCTCGCAAATTCCGAGGAAGCGAAGGCACCATGGGAGATGGTCGATATTTTTGAGGCTTCGTGGAGCGGAGCTCAACATCTGCTGCGCCCTCCATGGCATTTCCTTTCCGTCCAAAAGCCCATCGATGTCTTGCCTGGCCAATATCGCACGAGACCATCTCCTTTATCGCTGAAAGAGGGAAGAAAACGTAAAATAATCACCACAACCGAAGTGGCGGGGGCAAAATCAGGTCTGGCTTCAGAATATCAGTCAATATTTGAGATCATGCTCGCTTTTCCCCCACCCGGACAGAGTCTAGATGCAGGAGCAAGCAATCATTCTCTTCCTATCAATAAATTTCTGTTACAGTTCATCACAAGCCATGACAAGTTCAAAATCGAACCAGAGTTCCTGGCGACGAGAAAAAAACCTCGAGCTCTTGTTTTTCGCCAAGACATATACCCGCTAGTCCCAAAAACGGCTAGCGGTCGCTGCGCTACTCTCATCGAAACTTCTGTCAATATTTTTTTCACCGGCCTTTCTCTCTTTCCTCTCTTCTTTTCTTTTAATCGTGCAGCGCTGCCACTATCAAATACCCCTGTGTTGCTTGGCCGATATTATCAAATACCCATAACGAGTCCAAGTGTCAGTGGCAGCTCAGATCAATCCTAATTGCAAATACCGATCTCCTCGACGAGTTTGATGAAGAAACCCATTTGAGTGACTGATGAGTCTGGGCTCGTTGAGTGTCCCTGCGCTTGTGTATGCGTGGGATCGGACAAACCTGCTATTTTTTCAGCAGTGAGATGGCTGCCGATGCGCGAGGCTGAGGGCAAGAAGACTGTTGATCTAAACCACGGGATGGATTCAACAAGAGTGTCATGGCGTAGCCTCGAGCTGCGCAGCAGGTCTTGATCTTCATTGGCCTAAAGCAGAGGAGAAACCCATCCTAGGGTTTATACTCTTTTGTTTGTGACGTTGATTCCCTCAATCTATGATTCATTTTTGTCTCCAGCTTGAATGCGGTCGTCTCTCGTGTCGCGGGCTGAAGTAGCTGCTCCTTTATCCCGTCGTATCTCAATCGTCTGCTGCAATCTTCTCAATCTTCCCATCCCTCTTCTCCCCTGTCTCACCAATGACTCGGATGCGATCGATCCGGACCTTCTCGTTGTCACCCTCACTCTCCACCACGAATAAAACCAGGCTGTACACGTTCTGGAATTTGACAATGCGGAGTTCAATCTTTGCAGTGCCGGTCTTTGCATCCCAATCTTTGTCCGATAGTGTGATCTCTTGCGCTACTTGTGTGTCTTCTGCTTCATCGAAACCGAGGATGCGAGGTCTATTGGTGTAGATCTTGAGCAGCTTCGGTCGGCTTGGGGATGTGTCGTCATCTGTGTTGCCTGGCAGCGACGTGAGGTGTAACGAGTGAATCTTCAGTGTAGACATGAAGGGAAGGTAGAGCATGAGTTGTTCGTCCGTGTCACTTTCGACCCAATCTGACTTGGCCTCTGCTTGTCCTAAAGGGGAGGGTCGTGCATTAGAAAATGTCTGCGCGCATGTCGAAAGAGCTGCCACAAACTCACCTTTGGGTTTGCTGCCACTGATCAACGTTCTCGCATTTCCATGCTCGGAGTCCCAGTTCAGTAGCTCCAACCCCACGACGTCGACCTGAGCAGTCACATCACCGTATCCTCTTGGTAAATCTGCACCCAGCCACGTGTCACCATTCGAGTTTCCACTACCCTCGCCCGTTTCTATCTTGTTCGCCTCATTGGCCAAGTCCTTGACCGCGTTGGACAGCCCCTCCCGATCTGCGCCTTGAATGAATTTGACTGCTTGGGCATTCTTGAAGATCACGAAGGTCGGCAGAGCTCGGATGCCATATGATCGTGAGATGTCTTGCTGTTTGTCAGTGTCGATTTTGGCGAAGGTGATCTGGTTGGGTCGAGACAGTTGCTCGGCCAGCTTTTCGAAGATGGGGGCGATTTGCTTGCAGGGGCCGCACCAGTCGGCATAGAAGTCGGCCACAACGATCTTGGATGAGGAGAGGAGGGCAGAGAATTGGTCCGTGGACTCGATATGGACTAATAAGTTGGACATGATTCTGACTTTTCAGGTCAGAAGCTTCAGGTCAGAAGCAGGCGGAGAGAGGAGAGGGAGGCGATTGCGTGGACGAGGCTCCAGTTGAAGTCGCGAGGCGGTCACGGCACCAGACAATCGGTTTCCGATCAGGGAAAGTGCTCAGACTTCAACAATAGAAGCGATCAGGTCAGCACAATACGGGTCAAGCGTTCGGGGGAGAGTGATTTGCTCTCGTGTTTAGTTCCCTGCTGCGTAACTGCAGGTTGGTTTGTTATTGCCTTCAGCCCCGCCTCGACGTCCACAAGTAGCGCCTCACTCGCTCAGCCCAGCGCGGCCCGGGATTTCTTTTCACCGAATCAGCACTGCGCATTTCCTCGTTTCTTCATACTTCCTCTTGCTCTCTCTCTCTCACACACACCAATGTCCATCCCGCCAACCCGCACCGTCCACTTCCTGCCCTAGCCGTCCATGATGCCCTCCTGGCCCCTGCACCTCCCTACCTTCAGCCGCTCCAGGCCGTTGGATGAGCTGCAAAGCTTTTTCACCCGCCCGACTTCGCTTAGGGCTGCAGCATGACGCACCCCCAATCTCGAGCTGAATCGGCGTGCATATGCTAGAGGGATACAGCCTATGGTCACTCGGGGTGCCTCTGCGTTGCCCTTGGTTGGGCCTTGAGGAATTCTTGTATGATTCTTCTCTTATCGAGAGCGAGGTAGGGACCTTCTTGCTTAAAGACGTACCTGCGCTTCTTAAGATGTGCTACGGTCCTGATCTGCAAATGCCGACACCACCATGGCTGCCGGAGGCACCAACGTCTTCTTCGTGCCCTACAGGCCTCATTCCAAGTCGAAAAAGCCGCCTTCAGACGAATCTGCAATATCTCAGCAGAAACATGCTGCCCGCGAATACCATCGAAAAGCCAAGCTTGAACGTGTTGCTAAACTAACCGCCATACATAACCGCCATGCACGCAGCTCCAGTGCAGATCCTCAGCCTGGTGCTTCTTCTCGACCGCTTTTACTTCGAAACAAAAGCTTTCCAACCGACGAGGACTGCAACAGAACGTTCGCTGTGTTCGACGTTGGCACTGGAAAACCTGATCCCTTCAATGCCTGTGTTCCCAGTGGTGTGCCTTCGTATGCTCTCGACATCCTGGATTATGGTAAGCCTCTATATATATTCGCCTCCGCATTCAACCCTCCCTTCTCAGACATGGTCGTCTTGAGACGTTGCGGGAGATCCCTCATTAAGTGTTTCAGGTCGCTCAAATCTTGAATCGGGCATTTCCCTCTGTCTAGCGCACTATCCTCTGGCACCGGAAGCTGTGAATGCTTCTCTGACCTCAGCAGCAGCCGCTTCAAAGCGATGGAGAATAATGAGCTCCTCCAGAACCACGCTCTCCGAGGGAACTATCAAAACGGCCCTGTTGGCATGTGCCATGCAATCTCCCGCCGCATTCTGGTCGATTATCTTCGCGTAAGCAATCTCCCTGCCCTGTCGAGTTTTCCGTGCTTCCCCATACAGCTCTTCGCAGCTCTTCGATACTAAAGACAAGCAGAGGCGCAACTCATAATGCCTATCTTCAGGGCGAAGCAGATGCCCCCGGCCGTAATCGAGCATTACGTTTGTCATACAAGACTCAGGCCATTAGGGAGCTGAATCGCGAGATCCAAGAGCTCCAAGGCCCAGCCTCTGACGAACTTCTTCTTGCCATCATCACGCTGGCGTCCCATGGGTCCGGCGAGCAACTAGATCCACCCTCGCAAGAAGAGAATCTGAGCGCACTACAGTCGGTCCAGAGTTTTCAGTATTATGGCCGCATGCAAAAAGAAACGGCACATTTGAAAGCCATTTGTCACTTGGTGTATCAGAAAGGAGGTCTCCATACTGTGAAGATGCCCGGGCTGGCGAACGCCCTTGCGCTGTATGTCAATCCCCTACGACCGCCTCTCTCGCAGTTGGCCATAAATTGACGGTAAACAGGGCCGACATCTTCTATTCTTTCCAGGATATGCGCGTACCGGCCTTCCCACTGCTGGCGCCAACAAGCTTGATTATGTCGACATGGCCTGAGCCGTCCACCCTTCTGGCCCCATCTCTCCAGAATTTGACAAGTGGTTTCCAAGATCTTGGGGACATCGCCGGTTTTGGTCCCTTGATGGATGTTGTTCACAACGCTCGCCTGATCACTATCGGGCTTGACGCATATCTATCCAGACACCCTTCAGCACCATCTCTCAACCGAATAATCTGGGCGAGAAACTTCATGACGCACGACCTCCTCTCCCTCCCCTTAACTCCCCCGCTTCCAGACCTCTGCCCTAATGCTGCACATCGGCATGACAGCAGCAGCTCGAACATGACCACACTCTGCTCTCCACTACACTCCTTGTACAACCTTGTCCGTCTATCGACAATGGCATACACGCTTCTAGTGCTCTTCCCCGTACCCACCGTCGCAGGCATCCATGGTAAATTAACACAGCAGCTCATGCTGGTGTTGGACGACTGCACTGTGATGGACCTGTGGACCACACATCCGAAATTGTTGCTTTGGAGCACTGTCCTAGGAGGGATAGTCGCCAAAGACACCAGCCTGAGGCCATGGTTCGCCGAGATGATCAGGCAAGCCAGGACGAAAACCACGAATCTGGCACTGATGGACTCGGCCAGCAGGGGCAGCAGAAGTCGAGATCGGAGTTACGACAATCCAAATCCATCCATGGAGGACAGGACAGAGGGAGAGTCGCGGGCCTTGTGGACTGTTGTGCGGGACATGTGTTGCCGCTTCCTCTGGTTCGACGGACCTGAGTGTGATGGTCTAGGCGGAGCGTTTTGGGAGGAGGCATGTGACACCACACAGCGGCTTCGCACGATGGGCTAGCTAGTTAGGGATCTTCTCGTCTCTCGGTGCGTATTCATGTCAAAATATAGACCATGTATGTGAGCAAGATGTGCCAGTGTTTACAAGTAAATGTGCCAGTATATGGAAGGATATATAAGAACGTGTGCAAAGCTATGAAAAAAAATATATGTATACATATAATACGCGTTGGTGACCGACTTCTGTCTATGCAATACGGGGTATGCTTCCCCAGCTCATCCGTCCATGCCACCACACCACGCCACACTGCTCCCACACTCACCATTTCAATTTCCAGTCTCAATGCAATCCCGTCAGGACCTAATAGCTCAGCATTCACTCCAACCCAATCCAGTTCTTTTCAGTTTCCAGCTTTTATTTCAAGAGTGAAACTTGGCAAGTCTGCCTGGCTATCGTAAATCCGTGTTGAAACAGAGAGAGAGGGAGAGAGAGGAGCAAGTGTATAGCATAATACCGAGATCTCCTCATTTCATTTATATACATGTTTGAGATCCCAGATGCTGAGGGATATATACACCAAGAGAGGGGGGAACTCTTAGAGACTCGGGAGGCTGATGGTAATATACTCGGACCAGGCCCCCGGTGATTTTTTTGTGGTACGTGTTATTTACGAGGTGCTCATCGCGGAAGGAGAAGGAGAAGACGAAGACCTCACGAATCACGATGGGTCCCGCCTGGTCATGCTGGTTGTATTGCATGTGTTTGTGTTGTGTTGTTGCTCGGCCCCCGTTTTTATTGTTGTTTGATATCATCATATCACGCTTTTTCGCTTGGCCATATTTCCAACATGTAATTGCCTACTGATCGATTGAGCGACTGACCGACGACCGAAACGCACAGGACAGGACAGGACAGGAGAGGAGAGGAGAGAAGAAAACGGTTGCCTCTCCTCTCCTCCCTTCCCTAATACACCTGTCTGTCCAGGCTGGTTGCTTGTGTATGCTTTCCTGGAGGCGTGGCCGCAAAAGTCCCATTAAAATAATAGGTATTATATATGTGGCTCTTTCTCTGGTCCCAAGATGTAGATATTTGCTTTTCGTCCTACATCACCCACCGAACTGAAGAAGGAATTGTCCTTTTCTGTTTTTTTTGCTCTAGCATCGAGAACGCAACGTTTCCAGGATATCATATCATACCTCCGTCTCAACACCCTCGCCCCCTCTGCCGTCCTTGTCCCTGTCAAACACTCTCTCCACTCGTCCCTCCATTCTCTTCACCTTGCCGACCATCCAGTCCATCGTCCGCGCCCCCCTCCACTGCATGACCCCCCTGTGCTTCCTATGTAGCTCCCGGTGGTGGTCCTTGTAGTCCCTCACCTGCGCCCTCAGCCCTCTCGAGCCGTCGTCGGGGTCATTACGTCCGTTGACGTCTAAGAGATTGGCAGCTGTGGAGCTGACTGCACTGAGAGGCTTTGAGACGAGTCGCGCGGGGCCGTTCAACAAGGGGTTGGAAGTGGAAGACGTTGTGCCAGAGTCCGAGTCCGAGGCCGACGAGTCGTCGTTGGCGTGCGTGCGGAGTTTGCGGCGAGATCTGTCTATTTCGCTTGACTTCTGGTCTTCGTCGTCTGTACTATTGTCACTGTTTTCATCTTCGTCGATCTCTCCTTTCCCCTTATATTCACCTTCATATTGATCTACCTGCCCTTCATCATTTGCTGTGTCCAATACCTCCATCACCTGCCGTATGTCCCCATTGCGAGCCTTATTCGCGTAACTCTTATGATACCCACTGAGCCCTCTCCAAAACTTGACAGTGAGCTCGATTTCTCCAAGCGGTTGCTCATTCGCCTCCAACCCCGAATAGCCGTAGCTCGTGGTCGCGCGGTGTGCAGCCTCTTTGTCACCCTTCCAAAGCTTGACGGCAATGGTTCTCTCTTCGTCGTCTGGAATGTCTTTGAGCCAGAAGACTCCCAAGGCAGGGGTGGAGTCTGGACCAAGGCGAGATTTGCGGCATTCGATGATCAAGGGGCTTGAATAGCGGTTGCGAACCGCGAGGAAGACGGATTCTTTGTCGCCTTTGGGTTTCCATTCCACATCGTCACCTGAGCCAGTGGGGTACATCTTAGCTCTCATCAGGTTGGTTCTTAATTTGATGCGATGTTGACCGAATGATTTCTCTTCATCCGTGTTTACCCTTGCCCCCTTTGATCTGACGGGGCATTTGATCTCCAAGGTGCCAAAGTTCCAGCCGAGCAATTCTTTTGGGAGTTTCACTTCCACACTACGCCAAACCATGCTGATGCGCGCACGACCGTACCCAATGCCACCAACAAGCGGATACGTCTGCATGACCTGGCTCCTTTCCTCAAAGACTCTTCGCAAGGGGAGGTAAATCATTCCCAGCAGCGCGTCATCTTCCCTTTCACGATCGTCGCGGACGGAAATCATGACTTCTGCAGTCTTCCAGTCAGGGACGAACCGCTCCGTGCCAGCATTGAAAAAAGGCTTCGAGTTCTTCGGCTTGGTTCTCGTGCGATATATCTTTTGATGGTTGAGGATAATGGTCGCGTAGCTACTTGGTAGGTCCTCATTTTGCTCTGCCTCGTCTTCGCGGTCATCGTTGCTCGTGCTTTTCGCTCTCTTCTGCAGAGATTCCACCTCCAGCCCGGTGATGTTGTGGATTTGAATGCTGAATATACCGCTGACGTTGTCGTCTGGCGGAGGGCTGGAAATAATCAAGGCGTCTTCGCGCTCCTTGTAGTCTTCTTCTTTCTGTTGCTTGATTTCCTTGCTTTCGTCATGCGCAGTGGCCTCCCGTAACTTACGCTCTGCCGTCTCGCTGACTTCCTTCCTCAGGTCCTCTGTTGTCCGGATATTTGGATCGGCAGTCTGTTTCGCAAGTTGCTCCCCTGTGATCTTGGTTTTGGCGAAATACCCCACCCGCCACTGAAGCGTGCCGGGCATCTCCTCTTCTGGTTCTGAACCCATGAACCGATCTTCACGATCACACATCCTGTTCTTCGTCTCGGAGCTATGCATCAATTCGCGGAGATCAACCTCCACGCGACCAAGGTCATCGTCTGCAGTATATTTGTCGGAATCCCAGAGCTGAAGCCGAAGCTTCTCATCCGCATTGAGCTCTTCAGGCGTGACCAAAATGTGCGCCCACTCTGACCAGTTCGGTTCTTGATCCCCAACAATAATCCTCGTTGAGGCAGCAGGTTTGCCAAACTTGCCCCAAGAAACCGTCATGTACGCGTCGCTCGCGCCCTTGAATGGGCCAACGCCACCGTCGCCTTCCTTGAAACCCTGGGCGGACTTGATGAAGATCATGACGACCCCTCGAGCGACTGTGTCTTTCTTGAAATCATCGCCAACAAGCATGTCTTTGAGATCCAATGTCAGACTCTTGGGCGCCACATACTCCGCCAACGCAGCGTCGATCGAAGACTGGACAAATGATGAGATAAGCGGCACATCCATCACGTTGAGTGCGTGGCGGGATAACGGCACGCAGGACAGGTCCGCCTGCGGCTGTCCCATAAACGTCATGGTGCACAGGCTGAAGAATGGAGGATCAGGGGTGAGTTGTAGTCGAAGCCGCATCGTGCCAATAATCCCGCGCAACTCCACCCAGACTGGGAGAGCGATGCCTCCCGGCAGGTAGAATTTGAGGTAGAGATGGGCGTTCTTCGCTTTCGCTTGCAGGGATTTGCCGGATGATCGGGCTCGATAGGCAAATGCGAGCTCCATGTTGACAAAGTCGCCCTGTTCGGCCTCCATGCCCTCACGGATTGCTTGCTGGTCCTGTTCCTTTTGCTCGTCGTTTTCATCACTGTCAGCAGGCTTGCTTTTATCCTCGTCTTCGGCGCCATTCTCCATCTGTCCCTGCCCAGACGCCGTCCGATCACTGCTCTCTTCGTCCCCAGCTTTCTTCAATTTCCCACCCGCGCCTACAGATCGACTCGCGGCACCTGTGGGCAGCCAGTTGATCCCTAGAATGCGAAATGCTTCGCTCCCCTGGCCCAGATCATCGACGCTGACCATCCGCACCACTTTGGGGAGAGACGCCTGCATGACATCCTCTAACATATCAGATATAGACGTGAACAGGTCCGGATTGATAAGAGGCCAGACGGCGGACAAGAGATTGTTTAACCAAGCGACCGATTCTGGGGTCATGTCTTCAGCTTGAGTTGTGTGGAGCTCTTCCTGGCGCGCGGCATCCCAAACCTCGTCCTTACAGATTGCGTCCACTTTCTTACCGAGCCAATCTCTGACCGCGACTATTACACAGGCTGCAATGGCGCCTGGTATGAAGATGAAGGCGGCGGCGGAGAGCCTCGATTGCAAGCCCGACCCATTTTCGTAGAGACTCACACCCCACACCCGAGCACCGGCCTCTGCCAGCAGTACCAGCCCCAGCACGCTCACTAGGCCTATCGTGATGGCACGCTCATACGTCCTGGCCAATTCATTTTTCAAGTCGTCAAACTTTGGGGGCGGGAACAACCTCTGCATACTGTGTAGACTATGCTGAACCTCGTCGCGCTCCTGGTCGAGTTCTTGGCTCGATTTCCTGGCACCACAGGGTCCAGTTTTAGTTCTGAAATCAGTTCCGGCCGCGGGGACGTTCTCTTCGGCGGACTTGAGATCCTTGCGGGTCGAGTCTCGAATGATGATGGGCAAGTGGGTGACGGGGTCTGTAGCTTCTCTGCCGCCATCGCTGCGCTTCTTGTGTTTCATGTCCTTTCTCTTCTGTCGAGGGTCATGGTGGCCTGCAACAGCCTCGGTAGCCGATTGACCTGGTTCATCTGTCTTGGTATCCTCTTGACCTTCTTCTTCTTGTTGTTGTTGTTCTAGTACATCCTGGCCGTCTTCTTCTCCATGATGTTCCTTTTCTTGCTCTTCTCTTCCTCTTGCCTCCCCTGCGATCTGAACATTCCGATTTTGGGTCCTGTAGGGGTCGTGAGTCGACTTGGGATCTTCATCCTCGCCCTTGAGGATGCCCTTGGCGGCATGGTATGCTCTTTTGACGGAGGAATCGTCCGTCTCGTCACGCTGGGCGTCTTCAGCCTGTTGCTGCTGGTTGTTCAACTCATTCCGCTCGGCCCTGTATTTCTGGATTGTAGGGATGGGATGGCGGGCAGAGTGAGGGCCTTGGTAGGTTCTGCGCTGGGAGTCTGGGTCGAAGTCGTCGGCAGAAGACATGTTTTGCCCATAACAGACAATACACATAGGCACACAGAGAGAGGGGGGGGGGACGGAGAGGGAGAGAGCTCTGGTCGATGATCACGAAACAAATGAAAAGAACCTTGCCTACCTGAAGGTGACGGGCAAGATGTAGTGAGAACCAGTCTCAGCACCTAAGAAGAATAAAACGACACAGAGTCAGGGCCAAGAGGCTTTGTAAGTAAAATATTCACATCATCTCTCTCCCGCAGCTGTCACGACAAACTTTGAATCAAGGCATTGGCGGCACCAGGTAAAAGGGAAAACGAAGGAAGCAGAGCAGACAATGACGTCGAACTCCACGCGGCAGAGGCCAGCAAGCAACACCGACTTCAGTAAGCGAACCCAAACAGCTGGTCCAAAGGACGCTCCACCCTGCCAAAGGGTTCAAGACGACGGATGATCTGCCAGCAGAACCTGGCCTTGATGCTGGTTCTGTTTTGCGGCCCTGCTGCATTGTCAGCAAACGGTGAGGCAGAACCGAGAAAACAAGGAGGAGAATCGAGAGTCACGGAAGGGGGAATGACAAACAACAGGATGATGATCGCCCGCCAATGGCCCGAGTGGCGTTGCGGGGAACTGCAAGGAATTCTAAGTACCCAGTACGCGCAGTACCGAATATTTTCTCATCACAAATTGATCAACCGGCCATTTCTGTTCCAGATCCTTGATGTCCAGCGCAGGTGCAAAACCAGCAGCAACACAAACACATACGCACTACGATGTCCTCCACCTGTCTTGCCGTCCTGAACAGTCTCGTCATCTGTCAAAGGACGATGTCAAGGCTGCATACCGGCGCGCATTACTCATACATCACCCAGACAAAGCTCCCGGTACCACCAAGGATGCCTCCCTGAAACGCCTGCGGAACAGTGGTGCCTCAACACCAATACCCATCTACTCTATTGACGACATCGTTGTTGCGTACGAGGTCCTATCCGACTCAGCGAAGCGCGCAGAATATGATCGTACCTTGGATCGCGGCGTCAACTTTGGCTGGAAGGGTGAGGGTGATGAGAAGGGCACACACATTGGAGTAGAGGTCTATGATCTCGAAGACCTCAAATATGACGAGGTTCAGACTGTCTGGTCCAAGAGCTGCCGCTGTGGTGACGACCAAGGCTATATTGTGACCGACTCGGATCTCGAGAAGGAGGCGCAACAAGGAGAGGTTTATGTCGGTTGTCGAGGGTGTAGTCTCTTCGTCAAGGTCTTGTTTGCCTTGGAGGAGACATGACGAGGAAGGTCTTCTCAGTTCGGCCTCGCACTCGCCTTCTCCTGGGCTTCTTGCAAGCCATTCATAGCCTCACGGACATCCGCCGACCGTCCTTCTAGAATGGCTTGTAGCTCTTCCTTGATCATCTCATGCGCCGTGGCGAGGTCTTGGACTGCTTGGATGATTCCCTTCTCAACCTCTGCCTTCCTCTCAATCAAGGCGAGCAGTCTGGCCACGAAATCGTCTTGGATGCGCCTCCTGTGGGCATGAAGCCGAGTCCGTCAGAGCTGATTGTAACAACCCGAAAAAGGAGAGGCAAGTTCCCCAAGAGACTCACCCGTCTTGCTGATACTTCTCCACCCTCTCGTCAATTTGAGCCTCGAGCTCTCGGAACTGACTTTCAAACTCCTTCTCCAGACGTTTTTGTCTTTGTCCCTTGCGGAGGCCAACCTAGAGGACGCGGAGTCAATATGCCTGCAGCACAACCCCATCGTTGTTTGCCGCAGGTTGGAAGCGAGAGATATCGGTACCGAGGTGGAATTGGAAGCCGGGTGTGACATATCGGCAGTGAGAGGCTGGTAATAAAGGTGCATGTAAGAGAAACAGGTGGCAGGTACCCATGGATGGGATCAGAGCAAGACGTAAAGAAAAGAGGGAAAGAAACCAGAAGGGCCCTTGTCCTAACGCCGGCGAGAATCCCTCACAACTCATGAACTCACATCGATAGCCATGCTCTTCTTCAAATTCTCCTCGTTCCGCCTTAACCGACTCGTACCGTCGTCGTCGACCTCGACCTCCATCTCAGAACCTCCTCCTCCTCCTTCTTCCTCCCCACTGTCTTCTTGTCTCCTGCTGCTGACCCTCGCCAGCGCCGGCGGCGCAGCTGAGTTCCTCAACGCGCCGCGTCGTTTTGAAGACATTGCTCAGCGGTGGTGGTTGGGTGGTGTGGTTCGCCTCGCAGTGAAGAGACCTCAGGTGAAGCGGCGAAGCGTGTGAGAAATGGAGAGGCCAGTAGGGACACGCGTGCGTTGCGTTGCGTCGCGGCCCAGTTCAAGTCCAGGGGTTTGTGGGTGATGGGATCTCAGAGCTGGAAAGGCGAGGCGTGGGAGAAAAGTTAGCGTCGTCCGTCGTCGTGCTGGGAGCTAGGTAGGTACCAAACAAGGAGGTAGTAGGTAGCAAGCAAGAAATACTAGCACTACCTACCTAGGTATATAACAGGCCTTTGGAGAAAAGCATGCAAGAGCGCTGAAGACGGGCAACTCGGTTACGTTCGCCACCCGCCGACCTAGTTCATTGTTCAACTCACCTCACTCTCTCGATGCCGTCGGAGGATGAATTCCCAAGAAGAGTAACAGCGCTGAAGACGGACAACCAAGCAACTGACTTTGGTATTTTTCGCGGTCCGACGACCACCTTCACAGTCCTGAGAACACACCTCATTCTCACCAGTCTCGGACGTCGGTGTACTGGCGTGCCCTCCCGTAAAAGCAAGAAAGCAAGATCGTGCTGAAGCTGGCAAACTCGGTCATTTCCACGATCCCGACGACCTACCACCTGTCTGGTTTCAACACACCCCTCCCTCATTTTGTCCATGTCACAATCCCGTCGATGCGCTAAAGGCACCTACTTAAGGTACGATGGTGCTGCAGACGCGTAGGCAAACTAACTCACTATAGTGTTTTTTGCGACCCGCCGACCTACGACGTGGTTTCAACACACCTCATTTTCACAACCACATCCACAACCACAGCCACCGCCAGCACGAGCCAGACGCCGGGACCATGGTTCATCCGACACGACGGCGACGTCGACGCCGCTGAGGAGACAGATAGATATACACAACCTGACCTAACCCAATTCTGTACGTATGTATGTATGTATGTGTGTATGTATTGTTCCTCCTACAGCTAGTGAAATTTTGTACATGCACGGTCATTCACTCACCAGAACGACATCTCCCCATGAGTCTTTTTGACGTTTTCGGCCTATGTAATGATAAAAATACAAGATACAAGATACAAGATTCGTTACTCAAGGCACAACCAATAGGTGTCAAGACGGAGAATCAGTGCTCGCCGTCACACTTCTTTCTCTTCATGTTGCTCATCAACGCAATGCTCTTCCCTCGTCTTCATTTCTAATCTACAATCTCCAACTCACCGTGTCGATCCTGTGCAAAGAGGTCCTTGTACCCATCCCACAACCTGACCAACTCTGCCACATACTCCTTGTGCACCTGATCCAAATACTTGTCATCAACGTTATTGTCCTTGGTCCCCTGCTGCACGACCCGTATCGGTCGCCCCACCACGACGTTAACTGCCCTCCGGTATGGCAGCAATCCCACGTCATAGTTGAAGATTCCTCTTGCATGGAACAACGGGACGGTGAAGCCCATCAACTTTTTGATAAGCATTTGGGATTTGTGGATCCACGGGTGTTGGACACTGTCAATCACATCGTAGAGTTCGTTTTCGCCAAAGGCCAGGACGGGGACAAGGTCGGCCCCTGTGCGTATTGCTAATTTGATGAAGCCCTTTCTGCTTTTCAGGACGAGGCGCAGCGAGTGAGGCTTGGCACCGAGAGATTCGCGAGCTCCCCCTATAACAATGGTGACCGCCCGACCCATGCCTTCACCATTGAGTCCTCCTTTACACAGGATGTTTTCGATGGATTCGCGTGATACAGACGCCAAGCCCATGGCCAAGGCATAGTCTCGATAAAACGGAACTCGGAAATTCGTGTCCAGCGTCAACAAGGTATTCGTGATGCCGGGGTACAGGTCTGAAAATCCCAAGGCCTCAGTGGCAAAGGCGGCAAATGCACCATGCGAAATAATCCCGTGCGGATGGTATCCAAAAATGTATTTCCTCGTAGGTTCAAGCTCGATGGTGCGATGTAAGCGAGCAGGGAAGTAGGATGCGAACAGGGACCAGAATTTCGAACCGCGCATCCATTGTGATCTTCGGGAAAGGGTGCCGTTGGTGGCTTCTTCACTGATGACGAGGGTGTAGATGAGATAGGGGATCAGGAGGGGCCAGGTAAGGGGGATTGCGCAGAGGAGGAAGAATATGGAGAGAAACAGGGGAATGGTGGTAGTGTGCCACAGCACGACTAGAGTTTGAAGCCTCCGCCGCAAGGGCACATTGAGAGGTGCCCACCGGATCCTGTTGCAAGACTGTTAGCCACAATAACAGGCGTCGAAAAGGTGCGTACGCAGAAGTTTCCCAACCAGCGCCAGCTCTTCGGCCACTTGCAAGTTCATCTTGCCTCTTGGGCGGTCGATTCTGTTTCTTCTCTCGCGGCGCAGTCTTTCCGTTGTGCTTGAGAGAGTCGTCATATCTGGCACTGGGCTTGATGCTTGTCAAAATCTCTCCGGCATGATTCACATGCTCCTCATAAACGACCTTCTCTTCATCTAGCTGTTTCCGGATTTGGCCATTGACCGTCCGAGGTGGAGGCTGGGCAGAGCCATTAACTGCAGCGTGTTCCTTTGCATCAGACCCGACTCCAGTGCGGCCTTCGATCTGGTCATTCTCTTGTGGGCCATTACTGACGGCATCTGCGTAGGATCTTGGAGGGAGGTTGTGCTCAGCACGTTCTTCTGGCTGGGACGGCTCCGGGTTCGGGGTCTGTCCCTCCACTGCAGTAGAGGCCATCTCAGTGTAGGCGGAGGGTGGGTCGCTTTGAAGCGACTGAGCGCGCTCACGAAACCAAGCAAAGTCCGAGTGGCCTCGCCGGAGCATCAATCAATACATGTGTAGGCGGCACCAGTCCGCGTGTCGGCACAAGAGCGAGAGAAAGGAACCTGAGGATGAGGACGAGGACGAGGTACGAGAAACAATGTGCGAGCATTTGGCATTCAGGCGACTGCTACGCAGCCATGACATGATTGGACTCTCAGACAAGTTGCCAGATCCGGAGGCTCCGGTGACGTCATTGCCAGCACGAACCACCGAAGCATAAAATCAAATGCTCGAAATAACTAGTAATAGGTAGCCTCGCCAGGTACCAGATTTGTACAATAACGGCTCCGTATATTCATGATAGATCTAAATGTACCTCGAAATCTTCGTAAATAGAACCCCCAAGGCGATAAGAATAATTAGCGTAGTCTCCAGACTCTAGAAGAATCCACCATCCATCATCCACCCTTTACAAGTTCTTCGCCGCAACGCCAAATTGCATGTTATCGTTGTCAAAAACAGCGAAGACGGCCTTGAGGAAAATGTCACCATAGATAGAGATCCCAATGCCCTGGTTGCTCTGAAGGCCACCATAACAAGCTGCAGCAGAGGATTTGTCAGCTCTCTGAACCAGCGTTTTGTCCCAGGGGATTCACTTACAAGAGGAAGCGGCGGAGGTAGGAGCGAAATTCATGAATGATCCTGGAATGACAGCGTGATAGCTGCCAACACCGACAGCGAAGTCGGGGAGATTCGCAGAACACGGGAAAGTATAGCCGCCCTGGGAATTGTCGTACTGGGCGCCGTCAACTTGGTTGTAGTAGGCCGAAACAATGTTATCATCCATGAGAAGGAGAGTGGTGCCGGTGTCAGCAATGGCATCAATGCTTGCAGACTGGAATCTCCCGTTGCCAACCTGGTAGCCTGTACCAGTGAATTCCCAGAAGCCCTGAGAGTTGTCCACAGGTGTATAGGTGATGTCACCGGTGTATTTGCTGCTGTCAATGAAGCCAAAGTCGTAGGATCCTGGGGCACCTTTCTTCAAGTCAGCCGTGAAGACGTTCTGCTGAAGAACGCCTTGAGAAATTGCAGTGTCGAAGAAGGTGGTTTGCTGCTGAGGTTGGACTACACATATGTCAGTACCGAATGTCGCATAGCTCGCCATCTCACTGACCCGTGTTGATGGAGCTGAAAGCCAGACCGAGGAGACCGTCGTTGTTTGCGTCTTGTTGAAACTGTGAACTGATCTGTTGGGCAAGTTCGACAGCTTGTCCGGTGACTGTCGTGCCACCGACATTGACAGTGTCAGTGTAGACGTTCCCGCTCGCACTCGATCCATCGCCATAGGATATTTTCCAGGTGGCTCCGCTTAGCTCCTTGGCCGTGCTGGACTTGGACGGATCGTAGATGCTGTGTCCAGATTGCTCGGAGCTGGACAGCTCGGACGAGAAAACCCACCTGCACAAGATTAGCCACCGGTACCACCAACTCAAGAGGCAATGGGAGCTGTTTACAGATCTGAGGACCCGGTATCAAAATCGAGGTTTAACGTTTGACCTCCAATGTTGACAGGGCAGAGGTATTCGGCGTCATATTGTTCAGGAGTAGCAGTGACGGTCCCACCTGCTGCTGCGGCCTTGACATCAGCGGGCACGGAACTGTTGTATTTGAGGTAGGCCCTTTGCAAAACCACAGGACCAGCCTGGAATGGCTTTGCAACACTTTGCACAAGGGTGAAACCTGTCTTGATTTCAACCTGGGGAACAGGAATGGGCTTCGCAAATGAGACACTCGTCCAGGCGGATGCCGCCAGCAAAACTGTAAAAGAAAGCATCTTGTATGGAAAATGAAAAGAAAAGAAGGACAAGTTTCAAGAGAAACAGATAAATGAATGGACGTCTTGCTGGTCGAAAGAAAGGAAGGGGGTTGGTAGAGCGCTGTACAAGACGAGCCCCTCGACGAGAGTTTATATATCTTGTGTGTGGAGGTCACAAAGCAGGCATCGCAAACCCAAAGCGGATCCCATTCCACTGCCTTGCTCATGGTATATTCTGCCTAGAGCATGAGATAGAAACATAGCAATGGTACTCTGGATCCAGCATACGAGGATCGAGGATCGTCATTATTGCAAGGACTGCGGAACGGACGTTCACCACGGAGGCAGGGACGATTCGAGAAGGTCACAAAGATAGCCAAGGCCCAGATCCTGGAGAGCACATGCTGAACGCCACCGTTGATTCGAGAAGGTCACCGAGCATATCAAGCACCGCATCCAAGCTTCGACGGTCCCAATCTGCCAAGAAGAGGCTGTCGAGCGGCTCGATTGGCCTGCAAGTCATCACAGCAGGCTGTGGAAGGAGTCGATAATGATACTGTGTTAGTCTAGCGCCGGCGAGGAGATTGAGATTGAGAGCGAGGGACGTGAAACATGGAGACTCTCCAGAGCATGCATGGGAAATGGGCAGTTTGAGCAGAAGCAAATCCGGATTCCTGTTCTTGGGGCCGCAGAGCATCAGAGCAGCAGAGCAGTACCGAGTAGAGGGGAGTAAGATGAAGCCAGCGTGTCTGGCGCGTCCGGCGTGTCTGATTGTCTGATGGGAATCTTGAAGAAGCTTGAAATTAAAATGAGGTTGGAAGAAGAAAGTGTCATCGCTGCCTCTGATTGGCTTGGCGCCCAACTGCGCTACCACTGCGCAAAACTGCGCTAGCACTGCGTGACCGCCGTGTCCTGCTCGACAGACGCAGCATCCGGCAAACCACCTTGAACCAACATCTCAAGCTTCCTTCCTGCTCGCTGCTCACTCTGCTCCAGTCCTGATAGTTCCTGGCTACTACTACCGGGTAGTCTTCCTGCTCTTGCGTATCTTGCATCTCCATTCGTCCTCCGCTAAGATGAAAAGCCGCTGGCGCCGCTGCTAAACGAACGCCCTTGCGCCTCCTCCGAGTCCCACTCCCGCCTTGCAGAATCTAGATGAGCTTGCTTCTCCACGCAAAGCCCACCAGAGCCTCCTCCCTTGCCAACGTCCAATGACCGTGTCGCTTCTCAATGCAACTCGACACGGCGATGGGGATCCTTGGTAATCTTGGCGCAGATCAAACCGGACGCGGCTCAATCGGGCAATACCCTTAGACCTCCATCCATCCAACTTCATTCTACCAAGTACACTACCTGCCGTCTTCTGCGGTTCCAGCGTATCATGTCTACCTTCTAGTGCACGTTATGTACTTCTGTACTCCCTTGAGTCTCTTCTCGACACATTATACGGCGGTGGGGTAGATGTTTTGAACAAGATTGCGCTCGAGATGGACAGGCGCACCCCCTCCTATGAGAGAGCAAAGCCCATCGGCGGCCGCCGAAATGCCACAGCTGAAGTCGCATGCTCGATCCTCTCACGTTTGATGAGGGTGACATGGCCCGGTCTGGCAAAAAGAATAATCTCATGGCCCGAGCAACGATGAATAATGAGTATCCGACAGGCAAATAGAGCAAATTCTTGACGCCGAGATGAGATGGATATATCAGATGTTCGTTTAGATTTTCTCTTGATCATAACCATGTTGGATTGTAAATGCTGCATAATGTCCCCCAGAATACTCCGGACTCCTCAGCAAATCTTGATGCACGTGACTGTTTATAGGTCGCCTGGACCCGTACATTCGATATAGGTGCGCCCGAAAGCAGAATACCAGCTGCCTATGGAGATCGCCGTGGCGGGCGTGGTAGAGGCGGGTGGGTGCGAGGCTTGGTGGCGTCAGAGCGGGAGACCCCTGTCGCGAGTCCGGCCAACGTGTTAGCTGCATCGCTCTCTGATCGATTGAGGCTGGGCCGACCCTCATCGCGCCCTGAGGGGCGGATCTGTAGAGGTTCAGTCGCCAAGGGTCGAGGTTGGTCCATTGCGCGGCCGAGATGCAGTAGCGTAGTGGTACCTATCGAGCCTGTTCGAGGAGGAAGCGGTAGAGTTCTCGGTCCCGGGCCTGGAGGGAAGTCGGGAGGTCGATCGTGGGACAAGATCGGCGGCAACTGAGTCGGACTCAACTGTTCTCTGCCTGGGCTCGGGAGGTGTATGGAGGCGTGGGCACCCCTGGGTGTCTCCTGGTAACCTCGAAAGTCCGGTGGACGATTTCTCCACGACGATTCTTGCATTGTCGGCGAGGGCAAGGTGGGCTGGTAGAGTAGAGGGCTCGGTCCGGGCGGGACACCCCCGAAGGCGGGCGGCGGAGGAGGAATCGTGAGCGGTGCTTGTGGTTGCTGTTGCTGCTGTTGTTGCTGCTGTACGAAATACGACAATCTTGATCTTGCAAGGGGGTCAGGCGACCCTGTAGACTCTACTGACGATGCACTTGGTGGCAGGGCCGGTAGAGGGGGCGTACCTGAGCCTGCTCCCAACGACAGACCCGCTGCCCGTATTAGTGGATCAGGAACTTCACTCCTGACCGTGGAAGACTCATCAGAGACAGAACTCTGACTTGAGAGCAGGCCAGGCCGGAAATACTCTCGACCCTGCTGCACCGAGGGAGGCGTCCCGCTTCGAGATGAGGGTAGTTGCGGTCGCTGTTGCATCGCCGATCCCGAACTGCTGGAATGAATTGTCCCGCCGATAAATGGCGAAGATGCAGAAGAGCCGATCGAGCCCCCTCGGAAATGACCTGACGCCTGCGTCGTTCCTTCGGGGTGGCCTTCCAGTGATTTCGTAGAGATGATGCTGCCGCTGGATTCCTGCTCCAGCTTGGGCCTCTTTGCTTCCGATGACTGTCCGTGCCTGGCTTTAAACTCTGAAAGATAGGCCATATAGTCTCTGTACTCCTCGGTCTTGCGATATGCTGATAGCTGGATGTTGTATTTCTCTTTGGCGGTGCTTGCCTGAGCTTCGAAAGGCTCTTTGCCCGAAGGATCCAACTTTTGCCATCGGTCGCCGACAAGCTTGGCTATTTGGGTAAAGGAGAGGTTCTGCTCTTTGACCTCCTCCCTCACTTTGTTCGAAAATATCACGTAGGCAGAAGGGGGACGTTCGGGAGCATTTTCGTCCGGTTTAGGATGACGCCTGTACTTTCGCTTTGTCTCAGGAGGGGGTCCAGAAGGCCGTTCAGGACCCGACGGGGGCCCTGTGGAAGTCTCAAACCCTCTGCCGCTTTCTGAGAGCCCCTCCTGAGCGGGAGAACCAAACAGGCGTTCGTAAGAGATGCCTCGATATTCAGCGATTGCCCGCTGAAGCTTCTTGATGCCGACGTCAGTAAGATTTTTCACCAGGGAAAGATCACCCACAGACTCACCCTGCGATGGCCGAGTTTGACATTGAGAGCGTCACTAGAATGGAGTAAGCATGCTCAGTTTGGCAGTATTATGTAGGATTGACAAACTCACAAGTCACTCTCTTGAATATCTGTCAAAGTCTCCCAGGTGTCGAATCCTTCGCCGATGAAAGCGTCGAGATACTGCTCAAGGCCAAGGCGCTCGAGATGGGGCGCGAGATCGGTCATTCACGCACTGGTAGTATTTCATTGACACCAAGGTTATTGCGGAGTCCAGGCGAGCAGGTGCTCAATCGACGAGACGAGTCAATCAGGGCGATACGCCTCGCAAGCTGTACGATGAATCGCGGTACACGCTGACTCGTTTCTCATGTGGAATTTTCGTAGCAGGGACGTCGATCTCAACCGTAGAGGGAGTGGCAACCCGCTCGAATAGGATTGGGGTGGTACTTCTCAACGGTCAGACGAGTATAGAATAAATAAAGGCCTTGGCGAGATCTCTGACCACGGATGGGGGTTTGATGGCAGTTATGGCGTTTGATATTGCACGGAAGTCGATTTTTTATTTCTTTTTTTTTCTGGGTTTTCTGTGCAGCTTTGGTTCCAACGCAGATTCGAGAAAGATGCTCCTCAAGCAGGGACCGATCCTCCCCAGACCTGGTCGACTAAGGGTCGATGGCCGAGAGAGCGATGGCAACGATTGGGGTCAAGTCATTCAGGGTCTTGAATGATCTGCCTCAGATACCACACAGTGTCCGGTGGCATCTAGTGGGGTCAAAGCAAGACGAGATGGATAGCTGCTAGACCCTGGTGACAGGAAACCGGGCTATGAGGCTCCAATTCGGGATCGAGCTCGGACTCACAAGAGCTCAAAATGGATATTCAGATCTTCGACAGGGAAAAATGTGTTTCCGATGGCGGCAAGGTGGCACACCACGCGTCTCCCAAGATGGCCTTTTCTGAGGTAGAAGGCGATGAACCGAGCGACCGAAATAGACTCACGAGAGAGGAAACCCCCGCCAATACCTAGTGATATGACCTGACAAGGAAAAACGAGGCGACTGGCGCCAGTGTACGGATAGAAAGGAGAATAGGCGGAAAGAGGCCCGACAAACCAATCTATAGGCTGTTCATTGATCTGGATAAGGAGTGATGCGTGTTGAAAAGAAGCCAAGTAAAAATTTCGCTGTGTGTGAGGCCGTGGAGAACAGAGAATCAGATGATGCAACGAGGGAAGCGTCCGTGTGCTGTGCCGCCATTCGCTGACTAGCGACGCAGGAATAAGGGAAAATTGGGCCGTGGTGGAAGGGATGATATTGGGAGCTGCTCATCGAAGGTTTGCGCAGCTCGCAGCCTCTCTCCTCTAGCTCCGTTACCCGTAACCGAGCTGTAAGAGCTCTCCAGAGGGGATGCGAGGGTGGTACTTTAGCTTTGGTGTGTAGCCTAGTGGCCTCGTCGCCCGCCCACTCCCCGCGAGCCAACCAACAACAGCTCGATTGAGCAGTGTTGTGGGGAGGTATTCGTCTACACGCATCATGTACCTGCGTGGACCACCAAATGGTAATGCCTGATGACAACACCAGGTGTCACCTCCATCTGGAGATGATACATCTGTGGCTTCTTGAAGGTGTGGGTTGGAGGGCTGTCGACGCTAGACCAGATATCCAACTCCTACGACTCTATCGCATTAAACATATATAAAAAGAGGGCCATATATCAAAGGACTGGGTTCTCCGGGCCATGGTACAGTGCTTGTTCAATGTACCAGGATACAACTTCATCGTCACAGGTGTCATCTTGCTTCCCGGTCGATTATTTCAACTGCAGCAGATTCTTGAAGGGGTTATTGTTGTTGGCTCACCGCCTTCAAATGGTCAGGGGTCATGGCCGTTGGTTGCTCCCGAAGCCCTGGTCCTGGAACAGGTGGTTCGTGGGTCGATATTTTGATGGGATATAAGGCTCTTTGGTAGTAGATGAATCGGCTCCCGCAAACGGATTTTGCAAACCTGGCGCCAATAAGGTCGACTGAGGATCGACGACCTGCACAGAAGCGGAGGCTTGATGAACGTGAGAGGAATGCAGCCGGTCGATCTGGTGTTCAGTTTAAGTTGATTATAGAGAGCAAAGGCTGGGAGGTCCTCTTCACCCATCCATGAAGGGTCCGTGACACAACGGGAACGCTTCCAGGAAGCCAGAGACGATGCAACCCATGGGTGGATGCAGGTTCACACACAGGCTGTCTATAAAACCCGATTGTAGTGGAAAAGTGCGATCTGGGTACCAAATTCCCCATCGGCAGCGACCGGGGATGAGGTCTCAGTTTGATGAGATGAACCAGCAAATGCTCGATTCGCGCTGCCAGCCTCGGTGGACCTAAGCCTAGCCTGGATCTCAGCCAACGCTTCGGCATTGCCCAGGACCCCACGTCCCAATTCCCGTGGCAAAATACTGAATATTTTGCTCCCGGGTTTGCACGGTTGGTGCATTGGTGCTGAACACGGGGTTGAATTCCTGTTTTGATGCCTCTTGGGCCTGACAACTGACAAGCTTGGTGGCTCGCGGTCCCTGGAGCAGTTCTTCGTCTGGCCCTGCAGCTGAGGGGTAGCGGGTCGCCTGCGTCTAACCGGGGGCTTTGATGACGAGATTCAGTGATGATCGGGCGGATATCCGGTGCCGAAAACGAGTTTAGAAAATGTGCTTGTAGCTAGAATAGATTATACATAGGTATACCACTGGAGTAGGCGTTGACAGTCCCTAACCAGCGCTGTGCCACCACCCACCCATTTTGTGATGGCTGTGCCTGTCGAATTCCGCACTTACTACGCATGATTCATGATGATGCCGATATCAAACGTGGACCCAAACCCCGGGACTCGGCAGCGTCAATAAGCGCGGCGTCATTTAAGTTTGGAAGCGACCGTGGTTCGACACGACATACCGTGGAGACTCTGCCCTTGGCTCGAGTCCCTCCCTTTGCATCGCAATATCGGATCAGGGGTCTGGAGTGAATAAAACATGAAATTCTTTCAGGAAAACTTACGGAAGATGGGAAGATGGGGAATCCCGGATTAGTCCAGATGGATCGCTGATTGGGCCCTTGATGGGCCATTTCGCAGAAGACCAGTGTAGAAATGGGTTACATGTCCATGACAAAGACCTTGGGTTCGCCTTCCGGAAGTCGAATCAGAACCTGCCCCATTTGAGCCGGCTGGGTCTCCCCTTTGATTTTAGTTCTCTCGATCATGGATAACCCGATGATGACTTTCAGCGCGGCCGAGGGCGACTAGAATATAGGTAGATACCGAGTAGATCGTGTAGAGTTGTTCGGCTCGTGGCAACGGGGCGTCATTGGTCGGGGATTTTCACATGTAGGGGAACCTCGTGAATAAATTGGATAAAATATGCCTGCGGTACCGCCCTGTGCACACTAAAGCTCACTCCAAAGAACTAGGTAAGTGCCTACTTTGTAGGGGAGCAAGGGGAGGTAGAGAGGAGGAAGAGAAGCGTGGGGCCATGTGGGTAAATATTGGCCGAGTCTCTTCATCGCGTGGCCTGTGCCCAGTACCTCGTACTCGGTACATGGCACTAGTCCGGATGCAGCCAGCTGGGCGTTATCGATAAGAAACTGCGCTGGGGCCCAAATTCCTTGGCCCGCTTTTTTGCTCTCGCTTCGCAAAACTCATTTCTTCCTCCCGCCATCCTCATGCTGCCTGACGCAACCCATCTTCCATCGCCATCTACACTCTTCCATGGCTCCTCCTGCTCAGCACCCTCAACACCCTCAGCACCAACCACCCCGCCTTGTTTAAGCCCTTCCGAAACAATACGGACTCCCACTCGCGCGACCCTTGACCCTCTCTGTCTCAGGAGTCGGGGCTGTCACCGACAACCGAATATTTGGAGTTGATCTTTGACAACCACACCATCACCCGGCCTATCCGAAATGGCGCAACGAAGGTCTGCCTCCCACAGAGCGGATGAGCGGGCCCAATCAGACAATCTCCTGGACATTGACAACCCTCAACTGTTGACCTCGGAGATGGCAAAGGTATGAAAAGTGGCTGTCGAGCCTGATGCGATTCTGCTTGTTCCGCTGACTATTCGATCACCACTAATGGGAGAAAAGGCTTTTGAAGAGGTTGCACAGTACATATGCTCCAAACACCCGCGTCACATGTCGGTACTTTTTGACCATTACATAGGGCGGAAAAAACGGCTTCAGCGCTCGAGGCCAAGCTCGATGGCATCCACAAACATCTTGACCAGCTCTTGGCCAGCTTCGAGGAGCTTGCTCAATCCCATCCGCGAAACCCAGCATCAAACACTTCCGAGTTGAAGTAGCCTACTTGCAGCTTACTCCTCCCTGTAAGACACGTGGGCATATCCCGACTGTCACATGTTCGGAGATATGGGGGCCAATCGGTACCTGCAACTTCGTTCGCCAGCGCCAATGCAGGTCGCTTCATTTCCTGCATTCGGATTTTCCGTTCCTCCCCTTGACCTATACAAATAGATGTGGTGGTTACTTTAAGACCCAGGTTCAAGAGCCGTGTGAAACCCGATAACTCTTGCCAACTCAGAGCTGAGGAAAAATGGCACTGAAGTTGAACTTTCCGTCTACCTTCTCGACGACTCCGACTTCGGTGATGACCCCATCGACGAGCTCTGCTGGGGTCACATCAAAAGCAGGATTCCATACGTCAATTCCAACGGCAGCGGTGCTCACCATCTCTGAACCTTCGTCCAGAAGTAGCTTTCCATCCGCTGTGACTCTGGGGCCTTTGATCCTTGTTACCTCTTCCGGCGCTCTTTCCTCAATGACAATGTCCTTGCCCGAAGCCGTGTCTCGATCAATGGTTGTCCTAGGGGCAGCAACCAAGAATTTCACCCCGTGGTGGCGGGCAAGTACAGCAAGAGAGTATGTCCCGATTTTGTTGGCCGTGTCACCGTTTGCCGCGACTCGATCGGCTCCGACGACGACGGCAGCCAGATGATCTCCTTCTCTTTCCATGAGTGCACAAGCCATCGAATCTGTTATGAGCGTGGCCGGGATCTCGTCGTGGACAAGTTCATAAGCTGTCAATCGGGAACCTTGGTTGTACGGCCGAGTCTCTGAACAGTATGCGCGGGTAAGCATGTCAGCGGCCCTCAGAGATCTGATGACACCAAGCGCCGTGCCATAACCTGCGGTTGCCAAAGAACTGTACAGACGTCAGCTCCCCGGAAATCTTTGTCGGACGGCCGTGTTTCCTGTCCTCCTTACCCAGTATTGCAATGTGTCAGAATTGCAACCTCCCGAGTTCTGTCTGCTTTCCTTTTCCTTCCAGCCGTGGTGTTTTCTTCAATCCAACGGGCGCCATATTCCCCAATTGCTCTGTTGTCAGACACATCATCCACCAACATCCGTTCTGCTGCAGCAATATAAGCCCGAGCAACAGACTCCGCGGACGCTCCGGGCTGCAGTGCCGCCTTCTTGATCACAATCTTGAGCTTGCCCACTGCATCCCCCAGGTTTACCGCCGTCGGCCTGCTCGTCTTCAGAAAGTCCAGACGCTGGTTTATGCTGTCCTTCACATCCTCAGGCGCTGCTGGTAAATTCCCCGTTTTCATTTGGGCTCCCACTTCGACAGCAAGAGCCAGAGAGGCCACAATAGCAATTGCAGGCGCGCCACGGACTTTCATCTGCCTGATGGCAGCATGAGCTTCTTCGCAGTTTCTGACCGGGACATAGGTCGTCCGATGCGGTAAGACTAGCTGATCGAGAATGTGCAACGACGGGGGCGAATCGGCCGAAGCAGGTTCATATTGGATAGCCTGCAGCACCATGGCTGAGGGCAGGCTGGAAGACGAGTGAAGAGTCGAGGTTTGGGCCTGTAATACCTCGTAGGCTAAGGTCTGTCGATGTCTTTTTCTCTTTATTGAATTACTTTTCATCTCTTGCCGCCGCCAACCTTTTTTCACCTCGCGCCATTGCGGGGCTGAGATGACTGGTTACCCCTCACCGCGAACACTCACGTCGCCACGTGCCAGAACCGCTGGCAGGTGTCTGAAAACTTTGGACCAGGCCGAGAGTCCGTTTGGAATTGTCCTCTGCCTTCCTTCACGGCGTTCGAGCATGAAAGGGTCAGAAATTGCCGAGCCAGCCCAGAGTGGCTTCGCTCCAGCCGCAGCTTATGATGCTCATCGCCCATCATATCCAGACGAAGCGGTCCAACGGCTCCTCCAGGCCTGTGAAGTAGCCGGAGTAAAGGGAGCAAAGATTGCAGACCTCGCAGCTGGGACGGGGAAATTCACAGAGACTCTGGCACGAAGACCCGAAGAATACGACATCGTTGCCGTGGAGCCTCACGATGGTATGCGGTCGCAACTGGAGCAGAAGAGTCTGCCTCGCGTGCAGGTTTTGAAAGGAAGGGCCGATAGTATGCCTGACATCGCCGACGAGGCTCTTGCTTGCATCATAGCGTCACAAGTGAGTGTAGGCGGTGCTTGACAGGGCCGAATTAATCTGATCTGCCCCGTAGTCGTTCCATTGGTATGCCTGAACATTGCACAACGAATCATTAACTGATGGCCTTCATCAAGGTTTGCCAACATGGACGCACTGAAAGAGATTGCTCGGACTCTGCGGCCAGCGGGCGTGTTTGGAATGATTTGGAATATTGACGATTGTATGCCTCGTTCCCCAATGATGGAGATGGGGCATTGAGCTCACCAGCCATTAACACAGATAATTCGCCAAAATCATGGAACATCCATCGTGGTTGGGAGCAGGCCATGCGCGACGTGATCTGGACGTTCGAGGACGGCTCGCCACGCTTCCGACACGAAAAGTGGCGACAAGTGTTCGAGGACCAGACTGCGAGCAATCCCTTGAGCGTGCATTTCGCCAATCCACTGTTCGAGTTGCCCTTGGGCGAGGGCAGTGTAGAGTTCCAATCGTGGCTGTCAAAGGAAGAACTCTGGGCCAGGCTGAGGACGTTGAGTCAGCTCGCGATATTGGAGGGTGAAGAACTGGACACGGTAAGAAAAACATTCGATGAGAGTCTGAAGTCGGAAGGGACCGAAATCAACGAAGACGGTTTGGTGGCCGTCCACGGCCGGACTGTATTCTTCTGGACGAGCAAAATCCCTGCTGAGCCGCTCAAGAGCAGTGGCTAAATTTTGTCGATAGCAAATACAATATGTCGGTGTTGCCTTCTGGCCTCGGCGATACCTTCCCCCAATGTTTCTTCGAGGGCTCCGTCCGGTACGGGCCTCTGCAACCGAACTGTCCTGCAGCCGTCTCTCCACCCTTGGTATTGCTGTCCTCAGACTTTGATGGATGTGACAGCATTGATACGCCATAGTTTTGGCCCAAGGAATGTATGAGGGCTCGATTCCCTCCGATGCAGTGATCATCTCAGGCACCCCTTTTTGGTGGCGCGTGCTGGTAAACTCCGCCGCATAAATGGGAGAGTGTATGATTGTTCCCTTGTCTCCTGATCTCCCGCTTTAGTCAACCAACCAGTCGTGAGTCCTCCCTCACTCGCTCGAAATATAGAGCACTGCATCGTCACATAGCCATGTCAGTATAGTTCTCTTCAACCACGTCTCCACGTCCAATCCTTCCTTTCTTCTCCCTCTTTGCCTTTGACTCGCAATTTCCCATCCTCCTTCATAGCCACCATAGCTGCCCTTGTCACCATCACCCTTCCTCTTCCTCGGTCCTTCTGCACGGTCGCGGGGGAAAGGTGTGGAAGAAGAAGAAGAAGAAGAAAAAACCTTACCATTATTCCCCCTGACAAACGCATCGCCGTACCTGCGCCGCAGCTTCCCGTCCACGTACTCGCTGCACTTTTCCAGCGCGATGTTCATATACCCGTCCACGCTCTGCAATTCGCCCTTGTAGACGACGCCCGAGTTGAGCTTGACGGTCACGGGCACGCCAATTATCGAGGACAGGAACGAGGCTGGGTCTTTGGGGTCCGAGGAGCTCGAGGGTGCGCCGCCGGCGGGGGAGGCGGAGTTGTGGTTTTCCATTTTTCCGCGGGGGATCAAAGCGTGTTCGAACGAGGGCGGGAGGAGAGAGAATTAGAGAAAAAGGTGAGGTGAGGTGAGGTGGTGGCCGGGCAGGCAGGGCTGTCTAAAGAGGTTATTTAGAGGAGGAAGATTGTGTAGGTGTCTCGGCGTGTCCAAACGCCCAAGGTCAATGGAGTGATAATATTGGAGGCTTGGAAGGTCACCTGGAGCTGCGTGGCAGCCTTGCAGGCCGCCAGACAGGGGCCGCCACCAGTGCGGGAAAGACGAATTACTTGCTTGGCACAAAGACGCTGCCATCTTCCATCTACCCAGTACCGAGTACGAGGTACGTTTTTAATGAATCTTCCAACTCTCTATTCATCTATACGGAAATTCCCACGTACCTCCGAATTTACGGCTGGTGGCATTGAGGCAATGAAAAGACCCGGAAATTTCTCCCTGCCAGCAAAAACATGGCTGCAATGATGGGTTCCCTGCAGAGTTCGCCATCTGCCCTAGTGGCTATCTCCCCCCAATGCCTGGGTGTGCGTCGAGAATAATACATGGTAATGTGGCCGCATCTGTTCTTCCCATCAGGGCGGCTTTTGGCCATAGACAACATATCTGCAACAGGCCTGGTTAGCAACTGTGGCTCCAGCGAGAAGAGTGTTGCTCACATTGGAAAATAGCTGTGAATCCTCTTGCTCTTCCATTCTTGCCGCACTTGCACAAGCAGCGCCTCCAATTCCTCGACAGACCAACCAAGAAGCTGAGTGTACACTCTGACACTCAGTCCAAACACACCGTCCAACAGACCCACAAGCGTGCATAGTCCTGACTGGCGCAGCATGGGATCTTTGGCCCAGGGTCCAATTGGCATCTTGAAGGGAAGGATCCTGATGTTGATGAAGCCTACTCCGCGCATCTGTTCTGCCATCTTGGCTGGGTAACATCGACCTGTCATGCCGCCTTGTTGGACACCTTGCTCCCAAAGATTTTGCCATTTTATCACGGCACTGTTTTCGGGGATGGTGTTGTCGTCGGAACTAATATTCAGGTCAAATTCCTGGCACTCGACCCACCCACCGGGCCGCAGGGACGCAAAGGCCTGCTCGAAGAATTTGGGCCAGCTCTTGATCGAGAAACCGTTCATCTCGCGGCTATGCACCAGGTCAAACCGCTCAGGCATGTCCCACGGCTCCTCCAGATCGAATACCTGGAATTCAAGGTTTGGAGCTACCCAGGTTGGCTGGATGGGAGACAAGTCGATGCCCAGCACCCGCGCTCCTGGATATGCATCTGCCACGTCCATGGCCCAGATACCAGTGCCTGTGCCCACATCAAAGACAGAGATCGGATGCTCTATTGGGGCACAGAAGAGTTGATCTCTCATGGCGTAGCGGAGACTGTGATAGTGGACTGGCCCAGGTCAGTAAGAACGAACCCCCTAGTCTCTCTCGAGGACTTACTATCCATTCGCTCTCTTTCAGCCTCGTCGTTGGGTATGACATATTTCTTGTCAGCCTTGTATGAGTGGTACGTCCTGCCATTCTCTTGCTCGAATGCGTAGATGCTAGAAGTCACCGAGGCCGTTGACAAGGTGCCTTCTTCGTACCCCGAGTCGGAGTCACTTAACGATTGCTCGACCGATTCTAGGGGGAGGGCGGTAGGCACAGTAATAGCTGCTGTTCCTGCTGCTCTCGACCCAGGGAGTGCCTGTCCGCTTCCAGGATCCTCGTTGGAATCTGACATGGTGGATTAGTTCTCGGTACTATTCAAGCAACCCATACAGGTCCCCGGAAACATGGTCAATAGGCGAAATGGACAACAATGAAGCCAGCCCTTCGGCACGGGTCTCTATTGACGACCGGGCGTCACTTGCAAAAGATGATGATGATGACATTTCTGCAGTATCAACTTTCCTTCTTTCGCGCTTTCACATTATTGTGGATAAGCCCTAGGATTGTGGACGTGCCATCACTCCACGACGGGATCTTTTTGCCAAGTTGCCCGTGCCGTGCTATGCCATGGGCCTCGCGGCGGATGAGTTTCGCCCAGCTGCGCACCCGTCTTTGAAGCAATGGCAGGGCATTGGGCAGTGGGCAGTGGGGGTTGGGCGGTTAAGTCCTTCCGCCCGTTGTTGGACCGACTGGAATATAGCTCGTAGTTGGGTGTTACTTGGGGACATGGTTGTTAGCTACCTACTGGGTACCTCGCTACCTAGCAAGTAGGTACTTAGACACTCGTGGTGCCTAAAGCGGAAACTAGGTAGGCGTGGATGGGGCCGAAGCTACCCAGTTAAAAAGGCCCTTGAGGGTTCACTCAGTGTCTACAAGTAGGTACATAAGTAGCGCCCGGAGAGCCACGGCGGGCATACCCGGTAATCCGTACCTACCAAGTACCCAGTACATCCACTTCCTCTCCCACATCGACGGCCCTCCTGGGTGGCAGAGCTGTTACGCCTATCTCGCATCTGCACGCCTCGAAGCGGCGCTCTCTACTTGTGTGCTCATGGCTCGCCTGGCAAAACCGTCTCCAACTGTTGACTTAGCTGCTGCCGACCTGATGGACTAACTGGGTCCCCAACTATGACCCGACAGTCCACCAAGATCCTCACGACAACGTGGCAGACCAGCACCAATCACCAGGTTCATCGTCGCTTGGAAACAAAGTCGAGTGCTGCAAGAGCTGTGCTAGCCCGCCGCCTTGGGCATCCTTGTGTCCTACTGACTTCTGCACTTCTGTATCGGCACTGCAATGTCAATGCCATCCGTTCGCAGAATTGACTGGCTATTGCTGGCTCCCAGGGTCACCCTTGCAACACCAGCTTGGTCTCCATCCCACCTTGTGCATCGATTTCGATGTTGCACGAACTCTGCACCGACTTCCGTCTTCACCGTTGACTGATCTATAACCAGTTCTGTGCTCGGTTTCCTTTTTACAGTTGACAAACTAACTCCACCAGTGCTCCCCCCACGATTCATCTTGCAACCCGGGTTTGCTGCCCGCGGGAACAGAAGCCATGTCGAGCTCGGCAGCAGTGCATAGCTCTGTGGCTCTAACACTTATCCCTCTTGTCATCGTAGCTTGTGCGATCAGCTATCTCGTGGGGGCATACCGCAGCTACCAACGGCTTAGTCATTTCAAAGGTCCTCCTCTGGCTGCGTTCACCAGCTTGTGGCTTGCTTCACAGGCCATCAATGCGCGGATGCCAACTGCTCAGAAGGAGGCACTTAGAAAATATGGTAAGAATCACCCCGATCGGCTGAGATTTAATGGGGAGGGCCAGACTAACGAGTTAAATGCAGGGTCACCAGCGCGAATCGGACCCAGCTTGCTGGTCACGGATGATCCTGAGCTTTTACGGCACATGAGCGCTCCTAGGTCCAAATGGACGCGGAGTTCGTGGTACGACGGCATGAAGCTAGATCCCAGAGTGAACAACATCTTCTCCGAGCGCGACGAGCGACGCCATGCGGAGATGAGATCAAAAATGATAGGGGCAGTAAGTTCAACCGAGCTGCGTGCATGGCCCTGGATTCTTCGAAATCGAAACCCTCTTTTGGCTGACTGGTGAAGTATTCTGGGAAAGAAGTCGACACTCTGGAGTCCGACATCGACGAGAATCTGCAGAGATTGTTGGCTCTGATCAAGCGAGAGTACAACGGCAAACCTCTCGACATGTCACTGTTGGCATCCTTTTTCACTCTAGACGTGCTCTCCCAAATCGCTTTTGGGGATGCCTTTGGCTTCATCACCGCTAACGAAGACCTTTACAACTTCAATAAGATTGCAAATCAGTTCTTCAAAGTCATCGAACTCATTGTCAATCATGACACTCTGCGCAAATTCATCCAAAGCAGGCCCATGCAGAAACTCTTGGCCCCAAAAGGCACAGACGAATTTGGTCAGGGCCGCATTATCGGCATTGCTCAAAAGGCAGTCGCTGAACGCTATCGGCCAGATGCAAAGGTCAAAAGGGATATGCTTGGACACTTTATTGCAAAGGGTCTCAGCCAGACACAAGCTGAGGCCGAGTCTCATCTGCAGATCATTGCAGGCTCTGACTCGACATCATCGGCCCTGCGGATCACGATGATGATGTTGGTCGGCAATCCTGTGGCGTATCGAAAGCTCGTCGCTGAAATTGACAAAGCCGTTGCCGACGGCAAGATCTCCTATCCCATCGTCAAATACAGTGAGGCGGCTGAGCTCGAGTATCTGTCGGCGTGCATCTGGGAGGGCATCAGACTCTTTCCACCGCTGTTTGGCCTCCAGACCAAGCTCGCTCCGCCCGAGGGAGAGACAATCAACGGAGTCTTCTATCCTCCGGGAACTCAAGTGGCATTCTGCTGCGAAGGCGTTGGACGGAGAACGGACATCTTCGGAGCAGACGCAGATTTGTATCGGCCTGATAGATGGCTACATCCCGATCCCGAAGTGAGGGCAAAATACTTGAGGACGGCCGAGTTGATGTTTGGGAGTGGAAGGTTCGCGTGCCTGGGCAAGAATATTGCCATGATGGAATTGCACAAAGCATTTGTCGAGGTGGGTTTGACACGCACAACTGTATACGATTTTTGCTCTGATTTTGACGGTTCCTATCTAGCTGCTGAGAAACTTCGACTGGGCGCTCCTGGATCCCATCAAGGGCGCCACATCGATTGCCCATGGTATCTGGGTGCAGGAGGGCATGATGATGATTGCCTGGCCCCGACAGGTCTAGTTGAACAAAGCGAAGGTACAGCGTCTGTCGACATGCGTTGAAGCTCTCCTTTTTTTTTTTTTTTTTAACGCATGGGCAAGCATGGCACGAACGTCGTGGTACGGTCAAGCGTGATCTGGACGCGGCCACGCCCCTAATCCGGGGGGGGGTTCAGATTTCGACGTCGCCGAGCGGCCAGTTTGACCATTCGCTCGCTCACTAGCTCAATTTCAGTACGTACATACTTAGTACATCTCCCTTTCATCGTCCCTTGACTCACTCACTACCGCTCGCACACTCGTCGAACCAAGGACACCAAAGGACGCCCAACACAGCTGCGGAAAGATATTCAATGGTAACAAACCGGAAACCGCAGAGTTCTCATTGCATACACATGACTTGGCTGTTCACCATCTACCTGAGAAGAAAACTCAAGAGGCAGAGAAAAGAGGGTGCTCACTGTCTGTGTCTACCCTGGTGGGGGATATCATCCTCGGGCGACCGTCCTATTATGCGATTGCCGACCTGTTGGTGGTGGTTGTCTTCTGGACGGTATTCTCCTCCTTCATATTGCTCTTGGTCGTGTTCTGGAAGTTCCTGGCCGTGCCATTGTCGATGCTGCCCTCGCTCTTCAATCCCCCGGCCCCCCTTTCCTGGCACGGCTCCTCCGCCTCCTCAGGGCCCAGTCCCGCGCTCCCATCCAGGTTGTCGTGCCCAGACCCGAAAAGGTCCTCATTAGGCTGCTCAAATCCCCAAGAGGTCCTCGTTGAGTTGAGCGTGATCGCCGAAAGCGGCCTGTGCGGCCCGCGCCGAATCCATAAATGGTTGCTGATGGCTTGAAAGGGGACGAAAGATTGTTGTTGGACTGGAACAGGCCGAGGCTGCTTCTTGGACTTGCTGATGAAAGACACGTCTAGACGCCTAGCTTGCTGGTTATGTAGCTGTGCTGCTGAGTCGAGAATGGGAAAGAAAGACGTATATATATATATAAATACATCTCGATGGGGAAGGAAATCTGTAGAGCTTGAGATCTGACTATAAGAAAGAGTCAAAGCTCGATTCAGTCTTTGAAAGGGTATATGTCTCTACCCCGCCCGATTTTCTTATAGCATAGTTCTATTCGTAGGAAATCACAACGTATCATACACCGAGTTGGTGTGTCGTTTGTGCCGACCTAGGTACCCATATTGCTCGCGAACGAAAAGCCTCGTTGTCATATAACGGTTTCATCCTAGAGGGCGAGCGAAGGCCGCTTTAACCTGAGCCTTAACTGAACCATTGGCTGAGCCTCGCCGAACACTCCCTGAGCAGCACACTGAGCTATAAGGAGCGCCAGCCCAAAGTGGCCCCCAAGTGATCGGCCCAGCCTACCTCTCAGCTGGATATCTGTCGACCCAGGAATGTCGCGCGATCAGACTCGAACTCATCGAAGAGGCCATTTTACAAGAAGGGCTTATGGAACACGAGGCCGAGATCCGACAGGCAAGAAATAGACTCCGCGCCATTCTTCAGCTTCATGAAATTCAGATTGCTGCTTTTGGCTGCGACATGCAAACGGACGACTCGGCATTCGGGTGGGATTTCTTGGCCGTCACACTAGACCAAAACCGGCCGGCTAAGATGTAGTTAATAACAATGTCGTTGGCTTTCAGCTTTATACTAACCAAATGTTAGACTTGAACTCTGGTCCTCATCTAGCGCACATTGTACGCCTTGTGAAAACAAACAGCCAGTGCCTATCACGAAGCTATGCGGAAGAATAATCAGCCGATCGAATTCGTGGAACAAGGGCACGCTCGGTGGAACCACACTGAAGAATAACATCAACGAGCGGAAGACCTCGATAGTAAGAGACTATGCGAAGGACAGCATTGACGATGAATATGACCTCTACGCTGACCTCGTTATTTTGCACCTGCGGAATGCAATCCTTGCGGAGGATTTCTACCGCCTGCGAGAAAAGCGATTAGAGAGAGGGTGGCACTTGGGTATTGCTGCGACGACGGAGCGTGCTGCTTTCCTGGAATTGTGGGCCCATCTGATGGTGCGGGCTTTCTGTTGGCATCACTGCCATACGATGATCCCGGGAATGAGGGTCCCCCCGGAGTATTGGAATGGCCGGCTGCCAATTTATATTGGATAAGCGGGATGCATGGCCAAACCGTGCAAAAGCCAGGAGCAATCTTGAAAGAGGATAGCAAAATGTAGTTCTAGGAAGGCGACTGAAGTGAAGGTCAAAAGCTCAGGGCGTGGCTTTGTCTCGAATGGTCCTCGAATACGACGGCGAGTAATGCTAACCTTAAATCACGCTCCGTATTCAACGCTAGGATATAAATCAATATAGAAAGAGACTAGTGAAGGGAGGTAAGCGAGAAAGGAAAGGAGGTTGACAAGGCAAAAGGGTTGACGCGCCCGAGAGTTTGAAGGGGTCTCACCAAGAATGAGAGATTGATCTGACTAGGTCTTGGTTGGATATATCTGGTGCTGGGGCACAGCTATTCTACTGTAGGAATCGGAGAGGATCCAATATGACACCACAGCTCGCCCCAGGAAAATCTGTTATGCTGCGAGGCTGATAGGCGTCGAGTGCCCCAGCACAAGCCGACATGCAGCCCGCTGCAGCGAATCCTTCTGAAGCGCCAGCAGAGGCGAAAGGTTGAACCATGGGCCGGTACGTAATATCGGACGGTTTGCTGCAAGCCGAAAACGAGCAGCTCCGCACCACTGTTCTCGCCCATGAAAGACAAGTCTAGTCAAGCAAGCCTCAATCCGTCATCCTCTGCAAGCCGATCTACTGAAAACCCGCCATAAGGCTTGTCAAGGTACTTGTCAAAGCGGCCGGCAACCTCGATCACGTCCTTCAGGTGCTCATACGTCATTTTCTTTGTCGTGCCATCTTTCGATTGTCCAGATTGCCATTCGGCATATTGCCTGGCGGTGGTGATGGCATTTCGGATCTGTCGACCATTCATCTTCTCCTTGCTCAAATCCTCAAAGTGGTGGGCGAAGATCGGCCGTATCAATCTTGTCGTCACCAAAGGACTCGAGACGCCTGATGAAGTTCTCCCACACCCGTTAATGGTTGGTATTGGCCTAGACTGGGGTAATGCAGAGCGAGCTGAATTCTCGACTTGAATGCTTCGTCAAACGTTCCTACACCGTTCCTCGTGAGCACGAGGATACCTTCGTAGTACTCGAGTACTCGTAGGAAGACAGAAACGAGCGCGTTTCTCTCCAGATCCTCCAAGCTCTGCTATTCCAAAAAAAAAAAAAAAAAAAAAACATCAGCTTCGCCAAGCAGGACGACACAGCCCCATATCTTGCCAAGATGGAGGACCGATTCAAGATACTTCTCATCGTCTTCTGCTTTTGTACCCACATCTCCACAGGTCACACGATACAGCGGCTTCTGGGCTATTTCGGCAACACTCTCAGCAGTCAGGGTTTTGCCTGTGCCTGGTCCACCATGCAACAGCAAGATGAGGCCATTTCCCTTGCCAGCAATGAGACCCGTTGATCTCTCCGCCCCTATCTGATTGCTGACCAGTGCTAGGATGAGATTTCGGGCTTTTCGTTCGATGAGCAGGTTTTCAAACGCCTCCACGTTCCAGTCGACTTCGGAGATTCGGTAAACTTCCAGGTCGAACCATTTCTTCAGCCGTAGGTTGTAGCCCTTGATTTCCTGTTGAAGCAGGTAACTGAACTTCTCGTCCAGCGGCTCATCCTTGGCCATCGCGTCGTGTCCAAGCTCATCCAACAATGGCTAGGAATAAATGTTTTTTTTGGGTATAGGCTGCAGTAGGTTTTCAGATCGATCATGTACCGCTCTTCAGCCTGTATAGTCACAAGTATCAGGTCTAGGCACGAATGGCGGGAAGATAACTTACCATGTTCTGACTATTGTCCATCCTCTCTCTATGTACGAAACTAGGCGGCGGTTACGGCATTTCCAGAACGTTCTGCCTCTCTTCTGCAGTCTGTCAACAAGATCTGGTTCGGCATATGCCAAAGGAAAGATGCTCAGGTCCCTAGTGTTCTGCTCCTTCACTTGACTCGTGTCTATCCACGATTTCTGTTCTGTAATGGCGTGTTCGTTGGCGACTGTGTCATGCTTGGTTTCTTCACCGACTTCAGTCTCCAAGTGACGTGTGCAATTCTGGCGTTGAAAATGCCCATCGAATGCTCAATACCAACCAGTCACGTACCAGCTTTGGACCTTGATCGTGTCATTTGCAACCCTTTTGGAAGCCTCGTGTGAGCCGGAGGGCGGTAGTTGGTCACCGCCTTGGGCGTCGCTCTTCAGGCGGGACACATGTTTGCTCAATCCCTTAATTGGCCAACTACTAGCGACAAACGCGGCGTACTGCCCTCGTTTGTGCTCCACCAGTACATCACCTGGCTTGAATAGATATGGCACATTATCTGATGATATCTTGTTCTCCGAGAAAAGTGACTCCGTTGCTGCATAGTTTTCCCTGTACTGATCTGTGATGTATTGAAGCAAGAGGGAGAACTGTTTTTGGGCCTCAGAAGACAACCCATCTTGAACATTGTGCAAACCTTTTCGGCTGTTATACACAGTGAAGTAGGGAGCTTGCAACTATGGCGAGATTTGATAATTTCGGAGTAAGCTGGAGTATTCGTCTCACGAACTCGGCAAAGCCTCGATTGCTTCAGTCAACACCTGAGCTACAGGTTGAATGGTCTCGCTGAGGGGCTTCGGCCGCCCAGCGCCAGAGCTTTTGGCGCGACGATGGGCAGTGCCGGAATCAGCCATATCTGGTGGTGCTGGGTGGAAATCCCGGTACACAATGAACGCTATGTCCTTGTTTTTCTCCAAGTATAGTTCAAGTTTAGTAACTAGTAAGCTAGACCGGAGTTGACGCTGGTCGCCCTGACCCTTAATCCATTCTGGCTCGTCGAAGCATGGGGAAGAACGCTGCCACTCGAAGCCAATTTGACCTTTGTGGTCATAATAAACCTTCTGCATTATGCGATTTGAGATCTGGAACCTGGACGGCGACACGTGTCGCTGGTTTGCCTCCAGTTGCTTTACTTGGGTCTGCAATAGCTCGATGTATTGCAGCTTCTTAAGAACCAGCTGACAAGCATTGTTAGCACGGAGAAGGTTCTGCACATCTGCTCCACTAGGCGATGTCTCATTGTCCTGGAGGATCGTCGCCGAGGCGACTTGGCTTGCCGAGGAAGAGGACATTATACCAACATTACCAAGGGCGGTGGCTACCTGGCTGAAAGCCACAGAAGGTACACTGTCCCGCTGGCGTCATCGAAATTCCGACGATTTTGTGACGATGGCTTCGATGATTGATGATTGGGCTCAGGCCGTTTCGATACCCTATCTAATTGGGCAATGTCTGTTAAGATTGGAAAAGTACAAAATTGAGTAAAGGCGAGCCTCACAGAAAAGGGAGATGTTGTACATTTGCAAACGCGGTCGGCAGATAGTACAATATCTATCGATTCGAAGGTTTGTACAACAGAAAACCAGCCTTGTGAGTCGCGGCAACAGTTACCGAGGAGACGGGTTCGGCAGGTCTGGAACTGGGCTCTCTGAAGCATTTGAAACTCCCGGAAGGAGGCCCCGGGCTAAGTTACAGGTACCCGGCTCGCGCGAGTTGGGGGAGCTTAGGGGAGCATATTAGGGCAATATTGGGCAATGCCGCCCTAAGGCGGAAACGATGTGACCTACGCAGGCTGCGACAGCTTTGACTCCTCTTGGCACCGGGCGTGCTTCCTTCGCGTCCAACTTCATCAATGAACCAGTTCAGGGAGTTAATGTCGTGCTCGGCCGCGGTCAGGAATCAACGCGTCGGATTGCGTGAACTGCGCTTTTCTCGCCTCTTGGGATGAGTTGAAATCCCTAGAAACGCGTCCTGGAGCTCGGTGCATACTCGCAAAACCTCACAACTATCCTTCGTACGGCATCACGGTCTGGCGTGCACCGTTGTTGTCCTTGGCCGTCTTAACTTAAGCTGTGCTGATAGTCTCCGACGAGAGGCCTACACGTACAGCCCGTTCGTCGCCATTGGTTTCCAGCATGTCATCTAAGCCCCTACCTACAGACCTGCCTATTCACACCTTTCCATCCGCAAAAGAGTGGGAGGCTTTCCTCGACCGTGAACACGCGACTGCGCCAGGCTGCTATATCAAGCTTGCAAAGAAGTCGGCAGGCGTGGGTTCCATCTCGTCTGCGGAAGCAGTCGAAGTCGCCCTATGCTTTGGTTGGATCGACGGCCGAGCAAACGGTGTCGATGAGAACTGGTGGTTGGTCCGATACACCCCTCGACGGTCGAAGAGTATTTGGTCCCAGAAGAATGTGAATACGGTGGCGAGATTGGTGGAGGAAGGCAGAATGCGCCCGGCCGGCGTTGCCGCAGTCGATGCTGCCAAAGCCGATGGTCGTTGGGCCCGTGCATACGACGGACCAGCGACCATAACCTTGTCGGACGATCTTACCGTTGCCCTCGGTGCTGCGCCCACGGCGTCTGCGTTCTTTGAGGGCCTGAGCAAGTCAGAGCGGTACACTGTGCTCTGGCGTGTCCAAACTGCTTCGCCTCAAACCCGGGCAAAGCGGATCGAAGCGATTGTTGAGATGCTGGCTGGTGGCAATGTGCCCGGCAGAGCACCAAGGCCCCAGACGCTGCCTAAGAACAAGCAAGCCGTGAAGAAGACGACCGCGAAGAAATCCAAAGTGAGGCAAACCCCAGCATCGGTAGACATGGTAATCGCGCAGTCTCCGCCGCCAATGACCGAACCGAGACAACCTCGACGTCCTGGACTACGGGCCCGAGGCTGAAATACTGGCTGGAGGGCTGGGAGGTTGTATCATGACGAGACTACCTAGTCGGCCTGTATCACTACTGACCAGTTGCACCTCCGATCATGCCTCATGTCTTACTAGTGGCTGTCGGGGCTGTAACAAATACCAAATTTACGCGTTTAGTTGTTAGTATTTGCTCTTGAAGTTCGCATCTGCCTCCAAGCTAGACTATACTCTAACTTGCGTCCACTCTGGAAAGTCTAGGTCTTCCCTCTTTATCGACATCATATTTCGATCCTTGACGTATTCCCTCCAAGGCAGCTTCTCGAATTGGCTTCTATTCCCAATGTTCATGCCTCTTTTCTGGATTAAGCGCGCATATTCCATGGTCCTCCGCACGAACTCCGCGTGATCGCCGGTTTCAAGAAACTGGACGAGCATGAGGACGTCAAAGGCGGCTTGACTTGTGCTGGCGACGGTGTGCGGCCTGAACCCGGCCAATGCATCCCCAATGAGCACAACCTTGCCACCGTAGAAGCTATTGGTCGGGGAGATCACGTCAGTGATGCACTGCACAAAAGGCTTCTTGGTCTTCTCGACCATCTCGGACATCTGTGGTGGGAGGCGATCGCGACCGCGTTGTTTGACCATTTCCCAAGCTTCCGGTCGCATCATTCCCGGTGGGATGGTCAGCCGCCTTCTCTTGCCCTCTTTATCAGTCATCAATTCTTCAAGCTCCTGTTCGCCTTCAGGAAAATTTGTATACCAGACAAAATTCAGCAACCGTTTCCCTGGCTCCATGGCCCCGTCGATCCCCGGGATGGTGTACGTCAGGTTCTGGATTCCCGGAGCATGGAAGAAAGTGAATCTCTCCACAAACACTTTTCTGGCCTCTTCAGACGCTTCGTTCTCAGGTACCGTGCCTCTTATCACACAGTAGCCTGCATATTTCCTCTCGACTTCTGGACATAGGATTTTCCGGACAGTTGAGCTTGGCCCATCCGCACCGACGAGCATGTCACCCACAATCGAGTCCTTTCCGCCATCGATCTTGTCGTAAAACACCTTTATACTATCCCCTTCCTCCCGGAAACCAGTCACTGTACAGCCATATCTATAATCAATCTTTCCATCGCCAGGCTGGGGCCCAGGCACCTTGCAGTATCCACTCTGCTGGTGGTCATAATTGGCGCGGAGCATGTAATAGCACAGATCCCAACTCGTCATCGTCTGCTTCATGATCTCCTCGTGGACGACCTTGCCCGACTCGTCGAGGTACATTCGCTTCTGAGACGTCACGGCGACGGGCCGCTTGCAGCGGTCGTAACGCTCAAAGAAAGCGAGGGTATCGCCGCCCGCGACAATACCAGCGCCTTGGTTCTCAAGCAGGTTAGTCGGGGTGCGTTCAAGGATTGTCGTGTCATAGCCATGCTGCTTGAGGGCGACGCCGGTGAAGAGGCCGCCAAGAGAGCCGCCTACAATGATGATGTGTTTGGGCTTGTGGCCTGAGGCCGTGGGCGTACCATTGGGCTGAGGCCCTGCCATGGTGTTCGATGCCTGTTGGGGAAGCTGTGAACTGTGGTCAAAGTAGGGGAAAAGTTTATATACGCGGCGATTGGAATTAGAGCGCTTTACGCCTCTAGGCACTCCACGGGGGATTCCCGGTGGAGAGTCACATCCTACTCAGGGAAAGATGAGCGACTGATGGAGGAGATGCAGCGGGCAGAAGGGGCTTGGGGAAAGGTGCTTATGATTGGGTTTCGACTAACATGATCAGACAGTGATGATTTCCCCAGGAAGTGGAAATGGTATTTATCCAACACCCCCGCATTCGTCATTTCCCCATATGTACCCTGCTCAGCCTCGCGAGGCTGAGGTTGAATCTTATGGAACGCGACCAACATCGACTAGGGGCTGGAAAAGCTGTTCCCGCCTCACACCTAACGATGCTTCCGAGGAAAGATGACAGCGACTGTATCCTTAGGCAATTCGGCCCTGCCTGTGGGAAATGGCCGCAAAATTTGGCGTTGATCTGTCAGCCGCTTCGCGCTGCAACTTTCCTGTTCGTACTCAGTCTTCCTACTACAGGGCCGATAACCGCTGCAGGGATAGCTACGATTTTTGGCGGTGAAGACGTATGTCAGATTCTGACAAGTGTGGAAGGCGATGACCCTCGGACAAGAGGATGCTTAAGCTGGGAAGTAGGTAGCCGTCGGGAACCTGCTAGTCTGGAGTACGTTGAGAGCAATATATCAGCTCCCTGAAACCATGTTTGAAAAACAGAGCACGCGTAGAACTCGGCACTGACGACGCTGCAGTCTCTGACGTCCGTTGATGCTAGGTTCGTTCGTCAGTACATTGATGAGAGATTGGCAGAGAATGGCTCTTCGATCAATCATTCATGGAGAGAGCCGCTTCGAAAACTAAATGAAGACGCTCGGCCGAGGTCCCTATGCAGGACTGAGTCTGAATCCATTCGCTGAGAGATCCCTTGAAGGATGCCTTTCGTTTGCAATGTAGCTCTCCGGCTCTCATGTTGCGTCCTGATTGTACAGAGCAAGGCTCGCCTTTACCAGATATGGTAAAGCCTAGCAAGGGGTGTGAGGGGCGTTATTCACGGGCAAGGCTGCCCAAGGCTGCCCCGTAACGGAGCGCGACGCGAGCATTGTTTTTCCCGTTCATTCCGCGGCACAGCGCTCAAAGAACCTCTGGACGATGAGCATGACAGCCTCCTCCCCATAATCATGGTCAGCGGTGTGGAACGATCTCTATTCACCAAATCGGCATGGGCTGCGCCTGCTGCTTCGAATTCGGCCTTCACCGCAGACAGCGGATCCATCTTCGGACGTAATGTAAATTATGAGGACATCATCCGAGCGGAGAAAGCAGACCGGGAGAGGAAGGCCGCAAAGGCGAAAGCGCGCCATGAGAAGCAAAAGAGCGAGGGACCCGAGACGAAAAGGCGAAGAAGGCCAGCAGAAGAGCATGACAATCAGCGCGGTTCAGAAAGCGAGGTGGAGGCGAAGAAGCAGAACAAGGGCAAGACTCGAGAAAGACCGGTGACGCGCAGCACGCCCACGAAAGAGAAGTTCTTGAGTGACGGACTGGATACATCCCCGAAAACATATCGATCTCCGCGACGAAAGGCAGCTGCGAAGAGCACCGTCGTAAGTCTCGACGACGACGATGACGGGCTGATCATGCTCACTCCTAAAAAATCCGTGAAAGCCAGTCCCAAAACGCCAAAAGGAGCTGAGGTATTGGATGGAAAAGAGTCAGAAGAGGAGGATGAATACCTGCGTGCTCTGAAACAAAAGGCACGCCAAAAGGCTCGACTGCAACGACAGGGCAGCGGTCAAACGGAGAAGAGACCTAGCACACCGTCTGCCCGAGGGTCTTCAACAATCCTTGAAAACGCCGATCCGAGATCGCCTTCTGTAGCACATTCGCAGCATGACAGTCGGCCGACCTCCTCCAGATCTATCCAAGACTCCGGCGCGTCAGCGAGACACACACCCATCTCCGAACAAGAGGACGACCCAGAAGTCAAGATTCTGATCCAGTCCGAAATTCCCGGTGCCAAATCTCTCATCGTGAAGCGAAAAGCGTCGCAGTCCCTGAAGCAAGTGAAGGAATTCTGGTGCCGGAAATTCGACCTCGAGGAATCCGTCGCGAGACAAGTCTTCTTCACCTGGAAGGGGACGAGACTCTTTGACTCGACGACAATGCGGGGGATTATCCGTGGATTGAAGAAGGACCATCACCGCCAGCAGCACCGGCCACGGAGTTTGAGCCTGAGTATCGACGATGAGGATGGTGATGATGGTGATGATGGATACAGCTCTAGCAACGCGCAGGATCCGAGCGGAGGGAACATCATGCTCGAAGCCACGACGCCGGAGATCTACGAGCAGAAACTGCGCGAGCAAGAGCGTCGCCGACAACGACAACAACAACAGCAAGCAACTACCTCTTCTACAGACAGCGGACAGGAAGACCAAGGCAAGGAGGAGGCTGATGAGGAAGTCCAGGAAGAGGACACCACACCCCCCACTAGAGCCGCCACGAGATCCGCCTCAGAGACGACAGCGGCAACGAACCAGAGAGACCAAGGCGCGATCGTGATAAGGCTTGTCAGCAGGCACCTCGAGCCCATGCAGCTCCGGGTGCGGCCGCACACGACGATGGACAAGATCATGCGCGGCTACGCGGCGATGCGGAAGGTGGACGAGGGTAAGACGGCGTGGTTGATCTTCGACGGCGACAGGCTCGACAGGGAGAGCACGGTCGAGGACGTCGGCCTTGAGGACGACGACGAGGTCGAGGTCAACATTCGCTAACTAAAGTCCTTCCCGCCTGAACTAGCGGTGGTGGCAGCTTCCGCTACGGCCACTACTTCTTCTGCTGCTGTTGCGTTAGCTGTCAGGAGGAGAAAGAGTGAGGGAATGGAAGGAAAGATTCTTATGAGACGAGAATGTGTGAGATGTGAGATGGCATCGGGGAGGCGGATCGGGAGCACCCCGTCTGAAGTCGCTCTTTTACCAGCGGCAACCTACCAGCTAAGCAGGTAGGCAGGCAAACAACCAAGCAAGCAAGCGGACTCCTGTCATCCATGACGACGAAGAGCAAAGGGCGCAGCGTTGTCTTGCTTCAAGTTCATTTATTTCATGGTTTCTCTCAACTTTGTCCTGACCGTTGACGATGTCGTGACAAGCGAGCAATTTTCTGCCGATTTCGGGGGATATTTTTGTCTCTCTCTCTCCCTCTCCCCTGTTTCAAAGCTTCAGGTGCCCCTCCACTTGCGAGTACACCGTCATTGCGAGGGCTGCACCTTGACCTCGCTTGCTAACTGGCAGGTTCCGAAGGCAGATTTTGCCACGATTCAACAGCGCCGTAAGATTCTTTGCTTTGCGTTGCGCCTGTCCCTTTTTTCTCCTACTCCACGCTTGGGTCATTGCGCAAAAGAAGGCCCCCCCTACAGTCTCACTTCCTCTACCCGGTTCGAGAGCCCGTTCTCGACAGCCCCCATCTATCCCGCTCACTCCTCAGTCAATCCCTTGCCAACTCTCGTCATCTCCGTTCGTCAAGAGCATGTGTGTGTGCCCCAATGGCAGCAAGGAAGAAATCTTGATCGGTTTTTAATGGCCGCCGGTTCTTCTGGCCTCGGCAATGACGCGCTGCAGTTCGTCGACCTTTCTCTTCGCACGTCCGAATGTACCGAGCTGTTTCCAATGACGCAACGCAATATGTCAGTCATATGTTCAATAATAACCATCTCGTTTGTATTCCACCGTGCATCAAACACGAGTTCTCGTCGGACACTCCAACCAATAGAATCGTAGCGATAGAACAGGATTCTAACGTGGGAAAGAAAGATGGAGAGAGAGTACGTGTGGCATAGCGGGCATATGTGTTTGTGCGTGTAGAAAACGTACCCGCTTCTTGGCCAACTTCCTCGCACGCTTATCCTTGCTATTCCTCAACAATTCAATGACGCGGCGCTCGTAGGGTGCCAGGCCGGCGACTTCCTTGACGATTTCGCGGACGAAGGCGGTGCGTTTGCTGAGCGCGCCCTTGCGCCGGGAGATCCGTGGCTTGGTGTCAATGGGTGTGACTTTCTGGAAAAGCCGCGAAAATCGCCATGTTAGTTTTCTGTCTTTGCTTCGCGAATGGTTGAAAGAGGTGGAATGAATTGAATCACAGCTGAGGGTGCGAGGAAGCAAGGTTCCAATCTTTTCCTCCCTCGTCCTCCCTCGTCTGCTACGAAAAATTCCTGTGCCGTATTTCTCTGGTTGGAGAATGGGGACAAGAACCCAGGCTGGCTGCTAGATGTCCGGGCAGGGTAGGGGATAAACTCACATGGCCCTTGTTCAAGCCGACGATGATGCCGGACTTCTCAGTGCGTTCTTTCGCCATCTTGACTGACTTGTCTGATGAGTTGGCGAAAGCGAGACTGAATGAGGTTTCGTGATGTTGTAAATTGGATCTGGATTTCCTGGCGCAGTTGTTGCGACTTTTCGCACCGAAAAGGGCGGAAACTTTGCCGAATTGTGGGCTCCCGATTTGGAATGGCGCGGCATAGTCTTGGCATTTTGGGCTTATCAGAGGCTCTGTGGAGTTTTTGCATCGAGTCTTCGTCATTGTGTACTGGGTAGATCAAGTAGATCTAGCACATCTCTATGGAGGATGCCAATTCTCAAAAGGCTATATTGAAGGGCCCAATTCCAAGACTCCCACAGAAGGGTTACAATTTCAACGCATGCATCACCAACTTCTTGTACCCTTCCAACGCCTCCTCCATGTCCCCCACCGAGAGTCCCTCATCCTTACCATGCGCGACAAGAATACTCCCTGGCCCATATAGGTACTTCTTGACCCCGTCCTCGACATCGAGATTGGGCACATCCGTCCCATAGTTCACGGTGATCTTCTCGAATCCCTCTACATCTGCGTCCAGCGGCACAGGCCCGTACCCCTGGGAGAACTCCAACTCCAACAGCCCTTCCGGATCTACCTTTCGTACTGCGTTCGTGACAATTCTGCGCACGTCTGGCACAGTCCCGCCTGCAAGCCTGAACGTCACGTCGGCCATGGCATATTCGGGGACGACATTGCCCGCCACACCTCCCTGCATAAACCCCACATTCACCGTAGATTTCCCGTACTTGTTGCTTCTGGGCAGTCCGCCGTCCTCCTCGGGTGTATCTCCCAATTTATCCAGAACCACAAGCGCGGGCAGGATCATGCTATTCGCACTCCTCCCCAACCAGGGATAACCGCTGTGCGCCGCCTTGCCATGTGCGCGGAGAGTGAGCATCTCGATCCCCTTGTGACCAGTCGCCAATTTGCCCTCTGTAGGCTCGCCGAAGAGGATGGCTTTGTAATTGTCGCGAGTATGGTTGTAGAGCTGCGACGAGGAGAAGTGGCGCATACCGTCGCCCCTCTTTTCCTCGCCCACCACAAACAACAAAGCGATGTCAGAGGGGGAGATGCTGGTGGCAGCGGCGGGGTCTGAGAGCAGGTCCAGCGCAGCTTGGACTTGGACGGCCACGCAGGCTTTGTCGTCGACCGTGCCGCGCCCAGAGATGAGTATGTCCTTGCGTGACAAAGAAGACGACGTAGACACCCCCAGGTCATTGCCCTTCTTGGGAAGAGACAACGAGTACGGGATATGGGGCGGGACCGTGTCAATGTGCGAAGTTAGGAGCACTTTTGGATGGTCCCGTTCCGCACCAGGCGCCGCGGAGCCTCCATAATACTTCGAGATATCTGGGTACGCGTAGATGTTGAATCTCTCTTTGGTCGAATCCGACGGCGGCGGCACACTCTGCTTGAGCACCGTGAAGTTGTGCGCTTCGAGGATCGAGACGAGCAAGTCGGCCACCGCGGCTTCATTGTCGGTTATCGACTCGATTTCACAGATGGCGCGATGTAGTGATAGTAATGGCGACGCAGCTATCACTTCAGAGAGCTTTCCATGGTCAAGGGCGTGCGCTCTTAGAGCCGAGGGCGGCTGCTCTATTATTGCGTTTTGTTGCTGCTGCTGCTCTTGTTGTGCTCGGTTTTCACTGCCGACCGCGGCGACGAAAGCATGGGAGACGGAGGCATGGACCGAGAGCAGGGCTATTGCGAAGCTTCGGGCTAGCTTCATGACTTCCAATCACGCCGATAGCTTCAGTTATGCAGGACCAGAGTACATTGGTGATATTGTATTGTTGAAATCTTGGAGTCGGCAGTGCGAAGACGGAAAGATAAGAAGAGTTGGATCGGATCGCCGTTCTGAAAGCTCCACAACAGGTCAACAAACTGCGGATCCCATTGCTGCAGGAAATAGTAAATTCTACAGCAAACTACAAATACAGACCCGGGGTTTGATCCCATTCTCTTTTGGATATGATCAAACTCGCAGCTAACATCGATCTCAAGCTAAGGCTCTCGGGGTTCAGCCCGGGGTGGTTCTCACACCGTTGGTCTGTTTGGTCTTCTTCTTTTCTCTCCTTCGCTCCCACACCATAAGGTAGCCCTCCCGTGTGAAAAGTGTCTCGGATTCTGCTCGTTCAATCCAGAGATCCTGAATCTCCAGCCATTCCGGCAGATCGGTTCGCTGAGCATACGCAACAGCCTTGTCTCGAAGTTGGACTTTCCAAGCTACTTTCTGGCCCTCGGCGCCAACGGCTTTGTTCGCGGCATCGGCGGCATTGGTGTCTTCGCCACCAGCACTAGCAATTGAGGTCGTGTCTAAAATGATGTTTGCAACCATGTCGTAAAGAATCGGCTCACCAGGAGGGTGGACAGTCGGGTTCGGTTCGACATAGGGTGACATGTTCAGCCCTCGGGGAGAAGGAAATGTTACGATGGTTGGATTTCTCTCGGAAACGAATTTGTTCTGACTGAAGCGTTTGATGTGAAATAAAAGATAGGGCGGAAGCGGGTGTAGCAGCCGATGCCGCAGTCGATGAGCAGCTCTCTCCATGGCATTCAACCCGTTATACTTCTGCAATAGTGTGATGAGTGGAACTTGCGGGATGATGTTCTTGGACTCGACCGCGTCACGAAAGAGAGGCACTGGAGGTAGATCCAGCGTCAAAATGAGGAACGGATGCATGTCGGTCTTGATGTTGGATGACTCCTCGAACCTGAGCCGATCACCCATAACATCAGATTTTGCCGTGATTTCTTGCGATTCGACTCGCAATTTCCCTTGGAAACATTTGTATATGGGGGATGAGAGCGCCTTGCGTGAACCGCCCAAGGTGCTGTGTAGGTTGTTGAGCAGCCAGGTAATCAAGTCTACCGGATCGGACTGTTGTGTCAAAGTAAACCTCTTGGACGAACGCAAGGCAACTTCCTGCAACAGCTCATGGGGCGAGACGTGAGATCGAAAGGCCCTGGGGTTCCACAGTTTGCGAACCAGCGTGCTGAAGCGCACTGGTAACTGCGACGCTGTGTGAGGAAACTCTTGCAGAAGGAAGAAATCTCTCAACGGCGAAACATGCGCCAGTGCTTGCACAACGACATTGAGATAGTCGTTGGCTTTAATGTTGTTCATGCCCATAAACCCTGGTCTGTATCTTTTGTGGGCAAGGTCTGTTGACTCCTTCGGATCCTTGTCTAGCATTTTGACCTCCTCTTCCGTGTATTTAGGATCCACCACGTACTTGATATCGTCTAGGCTCTTGTTGTGCACCTCGTAGCCCTCGGGTAGGACGTAGACTCTCTTCGTCTCCATGTTGATAAAGACATGATGATCGACTTCGAGAGCATGGAGATATGCATGGGATTTTGGGCCTCGCCCTTGGAAGTATTTGCCACAGACCAGACAAGCGTAGACATTGATGTTGGAAAGGGTAACGGAGCAGAGCTTCTCGAAATCGAAATCGAGCAAGGATCGATTGATGGTGTCAAGGTAGAGGTCGTCGTAACCTTCTGTGGGAGCATTTTGTCGCAGTGGTGCAGCTGTTAACCGATCGTCCTCAACATCTGATTCCATCTCCTCCCCATCTTCTTGTTCCTTTGTCATTCGTTCGGAGACATGCGTGCCATTTATAGGCTGGGCGTCGCGGCTTTGCAAAGCATCCAGGCCGCCATTCGCGGTGCGGGTTTCCTCTGGTACCTCTTCGATGCGGACTTTCTTGCTCGCCGGGGATGCCTCGGCGAAGAGACCCTCCAAAGGTACTTCCGACTTTCGCTTTGACATTGAAAATACTCTGTAGAATGTTGACGCTCCAAACGTCCAGTTGATCGGAAAATTGCAACTGCGCAATAATTTGGCGCGGAGACAGCCTTGCGAAATCTGATTGGTCATGTCTCAGCCTCACAGATTTGCATCGCTGTATTATTGCAGCGCGCCTTGTCAAGGAAGGAATAAAGCGATGGACTAGAGGTGACAGCTATAGCAACGCGGCCTAAAATTGTATGGTAACCGCCAAAGGAATGAACAGGGTCTGAGGGATCGGTTGCTTTTAATTGCCAGAAGAATTAGAATTGACTTATTGCTTTGGCCAAGTTGCCGGGTATCATTTGAATCGTATTGAAACAAACCACTTATCACCTTCGCACCAGCTCAAATTCTGTGAAACCTCATATGTTCCCCCAGCCGAATCTCTCTCCTAGTCTTAAAGTTACCCGAGTGCCGACTCCCCATATCACAAAGTTCACCAACCCTTGCATGCCAATCGTAAGGAAGAAATTGCCCCAGAATTGCAGTCTTTGCGACATCGAAAGGTCTCGCACTCCCAGCCCCGAACCGAGAGGCCACACATCGCCGAGCAGCGAGGCAGCCCTGTTCATTTGTTGATCTCCAGAATGGCGAGAGAGAAAGCTCCGAGCTACCGACCTCAAGAACAGGATGTCAAGCGGAAGTAGGACAACCGACTCGATGATCGAGGTCATATAATGCGCAAATGCTTCAGCTGGGTGATTTGAAAGAATAGTAACGCGATAAAGACTCTCGTCTGCACTGTGTGGATCTCTCGAGTGCTGTTGACGACGGCGCAGCATTTCATCTCTCATTGCCGGTGCGTCTTGTTCTATGACTGTCGGACGGCGCACAGGCCTTGGTGTTGTATGCGGTAAACTCGCCGCGCGAGCTATGCCCGGGATAGGAGACATTGGGGATGGAGTTCGATGTGACGGAGAGGCCGGCGATGGAATTGGAATGATAGGAGACACTGGCTCCGATGTAGCTGGAACCGGGCTGGCTGTTCGTTCCTCGCCTAACTCGATAATATCCGACTCAAGAAGGGTTTCCAGCGGCACTGCAGGTTGCAAGCTCTGTTCCCCTATCGTCGGACTGCCGGAAAAAGGTAGGGGACCGACAATGTCGTCAGTCTCTTCGTGCGTGTCGCCCCATCCAGGATCTTCAGCGTTCGCATTGTCTGCGACTTGACTATTCCCTGACTGGCCCACTCCTGAAAAAAGCACAAACTCGGCATCGCCTTGAAACTCGCTCGCATTGGCGGGGGCTGTCACTACGTCGGGGAAGTATGGTTCTGGTGTCGAGGTAGATGCTGGGCTCGACGCCAAAAAGCTTACATCGTCCGCTAGTTCGAAGATGTCAATCATCGAGTGATCCGGATCCAAATTGAAGTCGTGAAAGGCGGAACGAATAGCCATGACTCGAAGGGTCCTCGTGGCTCGTCTGAGATCAAGCTCGCGATTCTCTCGATATAATGTTCGGTAGTGCATGGCACTCCGCCCGAGCAACTCTCTCTCGATATTTGGGCTTAGCTCGACTGCTAAGGGGACTCTTTGCGTCTGGATGATCCTGACCCAAAACCATAACGAGACTGGAATTATTGCTTGGATGGTTTCTCTCATGGTCCGCTGACCTGCTTTGGTGGACTCGCCAAAAATGGCCTCTTCCAATTCGAGGGATGCTGTTTCAGTGTTCAGATTTCTAGCACTTTGTAGCGATATGCGATCCGGCCGGTCGGGTTTGACCACAAGTTGGCGAACCACAACATAGACCTTTTTAAAGATATAGTTGCCAATTATGTCTCGGATTAGAGCCAAGGCAAAGGGGCTGGAAATGGTCTTCACTCCTAATGAGGTGAAGGACCTCCAAGACCAGTCTGGCACGTGCGTCGACATCTGAATGGGAGAATGGTTGCTGAATGGTATTAACGCAGACAGGGAGGGCGATGGGTTGAAAGGAATAAGGTATAATGATTGTAAGACGGAATAGATATGGAATGGGTATTCAAAGACAAACCAGAGGACTTGTAGGCTGCTTCGAGTTAGTGAGGTATCGTCAACAAAATAGGATTGCTCACCTTGACCTGCGAAGTCTCCTGCCAATATCCGATAGATTGAAAAGTCTAGACGGGGGCGTTGACTTGGATACTCTCTCATCTTCTAGTATTGCGACTCTAAGCAGTTGGCTGATCCTCGCAATCGTGGCAGGGACGAAACCAGCAAAGAGAAAAGCACTGGGGCCCATGGCGTTCCATTCAGAGAATAGCATCTGAGGTACGGTCAGCCCCAAGTAGGACTTGAAGGTCTGTACATGTCAGCAGTCGGCCGAGTGGTGAACGCAACTTTCCTCCGCTTACAAGAAGGCGTCGGCGAAAGTTGAGTATCCAGTGAGTAGCCATGTTCTGAAGGATAGTCTCGACGATCTCGCAGTATGCTCCTGTGGCATGTTCGTCCAGGAGAAGTCGGTATCTCTGCATGTCATTCATGGTTTGCCATGAAGATCGTTGCTTTTGTGCTTTGCGAACGACGACACCGACCGTGGACAGAGCTTCGTTTTGGGCTCGAAGAAGTCGCCTCCTCGATGTCTCGGAGGCGGGATTCCTCGGATGACCCCGATCGTCAAATTGCTGAACATAGTTCTGGTCTGTATTATGTTGCACATTTGGTCCCAGGATGAATTCTCCATTCTCATCTTCCACCGGAGGACCGAAAGGTGATCTTCCCTAAGAAAAACAGTCAGCCAGTTATGTCAATTGCACATTGGTTAGTCCGGGACGAATTGTGCTCCGAGTGCTGCGACCTCGTCCGAAATGGAGTTCTTCGACAGCCCAGAGCTTATGACGAGACGATATTCCTTACCAGAGCTAGGCGGGCAATGTGAGACTGTCGACCCATCTTTGGGATTGGCTGGATAGATCGTGCGTAAATCAACTAGAGCTGATGATCAAATGCATCGCGTGGTTGGGATCCTATGGCGCGCGTTCAAACATCATATGCCCCCGGGCTATGTTGCGAAACCAATCGAAGAAAGGAGGCGGGAGGATCGCAAAAAAGGGCAGCAAAAATGGCAGCAACTTCGCGTCAAGCAGTCGACTCTGCGTAGACATTCGCTGCAGCTGATATGGATAAAGCAAAGGGAGAAGATGGAGGGATGCACCACTAAATGTTTGCATGTGCCGCTCACCTCTTGTCTACCTTAGGGCGAGACTGATGCCGCTCTATCTTAATACACGCTAACCCAATCAGACTAGTACATGCTTATGTTAAGTTCAGATTTGGGAACCCAAGGAGCCCATACCAACCCATATTTGGCCCATATGTACTCTGGTGCCTTGGCGATTTTCAGCCTTGTGGGTGGGTGTCTGAATACTGGGCTAGACGGTGCATTATGTTCCTGAGCAGGAGCTGCAAATTCATTTGTATTGTAACAGAGCACTTCAGGGTTCGGCGTGCACGTGCAACAACGCACAGAGGCCTGTCCAGCAGGTCGGGAATCGAGAACGCGTTTCTGGTTGATACTGACAAAACACCACCAACACCACCCAGAGGGGCGGCGGCTAGGGCTACGAACACCTAGCACAGCGGCAGCATCGAGGAACAGGACAGGACTGATAAAACACTTAGGAATTAGGTAGACGGCGCCAAAAAGCCATAGAATTCATGATACTCTGCTCAAACTGTAATGAATGGCACACTGCCAGCACTGTAAACTCTTCCGCACCCCCTTCTCTGCCAGCCCATTTAGGTTTGACATGTGACTAGACAACTTTTCCTCCCTGCCACCGCTCTACCAGCCCAGCACAGCACAGCCACCTTGCCTTGTTACAGTATGTATCTATATATTTTGAGTCTTGGTCAGCTTGGCTTTAGTGTATCAATCCACTCCGTACTAGTCCTCTCGCAAGATAGCTCTTATTCCTCGCACGTCTCGCTTATCAAGAAGCCCCGTGCGCTGGGGCACTTTGGGTAAAAGCGACTAGTAGCATAAGAAGCCTCCAGTCTCAAATTGGATATACGGCGGCTCGCTTCTTAACGTCGACTTTGCCATCTCTTCGGATGATGGTGGAAATAATTCCGATCGATGTCATCGCCGTCCCGGTTACGAAAAATTTCTGCATTGCTTGGTTGTAACCGAGGGCGATCGCGGTTCTCTCAGGACTACCGGGCTTATACGACAGCTGGGCGTAGATGCTGCTGTATATGGTCATGGCTCTGGACTGTACACTTGATGGGAAGGTTCTTAGCCAGGTACTTGGGAAATGTGCTTGTCCAGATTGAGGCAGATTTGGTTGATCCGATAGCCTGACAGCTTGTGCCGAACATATTGTAGAGATCTAGCACACTTGCTAGATGGTCGTGACGCTCGATGGACGCCATTACTGCGATGATCGCAGCCATTTAGATAATGCCGTCGCCCAATGAGAAAAATATCTGGACTGCGACGATGGAGGCGGTTTTGGAGTGCAGTCTGGATAGGTATATCATTAGACCGGTAGACAGAATTTGTAAAGGAAGACCGATAAAGATGGCAAGCCACTTGTGGCGACCAGTGATCTTGATCAGGAAACCCGAAGCCATGGCGGTAAAACACCACTCTATGTTGTGGATGTTGAAGACATGCCCGGACCTCACTTTGGAGAGAAGAAGAAAAGTAGCTGTACCAAGTAGTTGTACACAAAGTATGTTTCGGCATATGAGAAGTTCGCCCCAATGATGGTCGGACTCTTGAGAAGTGAGAAAGGGATAAAGGACTTGGGAGCGAGGTGCTTCTCCCAGAGCACAAAAGAGCCCAGCAATACACCTCCAAATATGATCACGCAGATGATCATTGGTGATGACCAGCCCTTTGCTTGCCTCGTGTAGAGGCTGAATGGTAACAGGAACAGACAAAATCCTGCAGCAATAAGAAGCAGGCCGATACCTTTCCAAAATGGGCAGTAAATACCCTTAGTAGTGTAATGGGAGAAGTTTGAAGTGGTGGATAGCTTTATGATTGGCTGGGGCGTCGACGCTAGACTAAGGTTCTTCTTATATAGTCCTCGGGGACTATCATTCACAGAATAATCAAGTTACGAACGGGAGAACTTCCTTTGGTTGAGTGTGCGTGCTGTGAAGAGGCTATCCCACCGCCGTACGAGTTGATGCCCATGGCTAGTAGCCTCGCCCCAGTTCAGTAGGAGCGAGGTGCAGTCCTCACAATTAAACTCAACCCAGTAATATGTCATATTTTACCAAGGCGAACATTGTTTGCTCCCTTCTTGCGCAATCTGCCGCTTTTTACTCTTACTCTTGCGATTCTTGTTGAGCAAGCCGAGCAGTGGTATCCTAGTGATCGGACATATAATGGCAAAGGTGCCAAAGACCCATTGCCAGCCGGCGCCTTCGAGGTAAGCGGTCGCGGCGGCCGCACCGATCCAAGTTGTAATAAACCATGGCGTTTGATACAGGCCGAACACACCACCGCGGGTTGACAAAGGGAAGTGGTCGGCAATGACCACAAACATGACGTACGACAGCATGTCATAGACCATCCAGAGAAATACCGACGCAGCGCAATAAGTCAAGACGTCGTTGCATGCAGCCGTGATGATCGCGCCTATGGTGAAACCCACGAGCGCCAGCGCAAAGCCCACGTCGCGGCCCCAGATGTCCATTATCTTTGCCAGAGGAAGCTTGGAAACAGCGCCGACGACACTCGAGACGCTGCTCGAAGTGGGTATGAGCGAGTGGGCTCGAAAGTTGCTGTAGACATACGGCAAGAGCAGAGTCAGAGCCTGTATTTCGAATCCGGTCGTAAATGTTACCAGCCAAATTCTAGAATACCAACCTGTTAGCACGCGGCTCCTTAACAGCTGCACCCAAACGGTGCTCGGAGAGGATGGAGGAGATCATACCCAACCATAACAGCAGTCAACTATCTGGTCGAATATTTGTCCCCGTCGGAAATTGCGTCCCCTAGTGGTGGCGGCAGAGTAATGCTCTCTTTCTCGTCGAGCTCGTCTGCCTCCGTTTTGAGGGTAGCCTTTTCGTCGGATGCTTTCCCAGCAGGGATAAGAAAGTCTATGGGCTCAGGAGACTGAAGAAGAGTTTGATGTCAAAATGTCTAGGGCATCCCCAACCTCTTCTTTATCACAGGGAGGTCCCGTTCCTAACTCCACAGTATGCTCTGGTCAAGCAGTCGGTAGGACGTCGAATAGCAGTCATGATTCACTTTTGGGGAGACATTGTGAGACTTTAGTTACTATAAGCGAAAGAGCCGTGTTCGGAACCCCGTGTGGGAAGATATTACAATCCATACAATACTAGTATTGTATCGTGCTTATCGATACTGTATCGAACACCGCCCTGGCGCAAACATCAAGCCAGTGTATGTTAACCCGCAGCCAATGGGGTTGAAGTCAGTGCTCGTCCCGCGGTATTTTCATTGGCCAGCTTTCCTGCACCGAGCAAGGCTATTTCGTCTGAGGGGGAACACATTGCGATGTGTTTCATCTTAACCCTATTTCGGGTATAACTAGTTAATATGTGCTCATATGTGCTCTCTCTATATCCGAACTCCGTTCAGTTTAGCCGTAGGGGGTTTTATAAATTCCTGATAGGCAAAAACGTAATCTTCTGTTCACTTGCTGATCGAAGCCGCCCAAGTGCTTAACAATTTTCATGCCTCAAGATACACGCCAACCGGGCCACGGTGTTCATGCATTCTCGCTTCCTCTCCGTTGAGTCCCTCCCGGTCAAATACTGTCGGATTCTCGGTCCCTGATACCCAGAAACATCCACAACATGAGCAGATCGTACGAAGCCTTCATCGTTCCCGCTCCCGCCAGCATCACAACCCACAATCTCGCGCCAGCCAACGCACCTGATACTCCAATACCGCCTGCCTGGGCTAGAGTCTTCGCGATGTTCACAACCCCTAACACTGCTGTCCGTTCTGCCGGCAGAACTGCCGAGGACAAGAACGCCTGCCTTGGCGCTTGATCCATGCTCTGCGTGCAGGCCCTCAGGCTGAGGAATCCCATCGCCAACCAGGTCCCCGTTGTTGTGGCGGGAGGGAAAGGAACCAGACTGAGGAAGACAGCTGACGGTAGATGGGTAAAGATCATCGTTTTGAGCGGACCCAGGCGCCGTGCAAGAGGGAGGGCGGCGAGGTTGGAAAGCGTGGCGAGGAGATTGGTGACGAGGAACAATGTGCCTAACGCTGAGCTCTCGAGGGAATGGACCGTGGTGAAGAAGTAGGTGAGCCAGGAAGGCGAGGCGAGACCGGAGGCGAACGAGTCGAGAAAAAAGAGGAAGAGGAGGCGCACCAGGATCATTCGAGAAGTAGGAGAAATATACGGCAGGAGTGAACGGAGACGACTCAGGAGAGGTGGGGTTGGTGGCGATGGAGGCACTGATGTGCGAGCAGTTGTCTGCTTGCTCGAACGAGGCTCAAGGGTTTCTTCGTCAGAGCTGTCGGAAAGTAAGCCCTCGTCCTCCAGCTCTATTGGAACTTCCTGGTAGACTTGTTTCGGTCGTTCGAGCTCGACAGATTCGCTAAGCATTAGAGTAAGGATAAGCTTCACCAAGCCCAGCAGAGCGTAGACTCCAAACACGACTCTGTATGCGCCAGCCGCAGTCCACGATTCCCGTCCTTGCAGAATCTGCACCATAAAGCCACAGCTCAAAGTCCCCAATGCCGCGCCCAAGGTACCAAACAGCGTGTACCACGCAAAGATGTCACTTCGCTGGTCCTTGTCTGTGAGTTGAGCGAGGATGGACTCTTCCACGGCCTTGAAAGGCCCAATCTCATTGCCGCTGCGCCCGATCAGTCCCTGACTAGACCACAGTGACGATGTTCATACCTCGGACTAATCACACCCACAACACTCGCCAGTAAAAGAAACCAGAAGTTCGAGCAGAGCGCAAACACGGCACCACTCATCATCATCAACACGGCTCCTGCAGCCAGAATGCGTCGGCGTCCCACCTGATCCGTGATCAAGGTCAGCAGGAAGCTGACGACGACGTCCCCGAGTAACGTCGAGGTCATGAACAAGCCAATGCGTGCATCACTGAAGCCGAGGATGGAGAGATAGTGTACAAGGATAAGAAACGAAGCGCCGTAGGCGAAGAGCCTTACGAAGCGGCTAAGACATGATAGTTTGGTGTCGCGTGACGAGTGAAGAATTGCGGATAGACCGCTCTCATGGGAAAGCTTGGAGAGGAGAGCTTTTGCGGCTGGCATGGCGACCGCAAAGGTCCTCAGGGCCTCGAGCACCAAACGTTCGTTCTTGTATTTGAATATTCAACGCTTCACCAGCCCGTTTCCATAGAGGAGACTCGGAGGATAGAAGAAACGGGCAGACGTGGAGGAGCCCCCTCATCCCTCGGCCGAAGACAAGGAGCGTATATTGCCGAGAGCGAAGATCAGCGATCAGCGACCGGGCTTAGCTCGACTGAGATTACGCATAAGAAGAGGCTGTTCTCTTGTATCGATGGCTTTCCTTGTTCCCTCAAGCAATCAACGCGGGAGTGTTGGTTTCTGACGTGTAGGCGGCTTTTAGAGACTCGTTCCCGGTCCACATCATGCCTTAAGGGTAACTGTGCAGCCTAACCCTGATTGAGAGCGAAATCGCTCGATGGATTTACCCATGCAACCCATGCCATCGTTTTCCGATGGTGTCTCAATGATCAGACCACGGCTCCCTTGGTCGGCCACGCAAGCCGAAGCGTGCCAAGCCACTAGCAATGCTTTTACATGGGGCTAGTCCCCAACAAGCTTTGTCACAGAAGTTTGTCCTGCTGGCCGCCGCGTCACGATCTCCACAAAGTCGCTTGGCACGAAAGCTTGGTGGGGGTTGGGGGATAGCCAGTATTTCTCCAGCTAGTCTCGACTGCGAGGAGGAGATGACTGCCATCACTATCAGAATACGATACACACCTTTTCTTATTACCCGCACGTGAGCGGCATCAATGCATCTCGAGAAGAACATAGACGTCCTTGAAGCAGAACAGCCCTCCGCAGAGTTCAGAGAATCATGGAACAAACTGCAATCGATAAAGCATCGTATCGATCGCTTCCTCACAAGGTATTGGGATGCCACCACACAACATTTGGCTTGACTGAGAAGATGGCGACATCAGGGACAGTTGGCAATTCTGATGCTCGCGCGCGTCGCCGAGCCTTTGGCTGCATCCTCAATACAAGTTGGACATCTCTCCCCGCTAACCGAGACAGAACTAACACTCACCACTTGAAAGTCTTACATGTTTTTTCAGCTCCGACACTTCGACCCGTCTGCAAGTCCTGCGACCATCTCCGCCCAAGCAGGTCTGATCCTCAGCTCGAAAACCGCAGCTCATGTAAGTACCGGACTGTTCTGGGGGAGGTTTGCCGACTCGGAATATGGAAGCAGAAAGTTGGTCCTCGTTGTCGGACTGGCGTCGTCGGGTGTAGCAATGCTGGGCTATGGCTTTTCGGAATCGATACAGGCTGCGGTGGCCTGGCAGGTACTGGATGGCATCTTGAACAGCTCGATATCGATGATCCGGTGTTTGACGGCCGAGCTCTATCCTGAGAAAAGGTGATCCTTCGCTCTTCCAGAGCCGACCACCTTACTAATGTAGTATCCAGGTATCGTGTCCGCGCCCTGTCTCTTCTTCCTCTATGTGCCTCCGCCGGTATGTTTGCCGGACCGCTCTTGGGAGGCTTTCTGTCGTCTCCAGGCGCCGGAAACGACGGGGAGAGCCGGGGGATACGATATCCTTTTGCTGCGCCAAATATTGCCGTCGCAGCTTACAGTTTCATCCTGGCGGCGTTAGTGTCCCTCGGGCTGGAGCACAGTCGCGAAAATATACAGAACAGCGGACGATCCATCTTTCGTCGCTTCTGGAATGTAAGACAGATGCAGCCTTCACATCATGGGAATCAGGGCGACGATGCAAATGCGACGTGCACCGAAAGTGCACCCTTGCTGCATGATAGGATGGCACCCCAGCACCAGTCAGCTCTCATCCCCCCCAGTATTTCGAATGACATTTCCCCGGAAACCATTCAAACGCGTCGACGGCCTCCCCGGTTTCGCCAGATATGGACCCCGAACGTTTTGAGCACGATGCTTGCTAATTTCATAATATCGGGACATTTGGGCACGTTCTCGAGTCTCTGGGCCATCTTTCTCAGCACACCGCCCGGCCCAAACGAGAACCGGTCGCCGTGGTCCTTCTCCGGCGGTCTGGGCATGGATGCACGTGGAGTGGGGGTCATTGTGACCTTGCTTGGGGCACTCAGTGTGCTGTCGCAGATCATCGTGTACCCAAGCTTGCATGACAGATTCGGTACGGTCAGCGTGTGGCGAGCAGCCCTCTATTTCTTTCCGGCGACATATTTCCTCGCGCCGTTCAGCGCATTATTGACGTCGGACTCGACAACCGCGGCCGACCGAGCCCCGCTGTATATTGTAGTTCTGTGCGTGTTGCTGCTGTTCAACGCAGGTCGGACCGGGGTCGCCCCAGCCACGTCGTTGCTGATCAATGACTGCACGCCTCACCCTAGCGTGCGGGCTACGATCCATACCATGGGGACAATTGTCGGGAACTTGGGCCGGTCGGTGTTTCCCGCGATCATCCTCCCGGTCTACGGTCTTGGTCTTGCAGTCGGAGTGGCCGGCCTCGGGTTTTGGGCTCTGGCTGCTCTGGCCGTTGTGGCATGTCTCGTCAGCGGTCGCGTTGTGGAAGGTGCTAACGGAAAAGATGTATCGCTTCAAGAATCATAAGTGTGAAAACGGGCCGAAGGAAGCCTCTTAGTACTAATGTATTCAATGCACTGCCCAGCAGGACGAAGGACAGCAGCACGTGAACAGGTCTGGAGGAACTCACCCACGATCGTCGTCAAGAGTTTCGCGGGCGGAGACACTCTCCCCTCCTCTTTCCCCCACCGGGGGGGGGGGACAATTACTGGACAAATTTGCTTTCGAGAGCCCTTCTGAGTGAACGTGTCTATACTCAGTACTGCGAACGTCAAGTCGAATACATCTTACCTTGAAAGCCAATGAGCGTTCAAGCCACTACTCATCCCCTGGTTCTTCTCCTTTTATTCACAATCTTTTGCTACACCCAGTAAGGCTATTCTGTGGCTGGCTTGACAAGGCTGGCTGGCAGTCCGTGGTTGTTGAGAGGGCAGCCACCTTCCGGGCTGGCGGCTATACCGTGTCTAGAGCAGGACTCGGGTACGAAACAATCCAACATATGAACCTTCTCGACGAAGTCAAATCTGTGGCTCATGCCTACGAAGGCAACATCATCAGTGACAACAACAGGAAGGAATTGTGTCGCATCCGCTACGCTGACGTTTATGGAGGCTTAGAAAACGGCGGATGTCCTCCAAGCCCGTCGCAATCACGAAGCTAAGCCCCGTCCGACCATTGAACGGCTGCAAGCGCGCTCGAGGAAGATGGCAAGGTGGTATATCCCAAAGAGCGCAGTCAGTTACCGTATTCGGAACTTTCTTCTCAAACTGTTGCCTTATTCCTGGATTGTGGCCTTCCATGCCAATACCCTTAGATCTGAGATTGAGCTTAGCTGACGCCGCCTGGCTTAACGATCAGCTTACCTCTCGGGTTTTTGGTTACGAAAGGCGCGCTGTAAGAGTGGACGGGACGCTGAATCATTGGCAATTCTGTCCCTCAGAACAACATTATCATCTTGGATGGCTATGAAAGGTTCCGTGACTCGTTGTACTGTGTGGTACTGACGCTCTAAGGCTGAGCGGCAGAGTTGAGCTCCCGCACGGTCTCTCCTCGGTCCGACAATTCAATTCGTTCGATGGCTATTGAGAGGAGAGGTGTTTTATCCAGTACTTGGTTAGCCAGACCAAGTAAATTCATGTCTGCCGTCCTCAAAGAAGCACAACCAATGTAATTGACCTTGGTGGAAGTTTTACGGTAGAAGAGACTTGATTAGGTCGACAAGGAGCACAGACACGATAGCTCTGTCTCGAACATAGAATATTCCGTTCGGCAAACCAAGTATCATCGAACGCCCGATCAAATTCGTTGGCAGTTGCCATACTCCCAGATCATTTTGGCGACAACCACGAAGCCCCCAACTGCAGGGGTCGAATAAAGGCAGACATACAGCAGAGCTATATGTACCCCAAAGAAATTGCCGTAGAATCGGAAGCCTAGTCGAATTCTCTCGCGACGCGCCATCAGTGTTTGCCTCCAGAGCTCAGTCAGCACGGAGACCTTGGGTCTCCACATGCCCCCAACAAAGATTCCATAGACCATCCAGGTCATAATCCACGCCCTCTGAGCGAGGGTACTGGAGCCGGGCTTAAAATGAGACATTCCACCTATGATGGCGATCCAGATGGCGCTGAGGGTGAAGGTGGCCGCCCATGAATCCGGGTTTCTGCGACGCACGATCATGTCAAATATGACCTGCAGTGGTCCAGGCGTGACTGTATGGGGATAATGGCAATCTAGCCGAGAATATTTGGTGATTTTCCTTTTGAAGTTGTAGCAAGCCGGGACCACGATACAAGGTTCATCTCTCGGCAGGCGGCTGCTGGCAGTGACCATAGGATCGAGTTGAGACTGAGTGGTCCTAGTGAATGCCCAAATCGTGGAACCCCTTTGCTGGGTCATTGATGTTACGGGCGCTGACCACGACGTTTCTGCCACGGCACCCGTCTTTTGTTCTGGCTCTTTTGCACCAGCTGGCTCTTCGCTTGCAGGTTTTTCCACAGATGCAGGATTGTGGACCTGCTCAGAGGCCAAGCTAAGCTCAAACATTTTACGAGACTCGCGGTGGTTATCACCAACCTCATCTTCGCAATTATGGTCCTCGTCGCGCTCCTTGAACGACCCAGAGAAGAGAAAGGTCTGATCGATGGTGACCTCTTCATCAACAAGTCGACCAACCACACTCTCAAAAACGCCTCCGCGTGTCTTGGCTTCGTCCATAATCCCAGATCCTATCATATAAAGCGCAGCGTACTCTGGAGTAACCAAGGTGCTGAGGAGGTTCATTAGTGACATGGCTATATAAGGAACCACCGTGAGCCCGAACGCCGCATAGCCGTATCTCGTAATTTGATCTCCTCGCGATCGATACAATGTGACTGAGGCATAGACCGCCTGAGCGACGGCAACCAAGGCTTTGGGGGCACTGTACGAAGCTGCGATTACCTCCGTTTCAAACCGGTTGAGAATAGAATCCCCGACATTGCCAATGCTTCGTATGTAACTCTCCACGGAGGCATCCCTGGGGACCTCAACCAGAGTATAGCCCTGAGGTAACTGGAGGTTGCCATGGATCTTGCGTCCAACAAGGAGGAAAGAGCCCCTGAGCCATGGAGGCGTTTCCACACTCAGTTGAACGGGTTGCCTTGGGTTGGTGCATTGTTTTCTGCGATGACAATGCTCTCCGTTTAGCCTGACACCTAGAGCGTTGGGCTAACTAAGAGGGCATGCCAGTGACTTACAGGGAATTGAGTTCCTCCACGGGATTCCGCCGCTCTTTCAACAACTTGTCTACCTTTCTCCGGGACAGGAGAGGTTCAGCCTTTGATATTCCTATATACTGAGTCAGTAGTCCGACGATATGAATGTTCTGGCGATCGAGGGCTTTTTTTTTGTGTAAGGTAGGAGTGTATGTACTTATCATATCCTCGCTCACAAATGATAGTGTATGAAGACAATCGCCTGATTTTGGGCTCCAGTTGGGCGCCCGAACGACCATGCAAAGAGCTCCAGCCTTCAGAGCAATTTGCAGAGGATCCCGTGTCATGGTTCTGTTCCCGATGAAACGGAAACCCCGCAACGCTCCCGAGCTTGGGAAAACAAGAGCAAGTAGCACCGTTACCACGAAATCCATGGTCGACTCCCCGGGCAGTGAAACAACTGTCCCGGCATGGGCAGCATAATTGCCGATGAAAAAGAAAGCGACGTCACTCCATTTGGTAGATGTGCAGAGCAAGTTTGGGTCCCCATGATTCGAGATTCCATTGGGAAGAGTGGCGTTTGTCGATTGAGTAATGAGTTCTGCAGCAACCGATATGGGAATAAGGCTGAGAGCTATCAGTAACCATAACAACAAGACCGTCGATAGATCCTGGGGCGCCATTTTTCAGAATATAGAAGAGCAGTCTGAGTAAATCCACCGAGAATACTTGTGACGGTGGCGCTACTAGAACGCGGCAAAGCATCACATTTCGGTAAAGGGGGAATTCCATCAGATAAACTCTCTAGCAGAAGACGATAAGTGCCATACCATCTCATAGTTGAAGCGGGGTCTCTTTGGACTTGGTGCGCTGTACTCCAGGTTGCTAGGTAGTGTCGTTGGATCGGGCAAATTGTAATGCCCATGGTCGGGAACGGGGCGGCTGCCGGGATTTAGTCGGGAAGTGTTCTTTGCACTCCATACACAGCGGCAGAGCCGCAGTCTGGAACCCAGCCCTCTTCCATTTTACCTGCCATTCGTTCTCGAAAGCCGACCGGTTTCACGGAGTTGGGCCTCTTCGACCTCAAAGACCGCCATGGCTTTTTTTCGCTTCGGTGGCTAGGAGCCATCTTCAGCTTCTGAGTGGCTCGGTGGCTCTGGAGGGACAGTACGTCAATGCAGCATGACAGATTTGGAGTGAACCTTCACGTAAATGTCGCTCCCCTAAGCAAAGAATACAACCAATCAAGTGATGACACTTGCAAGCGCATGCGTCGTTGGGGCTGAGTCTTGGGTGGCCGAACTGATCGAAAACGCGCTTCTCTTGGGCCGCGTACGAGATGAGGAAACTCATGGTGAAGAGCAACTACTTACTGAGCAACTACTTACTGCGAATCTAAGTGAAATGAGTATGAAGGCGAGCGAGGTAAGTGCGAAGGTGAGAAGGAGGTTGAGCCTTGTTTCTAACTGCCAAGACAAAGTCTCCACTGTGGACGAGGCTGACGTCGCCGTTTGCTCGCCCCGGGTTCACGGCGAGGCTAAGTGTACCTCATAGGCAGGGCGCCTAAGGGCCGCCATAAGATGCCGAATTTTGTCAACGAGTGAAATTACCGAAATTACCGGCTGGTATTTCATCTCCTCCGTGGACAAACACTTCCGGTATATTCGGCGACGGAGTTTTCGCCATCTTCATGACGGTACACGCGAGGCTGTGCGAATGGGTGTTTTGTTCTAGAGAGATTCTCACCGTTGCAATCATCCTCGACGCGTGTTTGAATCCTCCTTGGCGGGACGAAATGGATCAGCAATCGAGAACTATAAGGACAGAAAGAAGCCAAAATGACCTCTATTCATCAACATCATCTTTCTCCTGAGACCAGCATCGCCCAAAGCAATGTGCAGTACAGACTAGAACCCCTTCAATCACGAAACCTACATATCAGAAACGTGTCAATTAGGGACCCCGATTGAAATCCACCACCACCTTAAGAGGCGATCCCACGATGGTGGTGAATACTGCCCTGCCTGAGCTCGGATACAACCTAAACAAGCGAAAGCGCTCGATAGCCATCATATGGACCGCCATAATCACCATTACATGCATCCAGTTTGAGGTCTTGTATTTCACCCTCCACTATGCAGCACACAAGAAGGAGGACAAGGCACTGGAAATACCGACCACAATTTTGCTGGTCCTCTCCGTACTCACAATCATATACCGTTCATGGCTGCTGATGAGGAAGGGATCGCAGTGCAGAATCATTGATGGTAGATGGTACTCTGTCAGTCTGGACTGCCATGTGTCTTGCAAGAATCGAGCTGACAAAATCCATCATTAGATGGACTTCTTCAATTATACCGCAATCCTAGGATTTGTGATCGTCACAGCTGTACTTTCCGCCGCCACTGCCGATGAAGACGTCGACTTGCGCCAAGCATCCATGCCGCAGGCCATCGTCTTGTACCTTGCCGGTGGTCTTCTCACGGTTACGGGTGTTATGTCGACATTGGGCTTGAAACTTCCCATCCGGATGTCCTCAACACCACGAGGAAGCGTTTGCAAGCCGGGCGTGTTCGTGGTGATGGAAGACATCGTAGCCGTCGACGGAGGTGGAGGCGAAGGTTTCCGTCGCGCTTTGCGAGCTAGGTATGAGGCAAGTGAGACGTTTAGGAGGATACTCGAGGAACTCAATTGGTTCTGGGGGTTGGGCTCGGTGGTGGTGGCGACAGTCACAACCATTGTTGTCTATGTCGTCAATGACCTGAACGTGGTGTTCGCGATTGGTCAGTCTACAAGGCCCAGAACTTGGAATATTTGCTAATCGGTTAGGTTGGTGCTTGCCATGGGTTTGGGCAGGCATTGCAACTCTCCTAACGACCTTGAGAGTGAAGGAAACGTTGCGCTTCGAAAGAACCCGGTTCTCTGAGCATGTTTCTAAGGTCCGCACTATAGAGCAGCCTTAGCACGTGGAAGGAGCATCGTTCCCGTAACCTGCACCACCTGGAAGCCAGGGAAAATAGTCTGGACCATTAGCTTTGTCAAATGGACAATCGCTCCACGAATGGCTGGTAGAGTTGGGCCCTGTGGAGGCATAACCCTGAGGAGTGCGAGAGGAGGAATCTGGATTGTCGTGTTCGCCCGCAGCGGTCTGAGATGCGACAGATTCTTTGGCTGCTTTGAAAAGGTTGTGCACGATAGAAGCGGCTGGATAATTCTCTTCAAGCTCAGATAAAAATAAGAAATGCATGTCGAGGTTATTGACAGCGACTTTTCTCAACAGTGGATTCGATGATTTCATGGTAAGCAGAAATGTGTGCATGGCGGGAGCTATTAGGGGGATGCTCACTGGGCTAGCATAGGCCACTGTGCCGTCGTTTATGAATTCCTGTAAGACTGAGGTGGATGCTGCCGCCGCCGCACGTAGCCGTTCACCGGTCCGCTCAGAGCGATTTGGTCGTAGAAGTGCAATGAGCGCTGCTTGCTCATAAAGTTGCAATTGATGCATGGCCACACGGCGGGGAAGAGAAATCTTGCTTTTGAGGCCGATAAAGGCTTCACTATGAGAAAACACCCGGGAGGCAAGTTCATCGACATGTGTACTCAATCTCCGAGATTGGCGCGGTTTGTGTCTCTCTTCCAGGAGCTCCCTCAGAGCATCGCTGGTTATGAGCAGGCGATGCCAGATCTCCGCAAATGCAGCCGCATCGCTGGAACTGTACAGCTCCTTGCCCTCAAAGACCATTCCTTGGTAGCTCAGTTGAGTTCCGGGAATCAGCGGCATGGGAGTACTACAATCATCGCGATTCAGCCTCAAAGGTCGACCCATGCTGAAGGCAAGCCAGGCATCTCTGAGCATACAGCACCACCAGAGGGTTCGACCGAACGCAGACTGGGTGTCTTGATGTGCAGAACAAGGATCACGGTGCAGACCCAGAGTTTGTGCAAGTCCAAAGGCAATACCGGACCAATACCATGATTGCATAATATCATCTGCGTCGACGAACCAGAAACTCAACAACAACGCGGCTTGAAGAAGCACAGTTTTGTCGTTCTCGTGGCTTAGCTGATAGAGTAATTTCGCACGAGTGACGATAGAGTCTTTCATCATGACGCGACTCTTATATCCCGCGACCTGCATGGTGGTGTCGGAGATGTAACTTGCAGCAACCGAGAACATGCTCCATACGAGTAACAGGTTCATGTGGGACAGACCCCGATTGGCGTACTCTCGCAGAAAAGCAGCGCCGTCCAGGACCGGGAACGTCGGGTGGGCGAAACAGAAATACGTTTTTATCAGCTCCCCGCACACTTGCTCGCTGGGAAGAGAGAAACACCCTTTGGCCCGTAAATACTCCAGATCCTCTGGAGCAAGCGATTTTCCGGTGGTGGTGGCGATCAGCAAACGGCGATCAGCAACGTTGCCGCCAACAGTTGCGTCAAGAACTGCTCCATAGCCATGTTGGTCTCCGATGAAAACGGATGCTGTGACTGTGGCCGAGGGGGACGAGATACCAGCCCCCAGAAACTGGCTCTCTCTGGCTACTTTTTGCGGACAGACGCTTGGCGCTGAGTTGGAATCTTCTACATCGCTGTGCACAAGACCCTGCCCGTCGGCGTGGGAGTTGTCAACTGCTGCCAGTCGAGTGGTCTGTTGCAGCTGCTGTCCTCTAGGACTACTGTCTGGTCAACTAATGGTTCTCCACAAATATCACGTCTGAATGGGCTCAACAGTATACCTGTAAGCTTTCCTCGTCCTGAGGGTACACTGGTTGCCCGTCTCGGAGCACTTGGTGCAGGGGACTTCAACAATATCCACGTCACATCGGATCTTTCTCTCATGGCAAGAAGTGCAAACCTTCAAAGCTCGCCTTCTATGCATCCTGCTGAGGCACGGAGTAATTCATTCTCGACATGATCCCAAGACAACTTTGAGATGAAATTGTTGCGGAATATTTCAGGCCCCCAGTGTTTTGCTGACAGGGCTGACGGCTGTGCGGCTGCCCATTGTGCCCAATCACCACAGCTCTGAAATACTTAGCCAGAGCCCAGGTTAAATGGCGGATTGCTCGGGCCTGGAAGCAGAATCGGACTTTGGTGAGGTAAAGATGTGACTTAACTGGCGGACATACTATAGGGGGTAAGAGGGCGAGAGGGGTCTGGGGACGTCTGATAATAATAGGTATACTTTTGGTGGCTTCCGCCGAGCGGCAAGGCTGACCCTCAACAGACGGTCTCACCTGCCTCGCGTAACCCCGCGCATACAGACGCTGTGGCCAGATGCATACTCCACGTTACCTAGACGACACCATACATTTCGTCTTCTCCTGTCAGGACTGTCAACGCCACAAGGGCTCTAAATTGAACGGCGCCTCTCAATTTCTCATTCGCACTTTCTCAATCCCTCCTGTACTTTGAGCGCATCAAACTTGCGTATGTGTAGAGCATGATGGTGCTTGACCCGCTCACTGCCATTCCCCTGGCCGGGAACACCTTCGACGTAATTAAAAACAGCATCATCGTTGTCTCCAAGGCGCAAAACTCCATCCATTCCGGCCGGACAACGAAACGGTGGACGTTAAGAGACGACAAAAGACTTTGCCAATTTGGCGGCCAAAATTCAGCAGAATGATCCTTCGGATGCAAGCGAGGAGCCGCTGGAATCGAACGTTCGGACCCTTGACAGCATCTGCAAAGGTTGCAGGGATGGCGGACAGGAGCTCCTCGACGTACTAGCTGTGACGGTGGAAGTGAAGAATAGCAAATGGACGAGCACAAGGAAGGGTTTGCGGAGTGTGTGGAGCAAAGAGGAGATATATGCCATCGAGAAACGGCTCAATACGTATCGAGACGAAATCAACCTCCGGCTGATTACAGATCTTCGGTATGTCAGGTACCAATCCACGGGTGGGAAGACGTCACGGGACTGCTTTCACCTCTCCATCATGAAAAGAAGCAACAACAGGTATCTAACTCTTCCCTCAGTTGCTTTGTACAGGGAACGCGTCGACCTCCTCGTCCTTCAGCAGCTCAGTCTTTCTGACTTTCAGTGCGGCAACACCAAGATAATCGCCAACGCTATGATCAACGATAGGCACATCCTGCAACGGGCACTGTAGTCCCAGAACGCTGATACTAGAAAAGCCATGGTAGAGAAATAGGCCAAGACTAGCGTCGCGATTGTTAGCACCTTGCAGGCTGCTGGGAGCAACAGCTAGGAGGAGCAAATCGCCATTTTTTTTCGGCAGATAATCGAGGTGAAAGAGGCCATAGAGCAGATAAAGAATGATGTCCGTAAGAAGGACGACGAGTTTAAAGAGACGGTGCCGGCATATATCAGTTCCCACAGCCTGAAAAAAAAAAAAAAAAAAAAGAAAGGCGCTGAGGGAGAAGAGCAACCTCGCTTTGATATTACTGGAAACAGTATATAGAAGTTTACACCCGAGTTAAGTCTTTTTAAGAGAGGCATTCTTATATCACTGCGTTCGAAGTCTAGCCTCGAGACGCAGGTCCTCCTTGCAAGTTTACAAAGCAGAGTCAAATCTCTCCTTGCCCCGCCCAACTCCTGCCAGCTTTGGAGTGCCGTACCCTTCCCAGCGCCCGCATTTCTTCCGGGCTCAGCATCCACCCAGTCCTCCGAGACGACGCATACTACTACCTCAGCCTTGTGCGCGGGGATCTGGTGCAGACGGACCTTCACACTCTCTAGCCTCTGCAGCGGAACAAACACGAAGAGCTGGTGTAAGAAAGCGGGCCAGCCAGGATGTACGCGCTTGAGGCAGCAGAAGTGGTTGCGTCTGATTTACCGCCGAGCGACGGCGGGTGGTCCCGGACACGGATGAGATACGAGAGCTAATCAAAGGACAGATTCTCTTAACGGATTGGCAGCCCGACTAGTACGGTATTACGCTGTCCTCGGTCAAAGTGTACGCAGTGACGAACGTGCTGGCGAGGTGTGGCATAAACGTACCATTGAGAAAGGGCGGAGTCGCTCCCCTGTTTGCGCATCCAGATAGGTATGCGGATGTACCGCTTTAGTTTTGAAGAGAAGTGCAATGACTTAAGATGATCGTGTATGATAGTGTATAAATTACGAGGACCGAGTACATAAGATGGGCACATAATGTGTCGGTGGAAGTTGTGAGAAAAAGGAAGGGAGGTTGGTTCCCCAGAGTCTCGAGACGTGTGTTCAGACCGCCTTGATGGGCTTGGTCCAACTGGACTTGACAGTATTCCTCTGGTGTGGTGCTCAAGTATGGTGGGTAGATACATTCCGCATTGCATCCATTGCCGCCGTAACGAGCCCCTTTCCAAGACGTCGAGATTCTCGAAATGGTCTCTCGTCGACGGCCGAAGCATCCACCAAGCAGACACGATGGGGAAGTCTGGTCAAGTCCGCTGCGACAGTCCTGTGCTTCACGGGGGCACCAAACCTACCCGAAGTCGCGGACTTTCAGCACGTCACCATGTCCGATTGCGCACCCCTCGGACATTCGAGGCAGAGGAAGGAGACTGGATCTACCAGATGATCGGATATGCTCCGAGATACGCCCTGAGGCATACATGGAAAGAGGAGAGAGAAGGAGTAGAATTATTCAAGCTTATTGGGGACGTATAGGGATATGAGATCATGACTAATTGAGTGCTGGAGATCAAAGGTGACGCCAGTAGATGATCCGGTTAGTTTGAACAAACCTCGCCGTCGAGATTGGTATCGCCGAAAGATTGATGAAGTGGAAACAAGGTAATCCTCGGGGAACTCAACAGTCCCGACTACCGAGAAATGGCATGATGTTAGCCGGATAGGTCAGATATACACCGTAGTGACAATGACGTATGGTAAGACAGGGGTGAGATGTTAAGATGCTTTGGCCGTATATCTGCAAATATAATTGCTTCGCATAGCGTGACTAGAGGTGGCCCGAGTACACTGGGTCAAAGCACGGGGAACAAACTGGGAGCCGTGAATTGCTAGGCACAGGAATGTGGGCGAGAGAGGAATTGGAAGCAATCGTGATCAGGGCCACGATAAACCAAGGGCAAATTGCGAGAACGTGGAGAAGCAAGAATGTGCCGTGAATCCGGGGACGAAGGAAGAAGGTGAAGTGATTTTATAGTGGAGCTTATGGTGGATTTTGTATTTACAATCTTGTATATCCAGCGAGCAGGTACATATGTCGGAAATGACAGTTTTCCGGGCTCTGTATTGCCGCCAGTAGAGTTCTGCGCGGCACAACATTATATCTTACGAGCACTCGTATAGGAAGTCGAAGAATGAATGCTGTAAAGTGACTTGACCTATAATTCCGGCCGGCTGTCGCTGAAATCCTGTCATAGGCTGGAAGTCTTCGGAAAACAGTCTTTACATTAAATAAAAGCTCCCTCACGTTACCTGCTTGATAAAATACCTTCCAATCAGTGCTGGGAAAGACTTTACAACATCAAAATTTTGATAAAGATTCGTTAATTTTGCTCCACTGTAGCACCACTCATGCATCACCAACAACCAGAGCGAAAAGACAGTGGACTGATACCCTGTTGCGGAGTACGTATCTGGACATGCTACTGTCAGACACCCCTGTGTTTTTCAGCCTCACACATCGGTGGAGCTGCGGATCAGGCTTTCCGGTACAGAGTACTTAATTCTTCGTCCATGGCCTCGTTGAATAGTCCAAGATTTTGTCTCTATTTTGTATACAGTGATTCCTGGCAGCATCTTGTCTCATTATCCTATTAATTCGTCGTTCGGCCTATTTACTCGACGGATTCCTCTCCCACCCTCCTAAAGTCATTCTTCTGCCCATTTGCATATACCATCACTATGGCTTCCGCTACAAGTGTTCGAACCTTTATCAAGGTGGTGCCTAAGAACGCCGCTTCACCAACTTGGTCTCTTCGTATCGCCACTCGTCCCGCGAGCAAGAGCCTTGCAAGGCCGGTCTTCCAACGGTGCTCCCGGCGCCATTTTTCATCTCAGCCCCCACGCCAATCCAACAATATTGGCACCATGGGACTGATAGCCGCCATTGCTCTTCTCGCGGGTGGCGGGTACTACTTCAATACTCAAGTTGCGGAGAGACAGACCAAGCCAAAGGCCGGAGCTCAAACCGCCAGCGTCTTCAAGCCGTCTGCCGAAGATTACCAAAAGGTGTACAATGCTATTGCAAAAGCTATTTGGGACAACGACGAGTATGACGACGGGTCATATGGGCCTGTTCTACTTCGGTTGTCGTGGCACACATCCGGATCTTACGATGCCGCAACCGGCACTGGGGGGAGCAATGGTGCCACCATGCGATTCGCGCCAGAAAGCCAGTACGTTCCCAACAAAGGCCTGGAAAATGCTCGCAATTTCTTGGAACCTATCAAAGCCCAGTTTCCCTGGATCACCTACTCGGATCTCTGGACTCTGGCGGGTGTCTGCGCCGTTCAGGAAATGCAAGGACCCATTGTCCCGTGGCGGCCTGGTCGACAAGACCGAGACGTCTCTTATTGCTCACCCGAGGGCCGTCTACCAGATGGGGAAAAGGACCAACATCACGTCCGGGCCGTCTTTAACAGAATGGGGTTCACCGACCAAGAAACGGTGGCTCTCATCGGCGCCCACGCCGTCGGGCGCTGCCACCCGGACAGATCCGGTTTCGACGGGCCCTGGACTTTCTCTCCGACAGTGTTCACCAACGAGTACTTCCGGCTGCTTGTGGAGGAGAAATGGGGATGGCGCAACTGGAAGGGGCCCAAACAATACCAGGACCAGACCAGCAAGAGCCTCATGATGCTGCCCACAGACATGTCGCTGAAACAGGACCCCAAGTTCAGGAAATACGTCGAGATTTATGCCAAAGACGGCGACAAGTTCTTCAACGACTTCTCCGCCGCCTACTGCAAGTTGCTTGAGCTGGGGGTGCCCTTCGACAGCAGGCCCGAGGACAGAATCACCTTCAAACCGACTATCGAATCGTAATTGTTATCTGGTTTGTAACAAAACGGCAGGACGGTGTCCCGCCGACGGGTTAGTAGATCGCGTTGAACGTGCACGCTGCTTTTTATCCTCCTGTTTTTTTATCGCCGGGCGCTTTCTTGATGAATTGGCTTATATTTAGCTTGGTGTTGGAGTCCTCGGACTAAAAGATAGGGATAGAGTGAAAGAGAATTAAATGTACGTTTTCTCGAATGTTGTTATTACCTTGTATCTGGCATTTCAATGCTTGTATGGGCCAACTTCTTGGAGTTACTCGGCTCTCTCCCCTTGAGAGTCAGTAGTCGCCTCGACGAGTCTGTAACCGTAGGCCCTGTCCAGAACGAAAGGCAGTTTGAGAGGGGTCCAAGTTTTTGGTCGGATATCTTGGCCAGGAGGTATAAAGTTGCTGTAGGAGACAATCGTTAGTTCCAAAAGAGCACCACAGGCTATCCCATCAAGCCCACCATCATCGACAACCCATCGCCTACTCCCCGCATTGCCGTAGAGGCGCTTTTCGGTCCCATCGTCCCTGTGATAACTTGGACACGTGAGGATCAAGTTTTTCGTATGGCGAACAATATGCACATGGGCCTTGGTGCGTCAATCTGGACTAAGGACCCTGAAACGGTCCGGGAGGATGGCAAGACAACTAGAGGGGGGGAAGCGTGTAGATCAACAGGCAAATATATCTGGATTTTCTCGTCCCATTTGGCGGACATAAATACAGAGACATTGGATCTGAGCTGGGTTTGCAAGGAATGGAGGGGTGTTGCAACGTGCAACCTCTGGATTTCAAAAAGCCAGGAGATCAGCTAGGAAGTCATCCTCATCAAAATGGTCCACATTTCCGCAATGGAGGGTACCTTCCAGCGGACTCCGGGATCAGTCTTGAGCCACGGACTTGGTTATGTTTGTATAGATATGGAACATCGCTAAATCTACGTTCCTCTTCAAAGCTGGTACGAGGTGTCCTTTGAACTTACTATTACGATTCCCAATGCCAGCTATGGGTATTCCTGGACAATCATCTGGCGCCAGACCAGTCAAATGCGTCGAGCAAACGGTTGGATAGATGGAGATTTCATGGTGTAGGTCAAAAAAGCCAGCATTTGTAGGCATGTCATCAAGGATCCAAGGCGGAAAACCGTTGTCGGACAGATCCAAGTGAGATATTCCTGTTTGATGTTCAGTCGCAGAGCCTTTGGTGAGGAGGTTCATGTTCGGGCACATTCTAGGAGGAGACGGGAACAAAGTTTTGAACGTCAATGACCCCATGGAAGGCTCTTCACCTCCATCTTCTTCATGAATGGGTGCGGGTTGGGCTTTGGAAAACTGGTCCACAACCTCGTCAGCAGCTCCTTCGCTGCTGACCATCCGGTTTATCCGATCCAGAACCGCAGTAGCCGATGGCCATTTAGATTGGCGCTGTTTCAGAACGTCTGTGATGATATCTAGCTCTTCAGCCACTGTCTTCCTCTTTGCTTGAACGGCGTGATGTTGATAGATTCGTGGCACAATGGCGACCACGCAAAACCAGCTGTAAACAGGCAAAAAAATAGACGACCCTGTCACGGTAGCTCATCTCGTCGAACAGCCTGACCTTACATGAAGAGGCTACAACAGAAGCCGTTAGAGCATAGGAGATGCGTTGGAGATGCGCGTACAAGCGGCAAAGAAGGATGATGCAGATCAAGTAGAGGAGAAAATCCTCCGACGGTATTCGACGATATGGCATACGGATGGAGACATCATTCAGACTCAACTCTTCAGAGAGCTTGCATCAGTAACATGGACGGAGTGTCAGCTGCGACGTCCTGCGTATCGACTATTGGCAGTCGATGATACAGCTGCTCGAACCAAGTGTCTACCAACACCTCGGTCAAGATTGGTTACTCTGAGAATCTCATCGGTGAAGTCGTTTTTAGACCCCGGCGTTGAGCTGTCGCACATTGACGGAGGATAAGGTTGACCTGCAAGGACAAATTCGTCACTTATGTAGCCCAATCAATCCTCTGATCGACTCGACAAGCTTGTTTGGCCGTAAGGTGAATCACCAACCTCGTCACTCAGGCTGTTTCTGGTTTCGACCGGGAGAGTTGGATGATCGCTCTGGAAAGATATATGAATGTTATTCATTTACGTAAACAAGATGACAGTTCTGAGTCTAACAATTTCTCTCATACATGATCCTGGTTGACAAAATGGAAATTTCCTGACAAAAGCTTCATTGGTGGCCGCAAGGAAACCACCTTGATAGACGCAGTGTTGTTGGTGGACAGAGGACGAGTTGGGTTTTCGATGAGGTGCCACTCCAATGCCAATCTATTGTTGCCGGCCCAAGTGTCATCTCCGCAAAAGATGAACCGTCCTTCTTCCTGGGCTTGCCGACAAGTGAAAGTAGGTGGTTTGCAAGTAGAAGCATTTGCTCACCCCCCCAGCGCTTGGGACGCTCGAAACGGACAAGAATGGTCTGATGTGTGAGGGATAGCTGAATGACAAGAGCTGCTCCCTCCCAATTTGGCCGGCGCTATACCACTAAGGATTGCTGTCACGACGTTGTGTGTGGCTGGAATTGTTCGGAAAGCGGAAGATGCGGGATAGACGGAGCCAAAGCATAATGCCTGTTTAGCAAATGAAGTTACCGTCGTACCACCTAAATCTGCGTCCGGCACAGATCCAAACGTCAGGCGATGGGCAGAGTGGGTTTTTCAAACTCGGTCATATCACACCATGGCAATGGCTAAAAAGACCGATACCCCATGCTCTTGCTTCGAAACTATTGACATCTGGAAGTTCACTCCAGATACACCATTTTGAACCATCATTATCAAGTTTTTGAATATTCGCCGAAATAGTTTTCAGGATATAAAGGTAAAATGGACTGGATAGTACGCAGAGGTCTGGGGTTAACTTCGTGTTCGCAGTTTGGCGAACATGACGGACCAACCTACGCAATCTTCGCACCATCATGAGAAGTGCGCTCATGAGAACGATCCTGTACACAAAGAGCATCACAAAACATGCCAGGGACATGGCGAGCACGGGGAGGAACATCACCACGAAGGCCATAGCCATGAGGGCCACAGCCATGAAGGTCACAGCCATGAAGGTCACAGCCACGAGGAACATAAGGAACATAGCCACGAGGGTCACCCGCAGCACGAACATGTTTCCCATTAAGGCTTTGAAGATATAAGACAAGGTTACCGCGGGCAACAGTGTGGAGGTTTCGGCATCCAGCTTTCCGGGTTTTGTATATGTACCATAGTATACGCTCCGTGGAGGAGTTTGATTGTCCGGCTTATTTCGAAAGAAAATAACACCGAATTTTCGGATAACATCTTTGATATCGAGACGCATGAATTGGGTAACTGCATGTCGAGCTGCAAAGATGCGTATGAGCCTGCTCAGCACCGACTTCACTGGCTCTGTGTCCTGGATGTCTCGGCGTAAATGCTTCCAAGTTTAATTGCACGGCTTGGCCTGAAGAGGAACAAGATGTTGTCGCTGAAATGATCACTTGCAGTCAGACACTTACTGGGGACCTCTCTAGCATGACGTCTCGAATAGTTGAAGTTCAGTGGGACGTGACCAATATTTAAACGCGCCGGGTAGTAGGCTGGTAAACTTCCCGTTTTCAGAGTCTCGGCAGCCCCTGGCTGAAGAGCCCTGTTGCTACTGCGAGTGCCAGACAAAGAAAAAGTCCTCGGTCGACCAGATCCCCTGAATAGACTCCTCCCTTTCCATAGCATCGACCTCCTCATCTATGCCTCATAACATATCGCATGTCGTCAGACACGAAACTGGAGCTTCAAGCCCCAAAATGTTAAGTTCCGACCAAGATAAGACCAAAAGTTCACGCCGCTCCAAGAAGCACGCAAAGCAACCAAACTCGGTGATGCTTTCAAGTACTTGACCCAAGATATCCATATTCATAGAATTCGATGAGGACGGAGCTACTCGATAACGAGCGAGGATGGAAAGAAAGTCATTGTGCGGATTCCGTGGTGTCAGCGTAAGCAAAATGTGAAGAGTTCGTCTATATGTATTTGACGGGTTGCGGACTGCAATACGAAGTCTGGTTCACAGATTGAACTCAACTTATCAGCATCAGTCTCCCTTAATGCAGAAAATAATTTTGAAATCCGAGGTGGAATGGTGAGAGAACGAGAAAACTGACCTTTGAATCGTACAAGAGCACAGAACGAAGAGCGATCGACGCAAGGCTGCAATACAGGCTACCAGGACACTATCATTGCTCCCAACTGTCGTGACTGATGTCATTCGCTTTTGATAATCCCAGAGAAGACCCAAAAAGAAGAGGGCGCAAATTTGTGGCCATCAGAAGGTAGTCTGACGGAGAAATTTCACTGGTTGTATTCGTATGATAATGAAACAGAATCCGAAAATCCGTGGTGTCCCTGGCAGGCTGGCAGTCGTCGCAATTTCCGTAATCATTCGGTCTTTGGGGCCAGACGTCCGGTCTTGGAATTTCTGACCGCAATGTAGTCTTTCTTTATCTGCGAATCTCAACCTGCGCTGAGGCACTAGGTCAAGCACCTTCGTAGAGCTTTTGAACGCCGTTGCCTTGGACCGTCGATCTTCGAGAATGCAGTACGCGGATTGGCTGACTGGTACGAAATTTCGCTCATGCCTGGACTGTGGCTCAAGTGAATTGGTTGCTGATATCTCTGAGCGTGAGAGTAACACTGTGCTATCCGCACATCTTCCTCATTGGGGCCCAATGACATGCAATTGCCCATATTGGACAGGAGCTGAATTCTGCAGTGTTCGATTAGGAAACTGGAGAAAGAAGTCTAGACAGTGTCTCGGCCAGGTAACAGCAATTGATTGTTGCTGAACAAGGGATAGAAGACCTAAACAAACTCCCTAGATAATGTCCGGTCGTTTCGTTGATTGTTTATCTGCGTAGAACCAAGCGGCCCTGAGCAAGCTTAGAGACCAAGAGGTGTTGATGAACTAGATATTTCTGTTGCGGGTCTAGTGGAAAGGTAGATAGTTATGAGATTAATCGCTCACAATTGTCTTTGTCGCTTTTAATTGAGGCCAGTAATGCCTTGCAACAAATTTTTGTGATGCTGACATTGTTGTGTAATCAATCAAGTCTGCAGAAGCAGGAGAGGCCGTGCGCACCAGGTATATACGAAAGGTAAGCAAGCATGATGGTGGCAAGTAAGCTAGATATTCAATGTCGAGGGATCATCTCGAGCCGAGTGAGGCAACCTTCAGCCTTGCCAAGCCTCAGCCTGGCCACTGGATGGTCTGATTCTCCCCGCAATTCTTCAAAAATTGGACTCGCGGTATCTGCCTTGACTGCGCAGAGACACCCTTTTCCTGTTACACCACCCTCCATCAGAAGCAACACCAGAAGAAGAGGAGGAGGACATCAGGCAAAGATACCATGGCTGCATACGCAAATCCCACCCAAATTTTTGCCGACGATGTGCAAGAAGAAAAAGGCGAAAATGCGCGTCTCTCTGCCTTCGTCGGTGCAATCGCAGTTGGGGACCTAGTGAAATCCACCCTCGGCCCCAAGGGTATGGACAAGATTCTTCAATCCGCTTCGACGGGAGAGATAATGGTGACCAACGACGGTGCCACAATACTCAAATCGATCGCCCTCGACAACGCCGCCGCAAAAGTCCTCGTCAATATATCGAAAGTCCAAGATGATGAAGTGGGAGATGGCACCACGTCAGTCACGGTTTTGGCAGCAGAATTACTACGAGAAGCAGAGCAACTAGTGAACCGCCACATCCACCCCCAAACGATCATCGAAGGCTACCGTCTCGCATCTCAAGCCGCTCTACAAGCGCTAGAAAAATCGGCTGTGGACAATTCAAAAACCCCCGAGCTTTTCCGGAAAGACCTCCTGGCAATCGCTCGCACAACTCTATCCTCAAAGGTCCTCTCTCAGGATCGACACCAGTTCGCCAATCTGGCGGTTGACGCCGTCCTGCGGCTGAAAGGGTCTGTCGATCTAAACCACATCCAAATCATCAAGAAATCCGGGGGGAAGCTGTCCGACTCTTACCTGGACGAGGGATTCATCCTTGACAAGCGCATTGGCGTCAACCAACCGAAGAGGTTGGAAAATGCAAAAATACTCGTTGCGAATACTGCAATGGACACGGATAAAGTGAAAATCTGGTCTGCCCGGATGAAAGTCGGTTCCACAAAGGAACTAGCGGACTTAGAAAAAGCTGAGCGGGAGAGAATGCGGGCAAAGGTCGAGCGGATCAAGCAACATGGCATAAACTGCTTCATCAACCGACAATTGATCTACAACTGGCCGGAACAACTGTTTACCGAAGCGGGAATAATGTCCATTGAGCATGCTGATTTCGACGGTGTGGAACGTCTGGCTTTGGTTACGGGCGGAGAAATTGCTAGCACTTTCGACCACCCGGAGTCCGTCAAACTTGGGCACTGCGACTTGATTGAGGAAATCATCATCGGCGAAGACACGTTGATCAAATTTTCCGGCGTGGCAGCGGGTCAGGCCTGCACCATCGTGCTAAGGGGTGCAACGGAACAACTTCTGGACGAGGCGGAGCGCAGCCTGCACGATGCTCTTGCTGTGTTGTCACAGACCGTCAAGGAACCCCGCGTTGTCCTGGGAGGCGGCTGTTCCGAGATGGTGATGGCAAAAGCCGTGGATTCCCTCGCGCAGAAGATCCCCGGTAAAAAGCGATTTGCTGTTGACTCTTTTTCAACAGCCTTACGTCAACTCCCTACCATCCTTGCAGACAATGCCGGCCTTGACTCTTCGGCTTTGGTCTCAGAGTTGAGAAGCGAGGTATATAGAGGCATGACGAGTTCAGGCTTGGATCTCTTGACTCCCGGGGGCGGTATTGCTGATATGCGAGAGCTGGGCGTGATTGAGAGTTACAAGTTGAAGAAAGCGGTGGTAGGGAGCGCCAGCGAGGCGGCTGAGTTGTTGCTGCGAGTGGATGATATTATTCGGGCCGCACCCAGGAGGAGAGAGCGGATGTAAGGTTGAGTAAGTGCTGCAAGTGGCGGATGGCAGATGGCAGAGCATTAGGCGAGTGGAATGAACGGGATTCCCCGCGGCCTCCTGGTCTGTGTGCGCGAATCAGAGGCAAAGAAAAACAGTGGCCAGTCATTGCCTTGCGAATCTGAGATGTGCTCTGCCATGGTGGAAGGAACAGCGAAGTGCTTGATGAAAAGCCATCGACAATGGCACAACCATGGAATCCAGCCCCGGGACATACCCTACCTACAGACAGGCCCCTTTGCATCCATCCATCTACCTCCACCTGTCTATCTCCCTATCTACCCATCTACCCATCAACTCGTCCATACGCCCCTTTTCTCCCTCAGTTATTCATGCCTCAACCAATTGAACGAACAAAGAACTGGACAGATCAAGGATTTCTTGACTGGCTGACTATTTGGCCGGCAGGCCGGCCAGTTGGAAATACCACATCATACCAAGCACGCTCTGCCCGGAGTACCATACGTACCATATGATATCCAGGACCTTGGAAGGAGCCACAATCAGCTCACCCACTCGATCAACCAACTCGATCACCCCGACCGCTCAGCCCCATGAAGAAACGACAAATGACACACAACAGAACGTACCATCACCATCTCCTGCGCCTCAAGCACGACGCCCGATCCTGATCTGAAAGGTTCTGGACGGAGGGCGAGGTGAGGGGATTCATGCAGGCATGCACGGTGTCCAAGGAGAGAGAGAGCCAGTGCGGTGACTTCGTTCATGTCCATGATACATACATGCAGGGCAGAAGCAGAGGAGGCCGGGGTCAAGGCCGCTGTGTTCGTGACCCATAAATACGCTGCATAGGTATCGAAGCACCCTCTGCAGTGGTTACTTACTCCCCTAGGCACTCTCTCCTGTACTCATAGATGGGCATGTACATCGCGAGAATCTACTCTTCCTTGACCCGGTGCTCGGAAACAAAAAGGTCGGGATCGATAGATGCTAGAATAAGATAAGAAAATCGAACAAAACCACGAGCAAAGTCCTTAACTTGAAATCTCGAGAAATCTGCATTGTGTGTAATTATATCCTGTCTCAAATTCACCATATCCGCATCCACTCTCACTCAAACCACCTCTCCATCCTGAATCGCTCGATCAAACCCCGTTCCAAAATGAGACAATGACAGTTAATCAACAGGCTCGGGAACCTCTTTGCCCAGAATTCATAGTACCCCTTCACGCTACCGCCCAGCATCTGCTCCTTCACATCCTGCGGCAAGTCATGGAAGTGGTTCTTCTTATTCCGGATGACTCTCAACAAGTCAATCATTTTCGAACCACTGTACTTGCGCTGTTTCCCCATTTCTGTGAGAAACGTCTTGGGAAGAGCGCGGAGCCAATCCTTAGATGGCCCGATGACATTGGGCGCAAGGGATTCCAGCGCGGCAAGTTCGGCAAGAGATTTCTTTTCGGCGGGTGTGCGCATCACGGTCTCGTCGAAAATGTTGTTGATTGAATTCTTTTCCCGCTCGTAGCAATCCGAAACGTCGCAGAGGAATTCTAGCTTGTCAGCCACGTCCCAGAAGTAGGGATGACGAAGTATCTGTGTCGTGTCAGGACGATCTTTGGGATCATGTTTAAGCATCTGCATGATAAGGTCGTCGGCGTCGAATTGGTACTCATGCAGGCGTAAGTCTTCTGTGCTGAACTTGTTCTCTTTGATGTTTAAGTCTCGGCCAAGACTGGTGCCCCCAACATCAAAGGGATGACGACCTTGAGTCATGACATAGTAGAAGACACAACCCAAGGAGAAAATGTCGATGGCCTTGGTTGCCCGTCGGCCTGATGGACGATCAATGACAGCACCGTCACTAGAGTGAGTAGTCGATCTGGAAGTGGTATTCGAGCTAGAATTTGGTGCAGCAACGGCCGATCTGGAGCCGACCAGCAACTCTGGCGCCCTCCAACCTGTAGTGCCGGCGGCTGTATGATTGGCAGTTGGAGCGAAGGTTGATTCAGGCCCTTCCTCGAGGGGCTTGCACAACCCAAAGTCGGAAATGACAAACTGCAGTTTCGGCAGCCCATTGGTGGGGCGATTGCTTTTCACAGCCTTGACCAGGACATTCTGAGGCTTGATGTCTCGATGTACCAACTTGAGTGAATGAAGATGCTGAACACCGTCCGTAATTTGACGGAGAGTATCCTTGATATCAAATCCTTCAGGCAGCTTCACCAGTTCGGGATATTGGAGGGGACGTTCGATGAACTGATCCAGAGACGTGGTGAAGCGTTCGAGTGCAATGTAGGTGAAATGTTGTGACTCTTCCTTCCCAAAGTACCGGATGACATGCGGATTCTCGTCACTGGACAACAAATGCTTGATCTCTTTGGCAGCCAGGCTATTCGATGACCGGATCAAACGCTTGACTGCGACTTCTCTGCCATCCAATGAACCAGGAAACACTGCTGTGCCATTGCTTCCACGGCCTAGACATCGATCTTCCCTGGTGTCAATTCTGAGCTTGCCAACCTGGAGAAGGCCGTCCTTTGTGGGAGTTTCTGCGACAAGTTGTTCCTTCTCATCCATAGCTTCTGGGTCCATGGTCTTCTTGCCCTTTTTGTTCCTCTTTCCACCTCGCTTCCCACGTTTTGCATGTCGACGGCGAGGCTGTGCGCCATTCTCGGCGGTTTCGTTAGAGTTAGAGTCTTCCTTGTTCTTCTCATCTTCTGACTCGCCTTCTGAACTGTCATCATTGGGATCAAACACTTTGACAGTCTTGGCAGGACTGGCAACCGAGACTACTGCGCTCTGAGCACGGCTCCTAAGAGGTGTTTTGATTGCGTCCTCCAAGACTTCCGAGACAACTTCAGTGGCATCTTTGTCCGCTGTAACCTCAGCTACTGGTCCTTCTTGCTTGTCTGAGTTTGCTGAAGCAGGAGCAGGAGACGAAGGAGTCCGATTCTTCTCCACTGCGACCTCCACGCCAGCCTTTCGAAGGAGGTGTTGCATCTTTAACATAATTGGTATCCTCATCTGCAATCCGATCACGAACAAAATGATGCTGGCGCAGATGATATTGAAGACGGATAGCAAAGGGTGATTGATGACAGGTATCAACGAAGGGGGCATCTTGGCCTCCAAGGCTGCCATTGCCTTCTCTGCCTCCTCGGCTAAGTCGGTTGTTGGTGGAGGGCCAGAGATCGTCAGCCTGAGGGGCGTGAGGTTCTGCTCCGTGGAAAGTACGTGGACTCCGACAATTTCTTCCAGGTTGCCGTCAAAATCCAACGGCTGACTGTCATAGTTCCAGTTTGAGCTTGCAGGCGAAGCACCGCTGGTGACACCTGGGTACGACAACTCGGACATGGCATACCACACCCCTGTTTCGGTTTTGTTCACAAAAACCCTCTCAGCTCGCTGCATTTCGTTCCTCCAGATTTCAGAAGAAAGCAGAGGCGAATCCGTCGGTCGTGCTAGTAAGACTAACTTGGCAGATTCATCGCGATTGTCCAAGGGGCGAACAACGTCAAACACTCGGGCTACGGGAGTTTCGAACATGTGGGTGAACCGGGGAACCTTGCCAGAGTCGGCAGTGCTGTCGATGCCGATGATTCGGCCGTTGTAGTAGCTTTGAATATGGTAATTGTCCAAGGGAGTGACGTATTGGTCTTGTAGGTCGCTGTCCCCCTTGTTTGGAACCCATTCGGCAAACTTGATCGTACAAAGGGGTTGAGTTGTGATCTTGTGAGATATTTCAATGGTGTACTCAACCCTTCCTAGATTGATAGTCCCAATAGGATCACATGCAGGGTCATCCAATTCGAAACCACTCAGTCGCCTGCAACTGCGGCCTTGGTCGTCGCTGGAGAAGCCACGGTACTTGTCAAATTGCTGTAGAATATTGCCGGTAGCTGCGTCTACAACATATGCCGTTGTCTCCTGCGAGGAAATCGTCACAAGGGGTGGATCATCCACAAATTGAGGCGTCTCGGCGGCAAGGGATCTGACGGTAATGCCCAGTCGCTGTAGACCTATTCTGGGATCTCGATGGTGAATATAGAGGTTGCCATCTTTACTAGGTTCGACAATGAACATGTAGTCGTCTTCATATCGAGAGCCGTCGACTTCCGAGTCACTGCGATTCAGTTTGTGGTGAATGGCTTGGATCATGGGACTGTTTGGGATGCCCAGTGACCATCTTTCATTGCCCGTCTTCCTGTCACGGGCATGTATGGTGCCGTCAATAGTGGCGAGTAGCACAATGTTCTCCACCTCCCAATCTTGCAGCAGCCGCGCTGAGGAAAGCGCAGAGAGTCCCTGAGAAAAGGACTCATCAGACTGTGCAAGAGGTGCTCTGACAGCACCATTACTCAGGGAGTCGTGGGCTGGAGCCAAGGCACGGAGCTTGTGGTTTTCGGGGTTTTCATCGGTGCTTCGAAATTTAACAGTGGTGATGTCGTTCTTGAGAAGCGGGATCTCTACTGGACTGCGGCCAGCTTGAGCAGACGGTCGACTTGACTCGGAGGGCAGGCTCTGGGTCGAGGCCACCAATCTCTGAGGGGCATCGGACAGCGGGAGGGATTGAGGGTGAGCTGAGGCTATGAGAAGGAGGAGGATGGCCCAAGTCAACATTGTTTTTGGTTTTGATCCTCCACGTCGGCCCTTTGGCGGCCGAAGCGGAGGTTTGGCCATGGTCGAGGACAAGGGACTCCAGTGCTGTTAGAAGATGACGGTGGACTAGATTTATATCATGGGCGACATGGTGTGTGATAGTTGAGTATTGAGATAAAATAAGGAGAGACGAGCGTTGGTGGTGATGGAGTGAGTGTTGCAAAGGTGAGAAGTGGGAGTGTGTCGGTAAGCTTACGAATGTGCTTGGTAGAACAACAAAGCGAAGTCCTGGCACTGGGCAGCCCAGCCAGCCCCATACGGAAAGACAGGGTGTGCCCTTATTACCTAGGTATGGCCCTTGTAAGGGCACCCAGGTGACCTTTGTAGGTCAGTGAAGGGCCTAGAAAGTCACCAGCCAATGGCCACTTGGGTGCCAGTAGCCCCCAATTCAATGCCCAATGCCCGTATCAAGCCCACTGGCCTTAACGCCTGTGTGCCTGGTGGTGGCCAATGAACCATTGGGTTCTCTGTCTTTCGCTCTCCGCCTCGTTCCACGTTCCACAGACGATCTAAACCAAAAACAGCCTCAATGGATCCGATGCAGGTGTTTCAGGCTGAAGCCATTCCCCATCGACGTCGAACAAATCCTCCTTACTTCTCCTGAGAGCCGCATATCATTGACGTCGATAAGTCGGTGTGGTGACTTGCTTCGTAACTGCTGTCGAAGCTTTAAGAAGAGAACTTCCGTTGAAGACGAATGCGATGGTCTTGTTCCTCGCCCTTATCCTCTACATGAACCAATATTCTGCATAACCCAAGAGCACTATCATTCTGCATGTACATTCCTGATGTTCTACCAAACTTTCAGTCTCGATATAAAATTCTTGTTCTATGCTATCATTTCCGACCAGCCGCTAAAAACGACAACAAGGATGGCTTCTCCATCATGCCAATTTTATACAGTCATTAAATCCCAATCTCCCTCCCATCCGCGACATGAGACTTCGGAGGTAACCCAGGAGAAGAGTGTAAGTGCGAGCACCGGGCCAATTACTACATCGTGTATGCCGTCAATAGCAAGACATTCAAGAAAGAAGAGTGCCGCGTCGCTCTCAGAAAATCACCACAAACTCCCCTCTCTCATTTCGTTTTATCCTCAAAGCCCTCCACAGGTCTTGTTCCTCATCCATCTTCGAAGTGCTGCTTCGGACGTCGTTATGCTTGTGCCACCGCTTGAGCATCTTGTGGATGGAATATCCTTTATCGTTGTCTAGGCCCGGTGCATTGGCGAGGAAACTGCGGCAAGCACGCTTTGTCTTCTCCTCGGCTCCGAACACGACCATTGCACCATTGGAGCTTTTGCGTTTGTCTGCGCCATTACTATTCTGATGCATTGGGTCCGAGTCTGTGTCCGACGCCGAGTCGTCGTGTTTGCGGTACTCGATTGCTTTAAGTTTTCGTGTGGTGCCTTCACCTGGTGAACGGGAGGGCGAATCGTCACTGTACCGGTGGCGCGAACGGTGCTCATGCCGAACATTGGCTGATGAAGTACCATTATGTCGATGGACTTTGTGCTTCTTCCTCTCCCGCTTCTCACCATCTCGGATCCGAGTAAGGCTATTCCCATGGTCCGAAGAGCTGGCCCTCCTCCGCGTCTTGTTGTTGGACATTTGGCTCTCGACCTGGCCGGGAAGAAGTGCTCCACCAACCATTGAAAGGGCTCTAACCGCTCGACCTTTAATCGAGATGCCAAGTCCGTTGGAATCCTCCTTGGTATGTCGAGTACGTTTTAAAGGGGACGTGGGGTCTTCCGGTTTGAGACTTCGACGAGTCGTGCGCGCCTTCTGGACCACCACGCGGTTGTCGTCGAGATCGGGAGACCGACGGAACGGGTACGAATCATCTTGAGTCATCATGCGGCTTAGCCCACCAGTGAGTCCTGAGTGCACAATCACTGGCGTATCCACCTTTACCGCGTCAGCCATCAGGGTGTCTCCTTCCAGTTCGTGGACTTGATCTTCCGTAGCTCGTTTCCGTTTCTTCTCGCTGCCGCTGTTTGTCCGACTATGTGCGCGTGGCCTCTCTTTCTTGTCTAATTTGGATTTCACCTCCTTTGCTGCTGGTGTCATAAATTCGAGCGACAATGTACTGTTGTTCATATCTAATACCCCTCGAGGCTTGACCGGTGCGGCACCCCAAGTATAACCGTTTTCTTCGTACTCCTTGCTATGCTGCTGCTCCTCCTCTGCGTTGTGGTACCCATTCTGACTGGACGGCCGACTGCTGGAGAAGATTGACGGGGCACTGTGCTTCATAGACATTTCTTCTTTCTCCTTGGTAAAACTTATCTGGGGTGTGCCGGTTCGGCTACCTTCGTCAACCATATAATCAAAGACACTATCACGATTCGAGTCCGGCACAGCGGGAGGAGGAGTAGGGACGTGTGGAGGGGCATCTGTATCCAGATCGTCTTCAACGTATGCTGGACGAGGGACGAGAGCCTTTTCGTTCTCTGGCTCGACAATCGAGACAGATTTTCTCTTTGCAGCCTTGGAAGGCTTCTCGCGATATAAAGCGCCCTGGTATTTCTGATCTTCGGTAATACATGACTGTTGGTTGGCGTCAGTGCCAAAGTTCTCTACGCAGTCGGGCGCAAGGTGTAGAAAGGAGTTCCCTGCTATAAGGCGACTGAGTCTGTGGGCTCACATACTGTATGGGCTCTGTAGCTCGTGCCTTGAAAAGTCGTCATGCAGTCAATACAGGTAAACATCGCGCCCCGACATTGGTTGCGGTGTGGATCGAGCTTCTTCTTGGTCAGGATGTCGCCACATGCCTGTAAATGGGATTGTTAGAACCCGTGAGGGTGATGATCTGCCACGCATAGTGCTGACCTCGCATTGAAAAGAAACCATCTTGCGTGTTTTTGCGTGAATGGTGAGAATGACAAAATTTCAGGCTGCGAGTCAACGAACAACGAGTGTGTTGAAGGAGCGGGCCGGTTGGGCAGCAACAGTTCGAGGTCGCACAAGAGCCAGCTCTCGAGCGGGAACGGCGACGAGTGAAGGGCGTCAAATAGTGAGTGTCAGGGAGTCTGCTCAGCGTCAGAGGGGCAGAACATGCGCAAGGGCAAGGGCGTCGCAACAGGGCCAAAGCAGGGCGCTGAGGGCGTCCGCACCATGAATTCCTCTTGTTGATCGCGGGTGCGGCCCCTTCGCTTGGCTCAATTTTTTTTATATTTGGAGCCAACATCCGTCACCTGAAGCAGGTCTAGTGGCTTCGGGCCTTACCGCTTTACCCCTAGTCGCACGCCATTGCCCCCCCTCTCGACGCCTATCATACGCCCATGATGATTTAATCCAGGGGGAATCCAAGCCTAGTGAGCCTAATCGGTGGCCCCAGCAAGCAACTGGCAAGCCCAGGTTTGAGACCTCCCTGGACCTCCCTCGTCCCGCCAGCCGCGTCGCGCCTGACCATTCACGTCTCGCACAAGCGCGTTCAGTGGTCATCTGGTCTTACTGCTGCAAACCAACATCACCGAGCGCACCATGGTCACGAACACCTGGGGCTCACTGGCTTATCCCCAACGAAAACACTGCTTGTTGTGTGTCATCCCATCATCCTCCATCAAGAATTTTGCATATCAAAACAAACATCTGACGGGTGTCGAGGGTGTGTGATAAACACCGACTACGTCAACACGCAACATTCCCACTGTCACTTCGAGCGCGCTCGTGCCACCCTCCTTCGACCAAGCAGCCAATGTGTGGCCATTCCGCCGCGCCCGGCACAGATGCCTCCCTAGCCGTGACACCTGAAACCACCCTCTCACACTCGCATTCCTCTGAGAGCGACGCAGCAAAGGGATCACAATCGTTGCGAGCTTTCGTCCCTAGCTCCACCCTTTGCGTCTCTGCGTTCGACCTGGTGACGTCCACCGCCCTGCCGCTGTCGATTGTGCATCACTCTCTGCGGGTCTACCTGTTTGCGAAATGGTTGGCTGAGTGCGAGAAGAGTGAGTGGGCGGATAGTGAACTCTTGTTCGTGGCATGCATATGCCATGACCTGGGTGCCACCCAGGCGCACAATGGCCCGCAACGATTCGAGGTCGAGGGCGCTGATGCTGCCGCGGAGTTCCTACGCAGGCAGGGAAAGTCGGAAGCGGAGGTGCATGAAGTTTGGACGGCGGTTGCTTTACACACCTCGCCTGGCATCGCAGAACGCATCACTCCATTGGCTAGGCTGGTGAGGTTGGGCGTCCTGATTGACTTTCGTCCGGCAACCCGGTCTTCCTTGGGCGCGGCGGCCTATGCTGAAGTCATCGAGGCCAAACTTCCGCGATTGGAGATTGAGAAGATTTTGGGGGACGCTGTCGTTCATCAAGCTGTTCAGAACCCAGCAAAGGCCCCGGCTGCTTCATGGCCGAATAACCTCTACAAGTCATATCTCGAGAACCCTGGATGGACAGGTATCAATCGAGCTTTTTGAAGAGCATTAAAAATTGTATTTATTTTTTTTTGAAATAACAGTTACTGTTAAGGGCCGTCATCGGTCACAATCGCAACCTCCTTCCGATCGCCCCGAAGCAAAGGCATGTGCAAAAGAGTATACTTGCCAACCAAGTATAGACACCAAATTTTTCAGATGCCATTGGCTGGTGTATCTCTGGAACTGGCACAAAGTCTGGATCCACTACCAACATCACCAAAGTGCCGATGATGCCTACGGCTGCTGAGAAGGCAAAGCCGGGCAGGGATCGGTCAATAAGATACCACAAGACAGGGTTTGCCAGAGCCAAGGTCAAAGCGACCTGTAGCGTCGACTGCCAGGGAATCCGTCGCTGACACAATAGTTAGTATGTGCTATCGATGATGGGAGGAGGGCACGATGGCTCACCACTGCAAATGCAATACCAACGAATGCCCCCATGCTTCGAACGGCAGAGTACCACAATGGGCCCAATCCACTATCGGAGGACGAGCCAGAAGTGGCTCCTTCAGGTTGAAGCGACGTAGTCTTAGCGGACTTCGCGTCAGAAGGCACGAACCTCTCCCAGAAGGAATCGACTAGTGGCAGCGCATTCCCGAGCAGGATGCCAAAGATGCCCCAAGAGACCTGATAGTACAAAGAACTCCGGTCAATATCAGGCACTGGCACCGGCGTTATGCGTTGAGTCCTGTGGAGATGTGTAATGATTGTCCCATAGCCAATTCCGCATCCGAATAACAGTGAGTTCTGCAAAAGCAGAGGCACGAGATAACGGCGGAACCCTGTTCTCTTAACTTTAGGGCGAGGTTTTGTGGCTTCTCCGTTCCAAGTCAACGGGGCACTTGCTGATTCGTAGCTGTAGTCGTCTACGCTCGGTCTTTTGCTGGGTGTCTGTGCCCCAGTGCCCCAGGGCGTAGATATTTCATCCCGGGTTCCATCTGAGGTGAGCGGAGAGTAAATCCCAAGCAAAGTTGATGAAGTCAAGTTGAGGATTGATCGGGTACGACTCGGAGGAAGGTCAGGCTTCTGGGCCGTGAGCAGTTCGGGGTTGGTATTCTCAGCCGGTGATGGAGGGTGCGACGAGTCGGTCGAGGATGGGGTGATCTCAAAAGCTCGTCGAGGGACGGGTCGGTAGACTTGAGGCATTTCCATGGTGACGAGAAAGAAGTCTCGTGCCTTGGAAGGCGGTGGCAGGGACAAGGAACACGAATTGAGGGTGAGGATATGTAGGCAGCAGTTCAATAGAGCGGGACTGGTGCTACGGTCAATGCGAAATGGAGAGTCGAAGTATTATTTCAATCATGACGGTGAGTGGGAGGATGTCAGCCTCAGACAAAGAGAGCTAGGATGAGCAGACCAGAGTGATGCGGTGTGGAGGCGTCAAGTCCGCTGTTGTAGTGGCAGCACACGAGCTGAGCTGATGGTAGGGAATATTCTGTTGTTGTTTTTTTCCTTCTTTCACATGTCCATATGCAGGTCGACTCGGAGGTGCTCCAGTGTCACACAACGCTTCACCAACCACACAACACCCAAGAACACCATACCGGAGTGGCTGAGTTGGGACTAGGCACCGCTTAAGCACCCGCGAAGTGCAAGGTAACACGGGATGGTGCGGAGTACCTCGTAATGGAATGCCGCGTCTTTTGCCAGGCGACTGACGTTGAATGCTCCACAGTATTATTGGTGCGGAGTATAGGCAATGTGGAGCGAAGCTACCGCAAGTCAGCTTTCTTGGGTTTTTTTTGGGTTGTCTACCCGGTACTTGCACATGAAAAATTCATCAATCACTACCGCCGTGACACTCGATCTACAACTTGGGCTTCGCAGCAGCAGCCGATCGCGCCAGTGTAATTTCATCCCAGTCAAGTGCCTTCTTCGTGGCTTGAAACGCTCTCAGCCCAATTGCTGCTTCTCCATCGGGGCGCATCATCTTGTCGAAGAGCTGCTTAATCCCTTTTGCTTGCTGCTCGCTTCCGGCCTGGGCCCAACCCAGCTGGATCAGTTCTTTGCACATAGTTGATGCTTCAGGCCCAGCTACCTTCAGGCGAATCAAGTACCGATCCAATTCTGACGGCAGCTGCCCAGGCTCGTCCACAACCTTAGTGATCAAACCCAAGGACCGGAACTCATCCATTGGGATCGCCCTGGCAGAGAGCATGGCCTCTCGGGTGAAAGCAAATCCACACTCTCTGATCACATATGTCGAGATCGTTGCTGGACACAACCCTAGTTTGGCCTCGCTCAGAGTAAACGTGGCAGATTTGGCTGCGATCCTGATGTCGCACGCAAAGGCGAGTCCAACTCCACCACCGAAAGCTGATCCGTTGATGCCGGCTATTGTCACCTGAGGTGCCTTGTCAATCGCCTCGAATAGCTGCGTGAGCCGCCCATATTGTGCATCACTGACTTCGCTCGACTGTGCAACCGGCGAGGTCCCTTTTCCAAGGTCCATACCGGCACAGAAGTATTTTCCTTCGGCCGTGATGACTATGCGAGAAATTGTGCGATTGCCTCGCGCGCTGCGGAAAAGCTCTGTTAAATCGCCGATCATTGCGGTGGTCAGGGCGTTACCCTTCTTTGGCTGATTGAGAACCACTTTGAGATTGACTCCGAAGCGATATACTCTGATGCTCTCTGTCTCACTGACCAACGTCCATGAGAGTCCAGGGTCAACTTCACTCTTTTGCTGTATCGTACTTTTAGAATGAAGGAGGGCGTGTTTGGCTGTCAGAGCAACCCCAGCACGGCTTTCATTTGGTTTCTTGAGCTGGTCCGAAATCCAATTCCCAACCTCCACAAGCTTCGGAAGGTCAACACCTGTCTCAAGCCCAGCCTGCTGGAACAGGAACACTAAATCTTCGGTGGCAGCGTTTCCCTTCGCTCCGGGCGCAAACGGGCAGCCTCCCAATCCACCAACGCTGCTGTCGAATACTCGCAGACCACACTGATAAGCCTGCCAGACGTTGCCGACTGCTTGGCCATATGTGTCGTGAAAATGCCCCGCAAGTTGGAACGCAGAAATCCCGTTATTCTCAAGGTACAGGAGCAAGCTCCTGACGTCGGCCGCTGTGCCAATGCCGAGTGTATCGCCCAGACTGACTTCATAGCATCCCATATCCAACAGTTCGCGCACAGCTTTGAGCACAGCTGCCTGTGGAGTGGGCCCGTCGAATGGGTCTGCAAAGATACACGAGATATATCCCCTAACCGCCAGACCAGCAGCGGTTGCTTTCTGGGCCACTTGTCTCGCCCTTGCCAACCCCTCGTCAACAGTCGCATTGATGTTGGCTCGGCTGAATCCCTCACTGGCGCTCACAAACACCGCTACCTCTCGCACTGAGTTTTCCATGGCAATCTGCAACCCCTTCAGGTTGGGAATTAAGACGGGAAGTCGAAGATTGTCATCGGGTAACAGAGTCTTGATTGTTTGATTTGCGAGAACTTGTCGACAGTCGGCTAACTGCGGGATAGCGCGCGGTGAGACAACGGACGTGATCTCTATCGTCTCCAGCCCCGTGTCGCGCAGACGGGCGATCAGCTCCAGCTTCGTCGCCGTCGGGATAGTCGTCTTGATGTTTTGAAGCCCGTCGCGAGGTCCCACCTCGACGATGCGGACGTCCCTCCTCCTCCCACCGACGTGAGAAATGCCTCGAGCCATGCTTATTGCAAATGTATTATTTCCCCCGAATGAGCTAGGAGGCGAAGGGACAAACCTCCATCGTGACGCGCTATAATATATCGAAGCCGACCTTTTGCAATCACTGGCACGGCAACGAGAAGAAGACACGCGCCAGAGACTCATTAGACGTTACCTATTGTATAAGTAGCGTACATACGTTCACGTCACCTTTCCGAATTATTGCTTTTCACCTGTGCAGAAGCCGAAGGGGGGTGCATTGATCGCCTGCGAATCATTCCCCCGCCCCCTCGAAAGTCCGAGCCCAATTTTCCTTCCCTGGCCAAAAATAACCTCGGAGCCTTGCTGGCTCGGATTTCTGTGCGTTGCCCGTTCGCAGAGTCGAGAGTGGGCCCGGCAGCACTGGCCCGGGTACGAGACACGGCGAGACGGGTAAAGGGCACCATAATACATGGTACTGCATGTACTTGTACTGTGCCAGTAGACAACGGTCCAGGTCCGTGCCAATGCAAAGCCAGGTTGCGGGCTACAGGGCCGAGGCTCTTACCCCCTGCGAATACCTACTACTTACTCCTGTGATACTACCCACTAACTACCTTCTCATTTTTGTCGTATACTATGTACTCCGTCTCGCTTACTACTACGTTGGTACGTCCTTCGTATTCCTAGGTACGCGGTGCATACCACGGAGAAAGATACCCAAGGCCCCTCGTCCAACTCTCCCTATCTATGTGTCGGGGTATGGTTGTATGTAACCCCCGTCTTACTCCTCCCGATCTATGCTCATCACCCCCCTTTTCTTCGTGGCTTAGTGCGGTTAGACCACTTACTCCATTCGACACTTCCAACTCTCCCTGGTGCCAAGGTGGCTGATGTGCTTAAGTAAGATCGAGAAGAAACGTCACTAACGCAATAGTAGTAGTTGTCCCCGTGTCGTGCCATGGTGTACTTGTTAGTTGATGTACTCGTACCGTAAGCAGGCTTCGGCCATGTTGTGATAATGGACGAACGTGGCTCCTGGGCACAGCATAGCGACTCTGGAATATGCTGGAGGCAGAACAGAGTCGAGCCAGCCATTCATGTGCTAGGACTGTCTATTTCTATTCATCTCTCATCCTATACACCGACGCTGATGTTGTCCACCATGACACTCACTGATTCACAGCTTAGCTCTCACCACTGCTGCCTTCTCCCCTGGCGCTTTCTCTTCCGCCACACCCTTGCCCATCTTGACAAGCCTCTCCCCAACATCCCTAAGGACGTGTTTCATGATCTTTCCACTGCCGGTCTTGGGAAACTCGTTTCCCACACCCTCGTCCCCGATCCAGAAAACGTACCTGGGCGCCTTATGGCTGCCCAAAGACTTGCGCACCCAGTTGTTGATTTCCTTCCAACTCGGCCTCATGAGCCGCGTTGTCCTGTTCTCCTCCTTGAGGTCCAGGTCGAGGCAGCCCGGTCGCGGATGCTCGCGGAGAAACGCGCCGACAACCTCGCCGTATCTCTCGTCTTTGATGGCGACGCAGCTGGCCTCGGCGACCGAGGGGTGGTCGGCCAGGCGCGTTTCGATTTCGCTGGGGAAGATGTTTTCGCCGCCTTGTAAATGCCCCGAGCAGTCAGTAATTGTCATACAAGAGGCCATTGCAGAGAGGGGGGTAGGATCAAAAGTAAATGGGCGTGTTGGACCAGTAACTTACCACGAATGATAATATCCTTGATCCGCCCAGTCACAGAACAATAGCCATCTTCGTCAATGACGCACTCATCACCAGTATACATCCACAGAATGCCGTTCTCATCCCGTCTCATTGCCTCTTCCGTCTTTGCTGGATTATTGTAGTATCCTTTCTGCAAAGCGTATCCACTAACACAGAGCTCGCCTCGCACGCCGCGCGGGACTATATTCCCGGCGCGGTCGACAATTTTGGCCATCGTATGTGGTAGCACTCTCCCAACCGTCTTGGTTCGTCTTTCTTCCGTGTCATCAAACGAAGTGATGAACGTTACTGGGCTCGTCTCGGTCATGCCATATGGGATAAGCATTCCCTTGATCCCAAACTCTCGGTCTAACTGCTTCACCAACGCCGGCGGAACCGATGACCCTGCAACAAGCCCTGTCTTTACCGACGAGATTTTGTATCGTTTTGCTTTATTGGCTTCAATTTCCGCGATGAACATAGTTGGCACGCCGAGGAGCGCGGTGCATTTCTCCTCATAGAGTGCATCGAGGACAGAGTCGGCATCGAACTGGTCGCATGGGAAGACAACTGTGGAGCCATGAGTGAAAGCCCCCAAGAAACCCATCACAAGGCCGAAACAGTGAAACAGTGGAGGTGGGCAACAGATGATGTCCGAGTGGTTCAATTTCATGGTCATTCCAACGAAGCGGGCGTTGTTGATCAGATTCCTGAACAGTTCGTTAGCAGGGGCAAGTGGTCTCAACCAGAGTAGGAGGTTTGATTACTTGTGAGTTAACATGGCTGCTTTCGGGACGCCAGTGGTTCCTATTCAAGTCAGCATGGGTGTACATCAACGCACGGGAGAGAGGTTGACCTACCAGAAGTAAATTGAAGGTTCACAACATCGTCACAGCGAATACGGGTCTCTGCTTGCTTCAACGTTGCCGTGTTGATATTCCGGCCTTCATACACGAAAGACGAATATGCGCACAGCCTTAATGAGTTGTGCGTTGCACTATCACCAGTTGACAAGGATACGCAGGGTAAGGTGCTCAGCTCCTTGGCCACCGCTTCGACATGCGTAGACAGGTCCTTCAGGCGGATCTTTGAAGCGACAAAAAGAAGTTTACAAGCTGTATTTCGAGTCAGACCAGCCTTGTGAAGAGTTCGGTAAGAAGGCTCACAAGTTACTCTCAGTGCAGAGACCAGCTCTTTGGGAGTATATGTATTGTTCAAGACGACGAAAGGGCAGCCAATCCGAGCGGCGGCGATGAAGGTCTCGAGGTACTGGTAGCAATTTCCAGCCATGATTGCAATGCTGTCTCCGTGCCTCAACCCTCTGGCCAACATCGACTTTGCGACTGCTTCGCTCCGGCTTGCGAGGTCATTGTACGAGAGTTTGTGACGTTGCCAGGAGAAGGTGGCTGCTGTGTGGTCTCCGTATCGCGCAGCCTGCCGCTGCATAAATTCTCCCAATGTCTCTTCCAATAAAGGCGGCGTTCGTGGGCCTGAAACCAAAGAGGCTGCTGACGACATTGTTGTTGTTATTGTTTTTGTTGGTTCTGTCGGACGGGTTGCAAGATCTGTGCTTGCCATTATGTACTGTATGCGGCCTCGCAGAGTCCCGGTAATAGCCCTAGTGATGTTGCTGCAGACCCAGTATATGAGTGAGAACTGTCACGAAACCGGCAACTAAGAACGACACCATAAGAGGAATTAGTATTGTCAGCACCACGGTATTCAGCATCCCCGTTGCGAGTCGATGTAGATGTGGAGCCGGTTCCGCCATGGCGGGCCGCCTTGCAGGGGTTGTGCTCAGTGCCCGCCCCACCGTCCAACCGGGGCAGCCTCGGCCTAACCGTCATTGTTTCCATGAATGTACCTCGTAATTCCGGTTCAACTGGCAGACTCCCCATCACATTGAAAGCCCGAAAATCGTTTCACCAGGTATCGCTCTGTCTGGATCAGCTACTCTCTATCTCAAACGCTTTTTTCAATATGTCGCAAACAGCTTGTTTCCCTGTGGTCGAGTCGCTTCTTGACGTGACTAGAGACCCGTATAGATCAAATCGAGACGCATGGAAGCCGGTAATGGAAGAGTTCTCCCAAAATCTGAGAAGGACCACGTCCGAAGGCAGTTCCCAGTCTACCGACAGACATGAGAAGAGGGGACAATTGCTGGCAAGAGACAGGATATCCCTGCTGTTAGACGCCGACTCGTCCTTTCTTGAATTGGGCTCTTTTACCGGGTTCGAGTTGGAGGACTCGAGCCCCTGCGCCAGTCTCTTGGCTGGCATTGGAAGCATCAGCGGCCGGATCTGCCTCGTTCTTGCACACATTGCAACACAGAGCGGCGGCGCGTGGAACGAGTTAACGGTGATCAAACAAAACAGAGTGACGGAAATCGCCAACGAGAACGACCTACCACTCGTCGCCCTTGTGCAGTCTGCAGGAGTCTTTCTTCCGCAGCAGTTTCGCGTTTTCCACAAGGGCGGACAGATTTTCCGTGATCTCGCCCTGCGAACTCAGAATCAACAGGCTTCCTGTGCAATTGTTTTCGGCTCTTCAACAGCAGGTGGCGCGTACCATCCTGGGCTCTCAGATTATACCATCTTTGTGGAAAATCAAGCGCAGGTATTTCTCGCGGGTCCCCCCCTAGTTAAAATGGCTACCGGCGAAAATATCGACGCGGAGCAGCTAGGAGGGGCTCGAGTTCATGGAACTGTTACCGGTCTTGCGGATCAAATTGCTTTTGACGAATTTGATGCGGTCCGGAAGGCTCGTGAATGGGTTAGCACACTATCGCCCCGGAGTCGACCAATGCAGCCAATGCGTCCTCCGCTTGCTCCGCGTTATCCGATCGAGGACATATTTTCCATCGTCAATCCCGACGTCCGGAAACCTTTCGATATGAAAGAGGTGGTTCTTCGGTTGGTTGACGATTCACGCTTAGCCATGTTCAAGCCAGAATATGGCAGTAATCTGTTGACAGGATGGGCCAACATCATGGGTAAGTGCTGCGCTGGTCTTCCCAACGGAAACATGTGGTGACTTGAAGTAGGCATGCCTGTTGGGTTGATCGCCAATCAGACACCCATCATCAACCCAGATGAAGCATCAAAAGGAACGCAATTCATTCGCATGTGCAACCAACAAAACACCCCAATTATCTTCCTGCACAACGTAACGGGCTTTATGGTCGGCTCGAAGGCCGAGCATGCAGGCATCATCAAAAAGGGGGCGCAATTTGTATCTGCGGTTAGTTGTTCAAAGGTTCCGCATATTTCCATCATCTTGGGGGCATCATATGGAGCAGGCAATTATGCTATGTGTGGGAGGTCATATCGGCCACGCTTTCTGTTCACCTGGCCAACTGGGCGGTGCAGCGTTATGGGACCTGAGCAACTGTCTGGGGTGATGGCTCAGGTTGAAGCCAACAGTGCCCGGAGCAAGGGAGTGGTGCTCAAGCCCGAGGAAGTGGAAGCCAGAGTGCAGCGTCTGCAAAAGGAGGTCCAAAGGGATAGCAGCGCGTATCGGACGAGCGCGCACATGCTTGATGATGGAGTGATTGACCCTCGAGATACTCGTGACGTGCTTGCAATGTGTTTAGAAGTTGTGCAAGCGCCACCAGTGCAAGGAAGTGCAGGACACCGGGCGTTGGCCAGGATATGATATGGAAAATGAGAATGGAAATGGGAGAAAGGATAAATGCGGGAAGCGAAGTTGAGTGCGGAGCTCTCCATAAAAAAATGGAGGCTGTCTGACGTACGCTTTTTCGTGTGCAGCAATGTCCTCCTCCTTGCCTCACCTCGCTCCTCATATGTTTCACCGTGCCATACGGGGGATAATTTTCTGTCAGACACAATACTTATAGCCCATGACACGTCATTTCTAGACACGAGTTCTTCTCACTAACCTTGGCTGGACTTCCCACCTACTTTCTTCTGCATCAACCCCCTGGAGATGCCGCTTCTTTTCGTACATCTAGTCTTTGAGCTTTTCGTATCCATCTTTCATCATGGACGACAGCCGCTATGCTAAAAGAGCACGCCAGGCGTGTCTCAACTGCAGGAGGTGAGATGGTCCTGTTGGAACCGACCCGCAATCTTCGGGCAATGTGTTCGATATGGTGTCTCGAGCATCCGTCAACACCAACTAACAGTGATTGGTAGGAAAAAGACGCGCTGCTCTGGGCACAAACCAGTGTGCGCCTTCTGTGCCCGGCTCAACCAACGCTGTACGTGGGATGGCGATGCAGATGTCTCGCCTGAACCACTCGCCGAAACGGGCCGAGCTCCATCCTCCTCAGGTATAGCCGCGCATAATGCAAGCCTTGCTGCAAGAGTCGCTTTGCTCGAGTCTCGGCTGAGCTTTCTGGATGCGGACAACGCTTTCAGCTTATTCACCTCCGTGTCGCCACCAACGACAATCAATCAGCCTGTGGACCAGTATCCCAATATCGACGAACTTGCCCGGAAGAACCGCGATTTCTCATCTCTTCCAGATGTGTCAATCTTCCGTTCTCTTGTCGAAGTCTATTTTCAACGTTGTCACAACCAGCCTTACTCTTTCTTCCACGAAGAGATGTTTCGCCATGATTATGAAGCCGGATTGTTGCCCGAATACTTAATGTACGCTTTTGCTGCTGCCGCCTGCCGCTTCTCCGACCACGATTTCTATCAGCAGCGTCGTGATGAAGCGATTGATGCCTATGCCCAGTCATCCTTTGGGCAGATATTCGAACATTCATTCTCAGTCTCCGACAGTTTAGAGCCGTGGATGGCGGTGTCCCTCTCCATATTGGCGGTGGTGGACTTCGCAGGTGAGTTTGACTACAACCTTTTTTCTTACCATGCAAGTATTGACTCAGCATCAAGCCGGACGTCCGAAAATTGGCTGGGTGAAACTAGCTCTTTCGTGTCGCTTTGCACAGGCCTTGCGGCTTAACGAAGAACCCGACCAACAACTTCCCGTCCACGAACAAGAAGAGCGGCGTCGAATATTCTGGTCGATCTATCTCCTCGATATTCTGATGTCAGTCGGCCCCAACCGACCTCCTTCACTTCTCGATGAGGACTGCACTGTCCATCTACCATGCGATGAGGGCCTTTTCCGGGATGGACTCAGTGGCGGCCCTGTGCCAACTTTGACCGCTGTCGTGGACAATCCGTCAGGTTCCAATTACCAGAACCTAGATCCCTTCGCCATGACTATAATCATGGCCTCGGCGTTGGGCCGCTTCATACGATTTAGCCTGAAGCGCACGTTGAATACGACACATGTCCTTTGGGATCCACGGTCCAAGTATTACGAGGTACAGAGCATTTTGCTATATTACGAAAGCCACTCACCATGTGCCTTCACTTCAATCGCTGAGGCACTAAATCGACATCATTCATTCAACGACTCAGTGTCACCATCACAAATCAGTCACATCATCTACTCTCACGCCCTCTACCACCTCAACAATTGTCTTCTCAATCATCCATTCATATTGTATCGCTTTTTCCAAACATATACCGTACCTGTCCCTCTAAGTTTTGTGCAAGAGGCACTGCAACGATGCCGCAAGCACGCGACAAATCTCCTTGAGCTGCTTGATGATCTGGAAACCTATGGGCCCCTCAGTCATCCTAGCTTTTATGGCTACTGTGCAATGGCTGCGGGGGTGGTCCATAGCATATACGAGAAAAGCGATGACGCTGAAGTTGCAGAGACTTCGAAGAAACACCTCCAGGCTGCATTAAGTTTTCTACAACGCGAACCAGTGCGTTGGGGTCATGTGGGCCACATGGTAAGTCATCAGTCCCCCCTTCCTTTGCAACCATTATCTTGACTGCTGCCCGGCATACTGCTCCGTGACAGTCGCAATGATAAAATAGCGCGATGAATGTGCGCTGATTTGAGTTTAAAGGGAACTCTCCTCCGGTCGTTCAAGTTGGATTCAGGGGCAGCAAGAATCCTGACAAATCCTGTGAGCCTGGCACAGAAAGCGACTGTACCACTCGGGAACGTTTTATGGCAGCTTCTTGATTACGCTTGGTTACCTCAAAACATACGTCCTGGTGAGATTAGATCTTCTCTATCAGATCTACTACCCGGAATAGACCATCTCCTACCGAATACGACCGAGTCTTCGGCTTCAGACAGCACAAATCTTCCGACGGGTCAATATAACGCAAGTGGTGTACTACCTTCAACTTATGCTCGAATGCTGGGAGAAGATATGGGTGGTATTTTGTCCGAAACGATGGGAGACGGTGGCTCGCGAGGCTTTGCACGACCAACGTTTCCCAACGGATCGTCGGCTGCTTTTTGATGTCTCATGAGTCTTCAGGTGAGTTCCCCCCCTTCTTCTCCCTCACACACACTCTCGGTTGAAGTCAGTTGTGAGCTTCCATATCTCAGGGCAATCTTCAAGAAAGGTGCAGCTCTTAGACAACGGCTACACTGAAGTAATTGTAGGTACACTGACAATTTGCTTTAGTTCTACATCTTAGCGATCAAGCGTCTTTCTACCTTGCCCCAGGTGATAATTCCCTCCTGCTCCAAATCGTCCGGCAATCGAAGTCACAATTTGCTCGACGGACGAGACAACCTTTGTAATTCTTTTGTCTCCAGCTTGACTGCAAGGTCGCTCAATATCTCGTCGCTGCCTCCGCCCACCACCATAACCCGAACATCTCGACTAATCTGCTCGATTCTAGCACCCTTACCGGTCCTTGAATACCCTGCTCCGCCCATTATCTGCTGCGCATCCCGGTTGACGCGCTCCAGTACTCGCCCCGCGCTGGTCTTTAGAGTGGCGATCATCCCTCCAAGGTTGAGGTCTCTCTCAGATGTGGCCGTGGCTGATGCCAGTATGCGGCGGCCTCCGTTGCGACTTTGGGCCTTTCTCTTTCGCTCATGCTCGGTCAAGTACACAATTGACTCCAGATATGCATATGCCGGTTCGACGTCACGGGCAAAATCCGCGAATTTAGCCGAGATCACCTGGTTCGCAATCAAGGGCTTGCCGAAAGTTTCTCTTCTGAGCGCATGGGCATAAGCATCTTCGATGCAAACTCGCGCCATGCGAAGGGATGTACATGCCAGCCAGAGTCGTTCATGGTTGAAATTCGACATGATGATATCGAAGCCTCGGTTCTCCTTGCCAAGGAGATTCGACGCCGGCACCGTGACATCGTCAAACTCGATGTATGTGGAGCCGCTGGCGTTGACGCCCGAATTCTCGATCTTGCTGCATTTCACACCGGCCGAACTGAGCGGTATTATGAGAGCAGATACTCCCGCGCGGCCTGGTCCACCTGTGCGTACCGCGGCGGTGCAGTAGTCGGCGAATATGGCGTTTGTGATCCACTTCTTCGCTCCGTTTACAATGTACACATCTCCGCGACGCTCCGCCGTCGTTGTGATGCCTGCCACGTCAGACCCGGCTATGTGCGAGTTAGCAACTGGACGCTCAATCATTGGGGGGCATTGGGGGAATGGGGGGGGAGAATACCATCGGGCTCCGTCACACCAAGACAAAACCGCGACCTGCCAGCAATCACGTCTGGCAAGAACCTCGCCTTCTGTTCATCGTTCCCAAAGTTTATCAAAGGCGGAGCGCCGATCGAATTTCCGCAACTCAACGCCCATATCACGCCCAAGTAGCCACACCTGGCAATCTCGTCGATCACGATCAAATCGTGGAACCCATCCCACTCTTCCGGCTCGACGTCTCCAGGCAGCCTCTGGCCCAGGGCTTTTATTTGCGCAACGGCAAGCGGGTACATCGAGACGGCCATGTATCCCAACCGCGCATGATTGAGGATGACTTCCTTGGGCACGGAACCTTGTCGCTCCCAGTCTTCGCAGAACGGCGTGATATGCGTGGCGACGTATTCGCGCGCTTCGGCTTGGAGGCGCCGGTGGCTCGCGTTGTAGTATGGGCTGATGTCGCGCGAGAGCCAGGGCGGGTCTGCATAGGGTGCTGGGGAGATTGAAGGAGCCATTGTGGAAGAGTTCAGAGTGGAAAAGTCCAAATCCAACGTCCAACGTTCAACGTTCAGTGTTCAAAGTTCAGACACTGGTAACTGGTTGTTCTCTGTGAGATGTTCCGAATGACTCAGTCGCTTAGCATCAATCCTGTTTTCGTTCCAACCTCTGCCTCTGCCTTTACCTTTGCTATGGCGAGAAATCCAAATAAGGCCAGATTCTTTGTCTCGCACCCGATTCAAAAAGCAGTAGTTCAGTCAATCACTCTTAAGTGCACCCACCCCGTCCCAAGGAAATCGCTCGGGCCTCGAACCCGGGCGGGCAGTGGGCACCTCCATCAATCCTGGGGCGCGGGCCTCGTAACCCACACACCCGCTGCGGGAGAATGGGCACTCGCTTTTGCCTTCTCGCAAGCCGAGGCGGAGCTCGCGGAGCTGGGGTGATTACGAGGTATGTAGTCTGTATGTAAGTAGTGGGTAGTACTCGATACATACCGAGATGTCCGTATTTTAGCGGCCGAGTGGGACGTCCCTCCGTCCCTCTTACTACGCATGATACGAGGAAGGGTGTTCAATGTTACGGCCCATGCACCTACCAACATAGGCAACTAGGTATGTAGTAATTGCTTATGCTCGCTCTCCCGTCTTACACGCCCTCAGCGCGAAGCCACGACGTGTCGAGGGGTGGATGCGGTCGCGTGGAGCATGCGCCGGGTGAGAATTTTCCGATTTTCCGGTGCCATGGCCGTGGCTGGCCCGTGGGCGGGCCGGGTTCATGGTTGACTATCTATGCACTGTACAGGGTATTTGTATGCCTTTGTACGAGTACGGCTGGGTGCGCAACTCCTCGGCCTTGCTGGCTGGCCAGGGAATGAGCCTTGGACGGGAGGAGTAATAGGTACTGCATGGCACCGATGGCGAGGCCTTGACTTGTTGGAGGATAGTTGGACACATACACACAGAGAGAGTTTGTGCGCTACCGACTCTAGGTGGCTTGCGAGGTCGGCATCTAGTCTAGGATATACAGGTTTTATTGAGTGATGACAGGATTATTCATGCACATCGCCATATCGGGTTCTTGACAGATCAAATCTTGACATACAAGATCTCGATATACTCCGTACATACTATATCTATTGTATGATTATGCAGCTATTCAACCCAGCACAGCACGCCCCCATCATCTACTGCAGCCCCATTCTTGACTCCTGTCATGAACTTCCCGTCCACATTGATGCAGATATTCGTCTCCATCTTCATACTTTCAATGACCATGACAATCTCCCCCGCCTTGACTTGATCCCCGTTGGTTTTGAGCACCGAGAGGACTTTGCAAGGCATGGGGGATTTGACCACCTTCGAATTTGATGAGGCCGAAGAGCGGCCACCGGCGCCTGATCGTAGACTTTCCATATAATTGAGGATACTGTAGCATTTATATTCCACCCAGGTCCCCAATCCTCGGATATGGCATAGAACGGTTTGATAGGAGCCAGTGGATGTTGCGGGGTTCAAAGGTGCGTCTGTGGCGATGTGGGCGTGGATGATGGATTGGTTGATTGATATGGCTACTAACGCTGTTCTCCATCCGTTGCGGGCCGTGGTATCCTGCAAGTCTCTCCATTTGGTAAATTCCACGGTGTACTGTGGAGCTTTGGCTAGAGACGGGTCTCTAAGCTTGTGGCTGATGTCATGATATTGTCGAGATATTTGGTAGGCCTCGGAGCTGCGAGTTGTTGTGTCGGGGACACTGTCGGTTTCGGCTGTTGGAATGGGGAGTAAAGTGGCCTGGTATTCCGAACGGCCGCTCTCGGCGCGAGAATGGGCATTCCAGATTGACAATATCGGTTCTTGCGCCGATGAGGGATCTGAAGGAACAATCACGGTTGTGTTGCGATTGACCGGGTCGAAGTATTGATTCCTGAAACCTCGAGTGACGTGCTTGAAAGGTCTAGGTTCGGTGGGCTGAGATGCTAAATTCCTCAACACGAGGCCCGGGAGAAGGGAGAGCATAGAGATCATATTTTGTGCAGACTCCGTGTAGGGGTTCTTCAGCAGGCTTTCCACATGCGTGGGAATCAGCGACGTCGTGTATGCCCGATCATGAAAGCTTTTGTGTAGAAGACAGGCCTGGAGGAAAAGCTGATTTGTTTTCACGCCTGCACATACTGTATTTGCCAAAACCTTAACCATTTTTGAGATTGCTATGGCTCTTGTTGGTGCCCATACCACGATTTTGGCGATCATCGAGTCAAAGTAAATCGATATGCTGGACCCAGTCTGTACAGCGGTCTCGTATCGTACGTCTCTTGACGCTAGATACTGGTCTGATTCTCGCCACAATTGAATGGTGCCATTTTGTGGCATAAAATCACTGCTAGGATCTTCAGCGCATAGGCGGCACTCGATTGCATGGCCCTTTTGGGGAATATGTTGTAGGATGGCGAGACTGGAGAGGGATCCGCCGGCGGCCACAAACAATTGCAATGAAACAACATCAAGGCCTGTAACTTCCTCTGTGATGGGGTGTTCGACTTGGAGACGCGTGTTAACTTCGAGGAAATAGAAACTGCCATCTCTGACGTCCACGACGAACTCAACAGTCCCTGCACCTTCGTAGCCAATGAGCTCCCCTATTTGAACAGCAACGGCGCACATTCTTTGCCTCTGTTCTGGAGTTAAAAAAGGGGATGGTGTCTCCTCGATAATCTTCTGGTGCCGTCGCTGAACAGAACACTCTCTCTCCCACAACGAGAGGACTTTGCCATGGCTGTCACCAATTATCTGAACTTCGACATGTTTGGCGGCCTCGATGTACTTCTCCAGAATGCAGTCGCTTGACCCAAATGAGCGTTGAGCCTCGGATTGTGCGCGGGCAAGCTCGCCCGCAAGTTGTGAGCGCTCTCGAACGATTCGCATCCCGCGACCTCCGCCTCCAGCAGACGCTTTCAGCATCACCGGAAATCCTACTTTTTCCGCTGCGGTTTCCAACTCTCTGACATTCTGACTTGAGCCGGTAAATCCTGGGATAAGGGGAACCTTGGGCGCATGTTTCCTCAAGTAGTCCTTTGAATTCCGCTTGTCGCCTAGCGTTGACATGGCCTGGGAGCTTGGTCCGACGAATATCAGTCCTGCTTGACGTACAGCCTCAGCAAAATCTTTGTTTTCGCTAAGATAGCCATAGCCCGGGTGTATGGCATCGGCACCCCTCGAGCGAGCAACATCAACAAGAAGCTGGATATTCAAGAATGGGTTTCCTCCGGGCTGATTGATGCTTCCCAGATCAACTGCCTCATCTGCTTCAGCAACATGACGCGAAGACAAGTCCTCTTGTGCATAGACAGCGATGGAGGTTAGATCAAGTTTCCGACATGTTGCGATGATTCGACATGCAATTTCACCTCTGTTTGCGATCAGCACCCTCTGAATCTGCTTTCTGCCATGGCTGCTGGACGGTAGCTGCGCGACGAAGAGAGGAGGTCGTTGCAAAGTCGCAGAACTTTGACCTGGGTCCGGCTGGTTATCCTGGTATTGCCTCATTCTGATGAGTTGGTGGCTGAAGATCTTGTGAAGGGTTACTTCAACCACGCCTGGGATGGGTCGCGCATTATGACCAATACGGAGGAGAAATAATGCAGTGGTTAGACTCCATTTCTCCCCGGACAAGATCTCACTCTATCCCTGGAAGCAGCTCCAGCAGAATTCGGCCAGATACCAAGCCGAGGTAAGCGGGATGCCGTCCCCTGGTCGGCGGACAAGGCGGCCCGCGCGACAAGGGCCGCCTGATCTGACGCTTGCATGTTTCACTAAGGCCCCATTCACTGAAGTTAGCGAACAATGCATGGAAGTCTGGAGAGAACGGTCCTCCGCCCGTCTGAGGCGAGGTTGCAGCAACACAAGAGTAGTTGGGGGGTGGACGACTCGACAGTACTAGTTGTGGTCGACCGTCACCGAGATCAAGGCGATTGCGGTTTCTGGTCGAAATGCTTCGCCGGAGAGTTCTCACGTGCTTGCCAAGATACACTAGCCTTAATGAGCGTTTGTATCGAATCTCGAGTTTCTCGAGTTATTTTTTCTCTGGAGGGCTTTGTTGAACAAAACCCATCCCGGCAATCGACAAAGCATCTCAACTAAAGTCACTATCTCAGGAACGAGAAAAAAAATCCAAAGTCGCGGCTCGCGACAACAGCCCTCGTTAGATACGAAATTCTGCAACCAAAAATATCCAGGACGCTAAGATGTCTCTAACCTCCGTCATCGACCCGGAAAATGCCCCAAACTATGAGGACATGGAGAAACAGTTCGCTGTGAGAGCGGTACAACATATGACTGTCTACTGGAATATCCTCGAAAAGCTACCCGGTTCAAAACTACGCCTGACTCGGCTGGACGACGACATTCTTGAGCACTTCAAGCGCGAATTTCCGGACTTCGACCCTGCTCAAGAGATCGATGAGGACGCCATGAAAAGTAAAGAGGGCAAGGAGAAGTGGCGCAATTTTGCAATGGTCTATGAAAAGGGCGAGAAGAAGATCGATGATTACAATTTCGGCACCATGCTAAGGAAAAGCCCAAAAACCGAGTATGGCGAAAAGGAAGCCATTTTCGTAATTCGAGCACAGTTCTACGCAATCGAAATTGCTAGAAACCGAGCTGGGCTCAACGACTGGATTTATGAAAATGCCCAGAAGCAGCAGACGAAATCATGAACAGGGAGATTAGCACGCCGACCGCAATTTGAACAGCAACAGACAATACTGAGCCATTCATAACAACATGAGACCGTGCCGGAATCTGTGCTTTCAAGCGCGCCGAAGCTTAAAGATTTCACTGTAAAGGGCCTCTTGGGAACCCCTTCGCATTCCAGAAGAACAATACTAAGGTGTGCCATCAACGGCCTTGGCACGCGACATTCAAGTCGAGGAATGAACATTGTTTTCAATGATGACTTTGCATGGTTTAAGTTGTTGATTCTTGGTATCTAGTTTCCACTGCAATCGATTCGCACCATTGAAACGTTGGTCCAGTCGATCATGTCTAGTCAAGCCTCTGCCGTTGCGATATGACCACAAGTGCACAAGATGAGCGTCAAACTGAATCTAACGAAGCGCAACAGAAAGATGGCGTCCTTGGCCGTTGGGGAAGCGTTTTCAAGTTCACAGCAAAGGCACACCTGCCCATTCTATCGGCAGCCATTATCTTCTCAGCCGCAGCAGGATGCTTGCAACCAACAATGGCGTTCTTCTTCGGGAAATTTTTCGACACCTTCTCGGATTTTGCTGCAGGAAAGACTGACGGTTCAACGTTTATGGAGCGCTCTCTAAGCAGTCTCTATGCGCTCTTCGGCATTGGAGGCGCCACGTTTATTTTTAAGGGCACCCTTTTTAGCCTTTGGTTGGTGTTCGGCGAGATGCAGGCAAGGAGCATTCGCGAGTTGCTTTTCCAGTCTCTGCTCGATCGTGAGATAGAATGGTACGAGGCTCGAACAACTGGAGTAGGAACAATCTTAAGCAGAGTCCGAAGGTATGGCGTGCCGACCTAATTGGCCCTCTTTCTAATTATACCAGACAGATCAGAGATGTGCAGCTAGGAACGTCGCAACCTCTCGGCTTTATAATTGTGTGTCTCGTTCAAGCAGTGGCAGGGCTTGGTCTCGCAATACACACGAACTGGAAGTTGACTTTGGTCGTGCTTTCGGCGATACCTGTCATCGCTATTGGGAGCACCCTCATTTCTCGACGCGTACAAGCGAACATAGACCACCAGAACGCAAAATTGACAACTGCCATCGACTTGGCCAATAAATGTGTCACAAACATTGTTACCGTGAAGTATTTCAACACTCAAGACCAAGAAGGAAACAACTATTCTGCAGCGGTCAAGGAAGCTGGTGTATTCTCCTTGAAGCAAGCTTTCTCCAGTTCCTTGCAGACTGGGTTCGTACGTTTCGCCACAACCGCAATGTTCGTTCAGGGCAAGTTTCTCACACCTGACCATAGGACGACTCTCATAAATGTATGCAGGGTTCTGGTATGGTGGTACACAAGTCCATTCTGGTGAAACGAGTGCCGGCAAAGTGGTCACGACATTTTGGGCCTGTCTGATAGCTACGAAGGCGTTTGAGGACATGTTGCCACACTGCATTATTCTTCAGCGGAGCCAGTCGTCGGCTGTAGCATTGAAGGCGGTGGTGGAGAAAGTCATGGATGGGAAGACGCAGTCGCGAAAGGTGGACGGATTGTCACCGCAATTTTGCGAAGGCAACATCGAAATTCAAGCGGTACGTGCTCAAATATTCTTTGCAAGCCAACTATCTGATTTTTCGAGAAGGTTTCCTTTGCCTACCCTTCAAGACCTGACTCTCTTGCCCTGGACCGTTGCACATTTTATTTTCCTGCGGGAGAGACTACATTCATCGTGGGCAGGAGCGGCTCTGGGAAGAGCACACTCAGCAATATATTGATGAGATTCTATGATCCCAGGAGCGGAGCTATCTTCATCGACGACAATGCTTTAGGAGATATTGACACAAACTGGCTCAGAAACAATATCACTCTAGTGCAACAGAACTGCGTACTATTCAGTGACACGATCTTCCGAAATATTGCACTTGGTCGCCGTGACATCAGTCGAGTTACGGAGTGTCGGGTGAACGAATGCGTCAAGATCGCAGCTTTGGAACGGACCATTGAGCAACTCCCGGAAGGTGTACATACTAGAGTTGGGACAGGCGGCTCATCTCTCGCCGGAGGCCAAAAGCAGCGTATTGCTATTGCACGAGCTTGTTTGAGAAATACACCGATATTGATACTGGACGAGGCAACAAGTGCTCTCGACAACTCAAGCAAAACAGCCGTCATGACATCTATACGAGAGTGGCGACGTGGAAAGACGACCGTTGTCATTACACATGATATGACCCAGATACAAGACGACGATTTTGTCTATGTCCTCGACAGAGGTCGGGTCATTCAGGAGGGCCGGCTTGGGAGCCTTGCCGATTTCCAAAATCCCGCCATGGACCAGCAAGCCTACGCAAAAAGACCGACAATAAAACACCTGAATTGTTCTGATAACCCCGCCCAGTCCTTATCACGATGTGGCTTTGCGGACCCGGCACAAACAGCAACCCCTTCTTCATTGTTCAGGAAGGACTCGTTCGACTTCGGGACAGTAGAAAATGCTCAGCATCGTCCTCTAGAAAATATCCAGGACTCTCGGGAAGGGGCACAAATGAGACACCGACTGAGGAAAGACCTATCTGCAAGCAGGGCAGCTGCACTGAAGCTTCTGAAACGACAATCAATGGCTCGTGCCAAAGCTATGTACTCTCTGTACCACATTCAGCCGTCTGTGCATCAGTCAATGAATTTAACATCCGCAACATATACAAGTCGCGATTCCATTGTTCGAAAATCAATTTTCGTGTCAGCCATTCCGCGAACCCCGAAGACTCGAGACAAACCGTTACCCGTACCGCCTCTGAGGTACAATATGCTCAGTGAAAATAAAGTCCCAGATGGCGACGCCAGGAACGCCATCTGGACCGAGAGAGCCAGCAGGCAGCTGCAACCAGCAGGTCCAATCCTAGCAGTATTTACTACACTATGGCCCAGCTTGGATAGTTCTAACCGCACCAAGCTGCTCCTTGGATTCCTGGCAACATTAGCCCATGCAGGAGCTCCTCCAGCATTCTCCTATGCTCTGGTGCAAGTCTTTGACACATATTACTTGCCGACAGGGTACGAGAAGAAGGCCTTGATCTACTCCATGGTTGTTGTTGGAATCGCGGTCGCGGACGGTCTCGCATGTTTCTTCATGCAGTATCTGCTAGGCTCTGCAAGCCAGACGTGGGTGGATACGCTCAGAATCCAGGCATTACGACGCATTCTCCGTCAACCAAAGGCCTGGTTTGATGAAGAACGTAACAACCCCGGAACTCTGATCTCTTCACTCGACAGGAACGCAGAAGAAGTGAAGGACCTTGTCGAACGATTCGCGGCACAGCTCCTGGTTGTTGCAGTAATGATGACTGTGGCTATGATATGGTCACTGTTCTCCTGCTGGAAGATCACACTGGTCAGTCTTGCAGCCTCGCCAGTGCTTTATGTAACGGCAAAGTGTTTCGGAAAAGTCTCTAGCCTCTGGGAATCACGATCGAGCTCGGCCAGCGACGGTGTCAACGAGATATTTGTCGAAACTTTCGCGGACATTAAGACGGTTCGATCGCTCACTCTGGAATCTTACTTCCACAAGAAGTATTGCGAGGCCACCAGTCAAACTTTTTCCATCGGCGTACGACGAGCTCTGTTCTGCGGCTTCTTCTTCGGCCTCTCTGATTCCGCCATCGCCTTTTTCACGCCCATGATTTTTTGGTACGGGGCTCGCCTTGCAAAAGATAACGAATGGCCCGTTAATTCGATATTTACCGTCTTTGGACTTCTTTTATTTTGTACCGCTAATGCCAACATGGTCATTACATACATACCTCAGACCAGCTCAGCGACTGATATCGCCACTCGCCTTATTCAGCTGGCGCATATGCAAGTTGACTCTCACGAAGATGTTGGTCTAGTCCAGCTAGACAAAAACGATCCAGGCACGCTTTCTGGGCCAATCCATTTCATCAATCTGACGTTTTTCTACCCGACCCGACCAGAGGTAGCAGCGCTCCGAAGATTAAATCTCACCATCCCCTCAGGGCAAACCACGGCCATAGTGGGAGTCTCGGGATCGGGGAAATCTACTATTACGTCCCTTCTCCTAGGCCTCTATCCGCCAACAGCAGATCATCTCGCCTTTTCTCCTTCGAACCACCGAGAAGGGGGTCCAGCGTCTCTCACCCTATCTGGCCGCGACATTCGAACACTTGACCTCTCCTCTCTGCGCTCTCTGATCGCTATCGTCCCACAGACCCCCGTGCTCCTCCCCACAACGGTGCGCGAGAACATCACCTACGGCCTTCCCCCTGACTCTCCCTGGAGGTCAGCAAGCCGTATCGAACGCGCCGCCCGCGCCGCTGGGATCCACGACTTCATACAGTCTCTCCCGCAGGGCTTTGCCACGGTCATAGGTGAAGGCGATGGCGGCCTCGGCATCTCAGGCGGCCAGGCACAGCGCATCGTCATCGCCCGCGCCCTCATCCGGGACCCGAAGATCCTCATCCTCGACGAAGCGACTAGCGCACTAGACCGAGAAAGCGCCCAGGTCATCCGAGAGAGCATCGCCCGGCTGAGCAGGGAGAAAGGGCGCAAATTGACCGTGATCGTTGTTACGCATGCGAGGGAGATGATGGAAGTTGCGGACCATGTGGTGGTCATGGAGGAAGGCCGCGTGGTTGAGCAGGGCTCTTTTACCGAGTTGGTCGAGAGGAGACGGAAGTTCTGGGCATTATTGAATGCCGGGGATGACGGTGCGAGTCACACCCGTGAAGCTGGTGAGGACAGAATGGGATGAATTTGCTTGGCAAGAAGACTCACTGTATGCTGTGTTCTGCTGTGTTCTGCTCTGATTGTCTGTCGTAGAAGGGTTTAACTGTGCGCTGCTTTATTTCGCCGTTCAATCCAAGTGATCTTTAGATAATTTCAATTTCCGCTCTTACTCTATCCATATATGATTGCCGTTGCTATCCCTCTGTCATATAAGCCTCCCTTCTAGTAGTCCTAGCACATGGATGACAGGCGGCCAGTTTCATGGCACTCTATTCTCTTCAATCCAGGCCTTGACCGCCGTCCAATTCCTGCACGTATGTAACGCAGCCTGCGACCCGCTGCTGCGATCGTCCACCATCTTCTGATGTCCCACGTAGTGATGCGGGCTGTCCGGGACCGAAACCACGCCGCCGTCGCGCGTAGGCTCCAGCGTCGTGTCCGCGGCACAGAGAAGTGCTTGTCTGACTATCGAAAGGCAGTACGATGTTAGTTCATGGCCGGAGAAGAGGATACGACGGGGGGAAGACAGGAAGGGCATGCACTGGAGATCTCACCGTGATCTAGACAGTGGAAGACGTGGGCTCTCTCGTGGACGTGAGGGTGATGTTCGTGATCATAATCGATTAGAATCTGGCGGATGAATGCCTGGGTGCACATGGTGCTCGTGGTCAGCCAAATCCGATCGAATTTAATACAGTCCAGTCCAGTCCAATGCGTAACCATTGTTCGCGGGGGATATGCTGGGCTTTAGGGAGCTTACCAGGCACTCTAACTGTCTTACGATGGCCACATCGTATATCTCCGTCTCGAAAATCGCGTGTCCATCTCCATCAACGGCGGAGGCACTCGAGGGCAATCCATATTTCCTCGGGTGCTGGACAGCTATCCTCCCATCTCCCTTCGGAAACATGCGCAGCCATGCACGATCGCCTCTGGTTCCTGGGAGCTGGAACTCATATCTATCTGCAAATACTGAAGGGGTCTCGCTGAAGGATGGCGCAAAGGTCTGGAGTTTTGGATTCGCCCTTGCCGGGCCGCTGGTCTTCCAGTACGCGGACGGCCCGGTCGGGAATGAAGGGATAAGCCTATGTCGGTAGCTGAACAGAGCGAACGAGAGGCAAGCCGCCACAAGGAGGATGCTGAAGACAATCTTCAAGGGGAAGCGCTTAGATGTAGCGCCTTCCGGATGTACAGGGTCTCCTGTATATTCTCCACGGGGCGATTTGGGCGTCCGCGGAATCGCCAGAGAATCCTTCTGGCCGCGATATGGTGAGCGAAATCGAAGGGACGAAGGCATCTCTTACTATAGAAAGATCCTTGAGTATACCGCACACAGGGATAGCAGAGACAGATAGGGGAATTCAGTGAATCTTGGCCATCAAGATAAATGTAGCAGCCGCTACGAGGCTGCCCGAGACCGCATTGGGCCGCTGGAAATTCCACAGACAGCGAAGAATGAAAAATGCCAGACAAAGGGACAAAGAGAATGTCTGGCAAGCAGCGCGTGCAGCCCGGTTGAAAGCGTCCATGAATGAAGTCTGTCGATTTATACACAACAATGATTGATGCATGGAAGCCTAAAGGGGCTTTGCAGCAATATCCAGAGCAACAAGTTGTTGCGAACATTCTTCGGAAGGCGAAGGGGCCGACCGGTGGGATCGCAGACACAGAACGAGTCCCGCAGGTTGTCACGCTTGCTGACTTAAGCGGACTCCCCATAGTATCAGAGAGTCTCAGTCATGGATTGTATAGTGGACAGAATGCAGGAGAAGCTTTACAGAAGCGAAGCAGAGGAGGCAGAATCAGGCGGGATGGCGGCCCCTTCGATATGATGAGTAGATCGACCAATCATATTGGCCCGGACCGGCCCACCACGGTTGTTACCGCTTTTGGTATTAGCATGCGGATGATTCCGAAGTTTAACCGATCAACACCTTTTTCTTGTTCCAACAGCGTGAATCTTTCAGCCTCGCAACTCAAAACAACGACACATCAAAATTCTCCAAGCTAGGGTGCGGACCATGTCAGATTCTCAGTCCCGCAAACGCTCGAGGTCCGCTGATGGCGCGAAATCCGATAGCGAGTCATCTGACGATGATTTTGGGCCGGCTTTGCCATCGTCAGTCCCCCCGAAAAAGAAACGCAAGCTCCCATATGAATCTCTGTACGTGGATGCCTTACCGAAAAGTCTGAGGTATTCCAAGTCATTGATGCACAAGGATCAGCTGTTGGCCGTGTCAATTGCTCCGTCGCCTGCTGATTTCGTTATTACCACTTCGGTCGATGGGGTAGTCAAATTCTGGAAGAAAGTTGCAACGGGGATCGAGTTCGCCAAAGAGTACCGGGCACATGAAGGACGCATAGTGGGCTCCTCAGTCAGCGTCGATGGCGCTTTCTTCGCCACAGCCGGGGATGAGGACGACAGCACCATCAAGATTTTCGACGTCGTTACCTTCGATCTACTTTCGATTTTAAGCCTTGAGAGTCCAGCTTCTTGTATATGTTGGGTGCATCGGAGAGGAGCTTCGCCAATACTAGCTGTCGCTCTAGGCAAGGAGATACAAATTTACGATGACCCCGGCAACTCACAGACGCCGGTGCAAACTTTGTCTTCCCTCCACAGAGCCCCGGTTGTGGCTATGGCGTACAACCCAGCCTTTGACTGCGTCGTGTCTGCTGACTCGACCGGCATGATTGAATATTGGCAACCAGGCGAGAGCTGTGAAAGGCCGGACAGTGTTTTCAAAATGAAGTCAGCGACAAATCTATTCGACTTCAAAAAAGCGAAATCTGCCCCCTGCTGTATTACAATATCGCCTTCGGGCCACCAATTTGCCACGATATCATTCCCAGATCGGAAGATTCGAGTTTTCGACTTTGCCTCGGGCAAGCTCTATCGGTCGTACGACGAATCGCTCGACACCATAACCTCGATGCAGCAAGCCGGGACTGCGCTCCAGAAGCTCGACGAAGTTGAGTTTGGACGAAGGATGGCAGTTGAGCGCGAACTTGACAACCCCACCATCAGGTCAAGGATCAACATTGTTTTTGATGAATCAGGCCATTTCATCGCATACGGTTCACTCCTAGGCATCAAGGTGATCAATACCCTCACCAATCGAGTGATGAAAGCGTATGGCAAGGATGAACCGTTTCGAGCCCTGAACGTGGCCTTGTATCAGGGAGCTCCTCAGAAGAAAGAGGTGGTGACGGTGTCGATGGCTGCCAGTGCAAATCCCCTGCTCCACGAAGCCGAGGCTAGAGACCCTATGCTGTTTGCGACGGCATATGGCAAAATACGATTTTACATGTTCACCAATGACGAAGAGATTAGCAAATCGACCCGCGATGTGCAAAATGAGAAGCCCCGAGTTATTTCGGCAAAGAAAAAGGAAGAAAAGCAGGCTCAGTCAGGCACGTCTGCCGTCCTGCATACCAGCTATGGCGATATCCATATCAGATTGTTTCCGGACAAGGCTCCCAAAGCGGTGGAGAACTTTGTCACGCATGCAAGGAACGGCTATTACAACAACACAATCTTCCACCGAGTAATCCGAAAATTCATGATCCAGGGTGGGGATCCACTGGGCGATGGCACGGGTGGCGAGAGCATCTGGGGAAAAGAATTCGAAGATGAGTTTTCAGATCTCAAGCACGACAAGCCATATACGGTGAGTATGGCTAATGCCGGGCCAAACACAAATGGGTCACAGTTCTTCATCACCACCGAGAAAACCCCTTGGTTGGACAATAAGCACACCATCTTTGGACGGGCATACAAAGGGCTGGATGTGATCCATCAGATTGAAAACGCAAAGGTCCGAAAGGAGAAGCCAGAAGAAGACATTAAGATAGTTAATATCTCGATCAGTTAGGGATGGGCAGAAAGAACGCGCCCGTGCTCATCGATGGTTGAGAACTCGAGCTGTTACCTCAGCCGATAGACATTGAATACAAAGCGAAGCCAAGGTGAATTCAGCCCGTAGCCCTACCAGCTACACAACAGAGATGGATTATTCATAATAACGTTGCCTTTGGTCGAACGAACCGTGGTTTTGCCCTAAAGGCGGCTTGAGTGGGCTGAGTGGGCTGAGTGGGCATGGTGGGCTAATATGTACATGGATCCAGTCGCGTCTTTTCGTCGCCCGATCATCTTCTCCGCACTTTCACTCGCTCCTCACATAGCGATTCGCGAAACTTTTTTACTGCTTTACCCACCGGGACATTACCTGTCGCGTCCTTGAATGCGCACGGTAGGGCATTCTTGCTGCCATGGTCAAGTTGCGTGTTGCCGCGAGGATTCTCTCGGAAGACGACTACCTCACAAGTCTTCAAGGATCTACCAATTCACCCGTCAAAGGCGAGAAGCGGCTGGTTGTGGTTGTGCGAGAGCCATACAAATGGCAGATTGGAACTCTGGCCCTCGAGGTGCAGAGAGCATACCAAAGCTGCTACCAACAGTATTCCCTTTGCCCGCTTGGTTGTTGTGCGACAGGTTCTGACTCAAGATCAGTGAGCTACCGACCATCAAATACCTCAAGGACAACGCCGACGACTGCGATCTAGACCCTCGAGCATACGTGTCGGATCTCCTCCTAGACGAAGGCAAGGCTCAAATCGATGCATCCGATCAGCGCGTCACCATCAAGGTCATCCTCGAGCAAGGTCGGATCCTGCGAGAAGGATCTGTTGCAATTGGTAGTCAGTTGGACCACCCTGAATACCGAATCCAACTCGAGAAGATCTCGCATCCGCCCGTGCCCACCTTCCCGAGTCTTCCTTCCTCGCTGGGCAAACGTCCATTTCCTATCGGTGGTGAATACCTCTCCACGCCGAACGCGAGCAAGAGACCCCGACAAGTCGAGATACCAGATACGCAAAGAGAAGATCAAGCTCCAATCTCATCGATTGAACAGGACGACGTCCAAGGGTCACTTGAGTTAGTGGAGGGCACACAGTTTACAAATCCGGATCAAGTGCTGGGACGGCAGCAGACACTCCTCAAGCCTAAACAGGAGTCTCCTGGACTGCGGAGATTACTGCACGATGTCACTCCAGCACCTATTGACGAGCTTGAGGAATTATCAGAACAGCCTCCAACCTTTGGGTCAAACAAGAGACAGAGGAACAGGCCGGTATATCCACATGACTCTCGTGAATCGCGTCCGCCAAATGGTCTCCTCTCATCAAGCGATGAACTCGGGCAGCTGCAGAAGCGCTTGCAGGGACCTATTACGCCCCCCTCAGAAACGTCAAGAAGACTTTCGACTTCTGCGAACCTGCAATTTCGAGGTACAGAAGAGACCGCAAAATCTGCTGCTCAGTCAGCATCAGCATCGGCTAGCAAGTTTAAGAGACGTGAGATATACCCCGAGTCGGATATTGATGATTCGCAAATGTCGCCACGCTCACGACAAGCACAACTGAGTAATGGAAACTCAAAGGGCCGATTGTCGCATATTGAAGACCTACAGTCTCCTCGGGAACAGGGAGAAGGCGATAAGTGGCTCAGCATCAGCCAAGCAATGGATGTTCTGGATGATGAATCTGTGTTCGAGGACGTCCGCCCCAGTTTTCAATCCGTGCCAGCGCCTGAGTCCCTCTCGGGCAAAACGAATACAGAGCCCAATGACGAAATTGAAAACAGTATCTATGAAGACGCCGATACGGGATACGCCCAACACTCAGGCCCGGTAGATACGACGATGTCCAAAGAACCAGAAGGCAAGGGATCTGTGGAATTTCAGCAAGTAAATGGCGAAGACAAAGAAAACGAACCGTCACATGCGATGTATCATACGCCCAGCCAGGACATTGTGAAGGGCATGCTTTCTGAAGGTGCTGCATCGGGAACGCAGGGCAACATCCACGATGCGAAGTCGACAAGCTGGGCAAAGGATGGTAACCCTCTTGAGGCTAGACCGGATGCGAAGAGGTCTCGGAAACGGAAGTCGGATACCTTCAGTGTGAATTCGGGCCGGCGAAGTTCTATACAGGGACCCGCCCAGTCTGTTGGAGGCAATGTAGATAAGGAAGCTGAGAAAGCCCCGGAGCCTGGCAAGAAAGCCAAGGCATCGCAGACGACGACATCCGCTCCTCTTGACAGTCCTGGAGAGCAACTGTCGCAGAATCTTCGAGAATCGACGGGGACTCGAACGACCTTGGACGCTCCCAACAGGAAACTCACGAGGGCACAAAAGAAAGCTGCAGTCACAACACCTGCAAGAAGAAGGATACCAGGGAAAGATTCTGAGAGACCCGATTCTGTGATGGCAGGTTTCACAGCGTCCAAGAAAGATGTATCGCTCACAGCGCCTACGGAGCGGATCAAGAATCAAAAGTTGCACGAGAAGCCAGCAATTTCGACGACAGATTCAGAGATACGTGGAGCTGACTCTTCTCCCAGTATCGTTCTTCGTGGTTCGCGTGAGGACGATGAGAGTGCCAATGCATTAACGAAGCCTCGTCCAAACTGGGACTCTGGGCCGGCTGTAGCTGACAAGCGGGAGTCTTCAGTCATGAGCAAAGCAGCTGGGATCGACGCTGATAAGCAAATCGACTCGGGAAAGAGTCCACACTTCGGTCTAGGCTTGACTCCCGAAGAGATCAAGACCATGGAAAGCCGCAAAGGCATGACCAAAGAACAGTACGAAGCGGAGAAGAAGCGGAAGCAACAAGAGGCGAAGAAGAAGGCTGAATCACAGAAGGGGAAAGAAATGGCCGCTAAGATGAAGCCCACTACGGACGCGTCAACAGACAAAACCCCAGGGCCGCAACACCTCAAAACCCCAGAACCGCATCCTGCCATGCCATTGGCGAAGAACACGGCTCCAAAGAGTCACTCCATGGAGGATAATTCATGGATTCTTAAGAGAAAAGCAGACGTGACTACTGAGACTAAAGAAGCGAAACGAGAACCAAAAAGACCTAGCGCAGGGAAGGCAAACCCCTCAGGGCGCGAGTGCTCTGGCACGAGCTTTTCGCATGTTCAAATTCCAGAGTCCAAGGTGCCACCGAAAACGCCCGCAAAGGCACGAGCAAAAAGCCCTTCCGTAAAGCCACCCACGGTCAGCAAGACGCCCAAATCAAGTGTCCGGCCACAATCGACAGAGAAAGCATCATCGACACACTCTTCTGTGGCTAGGAAATCCACACCAGCGCCGATCGCGAAGACCGAGTTATTATTGAAAGAAGGAAAGGCAGCAGCAGCCAAGACGCCTCAACCGAGAAAACCGACGTTAGAAACGGCTAAGCGCCTGGTCGATCTCCACGAGGTGGTCCGCAGTGCAAACAAATCAGCCAGCAAGGCTACAACGGACAGTCTGCTTTCTCGCGTGAACGCGGCGAAACAGAGACAGAAGCCACTGGTTTTCAATATCGATGACGATGACGACGAGAGTGACGACAGTGAAGAGGACGACGAAGAAGAGGTCAAGGCTGTAGCCGCTCGCAAGATCGGTCAACAACAGGAGAACAACAACAAGAAGGAGAAGAATGACAATGGCAATGGTAGTGACGACGATGACTCCTCGTCCTCGTCCTCATCCTCTTCGCCATCGTCATCATCATCATCGGAGGGATATGCGAAGAAGGACGAGAAGAGCATCAACGACGGGAACAGAGCGAGCCAAATAGAGGGGAAACTACTCGGTCGATCTAGTTCCAGTCTTCGAGACAAGAGTAGCCAGTCGGATGACGACGAGAGCGACAGTGACAGCGAGTGACAGCGGGAGTGGGGAAGACGATGCTGAGGATGATGAATTGCATGCTTAACCTTACTGGTGTTGGTGTTGGTGTTGATGCTGGGGCTGGTGCTGCTGGTGCAAATTCTTGCTCGCGAAAAGTGTCAAGCCGGAACTGTAACTGGAACGGGGTTGGAAACTAAAATTGGATAGTTCTGTGTTATGGACCCTTCGTTGGATGAATCGAATGACAGGGACGGCGAGACGGTTGAGCTGAGCTGAGCTGAGCTGAACTGAGCTGAGCTGAGCTGTAAATGTCTATTCCGTTCTCTCTCACGCCTTCAAAGTTAAGAGGCAAGGGATTGAATGAATTTCTGCTCTACCATACCTCGTACCAACCAGGTAGTAGTTGGTTAGTTTCGTGCATAACGCTGTCTATCTGTACTATCCGATGTCCTTTTCTCTCTTCTCTCTTGTCCCTCGTCACTAGTCGTTGCTTTTCAAAGTTCAGGTAATAACCAGGTAGTCAATTCTAACCACTGGTTTCAGAGGATCTCCTAGTCCCGTTCCCAATTCCCAGTCCCCCAGTCCCATTCCTGTTCGAATTTCTCATTCCCATCCGACAGCTCCCACACCACTCACTTGGTTGTTCGTCTTGAGCGAAACGGACGGTCGAACTCTTGCCAGCTAACCTGCTCGCGGCCATGGCTGTTCTCTGCCTCATGCCGATACCGGGTGTGTTCTTTCCTTCGTTCCTAGTCCGATGCCAACAGGAGACGAAGGGATCTCAAGTCAGCGTGTGTTTTGTTTGCCTTGACCTAGTGATGTCTTTGGACTTGGAACTTGACTGCTGTTTTGCCAGGAGCACATTGTGCTGGGCTGGAACTGTGGGCTGAAAACAGGCTCCTTTTTATTGGCGAAAGAAAAGCTGGCGGTAACTGGGTTCATTTCTTTCATTTTTCATCAATCTCTTCATCGTGCAGGGTTTTCTTCGTGTCACCTCCATAATTTGCTTTCCCGGACTCTCGACAACCTGTCGCTTCATCATAGAAAAAATCTGGCCCACGTCGCGAGCAAGACGGACCTTGATCAGGACCAACGTCTCAGAGCATATAGGTCCTCTGCCTCCGGAAAGCGTCGTCTTAGGTTTCATAACAATTTCGCGATCGTTGTGCCATGTCAATCACATCACCGCCGTCACCATCGCCATCCTGTCGACTTAATTCGTTGAGTCTGGACCGAGCCTCCCCGGCTACAGTCTGGCTCCTCCCTCGGATTTGAAGGGTTGCTCGTCTCTCTTGATACCCGCCTCCTCTTCCTCCTCTCTTGGCTTCGTCGCACGTCTCGTCTCTCCTATGGCGGTAGTCTCACCTCAAAGTCTCATCCTAAGAAGACTCGGGTTCGATCGTGTTCCCCGCCACAATATTTGCCCACCCAATCAATCGCCAATGCTTCTCGATTCTCCTACTCAGCGCAATCTTCTCTCCAATCGCCGTACAAGCTGGGTTTGTGAGGGTTAACTTGGCCGCGTCGGCCTTGACACCCATGACTTTTGCGCCCGTCGCCGTAGACCCGATATTCACCATCAAAACTTCGTTCTTCGCGAGTTTGGCCACCTTAGCTTGCTTGCCATCCGCCGTTTTGACACCCAACAGACGCCGGAGCAAGAAGTAGTTAACCTCAAGTTCCATGTAAATCTCTGGGAGTTGCCCCCTCAGGCCCAGTACGTGACCGACGAGACGGTCTGCTCTGCAAAGTGTTGGATCCACGCGCGTACCTACGCCGATGAGTCCTCCAGGCACGGCAAATTTTAGATCGTTGTGTTCGGCGAACAAGCTCACCACACGGGACATGATGGGGCGGCAGACGGTCTGACCTGTTGCATCTTTCGTGATGATCCCCGGGCGGATCTCGATTTCGTCGCCGAGCTTCAGCACACCAGTGAGGATGGAGCCGCCGGCAACACCGCCCTTGAGGTCCTCGATCTCAGCGCCGGGCTTGTTGACGTCAAATGATCGAATGACGATCATATGTGGCGCTGCGCTGAAGTTTCGCACAGGGACGGGGATTTTGGTGACCAGGTACTCATTGATGGCGTCAATGTTGTATTTCAACTGCGCGGAGATGGGGATGATCGGTGACCCATCCGCAACGGTGCCCTTGATGAACTTCAGAATTGATTCGTAATGTGCTTGTGCCCCCTCTTCCCTCATCAAGTCGACCTTGTTCTGTAGGATGATGATATGGTTGAGTTTCATAATCTCGATAGCGGCAAGATGTTCTGAAGTCTGTGGTTGGGGACAGCTTTCGTTTCCTGCTATTAGAAGCAAGGCAGCATCCATGACTGCGGCGCCGGACAACATGGTACTCATCAGAATATCGTGTCCCGGGCAATCGACAAAGGAAACATGGCGAAGGAGTCGGTATGTGCCGCCGCATCCTTCTCTTTCACAAGGCGGGTCGACTTCCTTTTCAGACTTGTAGGATTTGTAGCAGGTCGGTCTCGGGCACTCTGGGTTGTCGCACTTGTAGATTTTCGCGTTGGCATATCCCAATTTGATGGTGATATTTCGTTCTAATTCATTTTTGAATCGCACAGTTTGGACCCCGGAGATGGCCTTGACGACGGTCGATTTTCCGTGAGCCACGTGGCCTATTGTGCCGATGTTGATGGTGGCTTGCCTTGCAATAATCTCGGGCGAGAGAGGAGTGAGTTTCGAGATATCAAGGTCTTTGGGGTCAGGTTGTTCGGGCAGGACAGGACGAGGGACTTGTGGTTCCGGAACCGCTGCCGAGGTGCCCTTTTTCAGGGATGATTTAGGTGGCTGGTTTGTCTCTTCAATTTCATCAACGTCGTTCTCGTCGCCCGGAGGTGTGCCAGGTTGAGAAAACTCGTCGTCAGAAGGCAAGTCGCCGTTGGTAGCCATGATTGCAGGTGGTGCAGAAGGCCGGGCCGGGGTCTGAAGCCTCTACTGGGAACTTGGAGCAGATAACTCGTGAAGACAAGGCCGTTCTCGATGTTTGTGTAATGATGGACTCTTTTATCTTCGCAGAAATATATCTTGAGGCGAAGGATATGACTCAGTTGATATTGCGGGGTGATTCAAGGACGAAATACTAACAAAATTCAGTTCCTGATGCCAAGAGTAGTGAGTCCCGGATCAGGAAAATTATGACGCCGCTCTATTATCCTCGCCCTCGGCTCACCTTCTGTGCAGGTATGTACAATTGTACCCAGTAGTAGTCCTGATAGATTTGCACGTGCCGGCTATGCAGAAGCATCAACCGCCAGATACCACCACCCATCCTACAAGCATTATAATACATATGACTATAATACATAAGACAATGGTCTGTTCAGGCGGCGATATCACCATGAATCAATACCTGAATCGCGTACATCTCTTTTTTCTTCCTGCTGTTGGTCCTGCGTCTCGTGATAGCTGGTCCCTGGTTTCCTGCTAAGAGGGATTCGGGCGAGTACCCAGTATGTCTTCCGGGTGGACAACGATTCAGACTGTTTCGCTGTCGTAGTCACTCAGAAGCAGCAGGCTCAATGAGCGGCAGCTGGTCAGCCTGGGCTCTTCATCAAGTGGGTAGGTGCCTCCAAACCATCTAGCTTGTCCGGCATAGTTTTGAAGGATTCTAGTCATTCCCTTTGCCTGCCAAATATCTTGTCGAACAACCCTCTCGTCTGGGCCTTACGCTGTAGATCTTCCAGAAACTGACCCTTCTCTTCGTGCGTAGCACGAGGCAGGCCTGCCTGCTTCCTCCGACGACCTTCTTCGATTAGAATCTTTTGAAGCTCCCTTTCGTCCTGGAATACTTCTTCGCCGATAAATTCTCGTCTTAACCGCAATTTGACGTCTTTCTTTGTTTCTTTCTTCTCCTGCTGTGTGATTTTGTGGGCCTTGCGTTCCCGTCTCAGCTGGCGTAATTCCGATGTTGTGGCCTTGTTGACCAACTCCTTCCTTTCTGCTCTGGAAAGTTGGTAAAAATCTTTTACAGGCTGGTTGGGCTGTTCTCGGATGACGGTAGCCTGCACAGGCGCCCAGAGTCTCCTTGTTGTGTGCATATGTCGCGTTTGTTGTTGGACTTGCTTTTGAGCTTGCTTCTGCGTCCGCGTCTGCTCTGGGGCCAGCTCCTCGGCGTCCTGCTGGGCCTGCTCATGGATCTGTTCAGCTGCAGCAGCGGCAAAGCGTCGGCGCTCTTCTTCTTGATGAGCTACAATGCCATCATACTCGAGAGGATTGAGCTTTTTCCATGTCCTCAGAAATTCCAGCGCATCGATCCGATTCGGTATGTACGTAGTCCCGTCGGGGCGATCTTCGGCTCTGCTTTTCGGTTCCATCTCCATGGTCACGAAGGGTGAGAGCTAGTTTGCGACCATCAATTAGTGACTGCACTCCCATAGAATAACTCCGGTGCGGGGCTTACTGGAAAGTCTTTCGTGTCGGGCATGTTGTAATGTACAGTCTTCCGCCAGTCAATCACGTAACGGCCGTATTCGGTGTGAGCACCCATTGATCCAGTTCGGTTTCCCCGGTAGAATCCACGGCCAACCTGCTTGGTGGTGAAGCGCAGGCGGGCGCATAGTTGAGGCGAAGGCTTGACCATGGTGACTGATGGAGGGTCCAGGCGCCACTCGCTTTCTCTGTGGCTATAAGGTCATGGGCTCCTTGCAACACTGGAGTGCGATGGAGGAGAAGCACAAAATCTGAGAAACTGAGTGTCGTTTTGGGACGAGCGTCATGCTGCCCTAACGATCCTCCTCCGATTATGGCGGCCGCTTATTGGTCGTCATTTTGCATTCAACTTTCTGGCATCAACTCACTTACACACCAATACTCTGTACCGAGTAGATGGCTCGTTATTGACTCGCGGTGCAGCCACCTTTTCGTACACCAGCAAACCCATCCGCTCCTTGATCTTCCTATCGACCATGTGAATGCCTCCCCCCGAAACGAATCCGCTGCACATCTACCGCGCCTGCCTGCGAGAATGCTCCTACCTCCCTCTCCCGCAATGTCGGGCATACATGAGAAAATTCACGATCGATGGGTTCCGTCGCTGGATACCGCCCAAGGACCCCGTGGGTAGATCTCGCAGCAAAGCCCATGGTGCCGGTGGCCGACATCTTACACCTGAAAAAGTGACTCGATTGCTCCACCAAGCGAGGAAATTGGCCTCAATCCTCCAACATGCGAACCAAGGATACATTGTCCCACTGGAGAACGTCTTGCGTATGACCTACGGAAGAAAAGGACCCCGGAAACATGAGCTTCTTGCACAGTTCCTAAATCCAGCACTCCCAGCCTCTGAAGGTGGAACGAGACTTTTGAGAGACACAAACGGCCAAAACATCCCAACAGTGGCAGATGCCATGTCTCCCACTCGCTCTAATCTGGGTGTTGATGAATTGCTGGTGGAAGACGCAGAGGAGGAGGATGAGACCCCCAAGGCCATCACCGAACAGGACACATTATACCCTTCTTTGTTTCCTACCATTACCACCGCACAGGGCGGCACCTCTGGGCCGCGTACCGAAAACCCAAGGTCAAACACACTCGTTCCCACCGCCCCTCGCCTGCCGGGGAAACCTGATTCCCCGAAGGAGGAAAAATGGAAACTCGAGCTTCCCCCACGCCTCCTGGCGCTGATCGCGTCCCAAGCGAGCGAACAAGTCTACTTCGCGCGTGTCGGCGCCCATCTAAAAGTCAAGTCAAGATTCAACCCACCACAGACAACCATATGGGGAACGCCACTCCCGCGATCACGGTACAAAAATCTGCGCATAAAATGGTACAACCACAACATCAAAGCCGTGCTTCCTCCCTTGCCGGAAGACGAGTATCGAGAGCTCCACGACCTAGTAAGCGGGAAGAAGGAGATGAAGAAGCCTTTTATTATTCCGCGACGGAGGACACCAGCGCCGGTCTCGGTCGAGGACACGGCACAGAGTCTCCTCGAACGTCAATCCTCTTTGATATTGGAAGGTCCTCAACCCGGCCCGCGCCTCAAGGATTGGCGCAGGGGTCGTCCCCACGAGATCACGCCTCGACTGCTTCGAAGATTACTTTCCCGCGTGGTGCTGAAGCAGACCCCACTCGTCAAGACTGCGACTCCCGGCACCAAGGCAGCTGTGGGGGACCCTGGTTTGGTCTTCTACTGGGACGACGGTATGTCGGTGGACGAGATGGGGAAGAGTGAGCAGAAGATGTCAGGATCCTTGAGAGACAGGCAAGCCTGTCTTTTGTTTGGGTGACGAGGGAAATGGAGTGGTAGCCAGAAACGCCGATGTCAACAGAACTGCAGTGCATCGGCGACATTCATATTGGAAACGGCTTTTTCTAGATCCTCCATTCGGCTGAAGAGGACTGTCCGGATCGATCTGTTGAAGAATTGGACCAGAATAGCGGCAAGAAACGGGAGGGTCTAGATACACCTGGACTTGCGAGAGGTAATAAGTATGCCGCACCGGAACGGGCAAACCAAGGTTCAATAGGAGAATGTATCAGCTCGCCTCAGTCCCGCCAAACTTGGTACACATAATCCTGTACCGTGCGTGACCCAGATACTCCCGTGAATGCAGCGTGACTCCTGTACCCTTCTTTTCCGACCCCTATCCCTGCTCATTTCCACCTCTACAAATTGTCGATGGCCGGCCGTTCTGTAGTTCCTTTCCAGCCACACAGCGAGCCCAGATCTCCGGTCACCGCTCCTTTTTATGGCGGTGCCCCTCCTAGCAGAGCACTCAGTGCAATGTACCACGTCAGGGATGCTCCACCGTCGATCCAGCCCATGTCAAAATTAGGCTGAGTGAAGAAATTGTACGCTGCTGTCGGATTAATGATCGCCAAATTCGCATACACAATACCTGAGCATCGTCAGGACCACGCGCCGTTAGAAAGTCCAGGTCACGCTCACCTTTCCAGCCGCCAGTAATGTCTGTAGCCTGACGAACTGCACCGTCCGCAAAGTATGTGATCCATTCCTCTGTTACGAATTGCTCTGTCAAGGCCTGGTTAGTCTAGGGCGCGGCTTCGATCGCTGGAAGCTGTTACCTGTCCGAGTCAACGTGGAGAAAGGCATGAGTGGAATCATGTGGATGCTGCAAGGCATCAGTAACTTGGCCTGTCACAACTGAAGAATACGGGTGGCATACCCCTGAATGTAGCTTAGATCAGCGCCAAAGTAGGTGACATGATCTGCTTTGTTCTCAAACAAAATGCCGGTGACTTTGTTGCCAATAAAAGGCGCTGGCTGATTGGTGTTGTTCGATGTCATAAGGAAATAGTTCTGCAGACTCCGTGCTAGGACAGAAAGCATCAGATTACCACGAGCTTCCATGGAGGCATCGCCAATCGTCTTGCCCCACATCTTCAGCCCGTATGCAAACATAGCATCCTCGGAAGAGGATTCTTCATCCTTGCCATCGCCAGATTCAAAAAGCCCTTTAGCCCAAGAATGACCATGATACCAATCAAAGGATCGGAAAACCGGGAAATACTGGTCCAGAGAGCTGGGGTTGGAGACATCGCGAACCAAGGCGTTCACATAGTCCTTATTCTGGCTGAGCCACGCAGGGTCGAGGTAACCAATGACAGCAGCGGCGTGGAGGAAGTAGCCATAATGAAAATGATGGTCGTTGTAGTACGAATTGCCAAAGTCTGCACCAGGGTCGCCTGTGACATAGCTGGCCGATGACACGAGACCCTTCCAGTCTGTGTCGTAGATTAGCGGGTACTGTTGCCGATTATTTGTGAAGACCTCGAAGCAACTTTCAAGCTCTAGTAACGCGGCGTTTGCCAGAGCTTGCTGGTTCGTGAGATCATGCATAGTGTAAACAAGCTGCGCGAATTTGCTCAGAGCTTTTCCACTGTAATACATGCTGTTGAGGTTCGTTTGGGCTGACATATTTTGAGAGGCTTCAGTTGCAGCGATGTTTTGAATGACGGAAAGCGCTGCGGGAGAGAGGGAAATCGTGCCTTGGAAGTTCATGGGATGTCCTGGTCGCCAGGGCGCGAATCCAAGCGAGAATGGGAGATTATCCTCCTCCAATACCCAGTAGTCACCCACAACGGCTGTCGCGTTGCCCTTGGTCGTGGTCGCTAGTTGTATGGCTGTCACATTACTTTTGGTGTTGGTGTCAAATGACTCACAGTGATGAGGCAGGGCAAACATGAGGAGAGTCGTGTTGCTCGAATAAGCGCCCCCTTTGGACCAAGATAAGCTGTATTGAGCGGTCGTATTCTGTGCAAAACCGGCAATATGTCCAGCGGTTGGATAGGCACCCGCCGCCTCATCATGGATTGACTCAAATTGGTCGTCAAGGAGCTTCGCAATTTGTATATCCCCGTACCAATTCGGCAAGCCTCGGAGTAGCGTGCTTGAGACGAGCTGAAAATTGGGGGTGAATCCATTGGCTGGCATGGCATATATCAGCCACACTTTTCCGTCTTCTAAAGTAACCTTGTATTTGAATATGCCTGGTTTCGGTTCACCCGCTGCAGCAACATTCCGGAAGAAGACGCCGCTTTGTATCGCTGGTTGGAGATTGACATATTGCCCAGTGACAAATGCCATACCTTGGACGATTGGCATAGTGAGCACTGAGGGGGAGCCAGCTGACGGCTGAAGACGAATATTTGCAGAAAATGCTTGCAAAGAATCCGCAGTCAGAACTGTGTTTGAACCAAATTCAACGGCAGATAGGATCATTGACTGAATGCCAATCCCATTGATGTAATACGAGGCTGGTCCACCAGGGATAGCAGTATTGTTGGGCCCAAAAACCTTCTGGTTATTTTCAAGATGAGATATTGCCATTCCCCAACTCAAGGCGTTACCGCCCCCCTTGCTCCAAGTTAGTGAGTAGGGCATCACAAAGCTGGGGGAACCTTGGGAACCCAGCACGAAGTTTTGGTAGAATTTGTTTGTCTCAATGGGGCCGTAAATATCAACAATCCCAAGCCGCGAAACTGGATGGCCACCTCTTTGCTCGATGTTGTTGGGAGGTTGCCCCAGGGCAACGGGCTGAAAAATATCCTGTCCGGAGCAGCCCATGCTCACCAAGCAGGTCGGATTAGTCGTGGGGAGAATTGAGATCGAGCCGAGAGCGGCAGTCAGGGTCGTTTCTACCGTTCCAGTCACTATTGTTGACGCAGTCAACGTGGTCTCAACGAGTGCTGTTCCAGTTGTAGTAAGCACCGTTGTGCCTGCTGAAGATGTCGCTACAACGGATCCATCGGCAGTAATAGTGGTGTTGAGGACTGTGACGGCAGTTATAATCGCGATCGTCTCAACGGCAACGGTTGTTACAGTCTGTGTAGTCGAGAGGCTTTCGAAAGTTGTCAGTGGCAATGTGATGGTCTCAGTCACTGTACTTGTCGAACTAAATGCTGTCAAATTCCCAAAAAGAACAGTGCCGTTCAGGGGCTCTAATGTGGGTGAGGCGACAGTTTGGATACTGGTGGGAAAGGGCTGTACAGGAGGATTCCCTCCAGTTTCAAGCGTCGTGATTAAAGACTGGATTTATTAGCGACCTAAAATATTGAGGAATGCAGTGACAAGAAAACCCACTCCAGTCGTGTCTGGCAAGCTTTGGCTTGCGGATGTCACTGTTGGAACTTGCGAAGATGGTAAGGCGGTGATGGTGATGGTTTGGACACTCAGCTGTGGATCGGCAAAGGTGATAGCAGATGAATAGCTTTGTGATTTAGTGTCTCCGTCATAGCCAACCAACACATCCTTGGAATATGGGCCAGCGTCTAAATCTGTGCTAACATCGCTAACAGTTCCTGCCGGCGGGGGAGAAGGTAGATCTGCTATCGCCCGTGTGGCCCCTGGAACCACGATCGGCCTCGGCGAAGAGGTTATGGGGGTACTGCCATCGAGATGCGACGTGGGTTGAAGAAGGACGTCAGTGGTAAGAGCTGCATCAGCACCTGGATAATTGGAAGATGGTGTTAGTAATTCTGCAATGTAGAGATCTTGATCGCCGCGACCGCATTCAGGATCCAGATATCTTGACGGACCGTAAAACCGACGAACGGGGGAGGCTGAAGCAAACAGCACCTGCAATATCGTTAGCAGGTGACTCCATTTGGTAGGCATGGCAGCAGAGGGGAGAATAAGTTGTATTCGTCTTCTCGATGGGTCAGCCTGTAGCCCAGAACAAAACGCACGCCGAAGTGCAAAGGTATTGTCGAGGACGGGAGAAACCTGTGCCTTTTGGATGGTGCAGAGTGTTCCTCTGCTCTTGGCGTTCACGGATCAAGGGGATAGAGCGAAGTCGCAATGATTGTGCTCTTCAGCAGGTAAAGGCAGTGCAGAACGTGGGAGCAGGCTGAAAAGAGGGGAAGGAGAAGTCGTGGAGAAAACAGTTTTCCATCTCGAGATAGTATGTGAGGGGGGAAAGGAGAGTCCAGGCATACCAAAGCGGCACCGGTAGGCTTTGGCGCGAGCATGCACGGCGAAGAAGACGATCCGTGCGCCTGCCTGGTGACAGGGCCAGAGCTTTGAGGCGAGGTGAGACAGCGGCAGGACTTCTGGCTAGAAATATGAATAGGAAACAGAGTAAAGGGATATCCGATAGCTAGAAATGAGGGTCGAAATGATGAATTGATTGACCAGGGCGGATATGGAGTTCAAGGAGGCGATACAATCGAGGGACGAAGCATTGGAGAGAGCAGGCGGCGCAGTTGTGCCGCGTTTTGAGATGTTGTCCATTGTTGCTTCCTGCATAAAGAAAGACATTTGGAGGGGTTTCCTACCTATGCAGATACTGCGCTGAGATGGAAAGAGCAAGGGTAGTAACCCCAATGATAAACGGTGCCGAGTGTCCCAGGAGTGTTATAGAGGAGGGGAGGAGGAAGGAGGTTGAAGCAGGTGTTGAGTAGGGGAGATCACGTGGAAAATGCCCAGAATCAAAAACTAAATCTCCGAGGATAAGCCGAGCCAATTCAGACTCGTGACTTTAATGAATTGAACTGTCACGATGCGGATTCTCGTCGTCGCTTCTGCTCTTCCTCCCTGCCGCTCGGGACGTATTCCTAAGTCCCTACCCCAGGGGTCGTGCCATCGGCCGGATGATGCCCTGCTTAATCAACACTCGCGGCTTGGTGCCATCCTGGAACGTGGTCTTTGTGGTCCATTCAGGGCCCAAGGGTAGACGAAGCGACCGTTCATACTGTTGTCGTGACTCGAATGGATGAGGTAGTTCGCTGGCCAAATACTTCCCGTTCTTCTTGACACGCTTCTCGTTGATAATGACCTTTTCCAGGCTGGCATCTTGTCGCTTCTCTTCCGCCACACCCTTTACCGTTGTCAAATACCGTCCTTTGACCCGCTTTTGAGCTTTCTTGCTGATGCCTTCTCCTGTCCAACTTCCCCACCCAGGAAGGCCGTCGTCAATGACTTGGTCCCCTTCTTCCTCCACGGTTTCTCTCTTTTCTCTAGCAAACTCCCGCTGAATTTCACCCGAACCTGCAAAGATAGCTTGTGCAAGTGCAGTTCTCTCATCCTGCTCGTTCTCGGACTCGGACGGACTAGTATAGTCATCTAGGCGGCTCCGTGGCACCCGTTTTGTCTTCTTCAATGTCTCTCCGTTTTTGGCGAGTCGGGGCAAAAAATTCTGGCTTGATAGGTTGTTTTTTTGGTTGGAACTTCCCGTCTGCTTCGCACCGGGGCGCTTCAACGACCGAGTCGAGCTTCGGTCTAGTATAGTTTCCTCAATTTCCAGCAAAGTGGCCGTTGGCGAATTGTCTTTCAATCCTTCTCTTTGATCTTGATCCCGTATATCTTCAAGCTCCGCCTCCGACTCAGGTTCCTCGAACTCGCTCTTGGAAACATGAACTTGAGGCTTCACAGGAATATCTCCACTGGCCACTCCAAACTTTTGACGGCCCGTCGGGGCGTCGTCTTCGAAATGCGCCTGACTCACCGATTCCACTTCGTCGCTGTGGAGACTGCGCCTTATCTTCCGAATTTCTTCTTCATTAGCAGCTTTCCTTGCCGCTTCTGCCTTTTTCATGAATGCCATCGACCCTAGCCTTGTCTCGAAAGTATCAACTTCATCGCGCTCGACATCATCGAGCCTAGTTTCTAGGTTTTCTCTCTCATCATCCGTCCCAGAAAAGCCTTCGAAATCAGAAGATTCTGAACCAGACTCGTCTGAGACAGCACTGGCCTTGCCCTCAATTCGTCTGCGAAGTTCTTCATCTCGCCTGGCAAGATCCGCCACTCCATGCCTGGCCTCCTCATCCCAAGTAGCCCTTCCTGTGGCCTTGGCATTTTTGGCCCATTTACTCTCCCTGTGGCGCGCGCCCATCCGTTCTTCCGCTCGCCGACGCTCGTTCTGCTCTCTTTCTTCCTCTGAATCAATCAAGCCTTGCGCTGCCAGCAAGCTTCTATGCTCCTGACTAGCATTCTCGCGCTCTTTGCGGTGGATGCGACGATATGCCTTACTTTTGATCTTTTTGATCCGTCGTGCTCGGATTTCTTCGCGGAACATCAGATCCCGTGCCCGCCGCAACTCTGCCCTTCGCGCTTGAATTTCAGCCAGTGGCATCTTCTTCTCGTGCAGCTCCTCAAAGGCGCGTTCCTGGTCTTCCTGGGATCGACTGTCTCTCGACTGCATCCCACTTTCCATTATGATATTCCGGATCGCCGATTCAAGTGAAGTCATAGGCTCTGCAGTAGAGGTTGGCCCAAGTTGCTTATTGCTCAACATGCCAGCTGCTGCAGTATCAACAAGGGGAAATGAGAGGTGCTCGGCGCGTCGACTCTGCTTGACTGTCTCGATCCACTTGCCTAACTCCTTTTTGGTCTCCTCATATGCTGCAGAACGGTCAAGGCGATCCTGCTGCCTTTTTGCGAGTGGAGGTGCGAGTCTACCCGGAATGCCACTTTTGTAGGCTTCGTGACCCCTCCCGTCACTGTTCTGCAGGATTTTTAGAGACTGTCTCTGGTGGGGGTCTTTGATATATCGTAAAAGATCAATAGAGGGCATTTCCGTAGAGCCGAGACCGAATTGGGATGGCTTATTCGGCAAGTTTTGGAGATGTCGCCGTTCAACGACCTTCCGAGTCTTGCTACCGTTTGTCAGGCCTTCAACAAAGTTCAGGAGCCTTGAATGATCGCCTTCATCGTCTGAAACAGATAACTCAGACTCCGCATCATCTTCTATTTGAGACATCTCGTCATCTGATTCCGGATCATCGTCGAGTTCTGACTGGGAGGAATTGTCGCCGTCGTCAGCATCATTTGTGAGGCGGGTTTGATTTTTTTGGCGCCTTCCCGAGACTCCCACTTGTTCTTGATCGTCCATGTCCCAAGCTGTGGCTAAATCTACAGCCTCATCCCCGAAGTCGTCATCTGGCTCGTCATCGGTGTTCTTGTTTTCCTCACCATTCTTCCCTTCGTCATCGAGCTCAAGGGACGCAGCACCGCCACGATGGTTAGGCTCCGCGGATGTGGTAGCGCTTCCGCGAAATGTAAAGTCTGCAAACCTCTCTTCATCACTTGCGCCAAAAGCCTCTTCGCTGTCAATATCACTATCCTCATCCTCCTCATTCACACCGAGATGCCACCGGTTGCCCTCGAGGTCTGAGCCTTCTTCTTCAACCTCGTTTCCTGCTGTTGTGGCAAGCTTCCTTCTCTTCGATGACCGCTCATCCGTATCCGCCCTACTGTGTGAATCTTCGAACTCATCGTCGACCTGCCCGAGGCGGTGTTGTCGAATTTTGATCTCAACAGGATGTTCACGCTCCGCAATCTCAAGTGCGTTCAGTCTGCGATTCTGGGTAGGCTTCTTCCTGAGGCCAGCATTCAACCTTCCGGTTTGCAGCGGTCTTCCGTGCGCTTGACGAGGCATAATGTTCTAGATGACGAAAACTTGGGCAACAGAACCGATGGCGCCCTCGATGTTGTGTGCGGGAAAATATGTTATTGTGCGGAGATAATAATTTTTTCACGGAGATAACAGGTCTTGGCGACGATATGGAGAATGGTGTTTAATCGTGGCTGAGTGTGGAATCCTGTTACAAATTGACGGAAGCTCGCAGCTAGCGAGGATAAAGCGAGTCACAGTGGCCGCTGAAATAGCTGCTGTACCTTTCGCTTTTGTCTATCTGTCTATAGAGAGAGGGGAGAATCGGAAGGTTTCAAACATGGATGAACATAGAGTCTTCAGGCTAGTCCCGAGGAGGCCTAGTGTCCAGCTGTGTAATATCATGTGACATGGGATTCTGCATTGAACGGCCATCTCGACCTCTCGGCGTACAGAAAAGAGCCGCATAATTGTAAGTACCCGCTGCGGAAAGGCAAATTAGAGGAGGGAGTAAGCATTGGGACTAGTCTGGAAATTCGAAAAAGCCAGCGAGGTCCCAAGAGTCTTGTAGAGCGGTGTGTTTCCTACCCTATCTGGATTCAGCCTCGCTACCTGACCATACAGGCGCAGGCTCTTCACAAGGATAGTCCATTTGGCCGCTCACATCTTCGGGCTTGTCACGATACTACTATGGTACACGTTGTGGCAAGTCGGGATCCGTGCTCGTGTCCATTATATGTTGAGGGCTGTATCTTCCTTACCCTTGGGTTAACAGACCTCCAATAGAGGCGTGCTGTCGATTTCAACGGCCCCATGGATCCGGGAACATGAAGGTAGTCACCATGCAAGAGGAGTGATCTTCCTTCCATCTCCCAAGTTGTCCAGCTCGGCCGCCATACACCAAATTCCCAGAAAATGATGGCGGTTTTATTGGATGTGCAGACTGACCAACCTCGCGCCTTCTTTGAATCATTTGCTCGGAGGTGTCTTCAGGATTCCCGTCAGGTCTTTAGCAAAGCTCTGAACGTAAGAGTAGGCCAGGAGGCATTCGAAACGCTAAAAACCTGACTGCCACAGAGATCAAGAGACATTCGGTCTAGCGGATAGATAGCTGCGACAGCGTGGGAGGCAAATTGTACGCACCCACAATGAAACATCAGCCAGGAGCAGCATGCGAAATCCCAGCTTTCCCTCCCGATTCTGGTCTGCTTGCATACGCCGCTTAGCGAAACGACACGAGGGCTAGTTTAGTGAAGTTGAATAGCGGCAGAAGGTGGCTCAGAGGTGCGGTAGCAGTTCGTCAAGATCCCCCTCTCCGAGCTGCTCTGTCATACTGTCCAGATGTGCAGTTGAACAGTCCATGACTGCATCGCCGAGATAGCCAGGAAGGCCTGCTGTGCGACTGAGTTTGGCTTGGAGTAGTTTGTCGCTGCGTGGGCGGGGGAGTCACATCTGGTTTATGATTTCCACCTCTGATCCATTGTCGAACAGGACCTAACTCTCTCTTTCTGTGACGGCCGATTGTTCTCAGGCATGGGGTGTACATGATCGGAACTTGGCCGGCTAGGACGATGAAGATGTCAAGAAGAAAGAAGAGTTGATGATGTGAAGTGGCAGTGGGTTTTGGGAGTCCGCGCAAAACGCGCTAAGAGAGACGCGACAAATCGAGGCAGAAGCAGCAGCGAAAGCAGCCAATTCCCCCGCTCCACACTTGTCCGAGACGTGATTCAATTTCAACTGCGCCCATTTCCATTTCCTGGCGGACAGCCGACTGACCACCTGTGCAAACTGCCTGAACGAGTCTCCTCACAGGTTGCACCTTGTAACTTGCTCTGACAACTCCAGCGACAAGGCGCCACCGCACCTTTGTCCAGCCTGAGCTCCTGCGAAAATCCCGTCCAGGTGGGCGCCGAGAAGTCTGCCACCGTTGTCCCCGTGCTACACACTAGCCTCCCCGATCTCGAAGTTGAACGTCGACCTGGCACCGCACTCATAACTCTACGTGCTGCCCTGACACCAGGTCGCATCTGGCTGAGGTTGGATTTTCCACCGAGCTGAACCCGTCATACTGTTCCGGTCGGAAAGAAAAAGCAGTGTGAGAAAAGCTACATGGTGAAGGGTCTCCTTTATCAGTAAAACAAGAAGGAAATCTCGCAGAACGGGTTGGATAGCGCTGCCTGCGCCCGATATGTGCTGACACACGGTCCACATACTTCTTCTCGACGAATCCACCTGGCTCGATTTATTCTAATATCTGTTGATAATCATGGCATCGGGCGGTATTCATTCAGGAGTCTATGCGCAGCCCCCTCCGCCTTTCCCTCAGCACGGCCACTCTACTTCCATGAACACAGCTTTCCCTCAACAGCCTTCCCATATGGCGTCTTTTGAGGCCCAGTCGATCGCTTCCACGCCAGCGCCGACTCCTCCACCTCCGAGACCGGCATCTCAGCACCAACAACAGCAAGCCTTGTCAGCGCAGCAACAGATGGTGTATAGCATGAATGGGACCGCCTCCATGTCAAATGGAGGTATGATGGCCCCTCCTAATAACTTCGGTGGCTACTCGGAGGCAAATGCGTTTGCCCAACCTGACTATTATGCGAACGGGCTCAAGCCGCAGATTTACACTGCTGTCTATTCAAACGTGTCTGTTTTCGAAATGGAAGTCAACGGCATAGCTGTCATGCGACGCCGAGCTGACTCTTGGCTGAACGCGACCCAGATTCTGAAGGTAGCGGGAGTTGACAAGGGGAAAAGAACCAAAGTGCTCGAAAAAGAAATCACCGGCGAGCATGAGAAAGTTCAAGGTGGTTACGGAAAGTATCAGGGCACTTGGGTCAATTACCAGCGCGGTCGCGAGTTTTGCAGACAATACGGTGTCGAGCAGCTGCTCCTGCCGCTGTTGGAACACGATATCACGCCTGACGGTATGTCGGGGGTCTCCCAAGGTATTGAAACGCCAACAAAGGAGCAAGCAATGGCGGCCCAGAGAAAGAGAATGTATGGTGGTGACGGCCGACCAGCTGGGCAGCCGACCGGAGGCACCTTTTTCAAAAGCATGTCCACCACTGCGGCAAATGCCATTCATGCCTTGAACAGAACACGGCTCGACTCTCCGAATATGGACGGACGACGCTCCACCGGACCGAGAAAACAATCTCAATCATTCAGTTACAGTCAGGATGCTGTTTACGCTAGCCAGCAGAGTATGCCCAGCATGACGAGTCAAGATAGCTTCGGCACAAATGGCGGAATCATGAGTCAAGGTGCTAGCTTTGTGGAATTTCCCCCAGCAGATTCGCAAGAGCCACCGCGCAAGCGCATTCGACCTTCACCGCAGTCATCTTTCCTTTATGATGGTGCAATAGACCTCAGTATGCAGGACAGCCTCCCCACAGAGCCGAACATCTCATTCTTTTCTCAACCCAGTCAGGCTTTCATCGGCGCTGATCCGCTCCCTTATGGTCTGGAACCACTTCCCCACCCCTCTGGCCTGCTGGAGGAGCAAAAGATGGAGCTTCTACTTGACCTTTTCATCGACCCTTCCCGCACTGACTTTGACGATCATCCAGCTTTTCTGCGACTGAGCGGTGATGAGTTCGAGGTACCAATTGATGGCTCATCCAACACTGCTCTACACTGGGCGGCCACGTTGGGTCGAATCGCTCTAGTTCGAAAGTTGCTAGAGAAGGGATTTAACATGCGGCGAGCAAACAGCGGCGGTGAGACCGCGCTGATCGCGGCATGCAAAGCGAGGAATAATCTCGATCAAAATTCTTTCCCAGCTCTCCTAGAGCTCCTTGGTCCCAGCATCGAGGTCAGAGATGGACGTGGCAGGACAATGCTTCATCATATCGCTGTCGCCTCTGCCATAAAGGGTAGGGCTGCGGTGGGAAAGTACTACCTCGAGTCTTTGCTGGAGTATGTTATTCGACAAGGCACTTCATCAAAATCAAACGTGCAGCCTGACACAACGGGCGGAGTTAACAGTCAGAATCAGTCAAGTCCTATGACACTTGCGAAATTCATGTCGGAGATTGTCAATGCTCAAGACAAAACAGGAGATACAGCTTTGAACCTGGCAGCAAGAACCAGCACAACTACCATCATTGATCAACTGCTCGAGGTCGGTGCAGATCCTCACATCAGCAATCGCGGCGGCTTGTCCCCGGCGGATTTTGGGGTCGGCGGCGGACACGTCAACATGTTTGACCAAACTCTTCCAGCATTCGAACAGCCTTCAATGGCGAATGGATCAACACAGAAATCCTTCGAAGAGGCTCGGGAAGGACTCATGACCTGTAAGTAAATGCTTTTCAACGAGTGGTCTGTGGGTGCTAATGGTGGCAGCGATACGAGAAGTGCTGTCCCAGTGCGAAGCCGACTTTGCAGCCGAGATGAAAGAAAGGAAGGAAATTCTGGACAAGACCAACGCAGCATTAAAGGAGTCCGGTATTTCGCTTGCTGACGAGCGGCGACGACTAGAAGAGACTCGAGCCAAAGTGCGAGAAAAGGATGAGCTAGAGAAGAGAATCAGCAATTTACGGCGAGCGGCGGCCAAACTTCGCGGAGAGCTGAGCGAAACGAACCCACTAAACACGATCCAAGACAACGTCCAGGTGGGCGAAGCAGACAGAGGCCTGGATCTTGAGGGACAGCTCCCGCTAATGGCGCAATTCTTCCCTGATGGCGAGGCAGACGCCAGCATGATGGGATTGAACCAAGAGCAACTCAACCTCTTGGGAAGCCTGGAAAGAGCGGAGGTTGTGTCGGGGCGTGTGCAGGTGTACCAGCGACACAACCAACACTTGGAGCAGATGGCCAAGACGCTCCGAGCTCGCAGTGTGGAGCTAGAAGGACGGTACAAGAAGATTGTGAGCCTGTGCACGGGCGCTGATGAAGATAAGGTTGATGAGCTGCTGGATGGTCTAGTGCAGGCCGTCATCAGCGAACAGAAGGAGATGAGCAACAACTCACAGCTGGGACGAGTTAGGGACTTTTTGAGGATGGTGCAAGGGTCCAAGGACTAGGTCATGTGTCGGGTATGAGTGATTGACGAGATCAGACGGGGCACACGAGGTGAGTTTGATCGAGCCTAAGCATGGATACGTATGTTTCGACTGGTCACGGGTGTCAAAATGCTCATCTTATTGACTTTGCCCTTGATTTGTGTGACCAATGATGTGAATGCTTTGCGCAATCTGTTGTGCCCCGGGGGGGGGGGGGGGGCAGTTGGCAACCCAAGTCCACCGAATTGGTTCAATCGATGGATACGTGTGGAATGTCTCCTAGATATTCGTTCGATGTCAATTATGCTACTCTGTACATTATACCTCGTAACGCGCGCAAATAGAGAGAAATCAAAGCCGCCAGCCTCGTTGGCAATAGTAACAAGGTCGTCGCGATGCCAGCCTTTCCTGCGCGCGGTTAACTATGAATAACACGGCGAGACGGCGTGGCCAACTTATGAAGTTGTCAGTTTCCCATTTCTCATTGCCATGAACGGGTGGTTGGACCAGAATCGCCGAAATGCAGGCCTCGAAACAGGTTGCTGGAGGTTGGACGAGGCGCGCAGGAAACAAGTCGCAACGCTGGCAGCGAATGAATCAAGGGGTCATTTAGGGAGAGCGCCAAGTGGCCAATGGACAACGGCTACCAGGTAAGCATGTACTTAGTACATACTCCGTACGTGTGGCGCCGTCTCACGATGCCGCGTCCGATTCTGTAACGATAGGCGGGGACGCCACGACGCCTCCTTTTCCCTTCCGCCCCGCCCGCGCCCCGCCCGCCGCGCGTCCTGGCCAATGACTTTGCCATATCAGGCTCCTCCCCCTGCCCCTGCCTCCGGTTCGCTGCACGCCATTGTGTCGAATCTGCCGGGGTTGAACAACCCTTTGCGAGACATCCCTTCTCCTGGACCAAGAGGACCTTTCTTTTTGAGTGTACACCGACATCAGTGGCACCTGGACAATTGCAACGCCCAGTTCAACCACCATTGTGTGCTCCACAGAAGCTTGTATCTCGACCTGCCCCTCCCTCTCCTTCTCCCTAGCTCCCCAGGTACCAGGTATAGAACCATGTTCAGCGATTCGCTCTAGCTTCGCACCGGGCGACACCATGCGACACCGTGCGACCTCTGTTGCGACATCCCACTTTCGCGTTTCGTGGGTATGTACCGATTGTTTCATACTCGAATCCACTTCTTTCTCGACCGTCCAGGACCGTCCTCAGTACAGTCTCCTTCAAGTCTCCTCTCCGCGCCCCCCCTAGTAGGTAAGTCGGTTGTGCTCCGTGATTACGGTGTACCGACCACCCTGGCTCTACCTATGACCTACTGTACCATACCTAGGCAGGAAGGTTGGGCAAACCGTCACGGTCACCCATGGACCAAGGTCTCCATTCCAGTCAACCGACATGTGTCATTCGCCCTTGGCCGTGGGAGTTCCTCTACAGTCAATGTTTTATATTGATCCTGGCCCTCCACTTTTCGTCGTCACACTCCTCAGACCACTCTTTTTGCACAGGCCAGCAACAACTCTCCCTTTGCTCCTGTCCCTCGCTCTTTTCCATCCTTTTCAACAACCTACATGCTCGTGGGCAGGTTCCCTTCCCATTTTCTTTGAGCATTTGCGTTCTTTACTGGCAGTCGCTGGCCGTGCCTACATTCCTTTCCAACAAGCTGTGCTTGGTCTCATCATCACCGGTCTCGACGACCACGTACAGTCAATACTCAAAACCAGCATAACAACCAACAAAAATGCATTTGACGACCATTGTTGCCTCAGTTGTGTTGTTGTTGGCTGAGGCGGACATCATTTCGGCCAAAGCCGTTTTGCATCTGCCCAACGCGATCAGAAGGAGAAATGCCTGGGAAGAAGAGATGGAGAGAGACGCCGACAGGATCTTCCGACGAGACCCGCAGTCCTCAACTGGCTCACTCTCGGTGGCCGCACCAACGATGGCATTGAACGAAACAATCGCGACGGCTTGCGTCAGTGCTCTCAAAACACTCAGCTCGGTCGAGAACGCAGCTGGCCTCGCCGCGTGCTACAACATCTTGCAATACGACAGCAAACAAGGCGCCTTCGAGGCCGACCTCCGACTCTACCAGATGTTTCAGCCAACAGGCAACTTCAAGAATGTGCCCGTCAACGACATCATGATCAGCTTGACGTATCCTACCAGCACCACGTTCCAGTCGTTGACCAAGCGGAGGAAGCGAGATGTCGAGGCACGACAAAACAGCATGGCCGAGGTGCAACAATACACCCTCTTTGGCACATTTGAGAAGAACCTGAACCTCGCGATGCTGAACGACACTCAAATCATGTCGCTGATGCTGCCGGACATCAAGCTCAACGCGGCCAACTCTCAAATGCCCATCATGGCCAATGTGAGCGCGGCCGACGGGGCTTGGTTTGTGGTTGGGCAATTCAAGGACGAATTCAAAGGGGGGCTCGTCGGCCCAACCGTTGCCGCCGCAGCAATCACCGCTGCCGTTCCTTTCGTCCTGCCCGGAACGAGGCTGGGCATTTTCCCCACAGGGTTGATTGTCACCTGTGCCTGGACATTCTTGTTCTTTCTGGCATATGGACTGGGCACCATTGGCCGGATCCAATATAGAAGTGTGTATAGAAAGAGAAAGGCGGCTCAGGCCGGTCGAACTGGCAAGAGGATATAGACAAAAAGAGAAGCCATTTGAGTGGAGATGATTTTTTTAGCTTCAGCAGGCCGACGGAGATGGGGGGGGAGAGACAGCAGATTTTGATACTTGTGAGATACCCTCGCTTTACTGTGGATGCGTGAATAGCGATTTTGGATTTGTACCAACAACAGCAGCCGTTGAGATATTTCTGAGCATGTTTCTTGTCGGGGCAGAAGAGAGGGATTACCAGAATTTTGTACGAGTGAAACGAAATGAATTCAGTTGCACGTGAGTATAATTACGGAGGATCTTTTTTCCACTTTGCCCCTCTCCCTCTTCTCTCGTTTCGTCTTCCCACCAGAGAAAGGCGAAGTTGGCCTTCACCTCATTCGCCACAAGACGTCTTTTGCTCCGGCTCTGGTCCTCTCTTATGCCTTTTCCATCTTTCACAGTGTTTAGAGGATGCTACTGGCGAAGCCTCTTAAGGGAGAGTTGCTTTCCTTCCCCAACAGGTTTGTGCAGCCCAGACCGAGAGCCTTGGAATCATTTTTCCTGTCGCGGATTCCAAAAGAGAAAATAAGGGAAGAAGAAAATTTCATTTTAGTGCCCTGATACACCCCCGAAGCAATTGGGGAGCAGTCTACTCGGTACGCTGGCCAGGTTGCGTTGTATTTGTGCAATTTTCTAGTTGCGGAACCTGCGATCGAACGCACCATCAGGTGCAAGCGACAAGTTTGGACTCTCGCGAGGGGCCTTCAATCTGGCCGAGACGCAGAAGTCTGGCAGCCAGTTTGCGACAAGATTCTTCGCGCCTGTCCCGCCACAGGAAATACGCGGCAGATTGTGAGTTGAAGACAGGCAACTCGCCGCAATGGAGCACCTCTATCCTTACCCCAAGATGGGGACTTCATTTCTGGAAATTCTGCAGGACCCATTGACTCGCAAGTTGCTGGGCTTTGACGCCGTACACGCCGAACCAATACCCTTCATCGGTGGTGTGACATCGAGGGTCAAGTTTTTGCTCAACGATGCCATGCAACAGCTCTCGTTCCTCAAGATCGGGTATACCGCGCTCGAGGCATTCTTGCAAGCCAACTGTACGGGACCACCCTTGGAGTTCAACACGGAGGAAGTTATTTTCCCACAGACATACCGAGCTCAAAGCCTCGAATCCTTGAAAGGAGATCTGTTCGAGTATCTTTCCGCCAATGGATCTCGCCCGTACCCATTGACACCACACATCGAGCTCTTCTGGCTTGCCAAAGTCGTCTTGTCGAATCCCACGCTGGCTGAGGCTGGATTCAACGGCCGACGGGCACGTTTCCGAGTCAACTTCTGGCATCAGAAGCTCCTTTCGGAGGAATCTCCCTCTCTTCGGGACATCATCTATTTGGACGCCGAGGTTCTCGAACGCCAACTCACTTCTCGCTTGGCCTTTGGCGGCGCAGCTGCCGAGGAACATTTTGTCGAGTTCCTTATCGAGAGAGCGGTGGTCCGCACGCATTACGGTGACGATGCACTGGCACGGGCAGACCTCGCCAAAGCCGCAACGACGCGACGGTTTCAATTTTTGCTGACCGGTGCGCTGGGCAAAAGGACAAAGTTTCAGGACAGGGATATCACTCAACTTGTCGTTCTGGCCAGGAGTCGAGACCGTGAACCCGAGCCTTATAGTAATCGCAAGGGCTCTAAGGTCGAGAGCGTGGAATCCAGCGAGGCTATTGCAGAGGGTGACGACCGTCATGAGCCTATTTCTATGCCTGACAGCCCTGCTGCAACCAAACCTGAGAGCCTGCCTCTCAACGACGACACCCTCCTCGAACACATCCAATTCCATTCTAGCACCCCAGCGGCACCGGTGTCAGAAGACACAATGACACACATTGCACCCTCTGACTCAACAACCATCCCACCGCAACTCGCATCCCTCGATCCGGCAAACCAGCCGCTGCTCTTCCCCATGGACAGCATCATCCTTCTTGCCACCGCGAGCAGCATCACCAACACCTCTCCGGACGACGGCCTGGTGAGGGAAGAGACCTTGCCGTACGCGACTCGAGTCCTGGAAGGAGGATCGTCCAATTGGCAAGTCTACACTCAAGCCCTTCTCGTCAGGAGCAGGATAGAAGGCTACCGAGCCCGAACTGCCGAGAGAGGATTGCTACAGTTGCAGGCGCTAGTTGATCAAGTCATTGTTGAAACGACAACGCCGGAATCAAACCCTTCTCCGTCATCAGACACCAAGAACCCACCACTAACGTCCGTTACACAATCAACTGCAGCCCCGTCGACAACATCAAGTACAACGACATTCCTGCCTAAACCGAACCCCTCCGAATCCGCCTCCGTGGCCGAACGTCTAAAATACATCTACCAACTCTCCCCCCCGCTGCGGTGGGAGCTCGAAGCCGAACTCGCCCAGCGCTGGACGCAGATGGGCGGGCTTAAGACGGCACTGGACATTTACAACCGTCTACAGATGTACGCGGAGGTGGTATTGTGTCTTGCGGCGACGGATCAGGAGGGCAAGGCTGTGGACTTGCTTAAAGATTTGCTGTTTGCGCCGGACGGTGCTGCAGATATTACAGACAAGGAGCGGCTTCGCTCTCCCCCACCAGCAGACGCCCCCCGCCTGCTTTGCATATTAGGCGACATCACCGGTGAAGCTTCGTACTATTCCCTCGCCTGGTCCATCTCTTCGAACCGGTACGCCCGAGCACAGCGCTCGCTAGGCCGGCACTACACTAAGAAGCGCGACTTCCGGCGCGCCGTAGAGGCATACACTCTAGCGCTGAATATCTCCCGCCTCGACCGAGCGAGCTGGTTCGCGTTGGGGTGTCTGCAATTAGAACTGGCCGAGTGGATGCCCGCGGTTGAGAGCTTCACGCGATGTGTACAGTTGGACGACAAGGACGCGGAGAGCTGGTCGAACCTGGCCGTTGCGCTGTTGAGATTACCCACACCTGTGGCCGGAACAGTGGATGTGCCCGACCAAACAGACCGTGAGTCTGCTGCAGCAACGGCGCCTGCCGGTGATAGCGGGATGCACGACGCAAGAGCACCAACAACCGCCGATACGGAGGATTCCACTCCTGCTTCAACCCATCCCCCCGACCCATGCCGGCACCTGCGTGACGCCCTCCGGGCCCTGCGCCGCGCCGCCACCCTGAAACACGACGACGCGCGCATCTGGGACAACTACCTCACTGTCGCGGCGAGCATACCGCCGTCGGCAAACACGCCGTGGGGGGAAGTCATCCAGGCGATGGGCCGCGTGGTGGAGCTGCGAGGCAAGAAGGAAGGAGAGAACTGTATAGATTTGAAGATCTTGGCTGTTCTTACCGACTATGTCACGGGGACTTGGTCGTATCCTTCGACGGAGACGGAAGAGGACAACGGCGACGGGCAGGGCCAAATGGAGGGCGTTGGTGGTGACGGGGAAGCAGGCGCCGCCCAGGTAGCTGGGCTGGAGGAACCGCGAACGGACGGAATACAGAACGGCCATGGCCATGACCGGGCCGAGAAGGAGAAGGAGAAGGAGACAGCGCCGACGTCGACACCACCAACAACAACAGACGCCAACGCCACTACAACACTCCCATCGACGACAGCATCGCCAATGACAACGACAACGACAACGGGGGGAAGACTCCCGTACACCCCGCGCTCCTTCCTCCATCTCATCGACACGTTGATAAGCCCACTCGCGACCTCCTCGCCGATACTGTTGACCCTGCTCTCCCGCATCTCACTGTGGCGCCGGCGCCCGTCCTCCGCTCTCCTCTGGGCCGAGAAATCATGGCGCGCGTTCCTCTCCTCAACGTCCGTCTCCTCCGTCTCCATCTCCGGCGGCGAGGACTTTAACAATTTGTCGCGCGACCGGTGGCGCGAGGTCGTGGACAAGACGCTGTGGCTCATGGCACGCTACCGCGCCTTGGGGCCCATGCAGCGCGAGCGCACCGGGGGGGTTGTCGAGGGGAAATGGCGCTTCAAGGCGCGCAGCGCGGCAAGAAGGGTATTGGGTCGCGCTCGGGAGTGGGAGGAACGAGGGGACGAGGCGTGGGGGAGGTTAAAAGCTGCGGCCGAAGATGTCGATCGTGTTAACGATGGTGATGTTGAGGCTGTGTGAGAAGAAGAGAGAGGCAAGGGACAACAAAGGATTGACAAAAAGGCATGATTCATTAGAAGTGATGGGCCGTAAACATGACATGACATGGCATGACGACCCTCAGCCTCGGGCCACCCTGACCTGGCCCGTTACCATCCGTGCGGCTCCTTATCAGGCTTTTGAAGCGCTTGTGTTTTGGCACAAAAGCCGTCCCAAGCACACCCACAACCGGTTTCCGCTTTGTGCGCACACAATATGCATATGCATCCAGCTTCACCATTCCGACATGCCTGCGACGCGCCGAAGAGAATCCGAACAATCACAGAGCCTTCCTGATTCCCAAAGCCCACTGTGCCAGCCAGGGGCATCAGGCATATCCTCTGTCTGTGTCAAGTGTATACACTCTGCCGAGAGTCACCACAATTAGCAATGCCTGGACGAGTACTGCTCGATCGGGGGAAATACGCATCGAGGATGGAGGGGAAATAATAATAATAAAGGTTGCCCTGCATATACTGTTTCGCCTCGCTCCACAGGAAAAAAAAAAAAAACTCACCTCGGTGTAAGCATTAACTTGCAGGCCCCTCTCGGCCATCTCCTCCTCGCACAAGAAATCCAGGGGCATCCAAACGAGATGTCCTCTAACCTTGTCCAGTTCTTTCCTTACAAGCTCCACCGGCATATGGGGATCGTGCAAATGGCCCTGTTTGATCGTCTTGCGCGGTGCAAAGTCGTCGTAATCCTTCCATGTTTTGATATGGTTGTCCGGATCTGCGCGGAATAGGTATCGATAGATGTCAGTGTTGACGGTGGCTTGGGTTGTCCATTTCTCCCAGAGAGCATCGGACAAGGGGTCGGCGACAAACTCCCACTCCTCCCCAGAGTATTCTTCGTTCATGCATACGGTGGGTGGCTGGGCATTCGGGTCCTTGGAGGCGTCAACGGATTGCGCTTCGATCAGTCCCATGTGTTCGCGCCAGAGATGGCGGCGTAGTGAGGCGGCGTGGTAGCCTGCTTGGTAAGGCTTGCCGTCCATGGTCGATTCAAGGACTTTGGTGTCGGTCATGACGATGGAGAGTTCCGAGTCGTGCGACCCCAAAAGGGAGCGATCATTGATGTTGCTCGATCCGCAAATCACTGTCTTGTCGTCCGCAATCAGCAATTTTGCGTGGATGTAGAGTTCCTCTTGCACAAAGTTGTCCTTCTCGGTCTCGGGTTCGCCTTCCCATGGTTCTTCACTGACGAGCCCGCCGCGAGCCATGGCGTCTTCGGCAATTGATTCGGCCGAAGTGACGGGGTCTTTGACATCTAGTTTCTGGCGCGCCGCCTCAAATCGGCGCTTCCGGTCGATGATGGCGTGTTGTTCGTCTTCGCTGACCTGAGCCCCGGCACCACGGGATTCCTTCTCCGTCTTTTCGCCTTCATACCCATGAATGCCGCTGCCCATAATCTCTTCGGCTTCGGCACGTTGGAGTTGTTGATAGGACACTCCAGATTCCTTCTCTTGTTGAATGAGCGACGGGGTTTTGTCGATGCGGTCATATGCGCGCAGGTTGAAGACGAAGATGTACTTGGATGGGTCCACGCCGGCGGCTTTGATCTGTCCAAAGATCGAGTGCTCCCCTCGATTGATGCTCTTGTACTGATAGTTCATGATCGCTCTTGTACCGACGGCAGCATCGCTACGAAGATCACCTGCAAAGCCTGGAATGGCGGGGATGAGAATGATGACCCTGAATTTGCGGTTTTCCGTCGCAGCGCGGACGCAGGCATTGACGATGGCACGGCCGACTCTGTTGTGGATGGGCGATTGATGCTCGCCGGTGGCCGTGATGAAGAATTGGTTCTCAATGTAGACGTAGTGTTGGGCACTTTCAATCACTTCTGCATACGCGGTTTGAATGCTGTGATCAAGCAGGATGCCACTGCTCCAGTCGTCGCTGCTGCGAACGACCTGGGCGTGGACACTGCCAGTATTCTGAAGGCCCTTGCCCTCGAGCGGACTGAAAGGATGTTCAATGTACTTGCCCACGGGATGCTTTGGTCTCTGGATCGCAATGAGGTCTTCGTCCGGATTAGAGCCATCGGCCCTAGCTCGAGTGGTCATACACAGATAGTCGACACCCTCATCTCGCTTGTATTTGTCTCGTTTGACAAAGTTCCATCTTAGCACAAAATGTTCGGCGATGTCTAGTACAGACTCGCCAATTACAGCCATTGCTACGTCATGCCATGGCATTCTGCCGTAGTCGGTCTTATTGAGTTCGTTGTTCGACCAGTCCTCCACCGTGTGGAAGTCCATGATTCTGTGCCCGCTTAATTAGTTTGGGGGTTTTAGAGATTGGGTGATAATGTACCGGTTATTATTGAAGTCTTGTCCTGGGAAGATTTCATTGACGACTCCAGAAGGGTGAACGTCAGCTAGGAGATGCTGGCGGACATCCCACCTCCCATAGCAAAGATCTAAGCCTCCGATGAATGCGAGGTGATAGTCAATAACAATAAATTTCTCGTGGTGAGCCCAGTAAAAGGTCATATCGCCAAGATTCTCAAAGACGTTGTGATCGGGATGGCGCAGGACGTGGATGTTCCCGTGGCCAGGACTGCCCTCGGGGCACAGCGCTCGCAAGGCATGCTTCGTATGGGCGGAATTGCAGGTCAAGGCTTGCTGCACCTCCTTGTAGACAATCACGTAGACTTGGACGCCCCGCTCGGCGGCGCGCTTGATGGTTTGGTCCAGACGCCATTCCTGGTTGAAAAAGGGAGGGCGGCGCAAGAAGAGTTCGGGCGACAACCACCAGTCGGCAATGTAAATGGTCTCCTTGGCATTCTCAAGGCCAACCGAGACGGCCCAGAAGTAGTCACGGCCGTCGACATACCACTTGATGCGGTTGTTGTCGCGCTCGGGAAAGTAGGACTCAAAACGGTGAGACTGGCAAATGGCGGTCCGCTTGCGGTCCGTCTCTTGTTCATGGGCCTCGTCATGGCGATGGTTCTTGTTGACGAGGTTTTTGAGTTTGCCAATCTTGTGCTTGAAATGAATGGCTTCAATTTTGGCATCGTGGAGCTTGGTATCTAAAGGGGGATCATCATCTGCCTGTCCGGGGATGAATGGTTGACTAAGGCTGACCTTTGAGCTTATCACGGAGAGCTTGCATTCTGTTGATTGCTATTGTCCCTTGCCAGGTCACTGAATGGGAGTGAGTGGGCACGATTCGGGGGCCTGCGTATTTGTCGAGGCGGAAGGGGGGGGGGGTTGCAATGAGCAATGCGGTCAAGAATACAAGGAATATCGTCAACAGAACGGCAGCAATGGAACGATGAGAGAAAGAGCAGGAGATAGAGACTGTAGAAGAGAAAGCTCTCGACAGATGAGATGTGGAAATATACTTTTTGGACGTGGTCGACCCAATTGCCCAGGTTTCCCAGGTCAAGCCATATTATTACGAGTATTACTGGGAAGTAACAGTTGTGGTCAACTTGCGTTGTCCGATGTTCAGCTGGCACGACCACCAACTACGTCATTCCGCCCTGCTCACTTTTTCCCCTCCTCCTCCTCCTCCTCCACCACCACCACCACCAGCCACTATCACCCGCTGTCACCCGCAGCCACCCACTGCCACCCACTGCCGCCACGGCCACCACTGCCATCACCCGCGTCGCTGGCTACATCCCGCGTGCAGTTCTAGAGGTAATAGGTCTCCACATCTGCCCTGAGATCAATGCCGCAAAGAACAAACCACCTGCTCACAACGGCGGTGATGGTGCTGAAAAGAAATCATTCAATATCCTCGTCCCTAAAAAATGCTTGTCACATCCATCCAAATGACCCGTCAAATTCCCAGACCACATCTCCGCGATATCCAAGCCGAATCTCCTCAAAGCTCGGCACCATGCCCCGCTCGTAGAATTGCACCAGCTTGTCCATGTCCTCTTCGTCCATGGCGTTGAACTCCTCGGCGCTCCATTTGTCACAGATCTCGCTCATCCAGCTCATCCTCCTACTGATGTCGCGCGTGCTTTTGCCCGGCGCTGCTTTTCGGAGCATTCGCCTCAGTTGCCCAACCTTCTTAATGCTGTCTCCCGTGCCTTTGGGTAGCATGTCGGCAATCTGTCGCCGGAGAGCCGCCGCCATCCTAGGCCCATTCCCGTTGGTAGATACCATGATCTGGAGAGGACCGTCGCGGTGGACGCTGCCAAAGTAGAAATCGCATTCCGGAGGGACATCGGCGATATTGGCAGGCACTTTCATTTTCTTACAGTATTTCCATATCCGCGTGGATGCCTCTGGGTCGTCGATCGCGCTGAGTACCATAGCCACTTTCTTTTCAGGCTCGAGGTCGAGAGGGAGGAAAACTCGGTCGACATGTTTGACCTGCCTATGGTCTACCCGATATGCCACCTCTTCATTCAGGCCCCCGCGCGGGCACACAACCGTGACTTTGGCGTCGGCATTGAGCAAGTTGACGATCCGGCCGGCAGCGACCTAAGACGCAGTGCGAGTTAGTGCTGTGTGTCACAGTCTCCCAACGCATCGCCCGCGGAACATACCTCACCACCGCCGATCACGAGAACTTCCTTGCCTTTGATCTGCCATGCGAGAATCAGGGAGCCTCCGCCCTGGATCTCTGGGAATTTGGAAGGCATGGTGGGCGCATAGTGAGATGGTCAGCACATGCCATCGAGGCACTCGCGGAAGGATGTTGTGCCTGGCTGATTTCAGACTGGATGATGAGGAATGGAATGAGGGAGATAATCGAAAAATTCGTCTGACAGCGACGCAACTCGGCAAATACCCGAGAATGGGGTTTTTGGTGGCTGTCTGACCGCCACTTTTGCCTCGTCCACTGCTCTCTCACGTGCCCAATACGAGAAGCGTCATGATTGGTTGACTTGATCTTCACTCAAAAAAAAAAGTCACTTCCTCCTCAACTCTTGCTTTGCTTCTGGCGAATACGCTTGCCCTGGTCAACCTTTGTGTAACCCCCTAAACAATGAAAGACCCCAAGGACCAAACTTGCCTGAAGACTATGACATTGAGTTGAGTCGAGAAGCTACAATACTTGGGGCGGGAGTTGTTAGCCTCTTCCTATTCACTTTGTTTTCATTCTACTCAACCCCGGACCCGTTGGGAGCGACTAAATGCGAGGCGTCCAAGTCTTCTCCGGAAGGTCTCATCCAGCCCTTGTCGAGTCCATCTGTGAAAGACTGGGCTCTTCGCCCGCCGAATGTGAGTTGGGCAACTTCGCAAACGGAGAAATCAGCGTCCAGATAGGCGTCTCCGTTAGAAACGAAGATGTCTTCATCGTGCAGAGTGGAAGCCCTCGCATCAACGACAGTGTCATGGAAATGCTCATCATGATCGCTGCATGCAAGGGCGGCTCAGCAAAGTCCATCACTGCCGTCATTCCCTACTTTCCCTACTCGCGCCAATCCAAGAAGAAGAGCCATCGAGGCGCCATCACTGCAAAAATGCTGGCCAACCTCATGGTGGTAGCCGGGGTGGACCACGTCATAACGGTGGACCTTCATGCTTCGCAGATGCAAGGGTTCTTTGGCAAGCCTGTCGACAACCTATTTGCCGAACCGATTATTGCTCGGTGGATCAAAGGCAACGTTCCCCGCTGGCACGATGCAGTCGTAGTGAGCAAGAACGTGGGCGGCACCAAACGAGTCACCTCACTCGCCGATGCCCTGAAGCTCAGCTTCGCTCTTGTATCCACCGATAAAGATCGTTCTAGACACTCACACCACCACAACGGCTTAGCGGACAGCACCGTGTTCTTCGATGCCATTGAGCCACAGTCCATCCGCTATCGCGACCACCTGCTGGATGGGGACGACGCCGACGATGCCGACAGCGAATCCGAAAAGTCACACAACAGGGGGCTTCCTCACCGTGCTAGGGCCAGGGTTCCCCTATTGAACGGTGTCAACCGCTCCGGCGTTGGCAGGCCTAAGGCAGTCACGATTGCATCAAGTCCTCTGGTCCAGGCGGCAAGGGTGGAGTCTCCTTCCCCTGCTGCGTCGCCCGACCCGTCCCCCCGAATCGAGGCAGTTCCCAGTGCGCGTCGACCCTCCGAATACGAAGCTAGCGAAGAACACAACGATCAGAGGGCACGCGATGTAGTCGTGGGTCGGCTGATCCAAGGGCATTTGGTGGACGAAGACCATCCCTCTTCGGCAATGTCAAGCATGTCAGCTTCCCTTGCCAATCTTACGGGCGAGCGACCTCTGCAAGACGGACCAGATCCCCCCACCAACGACCCTATGACTTCTTCCTTTGTGTCCAATGCCTCGTCTTTTCAACCCGAACACGCGCTTGGCGGGACATTTGACGCAGCCGCAACATCGGATGAGGAAGAGGAGGGCATTAAGAATCCCGACCAGGAACACACCATCACCTTGGTCGGAAGTGTCAAGGACAAGACAGTTCTCATGATGGACGACATCATCGATCGGTCTGGTTCGTGGATTGCAGCCGCCGAAACCTGTGTCAAGATCGGCCATGCCAGAAAGGTGTACTGCATCGCAGTCCATGGACTATTTGGCGAAAACTCCCTGGAGGAGTTAGAAGCATGCGACTACATTGACTATATCGTCGTGACAAATACCTTTCCCCTGGCGCCTGAGCGGATCCGTGCCTCGAAGAAACTGATAATGATCGACCTCTCGAATCTCCTGGCAGAAGCCATCCGACGCAATCACCACGGAGGTAAGTGCAAGACCCCCAGCCTGAGAAACCCCGGCTGACTCGAACATTTCGCAGAGGACATGTCGACGCTGTTTCAGTTGAATGCATGAAGGTCTTGTCGATTGACTACCTCCCTCAGCCAGAAACCTTAATCAAAGCTCCCTGCCACACCGCCGCTTGTCATGTACGCGAAAAAGCGTCATGAATCCTCGATGTGGCTTTATCGAAGGACGACATGATCCATCGCTTTCCACGAACTACGAGTGCTTCAGAACACGTAACGCTAACATTCAGTACTACTACCACCCCTGTAACGCAGGAGCAATATTCCTCTTTATTATGAGCTCACGAGTATGCCTCGACACCGAGCACCAGGAGCTTGAAATCTCATCGGCACACTTTGGATGTTGACAACGCCATCATGCAGCCGGTCAACCAGGATGTGCTGTTGTGTTACAGCAACTTTCGGACTTTTTCACGCCACCTTCGTTCCGAGCACGGAGTTGCCAACAACCCGGGAAAGGACCATGCACCTTTCTTTTTCGGTTCCTCCAATCACTGCGGCCTCCTAGGTGACACAAGGCGAAAAGATAGCTTCAACCTACGAAGCGTTCCCTTTCGACGACACGGGACCGACAGGGCAGAATAATCCGAATCTGCCTCCAATTCTCGGTGCGGCTGCACCCAGGGATACATGACAGCTTCAGTCCGTCTTTTAGTTTTTCCTTTCATCCGACAACAGGAGCATCAAAATCGCGGACCACGTCGAAGTGGAGACCTTTCACAGCTGCAACTGCGACAGGAACCAAATTGTATTACCATGGAACATTATTAGAGGGCAATTTTCCTTTTTATTTCACCCACTACATACGACGCCCTATGGTGTAGAGCTTGGGGAGTGGAGAGCTGAACCAGACGGAAGCGCAAGCAATCTCGAGACAAAATGCATCTCTCCCGCCCACTGAGAATCAGGGCACGCGTTCTGTCGCAGCTGCGGGGCTTGCCTAGGGACTAGCTAGCGCATTTTCGAGAGCGAGTCGTCAGCCGGGACCAACTAGTTGGGAAGGGAAACGGATCCGGTTTGGGGGGAGTGTTGTGGGCGAACTCAGTGAAAATCTGTGATTGCCATTCTTGGGGGGCCACAGGGGGGCCCGCAAAAATCCAGCTACGGGGGCCTGCAAGGGTTAGATCTGGAAATCGCTCGGTAAAAGATCGACACTACAACCTCGTTAAAGGACGATCGGACTACACCGCGAGAACCACTAGACCGACGTCGCTAGGCAATACTGTCCTGGGGACTTGTGGCTTGTCCTTCGCCTCACACTTCAACATTGCGTAGCTTGGTTTATCCGGAAAGCTCTAGGCGTCGCCTGCCGCTCTAACAGGCTCTCTGATGAGGGCGATACAGCTGAGACTCCGGAGCGTCTGGAAAAGCCACTTGGTTACATCCGCTCCCCGTGAAGACTGGAGCATGGACTATCGAACCTTGCAGGGGCCTGGGCCGGCCCACAGATCCAACCCGCTGTTCGTGATAGTCGCAAGTTCATCCCACGCCGGTTCAACTATGGCATGACTCCCTCAAGCTGTCCCTTTCCTCGGAAGCTTGTCTAACCACAAGAGCGGCAGGTCATCCTGCACGCTCTCAGGTTCATGGGAAACTCTAATTTTGGCTCACGACTGGGAAAGGGGTGGTTAACCCGCGATGCGCTATTCTCGTCGGATCCCCTACCCAAGTACAGGCTGATGTGGGCACAGGAGTACTGCTCAAGACACAACACGAGCTGAGGTGTTAGGCTACCGGGCGGATGCCTTCCCGTTGAGCTATAGGATACCTAAAACTCTCTTTCGGATGGAATAGGTCCAATGTTACTTGCCGTCCAAGCGTTCCAGCGTTCCATTCGCTCAATCAGCGTCGAAGGTGACCCTGTATCTCTCTGGAGCCATCCCGTTAAAGGGTAGTAAGAAACGCTGCTGAAAGAGTAAAGGATTTCCACGCGGGCATTGTCACCACCAGGACTTCTCCTTCCCTGGCCGATTTCTTCAAACCGGCAGCCACAAGTCGCCCCTAACATTCTCGACGCCAAGTGACGGCAGTATAGCGGTGTCATTGATTTGTTTGCTGGTCACGATCCGTGAATGTCCGCCGGTTGTTGCGTCGAAGCCTGATAAATCACCATGCCGTCCCTCGGGTCTCACTTGGATGAACAGACAGCTGCTATAAATATCGCTCGATTTTCTGAAACTCTGACCATTCGCCTTACCACTACCCTGAAAAAACTTACCGCACGAGAAGCCTTGATACGACCTTCCAAATATTCTATTGCGCCCGAACTTGCATAGTTGAAGATGTCGAATCCGAAAACCAATACTGACGTGAGTCTTGAATCCCCCTCCGCTGCCGTAGCGGCTCTGCTGAACCGCGGAGTCTCGCTAACGCTCGAGAACTACATCTAGCCAGCCAACACTCGGCTTAATTTTAGATACACTTACACACAATGTCCGATGCACCACTATGTGAAAATCTCGGCTCCAAGTGATGTCCCCTTAGTTTGGCAGTGCCAGAAATGCAGAGAGACCCACACTACGATCTGTCAATGTCAGTATTGCGGCCATAATTTGTGTCCTGGCTGCGCCAGGTACAGCACTCAACGCACCGGCGTCCTTGTACCTTCCACGGGAGGTTATCGTGGCCGGTGAGGATATCAGGAGAAGACACATTGAGCTGAGCCAAGTCCTCTTGTAGCGCATGCGTTACCATGGCGCTGCGACGGCCTGCTGCACCTTCGAGACTGGCGACAAGCTGAACATGTTCTGGGTGGAGTACTGGGACGAGGACATGCCAATTCCATCTCTCCCTTATCAATCGACTGGTCTGGGCGAACTGGAGTTGCTGGGTGGTGCTTTTTCCCCTTGACAACATCGACGGACTGGATTGGGAACAAGTGCTGGATCAAAATGGGGTGCGGGTGACTACAAACGAGCAATCCCTGGCCGTGCGGCGTCTCAGGATTGATGAGGAGCGATTCTCTGCGGGTGGCATTTCCAGCCTTCTTTCGAGCGCGATTGATGGAGAGCTGGTTCATGCTTGAACGACGAGGGTTGGCTGAATCCCGAGGCATCGGTGAGGATTGCGACAGCGGCTTCAGATAGCGCAGCGATATGTTAGCGATAATAATATCATCTTCGACATGATCACCATGGACGACAGGTCAGTCATTCACCACTTTCAAATGCCTCGTGGTTATTTACCTGCCTGCCTGCCTGACTGATCCTTCGCCGCCTTTGTCTCGCTTGCTGCTCCTTTCCTTTCCTTCCCTTGCCTTTCCTTGCCCTGGCCTGCCCTGGCCTGCCCTGGGCCTCTTCAATGCTTATCCACACATCTACCGCAATGACACCGACACAATAGAAAATGACATGAACTGAGAGAGGGAGAACAGGATAAGGTACGCAGGGGGTAGGTCCTTCTCCTTCTCCTTTGCCTCTGTGCCTAGTTTCCTAGTTAGCTTGGGTGGTACTAGAGGTACGGATGGGATAGAATCGGAAAGGATGGGAGGTCTTCTACTGCTGAAATGAGATTGGGAAGGAGATATATATATATACACACAAAATATACAGTTACATATGTATACCGAGTATATATATACGAAATATCAACAATATAATAATACAAATATAACATATGACACGATATACAATGAGATACACGGTTGAGAGTGATATAGTATCAGCTATAGGAGACTGCGTATCTCTGCTGTTTATCTATCGATTATTGTTCATTAATCCATTCATTTATAGATATTTGGGAAGTATAAGGTAAAACACACCAATGTCAGGCATTGAGCATCAAGCAAAACGAACGAGCAAAACGCCGTTCATCTCGCTGCTCTGAAAGTGCTATGGGTCTATAGGCATAGACGGACAAACTCCCATGGCGAACACTGCCTGCTTTCTTGTTCCCCCTTCTTTCCCTCTTCTCCTTCTGCTGCTGTTGCAAATTTTTCTCTTCTCCTTCATCCAGTCCTTCTCCAGGATAGTTTCTGTCTTTGAACTCTTCAAAAAAGTTTGATATCATGCCATGCCATGCCATAACGCGTCATCGCACAACGAACAAAAAGAGAGAGAAAGGTGCCACGCTTGCCTGCATGCATGCGTGGATGCGTACTTGCTACCGTCCTCGGAAGAAATAGGAGATAAGGCAACAGGGGGATAATGTACATGAGAGACATCAAGAGACAGGGGACACTCACTCTAGTCTCGATCTGCTGCGGCGGTTCCTCTGCGTCGGAGCTCTCCACACCGTCAGTTAGTGACACGAACTTTTAGAACTCGGAGACACGAGTCGTTGGGTCCGTGAGAGCCGAGGAAGGGACATGGAGTCTGTCTGTCTTTGTTCGTTCCCGGTTCTGTGTCACCCCAGTCTCCTGCCAGTGCCAGCCTCTGCATATGAGGATGCGTTATGCAGCTAATGTTTTGACTGACGGGAAGTGATGGAGCCCGGAGGAGGGCAAGGTGGAAAATGATTCCGCATAGTTGGTGACACTGCATATGCAAGAACTAGAAATACGATGACGCCCGGTCACAGACTTGTGCGAAGACTCGAGGGACAAGGCCTTTAGCTTTCGGGGACGTGCATGGATGGATTTGGAATATCATGTATGTACTCGAGACTCGATGATGAGGTAGGCTTGGATGAATGGGTCTGCTGGAACTTGAGATCGACCGTGTAGGCATTGAGCAGCGAGGTAGATAGGCAAAGGGGTAATGGACGAGCATGGCGAGATACCGAGCTGGCTGCCAAGTGCAAATCAGATGTACGGTGGAGCACATGAAAGTCAGGTGAGCCGACACTCCACGCAAATCAACCCATTCTTGCCCATTCTTGCCCATCCCCAATAATCTCAACTATTATTATGATCCACCCTCGTCTCCTCTCTGGAGTCCTCCATCCTCGGCTGAACAGCCTGAGTGACCTCGCCTCCTGCCTCCCGCCTCCCGCTTGTCTGATGCCCTTGCGCAGCTGAACACGGGTCGATCTACCAAAGCCCTGGGAGCCATCGAAGCTAGCCATCGCACCGATTCGAAGCCCTCAGCTCGATCCAAGGAGATCTGGATTTTTGAAACCCCATCGCCCCGCCGCCTTAGCGATGAGTAAGGAGCAAGCACATACGTATTGCTCCCTACTGTGGCCCGATTGGGGCGACGCGGCTGAAGTCTTCAACATGGATGAATGGAAGGATGCATGATGGGAACCAATGCGGACGGATTAACAGGAAAAACAGCCCAATGGAAACATGGCCACCCTGTCGATCACGATGTGATCCAACCTGGCTGGCTCGCCGAATCTCTCGACATGAGCTGTGATGATGGCACTTTGTCGACACGGTGCACCACGATTGGACCGGGCTTTTCATCTCTATCTAGCTACTAACCGCCATCACCATTACTATCACTGCTACATACTATCGGCATCACTACGAGAACGACTGACTGGTGGCTGTACTGACGCTGGGACTGGGACATCTCACGATTTGCCTCGTTCTCCCGGGGGCGGGTTGCCCAGCGTCGTCACCCAAACATTCCTCCACTCGTCCAACAGGTCCTGCCTCCAGAGATACCGCTTCAGGACCCCCTCCAACCTGGTCCAGTTGCCGAGGAGACCAGGCGCCGTCATGTCATTCCTCGCCTTGGACTCCAGGAGATCACACACGAGTTGGTCCGCCACGCTGGAAAGCGACCCTCGTCGGCATGCTTCGGCCGTCATAATCACCGTCCACACATAATGATGGTCCTGGTCCGTGCTGGATTCTTCGAAGCCGCGCTGCGCTGCGAGAGACGCGAGCTGCTCCAGCAGAGGGAGTTCTTCGGCCCCGAATGCAAACGACACGGAGCGCATGCAGCTTATCAGCACGCTCAGGCTGACAAGGCGCTCCGTCACGCGGCTCGACTGCCCAAGGTATTTTCTCGAGTACATCAGTACCATCGACGGACAGCAGATCCAAGGCCGCGACTGATGAACCTCCCACGCTTCAGGGAAGGCTTGACGACTAGCGGCGATGACCAGTCGAATCACCTCCCTGCTTAGACGAAGGGACAAAGCCAGTTCTCTGAACCCTTCTGGGAGGTTGGAGATGTCGTGACAAAGATCCGGGGGAAATGGGTGAGTAGGATAATCCAATTGCAATCCTGGCACGCGAGAGTCCGTCCTCTGGGGCCTGTCGTTGTCACCAAGTTCCGCGAGCTTTTCATTTGCTTTGGGAATCGCCAGCATTTCGGCAACGAGCTCGGCGCTGCTCTTCTGTCAGTCGATACTCTTCACGTGAGAGACCAAGGAAGTGTACTATTGAAGCATCGCCTTCAAAGGTGCATTGCCTGCCAAAGCTTCCAGTCCGCCTCTCATGTTGACCATCTTTCTGAGTCCACTGAAATGAGCGAGTACCTCTGCTCGAGTCCCATACTTGGTCTGCACAGTCCGTCAGGGGGCCGGAAGTAAAGACCCATGATTGGGAAAAAGGAAGACCTTACCGCCCCATCGGTGAGAAGCATCGTGGTCAATATGGCGGCGTCGTCAGGGCAAGTCGCGAGGCCATCGAGCTTTTTCCGCAAGCATGTAATGCTCCGACTGCTGTGACAGGCGATGGCAGGTGTGATTCCGAGCCGCCCTCGTCGGATTTCTTGAAAGGCCAGAGCGCACGCCATGAGCGCCTCAAAGAGGTCTTCATGCTGCATGGCCATTTGCAAGATCGGGAAGTACACCTGTGTTACTTGGTGGCGCAGATCGCTCATGCTCGGAATGACGGTATGCAAGACTAAGGGGTCGCGGAGCAGTCAGCGAGTCGCCGTGCGTCTCGTGGAGAAAGGGTCAATAGAGTGCCTCGTACGATAGTCGAGCGCCATGGCAAAAGAGGGTGGAGTCTTTCTACTGAGAAGGGTGTCAAACGCGCCCACTAGCGAATGGCATCTGTCAGGAAACGGCGTGAGCGATACAATAGACAAAGTCGACCGGCGTCGAGGGTCACCCTTTGCGGGCCGTTTCTTGCGCCGAGGCGAATGGGCCCGTGAGGTGAATTCCAATTCTGCGGCCGGCATCATCACGAACCGAAGCTGAGGAGCTCTCCCCGAGCCTGGGCCTTCGTGTCCGCTCGGGGCCGTTATTATGACACGGTGCTTGCCAGATTGGTCGGTCGCGACGCATTGATTGGGGGAAGAGCCCTGTGATTTGGCTGTAGCCATATCGTTTGGAAGAGCCATGGTATTTATCGAGAGTTACCCGTTCTTTGTCTTAATCTCTCCTTTTGTTTCCTTGTCCTCCACAGCAATTTCCTCGGGGCAGTGTCAGGTTCGCTGGGAGGTGCGAGATTTCGCTAGGACGTCGTTGACGGAAAGGCTCGCTCCTCTGGCCGAAGTGAAGCAGACTAATCCTGATGCCCCGCAACCTCGTACGTTCACTGATTGACGCCCATGCCGGTGCCGGTGCCAGTGTATGAAAAGATGTTTTCGATCTGCACAAACCGAAGGAGAGCTGTTACGCTTGTGTCACAGCATCAGTAATGAGGACCTCAGATATATTTGACGGAAAAAATTGCTGATTTCCTGCAAGACGCAATGAGTCGCGCAGTGGAAAGGCAGATAGGTCCATTGCACATATAATCAAAATCTGCAAAGACCCTCCCCGTACGGAACGGTCGGTTAGACAGACACACGGAGTGTCTCTCCCGTTGGAGCGGACGGGATGTTGAAGAAACGACTACATGAACACGGCGTGCTCGATCCATGATCCTTGGGACGTATGCCTGAACACGAACACGAGCATAAAGATGACTTGCACTATCAAAGCCCGGACCTCGAGCTGGAACTGAAGCGAAAGCTGGGCCTGAACCACCACGGCGGCTCAGTGCGGTTCCTGGAGGACTCCCAAGCCAAATGGAAACCAATGCATGCGGGCCTTGATCGATGCTACGATGCAGATGCATGGGTATGCATAGTCCCAAACGGGCAGGTGGTCGATAGGGCAGCAGAGAACATACATACTTACATGCTTACATGCTTACATACCGCACAGGATCTGGTCACGTAGACCAGCGTCCCCAGATGTTTGAGCGGGGTATTATGTAACTATTCCCTGCAGGGTTCCATGGGTAGTTTTTGCGACCTGACCAGGCCTGACCTGACCCGAACGTTTTCGAGAAAAAAGAAAAAGAAAAAGAAAGAGAAAAAAACAGCAAAGAAAGGCCTCGACGGACGGATTGTGCAATAGGAAGCAAAGATCGCCTGCCTATGTAAGGGGCCCGGTGGTGAGGCATCCGGTCGGGGTCTCAATAATGCCACGGGCCGTTCTATACGAGGTAACCTGGATCGAGTACCGAGTCCATGGGTGTGAGTATTACGGAGTGCTTTAGCACCTGCCTGCCCCGGTCCAGCAACTCCACTCACGGCCAGGGGTGCAGACATGGGGGGCGGAAGAGCCAAAATGGATGCCATATTACCGAGTACATGTGTAATACGATAGAGCCCGAGCCTGAGATATGGACGAGGGACTCAGGGTCAGCCTCTTTCTTCCAGGTACAGCACATGTTCCATCTGCACTGCGACATATCAAGCCAGTGGAGTTCCTATCAGAGTTGCAGTTTGTGGGGGAGCATGATTGGTTCACGCAAAAGGGCAAGCAAAAGGACAGGACAGGGGTGAGTGAAGTAAGTAAGCTCACATGCATCGCCGACGATCACTAATGCTACTCTGGTAAGGCCTGCAGCGGCGGACAGGGGGCAGAAGATGATCACGGACTGCTACGCAGCTCTGAAACACACTGACAAAATTCGACAGGTCTGGACTGACTCGTCCATCATATTGGTATGATCGCTATACAATAATTCCTGGTTTTGGCCAACTGATCCCTTCCAGCTTTTAGACAAGCACAAAGTAGTCATACACCAGGCAAACCCGCCCCATCATCCTCACGAAAAATCTCGCCCCTCGAGCACCATCGGCGCAACCAGAGTCCAGCAGTAAATGGCATAGCACAGCCATGCGCTGATGATCTTGATCCAGCTTGCCCAATATGTCCGGCCAACAGGTGTAAAGTCGGTCGAACTCTCCGGGTCCATCTTCTGCGTCAAAAGCGTCGCCACCCAGCATGTCGCCATAAGGAAGATGACATGGAATAAGCTGTAATTGTACTGCGTCCCTTGGCGTTCGTCGTCCTTGGAGCTGACTTCGGTGTTGTCTTCATCGTCCGAATCCTCGTCCAAGGCGGACGCCGGTAGCGCCCCACTTTCCACCGCCGCTCTCATGATCTCACGACGTGACGCCGGCTGCTGAGACACAAGGCCGTGCTCGTTTTCATCTTGGGTTAATTGAGCATACTTGTTCTTTCCACTGTTAGACCCCATGGCGAACCCTTGAGTAGCCGCTCGAGTAGTGGTGTAAGCAATCGTAAGCATGGTAACAATCGCACCCAAGATGACAGTGGTAGTCCGTGCACCCCGGGCACGAATGAGAGGATTGCAATGCTTGTCATCTGGCTCCATTGCAACTGCTGAGAACGTGAGGTAGGTGCAGTAGACTGCCACCATGGCCGACTGTGCCAGACCAGCTTTTGGATTTGCATCCTGGATAGTCGGCTGGACGCTGAGGAATGTGACAAGGAAGAGGAGGACCAGGTTGATGGTGATGGCGGCGATGTTCATGCTGCAGCCACTGCTGGCAAAAAAGATGTACATGACGATGGTCATGGCGAATGCAGCCAGATACATGCCCAAGCTCGACCCCATAAGTAGAACCTGCCACAGCCGGTAGTTTGGTCCATCCCCTTCGTCAATCTTGTCCTGGCAGAGTTCTGCCCACGTGTGCGCGAGGTCGACCAGGAGGATGAGGCCCAGGAGCACGAAAAGCATGGCCCCCGTGTAGGCGACATAATTTCCCCAGAACAGGAAGAATCCCTCGGGAATGAAAAAAGAGATGACGATGAAGGCGATCCAAACCAGCAGTTTCGGGCCCCAGAAGCCATTCTGCAAAGCGGCTCGAGTGTCTTTGGTGCTTCGGACCCCAATGAGAAGGATAGAAAGGATCAGGTGGAACATGCCCAAAGCGAAGTTGATGCGCTGGACAGCAAAATAGCCGTAGCACTCGGAGGAGCCGCATTTGAAAGTCATATAGTCGAGGGTGAGGTGTTCCAGTTTCTTGATGGCCCAAGGTGTGAGCATTATCCAAGCCAGAATACTGTTGACCAGTAGAATCATGGCATAGGCAATTCTTGTGGCGATCGAGGATCGGAACTTGGACATGCCGCAAGGCCCACAGATCATGGAACATGATGCCGCACCACAGCAAGACGCAGCCACCGACCATAGGGTTGCCGCAGAAGGCAGGACAAGGGCTGGAATAGCGAGGACGCCGCCCATCTTGGAAGGTGAGGGAGGGGGTCTCGTGCTCGAAGGTTTCGCGGATAACGATGGCTTGTGTGATCAGGCCTCCAGTCGAGGCAGCGGGACGCTTCTTATCGGTACACAATTACATACAATACGATGCTGGATTGATCGGTGGTAGTGTGCCAGGTAGTGGTTGATGGGAGAGCGAGGAAGCGCAGGCGACAACTGGGAGAGAGTGAGGAGCGTGAGGAGTGTCAGGCAGTGAGGTCAGTGGAGGCCGGGAAATCGTATGCCCAGAGGACGACAGAGGCAGGTTAGCCGAGAGACCCATGACGTCCCTCACTCCACGCTTTAACGTTCTGAGAAGGGACCATGTTCGATATCGGATCCAGTGCCGACTGACGAATTTCTGGCGTCCCAACATCGACCGCTCCCTCACTTCAACTCTCATCACCTCTCTCCCCCCCGGACTCCGGCGAGCCCAATCTATCTTTTCATCGACCATGACGCGGTGACCATTGCCATCTCCCACCAGAGCTTCCCAAGATGATACTCACATCAGACCATAAGAAGGCCCGGATCCTAACCGTGATTGCATGCACCATCACTGCATTGGCATGTGGTTCCAATGTGCGCAACTTCCCTCCCCCGCCATAAGACGACTACTGACCGCAATCCTAGTATGGCTACTCCATATGGGGTCCTAGTTTCGCATCTCGCCTCAAGTTGACTGCCACGGACAGCAATCTCATTGTACGCAATGCCTCCTACCAACATATATCCAAGAGCAGGGACCCCTGACTGATATGCTGGGTTTGTGCAGGGAACGGTGGGCAATTTGGGGATGTATGCCTTTGGCATTCCTTCCGGTATGATGGTCGATGCAAAAGGTCCACGATGGGGAGTCGCTTTGGGCATTGTATTGTTCGCTGCTGGATACTATCCAATTGCCAAAGGTATCGAGTACTGCTCTCGGAGTTCTCCGTGTCCGACTGCGACGACAAGGCCTGTCTGACAACGATCTAGCATACGACGCCGGCCCTGGACACTTTAGCGTGGCATTGATTTGTTTATTCTCTTTCTTCACGGGTGCTGGGAGTTGTTCGGCCTTCACAGCATCCATCAAGGCCGGTATACCATAACCCTCTAAATCCGTCGATGCTCAATGAATTACAATGTTGACTCTGAGCAGCCGCCCTCAACTATCCCGAATCTCGAGGAACCGCAACAGCCTTTCCACTTGCGGCTTTCGGACTAAGCGCCTTGTTCTTTGCTGCTATCGCGCAATTACTTCCCGGCGGGACATATAATTTTCTCATTCTGCTCGCCACGGGGACAGTTGTCCTTCCCTTGATATGCTTTCCTTTCATGCGTGTCATACTCCCTCACGCCTACCATCATCTCCCCCAACACGAACGACAACAAGTCCTCCACCGAACCAGATCACCAGGAAGTCGCCCCCTTCCTCATCTCGAAGAACCAGGTGCGCCACACACACGAAAACCCCAGGCCCAGTCCTCAATTAGTAGCACAGAACCGTCCCAAGACCACGAGGGCAATAATAGGGACGAAGAATCTTCCTTGCTCTCCAAAACTTCCAGCCAAGAACAAGACGCCGAAGACCTTGAAAGTTCAAAGCACATGGAGTCTGACAGGATTCATGAACATCCGCATTTAGATATTCGAGGCTTCGCTCTCTTACCTCATGCCGAGTTCTGGCAGTTGTTCTTGATGCTTGGCTTGATGACCGGCATCGGTTTAATGACCATCAAGTAAGCCTTGGATCCTAGCTTCCAAAACGTGACTCGAAAGGTGGGCATTTCTAACATAACATGTCTACCTAGCAACATCGGCAACGACGCCCAAGCTCTCTGGAAACACTACGACCCTTCCACCTCGGCATCCTTCATCGAAAGTCGTCAAGCGATGCACGTCTCTATTCTTTCCTTTTGCAGCTTCAGTGGTCGGCTCCTGTCGGGCATTGGTTCCGACATCCTCGTGGCGAGACTTGACAGATCTCGGTTTTGGTGCCTATTTGTGTCCGCGCTAACCTTTTGCGCGGCACAGGTGGTCGCCACCGCCGTTTCAGACCCCCATTATCTTGTGCTTGTGTCAGGTTTGACGGGTCTGGCCTATGGCATGTTGTTTGGAGTGTACCCGAGCCTTGTTGCGCATTGTTTCGGCGTTCATGGCCTCTCACAAAACTGGGGGACCATGACTCTCGCACCTGTCATCTCTGGCAACATCTTTAATATCCTCTACGGAAAGATCTACGACGCGCATTCGGTCCGAAACGAAGATGAAGGACATATGGAGTGCCTTGTCGGAAAGGAGTGTTACCAATCTGCCTACTGGGTGACTTTTGGTGCCGCGGTGCTGGGTGTCCTGTGCTGTCTGTGGAGCATCTGGCATGAGAACGAAGTGCACAAAGCTAAAGGCAGAGAAGGTAGGGTAAGTAGGAGGAGATCTGCTCATGAAAGAGTCGCTTGATCGATATCCCTTTCGGTACTTTTCTTGCAGGTTTGCTTTGTCGTGGGCATTCATTTCTACCGATTTTTGGTCTTTTTTTTTTTGCTTCCCCCCCCCCCCCCCAAAAAACTAACTTCCTAGCTACTTATGTACGTTCTGGGCATGTGTAACTTGATACCATTTCCACAGTCACATGAAGATGAATATCTATAGAGACGGATGAGACAGGCATTTCAAATGGGATAGAGGATCTAGAATTGGCAATAGAAAGAAAGCTTTATAGAGATCTAATGCGTTATGTTCGATGAATTAAGGACCTGCCCCGAAAGGGTTGTGAAACCTAACAATGTGGAATACCGAGGAATTGGGGAGGGCATTAGTAGCCCTGTTGGCCGTACGCTCAAAAACGGGCCAGTTCTCAAGTATCAAGAATGGAGATTGACAGACAGAGACCCACAGAAGTCTGTACTCTGAGAGTGATGCCGGGATTGGCCTAAACCTCGAATATGTATTGAAGCAGGGATTACTATATTGCGGCATGCCTTTCGAGACAATTCCATATCTACTCCCCCTTTCGATTAAGAAACGCACCATTTGTGATTCCTGCTGACTATCTCGCCTCCAGTCGCAGCGCATTTTGGTCGACCTAGCTTTCCATCCTCTTCTATCTCAACCAATTTTTCCAAGTCCTCAAGCTCAGAACCTAAAAATCCTTTTGGTGGTTGCCGAAACAAATTCTTGACATAGACTTGCGCCCCAATTTGGCAATGCACCGTCCCGTCATCGTTGCGGCAATCTTCGACCAGCACGCCGGGGCTGCAGCCTAGAGGATTAGTTTGCATATTATGAACCTCAGTATGAAGGATAACAGAGACCCAGCGCCGGAGTGGAAGTACGGCATTGAGCTGGCGCTTGAAGATTGGCCGATCCGTCCACATTTCCAGAAACTTTACAACGAGCCAGTGATTCGAAGGAGTTATGACAATGAAGCTTGGGCGGTCCAACCGGGGAAGCTTCGGAATGATGATGCCAGGTAAGGAGCATACGAGGCCTACCTTTGTGACATATGCGTGAGGGCCTTTTGTAATATGCTTTGGCTCGTCAAAGAGATCGAGTTGTGTCGCGCTCCATCGCTGACGAAAAGTTGCTGGTGCCCATCGAAAGCCTGGCCGCTCCATCTTTGGACCTGAAGTAAACAGGATGGTCGGAGAAAAGTCTTTCTGCAGCAGAAGCAGCCTTTCTAAGCCTTGACCTGCTCCACCACTCATTACTTGTTCTAGGTCAAGGCCTAGCAAAGTTGCGAAGCAGATTGGCTCATCGGTTTTCTGGGAGGTTGAACGATGGCAAAAGAGACGAATTACCGACGAAAATAAAGCTATTCTCTCGGCTGGACTCGATCTTGGCATTTCCTTCAAACTTAACAATGCTGATGCCTTTTCACTGCTGGTGGCTGAAATGATATCGTACGACGGGTTCACACTCACCAAATCGGTGAGGGGAACAACGCCGTCCGAGAATTGAAATAGTAGTGTGGAAGCAAGAACTCCTTCTTGAAGGGTCCACATTCTCCGGAACCAGGTACTAGAGAATATTCGTAGCTTCAACTCCTCGGCGGACACATTCAAGCTTTTGCGCAGAAGAGTGTTGTCGAGAACCAGAACAATCTCTGCTTGAGCGTATACTTCTCTCATCTGCATTATAGCTTTGCGTCTCAGTTCCGGGCCAAGAGGAACGCAGATCGAGTCAATCCAAAAATATACCGCACTACCCATTGTTGTCCTCCCAGTAGCAGCGAGAGCGGTATATCTTGTTAGAGCTTCAAACTGACATTGTGGGAGGGAGTTTCCGTCCGGGTTACCCAGCCCGTCAGACCAAACATGGGATATTGCGACATATGGTCGGCCGCTCTCAACTGGAACAATTCCAACTTTCAATTTCGGTCCTTCTTTTGGAAGAGCGGAGCACTCGATCCACCCTGGTTGACGCGCAAGTTGACCGTCCGCGTGTTCGATGGTGACCGAAAGTTCGGGGTCAATATCAGCTAGAGAATGTGCCCACTTCGCAGATATCAGGGGAATGGCTCCTGTTTTCAAGATCTCATGCACCTTTTGGGCGGGTGGGACAATAACTTGACAGCCGGGACATCCGTCCCTGTGAGCCGTCACATAGCCGTCCCCAACAGAACCAATCGCGGTGCATGCCCTCTTAGGATCACACTCGTGCTCCTTTAAACTTCGAGTCACACCAAGGAGGCTGAATGAGTATAACCAGGAGACATGGAAATATGCCCCCAGCCATTCAACGTCGGTCTGGCACCATTTCTGGTGTAACATCCGCCTTTCCAACAGGTGGCACCTAACTCCTTGCTTCAAAATGGGATCACCGTAGACCCTGGCGTTTACAATTTCCAGAGTACCTTGCAAGTTGTGGATCAACATATGCAAAGCTAGCGTATGCTGTCCTCTTAGATGATTCTCAGTCAGCAGATCGATGCGGCTAAGCATTTCATAGATCTCCCTGTAGACGATCGCTCTCCTCTGAGAACTTTGGCGGCATTGAATAGAGATCCATCGGTGAAGATAACTCCAGAGTCTCTTGTCCGTAACATAAAGATTTTCAGAGGCATGGTCTGTCGGAATACTTTGCTTGTGTTGAGTGGTGCCTCTCCAGAAGCTCCGTGAAGGCTGACATTTCCCTGATGAAGAGGACATTAGAGGGTCATCAACCCAGCCATCTCGAAGAGACCTGGGTTCTTCAAAGCAAAAGCCTCTTTCGTCGCAGATGAAATCTTTCATTTCGAGTGGAATTTCGCAATACCGAAGAAAGTCGCTGAGCACTGCGAAAAAGAGCCAAGTCTGACAAAATGCCACTTCCATGTTTGGCTCTATATTGGAGTGTCGCGTCACGCGTTCACGGTAGCCGCAAAATCCGACGCCGTCATATTCAAACCGCTTTAGATATGGAACCATCAACACTTCATAAGGTATTTTAGGAGATGGAAGGTGTGCCATGAGGCGACTCTGGGCGGGATATGCGACGTGGGAAATGGAGTACGAAGTATTATGGAAAAGCTCTTGCTCAGACGCGATCGTCTACTCAAGCAAGATGATAAGGTTATATCTGTATTGAGCAAGAAGTTCAGAAAACACAGCTTCCCAGAGTCCAGATTCTGTTGTGGCTATGTAGGTATCGAAAGGCAGTGAGCAGCCACTTGAGATGAACTAGCGCTAGCCTTCAGCGCACTGCCTGGGCTGAGTAAAACCCCAATCGAAACGTATAGGCAGGGCTTAGACCTCAAAATCACGGACAGTTAAGCCACCAACCACCGATGTTGGGTTTCAAGATGTATGGGACTGGTTCTCGACATGGTCTTATCCGAGAATCTATTGGTGCGCGTGACACTAGCCAAACATTCAACTACTCTCCTACAGGCTTCTTATGCGACAAGCTCCTAGGCTGCCTGCAAAAGGTCACGACCCTCAAGAGTGAGTGGCTGCAAAGCTTTCCCGATTGTTATACTGAGAGTGCAGTCACCTGCCCCCAATCCGACAGCTGGCAAGACCCAACATCGAGGAGGCATTTGCTTTTTCTTCTGTAAAGCGTTGTCAATGCGGGTACAGCCTCGTTCAGTAGCTGCATCTCTTCTAGTCGTGTACCGACTGACCTGTCCAAGCTCAGACTCAGCAATACCAAGTTTTCTAGCTAGCTGAACAACCGCAACTTCTTCCCGTACAGCCAAGGAAGACCGTCAGCTTCACCGCGCGTAAGGGTTAACATGCCATTAAATTCGGGCCTGGCACTTCCAATACAGAATGGAGCCACATCTATGCTGCGCTCGATTGGACACATGCTGGCGTGGTTGGAGCCCAGTGCCAGTTTCCAGACAAGTCCAAGCCTCTACAACGGGCCAGAGGAAAGCCCAGCTGTACTTCTCGTAGTCCCAGAGTTCAGAATGCAACGTGGACAGGCCATGTTCTTTGAGAAATCCCCAACCACACCATCGACGATTCGATAATTGCAGGCGTGCTTGGATGGACGTGGCGCGATGGTGATTGGGACCAGGAATCCGGAATGAAAGTATAGCTAGCAGCAGGAATTCGATGTTGAAACCATTGCCTAGGATCTGGCAGGCTAAGACCGTCCCCGTGAACGGTGACTTCAGTACAGGCGATCCCGAGGCTCATCTCAGATAGCCGTAGGGCGTTGACCATGTTAGAAAGGTGTGGGAAGACGTCATCATTTTCCGGTAGGGTTGTCGTGTAAACAATAGAAAGGACTCCGCTACAGGCCGGACCATTCATTGTCACCCCAATATATACAAAGATACTTAACTCCACGTGAGTCGCAAGGCATCCACCGCCGCCAAGGTCTGGTAGGAGCTAGTTCCAGAGTGTTCAAAATCAGCTCGCCATAGCATCCCTGCGGTGAGATGTGCACGCAAAGCTATGTGCTGGCATATCTTGTCGAGCTCGCTGGGTCAAGTTGGAGTGGACTGCGTCCGGGGGCTCTGATGAAGATGATTGGATCGTGTGCTGTTCCGAACGGAGTTTCTCGAAACCTCCCGTGGGGACAAATTTGTTCTACCTGACCTTAGGTTTAAACTCGCCTCGAAAAATCAGTGACATTAGGGTTCCATAATGGGTATGGGCCTCTCGCTGCCTTTCGTTGGGGCCGGTTTGTTCCATCTGACCACAGCTGGTAATTAGCTGTGAAAACCTGTAGAATAAGGCGGACGTAGCTAACCCAGATTGCTGCTCGAGTGGATTCTTCAGTCAAAGCCACGGGACGGGACCGTCTGTCTCTTGGATCCTGGCAAAGAGCCGCGCAGAATGGGCGTACGAATTTGTTCATCAGTCTTGCAAGAGCTTTGTCTCGTTCCATTTTTCCGAATTGAATTGACGTGGAAGCCAGCTTGTTTGCACCCTGTTCGTTATAGCTGTTCCTGGCGCATGGTTGACCGGGTTGGGCGAGATATCTCAGAGTACCCCAGTCGGTGGACCTAGAACCCGCCATAGTCTAGAGATTCTGAGCAAGTAGCACATCTTGTATCATCCACAGGCGACCCCAATTGCCGGCTGATTAGTGTGAAAATAGCACGTTTGCTAGTCTGTTGGCCACTTCGAATCACTCACTGTTTGGCCTTCCGGTGGAGTGTAATCGCGTGACCTGTCTAGGAAGTTGAAAGCAACTTCACTCTACCGCGGTCAAAGTGTCAAGCCACGCATTGATGCCGACGGCTGAAGAGTGAATGTCGGCCATCATCTTAACTTGCCAGTTTCTTTCGGGGATATTGCGCTGGCTGATTCAAATCAGCATGCTGTAGGCGAACGGCGCGAGCCAGATTAGGTTAATGGGTCGCATATACGGCTTCACGCTCCAGTGCACTTTTTGGGTTCTCTATTCCCTACCCGCAAGCTTCGCTGAAACGTCAGGGAAGGTTCTATTCGCAACAATAGCCGAAGCCTAAAAGGGCAACCCGGAATCGTGACCAGTTTTCCTCGGATTAGGAGACTCTGGAATTGGAAATGCCGGTAAGCGAAGGTACTTTCATGACCCTTGCCTATCGCCGATCTATGCGGCAATTGGTTTAGCGGCTATATGCTAACGACCAGGAACAGGCGAGGATAGAATATATGTACCGAGTACTCCGTTGGGTGATGGATTACAGAGTCTCTACTCGCCTTGATACTCTAGACAGCGACGTGACTGCGGCAGTGTTATGAACGGGGGCTTCATGACAAGTATGTGCCTAAGAGGTCCAAGATTCTGTCACGGAAAGACAGGATTCTCAGTCTTTTTGGGCAATACCCAAGAGACTGTGGACCTCTTCCTGACAGGCAGTGCGCTACATATAGAATATAGGCTCCCAGGGCTTCTGTAGTTTCTAAGCTATTTCAATCATATACTTGATCATTGTTATTAATGTGGAGAGATAAAGCCGTAGAAAAAGCACCTAGACTAAGGAAGGTAAGCAACTTCTCAGTCTAATGCCGGGATAGCGGGGTGCCGGCGTCCACCGGTATGTGTCCGACCCGCCATGTCAGTCTTCCTCCAATACGGGCTCGACGGCTGCAATGCGGAGAAACCGTGATTCAACTTCATACCTAACTTAACCTGAGAGGTTGGCTAAATGTGGAACCTATTTACCTGCATGAATGAGAGGGGGACGTGTCTCCAGTTACGCACTAACCAGAAGATCCTGAGTCCGGGTGCCGCTGAGCTGGCTGCTAGTTCCAGTTGAGACATAATACTTCATCAAGGCCCACTGCAGAGGCAGGGCTAGTCAGCGCTATGAGTGATCTGCGCTCCCAAGTATGCATAGGCTATCGCGATGGTTACGGTGGCAGGCAGCTCCTGTTCAATCTGCCGGATACCGTTTTGGTACTCCCGTGGCAGACAGCATGGCGTGAGGGTCTACGTGGGCTGCGACATACATCTCCTCATTGAATCGTGCCTAGTGAAGTCGGTACAGGGACATAAGTACCAGTACAGTACCCCCCCCGCTGCCATCATCGACATTCTGCAAGAAGAGACAGATTCCTTCGTAAAACTTCCATCACCGCTCCACAGCACCGAAAATGCCTCTGTACGGACGTCATATGGTGTGGGCGTAAGTCCAAATTCGTCACTCGTCCTTATATTTTGCTGAATTGACATGGCCTCAGCGTGTGCCTAGTTGCTGGATTGGGCATCATGTTCGAGGGTTATGACCAGGGCGTCATGTCCGGAGTCAATATAAGCCCATCGTACATTGTACGTGTTGACCAAATTCCCCGCGAGAGAAACCACTGACCGATGCGCAGGACCTTGTCAAAATCGGCGACGGCGCGACCGGCAAAATCACTAGACCGACCAAACAAGGTGGCCTTGTCTCGATATACTATCTCGGGACCCTTGTGGGAGCACTGATGTAAGCTCTGCCCGCCTACTCTATCTCAAATCATCCTGACTGTGAGGTTCGTTGAATAGGGGTGGTGCTTTGTCCGATAAGATTGGGCGACGCAAAGCTATATTCTTCGGCTGTCTTTGGGGCATCTTTGGTCAATCGATGCAAAGCGCAGCTCAGAACGCGAACTGGATGCTCTGTGCCAGGTTGATTGGAGGTGTTGGGACTGGCTGCATCAGCGCTGTGATTCCAGTCTGGGGCTCAGAGCTTGTCGCTCACGATATGCGAGGGATGGTGATGGCGTTCGAGATGTTCATCAACTTTGCCGGTATTTCCACTTCGTGTAAGAGCCTCCCTCTCTTGACGATTACCCTATCACTGCTGATTGTTATAGATTGGCTCGAGTATGGGCTGAGCTTTCTCAACCAGGGGAACACCCAGGTTCGGTGGCGATGTAAGCCATTCAAGCTTTGTCTGGAAGTGCTCGACTGACTTATCACTCACTCAGTTCCCCTTGCTTTCGTCACAATGTGAGCATTTAGTTTCCCTCAAAGTTCTCAGGATGGTCATTAATATGTATCAGCTTTCTGGTTGCTTTAATGGTCATCATCCCATTCATGCCAGAGAGTCCAAGGTCAGTCAGCTCTATCTGCACATCGTCTGTGCTAATGCGGGCCACCAGATGGGACATTGCCAATGGGAAGCAAGAACGTGGTAGGAAGACTCTGGCGGTCTTTCGCGCTCGAGGAGATATCAACCAAGCAGACGTCGAGGCGGAATTCAACGAAATTGTCGCCGCCGTCGGTAAGTTCGCAATTCCTATGGAGTACCCAGATGGGAAGATTACTGAGACTCGTCGGTCCCATCCAGAACTGGAGGCCGAATATCCGGCTCGGAGCTACTTCCATTTGGTCACTGGAATCAAGAGTGGCGATCTTCATCTTGGACGGCGAGCCTTTTTGGCCGCCTGGCTCCAGATTATGCAGGCATGGTGCGCTTATCGAGTATTTGCAGATTTTTTCGGAATCCTGACTTGGAGATCTGCTACAGGACTGGTGTCACAAGTGTGGTCGTATACGCTCCCACACTTTTTCGAATTGCTGGCTTCAGTGCACACAAAGTGAGGGTGTTCTGGCAATCCCTGCAGACGTCCTGTTGACCAGTTGGATACAGGCAAACCTCCTTACCGGCTGCGCAAACCTGGTCACTATGGTATGCTGCGCTTTTGCGTTCGTGACAATCGATCGTTACGGCCGTCGCAAAGTCCTCATGGCTGGTGGATTTGGACAAAGCCTGTCGTTCTTCATCCTCGGTGCTTTGTCCAAGATCGGGGAGGACAGACACAGCCAGTCAATCGGCGCCGCTGCTGGTTCATTTGTCTTCATCTATAACGCAATCTTTGCGGTAAGTCCAGTTCGCCTTTCTGTTCCCTTCCTCGAACTCATGGTTTCTACGCAGGCAACATGGCTCAGTGTGCCTTGGGTATATCCTTCAGAAATCTTTCCACTCGCCATCCGAGCTAAAGGGAACGCATTTGGCATAATTGGTACGTGAACTTCCTCCGGCGACAGAGTGGTGAATTCTAACGATGTTCTTACAGGCTGGAGCCTGGGATGTGGCTCCGTATCTCTTGCGGCGCCTGTGATGTTCCAAGCGCTAGGCCCCCAGGGTTTCTATATCCATGCCGTCTTCAATCTGCTGGCCGTCGTTGTGGTATTCTGTTTCTACCCAGAGACCAGTTGCCGAACACTGGAAGAGGTATGTGACCGTCGAAGGAATGGATCTTTCCAGACCACCGTCTAACAGCTCATACTTGCAGATCGATCTCCTGTTTGCCAGTAAAACACCATTCGTCTGGGAAACGGAAAAGAGATTCCAAGAGCTTAAACTTCAACACTCAGCTCTCGTTCGTAGAGGACAAGACTTGAAAGAATTAAGTGTCGCCGAACATCTTGAAGGAGCGGGAGGCCCTGGCGGGCAGAAATATTGAGCGCGAGGGCCCTATGACCTATGGAATTTCTGGCGACGGACACTCGAAGCACGAAATGGTAACTCAGACTAGACGAGCTCTTCATGCTGAAAATTGACATCCCAGCGTTGTGAAACGCCTTGCATGGTGAAACTAGTTTCGGACAGCTTTCATCTCAAAATATCTCTCTGAGTACATATTACAACAGCTCGCATCTTGCATTTTGTAGGACCCATGGGGCCATGCCGCACGTACCTAGGGCTGGTGTTCAGTGGTGGCCGTTCTCTCACCCCCTCCATTAGCTTGGTAAAGTGGGAGTCAGTCAGGACCGCTAACTAGTAGAGATCGCTGCCATTGCTTTTGGGGAAATTAATGACCTCTGTCTTTCACCGTCAGGCTGAGCCGGAGGTAACGTTAACACAGGGCGGCGTCAGCCTCGTCCTAATCGGGGGTGGGCTGGGGTGTCGATTTTATTACTCATACCCTCGTCTTTTGTTGCTGGGAGTCTTCTTGAATGGCCAACTCAACTGGGCCCCCGTCCAGCCTTTTGTCCTCGACTCTTCTTGGGGAAACTTCGGAGAGGCTTTGTACTGCTATCTTCTCTTAGTTAAAGCTTGTGTCACAGCGGCATTTGCCCACGCTCGAGGATCGAACTCTGTTTGGAGAATAGTCGGAAACGCCTGGGAAAGGGGGAAAGGGGGAAAGGGTTTAAGAATCGATACAGTGGATGCGAGTTTTGTCTGCTATCCATCTCGATACCTATCTACCAAACTAACTGCCCAGCTATGTTGGTATGTTTTGAGCAGACCCTCGACCGACTTGGGATTTATTTCCTGCTTGGGTATCTCCAGAGTCAAGAGCCCAGAGTCCAGAGTCCAGAGTCAAGCTCTGGCATATGTATTGATCAATCCATGCCTCCTCGACTGACCCGTCCGGCACGCCCCATACCATATGAGAGTCCAGGTAGAAAGAAAAGGCCCAAGCACAAAAAATGGAAGCTAATAATAACAACAAGATTGAGAATGGGAATTTGGTACTCGATAAAATGAGTTGTCATGGCACCACTCCGCATAACGCCGTAACATGATCTTGCCGTACCAAGACAATCCCCCTTCAAGGCCGTGCCAGAGAATTATCCACCTGTACCAGCAACCTGAACCGTATGTCACGATCATTTTTCAGCCGTAGCAATGTCCAGCAACGGCTTTTTCCGTATTCCGGATTTCCCCCTCCCCCCTTTTGAACCCCAAGCGAAAGACATGATGTTTTGCCTAATATTTGACCGTTTGCGCATAGTCGTCATCATAGTGGTACATAGACCAATTTGATTCTTCTCGTCATCAACTTGTCGTCACCAAAAGTTCAAGCCTTGTCTGGCTCGATGGAAACCCTTGCCACCCCGGCCGCAGCAGAGGCCTCTCCCTCAGCGGCCGCCACGGGTGGACTATTTACCGGCGGACTGGTGACCAAATTCGAGGGGGTGACGGGTGTGTTTGCGGGCGAGGCAGTCAGTTCACTAATCTGCTTTTCCAGTTCGCGAATGCGCATCCTCAGCATCTGGTTTTCACGAGTCAAGTTGGCGGTTTCGGCCTGGTAGAAGGCGGTTTCGTCGCGGAAACTGTTTCTCCGTGCTGTGGTGATTGATTCGAGTGGCGACGGGGGCCAGTCACCACTTGCAGTAGTATTGCCAATGCTCGACTCCTGGGCGGGCAGAGGCCGCAATGCTGGCGAACGGCTTGCGCTAGAAGGTCCACGCGAGATGCGTCTTGTGAGCGGAGGGACCGCGGGGACTGCGGGGTGAATTGAGGGAAAGGTTATCGAGCGTTCGGAGGCAGGCGTTTCGTCGTCGACGACGGCGGTACCGCTGCCTGCCACGGCCGAATTAGGCTGTGAGGAATGTCGGGAATGGTGGCCGTTCTGACCCTGACCACTTCGGAGAGCGTCAAGTTGCAGCTGTTGTTCTCGGATCATCTGCAACATCCGATTCACTTGTGCTTCTTGCTCCTGTTCCAGCTCATTATGGATCTCGCCGAGACTGGGTTGACGCTGATGGTGCGGATCACCCGTGGCGATGGCGGCCCTCCCCCCGATGGTAGGCGGACTGGCCGAGGTGTAGCTGTGACCGAACCCGATTCTCGGATCGCTACTGGAGAGTTCGCCTGGGCTTGGAATGGTAGGGTCATTCAGGTTGAGGTTGATGGCGACCTGCGACCGACGGCGATCGCTAGGCATACGACCCAAGCGAGGAGAGCCTCTGTTGCTCAAAGAAGATCTTCTAGACTCATTTGCATTTGCAGCATTGGTGACGGCGGCAGCGGCCAGAGATATGGAGGAGCTTCGAGGAGAGGGAGTTTGTTGGCGGTTTGGAGGGATGTTTGTAGTCTGCATGGAGCGGGGTTGCATGGGCGAGGAAGACGTCGATCTGGAGGGAGGGAGAGAGTTTAGGTCTGGAGGAGCCATCACAGAGCAAGAGGGAAATTTAAGAGGCGACAATGAGAAGGAACGATACGAGTTAAGAGGAGGGTGATGGAACGATTTCTGGGCTGGTTGTCATGCCACAGTGCAATAGCATTTATGGTACGAGGTACCGAGGGAAAGGGAGGGGATGGCGAACTCGCGGCGACGCGGCGACGTGGGCAGCTGACTTGGGCAAGATGCTTGGCGGCGAAGAGAGAGGCTCAAGGTGGCTACGAGTGCGAGTACCTTGGAGGGCCTACCGAGTAGATTGTGTGTGTGTTTGTAATTGCCCCTAGGAAATGGAGGACTTGGGGCTGATGGGCATTGGTAATGGCAGTGGTAGAGGGTCACCAGGCTACGAAGTAGGGGGAAGAATAATATGCTCAAGGACCCGGGGGGGAAGGGAGGTACAGTACATAATGGGAGGAGAGTTTTGTGTGATAAGCAGCTGAGGAGTTGGAGAGAGGAGAGGCGAGGCTGCGTCACCAGGTGGCCCTAAAAGATATTAGGGCTGGTGGGCTGTCGAGGTGCCAGAAGCATCCCTACTGGGTGCCTAAGGACGAGTCACTTAGGCACCCTTTGGCGACAGGGGGAGGCGTGTGGTGCCCGGAGGACACTAGGCCCTCTACTTGGTACAAGTACTTACTCGTTAGTACAAGTAGGCTCCTCTCACTTCAAACGACGTCATTATTGCCTAGGTGCTAGGGAGGTAATCGAGCTAAAGCCGCATTGGGAGCTGGTTGTTTACACTTCGGGCTCATCTCCTCCCCAGCCACTTGGATTTTCGCCCGGTTTGTGCTGGCACCCCCCCCATCCGCCGTCCGCCATCCCCCAGCCTCCTCCATCATCGCAATCCTCACACCATCCACCACCCTAATCTATCCCTCGTCTGATCTCTCCGTCGTATTCCTCCCTCTCAAACATCTCATACACACAATCGCATCACTCAATCCCAGTTGAAACCATACGCGTTCTTGTTCCAAATTGCGCCTCCTCGCGCCACCATGTCAGGTTTACCATATCTCCAGAAACTGCGCAAAAGCGATCTTACCGAGTTCGCCGAGGCCAGCAAGCTGCCCGAGTACGTTCTTTCCCTTGTTGTTGCTTCCGACGCGTGCTTTTCCGGGTCGCATTGCCTGGCGCATCCTTGCTGACTGGTATGCGACCGCAGCTATGCTCATTTGAAGAAGGCCGAGCTCGAGCTCGCCCTCGACAAACACTTGCGCACCAATTCCACCACATACAGCAAAGACCCCTCCCTGAGCGAATATTACAAGCGTTTGGCTAGCAGCTCGCGATCGCCAACCAAGAGAACCGCAGCTGAGAAAGTCTCGGAACATGTCAAGTCGGACGACGATGCTCCCGCTCCTGTAAAGAAACCGCGACGGAAGACAACCTCGACCACTCAAGAGGGGTATGGGTCGCGCCTCAATCCGTGTTGTTTTGGTATTGTTGCTGACCAGTCCATAACAGGGAGGAATCACAAACAACCGTCAATGCGCTTGTCAAAACCCCGGCCAAAGAGGTGGCGCGTCGGACCTCGATTCTGGCTTCCCAGATTCCCATACCACCCTCGCCGGCCGTCGTCACGGATGCCATTGATCAACAAACGCGTCGCATTCGGACTTCCATCTCTCATGCTTATGAGCAAACCCAGCTTCATGAATATGCCGATGCCACGCGCGATATTCTGTCCTCACCCGTGACCATCATCGTGCTGGCCATACTTCTAGAGGCTTATGGTCTTCGCGCGCAAATTTTACCCAACAAGCTGTTGACTGAAATTCCCGCCATTCCCTACATTAAGTCGACCAAGACGCCAATCATGGTTCCAGACCTGTTTCTGTTGTTGGAGTCCAGGTTCTGGTCACCCTTCTCACTGTGGACGCTAACCTCGTTGATTCTGCCGGCCACCATCTCGTACTTTATCAACCTGCCGCTCAAGGCCCATCCCAGCCACAGCTATTCGACGCGCCAAGCCGCCCTCCAGGCAAATGCGCAAATGCAATTTGATCCGTTCGTTTTCAGTCTTGCCAAAGGGTTGATCGTGTACCTGGTGTACGCCTATCACTATACTCTGGGCGGGCTCTACAATCACTTTACCATTGCGACCGTCAACGAGAGCATTCCAGGCGGGCATTTTGCAATGATGGTCAGTTCGGGCCTTGGAGCTGCTGTGAGCTTGTATGAAGCTGTATTGAAGAGGTAGAGGGTTCCCAGGGGGGGGGGGGGGGGGGGGAGGATTGTGGTTGTTCGAAAGAAACGCGGGACCGGTCGAGCGTACGCTGTGTCACGAGGGGTTGGGTCTGCACCTGTACAGTGGTTAGGGTTAAGGGGTTCAACCTTGGGAAAACGGGATGATACGAGTTACGATTATTGTTGGTGGACCATTGACGGCGCTGGGGATTTCAGTTGGCTTGTACCTTCGCATTTCAGTTCCATGAGTTCAGTCGAATAGGCTCTATACCCATGGCGATGAGGTTTTGGCTGGTGCATGTCTGGTGCATGCACCGGGTTGGAAAGGCCTATGTCCTTGTTCGGAGACAGATACAATTCCTTTTTTTGATATTCAATGTGTGCTTTCAATTTCTGGTTCTAACTGGATCTTTGCTCGCTTGTCCATACATACCATTATCGATTTCTCGTCGACAAATAACACATGAAATCAAAGTTGGCATTAACATACCTCGATATGTAACTAGTTATGTGATTCTTTGGCGCCTTGGCGTTCTTGACGTGGATATTCGATAGTGATCTTCCGTGGCTGTCAGACACTCTGTATCCTCTTGGATACGGAATAGCATCGAACCCTCTTGACGGCTATTACCTTTCCATATAGCCCACATTGCCCACGGAGCGTACACCAGGGGATTAATCATTCGTTCTATGTCATTAGCCGCCGCACTTACGGGTACTGTGTTAGCAGATATATATTCACACGATTACGTCGAAAATCAGTCTTATCCTGCGCACCGTCTTATTGCGCTCTCCAGCTCGTGGCCTACCATAATGGACCCCGGGACTGTCATCTCTGTGCTCGAGCTTACGCAGGTTGTAGTAAAACGGCTCGTCGAAGCCGGCCAGACAATGCACGACGCTCCAGTGGGTCTGAACCGGGTTATCAACGAGACCGAAAAGCTTCGCGTGCTACTGGACCGGCTGTCGATCTTCCAGAAGGCTCTACCTCGAGAACAGCAAGATATCCTTGACAAACAAGTGAGTTCGACAGACTGCATAGAACTTCTGAAAGAACTAGACGACCTCACGTCTGGCAAGAAGCCGGACAATAAGGATGGAGATGGGAAAGGAGAGAAGATGAAGCTGGCTGACAGGTGGTGGTGGCTCCGGAGGAAGGATTTTGTCGAAGACAAGGTGAGAAAATTGCAGAAACAGACAGAGTGGATATCGAAGCGACTGGTGAAGTATGCTACAATCTCTTTAGTTCGCATTGGGGCAAGGCCACTAACGGCCTACACAGCGAGTACCTCTTTGAACAGCATCACCAGCTCTCTCAAAATTCCGAACAGGTCTCAAAGATATTGGAATTAGTCATATCCATGTCGTTGACGTTGAATTCGGACCAATCGAAAACTCCTCGATTCGATGACAACGGCATATATTCCCCTTACAAGGCCGAGGGAATTGCTTGGTATGGGCAGTTCCGTTGCAAGCCAGGCCAGGATTACACTATGCCCTACTTTCGGGACCGACATCTGCTGGCTGATCTGGCTTGGGCTGGCAACTGGAACGGGGTGACGGATTTGCTCGGCAGAGCTCGCCGGGACTACAAACAGAATTGGATCAACTGCACTTCAATTTGTAATTTTCAAACTCACGCGACGTGGACTCGAGCATCATGTTGACTGTCTGTCTAGACAAGGCGACTGAGACGAACAAGATCACCAGCGGATTCAGGCCCCTACACCAAGCCGCATGGTATGGAGACAAGTCGGCAGCGGAGTCTCTGCTGAAAGAGGGAGCTTGGCGTAAGTGACAGGTCGCCACGATGTAATATGGGATATTGACTCTCTACCAGGTCTTGCGAGAACAGTGCGAGACACGCACACTTCAAGCGAGTATAGCACTCCGCTCGACGTTGCCCGAGATCACGGATGGAAGGAACTCTATGACAAGCTCAGTCCCGTGGTCAGACGGCCAGTTAACCACAAAGCGCTACAGACTCTCCAGACCCGCCTCCACGACTTGATCAAAGATACCTTTGGCAGCCATCCCGACGTGCATCTTGAGTGCTTTATCCTTCCTGAGCTGGAGATCCTGACCGAGTTTGACCGGTCAAGGATATGGTTCCCCTTGAATCCCGAACTGCGCGATACAAGGGAGGGGCTCGCCGTCCACGTCATCTTGGAACGTAACGAGCTCGTTGCTGTCATGCGGTGGGGCAGAACCACGAGGAAGAACTATCGGATTTCAATGTCGGGGGTGCAGGAAATCCAACAAGCTGTTGTCCTTCACTGAGATTTTCTAGCCTCCACCTTTCCCCTTTCTCTTCATTGCCAGGTATTATCTGAGAACAGTCAACGAAAAACGGTGAAAGCTACTTGAGGTCATTTTCATTTCAGCGAAAGCAGCACATATTCGATGAGTGAGGATTTGCATAGTAAGAATTGAGTATTGCGAAAAAGCAAGCGCATTGGTGAACTGACATTGCATTGACATTCATTGAGCTCTGGCTTTGTTTCCAGGGAAAACGACATTGATAACATCGCATTACTTTGTTGCCTATCCAGCCTTTGGGACGATCCCCTTTTTCTCCCTTTTGGAATAGCGAAGTCAGAGGCGGCCTCAGCCTTGTAGCCTCGTCGATTCATTTTGTACCTTCTTGGCAAGGCTGCCGGATACATATACGACAATCAACCGCTCGTCTCAATTTCACTAAAACGGTCACACGAGAAAACCTCGTATGTCGTCCACCCGCCCCAGATCACAAGGTGACCCTTCTGATCATGTTAGGTATATCAGGAGTAGCACACGAGCATTCTTGACCACTTGGATGGTTTGACGGCAGCCCGCTGCCATCAAGAAGCTTTACGCCCGACATACACACCCACGAAACACAATATGCCAGCCCCCGATAATATCTACGAGAACGATGTGGACTTCACAACTCTGGCACTGCAATATCCCGACTTTGCAAAAAGGTGAGATTCAAGCTCGGAGCAAGACGCGTTTGAAGGAGATGTCATTTACACCGTCCCGGTCTCTGTCGTTAACCAATCTGTCAATCTATCAACAACGACAAGGGAATGCCAGCGGCTAACATCGTCAATGTCAAAGACTGAAACCCAACCGACAACTCGACTTCTCCGACCCAGAGAGCGTCAGGTATGTCCTGACCGACTAAAGCCATATCAGGCTCTCCATCGGGGACCCTCTTCCTCGTCTTCCTCCTCCTCCCTAACCACGGACGACGTTCCTACAGACAATTAACCAAATGCCTCCTCCATCGAGACTTCGATCTCAATATCGACTTGCCCGAAGACAGGTTGTGCCCGCCTGTACGTCTGTGTTCCTCCTCCATTCTTCAGGAGAAAAGGGTCTCGCAGCTCCCGGGGATAGGACCTATCTATCTACGTCTCCCTCCCTTTTGACCTTGTTGTTGACGGTTGGCGAGAATTTCATAGGTCCCGAACCGATTCAATTATATTCTCTTCATCCAGCGTCTGCTGGACAGCACCTCTCCCTCTTTCCATCAAGGTTTCGATCCCGACAGGCAGGTGATTGGACTCGACATGTATGTTTTGTTTTGCCTTTTCCCTTTCCCTGTCCCGCCTTCAATCCCGGCCATCATTTTCAATGGGCTCGCCCCGTCCGTCTATCGGTCTATCTATCGCATGCACCACGGTCTCTGTTCGAGGCTAACTTCTTTCCCTGCGCGTCATGAAAAAGCGGCACGGGGGCATCTGCAATCTACCCACTCCTCGCTTGTCGGCAACGCCAGCAATGGCGCTTCCTGGCAACTGAGATCGATGAGAAGAACCGCGAGTACGCGCAGAGAAATATCCTCGCCAATAAGCTGCAGGCACGCATTAGATTGATCGATACGGACGACAAGGGAGACCGGTTGATCCCTACGGGCCAGCTTCAGAGGTTTGATCGGTACGTGGCAGATGTCTGTTTTGGCATTTCCTTTTCCCATCATCTAGAGTGAAGGGAGGTAAGTATTAATTAGTCGTCTGAGGCTGCTGACGGCCCCCTCCTTTCCCTGGAGCAGGATCGACATCCTCCTCACCAACCCGCCGTTCTACCCTTCGACGCAATCGCTCCTGGACTCAGCTCATCAAAAGTCCCGTCCCCCAAATTCAAGCTGCACCGGCTCAACGGTGGAAATGATCACCCCCGGCGGCGAAATCGGCTTCGTGTCGAAAATCATAGCCGAATCGCTCCTCCCCGCGAACAAGAGGAAGATCCAGTGGTTCAGCGCCATGCTGGGCAAGTTGTCGAGTGTGGGCGCCGTCGTAGAGCATCTTCGCGAGAGCGGGAGTGGGAACTACACCGTGGCCGAGTTCGTCCAGGGACAGAGGACGAGGAGGTGGTGTGTCGCGTGGAGCTGGATGGGCTACAGACCCGCCAACAACGTGGCGAGGTCAGTGGGCAGCGGGAGCGGCGTCGAGAGGAAGCTCTTACCCGCCATCACGGAGATGGAGTTTGAGCTGCCTGCTGGCGGCAGCGGAGGTGGTGATGGTCTAGGCAGCGTGCTAGACAAGGTCTGCTCCCAGATCCAGAGCCTGGACGGCGAAGGCGTGCGCTGGAAGGTCGATCGCGCCAGGGGGTTCGGTATATTCATGTCCAGACACGGAGACGTATGGAGTCGCAAGGCGAGAAGGCGGAAAAGAGCCGAATCCGAACGTGAATCGGGACACGAACACGACACCGACTCGTCCGAGGAAGAACCCGAGCCCGAACCCGCTCTCGTCGTGAGAATCTCCATCACTCCTTCCCCTGGATCTGCTGCTGGTGGTCCTGCCCCTCTATCTCGCCCTTCTCAACGCCCTCATCCCCTTTCCACCAGCGGCGTCAGACCAAGCAGCACGCGCCCCAGCACCGCATCCAAGACCCGAGCCAGCACTGGACCCAGTCCCGGAACAACTGATCCCGACGTGGACATGGACATGGACATTCACGAGCACGCCCACGCGCGCGTTTATATCCACATGCGCCACCTCCAAGGCCAAAACCTGGTCCTCTTCGAGAGTTTCTGCGGCTGGCTCAAGCGGAGAGTCGCGTCGCCAGCCCCGGTCCCGGTCTCGGCCCGGCGGTAGCATCGTGAGCGCCTCGCGTCTAGCCCCGAGGAGTGAGAAAACTGCGAGACAGAGAGGGGGGGGCCGGGGGCGGTGAGAAGGGACGGAGGCTCTGTTGGCAAGGTAGTTCGGTCCTTGGTCGGTCGATTGCGGTCGATTGGGCTACATACGTACATAGCCGGCCATTGGGTGGGGGGGGGGGGAGAGACCTATGTAGAGTAAAATCACATCCTTTCATTTCCTTTCCGTTCATTTGATACAAAGGGGGCTCAAGTCAATTCAGGTCCAGGTCATGTCAGATCTGATCTGGCACGCTCCGTTCATACAACAATGCCAAAGAATGCAGCCTTCACCACATGTCTAAAACATCTCTGAAAGACCAAGCAGGCATAAGCATGAATGTCTGCTCCTTCTGGCTCCTCCTGGCTCCATCGTCTCTCTATGCAGGCCCCGTCCTACTCACCCGGCTCCCTCTCCTCCCACCGCTTTGTGAGAACTCGATTCCCCGACTCGACTGGCCCGGACTGGTCGGCGCGCCACCACCGACGCTGCCATTCCTCGTCGAGCTCACGCTGCCGTCCCTCCCTCTCATCAGCACCAGTTCAGGCATTCCAAACTTGACCTCGCCCACGCGGCGGAACATGCCCCACAGCGCGTTGCGCAGGTCGGAGCCGATTTCCTTTTCCAACAGGCCCACGGCGAGAGGGTAGAATGTGTCGAGGTGCTTCTCAAAGCTCTCCTTGGGGAAGTTCGTGTAGCCCTCCAGGACGTCAATGACGACAGGCCTCCATGCGACGATATTCCGTTGTTGGGTCTCTTCGTCGAGTAGAATGAAGGAGCGGATGATGTCGGCGCACAGACTGGGAAAGCAATAGAATTAGCAACGGCAACTTCGCAACCACTCCCGAAAAAAGATAATGATAGGTACTTACGGTATCAGAGCGCCTTCCGTTTGATCGCGACTTGACCTCCGCTCTTCCCCTTCGTCATGATACATCCTGAGCAAGATGCTCACATACGTATTCGCCGATCCGGATTCCTGCTTCAACAAGTTCGGCGGTTGTCGCATGAAGCCTTGTCTCCAAAGAGCCATGCGGAGCTCCTTGTCACCGTTGAACTTCTTGGCGAATTGGTAGGACTTCTTAAGGAGTGCCATTAGGCGCAGAAGCTCGGAGGAGGGGATTTGGGCGTAGACCGAGTCGTTGGAGAACAGTTCTGCGACCGTCTCGATCATGAGCAGCTGAAGAACGCAGTTGGTGATGATTCTGTTAAAGAAGCGGCGTCGCGCAGCCGTCACAACAGGTGCAGGTGCTTGCATGTCGGAATGCGGGCGGTAGTCCTCCAATTCTTGAGTGCTCTGGGTGGGTGGGATTTCGGGGATGGGCGCGGCCGAGCTCATTTGTGATTCCAAAGAAGGCGTTGGGCCGTGGAATGACGCGGGTGCGCCATTTGTTGTTGGAGTCTCGACAATCGTGGTTCCAGAGATAGATAGGCCTTCGGTCCCATCGTGTCCAGGGGTTGGTCGAGCATCGGACATTGTTGCCGCAGCTGAGAACAATTCGTAAGCCGTCGTCCTGTTGAAGAGCTCCACAAATGCAGTCACAATCCTTGACCAGTGCTCGGGGGAGAATTTGGTGACGTTCTGGAGGATCAGTTGCTGGAGGCAATTGCTCCCTATTCGGGCTATGGTGTCATTCTCTTGACAAATGCACAACGTGAGTAGATCGAGGAACCGGTCAAGCATGTGCTCCAACGAATCGAAGTAGTGTGTGAAGAGTGTGATCATGTTTCGCAGGGCTTGGATCATAGTCGTCGACAGCCACACTGACAGTTCCTCGTGGTTGGGGGCTTTCGACATCTCCGACTTGCTTTGCAAGACGACGAATATGGGGTATAATAGCTGGCGCCAAAGAACATCCCAGAACTCGCTAGGGAAATCACCGCCATATCTGATGAGAGCTTCAAAGAGATAGGTGAGAGCTCGAGACCGAACTTCAAGATCCTCCCCCGTCATCAACACGTCCTGGTAAGCAATCAATACCGGATACCAAAACTGTTCCTCCTCAGTCTGTGAAGATGGTTGTTTGACCCCTGCCACCACACCAGATTCCTCGGATTCGGGCATCTTGCCGTGACGCCTCGAAAGAGGGCATTCTGGAGTCTTCAGCATCTTCGGTACTGTTGACTTGAGCAACTCAATCGCCTGAAGTGACTTTTTCTGGAACTTAAGGTTCTTAGAGAACTCGGTAAGACAGACAATGAGGTCTGGAAATGAGCCTTGCGAGATGACAACGCCAAACCGGGTGTTGTAGATCTGGTTGGTATAGTCAAAGGCGATATTGACAATTGCTTCATAGTGCTCTCTGGCAGCAACCGAGAAGACTCCGAACATGGTCTTCCAACCCGACCTGATGTTGTCGCCACGGGCTTGGATCATCTGAATCAGACATCTCAAGACCATGTCCTTGACAGTGACAACGGTGCTGTTTGCCATCACGTGTTCAAATGGCTTCAAGAAGTCTTTTTGGAATTTGAACCCCGGCAACTCTTCGATTTCCATGAACCTCATGGAGAGCTGGCGAAGCGAATCCAGGGCAAAGAACACCACAGCGGTGTTGTTGTGGCAGCCAACCTGGTTGAAATGCTCCCCCAGGACCTCCCAAATCCGGGTCCATTCTATCCTGACCCTTGTCATGTTGTAATAGCTGATTTCCACCAGCTTTTGCAGGCTGTACATGCGCGGCGATTCGCTATTCCCAGAGGACTGAATCTCTTGCCAACTGACGTCGCTTAATGCCTGGACGAAATCGACAATCGCCTCGGAGGATAACTTTGCGGTATTGGTAAAGATCCGGTCTACTCCTCGGACCATATCTGTAGACTTTGTCTCATCTGCGACCTCTGGTCGAAAACTGTGTGCGGATCTCGGCCTCGGTCGTTTGGCAGCTTGCATCGACCGACGGCTTCTAGTACTGTCTCTCGATGCACTGGAGGGTGTGGAAATGTTGGCCCTTGTGACATCTGGAATGACCCCTTCGTCAATTCCGGTTGAAAGCAGCTGCAATCTGTCGAGCTGACTGATGCACATCAAAACCTCCCGCCACGAGCTTTTCAAGAGATCGCCTTCTGTCAGAGCAACCTCGATGAGCACTTTCAACGCCTCCAAATTCTTGGCCATCATTTCTTTGAGATTACCAAGGTTCGTGAACTTGGCAAGCGCCGTGACAAACGCAACTCTGGGTGTCTCCAAGTCAAACCTGCAGGCTATTCTGATAGCTAACCTTAGTCCATCTAGGCACTGCTTGATAAGATCTAGGTTTTGTGCGTCCTGCATCTGACTGGAGAAGGCTGAAAGGAATGACATCCATGTCACGTTGAACATGGGCCCTACATGCTTGATGGAGGTTGCGGGAATGAACCGGGATAGTGCCTCTCGGACTGCTGAACGTTTCTGTGCTCTGATGAGACTTCGATATAGCTGTTCCGTCTTGTTTGCCATTTCCTCGGAGGCTTGGGTGTATTTCTCCTTCTGAAGGTCTCTGCCGACGTTGGCTAGAGCTTGACCCGCTCTTGAGGCAAAGCCTGCACTCGTAACACTAGCAATACCCAACTCAGCAGCGTGCTCCCGCTCAGAATGTAGGACAATTTCATTGTTGGAGATTTCTTCGAAGATGCCGCTTAGATAATCAGCGGGCAAATCCTGACCGTCGTTGATCCCCCTGTTGTTCTTGATGAAATCTTCTACAGTCATTCTACCACCTTTCAGCTTCGTGCTGTGTTGATCAGTATTTAACATGATGACCGAATATGCGAGTACATAAGCAGTGTCGGCATTCGCAAATGCATTTGGATTGCCACTGAGATATCGCTCAGCGAACTTGAGCATGAAACGGTCGATCTTCTGGGCTTCTCCTGGGAGGCGAAAACTTTGCAGGAACTGCCTCAGGGCATCAACAAAGCGTCTTTTGCTAAAGTCCATCATGTCGACAAAAGCATGCATGGTGGCAACATTCTTCTCATCGCCCTCACCGAGGTATTCACCTAGCATAGCTTTGTCGAGTCTGTCATTTGCATATAAGAATTTGGCGATATCCTGAGGGCTGTCGCCGCGTATAAACCCTTCGGCCAAGAGAGCTTTGATTCCTCGTTTCGGTTTAAAATTGAATTGTCGGATTGCCTCGTTTAGGGCAAACTTCCGCATTCTCACTTTCTCGACTTCAGTTGGATCGTCTTCGGCTACTGGCGTGGAGATGCCCGATTCGCTACCTAGGCCTGGAACGCGGGGCGACGGAGGTGGCTTTTCACTGTAGTCTAAAGACTCCCTAGAGTCCTCATATGAGCCTCTCGATGCTGGATATCGTGATCCGTTGACTAGTTCTGGAGTGCCTTGACTGGACCAATTATCGAGGGAGTGAAGAATCTCAACCAGACAGCGCAATGACTGCTGTTTCAAAGCATATTCAACCGGTATGGGCGGCGAGGGCGGCGGATGCTGACTTAGGCTTGCTGTCGACAAGCCAGGAAGTAACGCGCCTCGTGAATGCCATTCAGAGATAGGGGTCAATGGTTTTGTCTGTTGTTCTTGGTATTGGTGTTGCTGAACAGCGGTGACTGCAACGGGTGTGCTGCAGATCCGAGACAGGTGCTCAATGATTTCTTGATACATGTTGTCCAGTGCAGTCCGGTCGCAGTCGTAATTGAGGTAGATCTCCACTAGAGCACGAGGATCACCCGAGAGCCTTTCCAAAACGTCCATAAACATCTGTTTCTGGAAAAGTGGTGCGTTCCGTCGTTCCAACACAGCTAGATAAATTTCTTTCAGGAAGACTTCGAGTTCCTTTTTCAGGAGGACGCGCATGTGTTTCAGTGAAAGCCAAAATATTTCGCAACACACTTCATAGACCCGTGGAACCGAGCTCGCGGCATTCCTAGACAGGCTCAGGCACAAGTGAGGTTTAGCAACTTGCAAGAACGGTGTCGGGTCGGCGTTGTTACCACTTTTAATATTCGAGAATGCGGATGTGAAGACCGTGGTGTAGTTGTTGATGACATGATAAATCAAATGAAGAGATAACAGCTTGGAGCGCATGTTTTGACTCCGGAGGTCCTGCTGCTGATCGTAGCTCAAGACTTTCTGGCTCAGTTTGCATAGTGAACGGAACACTAAGAAGGCATCTTTGATATAGACATCGTCCTCGTCCTCCGGAGACAGTTCCGCCTCGTCGCGTTCTTCTTGCAAGCTAGATCGAGATACCGGCGCAGAACTGGTGCGAGTATTTTTGCGCTCCCGTCTAACGCGCGTGACTGTAGTTGGAGCACTGTCGGCGACAATTGCATCGTCCAGGTTCTTGTTGTTTTCAAAGCTCTGCAGGGTCAATTTTTCCTGGCCAGGAGCTAACCCCTCCGTGAGCTGGGGAGGAGTGTCATGGTCTGGTGTATCCACCTGTCCGTTCATGCCATTCATGCCTCCATGGCCTTCTGCGGTCAGTCCTTCGTCCGATTTCGCCTCCGTGGACTCTCTCAGGCGTGTCTCCTTCAAATCCAGTCTGACTTTGACTCTTTCAAAGACTGTGGCAATCATCTGGAGCAATGATCCTTGGGCAACCTGTTGGTTTTGACTCGATTTGGAATATATAAAGATGTTGTAGATTTGGCGGACGGCTTTCAAAAGACCCGCGCCGTGCACGACAATTTTGTCATCCAGAACTGCCGCGAGCAAAGACTTGATAATCTGCTGCTGAATTTCCACGGCAGTAGCTTCATTTTCGAAGCAGTCGCAGATCGCCTCAATCGCCCTTTCAATGAGAGGCGGGGTGCCCGCTGAGCCGGGTTGATTTGTTGCGACAGCCGGAAATGCAAAATATGAATAGCTGATCAGCTTCCCAATACAATCCAAAGCCGTCACCTGCAGATGTATATTGAACGATTTGGTCGCCATTTGCAATGGGCGGAAAATGATTTCTGGATTGACCGCCTGTTCCGTATTCCTGATGTTCGACAAAGCGGCCTGGACAGCATCTGCAAACTCCTTATTTCTGCGGACTTCCTTGGCTGCTCCGATCGTTTCTAGAGCACTCACAACGAAGACCGTAGAGTTAACCTGGAGAGGGCGTGTTGCTGTCGTTGTAGGCTTGCGCTCTAGTATCTCTGGATGGCCCTCCAGCGCAGCTGCCGTCTCCCTAGACTCTGTTTCATCCTGATGCTGGTTTGGGCGCTGCTCAACCTTTGTCGAGTTGTCGTCTCCAGCCTCCGTTGACGCATTCTCGACGATATTGTTTTGCGGTACCTCTTCCGCCTCTTTCCCAGCACCCTCGCCGGAGTCCTGTTGAGACTCCATTATCACAGAGGTATCACCTTGAGAGACGACCTCGCCCGTGTCCTCCTCCGGTGGCCCATCTTCGGCATCCGCATCCTCGACCATTATTGTCACTCCGTGACTTGATGGGCCATGAAGGCCAATGCCGTCGGTAGAAGCCGCCTCATATTCGGGCTCGCTAGCCTCAGCCTCATCTTCCGAGAGAGGCTCTGATTGTAAGTCGTGGTCCAGGTTGGAGTCGATCTGCGGCGGCTCACTCTCGACGCCAGACATTGGGCCGGGCGCGGAAAGGAGGATGATGGAGCAGATAGAGGATACGAGATCACCGGAGATCGGTAGGAAATTTCGGACACATTGCAATCATAGAGTCAGCTCAGTAAACAGGGGTGGTAATCGCGAAGTCGATCTGTACAGATGTTCGTTTTCCGCGTTGCCAGGAATAATCAGTGCCTGCTCGCATTTGGTAAATGCTGCGGAGAGTCAGGGTGCACCCTAAACCGCCAGGGTCGTCGGGTGCGGACAGGGTGTTCTGGGTTTAGGTATAGAGACCAATGCCGCTGCTTACGTGGTTACAACGGGCGGACATTTGAGGCCTAAGTGAAGACCTTAAGCTCGAGCTTTTGCTCTCCGGAGCTCCAATAGTTGGGCCTCACTAGCGTCACCAGCCCATGGATGGCCCCCCCAAAAAAGCTGTCGCCCGCCGGCCTCGCCTCTCCCGCCCAGTGCCATTTCGGAAACCGGAGTGGAGTTGGACTTCGTGCTCAACCCATTTTCTTAGCTGTCGCCAACACTCCAACAATCCCTTATACTATCCTGCAATCTTCATTGTCAAAGGGAACTTCATCCGTCAGGGTTTCCTTCTGTCTCCTTTTTCTTCCTTGTCGCTCCTTTGCCCTCATTGAGTCCTCCCAGACTGCGGCACGCATTCCCCCTTCCCGCCGCTTCTGGTCCTTCCCAATGGCGACCTCAACGCTGTTGTCCCGGTCAGGGTCACGCATCCTGCTTCAATCCTCCGCGAGCTCAAGAGCCAGCAAGATTGTCTTGCAAAGACTACAAAAACCTGCAGTGTACAGATTACAACCCCAGGAAGCGCGATGCATGGACTGACCCACGTGTATAAAGGGCCCAACCGTTCCCCTGCTTGTCAGTGCTTAGCCGCTACTATGCCTCGAAATGTGCGCCTCGATCCTGCGATTCCCCGGCGAAGCGTGAACATGACTGACAGTGCCCGACAGCATTTCCTCCTCATACTGTAATCAGTATGCCTGCACTCTCACCCACCATGTCCGCCGGCAACATTGGTGCATGGCAGAAGAAGGTTGGCGACAAGTTGGCTCCCGGAGACGTCCTTGTGGAGATTGAAACAGACAAAGCTCAAATGGATTTTGAATTTCAAGAGGAAGGGGTTCTTGCCAAAATTCTCAAAGAAACAGGTGAAAAGGATGTCGCAGTCGGAAATGTAAGGCGATCAAAAGCATGACCACAACTCGGACTTGCTAACACAGAATTAGCCGATCGCCGTGATGGTCGACGAAGGCACAGACGTCTCGGCGTTCGAATCGTTCACCCTCGAGGATGCCGGCGGTGAGAAGGCACCTCCCCAGGAGAAGCCGGCAGAAGAAACCGCCGAAGCCACGGAGAAGTTGGATTCAGGTTCAGGCACAGCACCACCTGCTGGGAAAGAGCCCGCGCCGGCAGCTGTTGAGGCTGACACCACGGGCGAGAAGCTTCAATCGGTGCTGGACAGGGAGCCAAGCATTAGTCCTGCTGTCAAAAAGCTTGCTCTTGAAAAGGGCGTCCCTATCAAGTCGGTTAAAGGCACTGGCCCAGGCGGAAGGATCACCCTTGCCGACATTGAGAAGTATAAACCTGCGGCGGGCGCTGCGCCTGGCGCCGCTGCAGGTCCATCTTATGAGGACATCCCAGCAAGCTCGATGCGCAAGACTATTGCTACACGACTCCGTGAATCTATGAACCAAAACCCCCACTACTTTGTTTCGACCACGCTCTCGGTAACGAAATTGCTCAAGCTGAGAGAGGCACTCAATGCCGCATCTGACGGCAAGTACAAACTATCCGTCAACGATTTCCTGATCAAAGCCTGCGCAATTGCATGCAAGAAGGTACCCGCTGTCAACTCTAGCTGGAGAGAGGATGGTGGTCAGGCGATCATACGTCAGCATAACACAGTTGATGTGAGTGTCGCTGTCGCCACCCCCGTCGGCTTGATGACCCCTATCGTCAAGAATGCCGACAGTATCGGCCTCTCCGCTATTTCAAACTCGGTCAAGGACCTCGGAAAGCGAGCGCGAGATGGCAAGCTTAAGCCCGAAGAGTATCAAGGCGGCACATTCACAATCAGCAACATGGGCATGAACCACGCGGTTGAAAGATTTACAGCTGTGATTAACCCTCCCCAAGCCGCAATTCTCGCCGTGGGCACCACACGCAAGGTTGCCGTTCCGGTTGAGACTGAGGAGGGCACTGTTACTGAATGGGATGACCAAATCATTGTCACTGGCAGTTTCGACCACAAGGTCGTAGACGGTGCTGTGGGAGCTGAATGGATTAGGGAATTGAAGAAGGTGGTGGAAAATCCCTTGGAGATGATGTTGTGAGAGTGCTTGTCGGGTATGGCTGGATTTTAGCGAGGCGGATGCAGGAACGGCGTGTACAAAATTATTCTCTCTTACTTCTTTGGCAAAAGTTGCGCCTGCATTTGTCTTTGTCCTGCAACGCTACTAATTGAGCCTCGGTCAACACAGTGAATGCCTGTTGTCATAATGCTGAGGGGTGGAGAGCCAGCCTTGGATGGAAAGGCTGAAGGATCTCCTTAGTCCTCCGATCCTGACGATGTCATCGGTCATCGCAGGTAAATACAGAGTACATGAAGGTAGCGAAATGTTGGATGGCATTATTGATGGATCTCGAAATTCCTTCCCGCAATCCCAACAATTACTCCGGATACCCAGTATATGTCATTTGTTCCGCAAGGCTGCCAAATCGGACGAACCACAGTCCGTGTCGGCCGAGCAAGGCTCGCCAAGGCCCGGCAAGGCCGAGTGCAGGACGCCAAACTTTTTGGTGAAGGAAGGGCCCTGTACCAAGTAGACCCTGTGCTGATCTTGTTGCGGCGAAGCACTCGCTTTCTTAATCTCTCACCGGGCTTCCAACAAAATCTTTTCTTTAGCTGTGACTGTGACCAAGGGGCTCCAGAGCCCTCCATGAGCCTAACTTCACGCCTATCGAATTGGTTCTTTTCAGACAGCTCTGTCGGAAACACTGCTGTTGAGGCGCAACGCAATGGCTACTCGGAACCCGACTTTGATCTCGATGGCGCACGACAGAAAAAGCGGCCGCGCACAATGGAGAGATTGGAGGAGGAGGAAGTCGATCTGGAGCTAAAGAGACCCCCGTACATTCACGTATGTTACAAATATTGATGTTCCCCCCAGCGAGGCAGGCAGGCTGTGGTTGCTAATGCAAAATGACAGTCGATGCTGGCTGGAGGAATAGGCGGCACGAGCGGTGATATTCTTATGCATTCCCTGGACACTGTGAAGACGAGACAACAAGGAGATCCTCATTTTCCACCGAGATATACCACGTTATCCGATTCTTATGTCAAGATATTCCGGCAAGAGGGAGTAAGAAGAGGACTCTATGGAGGCTTTACGGCGGCTATGCTGGGGTCGTTCCCTGGCACGGTTATATTCTTCGGCTCATATGAATACTGCAAGCGACATATGCTGGACCGAGGGATCAACCCATCCATATCATATCTCGCGAGTGGTGAGCGCGGTCCTTTTCGTCTACTGCCTTGCTGCGCACGTGCTTACCTCTCGACCTAGGTTTCCTTGCCGACTTTGCGGCATCCATCGTATATGTTCCGTCCGAAGTGTTGAAAACTCGATTGCAGCTCCAAGGTCGATACAATAACCCTTTCTTCAATTCTGGATATAACTACAAGTCAACGTGGGATGCAGCCCGGACGATAGCCAGAACAGAAGGGTTTGGCGCATTGTATTCGGGGTACAAAGCCACGATCGTCCGGGACCTGCCGTTCTCGGCACTGCAGTTTGCGTTTTATGAGCAGGAACGAAGGTTTGCGCAGAATTGCATGGGAACTCAGGACATCGGACTGGGTCTGGAAATTTTGACCGCAGCCTCGGCCGGTGGTGCTGCGGGAGTCATCACCTGTCCGCTCGATGTTGTGAAAACTAGGACTCAGACTCAGATCAGCCCCGATGGTGCAAAGAACAGCCAGACGTCACATCTGGAGAAAGCGGTCAAGAGCAGCCAGAAAGCATGCGCCAAAAAGAAGGCGCAGACAAGATTGATCCATTCGGGGCCTCGGACAGTGCCCCATTCCATTCCTACACTCGACACGTCTTCTGTGATGGAAGGTCTGCGCTTGATATACCAAACTGAAGGAGTTGCCGGCATGTTTAGAGGGGTGGGACCCAGACTTGTCTGGACGAGTGTACAGAGTGGAACAATGCTTGTGCTGTACCAGTATTTGTTGAAGCAGATGGAGCGGTTTCAATCACAAGAAGGGGCGGGAGTCATCTGAGGAAGTCTCTGTACAAGATGATTTGTGTTTGCGGCGCCATGAGTCCCTGGCAGAGAAGATGGACGGGGACGGACGGAAGAACTGAATATCTGGCATTTGCAGGCGTTGACATATGACGTGCCACGGCTACATACCACCACCAGGCTTTGGATGGCCAGGAATACCCCCGCTGGAAGACAATACAGTAGAAAAGAGGACGGGGGTTAGATTTGTACACTAACAAAGTCACGTTTCAACTCTGTGCCAGGCCTGCCCATGTACATGTACTTGTACCCAGTACCCAGTACCTCGTACGGCATACTTACTTGGTGGAGGGGAGGACATGGTGGCTGCAAACTCGCACTGGTGACAACAGGACTTGACCAGACCCAAGCTGGGGAAGATCCAGGGGTATGGACAATTAGCAGGGTCAGCCACCAATGGGCATTCCCAAGGGAGTGACGGTAGGCACCGAGTAGAGACTGGGCTGCTAAATCTTCCGGGGTTCTGTTGCTGATCTCCAATCAGGGCCCCCCAGGCTCCTTCCGTGGCCGCCCCAAAACGGGGCTTGGCAGCAGTGGAGACACTGGAGAGACCACAGGAGACCACAGGAGACCACAGGAGACCACAGGAGACCACAGGAGGCCACCAGGCCCGGCGCCCCCCATTGCTTAAGCCTGGTAGCCTCGACTGCAGCAATGGCACGTCTTGGGCAGGTCTCCTTTTTTCCCACTTGTCCTTGTCTTGCCTTGTCCCCTGGTTCACGGTTTCCACCTGGACTTGATTGAGAGGCCACACTCACTCGCTCGCTGCAGTCCATCTTCACACGACGCTTCTATCTCTTCCTTCTCGTGCACCCATCCTTTTGGCTTCGTTTTTCTTATTCTTGCGCATCAGATTCCCTTTCTTACGCTCGCTTGGAACTCTACACACACATTCGGGTAGAGTCCTGCCATTGATCAAAGTAAGTTGCGCGACGTTGTGTTGTGTTTTTTTTTTTTGTGAACCCCCCCGAATTCCTCAGGGCCTTCAAAACTCCCCTGGGCGCAGGCAATCCACTGTAACTTGGTCCATCCCAATTCCCCCAAGTCACGATCGCTCTGACTTTCTATCCTGGGCGCGTGCTGACAGAATATCACCAGCAGTTCTCTTTCTTCAATTGTGCTCAGTGTCGCCTGCACAAACCGTTGCGTCTGACCAAACATGGGTGAGCATTCGTCACCGTCCTGATTCTTTCTTCCCAAGCATATATCTCTCAACGACACCTTCCTTCCATTATCCCATAGCACATCTACTGCCAAAGGTGTCTCGAGTACGATACGAGGAGCAGGTGTGATAGAGATGGATGCCAGGAGCAATCTTGGCCCAAGCGCAGCCCTCAACATTCCAGAATATCGTGGCCCTCCAGGAGATGGAAAAAAACACCCCCCTATTCGTTCAACCTACACCTGATGACATGCAGTCTGCCAATATGACTGACTTGAATCAAAATCCAGCTGCTGTTGCAAATGGCGTCCGGTCTTCCCCTTCTCCCAACATTCCCAATGGCAAACCTGCATCTCCTTTCGTGAAGGAGAGCAATCCGATGGGTGCCAATGCCGCCCAGACCGTCAGCTCCAAAGATCCGAAGGCTGCAGCAGCGGCTGCAAACGATATGCGGAATGTGGTCAGAAGAAAGTTGACGGGTTATGTTGGATTTGCAAACTTGCCAAACCAATGGCACCGCAAGAGTGTGAGGAAAGGCTTCAATTTCAATGTGATGGTCGTGGGTGAGTACAAACAGCATCCCATGGACCACGTTATCATACTCACAATCCGCAGGTGAATCAGGATTGGGTAAATCGACATTGGTCAACACTCTGTTCAACACCTCTCTTTACCCGCCACGTGAGCGTAAAGGACCCAGCTTGGACATCATCCCAAAGACCGTCTCCATTCAGTCCATCAGTGCCGACATTGAGGAAAACGGAGTCCGTCTACGTTTGACTGTGGTTGATACCCCTGGCTTTGGAGATTTCGTCAACAACGATGACTCGTGGAGACCGATTGTGGAAAACATTGAACAGCGATTTGATGCCTACCTCGAGGCCGAGAACAAGGTGAATCGCATGAACATTGTGGACAACAGAGTCCATGCCTGCGTCTACTTCATCCAACCCACCGGTCACTCTCTGAAGCCTCTGGACATTGAAGTCATGCGCCGCCTCCACACAAAAGTCAACCTGATCCCGGTCATCGCAAAAGCCGATACCTTGACTGACGAGGAGGTGGCGGCATTCAAGCAAAGAGTAAGCATTGATGCCGAGACACACTGGGAAGCATAAGCTGACTCGAGCAGATCCTTGCCGATATTCAACATCACTCGATTCAGATCTTCGAAGGCCCACGTTACGAGCTAGATGACGAGGAGACGATTGCCGAGAACCAGGAGATCATGTCGAAAGTGCCCTTTGCAGTCGTCGGCGCCAACTATGAGGTGACCAACCCCGAAGGCCGCAAAGTGCGTGGTCGACGCTATCCATGGGGTATAATTGAGGTGGACAATGAGGAACACTGTGACTTTGTCAAGTTGCGACAGATGTTGATCCGAACACACATGGAAGAACTCAAGGAGCACACTAACAATGCGCTCTACGAGAACTACCGGTCGGATAAACTTATCCAGATGGGTGTGTCGCAAGATCCTAGCGTGTTCAAGGAAGTCAATCCCGCAGTGAAGCAAGAAGAGGAGAGAACTCTTCATGAGCAGAAGCTTGCCAAGATGGAAGCCGAAATGAAGATGGTGTTCCAGCAGAAGGTACAGGAAAAGGAAAGCAAACTACAGCAGAGCGAGGAGGAGTTGTTCGCTCGTCACCGCGAAATGAAAGAGCAACTTGAACGACAACGGGCAGAGCTCGAGGAGAAGAAAGCTCGGATTGAGCAGGGCCGGCCGATTGAGAAAGAAGGCAAGAGAAAGGGATTCTCGCTCCGATAGACGTCGCCAGCGATGTCCGGATCATCATCTCATTCAGCTCCTACTTTCTTTCTTAGCATTTCCAGTTCAACTGAGCGACGAAAACAATGACGGCGATATCCACCTATTCCGACCCACCTCCCTTCTTTTCGAGAACGACTTGTTTGGTCGTTGTTCTCCAGCAAGCAACAGACTGGGGCTGTTGTAGGCGTTCTAATCAATCAACATCTCAGACATGATGTACCCGTGGAGAAGAAGCTGGGAGAGAGAAGAGAGAGAGGGAGAGAAGCAACCTGGATTGTGCTTAATACGAGGGTCCGGTTTCAGCACACCGCCAGAGACCCAAGAGCGGTTGGGCTGGAACGGAGAGGGCACCCTTCATCCGGCTAACAATCATGTATATTTCCTTAGCACCTTCAATGGAGAGATAGTTGAGCAGGGGGGAGGGCATGGGGTTTCTTCGCCAGCTGGGATGACTTTGGTCAATTTCATTCTTTCCAATTACTCGACGGCGAGCTTCTGTACTTGGTTGTAACTAGCTCTAGCAAAAAAAAAAAAAGTGTTGACATACATATATGGGTATATCGCTATGTACCAGGAAAGGGGTCACCCGGGCCGGTTTGATAGATTTTGGGTGACACCCGTAATTACTGTAGCGCGACCAGCATGCTGTGTTACCTGCGAGCCTGGGAGGTGTCGAGGTGTGTGTGGCGCTTGCAGCTTGAAAGCGTCTAAAGGGTTCGGGCTTGACATCATCTGCAAAACCCACAAAAGCCAAAAAGCAGTCAAGTCAGTGGCTCCAGCGAGAAGCCACCTCTGCTTGCCTGCTACTCATCAAGTCCACTCGGTACATACTCAACCAACTTCCTGCTCAGTCGTCTCTCACTTTATACCACCACTGTCTGCCTCCCTTCTCGAGCCCCTCTCTCTCTCTCATCCAGCTCCCTTCTCCTCCTCCCACGCCTCCTTGCCCCGGCACCTCGGTTCCTCTGTGCGACAACAACAACCACATACGACCACCGCATCCCCAGAGCTTGACCGCCCCTCCATCTGCTGGGTTTGGTTTTGCAAGATTGAAGAATATGGCACCTCCACCGACTGCTGATGTTCCCTTGGGCGAGCGCCTGGCACGGGTCGCTACAACACTTCAATTGTGAGAATACCTTGGAGCTGCATTATGCGGAATACGGACCTGAGGCTGCTGCTAACTGTTGCTGCGCAGTGCCTGGTTTTGCGGCCACTTTACCCTCCTCCTGTCCGTCATCCGCTATGGCCTCTCGTACCTCACGTTCAACTATTACTCCAGATGGGCTCAGGTCACATATCGCCTGGCTTTCATCTCCGCCGTGGCCACCTACGGCATTGTCGTTTTCAAGGCTTATCGTGCTCGCGTGAAGCCCGGCGCCAAGATCGGTTCGACGATCTATCTTTTGCTCTCGGATGAGAATGTGCAGTATCTGCGTGAGTCCGGCCCTGGAACAGGTTGGTCAATCAAGAATCTGACATTGAATGGGCAGTCATCAGCTTGGTCTGGTTGTTCGCAAGGCAGGTACCCTTGGCCCTGCTCCCTTTCACCGTCTACTCGGTGTTTCACGTCGCTACCTACACTCGCACCATCATTATCCCCACCTTTCACCCACCCAAAGTTGCTCCGTCGGCCACACCTACTTCACCAAGTGCTCCCAAACCTCAATCTCCCCTCGCCACTTCCATCGGCCGATTTGTCAAAGAGTACTACGACGGCTCCATGATGTTGGTCGCATGGCTTGAGATTCTCCTCTGGGTTCGCCTGCTGCTGTCTGCATTGACCTTCAGCAAGGGCTCTTGGATCCTGCTGGGCATATATGCCGTATTCTTGAGGGCGAGATACTCTCAAAGTCAGTTTGTGCAGGGCGCTTTTACTCAGATGGGCGCTAGAATCGATCAGCAAGTCCAGAACCCCAATGCTCCTCCCGTGGTTCGACAAGGCTGGGAAACTGTCAAGGGACTCCTGCGTCAAACAGTTGAGGCCACAGACATGCGGAAGTACATGGGAGGCCAACCCCCGCAAAAGAAGCCTCAATAGTGCAGACGATCAAAATCTCGATGCGCCAAGTCCATTTTGCCCAACTTCGACATGATACGCGTGGGGAGGCAGAGGGCCGGTGGTGACTTGCATCGGCTCTGGGCATCTACAGAGACGTCGAAGCTGTGGAAGGGACGGACCTGCTGCGTCGGAATTCTCAAATTGTTGAGACGTGTTCGGAGCCTTCCATCAAATTATGAAAGCGGCATCCGGCACGGGAAGATTGACGGGGCTTGAAGGATCAAACTCCGCTGCAAGGGGAAGACAGGATAGGATCGTCGTCGTGCACAAGGGGGCATGCATGGCGAAAGAGATGTGTGAGGAAGGTTGGGAAATGTGAAGGAGTGACAGGGCGGCGAGTCAAAGATGGCTCAAGTCGGTATTCTGTAGCTCTCCCCTTGCCTACTTTGCTGCACAGAAGAAACGGATGCATGGATGGGGAGTTTTCTCTGTTCTTGTCTTTCAAGGACTATGGGGGTTAAAGGGCATGGGTATGTAGCTTCTCTTCTGCAGGCTAGATACAGACAGATACGAGGCGTACGAGCAGCACCCTTTGTTTTTCTTTCCTTCTCCTTCTTTCGCTTTCCCATCATTTTTACACTGGCTTTTTTTTTTTTTTTTATCAAACTGGTAATATGTACCTCGTACGTACGGAGCACGCCGTGCGAAAGTGTATGGAGTTTGTATATGAAGTACACGACACGGCGTATAGAGTATGGAGACAAGCGTATTCATATAGTAAGTAGTACTACCCTGGAGCCCAGGGACTAGAGTGGCTCTGTGTGTGGTAAACATGCCTAGCGAGGCTGAGTACCGAGTACGTACCGTGTATGTGTGTGCGCACGCACACCTTGCTGTTACGGAGACCACGACCACGACGACCCTTTGCTGGCTGGGTAGCTATGCTATGCGATACGAATGCAATGCAATGCAGTCAGCACACTAGGTATGTCATGTATATATGCAATACTACCAGGCTGCCTAAGTGTGCAATGCAATACTATGCCACAAGGCCCGAGTCGCCAGGCAACGTAACCACCAATATGATGATATAACTCAGCCAGCCAACCTCTGTAGTCAGCCTAGCAAGCTAGGCATACTTTGGCCTCCTAGTTTCCGTACGTATGCAGGTACGGGTGAAGAACAACGATACAGCGCGGAGCAGAGCAGAGCAGAGCAGAGCAGAGCAGAGCAGACGAGACCAGACCAGTCCAGACCAGTCGGTGGGTGAGCGAGTGAGCGAGTGAGTCCTGCCACGTGGTTTTTTGACATTGCTATCGATGAGATGAGGCGAGGTGAGGTGCGTGAAGAGTGGGTGCTCTAAGCTCGCAGATCAGGGTAATGAAATGGGAACGTTGGATCTGTGACTCTTTGAAGAGGAAACGTGAGTGACAGACAGGACGAAGGACGAGCGTGAGGAAAGAGGATGGTAATGGTAATGATAGCGGAGTGGAAGAACGAGGGAGGCTGACAAGGCTTCGACAAGGCGCGGCTCGGCTCCAGTCAATCAGTCAGTCATCATCCTCTGCCTCGGCGTCCTCGTCGTCGTCGTCCTCTTCGTCGTCATCCTCGTCATCATCGTCAGCCAAATCCACCTCAGCATCGGGATCTCCATCATCCTCAACCTCAGAGTCCTCGGATTCCTCGTCGTCGTCATCTGGAACCGCGTCCTCGTCGTTGGGGTCATCCCCATCGTCCTCTTCAACATCGTTTTCGTCGTCTTCACTCTCTTCTTCTTCTTCTTCTGTGGCCATTGAGGCTTCTTCTTGTTCGTCTTCCTCTTCTTCACTGCTCGATGACGACGACGATCTCTCCTGTTCCTCTTCCTCTTCTTCGTCATCTGCCTTGCTTTCCCTTTGCACAGCCTCCTCATCCTCCTCTGCAGGCGCATCTTCCTGATCGTCGTTTGTAACCGACACATCCGACGCCGGTATAGTCATCGTCGAAAGTCCGCTTCTCCGCCCGCTCCGCCTGACAGGTGTTCCGGGTCCCTTCGGAGATACGCTGCCAGCGCTGGCAATGCTGCTGCCATTCGCGGTCACTGTTGCTCCAGCCGAACCCAAACTGGCGTTGTTGTTATTGGCATTCCTTGGGGAGCTCCTTACTGGAACCATGGAAACTGCACCGGCTACTGCAGGAGATTCCGCGGTACCGAGCCCATTTGTCTTTGGAGTGCTTGCCGACCCGAAGGCAGTAGCGGCACTGCGTTTCTTCGTGCTCCTTTGCCGAAGCATCGATGGTGGGATTGGTGGATCGATTTGAAAACGTGTAGGTGGAATGGAGAGTTGGCGGAAGGCGAGGGCATAGCCTGAGAGGGGAGGCTCTTGTTCCCTTTCCTCCTTATCGGCCTCATTTGGCTCTTGTTTCTCTCCTGGTGCTTGACCATTCTCATTACCGCCGTCCTCATTATCCTCGTGCTGAGGATGCGAGTCGCCCACTTTTGGAGATTCGCCATTAACAAGTCCATTTACCTTGATATCCGGGCGAGCAGTAGCCAGTCCGCTTGACGTAGTGCCACTGAGCGCAGCTGTCGAAGGAGGACCAGGCGCCACGTGGCCATGCGCATCAACGAGTGAGGCATCTTTGACGTCCATATCCTCTTCTTGCACCCCTACCGATTCTGGCCGCGACATTGCCTTCGTAGACTTTGATTTTGACCGCGGTGAAAGTCGGTCCACATCCATCTCAGCCTCTGCCAAATCACGGCCAGCGACAGACTTGCCAGCCACGACACTGTCCATATCCACCTCCTCGCCCGCTTCTTCATCTTCTTCATCTCCATCTTCCTCGTCCCTAGGTGCCAACGCCTGCAAAGGCTGCCCGTCCAAGGTGGCCTGATCACTTCGCCCCATGATGTAGGGCGTCCACATAAGTTTATCCGGCTTCAACCTTCGATGTTCTTTTGCCTCATAATCGTCCACAATCTTCTGGTACAACTTTCTATCGTACCTGATGGCATAGGTCTTTGTCACTGGATCTTTGGTAAAGGCGTATAGGCGCTCCAGGGAATGAATCACGTCGTCGGCCGTCATGCCCGTTCGAGCCATTAATGTCTTTGTGGAAAAAGGTTTGAAGCCTAGGTCGAGCAGGTGGCGCGAGATGGTGAGGTCCCAGTACGAACGATAGGCTGTAAGGCCCATGTCCGAGAGAGGCTTTTCCGGTGACCCATCTTTTCTCTCTATTCTGGTGAGGAGGTAAGAGAAGTCGATCAGAAAGGTTGCGTAACCCTTGCGTTGATGGATGGGCATTACCAGGATACAACTGACGTTGTTCTGACTGGCGGGTCTCTTCTCCTTGCTGAAATACCCGACGAAATGATATCCCAACTCATCATACTCCGTCAAGATATAGAACAGAAACGGTTCCACGTCATAGTACAGTGTCTTTGACCCCAGAAACATCTTCGCCATGAGACACAAACACTGGCAATATTCCGTCTTTTTTCTTCCGTCAACTTCCCACACAGACACCGTGCCATCGCGATATATCTCGTCTCCAGGCGGGTGTTTCGCAGGGCATTTCAATTTATGCCTATATGCCACGAATTCAGAGGGTAGATATTTCAAGCAGAATTCACAGATAAACAGCCGGGTTTCGTGCGAATATTCTTCCGGATAAGGAGCAGCGTAAAAGGTGTCGATGACATGTTTCCCAAATTGGATACACTTGATCTTGCTGGGGGGCCCAGAGACTGTAGCCCTGCTGGGTTTCGTTGTAGAGGTTGAAGCCGCCGTAGCGTCCCCTGCTCCGCCGTTAATCTCCGCCTCTGCCGCTACAGATGCTCTGCGGCGTTCCTCTTCTGCTTCTTTTCTTGCGATCTCGAAGATTTCGCGGTCTCTGAGTTGAGGAAGTGACCGACTCGTATCTGCATCCGCTTCGGAGAGGATGCCACCGTACGGTTTTGCGTTGAGCTCGGCTTCCCGATCAGTAAAAGCCGAGGGGAAAATGAGGTGTTGAGTTGGCAGAGCAGGGAACTTGGGGACGGGAGGCTGGTAGATTGGCGGCGGTGGTATTTTTGGCGGCTTCTTCGGTTGAGCCCGTCTTTCTCTTCTTCTGCCAGGGCGAGGAGGTTTGCTCAAGATTGCTTCGATTTTAGATTGTTCTAACCGGAAAGCTAGGATGAACTTGTGGGGCGGCGGTTTGTTGAAAGGTCGATGTTGCAATATTCGCGCCGTGGGTTTCGTGATTTTCAGCTGGCTCGATCTTCTCGTCGAATGCGCGACCGCCATCTTCTTCTCTGCCAGCTCTTTGCTTGTCGCTGCTGCTGCTAATGCTCGATCTGTAGCTTTTCGACGCCTCTTTTCGAGTGGGGGAGGTTCTTGGGTCGGTGATTTCCTCTTTCTGAGAGCGCGTCCTCCTTCCTCACCTTCTCCTATCACCGGTTGGGCAAAAATCGAATGTGAATTCGGTTTTTGGACGCCGCGCGTGACAGGTAATAAGTCCCTAACAAGGCGAGGAGCTGAATTCTTGGATTGTGTGCTTGGAGCTTTCGGTGACCCTGATTGTACGGTTTTGTTGCCAGTACACCCCGGGCATTGCCATCGAGACGTCTCGCCTTCATGTAATGAGCCGTTGTCTCGAGCACATTTCAGATGCGCGCGGTTGCCGCAGTCAGAGCAAGTCAAACGCAGCCCACCATCCTCGCCATCGGCGGCTGCCTTCTCCTTGCAAAACACACAGTCTTGTTTCGAGTCAGTGGCCTCGCTCGTGTCTTCTTCACTGGACTCCGATTCTGACTCTGACTCTGATTCCGAGCCAGATCCTGAGCCAGAAGCGGAACCTGATGCTGATGTTGATGATTCACCTTCCTCCTGGCTGCTTTCCGAGCTTTCTTCGCTGTCCCCTCCGGCTTCTTTGCTCTTTGTTTCTTGGTCGTCTTCTTCCCCGTCTTCTCCGTCTACAGTTTCGTTGTCTTCATCTGCAATTTTGTCTTCGTCTTCTTCGCTTTCATCGTCCTCCGTGCTGTTTTGGTCTTGTTCACCCTCATCCTCGGCTGCAGTATCCTTTTCATCATCATCATCATCCTCCTCGGACTCGGCCTCCGCGTCAGCGTCAGTCATCGTGGTATCTTCTTTCGAGTCGGTTTGAGGGGCAGATGTGGAGGCGGCATCGGCTTCAGTCTTGCCTTCATTATCGCTAAAGCTCTCTTCCGCCGATCTTTGTAGCTGCTCACCTAGGGCGCTGTCTTCTGAATTGGGCATATGTAAGTTCGCTTGCTCTGCGCCTATTCTCGACTTTCGGTCCCCGCTTGAAGCATCCTGCTCAGCCTCGCGCACCTCGCCATCCTTGCCGTTCTCGCCACCGGTATGCCCAGGGGACTCGTTTGTTGAGGATTGCGCAGGTGAATGCTCATTATTAGGCGTTTCTTGGTTGACGCTGGTGAGCTGCTCCAGCTCTAAAGCGGTTAGAGGCGGCATGGAAGCAGTCAAAAGATTGATGTGCGTATCGCGGTCCTTGCGTCTGTCTGTCCTAAAGGGATGATGACCATAACGAGGAAGGTATGAGTATTATCGGTTTTCGCAAATGCCACTTTCCAATCTTTTTCATTTATGCAACCATCACTGCAACGCGACTCAGTATCCTTTGATCCCGCGATCAATATCGGCACTTAGGCGGGCGCAAGCAGTTATTCTGGGTATGGAGGGGTGGTTGATCGCCGAAGACTTGTTCGACGCGTGAGGATGAACGCAATAGCGTTCGCACCGTTGGACAATCGACTCTATTGGGTTTCTAGATAGCTGTTACACGTCAAAAGGATACTTTCAACAGCGTTACCGTGATTTCAGGCTCGTATCGACTCTGAGAAGTTGCGCTGCGATGGGCGACCACACTCGAGACTCATCGAGGCGGGCTCTAAAGCAGCCTGAATCATGTCTAAATCAGGAAAGGCGCATCTATCCTCGTTCCACCTGCGCTCGACAACCAGCTTTCCTCTGCAATTGATACGACATAGGGCAACAACACCAACCGGCCTACACCAAGACAAGTCTCCTTCACGACGCCATCTAACGGTTTAGCCTGCTTCTACCTTCTCTCGCCCTCGACAGCACGTCAGCCCACCCAATACTACAGCTGATGACATAGATCTCCGCCATGGGGGTTCCCTTTGAAGCTCTTCTGCCATATGCAATCATGGTTGGCATGTTCGGCGTTACAGTACTGAGTACCATCTTCCGTGAATAAATGATGTTCGTGCTGAGCAGTCCACTAGGGTGCTGGTCTGGCCTCAATCCGGTACTACGCAAATGACTTCAAGCAACCGAGAAGACAGGTAGATCTGTGGGACAGGCAAAGTGGGTGCAGAAAGAGCATGTTGACGGGTATATTGCTGACAGTTGCAGTGATGGAAAGAGATTACCGATTGACTGGCAAAATAAGAGGACAGTCAGATGCTGTGGTGGCACCAGTCGGCTTTGAAGGTCCGTCACTATTTTGCTCCCACCCTGCTGGATAAACGCTGACGATTGTATATAGTAAACAGCAGGTGGAAGGTTGGTCAAGTCATCGGACGAAGTCTGACTGGTGATACTGACACTTACTCTAGGCCGAGCCTCGCATTACTTAAGACTTGGAGAAAAACCGATCATAATGGGTCCCTTGGGAAACTGGCATTGTACATATTACGCCATGGGTCGATCCGCATTCGCATGATGGAAGTCAAGTTCTTTGCAGCTAGTTGCTTGCTTCCGATGCAAAATGTCAAGCATTGAGGCAATCAGGCAACGACAAATCCACAGAAAATGACTCCTTTCCACATGTCCCTCCATGCCCTCACAAACATGTTCGTGACGGAATATTTTTTACCTTTTTCTACTCTCTTCACTGATCTGCTCTATGGCAATGCGGGGATCTCAGGGAGAGAGCAAGTTTACAGACTTTTGCTCTATCCAACACCTGAGTAAAACGATGCAGGTCGAAACACTCCGCAAGAAGGCTATCTTCGCATGTCTGTTAGACATGTACTGGTCCTCTGTGGCCTTCTCTAGCTCGGGATACAGACAATGCCAATCTGCAATTCGACTGCTCCTGGCCCCAAAACTATTTGGTTGATTGCACAATCTTTAACTGCATGTAGCCATAGAGCAGGAAACTTGACCTCCGAATTCGGAGCGGGCAGACACCGACATGTGCAGTATCGTCAAATTAAAGGGACCATCGTTCCGTCCACTTTCTTCGCCCGTGAAGCGAATTCATCCTACCATATTGAGAACATCATTGAGACGATACTATACTTATTACTGGCTCTACCTGTCCGCTGTTGCCTCGCCAAAAATAATTGCATCATCTTTCCACCATGACATCTGTGAAAACCGACCTCCAAGAGAAGCTTCGCCGTCTCCGTGAGTATTCTGCCTGTGATGTAAGTAGGTAAGGCTGCTGCATGATCTCGTCAGTCGGTCTGACAGGACTAGGTATCAGACGCGCTTTTGAAACTCCAGAAACCGAAGCCAGGCGAGGTCGCGAGGGCGGGGTATCTCGCCGACATTGGTGTGCCGACTCGTAGCATCTCTCATGTTTTGAGCCTCTAGCTGACAAGACGAAGAGCCTCTTGCCCAGCCGCAGCCAACCGGAAATTCTACAGATACACTGCAAAAAGTGGTTGCGCCAGCATGCACCTTGAAGCTGGTGTCGAAGAATGCCACGCCCGATTCTACTCCTCCGGCCGAGAATGCCATCCCTAAGGGTAGTCACTGGGTGGACCTGACGGAACCTGGGACCATTGTCGTTATTGATCAACCGCAGGGCCAGATGTGCGCAGCCGTGGGAGGCATCATGGCGCAAAGGATGAAGATCAGAGGAGTGGCGGGCTGTATTGTCGGCGGCCGTGTCAGAGATGTGGCAGAGCTGAGGGATACTCAGTTACCGGTAGGTGGGAGCCCTTTGGGACATCTTTGCTCTTTGTTCGGTCCCTGAAGGGAGTTGTCGCCTCGAGCCTTGCTGACACTTGTCAGATATTCGCCCTGGGTAAGTCTACGGTTGGAGTGGGTGCCGAGGCAAGGGCATATGCCCGCAACGTCCGAGTCTCCATAACCGGCGTCGACGTCTCCCCAGTAAGTGGACAAATTTGCGCCCTCGCCAATGCCAATCTTCCTGTTTATAATGACTTGATGATGGCAGGGCGATATCATCTTTTGTGACCCGTTGGAAGGAGTGGTGGTGATCCCGCAGGGACTGCTCGACGAGACCCTGTCGTTAATCTCGAAGCTGGTAACTGCCGACGACAAGGTCAAAGAAGCCGTGTTGGGAGGCATGACTGTGGCAGAAGCGTTTAAAACTTTCAGGGAGTGAGAGTGAATTAATTGCTGGACAGGGCCAAGTGTCGCCCCCCTAGGAGAGAGAACAACAACAAGAACAAAAGCTATCGCCTCTCACCCATCTTGCTCGCGAGCCCCACAGTCAAATTTTATTCAGGACCGGTGTTAGATATATTTATTTTGTCGCGACAAGACGCGACCAGCAATTTTTCTCTTGTTCTCAGCAAATATCCAAGATGACTCTCAATACTAAGTCGGTCACCTGGACAGCTAGGAACTGGCTCGTCCAGCTGAATCCCGGGAGCCAGAGACGGTCCGCCTCTCGACCTACATATGGGGTGGGACTCAATTTGCGAGAAGGAAAAGGAAAAGACGAAAAGTACTGTCCTCCTTCCGTTTCTGATTAACCGCTCGCCGCTTCACTCACCCTCGGCTCACCTTCTGCTTCCTGAGCGCTCTCTAAGTCTACCTGAGCTCATTTAGTCTTCCCTTTTCCTCTTTATTCACAACACTAACTTTCGTTAACTTTAGACGATGAAACCCGTTTAGAATACTAAGGGGTTCTACCTTGACCTTCTCTCTGATCCTCTCGAACTACTTAGTTAGGCGTCTTCTACACTGCTTTATTACGTAATAATAATAAATCTTCGCTCATCGCGTTCGAAGACCTAGTGAAAGATCAACTTTATATTAGTTTTCTTAAACATCAGTACGTTGTTCCTCGCTTGCGATATACTTTTCTTTTACTGAGTAGTTACGAATTAAAGTTCTTATTAGACCGTAGTTTTACGAGGTTTTAGAAAGAGTTCTGCAAGTAGCTAGCTAACCTAGTAATAAGGAGGAGAAATCTACCGAGAAGAAAAGAGTGTTCGCCGTGACACTCTCTTTTCATATCTCTCCTCTCTTCAAGTCATACAAAGAATCCTTAATCTCCGTACAGCGTTTGAGAGAGAAACATTTAATCTCCGTGTGATATTCCTTTGATGAAGAATGCGCACTCTCCATCGAATCCCTCTGACGAACGCAGCCTCATGTCTCCATTGTTACTTTGTTTGGCGCTGGTTCTCCTAACCAAGCCTTCCTTTGGGTTCAACCCATCACAGTACCCACTCTATTATGAAAAGCCAATAGCTCCGAACCAACAAAGACCCAGGATACCGCCAATCATAATAGAAACTGGGACAGGAACTTTGAACCACGCACTTTCCGCATATGTAACCACTGCAACAACCACCCACCAAGGATTCTCAGCCAGGCTCTTCCCGTCGGTTTGCTCAGGAGTGAGATATCCAATCTGCCACAGTCGATAGACGGCCGTGAAGACCAATCCAACTGCGGTAGCATTGATCCCTCTCAGCAAGCTGGTAACCAGGCGCTTTGTCCTTAAAATATTCCAGAAGCTCTGAAATCCAGCAGCGAGGATAATCCCAGGGATGAAAATGCCCATATATCCAATAAATGCTCCCAAAAGAGTGTCATGCGGCGTCCCCAGTAAGGAAAGAGCACCTAGGTATACCGCAAAGTTGAAGTTTGGTCCCGGGAAAGCCTGGATTATGGCAAGGCCAATGAGAAAATCACGAGGTGTTACCCACCCTGGTTGGACGACGTATTCACGGAGAAGGGGAATAACGACAGGACCTCCACCGAAGATAATGGTTCCAGCCAAATACATATTTGCGAAGAGATCCAGTGGTCGTGGAGGATTTTTGAGTAGGCCACGAGTAACGAGGATAACAATAAGCGAGGCTAGACTTCGTTAGCAAGAAGGCATAAGAAGGGCCAGATATGTCACATACCGAAAAATGCGATAATAAGACCAAGTCCTGTTGAAATCCTGATGGCATGCGACTTGGTGTCGGTCTGGTCAATGTTCTCGGGAGTTAGTCTCCTCAAGCTTTGCTCATTTTCCAACTTCCCTTGTCTAGTCTGACCGGGCTGCCCGACGTTTCTTCTTTGCAAACTGAGTCCGTTGTTGTCATCCACGTTGCGTTCCGTAAGCTCAATGGGTTCTGGAGCATTTTCTTCAGGGATTTCTGCCTCGTCAGATCCTTCTCTTTGCCTTCTCTTCCATTTTGCCTTTGCCTTGCCAACCTGTTGCTGAAGCCACATATCCCAGAGAGTTGTCATCAATCCACCAACGAGTATCAGGACAGGGAAGTACCACAGTGCGGTATAGCATAGTCCCGCACAAGCTCCGCCGAGGACCAAGATTCTCGTTACTGTATCGGTGATACCTTTTTCTGCAAGCTAAAGTATGTCAACCCTGATTATTCGGTTAAGTGAAAGAAGAAAAGCTTACTTGAACTGCGGCGAGAGCGACGATTCCAACCGTTGATGCATTCAAGCCAGAAAGAAGCGCATATACAATATCTGGAAGACGGTTTTTGATATGTTGGACCCCTAGCGATAAAGCATACATCCCGACAGCGCCAGGGAGACTTTGGGGGTCATATTAGCAGAACGTTTGTTTCAGCCTTATTAACTCACCTCCATAGTAAAAATGCTAGAATCGCAGGAATCAGGCCAGCATGGATCAAAACGATACAGAAGAGCATCTTGGTGCTGCCTGGACCTGGTAGTGCTTGGCATACTGCGAAGAGCTCTTGATACTTGGTCATCAAATCAGTGTATGCAATTGGTCAGTGAGCCAGTCACTTACTATTCGCTCGTCGATCCACGGTGTCTTTCCATTTCGGCCCTCAACGAACCGCTGGTGCTGAATTCGAAAGTGAACCGGTGGCCCTCCGAACGCTGTGAAGCCAAGATCCCATGTTCGCCCAAACACGTCGGCTACCCGCAAGAGCAACTTCTCTGTGTTGGCATTATATGCATTACCCTCATCGCGGGCGTATTCACGAACCGCATGGTAGAGGTCGAGGAGTGGCATCTTTCCTATACCTAGAAAGATAGATTGGGAAGACAAAGCAAAGTAGACATTGTAGAATGTTTGGGATGCCCCCGGGAGGTTTTCTCATCAGACTTGGCAATGAGCACTAATAATATTAGCAAGTTGAGTCACGGGTGTCATTAAACCAGGTTGATTCGTTGGGCGCCATTTTGTTGCCTGCTAGCGCTGGCCAGGCCACCTGCCAAACCCCTCTGGCTACCCAGTACATACTATGAAATGAGACGTAAAAGGGTATTGGAACTATGTAGCTAAATCTATGTCGCCTGGGAGGCTGCTTTTATAGCCATAATTACTAGCGCCTTGGCGTATTTCACACGCAACGATCAATTGTTAGAGGACCATACTAATCATACCTTCTCGATTTTTACAGACCCAAACTAGGAAACCAAACAACTAAATGCACTCAGGACTTTGTTGACGCTCCTATAGACTTCCTCCACAGCCACGGTCGATTTTATAATCAATAAAACGGCATTGCAGCTCCAGTAATTCTTTTAACCTATGTTTTTGGCTGTGTTGACCCCATAGAGGATACAGTTCTAGACTTGTCGAAGACATTATCACTCGACAGGAACGAGAACAGAGGCCCCCTCGGTGTCCTGATGTACATAGTATGTGCTCCAACCAGCCTTTGGAAGATCGATAGTTTCATCCTGAGTCAAGAACTTCATGAAAACACCGTGCGTGACCACCACTATGGTTTTCTTAGAATCGTCGAGGCATGTGACAAGTTCCCTTAGGCGATGCCGAAGCCTGCTCGCTCGGGCTCGCAGAGCCTCGTCATCTGGAGCATAGGGTCCATCCTTGAGTGGCCAATTCTCAGGTAAACTGGCAGAAATCCAAATGAGGAAACATCTTCCCTAGGGAAGCTCGATCTAGCCCTGTATCACAAGGGAGATCGCTTCGCTCTTGGGCATCTGCATCAATCAACAATTCTGCGCCCCCATCCGTCCCTTGACCAGATTGAGAATCGAAATAACGTTTGTCGAGAATATTTGGAAAGGCTAACAATGAGGTCTGGATAGCGCGTTGTAGTGGCGAGGTCAAGATAACACTGATGCTTTTAGGGTCAGGAAAAGTTCGACCAAGCTGCTCAGCCTGTTGCACTCCGAAAGCCGTCAACCCAGGGTCAAATTGATTGAAATCTTTGTCAACGTTGTGCTTCGATTCGGCATGCCGAACAATGAAGATAATACTTCCCATCTTCATGAACACCTCGGTTAAAAAGTTAGAAAGGATGCTACTGTAACTTCGTTGCACAAAGCCTGAAAGATAAAGGAGAGGTGGTCGCTAAGCGATCAGCAGAATTCGGTAGCTCTCCATGTGCTTCGGTGATATCATTTAGTTACCGCTTCTCCTAGTACTGTGTACAAAAATAGTATATACCGCGTTACTATAGCTTTACCGAAATCTTACCGTATTAGTAAAATCACCGTAAATTATGGTTACTTATAATTCGTAGTCATGAAATCAGCGGTTCATATTGTAACAGAGCACTTCAGGGTTCGGCGTGCACGTGCAACAACGCACAGAGGCCTGTCCAGCAGGTCGGGAATCGAGAACGCGTTTCTGGTTGGCGCTGACAAGACAACACCACCACCAACACCCAGAGAGGCGGCGGCTAGGGCAACGAACACCTAGCACGGCGGCGGCATCGAGGAGCAGGACAGGACTGATCAAACACTCAGGAACTAGGTAGACCCCACCAAAAAAAGCCATGGAATTCATGATACTCTGCTCAAACTGTAAAGAATAGCACTCTGCCAGCACTGTAAACTGTTCCGCACTCCCCCCTACCAGCCCATTTTGGTTTGACATGTGACTAGACAAACTCTCCCCCTCTGCTACCACTCTACCAGCCCAGCACAGCACAGCCACTTTGCCTTGTTACACTACTATATTAAGAGATCTCTAAAAGTAGCACTATTAGTAATTACTACTAGGGCTGTGAGCACGGAGGCAGCGGTTCGAATATTACTCTACCGCTTTTGAGGAGGGAGACAATGTAAGATTTCGAGAAGGGGCAGACAGACAAATAAACTATAAATAAATAAACACTCGTTTTTCTCCCTCTCAAAGGTATAGGGGCTAACTTAGAGGAGCACACAATACGTCAATTACGGCCACTCCTCAGCCCAAAACTACGCCGTTCCCACTTCGTTGTTAGAAGCTATTGTCCCAAAGCAGCCTTGTTCTCTTAGCTACTACATGGTCGATCGAAAATACAGTTTCTGCTGCGAAAGCCCATTCCCATTCCCATTCCTCTCATTCTCAGTTACGTATCTGGGGGTCCTCCTTAATCCTCGGTCTTGAAAGCAGTGACGCGGCTCTTGACCACTTCCTCGTCCTCCTCAATATCCAACTCACGCAATTCGCCGGTCCCGACGTTGTAGATGAGAGCGTGGACTTGGAGGCCGCGTTCATCCATGGCGTCAAGGACGATAGGGTTTGCGAGGAGCACTTTGACCCCGGCACGGACGTTCAACTCGACCATTTTCAGGCCCCGCTGCGTCTCGTCCAAGCTATTTAAGAGAGGCAGATTTTCTTGGCGAATTGCCCGCAGAGGCATAAGCCAGGTATCGATCAGGCCGAGTTTCTTGTTGCCCAGGGCCGCGGCGATACCCCCGCAAGAGGTGTGGCCGCAGACGATGATGTGCTTGACCTTCAGGTATTGGACGGCATATTGAATGACCGAGAGCGAGTTAATGTCTGTGTTGACCAGGATGTTGGCGATATTGCGGTGGCAAAATATTTCACCGGGCTTGAGGCCCAGGATGGTGGTCTCTGGGCAGCGCGAGTCGGCACATCCGATCCAGAGTATCTGAGGTGATTGGCCTTTGGCCATGGACTCAAAGAGCTCGGGCTCGGCTTCTGCCAGCGAGCGGCGCCACAAGCTGTTATTGTTGAAGGCCTTGGCGTAGGCATCATCAATGCTCGCGTCTGTCACTGTGGGACTTTGTCGTCAGCGGCGGTTTCTCGGTGACCACATTGATAATGAGTGACGTGTTGACACGTGACGTCGGGGTTCGAAGGGAAAAAAGTGTTGAGGATGGGTGGATTCATTCAATTCAACCTGCGGCGAGGCCAGTCATTCTTCGAATCGAGGGAGGGGAAGAGGTCATGGATTGGGCATGGTGGACAGCCAATGTCCTGAAAACCACGGTACTCCTGTGGTGAGGAGGTCGTTGACATGCTCGTCGAACTTGGAAGCAGAGTGGAACCGGGAGCAGAAGGATACCCACCTGAAGGCATTGTGCTTAGATCTTCCTCGTCTTCGTCTTTTTGTTCTAGGTCAACTGGGTTTCTGTGGAAGTGCTTATTGGAACAATATAATCGGACAGATGTAGAGGAAGAAGGCGGTCGGGAAGTTGAGGAGGGAGGACGGGGGATTAAGAATGAAGATGGTGGTGGTGTTGGCGATAATGATGGAGACGTGGCCGGAGATGGTGGGAAAGCTGCAGGCGAGAAACCAGCAACGGATCTACGGTGCAGGTGGAAATCTCGGAAGTTCTCTTTCGGTCTGGGGCGTGTTCGTGGCTGGAGATGGTTCCGGGTCTGAAGGAGTCGTTGTTCCTGAATGGAAACGAGATTTGACGAGATGGTGAGACGTCGCAGCAGAGATGATGGAGGACGGCATCTCAGCACCATGGCGAGGAGGAAGAGGACAACAGCTCAAGGGACATGGGAACGGAGCCTTCGATGCCATGGGGAAGATTTCCTGAGTAGACGGGTAGATGGGATTTTTTTTCTCTTCCTCGAGATCTTCGGTTCCCATTGAGATGGCTCGGTGGATAACGCCGGGGATGAGACTGATTGGTGGCTGATAGCGAGATGGATGATGCTGATGGTTGTTGATGGAGACAGATTGTGGTGATGAGATACTTCCGTAGATTTGTGCCAGTGCGTGGGAGCCGGATGGGCTTCGCAGGTGATAGTGCCAGCACTAACTTAGGGGATCATCCAGGGATGCTGGGGTGGGTGACAGGACATTCTGGGGCTGTTGGCCTTGGAGGACTTGTTGAGCTACCTAACGGGGAGCCCTAAATTGAATGGGGCTTAAACTAACTCGACTAGTGGCTGGGCATGGGGGCACCCACGGTCCCCCCGGAACCAGAGAGGGTCACCTCAAATCCCACTCCTTCGTACTCCGTACAGGTACGACAATCTACAGCTCCCTGAGCCCCTCAACTCGCAACACCAGTGACCTGGCTAGGACCTTCCTCGATCCCATTGTTCTCGACGATTCCCCACCACTTGTCCCAGAGCCCCTTGGTCACCAGTGTCGTCTCATCCATCGGTGTTGTCTCCTGCAAATACTCACACACCGCGTTCTCCGCGTCTCCCTCCGCGTCAAAATACATGATCGCCGGGACACTGACTGGACTGAAGGCCAGTTGCCATGTTCGATATGTCGGTGGCAGCAGTTTGTTGGGCTGCAGGATATTTCGGTCTGAACATTCAACTTCGGGTCGAGATGCCTTGTTCCGCTTTTTCGCATCCTCCCCTGCCGCCATGTTGAATGTCCCGTTCACAAAAGAGACTTGCTGTTTGGTCCAGACCCGGGGCATGCGCTTCTTCTCATATAGTTCGATGGCTGTCGGGAGGCTAATGGATCCGCGCACCACTTCCGAGATGACTGTCCCCAAGAATACCCCGTCTTCCATTGCGGTGGCGGCTCCCTGAGCCTACGAATACTCGGTAAGTGACTGCATGGTCAACTGATGACGGGGACCTACCATATGGTTCTGCATGCCATGAGCCGCATCTCCTAGGAGGACAACATTCTTGTGCTCGTTAGACCACTTCTTCATGGGAGGGAGCACCAACAAAGGCCAGATCTGTGTGCTTTTGAGAAGCCCCAGGATCTTGCGTGCGAATGGACTCCAATCCTTGTATAGGTTGCGGAATTCTTCAATATCCATCTCCTCGGCCTTCGTGACGACGCGGTCCATTTGGAACATTGCCACCACGTTCAATTCTCGGCCGGCCGTTAGGGGATATAGCAGGATATAACCGTGGGGCCCGATCCAGGCGTCCGCTGTATTCCTCAGCCACATCCTGGCCTCAGGCACTTGGGCAAAGACTTCTTCGTAAGAAAGCACTCCACGAAAAGCCGCCACTGTGGAGGCCGCTTTAGGCACGGCGTCCGGAAATAGGCTCTGACGAATAGTCGACCTGAGGCCATCGGACCCGACGAGCAGGTCAAAGGTATGCTCAACACCATGGACTGTCGTGACTTTGACACCCTCCTTGGTGTGCTCAAGAGATTGGACGCGTGACCCAACAATCAATTCCACGCCGTTGCGTCGAGCACATTCAGTAAGCCCTGCATGGAGGTGATCTCTACGGACGACCCTGCAATTGAGACTGTCAGTACATAGATCACAGGCAATGATATCTGCAAAGTTGTTGAGGCAGGATGGACAGACGAACCAGTGTGGAAATCCGGTGAGCTTTCGTCCTTCCTTCGGATCGAAGCGAGCCAGCATTTCATCGTCCAGACCCCAAGTGTTGATTTCATCCACGGCGATCAAGTTATCGCCAATGATCTTGTCCACATCCCACCGAATCAGGATTCGAGACACATTTGAGAACATCTGAATCCCAGCCCCGATTTCACCTAGTTCCCGCGCAGCCTCAAGCAGTGTCACTTTTGCTCCTGCCCGGGCACAGGCGATTGCTGCGGTTAGCCCTCCCATGCCGCCTCCGCAGACACCAACGTGCAATTTGATTGGGGCCATGTTAGGAGTTTTGCGACGGAAATGCTGGATAAGAGAATTGTTCCTTTGCGTTTATGCCTCTCAAATAGGACAAAGACCTTGGGATAATATCGAATCAATATGTTCTTTCCCTACAAGGACATATGTCGACCACGGACAAGTTTGCTTGTGCTTTTGGACTGACCAGTTCAATCGCAGGTGACGGATATGGTGTGTAGCACAACAAGGCTCAGCTTCTCTCCAATCAGACACTTGAGAATTGATATTGTCAAACAACAAAGCTGTCCGGTTTCAAATCTCCGCACTGACACTTTTTGCGGAGTTGTCAGAAAGGGAAACACAGGCTAGCAGACGGGATACCATGTCCTGGAGGGGACCCTCTTTTATATATACGTCGTGAGAAGCCGTAAGGACGCAGCAACCAAAAACACAAAAATTGTGCATTCTGAGGAGCGTCGTTGAGACCGTCCGTCTATCCTCTCTCCCCCTCAATCGTCTCAGTGGTGGTGACGGTGGTGATGATGGTGACGATCCTAAGCGACAATGCCATATAACCGCGGTCGAAAATGGATCGAATCAGGCCATTGGCCCCCCCTCCCCCGGCTGGAAGGGTGACTTGGAGATGGTGATGCAACCATGGTTGTTTACCTACCGAGGCTCAAGAAAACAAGGGCGATGGTGAATAATGAAAAATACGGGGTACATTACCTTTTATCACTCCATGTGCGGATCTGGATGTGGGGATCGCCGTCAGCTGAGTCGAAACTGCACCTATTTTCACTCCGCTCAAGCCGATTGACTCTCTCTGCCTGGCGAGCCTCTTTTCCCGAGCTATTCTTACATTGCCAGCCTTGTTCCCCAACTATCACGAGACCAGATCCAGACTAGGCTATCGTGGTAAAAGAAATGGCAATCTGGCTGCTTTGCCTTCATCACACTGACTGACCAGTTCATGACGACCCCTTCACACGACCCAAATAAGCACCTATTCTCTAGCGCTCGACTTGGCTTTTTGAATTCCTGACCTCATTGTCATCCTAGCTGGAAAAAACTTCGTCGGACTGTTTGGCCGTGACTTGACACTGCGAAATGCTGATGGCTGGGTCAGAAGGCAACGGGCTGACGTTGTTGGCAGCACATCGTCCTTCCACGCAAACTCACCACATACTCTTGCATTATGCTGACTGATTATCGCGTATATGCAGTTACAGCATGATCTAACTTCAAGTGCACCTGAGGGGCAAGCCATTTTCCTAACCGTTCGGGAGATCTTTGACAGTTGCAAGGGTCATGGTGATGAACCGCCAGCCCTATCAATCTGATTGACGTCCCCTGGAGTCTTGGAGAGGCTGCCCTCCCCTGCCCAGGCTTGTCAGGGTGTCGCGTCCGGCCGGCTCTTCCTGCTTGAACTCTTGCATCGGCTAGTATCACAGCACCATTTCGGCATTCGGTAGTAGTCGCTACAGCCTTTGGACAATGCCATGGACGTGGAAGCGGGAGTTCTTGAGCAACCACGAGGAACAGTCATCTCCGCTGAGGTTACCGAGGTATTAAATGTCAGAGTCATTCCACCAGGAATGTATTTCCAATGAATCCAGGAGGTAACAGTTAGACAAATCTGCTTCAAGATGATGGCCAAAGTTAGCCACCGGCCGAGACACAACTCTATCTTCAACCACATCGAGAGTCAAGATGCCCTCTCCTTTGCTTATCAGGTACACAACGTTGAGGTTCTGCCCACAGGCCCAGATTCATTCAACTGAAAAGGTGCTCTAGTACGGATGCCCTCTGTTCGCATGTGACCGATTCTCCAAGGCGCACAAGGATACATCTAACAACACCTTCGTCCATCGGCGGGAGCTCGTCAAGGCTGGACGGGCGGATCTTGTCCGTCTCAACAATGACACCCTATACTCGTTCTTGTTCTGTGACTTGTCACAGAGCGACCTGTGCTTCTTAGTGCCAGAATCACCATATTGGACGAACAAGCCGACAAGATGAAGGTGCAGGCCTTCTAAGCCGGGATCAAAGTTTCCGCCGAGCAATGAAAGGCCGGCACCCTCGCACCACCATTCCATCGAAGTACCTTCTCTCGTGTTGCAGACCCAACATGCGCCCCGGTGTGGGAAGCTGAGCAAGTCTTACGGCTAACGGCTGCCCTCGTTCCGTTGAACCCGCAAGAAGTCTATCTTTCAAGGCCGCAGCTGGGTGTCTTCCACGCTCGAAGAGGCGGGCTGCAAGGACAGAACCTTCGTGCAGCCGCCAAATACCTCTCTCACGGACGCCGTCGCCGCCTCGAACAAAACCGCTCAGGCTTGGATGCTCACAGCTGGACCTACGCGGGTATTTGGGGAATGACTGGCGTTCCGATTCGCCCTTGATCAGCGGAAATTTTGAATCGCTTTATGCAGCGAGGTATTTCGTGGGTGTGCGAGGATATCTGCAGCCACCGGCAGATCAATCAACATACACATCTTGGTATCCCGATTCAGCGACTCCGAGAGTTGGCTATCTGGAGTGCACGATCGGCCCACAGCAGTGCCTTCTCTTTTGCTTCTCAGAAAAACCTAAGCTCAGGTCCACGGGGTTTTGGAGTTTGACCTTGTACGGGCCTGACGGGCTCCTAGTCGCCAACAAGCTTGATCGATACTCGTTGGGAAATCGAAGCGACCTTAGATATCCAGATGGAACGCCGTTGAAGGACCGTGAGGATGGCAAATTCGAGATTTTAGTCCAGCCGGACGATGTTCCATCGCCAGAGAAGCACCTCAACCAGTGAGTATCGCGATCTATGGTTGGAGATTAGTCCGCTGATTGACCTCAAGGCCCCGTGCTAGCCGCAGAAAGACCGTCAGTCAGAAGTACTCTACGAGACAAGCAACTACGTCTCCTCAATCTAGTCACTCAGTCGGCAAGGACTCTGACATGGTTCCTGCACGGGGGGGCGCTGGCTGTAGTTGTGAAGAGCGACTGATCCCCACAAGAGCTCCCGCACCGCTTAACCGACAGTATCTCGGCGGAATAGCCTACGTGCTAGCTGAAGATCAAGATCCAGTGTTACCTCCAGGCCAGCTCGGGACCACAGCCTTTTCAGAGAGTATAAACTGACAGATATTGACTATTTCCGGAGCTACTTTGCCGCATCCGGAGATCCTCTGGAATGCATGTGCCGACCACTACGTCCAACACGTCTTTCAACGCATGCCAGTCCTTGATCGAGCAGACTTTTGCACTGATCGACCTTCAGTGGCCCTTCAAAAGGCCATCTGCATGATGGGAGCAATGCTCCGGCACGCCAGGGGGACTGATTTTTTGGCCGACAATGAGAAATACTGCTATAGAGCTAAGACACTGATCAACACCAACTATGAGCAGGACCCCATCACGGTTCTAAAAGTCCTGTGCCTTTTTATCAAACTCTAAATATTGTTGGACCAGTAGTGCTGACAGCGGATTGTGCGTGGCATTGGTTGGGCGTAGCGACTCGATTGTTGCATCAGGTAGGCCTACACCGCGAAACCGTCTGTGCTACATTCGCAAAGCCTGGTACAGCTCGTTGGATTGCCTGGGGCCTCTTTGCAAGTTTATCATGAATTTGGCAGACTCGCATCTTCACAAAAGAATCCAGACCTCAGATAGATTGGTATCGGCTGTTTCTCGGTCGGCCTACTAATATCAAGGAAGTTGATTTTGACGCGCAACCCCTGAACGAGGAAGATTTTGATGTATCGAATATCCAAGTAGTTATATTCATGCAGTTAGCAAAACTGGCTTGCATTCTGGGTCAAATATTTGACCTACGCCGACGGCGAACTGAAAATACTCAACGAGAGGTATGTCCGCCGCCTGGGCTCTCATCACATTCTAACCTCGTTGGCGTTGCAGCAGAGAGATATCCTCACAACACTTCAAACATGGATCCGAAATATACCAGAACATGTGCGCATTTTTTGATTAGAGCGCCCCCGGAGATACCGACAAGACGTTTATGGGATTCATATCAAATACTTCGTCATTATCATCACTTTCTTGCATTTGTTCAATGACCAAAACTCTCAACTGTTCCTAACGTTATCTCTTTGGTGGCTTCTTCGTACAATATCAATTACCTTCTCGGTATTCATATGTGGCTATTTACGACGCCTGCAATGCCGCAACTTCTACGCAACGCCACAGGAGGCATATCAAAGCCGACACGCTTTGCTCGGACGAGCTTGACATACTAATCTCCGCGTTGAAGCAATATCAAATTAAATTCCCAGCAGCAACGGTAGCGCTGAATGCAATCGACAGACCGCGCGACTCTCGAGGTCAGAATCAAGTCCGCAGCTCTACAACTGCTCGTGAGCCATGGGAAAGCACTTTGATTGGCGAGGCACATCGTCTATCGACGTTGCGGACACTGTTCCCATTTCCTTCCTCACTTTCTCCCAGTGCTATCTTGCTAGAGGACGCTGGTGGAACAATAGGCCTCGACCCAGCCAGTTCAGACAGCGCGACGGAGGACTTGGGTTGGATTTTCGAGCAGTTTTCCGAATTCTCATCCGGATATGCTCTCGCCGACTGGCCTCAGTCTTTTCCCAACATCTCCTAAGGTTTAATGACTTAAGTGCATTAGCAGCAACCTTGATAGGAAATCAAGGCACGAGGGGAAATTCGCCGTCCCCCCTCGAAGCCGGCCTCAAGATGCCAGGTTGTCGATTGAAGGGAAGTCAAACTCGATAATAAGTAGAAGATTCATGAAATGTATTTGACTCCAGCGTTGCTCCCGCGTGGATCTTTCGTTTGCTGAATGGGTGCGGTGAGTCGTGCCCACGCAACTCGTCCATGACTTGTCGCGAGGCTGGCTGTGTTGGATGCGGGCACTAGCCTAATTAGGCTGGAGGCTAGACTGTAAATGGGGCTGCGGCAACCGATCAGGCTGTCACCTGTTTAAACCCTCGCTATCACACCAGACAGATTTATCAATCAATCAACCAATCCATTCCTGACCCTGGGATTGGTTCAACAGGTAGACCTTCTCGCTTGCTTGAGGAAAGAGACACGCCCAGCGGGGCTATGGGGCGAAAAATCATAATGTGTACGAGGTAACAAGCGAGAGCTTGCTGCGCCAGGTGGCTGTGGCGGCCTGGGAACAACACTGCCACCTTGAGGTTGCTAACATAATGGGCACCGACGGAATTTTTTGCAGAACCCACCTGTCTTGACCCTCTTCAGTCTGAGAATATGTCTACAGCTGAGGCCTTCCAACACCGTCCTCTCGATTTGACTCAGCCTGGGATACGGGTATTAGACCTCTTACCGCTACAAGCTGATGGCGCTATCAGGTGCAGACTACGCCACGATGTACTCGGTCCTAGTTTGCAATTCTCAGCCGTATCATATGAGTGGGGGAGCCTCGTGTCGGGAAAGCATGAGATTTACATCGATGACATGAGTTTCCAGGTTCACCACAATCTCCTCCTGTTGTTGACGGCGCTCCTCAATATCTACCCCACTGATGGATACAAAAGCCTCTGGATCGATGCTCTTTGTATTGATCAACTGAATATTGGAGAGAAGAACCACCAAGTGCAGCAAATGAAGAACATATATCAGACGGCCGCCAATGTTTTAGTCTGGCTCGGACCTTCAGATGACAAAACCGACCGGTTGTTCGATTTTCTGCAAGACCTGTGCATTCCGGACTCAGCAGAAAATGCTGCCCGGTCAGTCGCACAGTTGACCCTGGAGCAATGGAAACATTATCAAGACAAAGTTTTTGGTGCAGGAGTCCCTGTGTGGGAGGCTTGTGAGGCATTGTCTAAGCGCACTTACTGGAGCAGGACGTGGATTCTACAGGAGATATTGCTTGCAAACCAGCCATTGATTTTCTGCGGCGACAATAAGGTTCCGTGGCAAGCGTGGGCCATCCTGCTTGACACGCTAGACAAAAATCCCGTCGAGTTCGTCAAAATCTGGGCACCAGATATCTGGGGATCGCCCGCCATGTCTGTTTCCCGGGAATGGTTCGCATTGATTGATGAGGGCCCGCGCGAGAATTTAATCCAGCTGACTACGGCATTCAGAAAGAGCGAATGTTCGATTTTACAAGACAAAGTTTATGGCCTACTTGGACTGCTCTCAGGCGGATCTAAATTACTTGTCGACTATGATCGTGAGATTGAAGACTTACTCCTCGATCTGTTAGAAATGACAACGTCTGACACCACCATTTCGGATGTTGAAAACTTGCTGGAAATGTTCGAGATCAACACCTTGTCCTCCATCCAAATGGCGCTGGATTGCGTCTACGCCGGAAAGCGCCCGATTGCTCAAAGTTCCGGTTGGTTGAAAATCGGTGCGATATTAAAAGGCACAAATGCAGCAAAAGATATTTCATCCCGAGTGCACTTGAGACAACTTCGATGGTGCAACCAGCTGGAAAGTCAACAACTGATCTGGAGATTCACGAGCCCCTGCGATTTAGACAGTTGGAGCTCCGGAAGGTGGAAGGACCTGCAACCGCCGTTTCTGAAGTCCAATCTCTTGACCCACGCACGTGACGGTAGGGTGATGAAATGTCAATGCCCTCGGTGTTGTGCTAAGCTCAACACAAGTACTGTTGGTTCAAGACTCTTTAAGGTGCTCTCTGCCTTGTCATACAAAGATACGGCCAGAGATCTCGAGGGATATTCGGCAGCATTGCTCTATCGCAGGCTTTCTGGCAAAGACACATACTTCGCAACGCTAGTCAACGTGCGGGAAACCTCGACAATGCTCTTATTTTACGATCCTGTCACCGTGGAAGAAATCCAACCCGCCAGATCTGCAACAGGATCCCTCGCGAGAACACTCAATCTGATAGCTCATCAACACTCGCCCCTCTCACTGGAATCAGCCTCTCCCCTTGCTGAATGCAGGATAATTCAATTGGGCAAAAGTGGGCAGGATTTGAAACATTATGAGAAGGGGCAAAGTGCTCTAATGCGGGGAAATAGGCCTTCTCAGGATCTTTCCGAAGTGGCTGGACGGCCTTTGGGCGCTCTGGAAAGGATGAGGCCGAGAGTATTTTCTGCTTTCCCAAATCCCTGGTCTTCATTGAAAAGGTGAAAAAGCGACCACGGCCCATTCGGGTACAGGCCCCTAAATCAAGACTGGAGCCATGACCGGCATCGGATTTGGGCTTGCTTGGTTTGTCATAGTCGTGCTGGTCCGGACCGCTAAACCTTCACAACGTGGACCGGCGTTCACGAACCCCGGCCTTGGATTATAGAAAGTCGGTAACCAACGGTGTACTGCCTCGCCGTCTCTAAGTCTTGAGCACCGCATTGTAACTTACGGTTAGGTAGTACATACGTTGTTCCATTCTTATATCGTTACGTTATCATGTCTAGGTTGTGAGATGGTTTGTTAAAAGTTGAGCCAAGTGCCATCTCAATCTGGCCGACCTTCTCCTTCCTTCCCACTTTCAAGTCCTCGATTTCTCGAAGCCGTACGACAAGCCCTGCGCGAAACCCCAAACAAGCCCACATCATACAAATCCCCGCTTCGCGATCGGATTTACAAGATTCGAAATCATGCCGTCACCATCCAAAGTCCCAGACCGCTTTATGATCCACGTTACTCTGTACTTTGCCCCCGAAGACGTGCCCGTCGCCCTGGAAGCGTGCAGAACCCTCTTCGAAGAGGCGTGGAAGGACCCCCGGCTGGACTTCTGTCAGATTGTTCAAGACGCCAACGAGGCGGGCACGATTCGCATTCAGGAAGCGTGGAATGCGTCGAGGAAGTATCTGGAAGAGGTATGTATCGAGTACCGAGTGCTCGCTTTTCATTAGCGAAGGAAGAACCCACATCTCCGTCTCGGGGGGAGGAGCATGACAAAGCATAAAATGATATAAAATGGCATGATATATGGCTTCAGCATCTCCCTTGTCTACGTAGGGAAGTGATCACTTGTGAGTTGCAAGTTTGATGATTGTGCTAATGCTTGGGACGACGGGGATAGGTTCAACTATACCAGCCCTACTACATTCCATATCTGAAAGCAACGGAACATCTGTGGGTCAAGCCGCGTAAGTCACATGTATTCCTTTGCTACACCACCTAGCGGTGGTCAAACAATCTCGGCGTCTGCGTTGTCTGGGTTGCAAAACACGGGGAAGCTGTTGCGTGATATGTGTTATGGCCGTACATGACAACAAGGCCACTGCTGACATCTCCTCCCCATTTCACATATCAGGTGTAATTCAGTTTTTTGAACGGTTGTCCGGGTGGACGTGGATCAAGCCATCGTTTGAAAAGGATCAGCTGCAAGCTTCCTAGCTTCCAAGTTCCCGTTGTGATGAAATGGGTGGAAATGAAATGACAAAGGGAAGATGAAAGCGCCGCCAGGAGGAGCAGCAGTACATGGGGGTCAACAGTCGAGAAGGAGCGCGTGTTGTATGTATGGATTGTACGAATCGGAGACCGACCTACTAAGGGCGATTATTCAAACACTGCATAACTCACGCGGCAAAAGCATATGTATATGTCGGAATCCAAGAATCTTGCTTCCGCGAGGCGTTAACGAGAATTATTACAGTCTTTGTCGGTCGGACTGGACTTGAGTAACCCAATAGAGTCGAGCTGACTGATCTCTCTCATTCTTCCGTCTAGGTACTTAGGCACGTCTCTCGCGTGTCCAACTAGTATAACACGTCTTTTCTTGCGGCGGTTTCTGACCAGGTGCCTTTGCTCAATATCAAGTATGGACTATATACACTCTTCTCCTTCTCTTCCCCGTTTGTTCCCTCTCAGAATCACAAAAGGCCGAAGTCCTCCACACCTACATACGGACGGAGTACTCAAACCTTCTCGCGTAAAACGACTTCCGTCTCTTCCTTTCCCGCCACACTCACACTCTGTCCGGTACGATGATGGTCCTCAACAGCGACCTGTCCGTCGTCCTTGACGGTGATTTCGGTCGAGTATATCTTGACTTCGTCGGTGTCGCCAAAGATTGCGGCAAGTTCTTCCAAAGGCACAGATCTCGTCTCTGGGACCCAGTATCAGTAAAAGACCGAGCCGACAGAGAGAACGCAGATGAAAACCTACGGAGGAATTGGTTAGTTATCCTTTTTCTTTTTCTTTCTTTTTTTTCTTGCCAGGCCTTGTGAACATGGTATATTACATGCCACAATGCCATGGGACGTGTGGCAGTGTTTTGGAAAGACTCACCAACAAGAATCTCCACCCGATATTCTGTAAAGCAGTGGGTGCAACTTCGAGATAGAGTAGATTGGTGGCACTGTTGACGAAGACGCAAAAACAGACTCCCTTTGCGCGAATGTGTGTCGGGAAGATTTCGCAGTAAAAGGGGGCCCCGCAAGCCTCGACTCCCAGGCAGTAAAAGATGACAATCAGGTACAAGGCTGTCACGGCCCAACCGAGTCCGACTTTATTGGTTGCCGTGGGAGCGTAGACGGCTTCCATGGCAGTGAGAATTACCAAGGCCACGGTGCACCCGACGAAGCCCGTCATGATGAAAGGCTTGCGTCCGAAGCGGTCACATAATGTGACGCCGATGATTGCCGCGGGGATAGAACCTATCACAAGAGTAATAATATGAGTCAATTAAAAGCCATACATAAGGATGATAAAAACTCCATGGTGTCGGGTGGAACAGTTCGAGCTTACCTGCAATCCAGCCACATTGGAGAATCAGGCTTTGTTTGATACTGAATCCCAGGGCGGCGTAGAGGGATGGACCCTATATAGAGTGAAGTTAGATCGGGATCTTTTCTTTTCCCAGAGGGGTGTCCGGCAGGTTTATCCCTCCTTGAGAGGCCAGGTTTGGCAAAACTTACATAGGCAGCAGCAACTAGCACGGCGGTGCTCTGGGCCAAAAAGGTCACCAGACACGCCATAAGCATTCGCTTCCTGTACGAGGGTTTCGAAAACAGATGAATCCACGAAGAGTCGAGGGTCCTGTCGAACTCGAGCTGCGTCCGCATCTGGAAAAACTCCTCCTTGACGTATTCTTGGTTCTCGTCCGTCGGGTCATGGTGCAGTTTGCTGATTATCTGCCATGCTTCTTCCGCCCGGTCCTTGAGGAGGAGGTAGCGAGGGGATTCGGGGGCCCAGTAAAGTACGACTAGGAGAGAGGTGGATGGTACCAGAGACAAGCCGAGGGGGGTCCTCCACTGCACGTCCGGATTAGTTGTGTACGAGAAGGCTAGACCTATCAATGCAGCGGTGGTGTAGCCGACAGCGATGGCCACGCCGGTCAGACCGGTGAAGAATCCTCGGGTTTCTGCCTGGGAGAGTTCGGCGATGTATGCGGATGCTGTTTGTGAGATAGAGCGGTTAGTCTTTTTTTCCTTCCTCTTCAGTTTCTCCATCGGAATAATACGCATGACGTACTGGCGGCGATAAAGCTGACTGCTGCAAACCCATGGATCGTCCTCGCAGCGATGAACATGCCGATGCTTTGAGATGCTGTGACCAAAACACCACCCAGAGTGTAGATGGCCACAAGGGCAATCATTGTCGGTTTTCTTCCGATTCGATCGAGCGACCAGCTGGTGGCTAGGACGCCTACACACCCTCCGGTCTGTGATGTAGGAGTGCCGATTAGCTATGACGGTTGGTGATAGAAGATGACAGGAGCTAATACATACGCAGAACAGGCCAACCGTGGCCCCGACCAACGCAGCCTGGTTGGAGGCTGCATTTCCCTCGGCATCGATTAGATGCATATATGATAGAAAGGTTGGCTGGCCTAGGGTCGTGGAGATCTGGAGAAGTGATTTGCAGACAGTCAGTTGAGGTTGTCCTTTTGCTATACCGTGCACAATCAATGGATGAGTGGTGAATAGCTCACGATCGAAGCTGCATAACCATAGCAGAAACTGCCTAGTGACAAGAAAAAGCAACACCAGAAGGTCCGCCAGTTTAGTCTCTTGGGGGTTGCGGAAAACGTCATCTTGCTGTCTGTGTGTGTATGGGATTGTGATCGTGACCGGCCTTCCGAGAGAAATCTGAAGACTTGGAATTCTGAGCTTTCAAAATGTTGAATTGCCAATCACCCCGGATTTATATCAAACATGTTGGTCCACAACCACTCCGGTTTCGTGCTCTAGCGCCCCTCCCACAAAGCCTCCAGACGGCCCAGGCCCGGACACCAGATTCTCCAGAGCTAATTCACTCCCCTGTTTCCTCATGTTCCTGACCCGCATTAAAATGAGAGAAAAAGAAGAATCAAGATTAGCTGGTGTCATGGGCCATAGTCCGGGGAATTCGCTTCGGTGTTCACGAATCCCGCCGAGACTAGTTCCTTTCCGGCTTGCAGAATTCCCGGTAGCCATGATACACTCAGGAACCTAGGCAACGTGGTTGGCGTATTACTGGTAATCGGATTATCTTAGTTATTTGACTTCCATCTCTGTTCCAGAGGGATTCCCGGAAACATACATGATCAAATCGAAACGACTGATTCTTTAAAGACTGAGAAAATGCCTTATGCGTTTCCCGCTCAATCTGGACCAGGCTGAATCCGTATTCTGGAAACATTCGTCGTACGCGAAGAACATTTCAATCAGCTAACTCGCTTCAACTTGAAATCAAATGAGATACCCATAAGCTGGTGGGATTTTTCTTTCTTGCGACCATTGAGAATCAAGATCAGTTCAACCGTCTTTCTGCTCAGCAATTATGAAGGCAGAAAGACACAGGCTGGGGATTGCGACGGTCTCGTTAGGCTGGCATCCATCACACACACTCGAACGAAAACTGGACGCCATATCCAAACAAGGTTATGACGGGGTCGAAATCTATTATCCGGACCTGGTCACCTTCGCAGAGCAACACTCTCTAACGCATTTAGAAGCGGCATCGAAAATCGGCACCATCTGCAGAGACGGAGATATCTCGATCATAGCGCTCCAGCCACTGTTCAACTTTGCAGGAATGCGCACGCCCTTGGAAACCCGACTCGAATCCGCCCGCGAATACATCTCCCTGGCTCGTGCCATGGGGACAAAGATGATCCAAGTTCCAACCACGTACGAGATGAATTCGACCGGTGCCGAAAATCTTATCGTTGCAGAGCTTCGCGCGTTGGCGGATTTGGGGAGAGAGTCGCCAGAATCCGGCCAAGAAGAGATCTGCTTTGCATTTGAAGCGCTGGCGTGGGGGGTACACCATCCACTGATGGACGATGCTATTCGAATCGTTAAGCTCGTGGATCGACCGAATTTCGGTCTCTGTCTCGACACATACCACGTTATCGCGAGGGTTTGGGCAGACCCGCACGCATCGGCCGGCGCAGGAACGGGTGTCGCTCCCGGAGGTTATGCGGCGCTCAAGTCAACACTGGACCGATTCATGGAGCAGTGTCCGGTGGAAAAGATCTTTTATCTCCAACTCAGTGATGCTGAAAGGCTAGATCAGCCGCTTGTTCTTGGCCATGAGGCCTACAAGGCCGAGTGGGCACATTGGGATGCCACCATGCATTGGTGTGTCTGGGGGAGATTATTCCCATATGAGACCGAGTATGGCGCCTACTTTCCACTGGACGATATTCTGCGACTTTGGCTGGTGGAAAAAGGTTGGAAAGGCTGGGTCAGCATGGAGATGTTTCATCGGGACGAGCACAAGGAGTCGGTTGGTCCCGAAGTCCTCGCGGAAAGAGGATATAGGTCATGGCTGAAGATCAAAAGTCGCTTTGGTTTGGAATAATGGATCCGGATCAGGGAGAGGAGACTTGAGCTCTGACCCAAATTTCCTGATGAAGAGTCGAGTTAGCAGCGAGATGTCGTTTGAGCTCGACTTATTGGCTGCTCCAGGGTACCAAGAACTGCAAGGATTTCAACTAATAGGACAAATCACGATGCTTGGTAGGCGCCGGCATTCACGAATGCCGGGCATAATGTCTTTCCACCCAATAGCGAGGAGACGCCGAGACAGCCGTGTTCCGTCTGCTAAGACTGTGAGGAAGATGTTAGCGCATCCGAAAAACTGGATATATGAGGTATATGCCGAGTAGATGCAGATGTTGATGTGGCAGCCTTGTCAACTTAGAGTCAGCCAACCAAAGCACCCTCTCTGTGCTACAACCTGCTGGGCCTTGCAAATGCGGGCTGGGAATCAACCTCATACCAGTATTCACAGTATATCCCTCGCGGAGACATGTGGGCCCGGAGAGTGTGCCGCGTAGTCGGACGCTCTTGGCACCCACAGCCCAAAGAGGAAAAGAGGAGCTAAGAGTTGCCGTTTTCACAAACCCCCCCGCTCTGAAGCCAGTCATCTAACCAATTTCGGGTAGAAAGCCCTAAGTCACGTGATAACACTAGATCCTATCTGCGTTAGTCTTACGAGTTAAAAGTTAAGCTGTCACGTGGGCGCTCCTGTCTGTGCACTGTATCTTAGGGGCCAGCGGCCCGGGTGGGTACGGTATTTCCGCTGCTCTTTGGTGGCTCTTGGTGACACGAGGACGTTCGCTTCATCTTTCCCTTCGGTCTCACCCCATTTCCCCAGAATGACCCCAGTTTCTCCAGTCAAAGATTGTGGAATACTCTGCATCTTCTGACTTCTCTGGATTGAAGATACCAAGATAATCCGTTCTGCACTGCAAGGTCCACCATTCAATGGTAGTGTAGGTATGATCCTCACTACTAGCACAGACTCTTACGAGTAACTATCTACCCTACTCTCATTGCGAGGCTGTCGCTATCCGACAATCCGATACTATTGCAGCTACATCCCCGGGCTGTGCCCTGGACTGACCAATTGATCCCATAATTAGGCCATTCCGGGAGTTGATATGACTCTTGTTTTTCATTCTGATCACCTTCTATCGCCTTCAATCAAGACGCACCGATAGATTATTGTCCAGCATTACTACGCCTGCACTGGGGGGGTCGCCCATGATTCCCGAGACGGGATGACAACCAGGCAACTTCATCAACCACGGGCTAGATCCTGTGAGGAATGCAACCGGTAACGCAGGTGCCCTTGAAGAAACAAATTTTGGCTAACAAGGTCCCTCCCACATTAGTAAAAAAGCGAAATGTAAGTCATGGTCCGTACTGATGCCCGTATTTCCAAGGGTTGATGGACTCGAAAACCAACACATTCCCATCGAACGAAGGAAAGTTATCGCTAACCAGTGAAAAGGCGACAAGAAATCCCCGAAATGTCATCGATGTCAACAATCAGGGTCGCGGTGCATATATCCCACCCATCGCAAGCGCACGACTCTGGAGACGAAATATCAAAGCCTCCGGCGAAAGCTAATGGATTCAAATCAAGCGGATGAATTAGGTTCGTTTGGAACTCCATCTGTGAATGCCTTGAAGGTTTGCTCTACTCAGAGAACGCAGAGGCTAACAATTTTGTACGCAGAAGGGTTACTGGATCACGTCGACTTGGATATTTTGCGCGGTGCTCTTCGGCGTCGAGAGAAGAAGACAGCGACGACGGCGGCGGAATCTGGATCCTCGCCATCCGATCACTACGTAGCTTTGGACGTTCCGGGAAATACAAATTGTCAGCGGCAAGAAGCGCAGGATATGCCGTTTTCATTATCAGCACTACCACTATCGAGAGTATCAGGTACACCGAATCTGCCAACGGGCTTGTCTCAAAACGACGATTCTATTCCTGATCATTTACACGTCGATGGACAAAACAACAGCCCATCGCACGACCCTAACAACTGGCTTGGAAACATGGCCTTTAGTCCGTTCACGGACAGTTATGGAATGTTCAGTCTCCTCAATTCGAGCGAGCTAAATGGTGAGTAGCAGGCTTTACTTCTCTCGCTCTCTCTCTGAACTTGGCTCTTGCATCGTTGAGAATATGGACTTGGGATCTCTGACTCGTTTTCTTGCATCAGGCGACGGCTGGTCAGGCTCTGCACACACTTTGTCAGAAGACCTGAATTTTTCAGACAGGAATCCCTGTACAGTCGCATTCCCGCCTGTTCTAGTGGATGAATTGTGCGTACCTCCGATACTATTTTGAATTCAACATTGCCCGGGCTCCTCCTGCTCCCTAATATTTGCATATCCCTTCCTTCGGTTTTCGACTAACAAAACACAAATCTTCATGCTACCACCAGAATTAACCTGTTCTTCCTACGTGTGCAACCTTCTATTCCTATCTTTCACGAACCGAGTTTTCGGCAAAAGTTCCACGTCGGCAGCAACAACAGTGACAGATACACACGGCTGTCGATCGAGGATGCGCTGACTCTGACAGCAATGATGGCCCTGTCAGCGAGGTTCTCGACGAATGATTTCTTCCCGTCCGCCATGTCCAAGGATAAAGGCAAAGCGTTCGCCCGGAAAGCTAACGCCTTTTACGCGGAAGCTCTTCAGAGTGACGAGCAAGGTAGCGACGAAGGGAACGAAATCTCCCTCGGTTTTCTCCAGGGTTGCATCCTCCTGGCGTTCTACGAGCAGACAAACAGAATCACGACCCAAAGCTGGCTCCTTATCGGCACTTGCTGTCGACTCGCGATCGACTTGGGACTCAACGAGATGGATAAGGACGTCATCACTAGCAACGAAATTGCAATGCCCACAGCGCCGCCCGCTGAGGAGCATCGGCAACCACATCAGCACCAGTATTTAGCGGCAGAAGACTCCTGGGTTCAGAAAGAGGAGAAGAGAAGAGCCTGGTGGCTGGTGTGGGAATTGGACGTGTTCGCCGCCACCATCCTGCGCAGACCACATTCTATCAACAAAGATCAAATGCACGTCTTGCTGCCTGTGTCGGACGCCTCGTGGTTCTCTGACACCCCCACGGAATCGATCTTTCTTCAGACCGACTTTCTGCACGAGTGGCAGACGTTGGAAAACTGTCCCAACGCGGATGAAAGGGCCTGGTTCCTTGTCACGACCCTTCTCATGGCTAGGGCGGCCGATCTAGCCTCCCCAGAGAATACCTTCACCTTACAGGACATTGTCAACTTCGGGTCGGCTTTGAATTGCTTCGCTCTGCTCCTCCCCCAGTGGTTTCAACTAGACTTTGTGCGCGCCCCGTTTGACGAAAGAAACTTTGCGGCCAACAACTGGGCGCTTCTCACCATATTCATGCTTCACACGTACGTTGCGCATGGAATGTTTTCGTCTCCTTCAGATATTGACCCTGATATCGATACTAACTTGCCTCTCAAATGTCCCGTAGAGCACGCGTTCTCGTCCGAAACGCACAATATATAAAATCCCAGAACGAACTGGAGAATTCCGCCGTCGTGGCCGCGCTCCCTACCGGCCCGCACAACGACACTTATCTCGTCTTCCGCGCCATGGAGGCCTGGCCGCCCGAATACATCATCTACGCCTGTCCGTTCGTCTCGTGCACCATCATCGGTCCGGCCTTTGACAATATCCGGGCTGCACTGCTGTTCGAGCCCGGAGGCCATGGAACCTATCTATCCATGTTGAAACTGATTCTCAAGAAGATTGGGACGTTCTGGGGTATTGGGGAGAGCGCGCTGAGTGAGTCGGAATCCTTTTCCCTTTCCCTCTACTCTCCTCGAACAAGTTTCACTCTTCACATTTACATCTCCATCTTTTTGAATTTTTTTTTTTCATTATCCCAGTAGTTCTATATCCTTGAACCACTCACTGCTTTTCACGCGACGTACAAGACGACGGGATGATGGATCATTGCAATAGGAATCCGGAGTGCTGACGAAATCCCTCTCCTATATCCCATGCTGTATGGGATTGCGGGCATCTCAAATAATAGGACTAGTTGAAATCTTCGAACACGAAATCAAGGTCAACGGCTCGTTTCGCAAACAGGCGTTTCGGAGGTATGCAAAGGATTTTTCCTTGCTGGTTGTTGATCCGGCAAGAAATACGTGATCCAATGTACAATGGCATACAGTGCACAACTTGAACTGCGTGAATGATGAGTTCGGGCGGGCAGGCGTGCGGAGAGGAATCCAGAAAAATTCCAAGGCACCTTAGGTTCTGTGCCTCCTGTACGCATCAATCGAGGCGTTTGTGTCCTGTTTCACGATGGCGGGCACAGTGATTGCCGTTCACGTCCCAGGGAATAATCTGACACACAATGGTGTACACCGGAAAGGACCCAAAGACCTACAAGCAAGTACTCTCCCGGTCCAGGTCCGGCGTCGGTGAACGCCGGTATCACGAAACCACCGGTACCTAGGTAGTAGTTTGCCTCGCACGATTCTCCTTCTCGCCGCGTCGGCAGTGGCGCTGTGGGTAGAGGGTTAGCCTGGCGGCAGCGAGAGAATACTGGGCGGATCCAGCCACCAGGTACTGACACGGGAGGGGCTATGGAGGTTTTTGCCGCATGGGAGGTTGTGTTTGGGAAAGCCTGAACGATCGCGTCTTTGAATAATGTCGTGTGGTGTTGTGCTAGGAGCAGCTTGGCCACTGATAACTAGGTGGGTAGGTAACACCCCGGTTTTGGTTGTATATACCGCAGACACGGTCGGTACATAAATGCATCAGCTTGTATCAGTGAGTCTTTGATAGGGCATGGCTTGATCTGTATTTTGGCCTGCTTTCGATATAACGCTGACTTCCCACGACATATGCACATATATCCACATTTTCACCATCTCGCCCATAGAATCGCTTGATCGAGAGTCACGACTCACCACTTCGTGGACCCGCCATCGATCAAAAAATCCTGCCCAGTCACATATCTGCTTGCGTTGCTGGCCAGGTAGAGCGACGCGCCGACGTAGTCCTCGGGCATGCCGATGAATCCCAACATGGTGTCGCTTTGCCACTGCTTTATAAGGTCCGGATATCCCCTCGTCATGTTGGTCAACGTGTACCCGGGGCTGATCGAGTTGATTCTAATCCCACTCCTTCCTAGTTCCTTGGCTATCTCAGGTACCATTCCCCGGACGGCGGACTTGGTCGCGCCGTAGATGCTTGAATTGTGCGTCCGAGCCGCAACGTAAGACGCCGTGCTGGCTATTACGATAATGCTTTTGCTTTTGCTTTTGCTTTCCTTCTCACTTCCATTACTCATGATTCTCTCTTCCTCACTGGGGCTGGGCAGGATCTGACCATTGTCTGCGCGGCTAGTTGGCAGGTGAAATACACGCCTTTGACGTTGACGTTTATCAGTTTGTCAAAGTCCGCTTCTTCGGTGTCGAGGAAGTCCTTGACTTGGTTGATCCCCGCCGCTACGATGCAGATGTCCAGACCGCCGGCGCCGCAAAATGGCTTGATTGTATCTTCGAAGGCATGTTTCAGAGCGGGAACACACGAGACGTCAACCATGCGATACGCCGTGCGGATGCCGTGGGAGGTGGAGATGCTTTCGAATTCAGTCGAGGGAGGCGAGATGTCAAAGACTGCGACGTCCGCTCCCGCTCGAGCAAGGCCAGCGGCTAGAGCGAGCCCTATGCCTTGGTTTCCGCCGGTGACGAGAGCGCGATGCCCCCGAAGGGAGAACTTGTCACGGTGTCCTTCTTTAGTCGAGGAACGGAAAGGGCTTGAGCTTTGATGATCGTGGTTATGTAAGGATGAGAGCTGGACTTAAGACATACCTCTTCCATTTCAGCGCAGTCTCCTTGGTTACAAGCCGGACCTCATAATCTGCTGCCCGTGGATGTTTAATGGGAAACGAATTGTTTTTCTTCCTTGGGGAGCTTCCCTCTACTTAGATTGTAGTTGGGGGCTGCATTCGGCGATGAGAAGGCCGGGAAAGCAACGGCATTCGACGAGGCCGGAATGCTAGCCAAAAAGAATCAGAACCCATCGTAGCATCTGTACCAGGGCAGAGGTTGCGGTTTCAGTAGGCCCCGTTGCTCAACAATCTTGTCTCAGGGTGTGATGCAATGATTTGAGAGTTTTCCCTCGATGGTATATCGACCATTTTCTCGGCTCTTCATTTATACGAGCACTGGGCGAAATGGGTGGAAATATTAAAAAGGGCATTCGTCCTTCTGATCAGAGACAGTCCTGATGTCTATCACAGCACTTCTGCTATTTGAGAAAACAGTGCAAAGTTGATCTTGCATAATGGCAAACCTGCCGTCCTTCACAAGAACGTTCCATCGAGATACTTACCCGGCCATATCACCCATGCGACCAGAACAGTCAGCGGCTGGAAAAGTTGTCATTGTCACCGGCGCCGCAGGTCGAATCGGCAAGGCGACTTGCATAGCATTCGCTCGCGCTGGAGCCCAACATGTTGCCATGCTAGATCTCGACGGCGACAACCTGCAAAAGGCAAAAGCAGAGATCGAGCAGGATCCGCAGTGCGAATCCTCGAACCTCCACTTATTCCCTGTCGACATCACGAACCAGGCCGCAGTCAAAGAGACCTTCTCCTCGATCGAGTCGACCTTGGGCAAGGTGAATGTCCTGGTCAACAACGCGGGTTACCAACCTTCCCCCAAGCTGTACCGAGATGCCGAGATTGATGAGTGGTGGAAGGGTTTCGAGATCAACGTAAAGGGCAGCTTTATCGTCACGCAAGAGTTCGTGCGAAGAGCAGCACCGGCGCTCTCGGACAATGCCGAGCCTGTATTGATCAATATCTCGAGCGTACTTGCGCATTGGGGCATCAGACAGGGTTATGTAAACAAGCAAAGTGCTTACAGCGGGGCCAAAATGGCAATGACTCGAGCCATGGAGATTCTGCAGGAGGAAGAGCCATGGGTACGGGTCGTGAATGTCCACCCGGGTCTTGTAGTATCGCCAATGTCAGCGAAGTCGGGGACATTGGAATATTCCATCGACAATGGTTAGTACTGACAACACTTTGAGCCTCAGCCTGGCACTAACATCTTCTTTCCTAGTCAACTTACCGGCGCACTTTGCCGTATGGCTTGCGAGCGACGAGGCTCAGTTCACAAAGGGAAGATTCTTGTGGTCAAATTGGGACGTTTCTGAGCTGCAGCAACGAAAGGAAGAGATTTTGGAACACGATCTGTTGAGGTTAAAGGTAGATGGGTTATGATTGTATACATAGATCAATAAGATGCACATTTAGTACCTTTTGTCATTGCTGGATTGCCGAAAGGGGTGGTCAAGGAGGTCTCACCTGCTCTCCATCAATTCACGCGTCGACACGTCAACTCGCGCGATCACGTAGCATAGCCTCGGAGAGGCTTTCTCCCCTTCCTTCTTCATTCTCAAACAAGTTCCTCAAACCCTCTCATGATGCCCTCGGCCCCGAACAAGATGTCAAAATCCGCGGTCATGCTCGCCGGGAAACACTCGGCCCATGTGCCCAGATGGTCTTCTTGTCCCGAGGAGAAGGACTCGACAGCGTTGAACGGACTGGTGTTGGGGCCTGACCCAGCGCGGCCCTCGGCGGCTCTGCCATACATTCCCGGTATGTTTTCAATATTACTAGTATTAGCGGTAGTGGTGGTGGTGACAGCATTGGTCGTGTTCGGAAATGCATTGGAACACGAGGCCGTCGATAAAGCAGAAGTTGCCGACGCCGAAGGCGCATCCAGCAGCGGTCTCTGGGAGGGCGCCACCTTCTCAAACGCCGCCGTGTAGTACGCAAAGATAAACCTGGCCGCCAGGTATTTTTCCTGCAACTGCTGCACAACCAGCATGGCGAGGTCGAGATTCTGGCTCGCCAGGTGCCATTTCATGCCCGTCGAGAGGCATTTTGCGACGAAGAGGGTCGCGATGATTGAGATGAGCATGGTCACGCTGTTGAGATGGAGCACGATAAAGTTAGCATTCGTTCGTCTCCTCGTATGCAGAACATAATATAACCTAGTTGACCCTATTGATACAGAGATCGATGCAGCTCCAGACAAGATGAAAAGAGAAGGGGGACTTGGGAGAAAAAAAGTCGCGCGCCTTGCCTTTCAGGAGGTAAGAACCGGACGAGCTCAAGCTCACTGAGTTTTCGGAAGCTGTCGGTTGCCGCAGACGCCGACAGCTGGCATCCTTCCCACGCGATCCGTGCGCGGATATCGCTTTCATGCCGGGTCGGGAGCAGGCCGTCTTGGAAGACAAAGGGCTTGTACAGAGTAACCACCGTGACGCTGGACACAAGATAAGAAAAATCGAGTGAGCTCTCCGCAATGTCAGTTTTGGGGGGGGGGAGCAGCAAGGGCCCTTAGGGCGGACAGAGGGGGAGCACCAAACTCACTGGTGGAGGATCTGGATGTAGTATTTGTGCAGCGTCATAGCCATGGGCTCGTTCAAGGAGGTGAGCGGCGTGTCTATCCGACACCGCGGGTCAAGGGCCACTTGCCAGCGGGCCAATTTCTCTTCGAGGATCTCTACCACACTCCAGGGACTCGGCTCTCTCAGTGGCCTGTACACGGACGCTAACACCTCGCCCAAGATCTGGCTTAATTTGACAATCTCCAAGAATAGGGGGGCGTAGCTGTTACACCTGGCCACGACGGCTGCGCTTTCTTGGTTCAGATTCCAGTTCGACGACGAGGTACCAGCGGTGTACACTAGATCTTCGAGTGTCAGTTCTTTCACGTCGCAGTCCTCGGCGTTGATGCGGAACGCCCGTCCCATCCCCAGCGCAATGCATCGGTCCCGGTAGAAGCAACACCACCAGATCCTTCTCCATAGGCTGCGCTGAGATGGGGGCACGTCTGAGAACCCGGGGTCGCGGTGGAGACCGACACTCTGGCTCAGACTCACTGCCACACCTACCCAGTGCCAGCTGTCGGTCCTGTCGTGGGCTTGTCCCAACCAATAACCAAGCAATAGGACCGATTGGATCAGGCATATTTTGTCTGTTTCGTACTCGAAGTCGTACAGCGCCTGGCAGAGGGAAGGTTAGATCTGTTGGTGCAGGTGGGAGGGAAAGTTATCCAGTCACCTTGGCTCTCTCATAGAATCTCCTCTTCATATGCATAAGCGACGGCCATCCCGACCTTTTCAGCCCCTCCGTCGAGATAAACTAGAAGATTTGAACTGAGGACTTGGAGATGCATGTGCGTTGGTCAAGGTCAATGCTTACATTGCTTGCAGCGAGAAACATGCTCTGAAGCAAGAGCGGGCTGATGCTTTGGACGCCGCCAGCGTCGTATCGACGACGAAAGTCGTAAGGGTCGACAATGGGAAGGATCGGGTAGACATAATCGAAGAACAGGGAAAGGAGCTCGTCCCTCAGATCATCCGACTCCGTTGAGAACGCTCCTTTGGCCTGTAGGCACGCGTATTCTTCTGGCGACAATTGACGTCTCTTTGGTTGAGGGACGAGATAATGGGCCTTGGAGGCAATGCTCTTGTCTCTCGCGACGTGGAATATGAATCGCAGCGATTGAAGCTCGCCTGGAAACTTGTGCTTAGCCACCTTCACTCGTCCAACCCGAGATACACATTGCAAACCTACCAACATACAGCGGCACTTTGGCTCCACTCGTCTCGACTGCATCGACAATATTCCGATAAGCCTCTACGTTGGCCCGGGACTCATACTCATCCCGCGATGGAGGTTCTGGTGCCGGACTGATCGAGGGGTTTGAGTCCGCAAGATCTGTGGATGGCCCAGGGGGCACTTGTGCATCCGTAGTTGGTCCAGCTGATGACAATGAAGTAGGTGTGACACAACGGCCTCGTGCATCTTTGTTCAGCTTTCGTCGTTTGTGTTTGCCTCTCGCCGAGACATGCAAAGCACATTGGGTCTGATCTTGCTGGCAGTTGGAGCAGGGCTGGCCGACGAGGACGACATTGCAGCGGACTTTTCTGGCATGGCACGCGGTGCAGGCTATCGGCGCGCGTCGTTTCTTGACAGGCCGGCCATCGCTCGAAATTGCAGCAGTACTAGCCATCGGAGAAAGTCGTCGCTCTGGGGAAGCTGGAGTTGGTCAACAGGCCGTTGGCTCAACGCGGAGAAGGCGACAAGAACTGGGTACTGCCGGGGAGACATTCTCGGTTATATGGTCGCTTATATGCCTTTGAAGCTCAGCCGAGGGTATGTTGACCAAGGCCCAGGGTTGCCCACGGCATGGATTTGCATCCAGACTTCCCCGGGCGGAACGGAGAATGCCCGTTCGAGCAATGGACATGGTGTACTGTATCTCGTAATCCCCCGTACTCTCGCTAAGCTGACAGTGACAAGCGCAGAACGCGTCGCTAAGCGCCATCGTCCTCGCCCTCGCATCGCGTGTCATAACGACGCCGACATCGGCCTTCGAGGTAAGAGCTTTAAACATCGCAACCCCAATGATCCATCATGCCTATTATTGCCATGACGGGGAGTGACGCCGAGGACGACGTTGAATACCGAGCATGAGCGCTATCCGCGGGTCTCGCTGCTCGCAAGTGACCATAGCAGTGCCCAGAGGCCTTCGCAGAACACCGCCAGCACAACAGTTCGTCCTGAATGATAGCGTCAAGTTGCTTCAATCTGCGAGTCGTCGATCGTTCCGTTCGTCGGAGGCCGCGATGGAAAGGAGTAAAGACTGGAGCGCAGCTCAGTATCTGAAGTTTGAAGCCGAGCGGACCCGTCCAGCGAGAGACCTCGTTGCGCAGGTAGCCTTGACGACGCCGAAACGTGTGGTCGACTTGGGCTGCGGACCGGGCAATTCAACAGAGGTCCTTTGGAAGCAGTTCCCGCAAGCCCACGTCGTCGGCCTCGACTCATCCCCGGACATGATCGCAAAGGCGAGAAACAGACTGCCCCATCTCGAATTTACCTTGGGCGACCTGAGTTCCTTCGAGCAGACGGGGGAACCAGCCGACCTGCTTTACTCCAATGCCGTATATCAATGGATTCCCCATGAGAGGCGCGTGCAAACATTCACCGACCTGATCAAGACTCTGAGGCCTGGCGGCGTCTTCGCCTTCCAGGTGCCTGACAACTTTTCCGAGCCTTCCCACATTGCCATGCGTGAGGTCGCCGAGGAGGGTCCGTGGGTCGACACCCTGAGGCGCGCACATCCAGCTCGCAAACCATTTCAATCTCCTCAAGAGCTCTACGACCATTTGAAGCCTCTGTGTTCGGATATCAACATCTGGCACACCCAATACTATCACGTACTGGAAGACCACAAGGCCATCGTGGAGTGGGTGAAAGGAACAGGTCTGAGACCCTACGTCGACCCTCTCTCGACCTCAGAGAGAGAAGCATTCCTCGAGGAATACCTGAAACGGATCGAGAATGCCTATCCTCCCCTTGTCGATGGAAAGGTCTGCTTGCGCTATCCGCGCTTGTTCCTGGTGGCCATTCGAGCTTGATTCCTATCCCCCACCTTCCACCGTCTTCGTGAGCCCGGACTCTCTTCTCCAGCATCGGGTCTGTTCGTTGCGCAGCGGGCAGTTACATATCGCCTCATTCCCACAGCCTGACTAGCAACCGAATGGCCCTTTGGAGCAGATGATGCAACGACCCTGGAGTTCAAGCAACCGCTGGGCTAATTTCCCTGATTCATCACAACCTTGATATGGCGACGGTTGACGTGATATGTCTTGTTGCACATATCCCTGCAAGCAGAGGTTTTCAAAACCATTGGCTCGCGGCGGCAGCAGCAGCGACAAGTCTATTGGTACTCCTGCACGGTTTATGTTATGTGCCATGATAACACTCACTAGAGACCTTGAGGGAGCATCCGATTTGAGTGCAACATGTGGGAATGACGCATTGGGTGTCTCCTCGAGACTACTGCGGATAAGATCCTCGACTTGAAGGATCCCTGTACACTGGACGCTTGAGCAGCTCGATTCGGTCAGACAAAACCTGATCTGTCTCTGAGTCTGGCGATTGAAAGGACTGTCCTCAACCCAAGTTTCCCATTGGAAGGAATGCCGTGGGCAGCTGTGACGTCCCTCTCTCAGGATACTGTGGGACCCTAAGCACAATCCGTGAGAGCTCTGCTTCACGAGCACGTTATATGACACTTATCCTTTTTGGGTGCGTGGTTGGCGTGGAGGGAAAATGTCATAATCCCATTGGATGCATGCCGCCGTCTGTGCAACAACTCTGCCTCGATCCCAGAGAAATGGTGCAGGGCCACAAGCATGCTCGACATATGAAAGGCATGGTCCACAAAAGGACAAATGCGAAGGTGTGCTCTTGTCTGGTCGTGAAGTATGCAAGTAGCAAATGGAACAAGCGTTGGAAATATGATAGGTCTCATGACAAAAAAGAGGAGCCGAATCAAAATGCCAATTCACTATTCTTGCTTTTGAAGATGTCTGCAGTCTTATTGAGACGATTCGCTCAAAGCACCTGAACTTTCCTTTTCATAGTTTTGTTGCAGGAAGCGAAGCCTTGCTCTTATGTATTTTCGCAGACAAACAAATGCCTGGAGAGCCCCTGTTCCCGAATTGCGATCCAACAAATGCTGTTAAGTATGATGAGTGATCTCCCTAGACAATGTAGGATTGTACGTACCAAGGTCATGCTCGCTCATGATGTCGATGTGTGTTGTTTCTTGCAACTTGAGGCTGGAGGTTTGCGAAGTCGAAGCGGGTGTATCCTGTTTGTGGTTGAATTTTCCGCAAAGGTGAAGGTCAGACTCGGCTTCATCGTCCAGCAAAGGGCCTGGACCGAGGAGGGGACTGATGCCCTTGTCCGCATTCGTTCCCACCGCCATTGTAGCAAGTGCTGCCACTCAATAAATTCTTGTAGAGATGCAAGGCAGGCTATGCTGCGGAAGAGGAGTAAAGGATTGTTCCAATGAAGAATGATGAACCCTGATTCAAAGTCGGCAGGATATGCCAGCCTTTAGTACCCGATTGTAGGAAAAATGATTCCCATTGCCCTTTCCACAACCGGAATCTTTGACCTCTAAAGGGCATGGCACTTGGGCGCAAGGCCGCGGCAGCAGGTGCTTTCCTGCTTCTCATGTGAGACTCTGTGGTTCGTGCGGCAGATGCCAGCTTGAGAGTGTAGTGTTTGAAGGTGCGAATATCAGGAGTAACAGTTCAAGGTTCCTGGAGTTTCACAAAAAGATTCCCTAGCTCAAAGGTACAATTATGCCTTTTTTTTTCAGTCTAATAAAGATTCAGCTTAGTTGTATCAAGTTGGCCGAGTGGTGCTCTTCAGGAACGGCGCAGCAATCTCAGTTTCATGTCGAAGATAAACTTATTGGCTGGGGAGTAGTTGAAAGCCACCATCGGAGCTTGATATCGACAAACGTCAGGCTCCCAGGCATCGTCGTTGAGCTTGCAATGGTCGTCTGAACCTTGTGCTACCGCACAGTTCCCCTCGTTGCTGAACGCGCTGGCACGTAAAGCACCTGCCGCGAGGCGAACAACACCGGGTCAGGGCGTCTAAAGAAAGACCGGTTGAGAATGTCCATATTGTGCTGATCTCTGCTTTCGCATTCAAGGTTTGACAGCTGATGATTGTGCGGATGAAGCTGCAATTAGAGGTAATGGCATGCTTGCTTGCCGCTGCTCCTACAGCTGCCAAGCGCCAGCAACGTATTGAAATCAATCGCAGTAGAGGGGCCGGGGTAAGGCCTCGCTCAGTGATGTGCCCACATTGCGACATGGCTTGAGCTGAGAGGAATTCATGCTTCTAAGAGGGCCGAATACAATCCGGAAGCAGCAACATCAAGCTCATGAACCCACTAATACTTACCTCCTAGAGTCATTGTGGTTGGGAGAACTCAACTTGAGGCGTTGGATCTGCATGTTGGGGGTGGTGAGAGGGTGGAGGGTTCGTTTTCGTGGCAACATGCGGGAATACTCTCCTTGAGTGATGCATGGTCATGCCTGGTCTGTTATGTAGGTATCCGCACGAGGGCGATTGTTCGTTTCATCGTCGGGACAAAACCTGAGGCCGCTGCAGTCGGGATGATCATTCGACAGAGTCAAGCGGGACAATTCAGTTCCCCGAGGGTCAGATTCTTTTTGCCGACCGTTAGCCTTGGTAAATACGCGGAATGCAAAAGGGGTTCGCAGAGCTCTTGTTGCGGGAGGCGAGTTCTTTCCTCGTTAACTTCTCGATTCTGAATATGATTCAGGGACAGTACCGTGCAATATCCTGCGAAGAAATTTGGGTACGCTCAGTGGAAGAAGAGCAAGAGACAGTCAAAAATCAGTCTTGGCTCCCACGTTGTGGCACCTGCCAACATTGTGGAACGTTTCTCGAACTTGTTAGGGTCCGCCCCGCCTCGCTGTTCATGCACGGGGGGAGAGAGAAACTGCGGCGCAGAAAGACTCTGAATGAGGCGTGTCTCTCTCAAGCTTACCTGCCACTATTGTTGCAAAGTGGTTCTTCCCGCCTCTGCTCAACCACTCAAGAAGCATCATGGGTGCCCAATCCGCGAGGTCGAGGGCACCGCTGCTTTTGCAAAAATATTGTCTTCCGTTGTGGAACTGTCAGGTATTTGGATTGAACCACCCACGTTAGGCAACAGCCATGATACATTAGTTTGTGGCATTTTCCAACCTGAGGTTGGCAGAAGTGGTTCCGTGGCACAAAGGAGCTGGCTCGGTTGAAAGGGTAGGTCGTAATGGTCATTTAACGGAAACCGTGACCACCTGCGGCGTGCCTTGTCGCATAAACATCGTGCAATAACCAGCAGAACCGGCTGGATTGGATGAGGGTGGGCTTGATGGCACAACCAAACTCGAAGACAAGAGCCGTTGGACTGTCCCAAAGTTTCCCCCCCTAGAGGGGGCTTGCCGAAAGTGATGACGCTCGAAGCAAGGATACTGCAGGGTCCCTGGTACGTCCTTCGGCTCTAGATTCCTCGAGATTCTGGTGCCATCTCAACTGGTCCCATGGACCCCTTCCGCGTCTGGACATGTTTCTACCGAGTCCATGGTAAATGGCATTCATGACGTCTTTCTCAATCTTCCTGCCTGCTTGGTCGGCCGTGGCCAAGGAGTTTAGAGAATGGAATTCGACGGTTGGGGTTAGACATTGACGTCGTGGTCGTACCGCATATTGAAGGAGCCGTGTTTATCATAAGTTTTATCCAGCCAGCCGATGATTACAAACTGCCCAGGAGTTGCTTCGGTTTGATGAAGGCAGACAAGGAAGGGTATTCGACCCGCTTCCGGACCTGGTTGATATTCACGTCTGCGCCGCATCCAAGGAGCTGACCGTATTTCAGGCATTTGTTGGCATGATTTGTGAGGTATGTCTCTTCCCGTGGAAAGCCGATCCAGTTTGCCAAGAGGAGGATTATAGGTGGTGATTAGAGTCATGAGCCTCTGGTTGAGTCAATGCAGTTTCTTCGTCGTTTTTGAGATCGCCGTCGAGTCGAAGCAGAGAGGAACTGGTTGACTTATAATTCCACGGCCTCTTTTGAAGTTTGAGACCCTAAGAAACCACTCACGTGCTTGATTAGAGGCTGTCTCGTCCGGTTTGGGATATAGCTACCAGCAACACAGATTTCCATTGTCGTCAGTGTCGATGTTCTCCGTTGGCGCCGTCCCGCTGGCCATGACATTAGAATGCTATTTTGACGCTAATCTTTATAGTGACTAGCGTCGATCTAGCGCGATCCCGGCTCGTCCCGCAAGGAGCAATTGGCAAGGCGCTAGCGAACAAGAAAGTGTTAAAAGTCTTCGCTGATTGGTACGGGGGATCTGTTATTTTATTTCTCTCAAATCGTACCCGTGAATGTGGTGGGAGTTTGGTACCAACCGGAGGAGAGGATCAAACAACTCGAAACTTTTCGGTCGTTCCTTTCACTATGTTCCACTAGGGATGTATGTATTTCTTCTGTCCTGCTGCTGCGCTGCTGCTGCGCTCCTGCCGCACTCCGCCACAGAGGGTTCGTCTGATAAATGCTTGTTCCGGATATTTTCCGTGGCATTGCGTTCCATCGCGAGAGGGAACTACTCCTTCTCCAGCACCTTGACCCTAACACCATTACTGTCTAGTCTTGGACTCGGCAGGAAGAAATCATGCGCGAGCTCGACGTCCGTGATATCAGTGTCGTACAGCTCGAATCGGAAATTGCGGAAGACGGCGGCAAGGGTCATATAGAGCTCGGCGTGGGCGAGACTAGAACATCGAAATTAGCCATGCACCATCCGTGCAAAAAGCTATTGACAATATGGCTCCGGAGTCTATTAGGGCGGCACTGAAGGATACTCCAACAGATGATTTCTGGCTCCTCACAATGGAATGATAGGATAGGCCGGGTGGGACTTACTTGATCCCCAAACAACTCCTGGTCCCCTTCCCGAAACCGACAAAATATCTCTCCAGGCTACTTCCATCCTTCGTCTTGGGTGGATTGATCCATCTCTCGGGCTTGAACTCGCGCGGGTCTGGAAAGATATCTTCATCGTCATTCACATCAACGATGGTCATGGACACGGGCGTACGTGCCGGGATCACCCAATCTTTGTAGGCGAGGGGCTTATTGAACAGTCGGGGATTGCGTGTGGTCACGGCGTAGGATAGCCGAACAGCCTCGCGCACACAGCCGGTCAGGTAAGGCAACTTTTCGAGCTCGGACCAGGACAATGGAGCGGTCGGGTCGGGCATGGCAGACTCCAACTCAGCGCGAAGCTTGGCCAAAGTGTGGGGATTGTTGAGCAAGTGGAAGGTTGCCGTACTTAGCGCCCAGCCTGTAGTTGTCACACCAGCGGCGACAACAAGTTGTGCTTCATCTTGCAGGCGCCGCGTCTCTTTCTCAGACGGTGGCATGCTGCCAGAGATGAGTTCTTGGAAGACGGTCGGATGGCTGGACTCCTTTATCAAGTCATCCATTTTACCCTCTTTCATGGCGGTGATTTGCTTGCGGAAGTCCTGTCGACAGAGACTTCCCGTGAGTTCCTGTCCGTGTGTCTAGAGTACTAGGGAGGTTTGACGTACAGCTTGCATTCGAAAAACAAGAGCATAAAGTGGCTCGATCTTGACAAGGACCGATTCAGGCAGCATGAACAGTAATTTGGGCACCCAGGGACACTGAAGCGAGAGGTGGCCGCTGATACTGGCTGCCATGAACGGCTCGTGCAGCGTCTTCTCGAAATTAGGCAGCTTCAAGTGGTCGTAGGTCATTGAGAAGCAATATTCCATCACCACATCGCCGGTCAGTGCCATGAAAGCGCGATTGATAGGCAGAATTCTCCCTTCTGTTCGGAACTCACGGAGCCGGTCGAGAAGGAGACTGATCTTCTCCCTGATGATGGTTTGTAGGTCGACAATCCGGGCGCGAGAGAATAGAGGGTTGAGCGCACCACGGCGGATCCGATGCAATTCGTCAGGCCCGGTTGTGAAGACCGATGTGTCGCAGCCAAAGCGGCCAGCCATCCAATCATACTTGTCGACTCGACCAGCTTTCGCGTACAACGTGTCATAGAACTGGGAGTCTTGAATGTGAATTTCATCGGGAACGATGCGGACGATTGGCCCTTGATGAATGAATGGTTCAGCAGGTCGACCGACGGCGGTGGATCAGCCACAGCTGGGCATGAACTGACCATATCGCTTGTGGTATTCTTGGACTTTGAACGTGAATTGTCCCTTTTTCACCACTTCATAGTAGAACTCATGCCATCTGCTGATTGCCGCATATTTGGGTCCAGGGAACTTCGCCAAAGGGTGAAAGTAGAGCCGGTAGATGACCAAGCCACCGAGATAGGCAATGTATGCGACCAGGAGACTCGTAACAGGGTACGATAAAATCCAGGAGAACGCCATTTCTGTTGCTCTATGTCTGTCTAGAGTTCTAGACAGCAATCAGTTCGAGACGAACATGAGAATTCAAAATCGTCGTGGGGATATAGCCTCAGGTATAGACTGGAAGGATGCTCTTCGACGGTGGTATCCTCCGAAGCGGGGATTCTCAACGGCTGGCAAAGGCTGCATACGATTTGGCGATGGGGCATGGGATGGTTGCATGATGGAAACAAGGGAAGACACACTTATGCAACACCCTGCATCCGCGAGAAGGTCGAGAGTGGAGATGGTCGACTCCACGCGGGCGGTGATTGGCAGGATGCTGCGAGAGAGCGTAGCAGCCCTTCATGCATCGGCCTGCATTGGGCTTCATTTGGTGCGCGGAACGAGACCAATGTAGGCGGAAAGTAGGTCTGCGAGCTGATCAAGCCAGCCAACTCCTGGCCACGTGTCTCACCATCTCTCGGCTCGAGGGAAGCCCATTCTTGTGACAATGCAGGCTTGTCCTCTCGCTTGGATTTGGTGTCTGGGGGTCTCTGCCACTCTCTGCCTGTGCTTGCTATCTAATCGGCTTCCGGCCGTATACGAAATGCCATCGTAGATAAAGATGAAGACTTTTGTCTCGAAATTCCTTCTTCACCAGCGCCATCGTGACCTGTGTCCGTTCCATGCTGTGACCGAGAATGCGGGTATAGTAAGCAAGCATGAAGGAAGGTATGCTCTGTATCATCTGCACTCTCATCAATCTGCCAATCTCCTTCAATTTTGGGTCCGTCGCCCAGGAACCGATGGGTATCTGGAGAGAGAAATCAGTGGCATTCGACACGTGTATCTTTGACAGCTTACCTTACGAATCGTCTCGGAAACTGCCTCGAACCCAGCATCAATCATCCACTGCCGGTGTAAGTGCGCAATGTTCAATCGCTTCCCAAACATGACGCTGGCTCTGTCAACCTCGCGGATCCATTCGGAACATCCAGGAGCCCTGTCCATTCCGCCATCGTCGCTATTGATCCAGCATTCATGATCTTGCATCTCCATCCACCCCCCTGGCTCGAGGTTATCGTAGGCCTGCGCATAGAACTTTGGCCAGTCCGCAATGCCTCCGCACAAGGCGCGTCCATGGATGAAATCGAATCTCTCCGACTCTGTGAAAACCCAGTCGCTCTCTGCGTCGTCGATGTAGAATTGAACGTTTGGGGGGACCCAATCTGGTTGAATGGGCGATAAATCCGTGCCAACCACAAGCGCCATCGGATATCGATCAGCCATTTCAATAGCCCAGATGCCGGTGCCGGTCCCAACGTCCAGAACACGGCGCGGCTCCCCAGGTAAAGGCGCAGTGAACAACTCTCCTCCCAGGACCATTTTAAAAAGATGATGTAAAAGGTCAAGACGGTCTTGTTCCTCGGCGTCATTTGGGATTGGATACTCGCCGTCTCGGAATGCATGATACGTGCGGCCATTTTCGTATCGATGGTTGTAGATTGATGATCGGAGTGATTGGCTCAGCACGGTCTGAGATTCATCGCCGAAGGCAGAGTCAATGTCGTCTGAGGATGCCTAGAGAAAGCTGCGTTAAGAGTTCAATCACCAACTTCTCACGATGGTCAGAGGAAGCTCCGTCCCTTACATTCGAGGCGTCTTCAGCACTAACATGATCATCTTCTCGCGCAACGGTGGACGCGTCTTGATAATCGAGGGCCATGTTATTGTTATGGGTCGCCGTTATGCTTCATGGTTCAGATCAGGACCCAGTCCCCTTGAAAAGCAAAACAACGCCTGCTTTAAGGCTTCTCCTTGACAGGCACTGGCGGCTGTGAAAATGCTGGGTGGAATGTGATGAAAATGACCCCACGCCATTGACTGAGCAGGTGAACGGCAAGGTAGCTAGAACAGACACCTGAACGTAGCCGATGCAGTCATGGCGCAGATCAATAGGCTGATAGGCACCTCCAAGGCACCTCCAAGGCACCTCGTACCTATGCGAAGGAGGGTTTGGGTAGTGACTTAGCGTCTAATGCTGTACATTAGGTGGTCTTGGAGCCTTGGTCGGAAAAGGCTGCCGCACGGGCATCGCCAGTGGCGTCACAAGCAACTAGACAAAAAGAAACGGGCACTGACGGGTGGCTTCCCTTCCGCACCATCCCGTCAAGCATGTTCTCCTGCTGGAAGATGGGAAATGCCAGGTGCTGGAGTCAGAGCCTAGGTAGGTCCCAAGAAATAGCTGTGCTCTGTACTTCTCCAAGTGAGAGTACGGAGTACCAACATAGTATGTGCGCAAAATCTAAGAAAGTGGTCACTTCGCTGTCATCGGATCCTCTTAGGTTATATATAAGGTGCAGCGGGTTCCCTGTGTCTGGCTGTGCCACTGATTTTCCGTACGGGAATCGATGCCATGATAAATCAAACAGAGGGAAAAGAGTTCCGTAGTCCAAGCCAGGTGGAATATCAGCAGCAAAACCGTTGTCTGACCTCGGCACCAATGGGAGTAAGGGCTTGTAAGGGCTTGTAAGGGCAATGATAATAGGTGCAGATGTTCTGTCAGACCAAATAAATACCAGCCCCATGCTCAAAAGGTTTCAGGCCCTGCCCCCCCCCCCCATTTGATCCTTTCAGCCCTGTTTTGCCCTGTCTAACGTCCTCGGCGTCGTCGACCTTCACCATTGAATTTGTTGGTGAGTGCATCTTTGTGCTGTCCCAATGCCAAACTCCTATCCACATGTGAGTTCCCAATGGCCAGGCCTGGACGTGAATGTCAAGCGCTGCCGCTCCTGCATCATGTTGGGGCAAATCCGCACACTGTGATGAAGCCTGAAGTGCAAGAAGCCACTGGTCAAGATGTGCAATACGCCTTCCGCGTGCTATCAATTGATTGTGATGCATACGTTAGCTATGGAATATGAGTTGGACTTCTTGGACCTTCATCCTATCATTATCATTGTGTGAACTCGCCCAAACACCTTGCATACCGTGTTGGGCCGTATAATATATGATTTTAAATTGCATCTCATGCTCCATCCTTGTCTTCATCCGCTGCATCAAAGATGTCGACTCCTCGACCAGGGCGATCAAATTTGACCCAGCTGCCTGACACAAGCCTTCAGTTGAGTCGCCCTGTTGCTGCGATAGAGATTACGAGCCTCCGCTACGAGTTCTTCGAGACTACCCGCAAGCTATTGCAACACACGGTATTTGCCCTCCTCCTGGCAATCAGACTGTACATGCTGCCTCTTCTTTTCATCTCCTACAAACTCTCGGCACATGACGACCCTTGGTACCCTGCAATCTGGAATCCCGTCCTACTGCCCGGGCGGGCATTAGCCGATGTCAACCGATGTCGCCAGCGAAGTAGCAGTATGAAGATTGGAAAAGCATGGACCAGTGTCAGAGATGGAATCTTCGCTCCTGTCAAAATATTCCGAAGCCTGTATTCGTTGGGGAAAATGATCGGCGAAGACCCAAATAGCCTCCAGCCGGACCTGTTCCCTCAGCTGGATCCTACGACGGGCAGCGGGATTGATGACCAAAGCAAGGATGAAGATAGTGTAGGAGAACAAAGCACAGAATCCACGGACTCTCCACTCGAGGCACCGGCTAGTGCGTCGCAGATATATCATGCGGCACTACTCAGCGGTGGCACCCTCGACGACATGCTCGCAACCTTTGAAACCGACGGAGACAGCCAAGCAGTGGGCTTCAATCGCGTTGTGATTCGCCGCGATCCAAAGGCCTGTCTCTCTGTCGAGCAGCTTGATGCAATGAGTCAATGGAAGCGGCAACGGTGCCGCACTCCGAGCGTTCGATCTACCCCCGAGGCAGTGCTTGGTGCTGGAAAGGCGGGCGGATATTTTCCAAGCCGTGCTGTTCTCTCAGGTCCACGGAACTTTCAACAGCCTAGGATGCCCGACAGGCAAGCCAGCGTGCGCCGAGTCCAGCTCCAAGGCGAGCCTCAAGCAGACAATCAGTTACCCAAGAACAGCCCTGGATCCCCTACATCCACTCGCACGTGTCACCTTCCTGAGACGCCGCAACCGGACGGCCATGGGGACTCTAGTGCATTGGATCGCTGTCCTACATTTGTTCGGCGCCATGCTCAAAGCCGTCTCCCGAGACGATCAGTAACCGGGGATAAACGGGCTCTTGCCAGGCTGAAAGAAAGAGGCGCAATGTCAACTCCAGTGCTACCTGTATCTCCGCTGACGCCGCCACCTAAGCGGGTCCGGCTGCAACGAAGGGTTCGACCGAAGGCAAGCGTGTTGAAAGCTTCGAACATCTGAACCACGAAGCGCGAAGCGCGAAATCTGGTCTCACGTGAAGAGCATGGAGTCTAGAACTGAAGACATCCGGTAAAGCCTTGCAGGCAAGGCAAGGAGCTATCTTTTAGCGGGAGGAACAGAATAGCTTATGGTAGGGGCGACGGGTTCATAGATCAGCGGGTACCAGCAGCATTCATAAGCAAGGGCGTCTGAACGAAAGCATCCTGTGTGCCTTTGTTGTCTAGTCTCATCAAGACTGGTTCAACGTCCTGTTCGCAATCAAATTGACAGACATGCTGTTGCAAAGGAGATCTATTGCGGCTGAAAGGAGAGTTCGAGTCCGGTGCCTCTGTGTGATATCCAAAAAAGTGTCCACCGCTATCAGACAGTTCCATGTGCGGAAAGAGTGGACGGATGACATTTTTGATGATCATCCATCGATAGTGCCGTGACAGTTAAATTCAGTAGACATGATAGATCTAGTTTCGAAGAGGGCAAGATGAGCACTGTGGACTTGCAGAGGTGAGAGCAGGGTGAGTGGCAGTGTTGGTGGAAGATGGTGGTGATAAGCGCCACGTGAGTTCCGCGCAGAAATTCCACTTCTGCTTGAGGTCACTCCCTGGTCACTCTCACGCGTGTGGCGCGCTTTGGTTTCAACCATCTCTCATGCATTTATGTACCTTCAGCGTATAAACCCTTCACGTCGCCTTGAGGTTATTCGGTAGTCGGCCACACGGGCTTCTCATCCAGACTATTTGTTTTCGACAATTCCTTCCTCGAGAACCGTCTCCTCCCAAAAGCCTCATCCTCGTCTCGCGAACCTTTCGAATTCCTCCCTGGTGCCGCAGGTGGCAGCGCTCCTAGAATGTTAGTCATATCCTCTCACGGCGCGGGAATGAGTGTAACAAAATTGATAGGGAGAACTTTGAGAACATTTATCTCGATTTGTCGAAACAGTACGGTCGATGTCGTCTAGCAGAGAGTGGACTCGGTTGGAAGCCAAGCGGAGCCAGTGAACCCTTCACTTTAGACAGCAACCAGATCGGCGCGGCGCAATGGAGTCGAGCAGCAAAAGGCTACGAACTGAAAATCATCACCCGCGATGCCGCCGTCATTCAGCTTGACGGATTCGAACAAGACGACTTCGACCGTGTGGCGAAAGCTTTCAAGATCTGGTATGGCATCAATGTGGAGAACAAGGAACATGCGTTGCGAGGGTGGAATTGGGGGAAGGCAGAATTTGGAAGAGCAGAGCTGGCCTTCAATGTCCAAAACAGACCAGCGTTTGAGATACCCTACTCAGAAATTTCGAATACGAATTTGGCGGGCAAGAATGAGATTGCTGTCGAGTTCAACCTTGGCCCAGACGGGCCTCAGAATGGTGCAAATGGCCACAAGCCAGGGAGCACGAAGAATCGAGGCCACAAAGCAGCTGCAGGCCGGGACGAACTTGTTGAGATGCGATTCTATATCCCCGGCACAGTGTCCAAGAAAGAAGTGAGTGGGCAGGAGGGCAGCGGCGCTGAAGAGGAAGATGAAGAGGAGCAAAATGCTGCCAACTTGTTTTATGAGACCTTGATGGATAAGGCAGAAATCGGAGACGTCGCTGGAGCTACATTCGCAACCTTTCAGGACATATTGCATCTCACTCCCAGGTACGACCAAGCCCTGTTTCTGACGTGCCACTTGCAATTGCCATACTGACCCTGTTTTCTAGAGGACGTTTCGACATCGACATGTACGAGAATTCTTTCCGCTTGCGCGGCAAGACATACGATTACAAGATCCAATACCAATCCATCAAGAAGTTCTTCATCTTGCCCAAAAACGATGAAATGCACACGCTCATCACTCTTGGTCTCGACCCTCCGCTCCGGCAAGGCCAGACGAGATATCCTTTCATCGTGATGCAGCTAAAATTGGACGACGAAGTGAATCTGGATCTGAACATGACGGAGGAGCTACTAGAAACCAAGTACAAGGACAAACTGGACGCACATTACGAGGCCCCCATTCACCATGTCATTGCCAAGGTCTTCAAGGGACTGTCGGGCAAGAAAATCATCATGCCCTCGAAAGACTTTGTCAGCCATCATAATATGAATGGGGTTAAGTGCTCCATCAAAGCCAACGAAGGCTTACTTTTCTGCTTGGACAAGAGCTTCATGTTCGTGCCCAAGCCCGCCACTTACGTCCCGATCGACTCGATACAAAGCATTACCATGTCGCGGGTTGGAGGAGCTTTAGCAGCAAGTCGAACATTTGATATTACCATGACCTTGAAGGGGGGTCAAGGAGAGCACCAATTCAGTAATATCAACCGTGAGGAGCAACAGCCTCTGGAGGCGTTCTTCCAGGTGGGCAATTCTCGTTTTCTGTTGCCGCTACTTGGGCTAATTGCAGTTACAGGCAAAGGGCATCCGGTTTAAGAACGAGATGCTGGACGATTCATCAACGTTATTGAAAGCTGCCCTAGAAGACCAGGACCTCGCTTCGTCAGATGAGGATGAGGATGCTGGAGTGAATCGCGGTTCTGCAGACGAGGACGATGAGTCACCAGATGAGGATTTCCAGGCTGAATCGGAAAGCGACGTTGCTGAAGAGTACGATTCGGCCCACGAGAGTGATGGTAGTGATGCTGGTAGCGATGTGGACATGGCTGAAGCTGATGGCGCCAGTGAGGACGAAGAGTTAGATGAGCGACCGCCGAAGAAGAAGGCAAAGAAATAGCGGCATGGCTCTAGTATTGACCAACTCAGGAGAACGAGCTGGAGACCAACTTGGGTTTTGTATCAACGCCGAGCAAAAGCGGAACCTGTAATCATATTGGCTTGAAATGATGATGCGCGAGTCTCGCATTTTCCCAGAGACACTTCCTACATACCTAGTACATGATTGTTGCTAACATAGTAATTGCTGGGGGAGACCAGTATGGAGAGAACCAACGAGATATCAGTCGGGGTCAACAACGGATACGTGAACCACAAGCGAGTGGGAAGAAATCGCCTGAGACACTAAGCGAGAACCAGTGAAGTGAGTATAATAGCTCGGGCAGATAGCGGTTTTGAGAATCGTCGCGGAAATGCAAGCACGATTGATGCTCGAGGCTTTCTGTGGCCTGATCGAGACCACTGGGCTATTCACTTAGCCGCGGCCTTGCTATCGAAACCTTCTTGCCAAAGAAAAGCGCTCTGGAAGTCCAAGGTCACACCCAGTGAGGTAGAGTGAGCCGACTGAAAGTAAATCGGATGCGCCAAGGCGTGAGCAAGCCCGTGAATTCCGACGCCTTGCCGTCTTCTTGGCGCAGCGACATCACACGACTCCTGGGTATTTATGTACCAGTAAGTCGGCTTTTGTGGTTCTGCACGTGATTTTCCCTATCTTGCCACGTGATCGAGGCAACTCCAGTACTTGTTACAAGTACACGAAACATGAACATTTGACGAGGTGCCAAGATATTATCGGATCGGACTTACGATGATCCGAATCGATTTCCTAAAGCAGCGGGATTTCCAGCATTTAAGAAGTCGAGGGTGCCTGTCGGTAAACCTGCCAGTGCGTTGCAGACAACGCAAACCGAGCGACCATGGCGTCGCAAAAAAGCGCCAAATCAAAGTCCTCTGGGACTCTGAGGAGTCGCACAGGGTGCCAGACTTGCCGCGCACGCAAGCTGAAATGCGACGAGGTAAGAGGGCCTTGCCTTCTTTGTTGTTGATGATGATGACTGACTGATCGCGAAATTCAAGGCGAAGCCAATCTGCGGACAATGTCTGAAGTCGCACCGCGACTGTGTGCGCTCCGAACGTGAGTCGCTGCCACCGGGATGATGAAATGAAATCCAGATTTACTGATATGCTTGAGATAGCGATCACCTTCAGACACCATCAGAACTCGAGTTTTGGCAAGGACGGCCAGGAACATTCACTGGACAGTTTCTTCAAGTACAGCCAGACATATAGTGAGGAAGATCTGAAGTCGTTTCTGCCAGTGCCACAACAATGTTTGTACCTTCCACCTAGCATCTGCGACAACGAGACTGACTACTTTTTTCAGTAACTTGGATCCATGTCTCTGACCCGACCGCAGACGACGCAAGTGTCGCCACGCCACCTCCTCCTTCTCACACTCCTACCACGTCTGATACGGTTCAGCAAGTCGCAGCACATACTCTAGAAGCCCTGTCAACCGCAGCAGCTGATCAGACCACCCATCCGCCTCAGGGCACTGCGTACTACACGACAGCAAATCCTGCAACAGAATACCATCCAGAATATGGATTCGTGCAAACTGAACCTGGTGGCCCGACAAGTGGTGGTCTCTCCAGAAACATTCACTATTATCTCAGCAGCTCGTCTCCCCAGAACCAGACAGACACATCCCTGATCGACCCAAATCTCGAGTCCACCGTGACGACTACCGCTCCAGAAGGCGAGCAACTGGACATGGCGCGTGATGAAAAACCGCAGGGCGCGGATAAAGATCAGAAAGAACAAGAGGACAGCTTGACTGACTCGGATACAAGAGTTGCTATGGCGCTCAGAACTTTTAATGAACTCCAAGCTTAGGTTTCAAGGGGGATGCTAGTGACGACGCACAGGCCGTGACAAACATGTCATGAGAGAGCCATGGTCAAGTCAGCATGAAGATATTGAGTGACGAATTTCATTCTGGGAGCGACGGGATAGCAGGCGTTGGAGAGCACTATGGAGCTTGGACGAAACGAAAGAACCGTCTAACGATCCAGGCACAGAAACTCCGCTGAGTTGGAGTTTGTCCTAGAAAGGATGTGTCAACCCATTTGGAGGCGGCTAAGGACTGTACTACTAGCTTTCGAGCAAATGGAGTGGTCAACTTCAGGCCCAGCCATAGGCAGGGTGAATTTCAATGTTTTCTCCTTGTGCTCCGTGCTTTCAAATAGTATTTGTTCCGCCCCTGTCATGCGAGGGCGAAGGAGGAGTCAATCCGCAAACCAGACAAGCTCCACCCAGAAGGAAGGCCATGGACGCGGAGTCTAGCTCGCTCCTATGCAGGAGACACAAGAAGGTCATGCATGTCTCGCCGGTGAGTGCCGAGACACGTATACTTCGCCCTGGCAAGTTCTTGGGTACGCCCAGTTAAAACCCAACAGCAAAGGAGTCGACTGCAACGACTGGCTGATGGCTCCTGAGCCAGCGTTTCCCGTCAAGGGAGGTGTCAACGAAGGCACGCAAAAGGCGGAGCTAGGATCGAACGAGGCACTTTTCATGTACAAGTACGCCGTATCTGCCGAACCGTGTACGTCTGCACCGTCAATCATCCAAGAGGCTGAGCAGATTCCGGGGTGGTTAGCCCCCGAAGGCCGCGCAAGCCACTTTTGACAGCACGTTTCTGATGGTTCGTACGACAAGGGAAAGCGAGGAGGGAAACCCGGCAGGATCTGGTCGCTAAGAACTCGGCTCAATCTTCTTGGGCGGATGATTTCATGATGTACCGGGTACCCAGTAGCTTGAGCTTGGGCGATGAGTGGAGGAGGGGCGCCAGATCTCCAAATTGGCCTGCGTAGCCTTGGGTAGCTCAACTATTGAGAAGTTTCGTTATTTGGAGACGTCATCAGCGGCAGACGAGGCCTCGCCCAAGCCGCAGCGAAACTGGGAACTCCGAGAGAAGAGTGACGCTTTCTAGCTGATCTGGACTGCTTGGTTTTGCCTGATTGTGCTCTAGTTTGAGCAGAGAAGCCGGCGCATCGTGGTGAGAAGCGTTTGATGAAGGCCCTGGAGGCTGGAGGGACCCTCTGGGTGCCCACTTAACCATCTGTTTAGTTAAAACAGCGCCCAAAAAACGAAGCCAAAAAGTTGAACCACTGCGACACGGATACCACCCACACCATCTGGGCACACACCACACACCACCTGCGCCCCCCAGATCACCCAAACCCACCCCAGCAGTACATCTCGTCGTTGTTTCCACTTCCTTTTTCTAACTCCTTCATTTTGTTCATTGACCGCTTGCTCGAGGCAGCTGTCATTTTGTTCTCTCACTTCCTGTATATCCACTGCCATCCGCAGGGCTCCAGACCCGGCCCTTTACCAACCGCTGACCACGTTTCTCTTGGGTGCACACTCCACCATGGCAAGCTGAAAGATACTTTGGTTTTTCCCTGAGGAGGCAAACGCAGGCAGGAGTGTGCTGGTGAGGACAACAGACAGCTACTTGTCACAAATTGCAAGCTGCACGGTCCCCCTTTGCTCCTTCCTTGTTGGCCGTGACTGTCTGCGCGGTAGGGTGAGTCCCAGGCCCGAGCGGCAGGTGCAAGTGCCATTAGGCCCAATACCGACAACATCGTCAATATGGGCCGCTTTCGCAACCTCTCCGAGAGCTTCAAGGCTGCGGCGTTCAGTAATTCGACCATCTCGATTCCTTCGCTCTCCAAGACCTCTTCCACCGGCCAGACCCAAATCATCGACAAGGACTCGCCGTCACCCGCACGGTACCAGGAGTCACCAACGCCCACCGAAACCCCTCGCACCACCCCTCGGACAGACCGGGTTGCATCTCGCCCGGCATCCATGGTATACACGCCTCCATCAATGGAATTGGAAAGAGAAAATCACATCGAGGAGTTGAAACCAGTATTCAGGTGTGCAAACTGGGGGCCCTGTTATATGAGGCCCTAGTGCTGACGTTCCCACTAGCTTTCTCTCGAGCCATAGCAATAAGCTCTATCAAGAAGGTACCTTTTGATTACTTGTAAGATCAACTGTCCTGATGCTGATCATGTCATGCAGGGTACTTTCTCAAATTGAACGATCTTGACACTCGTGAGTGCCTCCAAACCCTCCCAATCCACACCCATTGATTAACCGGTCACAAGACGGGAGACCCAACGCGGATCGCAACTGGACTGAATGTTTCGCTCAGCTGGTGGGCACCGTGCTTTCGCTGTGGGATGCAGCTGCTTTGGATGCGGCCGGTCAAGATGGAGAAGTTGCTCCCACCTTTATCAACTTGGCGGATGCCTCCATTAAAATGGTACGGCAGCCAGACTTGCATGGTCGGCCTGATGCTGAGTGATTGGCAGATTGAGACTCTCCCTACACGGAACCCCGACGTTCAGCCTCTGCAGAATGTCCTGTCGATATCGACGGCGGGCAAGAATCGGTATTTGCTGCATTTTAACTCGCTGCATTCTCTGACGCAGTGGACGTCTGGCATCCGACTCGCAATGTTTGAACATGCCTCGCTTCAGGAATTGTATACAGGGTCTTTGATTGCTGGCAAAGGAAAGTCATTGAACAACATCAGGACGATCATGGAACGAACAAAGTTCAAGACGGAAGATTGGGCGCGTGTTCGATTTGGCGCTGGCACTCCATGGAGACGATGCTGGTGTGTGATAGAGCCTCCCGACGAGAAAGAGTGGCAAAGGTCCAACAAGTCTCTGAAGAAGAAATCGGCGTACGACCGACCCGCACTTCCTAAAGGGGTCATCAAATTCTATGACACCAAGAAGACAAAAAAGGCTCTGCCTATTGCGACCATTACCGATGCTTATTCTGTATATGCCATCTATCCCCAGTCGAAACCGTTGATTGACCAGTCGACCCTTGTCAAGGTCGAGGGTCGCATCACAATACATTCGAAACCAGAATCCAAGACTGAAGGCTTTGTCTTCGTAATGCCCGAGGTGCATCCAGCAGTCTCAGGCTTCGAAATGATGCTTCGTTGGCTTTTTCCAGTGTACGATATTTACCACCTTTATGGTCGCCCTCAGCGATTGATCGCCGACACGTGGGATACCCGGGGTCTCATGTTTGCGATGCCACGGGACCGGCGATACGGTTACTTGGACATCATTGATGTTGCCGCTCTTATACACTCTCAAGGGAGTGGAAAATGGAGCGAGCGAGAGTGGCGGAGACAGCTGAAAGAGGCAACCTCCAAGCGCATGTCAATGACGACGCAAAATCGTTCGAGCAGCAATTTGGAGAACAGGCGGCCAAATCGTACCTTTTCCGAGTCGAGGCAAGGCGTGCGCTACGATGATACCGATTCAGTCCATTCACCGCCGCCTTCTCGACACCAGCATAATCAATCAACTGATGCAGTGTTTGCTTCCCCCAAGAAAGCCGTTACAACTCCAGTGAACGTCGGATATCTTTCACCCGGGCAAAATCACCATTCGAGGTCTGTGTCAGAATCTGTTGCATACATGTCGCCAATCCAGAATCGTCGCCAACGCGAAAACTACAATCCATCCAGATTGTCCGCCGAATATACAGACATGGAGCCTATCCAACCTCCTCCAGCTCCTCCAGCTCACCGAAACCCATTCAAGAACAACATCATACATGGTGAAATCGAAACATTGGACAGCCGGTGCAGCTCGGACAGCGACAGTCAAGGGCCCCGGACTCATCCGGAAGATGTTCAAGAAGATGTGAGGGAAGCAACACCACCAGCACCAGTGGTAGCTCCTCCAGATATGCAGCATCAACACAGTGATGTCCCACAGAGGCGACCGGACGCGCGATCTGACTTGAGACGTGAGAAAAGCCGCATGTCAAATGGAACATTGTCTCAGATTGTCGATGTGAATAGACTCGCGAGCGGTGGGGCGGCGGGGCATGCAGCGTTGGTGGCGTGGAATAATGGCCGACAAGGCGAGAATCAGGGGCTTCGAGGGGTAAATGAGACCCCTCGCGACGAAGAAATATCTGCTAATCAACCTGTGTCTCAAGAAGTGGTAGCAGAAGGTGCTTATATGCAAAACCCTGCTGATGTCAGACCAGAATATGCTCGACTACCCTCTGAGCATTCAATAGCTCCAAAACCGATTCATCGAAAACCGGTCCCGACAACACACTCGACTCTCTTAGCGCCATCAAACCGTTCTCAATCACCCAACAGCATGTCGAAGTATTCTGCCTCCAGCTATGACAGGGCACCAAGTAGTTCGCCGGACTACGACAGCGTTCCCGAAGACGATGATCCTCCAGTCCTCCACCGAAAGATTAGGACAGGCGTCCTGAAAACAGTTGGAGATCCTCAACTAGCTAGTGGCACTCCGCAGGACTCGGCGAAGATCGACATACCTGTTGTAGACTTCGGCATGACCTTTACACCAAGCCTGACTCCAGGCCACAGTCGCCCTCCCACCGCTTCTGGAATCACCGGACGACAGTCGCCATTTGATCGGCCCCCGACGGCTCCTGCAACCCCACTACCTATATCTCCCCAAGATGAGCGAGCATCTCCAGCGAACTTAAGTCCTAGCGACGAGCAAAGTTCACCCTTCGCAGACAGAAACAGTCCCAAAGGGAATCACTCCCGGTCTTCGAGCTATGCCTGGCATCCTGGAACGTCTTTGGCGAGGCACAACTCTGTAGGAGGCTTGACGGCAGAGGAGTTTGTCCAACAACGCGCCGTCGCTGCTCGGATGCCACAGGGTTATGTCCCTCACCGGAGCGTTTCGTACAGCAAGGTTGAGCAGTCTCCGAACAAACTGCAGAAGAAGCGAGATTCGATGCTCAGATCCAGCTCGAGACTTTCATTGTTAGGGGATCACTCGTCTCATTTATCGGCTCGGGAGCAGGAACATGTTGCAAAGATGACGGGCGGTCCATTAATTCAAGTAATTGAGGGAAACAAGACACCAGACCCGTCAGTCGGGCTGATCGGTGCGATCGAAGCACGGGAGCAGGAAAAGAGAAACATCAAAGAAGGGGTTGCTGGCCACATGGTCCAGGAGGCTATTGCCCAAAGGCAGGCGGCGGAGCGTACCTACGGAATGCAGCATTATCCTAATCACAACACGCCCACCGACATCAGACAAAGTGGGCAATGGATCAATTCCCAAGCACCTGCGTACTGGGGAGGTGCCGTGCCGCAACAGGCGCAGCAAGCCTGGGCGAATCAGCCAGCATGGCAGTATCAACAACGGGCCCAAACACAGCAGCTGCAACAGATGCAACAGATGCAGCAGCTGCAGCAGCAGCAGCAGAATCAGATGTATAGCGCGAGCCTCAGTGGTTATCACGCGCCACCTGGCGGCCATGGGTCTCGATAGACGGTCAATGCTAGGGAATCAGGTGTGAATTTTGCATTGCAAGCGACTGGTTTTGGCATCAATGAGCATCGGGAGATACACCTGCACACAGCACTTATCTGGGGTGGCATTGAATGATAAGAAGGTCCCGAGATATAGGAGCTCCTTCCACAAATGGTCAAGGTCAAGCTAGAGGCAGGTTGGAGAATAATGATAATGATGCATGCATTGGCCGAGTATGGAGTACCAAGTACGAGGTACACCTAATACAATCCTACAGGCCCGCCCCAGATTTGGACAAGCGAAAGAGACTAAGGAGGGTCGGGGTATCATTGTATGTACCGAGTACGGAGTACCTCCCTAGGTAATAATATGCGCGTGCCTGCGCCTGCATGATCCTAGGCAAAAGTTCCTGATCAAATTCAAGGGGCTGGAGAGTTTGGGGGGTCGAGCAATTCACCTGAGAGATGAAGCACGTGGCAGGGGTGCAGTTCCAGTAGCTCTGGCTTAATGAAGGAAAGCGAGGGGAGCACCGCTGGGCTACCAGGATGTCCGCGTAGCAACTGGCCTATAGGTGGAGTTTTTGGCCCAGAGAGCCCAAGGGGGGAAGGGGGGTTCCCCTACAAGCAGCTAGCACACTGGCGGTGGCACCGGGCTGAGGCCCTGGGCCTGGGCAGCTGCTGCCCGCACCGGAATACGATCATGGCCCTCCGGTGACCATCTCCTCCAACAGTTCCAAGGACATCACCTCCATAGTGCATTTTCATGCCAACTTTATCTCACATTCACTACCCTGTCCTCCCCCAAGTACAATACCACCGCGGACTCTCTACGCTCTTTTCAGTCGCTTCCTCTTAGTCTCTTGTGTCTCCGCGTCCAACATACTCACGACTAGACTCTATCTCACAGTCGCAGCTGGCCTGCTGACTGAGAATTCGGGGCCTCCCGTCTAAGCAAGGCAATTTCTGGATCTCTCTTGTCCGCGTACGCCCTCGTCCGTTGTCCGATACTCCCTGCGACCGACCTCCGTTTACTCTGCACGAGACAATCGCTGCAGCCATTACAGTCGCCATGGTCTAAACTACATTCTCGTCCATACTTTACACCATGCCATTGCGGACTCTACTGCCGTCGAAACCTGCATCAGGTCCTGCTCACCGGAGACACGGCAGTATCGTCGAAGATCCCCCCTCGACTTCGGCGAGCAGCAATGTGCCGTCCACTTGCACTCGCAGTCGTGGAAGCTCACTGAAGAGACTGAGTTTGAGTCTGTCGCGAACAAACGAAGAACCTTTCCCTCCATTCTTGACGCAGGAGCCCGATAGACTTCCTTCCCACGAACTCTCCGTCCAGCCTGATGTACCCTCCCACCAAGCTGACCCGCCCAAAAGTGCCAGCACTCCGGCCACCAGATCCTCCACGCGAGATGAAGGAGAAGGAAGAAATGGCCTTCAAAATGACCTCGGTTCCGGCCCTCTGCCCAAGCCTCAAAGGCTGTCACTCTTAGGATTGAGGCATGCGTCAGATCCACAACTATCGACCAGATTCAAGAACGAGGAAATCAGCCCTTCGAACGAAGCCCCACGTATGTGTTCTTTCTTTTATTTTTGACGAACTGGTCGCTGAATTTTCTTATTGTGCAGCTCCCAAAATCATCACAACTGCGCCTACGACAAACGAATTCGACGAACCTACCCAGAAGCCATCCAAACGAAAATTGTTTGCTCGAGCGCCAAGTCCCTTTCGGAAGAGTCGCAGCTTTAGACAGACCGTTTTGGATCCTTTGAAAGGTACAACTACTGAGGACGCGCAGGCTGAGCAGGGGAACTTGTTGAAGGCCGGAATGCTCAAAGAATCCACATCCTTTGAGCGCCTTCCGCGGCCAAAGACAGGACATTCTGGAGTGGCACCACCTGCATACGGTGATGAGTCTTCGTCCTCGCTTGCAATCCCCGTTACAAGACTTTCGGAATCGTCTCGATCTGATGACAGTTCTGGCGACCACCACGTCTACGCGAAGACTACCACTACACACACTATTTCTACCACCACCACATTCTTCAAACTCAAGAGGCGGAAGAAGAATAAGGGCCCGCTTTTTCCCTTACCTGAAAAGTTCGTGACGCCAGCCTCGGGTCGAACCACCAGCTCGCACACTCCTCAGGAGTCGCTGATCGGGAGAAAATCCATGTCACCGAGCAGGAGATCAAACACAGCGGTCAGATTTGATACTGAGCCTGGCCGACATGGCTCGGCAGTTCCTTCACCAACTCGTTCTGCTGTGGCACTTACCAATGCTCCATTTGGGTCACCTGGAGCCACGATTGTACGGCAAGACTCCAATTGGTCCACGCACTCAGGCCATTCCACCCCGTCAGTGACACTTGTGCCTCCTCGAGTATCAGGCAGAGGAAGGTCGTCGACCTTGAGTTCGCTAGGGAAATCGACTGAGAGGCTATCTGACACCGGTCCCCAGCCAGCATCAACGCGGACATCAACCTCGACGAGTGGCAGAAGAAGCTTTGGCGACTTGTTGTCTCTTCCTCACCGACTACGGCAGAATTCCGCACCACCGACACGCCCTGGTGCCGGTTCCAGCCCAGGGACTCCAGGCTCAAAGTCCAACTCTCTACATATACCACGAGAGCCAGAACCGGAACGGGTATATCCCAAGCGAGAGGATGGCGACACACCGGCCAGTTACCTGGAGAAGCTCGAAGCCGCAGTTCCAAGGAGTGCGATGGCATCTATTCTTTGCAAGAGCGCAGATGACTTCTCCAAAACTTGCTTGCGCAAGTATATGCGGGGCTTTTCCTATTTTGGTGATTCCGTTGACATGGCGATCCGGAAAATGTTGATGGAGGTAGAGTTGCCCAAGGAGACTCAACAGATCGATCGACTACTAGCGGGGTTCGCGGACAGATACTACGAATGCAACCCGGGGATTTTCTCTTCCACCGACGAAGCGGCCTTTGTTGCGTTCTCCATCCTTCTCCTCCACTCGGATACGCACAATAAGAACAACAAGCGGAAGATGCAGAAACAAGATTACGTCAAGAATACCCGACAAGGCCCGGTGCAGATCTCGAGTGACATTTTGGACTGCTTCTACGACAACGTGTGCTACACACCTTTCATCCATTTCGAGGACGAGGTCGCCGTTAACAGTCATCGCCTATCAGTGCCCAAGCCGAAAAGAAGCCTGATCAAGACCAGAAGCCTCGAAAGCCTCCGCGGCCCTGTCGACCCATACACTCTAATCTTGGACAACAAGCTGGACGTCTTGCGGCCGTCTCTGAAAGATGTCATGGATACAGAGGACTGTTATTGTTCCACAGGGACGTCCGGTGTTCTCGAAACCGATCATCATCACAAGGCCTTTGTCAACTCGGCTGTGTTGCAAATTGTGTCTGCACGGTCTAGGCCGGACGCTTTTTTGTCCCAAGCTACCATTAGCAACCCCGGTGAAGCGCAAGCTGGTCTGGTCAGTATCAAGGTTGCCAAAGTGGGGTTGCTCTGGCGCAAGGACCCAAAGAAGAAGAAGGCAAAGCGCCCATGGCAGGAATGGGGGGCGATTCTGACCGATTCGAAGCTCTACTTCTTCAAAGATGTGGGGTGGGTCAAAAAGCTGATTTCGCAATACGACGCTCATTCGAAGTCGGCCAGCAGATCTGCTCCCCTCGTCTTCAAACCGCCCCTGACTTCTTTCGAGCCTGATGCGCTGATGTCTATGGATGACGCCGTGGCGCTGCTGGATTCGAGTTACAAGAAACACAAGAATGCCTTTGTGTTCATCAAGCACGGTGGTTTTGAAGAGATCTTCCTGGCTAACAGCGAGGTTGAGATGAACGACTGGATCGGCAAACTCAACTATGCAGCCACTTTCCGCACCGCCGGGGTGAGGATGCGTGGGCTCCTGGGTTCCAATTATGAAGGCCGCCATCTACTTCGAAAAGACTCCGATTTCTCAACCAAGAGTGGAGACACTCCGCAGAAAGACAAGAAAGTCGACCCTCAAATGGCGTGGGAGATCATGTTCTACCGCCGGCAGCTGATCAATGAGAAAATCAGCGATTTCGACGAGAGGATTGCCGTGGCCCAAAAGGAACTCGACAATCTTCTCCGCAATGCGCGTCACTTGCTGATCTTGCTCCCCATTCAGCAGAAGACACGGGAATTCCTTGTGTTAGCTGCTGGCCGTATGTCTGCCAAGTTGAAATGGACTAGGGTCGAGCTTTGGAGAACGAGGACTCACCGAGAGATTCTCTCCAAAGACCTAGAAGAGGAGGGCGCCACTGCCTTCCCTGCCCCCAAAGCGTCGTTGACCTCGACGCCTCAAAAGACCACCCCTCTAAAGACGGGCCAAGCCGATCTCGGTCGAACCATTACAGACACTAGCCACGTGACCTTGTCACCAATCAGTGCTACTTCTTCGAGACCGTCCAACATCATCGATAAACTCAGGACGTCAGAAAATGTCAGTATGCGGACTGAGCAAAGCACGGTTGATCTTCCATCAGCCACAAGCCCGTCTCTGTCCGGAGAGCAGTCTCTGTCAAGACACGAAAGCATTCAAGATTCGCACAGTCTCTCACACCAAGTGTCTACCACCAGTTCTCGTCACAGTCGAGATAGAGACCGACTCGCGCGCGGGGCGGATGATTCTGAGGAACGCGTCTTACGAGAAGCAGGGTTGATGCATGTCGATGGTAATGTCGCCCGCGATAGGAGGCCCGATACCAGCGAGTCGGAAAGGGATCGAGTTGGCGCAATGGCGAGTGCAGTCGAGCCTTCGTCTAAGACTGGAAGTGTCCGCCGAAGCCTTCAGCGCAGTTTGCGTGAATCTCATCACCACCATCACCACCATCTTCACCAATCCCCTAGTGTCCATCGCCATAAGAAGGGTAAGGAGTCGAGTTCCAGTGTGGCCGCGACAGAGGATGGAGGCAAGTCGGTCCACGGTGAAGCTGAGGAACTGAAGCGAGGCACAGGCAGTTTCATCCTGCATGGCAAGAAGGCTAGCGTCATTACCATGTCTCCAGAGTGGCAGCACATGTCCAACGAGGAGAGGTTGAAGTTGAGGAAGGCCGAACGAGAAAATGAAGAGGCGGTTGATGACAAGGCTCCCGTATCAACAACGCCCTACAATCGAGACGCCACCCTGGATTCGGCGAGCCATGCTTCTTCGACACACGCAGAGGAATGGGATGAACGGTTTGGGTCGCCAAACTCGAGCCGGAAGCAAAGCTTTGCGACTACCACAGGGGAACAGTTTGTGGATGCGGAAACCGGCGAGGGCGATGGCCCAGTAGAAGTGGCAGGTGAGGTGCGAGTTGAGAAGTCTTGAGACATGGCCGAGGAACGACTTTCGCCGGTTACGGAAAGGGACCCTGGCTTTTAGGGAGGGGCCGGGCGGTGGATGATTGTTACGACTAACGGATCACGTTCAAAGGGCATGACTTAGAGAAATGGGAATACAAAATGCAGGACGTTGGCCATGTAAGGTTTATTGCGGGGGCATCTGGAGCCGACGAGATGGGATAGATGAGCATTAAATGCAGAGAGACTCTTTGCTGCTTTGATTTGAATGGGAAAAAGTGTTTTATTCTTAGTTGTATTCTTCAAAGGCCTTGTCTGATGGACCCATGAACTTGGTGCCATGTCCTCTCTTATATACTGGGTACTCCCTCCCATGTGCTCGTTGCTCCGGGCCGAAACATTCCAAGTCGGTGCCATCGGACTCTGGATGATCATTGGGGGGCCCCCTCTCCCTATCCCTATCAAACCTCGGGCTCACTAGGCGTCCCCTCGGGTACGTCCTCGCCAGCACTCCTGCGCAGAAAGGCCACCGTCTCCTCGACCCTGCTGAGGAAGGGACTATGGCCGCAGCCTTGCAGGACCTCTGTGCGGATTGGCAAGACGGCATCGTCGGCGGCGCGTATACGGGCGACGATGCGCTCCTGAGTGGCGAACTTCATGGCGCGGTCGTCGGTGGCCATGAGGAAGTGTATGGGTAAAGCCGTGTACGCGCTGAAGGTGCAGGTGTCGAACAGCGCGTGGCTGGACATGGGGTTGAGCAGGGCCGACCACCGTTCGCTCTCCGCCGCGGGGAGGAGGTCGTGGTAGAAGAGGTGCGCGGGCGGCGGGGCGAGGATGTCCGGCACGGTTGGACGCTCGCGCTGCTCCGTGTCCACGACGCTCGTGCCCGCCGGGATGACGAACGAGGTGATGGCCGCGATGGCCACGACGGCCGTTGTGTGTCCTCCGGCCGCGGCGCGGCTCTGGCGGTCGAGGCCCCTGACGGCGCCCGAGGCGGGTATGCCGCCGTAGCTGTGCGGGACGACGATGACGTCGGCGCCTCCGTCGAGTTCGTCCAGGATGGCTTGTCGCACGGCTGCGGCGTCCTCGTGGTGGTCTGGCACGATCTCGGTGGGCGCCTTGTGCACTGACGGCAGCGCGGGCGCGACGGCCCTGTAGCCGTGCTGGTTGAGGGCCGTCATCAGCGGCTCAAAGTGGGCTGGTCGATGCCATGCGCCGTGGACGATGACGAAGGTTGGTTTCGGCATTGATGTTGCTTTCCTTCTTGTTGCCTCCTGGTTGTTGCTGTTACTGTTGCTGCTGCGACACTGTCTGTTGTGCCCTGTAGTCTTTGCGTTTCTTTCCTGGTTTTATCCGCCTTCTCTCTCTGTCTCTTTTTCTCTTTTTCGCCTTTTCTCCCTATTCTCCCTCCCTTCCTCTCTCTGCCTTCTCTCTCTTGCACCCTCTTTCTATCTTCTAAAGTAGTTTTTTTGGGCGGGAAAGAAGGCGAGAGCAAGAAAGAAAGCGTAGAAATAGAACGAGGAGGAGAAGGATTACTAGAAAAAGAGAGAGAAGAGAAAAGAGAAAGATCCTCTTCGTATATGCGCGTACGCAAGACTTACGTTGTACCCACGCTGTTACGCTGTTACGCCATCACGCTGACACTCTTGTCCTCGCCCTCGGCCTCGTTCTCAAGAGAAGGGCGGCGACACAGAAGCGTGCACGAGCATGATCCACCCTTCTCGCCTGAGGCCTGATGACAAATGCAACTACAAGGAACGCAAGTCCCCGGCGAAAAGTTAAAAAGAAGGGGGCCATATTATTTATTAAGGGGGAAGGGACGGGGGAAGGGAAGGGGGCCTGAAGAGAGGAAAGAAAGAAAACCAAGGAGGAAAATGATTAATAATAGAGAGAGAGAGAGAGAGAGAGAGAAAACAAATGATAGGAAACTCCTGCTGAGGGTAATTCTGCTGATACTCCATTATATGCGTACATGCCACCTCTGGTAAATACATCACTACAGCAGTACTTTTGCACACCGTCGGGTCTCAGGACTTATATACTCCGTCTCCGCGACATGTGGAGAGATCGCTCGCTATGTACCGGTCCTTTGCACCACCCACCAGAGGGTAACTGAGGAATAAGGCACAGGGCACCCGGCACAGGGGAAAGGGAGATAATTTGGACTTTGCGAGTTTTGCGAGAGGATTTATAGAAAGAACACAGAAGGAAAAGAGTTTAGATGGGGCTTTCACAGCTACTGCAGCTACTGCTGCTGCTGCTGCTACCGCCGCCCGGCCGCACAATATCACAATATCATCCTCTTTGGAGACCAGCATCCGCGTGAGCATCAACATCAGCGTCAGTGTCAGCGTCATTTCCTAACCTAAAAAAGAACTTCAATCACCTAGGCGTCATATCACAGCGTATGCACCTCGTCAAGCGGATCCCTCTCTCTGCCTGCCTCCCAGATCTTATCCACGAGCGCCCTTCTCTCATCACCGCGAGGTTTCAGATCAAACACAAACGGTTTTGGTTGGACGTTGAAGCCCGCCGTGTAGTCATACAGCGGGACCTCAACACCAGGACGCTTGGAGATGTGCGCAGCCCACGCGATCCGTGCGACCAGCAGGTGCAAAGAGTTTTCGGCGATGTTCATCCCCGGGCAGATGCGTCGGCCGAACCCGAAGCACGAGTAGTTTTGCAAGTTGGGGAACTTTTCCAAAGGCTCCCGGTACGTCGGGTAGCCTGGCTCCAGCCAGCGGGACGGGTTGAAGGTTTCTGGGTCTGGGTACAGTTCTGGGTCGCGGTGGATGGCCCTATCGGGATTTGATAAAGAGTGCCTGTTAGTAACTCTCATACCTTTTGCTGCGGCTTTGAGCCTGCTGGAAGTGGGAGGCGGGAGGTTGGAGGCGGAAAGAGAGGGTAGAGAGGGGGGACAGAAAAGAAGAGAAAAGCCAAAAAATTCTCACCATTGGTTTGGATGGATGTTGGTCCCTGCAGGCAAGAAATACCCATTGTACACATCATCCTTGATCAACTCGTGCGGCACGCCTCCCGCAGTCACCGGGCGCCAGCGGAGCACTTCTTTGATCACAGCCCGACATGTCGGTAAAGAGGGGATGTCGCCGTAGTCTGGCACGCGGTGGTCGCCAACCACCTCGTCGACCTCCTGCTGGATCTTCTTCTGCCATTCGGGCCAGTGACACATACAGAGGATGAAGGACATCATGGCGGCAGCGGTGGTGCCGGCTCCGGCTTCAAAGAGCGTGCCGATAACATAGGCGGCCTCGTCGTCCGACAGGCCGAACTCTGCCTGCCGTTCGAGGAACGTCTTGGAGAAGCACCGCGGACCCTTGCCGGAGCGCATCTTGTCCCTGACTTCCAGAAGCAGGCCGCGGAACACGTTGATCTCGAACTCGTGCAGCCGCGCCGCTTCGCGCTTGAACGGCGCTAGCCAACTAGGCAGGTACATCAGGATCGGGAATGTGTCCACCAGGTATGCCCCAGGGGACGCAACCCGCTCGACGGTGTGGACGATCTTGAGGATGTCGCGCACGTAGACCTCGTCGCCCGTCTCGACCATCTTGCCGTAGCACAACCGCATGACCACAGCCGCGGCGTATCTTTCAAAGAGCTGTTCGTATTTCTCTGGCGTTCGAAGCAGGTCGTACAACAGCCGCTCCGACTCGTAAATCTGCACGGGCTGGTAAGAGGTGGCCGACGCGTGCATCGTCATATTGTGCATCACTTTACGTCCCCGTCGCCATAGCTCTGTATCCCGCCCTTCGTCAGTCTCTAGCATGGCCTGGGGTTGTGTGGTTATCAGGCGGGAAATGTTGAGACGCACCTCCGTAAGGCAAGAACAGAGGTCTCAGGTCCCGTGACATCAGCCTCGCAGCCATGGGCAACTGTTCCCGAGATGAGTACAGATTGCCTCGCTCCCGCAAGAGGTCGTTGGCGATCTTCTCGGTCGACACCATGACGAGATTCCGGCCGAAGATGGAGATGCGGTAGATGGGACCATATTGATCGGCCCAGGCTTTGAATTTCAACCACGAGTGCTGCGGCGGGATGTCTAGGAGATTTCCCACAATCGGCTTGCCTGTTACACGATCTACCGTTAGATACATACGTCGATACGTTATTGGCCTTTGGGAGACAAGGACAGAAACAGAACAGGACCAGAGCAGACCAGGAGACACCGGGGTCGACTTACCCTTTGGGCCGGGCGGCAATTTCGCATTGGAAGGGATTTTCGACCGGTTGGAATAATGCTGGATGAAAATGCCCACCAGCAAGAGGACAACAGTGCCGGCTGCGAAGAGTAAAGAGGCCATCCCGTTCCTGCTGCTGCTGCTGTTGTTGTTGTTGTTGTTGTTTGACCCCGGTCGAGAGGGTTTAGAGGAGGCATGTTTTGCTCGGTTATATATGCTTTCTTCCTCGTATATGGGGCTGATGCATGAGGTTGATTCACCATGTTTTCCCTCTTCCAAGTTTAGCTTGTTGCTTTACTCTGCTCCTCGGCCACCCCCAGGCGCCCTATTGGAGTCTTCGGTAAGCAAACATGCGGGGATCAAAACTTATGCACCATTAGCGCAATAACTCCGCACCATAAGGAAGGTTGTTGTTTATCCAGGGCAGATCTTGGTCAATCCACAACGTCATTGGTGCGAGCAATCTCCCTTTCCCTGGTTTCCTTTTCACCATGCATCTCTTCCGGGGGCCGGCGACAATCAGACAGAGTCCCAGTCCTCAAAGGGCTGCCTTCTAATGATCTCAGGTTTGTGTTCGCTCCTGTTCACCCCATCCCGCCGCGTAGAAAGCTGGAAGGCGACAAGCCACCCATGTCGGAAAAATGTAGAGAAACTCTACTCCGTACATTTCATGGGGGTTATCCCGAAAGGCTGGGGTGTTCGCTTCGGGAGATGGCTGGGCGGAGTGTCTCCGGGGATATATTGCTAGGACCTCGGGTTTGGTCAAATCTCCGCCATATCTGTGATTAGAAAATAGTGAATACGGTTAAGGACCGTGGTGATCGATGGGTTGTTGACGATATGGGAAGGGAAGACACAAACCACTTCGCTAGCAGATGGACTAATGCAAGACCGAGGTCTGGCGAAAAGGGGCAATTCAATGTAAGCTTATCATACCCAAATGGCTGACTCATAATGCCTCAGTTTCGTTCAGTCAAGGTTGATTTTGAATAGCAAAAGGACGCTTGCTCTGCAGAGGATAGATCAAGCATCTATTTCTGGCCAGTGGACTCCAAATGCTGCACAATGTCCTCTCGGAGAAAGAGGGGGGGCCCTGTTCAAAGCAAGGGGACAGGGTGAGATAAGGGTGTCAGCCTTGTCAACTCCTCACGAGCTGGGTTGACAATATGCGATGCGCGATGCTCTCGGCACGCATGCTCTCCTGTAAGAATTGAAAGGTGAATGGACCAACGGACACAGGATGCCTGTGAAGCGGCCGCTGGCTCAGTGCAGAGCATGAGGCAGTGCATCTGGAAACCATCCTCGGAAACTGTTCGGTGCTGAGAGACCTGCATTTCTCAACGTCGAATGTAGGATCTCATCCTCTCTGCAGCAAGGTCGGTCTCTCTGGGGCCTTTCTTGCTTCAAGGGCATTGCTTCTGCACCGATGTCAGCATCAGCGCAGTTGCGAACAAGACAGCCCCAAGAATAGGAGAGGTGATAGTCAGTTTAAGTTATGCCACGATCGAGTGTCTTAGGACTGCAACTCCCTGACGAATCGCGCCCGGGCTGCTGATCCACAAGGCCTGCACTTCCCACTTACCTCACATATATGGCCGACATTCCCTGGCACTCCACTCCCAAAACGCTTTTGCAATCCCATTCCCGTCTTCTTCCACACTCGTGCAGCTCGCCCTAACATCGTCTCTGACATCCAACACGCGGCCCCAAGGGCCGATATAACAACCATTCGTCTCAGTGCTCACGTCTTTCGAAAACCCAGAATATAGTTCTGTGTACGCACCGAAAATAGCGGGGTATAAAATCAGATTCTGGAAGAACCTCCGTGTGGGAGACACGTAGCGCTGCAATTCGGTGCGAAGGTTTCCCGGGTTGAAGCATGTGCTAACTATACTTGGGCCATGCGTCCTGGACCGTTTGCCATACTCAGACCCGTAAAACAGATTACCTGCTTTGCTGATGGCATACAGCGTTTGGGGGTCGGAGAGGGGGAGGTCTGGAGCGCCGTCGGAGTCCAAAGATATTCCGTGCTTGGGTGAGTAAAGGTCGATTACCACGGAGCCAGCCCATGATACTCGGACTGTGTTTGGTGGCGAGGCTGCTGCTGTGGAACTGAGGATCGGGTGGAGAAAGTGCGTGAAGAGCCAGGGGCCCAGACAATTTGTGACAATGTGCAGTTCATGGCCCTTGACACAAGCAAGAGGGTTAGTTTGGCCGGCATGGTTCGTAGACAAGCTGAGAGGCTCAACGAACCTGAGCACCCCGGGATCCGACGGGTGCCAGCATGACTCCTGCGTTGTTACAGAGCCAATCCAGTCTCGTCTCCTGACGAAGAAACTCGTCCGCACTAGCTTTGATTGTGGCCAAATCGGCCAGGTCGAGCTGCAGAAATCTGAGCGCTCCCTTTGGTTTTGTCTTTGAGCCGATTGATTCGACGATGGACGAGATCGCTTTCTTGCACCTCTCCTCCGACCGCCCAGCGAGATACACCGTCGCATTGTGTTGATACAGAATTTTGCAGACTTCAAATCCAACCCCGGCATTTCCACCGGTGACGATACAGACCTGTATGGACATTGTCAGTTAGGACATGATCATCCTGCACGGAGGGTCTCGCTGGTCGGCAAGCGTGAAATTCTAGAAGTGTCATGTTGAATTTTGTCACGTACTTTTCCGGTCTGATCTGGTAGATTTTTCTCCGAGAGTGGAGGTTTTGGAATGAAGAACGACTGGGCCAACGGCCCTTGGCGACTAAGTGCGTGTCCCATCGTTTTATAGTGGCCTGAACTTGTTGTATATCTCAATTGATGTGAGAAGCGGGAGGTCGAGATTCGGAAAAGCTGCAGGACTTTGGTCTGGCCCGGTTGATGTCGCATGAGGGTTTGTTGCATTACGGAAGGTCAAACGACGATCTAGTTGAAAGTGCCAGATGTTGTTTCATGTCGTGGCGATCAAGTGTTGTTGTCCAATCGGAACCCAGCTTCGGAGTTTCGCTTCAGATGTCATACCGGATCGGCCCACCGAAGCATAGCCTTGCCAACTCGTCTTCGGGATCCATCCCTATGGCACGAATATGAATGCCTACCCTGGTATCTGCCGCTCGTTTCCTCGCAAGCTTGACATGAAGTCGCACGCTGCGTGACAGTTCACCCGGTTCCAGTGTCACCCCACTTGATAAATAGATCTGAAGGGTCCGAGCTTGCGGCTGGTTTGTCCCAAGCAGATACGAAGTCTGGACGGCCTGCCAGACCGCCGGGGACGTCTAAGCAGTTGTCTTGCCCTGTGGGAAGCGCTTTCTGAGTCATTTGCATGGGATCGGGAGAAAATAAGTCCTCACGGAAGGTTGGAGGGCCTGGCAAAGCCGGTGTATACCACCTTTTCGAGTCCTCAACCAAGCGACGCAAGTACACTAGATAATGTTCGGACGGGTTGTGAATAGTAGCAAGGACGTCTCGGAATTTGGCCGCGAGAGATTCAAGGTAGTATCGCAGATTCGCCACAGTACGCAGGAGGTTGGCATCCAGTAAGGGGGCATCAACGCCATTGGAGAACCTCCCTAAGACCAGCACGGCGTAGAGCAACCTCAGGAGGTCAGGCGTGGTGAAGCCGAGGATATTGCTCGTCGAGAGAGACAAGAGATGGTCCAGGTACTCCGTCGTGGCTTCCAAACACCCGAGCAAGCTATTATGTCGAGCAGGCGAAATGTACCATGGTGGACCCGACCCCGGAGTAGGCACGCTGAATGCAGAAGGTGGTTGGGCGTGGAAACCGATCTCTCTTGCATAGATCTTGATCGCATGATAAGAAGAAACTACTTTAGCTGTAGTCTTGTGTCAATTTGGTAGTTCCCCAGATAGCTCAGATTGGGCCTACCATTATTCCAGATTTCAGGTGGAAAAGCTGACCGTGACTGTTCTATCTGCTGTTCAAACTTGATGCAGAGTGTTTCGATCTTTTCGGAGTCCAGCTCGCCTTGTTGATCTGCTCTGTTGTATCTAAATGATTGGTTAATGTCTTCCTGAAGTCGCTGTAGGTGGACACAGATCGGAAGAAGGGCATCCGACTCTGCGGCTCCAATCCCTGCAAGCAACTCGCCACATGCGCTGATATAAGCACTGTGTGGGAGATTGTTTGGCTTTCTCATTGTGAAGCACATCCTAGAACGAGATATTAGCCGGTCACCACGTTTTCAAGGTGAATCATGTGAGGGGCGTACGACGAGGACAGACAATAGCACCCGAGAAGAGCTCTCCTTCCTTCAACTTCTTCGATCGGGAGTCGGGATTTGATGAGGAGTTCTGGGACGAGACTTGCGAGGTTTATCGGTAATTGCTGTCGCACTGGTCTGTCTAGGCCAAGCTCAAGAGCAACAGAATTGGCCATCTGCAAGAGCGGATACAATTGTTGACGTGCGGGATCGAAGTGGAAATGATACCTACTCAACAGATTAGTCGGTATTGAGGATTCTCAGACTACGAGGCTAACCAATTCAAATAGACCAGGAGCCCCTGGAGGAGATCCAGGCTCTTTTCACCTTCCACAATCAGTCTTCGACTCAACGACTCCTTGAGCTCGGTCTCCAGTTTCTGCTGGAGCGCAAGATTCGACTGTGCAGCAAAGGTGAGGATCGAGAGGAGAAGAAATGGCCTCTTGCGGCGAAAAATGTCCAATCCAATCGTTGGATCGATAACGACAAACGGGAAATTGCAAGCCTGGCCCCGAAAGATCTGCAGTGAGACCTCGGCTTGCTCAAAGCTGACGTAGCCTTTTGAAATGGCGTCGTGAAAGCCATCAAACACAATATTGGAGAATTGGAATGGTGGAATATTCACCGGCATCGGAAACCCCCTCTGCGTGAACGTTGAATATGGGGACTCATGAGGGTTTGCTGATGTTTGCGTAATCAACCTGGAATGCAACGGACGGCCAGCAGTGTCTTTGCTGGCAGATAGACGAGCCAATATTCCTTCGACCCTCTCCTCCATTTCTGCGACGCGGCTGTATGCCGCTCAGTGAGCTGGATGGCCTGGCAATGCGTCTGAAATCTTACCTTCTGGAGTTCTTAGTTGTCTTCGGTCTCGCCTTTGCCTCGAGAAAGACACACGTCTTCCCGTCTCGGGCGCATCTTCAGACATCAATGCTTTGTGTCTCTGACCTCGAGCTGGAGCCGTACCTCAAACATCGAGCTGGATCTCCTTGGCTCGGTAAACAACGCCCTTTGACTTCTCGGCACACCTCGCAAGACTTCCGCAAGCGTGGCGTAGGCTTGCCCGTTCCCTGGTCGCTCATCACTCTCAAAGAGCTAGTTGGCTGCATGGACGCGTTCGAGCACAAGGAAAGCAAGGAGATGCGATTTGTATTCCATAGCCCCAGGTACCCCTAGGCGGCGCGTCTTTATTGGGACGGTTCAACAATATCGGTCAGAGGGCTTGGGCTGGAAGGGCGCTGACATGTGGGCTTACAAGTGTGGTAGTACAGAAGAGGAATGGGAGGCCGTAACGTGTTTTGCGTGTTCTGATTCCTGTTGATATGTGCTACTCAGTACGGGTGTTCCGCCGTATCACGGATGTCATATCGGCTGCCCGACGTCACTATTATGTACCGAGGATGGTGGTGGTGAGGAAGCTATTCATTTCCCCCCCCAACCCGCTTGTGGAGCGCGAACGGAAAAAAGTCGCATTGAGTAACATGCGTGCAAACCATCCTTCTCACTACCAACGTCTTCTTGCGTAGGCCATTCCATTCCACCTCGTTCAAGGACCAATATCGCCGAGCAACCGACAATGGCGTCCAAACAAGCTGCTTCGTCCTTACAACAATGTCTCCGCACATTCTGGGCTTCTAGGAGAGCTACCTGCTCTTACAGAACTGTCCGTAGAAGCCCGCAACACAGTCGTCTTGCCTCGACACAGTCTCAATCATTCTTCTACAGGTCTGGGGCCTGCGCCCTCTGGATGCCCCGCCTCCGACAACCAACAAGGCACTTTACCACCACTTTAGTCGCTCGCAAAGACGAAAGCTCTTCCCCTTCCTCCTCGTCCACTTCTGCCCCAGAACCGCAGTCAAGGCTCTACACCTTCACAGACATGCAGTTCGTCGCATCCAGCCCGGACCCAAACCGCATCATCATCGATGTCCGCGAACCTTCCGAGTTAAAGTCCACGGGCAAAATCCCTGGCTCACGCAACCTCCCTATCAAATCCGCGGCTGACGGCTTCTTTCTGGGACCCGAGGAGTTCGAAGAGAGATTCGGGTGGGAGAAACCCTCGCAGGATGACGAGGTCATATTCTATTGCAAGGCCGGCGTGAGGAGTCAAGCGGCGGCGAGGTTAGCAGGACAAGCCGACTTTGGCGGTAAGATTGGCGAGTTTCCGGGAAGTTGGTCTGAATGGGCTGAGAAGGGTGGGGAGGTGGAAAGCGTGGATTGAGACGGAACTCAGTCAAGAGACTGGCGGCGTGACGTGGTACATATACATAGTGTCTCATTTGCAGCTGGGTCAAGAGAGGAGGACGGCCTCGGAGGGCTATGGTTCCCTCAACGTGTACAGTTGAAAAAGCCGAAAGGCTGTACGGCGCGCAGGATGCTTTCACGAATGATGAAGCGATGATCCTAATGCACAAGTAGCAGTGCTGTTCTTCTCGCACCCATCACAGTCTCAGACCCCAAGTCACGAGTATAGGGACATCTCCGTGTCAACTACTCCTTCGAGGGCCTCTTCCACATCGGGTGACTGCCCAATTTCCAAGCCCTCCATCTCTCTCGCCAGCTTCCCAGGAGGACTCGTCTCCGGGGCGAAGTCCATGTCTTCGTCAGCATCTAGAGGTGCTCCGTTGCCGCCACCAACTTCACCTTCACCCTCACCCTGCTCCATTCCCTCGCCAAACACCTCTTCCCGTTTCCTATCCACAAGCCACTGTTCTATTTTCTCCTCGGTGCGGTTCACGGCGAGCAAGAGAGCCTTGACGCTCAAACAAGCCGTCTCGGCCGCTTCTTCGTGGAACGCCTTCACCACGCCACCACCATCTGGCGCCCTGTCTAGGTCCTCGACCTTGGGGTATCGCCGGTATCGAGACCCAGGGCGGAGAATGTCCAGGCCGCGCTCACTCTCTTCTTCGAGAGAAATGGCTCGTCGTGACTTCAGAGAGGATTGGACCTTGACAATTCGCGCACGGATCCGGGAATCCTCTTCCTTGTCGGCCTTCCTGTTCTCTGCCAGTGTCTTTACCCGCTCAGGGACGTCGTGAAGGGGGAACATGTCGAGGATATCCTTCTCGATGCCTTGTTCTTTTGCTTGATCTGAAGGCGAGGCATGTTTCCCTTTGATCCACGTCCGTTGGTACCAGTCCATGTATTGGTCTAGTTGTTGGTCCGTCATGTCGAGAACGTCGTTGTCGGTAACGTGGATTTCTGAGCCTGGTTTGAGGGCGTTGTGATCGTCGCCAGCCGCGGTCTGCTTGTCAAAGTTCGCTTTGGCTTCCAGCCAGGCCGGCCAATCCACATGCAGCGTGGTTGGATCATTAGGATCTTGTGGATAGCGCTTCTCGGTCTCCGAGTCGAACGGGAAGAGAAACTTGGTGGCAACAACGACGAGAGCGATGAGTTGGCTCTCCGGATACGTTGTTGGCTGACGCCTTGTTGTCTGCGATGACTTTGTAGGGTCATCATAGCAGAAACCATACTTTGTGATGATGTTTAGCCGGAGAGCGGCGCTGTAGACCTCGAGTGGCAGAGCGAGTCGACGGATGTAGCTGAAAAGGAAGATATTCCGGTTGATCGGTGGCATTATCATGTCGAAGGAGGCATCGTACCATCTCGCGCGATGATAGACAGCTTTCTGAAGGTCATCAGGTCCCAACAGGTGCATTGTATCCAATGCCTGGTGATACTCTCCCGGCAGGCGGTCTTTCATGTCCTGCGGGACATATCTGATTGCGCGGATGAACGGAACGTCTTCTTCAACTATCCATCTGCTCGAGGCGAGCTAGCATGAGCGAGGGTTCTCAAATTCTCAGGTTCGGCTTACTTCAGGATTTTAGCCAGTCCAATTGGCCTTCTTAGCATGACGATTCCCAGATAATTCAAGGCTATCGTATCAACGAGTGTAGGATAGCTGTGTGCTGACTTACTCCTCCTGAGCGGCTCATCCTTCTCATCGGCAGCGAGATCGGTGTCCGTCTCATTACCAGAGCTTGCGGTCGTGTCCGCTTTGTCCTTTGCATCTGCGAGGCTGTCGCCGAGCCGATGTTCTAGCTTCGAGAGCCAAAGTGTCCACAAGTCCCGGACAATCGGCTAGGTTATTGTTAGAGAGAAAAGCACATGACGGTGGCAGTTTGCAGAACTTATAGCCTGTGTTATGACTTACCCATAATTCCGCCGGTAATCCTTTTTGATGGACGAGGGCGTAGCATTGCTTCCATAGGATAAATTGCCATGATTGAAGAAAGAGTTGGTATGCCTTGGCCCCACGAAGTACTGTTCAATTTCCATGAGCAAATATCGGGTCTGACGTTGAATGGCTTTGTGGATGACATTCCGAATCACTTGCCGTTGGCATACCTTTGGATATCTTTTGCTTCCGTTTGACCTCTTTCCTCCTCACCACGGTGCCCTGGTGCCCAAAATCTGCGTCGTCCGCGGCAGTTGCAAGACCCCGGCCCTGGTCGTGTCCACGCGCACAGAAGATTCTCCCGTCTTCATCGTGAAAATCCGTCGAGCCACATTCCGCGCACTCTTCTCCGTCCATGGTAGCGAAGTGTAGATGACCGAGGTCTCGTTGACATGGCGAGGTGTGCCTTGTGGACGGCGATGTTCAAGACGATAGGAGCAATGAGAAGTGGTTGTCCACTATAATGGTGCAGAACATTGAATGGGTTGTCGGGATATGGATGTACGACGTCTATGTCGCGTGAGTCTAGGGCTCTACAACACGAGCCAAGACGTGGCACAATCTCACAGTGTAGATGGCGTGTTCAATGTAGTCAAAGCAACCACTTTTACAAATGGAGAATTTCAAGTGAGGAAAATCATGTTACATGCAGTCGAGATGAGAGCCGGTGTGGAACCAATCAGCGATCGGCCATTTCTGCTTGAAGCGAGGACAATGAAGGCTGACGAATTAGGTCCTGGTAGGACGTGTTAAGACCTGTGCACTTCTGGGATAATACGCAGGTTGCTGTGGTTCGGTAATTGCTCTGTTATTTGTCTAGCTACCACTTTTCAAAATGCAGAAGACTGCTGATCCGTCGTTGAATGAAAAACAGTCGCTTTTTCAGGGCATGCCACAGATCTATGGCCCAGCTGCCTCCAGGCAAGTTCGTATCTTTTCGCCTACTCGGATTTTCGGCATTTGCGAACTTGCCTGCCACCAAAAACGCTGAATTATGACCTGTTATTGCTGATCCATAAATACATCAGTCGTGAAGAGCGAGTCGCAGATCTGCTGGTGGACTCGAAGCCCGTTTATTTAGGAGCTTCCTTAGCATCGACAGCAGCTTCCTCCCCCATCGCGGTCAAGACAATGACATCTGGCAAAGCATTAGTGGTCCCACGCGAGAGCACTGCATCTTCAAATTGGGTTACTCACTGGTATCCTTCTCATCGGTGCGGAAGAGTTTCTCAATCTTTTCGCCGACCTCGCCCTCGGGCATCTTGACATCGTCCTTGGTGGAGCCGTCGTCAGACATGAGGGACAAGAAGCCGTCGTCAGTAATGTCAAGCTGCCCTCATCATTAGCATTCTTGGCTTGCCATATCCCGCCTAGCGCCCTTCTCTTACCAATTGGTATTCACGACGAGTGACGTTTGGAACATCCATGTTGTGGGTGGACGGGGAGAGATCTTCCATCTTTCGGCCGGTGAAGATGTCGAGGGCAACCAAGTGGACCTTGGCGTGGCCGTGTTTGCCAGTCTTGGAGGTGGACATTTCGACAATCTTGCATGGGCGACCCTTGATGACAACGAAGCCGTTCTTTCTCAAGGCTGAACATTGCATCGGGTAGGTGGCCGACGCCCCGGCATCGGCGGACTCGAAGGTGTGCTCATGCTAGAAACAGGGGCATGTCAGTATCTGGTGCGACAGGGCAGAGAACCCGAGGCGTCACGGGCGGTGGAAATGCGGCGACTGGTTTGCGCAAGTACAAAAGGCGGGGATTTTCATGGGGGAAAGGCTTACCTGCGCGTCGTTGTCCGCCATTGTGGAAGTTGAGAAGATGTCGCTTTAAAAAAAGAGCGGAAGATATGCAATGATGGGAAGGATGATATCAAACGGTGAGCGACAAATTCTCGAAAGAGAGGGATGGATGGGAGAAAGGGACCAAAGGAACTTGAAGAACCCAGGCCAGGCCAAAGGAAAATATCGTTGTGCAGAAGTGGGATCGTGAACGTCGCAGAGGGGCAACTTGCCGCCCAATCGATAACCCCAGCTAACCTGTTTGGGGGATTGGTCTTGGCGCCTCCGCCTCCAGGCGTGAAAAACGCACCACACAGACACGTAGTGTTGACGTCGAAACCTCGAGAGGTTGAAAGCGTGAGAGAAATAAGAAAATACCATATTACGTCGTGAATAAATCCCAGGTGCGTGATTTCGTTCAATTCAATGCCGCCAAACCACATCAGAAATTCAACCACTCTTCTCGGTTGGCTTTACTATCACCTGGATGCCCTGGGAGTCAAGCTTGGGAAACGGAAGAAAGAAGTCGTGAGCCAACTCCACATCACTATTGTCGGTCTCATACAGCTCAAATTCAAAATACCGGAACATAGCTGCCAGGGTCAAATAGAGCTCGGCGTATGCGAGGCTATAGTTCGACGTCAGACATTGTCAGAACAGGACACACAGGCCCGGGTTGCGAGATACAAGATCAAAATATAAGCAGCAGCAGCACCACTCACTTGATGCCCAAACAAGACCTCGTGCCTTTACCAAACCCCACAAAGTACCGGTCTAGGCTGGATCCATTCTTGGCTTTTGGTGAGTCAAGCCACCTTTCAGGAACAAAGGACGTCGAGTTAGGGAAGATTTCTTCATCGTGGTTGAGAAAAGGAATTGTCATCGAAATCGGCGTCCTGGCCGGAATGGTCCACTCGCCGTATTGGACTGGTTTGGGAAATAGACGAGCATTGCGCGATGTGGTGGAATAGGACAGCCTGATGGCTTCTTTAATGCAGGCTGACAGATATGGAAGCCTTTCTAGTTCCGTCCATTCCAATGGTGCACTGGGGTCTAGCTCGTTGACGGCTGGAATGGCTTCCTCGAGCTCTTTACGCAGGCGTCCCAGGACACTTGGATCGCTCAAAATGTAGAAGGTGGCCACGCTGAGTGTCCAGCCAGTGGTGGCGAGCCCAGCTCCAATTATCAACTGTGCCTCGTCCTGTAGGCGGCGGTCGGATTTCTCACTCAAAGGCAGGTCGCCACGAAGCAGCTCCGAAAACACTGTTGGGTGATCAGTTTTTGCGGCAAGGGCATCAATCTTACCCGCCTTCAAGTCGACGATTTGTTTGGCAAAGTCCTAGGCGGTTCGTTTCGTCAAAAAGGGCCATAAAAAAAAAGCAGGTATTAGAAGGATCCTCACTCTTTGCATCTTGAAAACAAGGGCATACAATGGTTCCAGCTTGACGAGCCAGGCCTGTGGCAAGCAGTTCAAGATCTTTGGCACCAAAGGGAATTGCAGCGACATATTCCCACTAATGCTAACGGCCCTGAATGGGTCATGAAGAATAAGTGACCAGCCAGGAACATCAAGACTATTGTAGTCATGAGCAAAACAGTATTCCATGATAACGTCTTCCGCTAGGGCCATATAGCCCCTGTTGACAGGTAACGGAGCGCCAGACTTCTGATATTCTTGTCCTTTGGCAATCAACTTGTTGAGCTTCTTGCGGATTATAACCTGGAGATCGATGATTCTCTTTCGGGAGAAGAAAGGATTCAAAGCGTTTCGTCGTATGCGATGCAACTCGTCTGGAGCAGTACTCAACACTGAGTTCTCGTTGCCGAAGCGGCCGGACATCCAGGCGTATTTGTCGACCCTTCCAGCCTTTGTAAAGATGGTTTCCCAAAAATCTGAATCTAGAATATGGACCTCGTCTGGCGTGATGCGAACAATGGGCCCTGCAGTACCCACGCGGACAGGTCAGGCCCGAGACTTGTTTTGCGACACATTACAGAAGCGACGTATAAACACACCGTACTTTTCGTGCAGGGCTTTTATGTGAAAGATAAACTTCCCCTGCAAATGAACATCGTAGTAGTATTCATGCCATCTGCTCACTGCCGCGTACTTGGGCCCGGGGAATCGGGCTAGCGGGTGAAAATGTAGTCTGTATATGACAAGCCCGTAGACATATGTGAGGCAGATCAGACCCGAAATGATCAGGCTCGAATACAAGTAAGACATTGTTCGTCAATATAGCCAGACCTTAAAAAGGACGCCGTCTCTGGCGAGAAAGCCACGGGAAACCCACAAGGTAATGGGTACGCCTGGAGATTGAATATCGAGGACGAAGATTTGGATTGACGACTGCCAGCACAGCGCCTGCTTTTTCTTATGTCATTTGTTCACTGTTCTCTGGATATGTAACCCAAAGGCTTCTCTTTCCATTCGTGAGCTCTCGGCCTGTATCTCTAATCTCTGTATCGCTTAGATATTCGCGTAGCGGGGCGAGAGGGCGCTTCAACGGCGACGCCGGCTTTCCGCCTCGGCCCGGCTGTTGGAGGCTACCGCGAGACAAGTTTGGCATCACACTGGTTGCTGTGCTGTGCCTTTGTCGTAGGTGCAGCATCTCAGAGACGGAGGACGAGTAATAGGTACTTTGGTAATCGTACACGAATACCCTTTGTCTCCCATCGTCACCTGGCAACTTGGTGAGCGAGCACTCGCCATCTTCTGCTGATTTCCTGACATGTTCCTCAACCTACCAGCCTACCAGCCTGCCTGACCCTTCTTCATTCAAGATACCCGACTGAGGTCAACATTAATAGTCTTTAGACCATGGGACTAATGCACTGTCCCTACGGCGCTCCTGTGTCTGTACCCACGGCCTGTTGCTTGCCTTCTCCCACCCGCTGTAGTCCGTTGAGCACAGAAAAACGGCTATTCCCTCACCATGCAATATCAGCCTCTACCTAGGTACCTTTTCTCGTTGAACATTGACCATGGGCCCCAATACCGCAACTTCGCTAATAACACACCCACCACCTCTCTACGGCACTAACTGGCACACTACAGATACACGCGTCCGCGTCTCTTCACCGTTGGCTGCTGCATTCTACGCGTTCGACACTGCTGAGCAGCATAAGAACTACCGCCAGGCCCTTTTGGGGAGGCGCTCCAAGCAGCCCTCCAAGATGCATCAGTGACGAGGGGAGAATTGTGGGTATGTACGAACTTGATATAAATTGACATGATCCGCCGTCTTGTTAATAAATTTCTACAATTATATTCCCTCGTTTAGCAAACAGGATGCCAAAGAAAGCGAGAGAAGCCGACCTGAGGTAGATGCCGCAAAATACCTTTATAACGTCGATACGATGGTGGCGCATGTGCTGGTCATTTTAAGTGTAGTTGCCTCAACAAGGTCCAAACCAATTCTCCGCCTACGACAACGGCGCCAATGAAGGCTATCGAGCTTGTGCGAGCCTGGCGGACATTGTTGCACATGTCGAGTCCTCATTCGTAATGCCATTCTTTGAACTCTGGGGTTGCTTCCCACCCTCTTCTCCAACCGGGCTCACCAGTCTGTTGTCGACTGCCTCTTCCTGCATGCCATCCTCGACACCCATACCGAAACCCTCACCGCCTGCTCTGCCATGGAGCCCTTCATTCCACACTCTGTCCGGACGCTCGGCATTTCTAAAATCTCTCTCCCTCACCTACGCACTCTCTATGATTCCGTGACCATTGAGCCCTCTATCGTCCAGAACCACTTCTACGCAGGGAATAATTTCGACAGCGTCGTGCGAGCGTTTTATGCTGAGAAGGGGATTAGTTATCAGGCCATTTTCGTGGTGAAAAGGAAAAAATTACGCTCTTGGAGTCCCGGGGTGTAGGCGAGCTTGCGGAGGCGTTGGGGATTGAGAGCGAGTCGACTCTGATAGGATTAGTGATAGTGAACTATGTGGTAGCTGTGGGGGGAAGTGTGAGTGAGGTGCATATGCGGGCGGACGTCTAGGGAATGGAGGCTGTAAGAGCGAGGCGGGAGAGGGGGAGAGCGGTGGAGGAAGATAGTGAAGGGGTCCGGGTTGATCGCTGGAAATCCATTCGTTTTTCATCCAAAGCGTATAGTGTTTCACAGCACCATGCCACTCGTACCGCCTCCTCTTATGTCGAGAATATAGGAACCAAACGCCTATAAGCCAACCTGTAAACAGTGATCAGCGTTCGGCAACACTTTTTGAACTTTTCTACTTCCTGGGATTCGTCGTGAGACGAGAAAAGGCTTGTGAGGCATCCCATGTCGTTTGGGTCGAAGTGGATCTTGTTGTATTGTACGTCGCCTGGTATAGCGACCGCGTGCCGCAAAACTGTTCCGGGACGAAAACCAGGTAAAGGTATCGTGTTCATATTGATGGAGAGCGAATGTTTCTGGTTGGAGTACTTGGAAATTCAGTTCAAAATTGTTGTGCTTTTGAGGATCGTATATGCGCAGAGATCTGATGGAGTCCATGTACACACCGACATAGTCTTGTAGAGGTTCAAGTGAGGTCCCAGGTGTTCGCTGTTTCTTCTAGTTCAGTCAGAACCTGGCCTTACCAAGCGAGTCCGGCTTCGATTGTCTTCTCCATCTAGTGCAGATAATCGTTCTTGTGCTCGAAATTCAATAATTCATGGGTGAGAAGCTGGCTCACCTAGTCTGCGTTGTCACTCAGGGACAGTGTATTTGGCAGCACAACGATGGCAATTTCGGCGGCAGGGAACAGATTGACTGAATACAAAGCGCCAGGCAAGCTCCCATAATGTGAGATGACTGTTCTAGGTGAATGACCGTGTCCAACAATTGGCATCTCCCCAATACTGCCGTGGTTCCCGACGATTTGGCTCATTGCCCCCAGCAGTGTGCTATGCAGAATTATGATAGCCGTTCTCCTTGGAAGGTTTGCATGGGGTGATGAGATTTAAACAACTACTTGAATGAAGAATCGGCTGTTGAACTCCTGCCAGACCTGAACTGGTCCAAGAATGCTCACAAAAGCCCCTGGTAAAAAGTCAGTAGATCTTAATACATGGACGTTTGCTGATCCCACGGGGCTGCGTCTCGAGACTTTGACTTGATTGATCCCTATAGCAGTGGCGTCGTCAAACGACATATGCGAGAAGGCATTGTTGTCGAAGTCAGCCAAATCTTCATCCGGGATAATACGAGACATGTTCAAGGGCCCAAAGATGTGTGATGAAAGCAGAGACGACCTGTTTCGGTGGCGCGGGTGCTCAATGACATGGTCATGTGAGAACATGAAAAGGCGACGCGGATTCAGGCACGTCCACACGTGTCCGACTGCTACTGTACTTGGTATGTCCCTACTCGATCCTTGGGAACTATTTCTACCAGCTTCCAAACCCCCAAAGAACCTCTCAGCAGCTCGATAGTTTGCTCGACGAACTTGATCACCCGCGCTCGCCCATTGAGGAGTTGGCTTGTTCGGGGCACCGAGTCCTCCGCATCCAAAAGAGTCCACAGGTAATCAATTTTTGCTCTGGCTTCCTTGAGCAGCTCTTCACATTGAACCAGTTTGCTAACCGGTAGCGTTTCTTTCAATAAAGCATCTAAGTAGCAACGATGGAAGAGCTCCAGCATCGTATTATCGAAGCAGCCTCATCGCGAAATCCCGGCAAGACACAATGGAGCTGCTGACCACCGTGCCCGGGACCCAAATAGATTGAAGAGTAGAGAGCGCCTCTGAAAGAATCGAGTCTATCATCCCTCCAGTTCAGCAAATCTGCTCTATCTCACAGGTAGAGTAATGCTACGGCCGGTTTTCCATTTAAGTAGTGTCGCATCATCGCCAAGAATCACATCTGAATGCCAGTCCCAAGCCTCCGAGAACAGGGCTACGCTCTTGGATGGGCGAGTTTTCAACTTCCAAACGAGCTGGGTCAGATCTCACTGAAACCTGGCTAGCTCCAAGCCTGTCGCTGGCCAAGGAGGACAGTCGAAGATAATCATGTATCACCTTGGCAGCATGCCCGGCAGCACATCGTGCTGCGGAACAGCCTGGCCACCAACGACACTGCAGACCTGTGCTATCAGACGCCGTGGGAAGGGTTACTGTGCACCCTCGAACCCAATGACTATGTCGCCGTTGCTTCGGCATACACTGCAGCATTATTACGAGGACAAGTTTCCATGGTTGATGCTCTTGGTCGAGGTAGCGCACGGGGGGGGGGGGGGAGGTACGCGGTATATTATGGATTATCTAGCCGAGTACCATGTGCAGGAGAGAACTCCAGCACAAAGCGAGGACAAAAAGGGCGGTGACGAGGGCGTGCTGATGGAGCTGTTGAAGTGGGCGTAGGACCCAGCTATGCCCCATGATGTTTGAGCCCTTTCACCCAAGACGGTTATGAGCGATTGCTTCTGAGAGGAAGAGCAGAAGACGGAGTGCCATCTATGCAATTAATAAGGTTTCCTCGAAACCAATGGGAAATGGAGGCTGGTGCTGCAGCGCAGGCGCAGGCTCTTGCAAGGCTAACTGAGGCTCGTGAGGCTTAACTGAAATAGATGTTTGCACTGTGAGGCCAGTGGAGCCGATCGCAAAGACCAAGGCTATGCAGTAGGGCCCCTTGAAGGTCTCGGTGCTGCTCATGGGGCCTGCGGAGTTAAACCTACGCCGATGTTTCCCAGCCTTGCCAGCTTATTTGAACACATACCAAGAGCGGATCAGCTTGCGGACGACCTCCCAAGATCAGGCTGAAGCGCTCCATCAAAGCTTGCAACTTGGCCCAACTTGCTATAACCGAGACGCTGGACTGTCATAACCTGCCACCGGACCCTCCTTCTGCTTCCAACCCGCAACAAGGTCTTCCACCACGACGAGCTCGTCTTGACCCCAAACAATACCGCCTTCGAGCCCACTAAGCACCCAGCCTTCGTCCGTCTTGTCAAACACACGATACGAAGGAACACCGCAGACACCTCTATCAAAAGCTTCTTGCGTATTACTACGCAAAGTGTCCTTGACTTGTGGGGAAGAACCCTTTTTGAGCAGGGCTGTGGCATCGCAGCCTGCCGCGGTGAGGTATTCGGCCAAGACTCTATCGTCGGAAACGTTGACGTTACGCTCCCAGCACGCTCGGACTATTTTGAACGCTCCGTGGTTAGTGTGGTGAACGAGGGAGCAAGGCTGATAGGGAAGAATAACTCACACAGCAACGGGACTAGATTCGGATCCACGATCGCGCAGCGCAAGGCCGTGGGCGTTCGGATCGGAAACTGGCTGGGCCAGCGGAATTCAATCGGCTTATCATGCAACCCTCGTTGCTGGTTTATACTATTCCAATGGCGGATCCAGTCACCCAGGTCCTGACGCATGTAGTTCCTTTTCGCTTGCGATATAGCTGCCATAGGGACATTAGGTGCGCCAACTCTGGTTTGTAACGCGGATCAGTTTCTTGACTTGCCCGTTCTCAAAAGGTGTCAACTTACGCTTTGAAGAGCGCGCCCAACAGTATCGGCTTCATGACAATCTCGACGTCCGGGCCGAATTGTCTCTTCAATCGGTCAAGCTGTGTCCACCCAAGAAACGCCCAGGGACTGCTGAAGTCGTACCAGAACTCGACGCGTTTTTGGCCAGCCGGAGGTCCTGGCAGACATCGTGGCTGCAAACTTGCAAGACGGGGGACTTGGGTGTAGTCGCCACCTTGTCTCAATGCGAGAAGCGCTGCCTCCACAAAGTGCATGCGATCTTGTCCCCAGTAAAGCCGGCCTTGACGAGTCTTACCGTCGGCATCCACGCAGTTCTCCTCGGCCACCCAGAAAGAGGGCAGTCCGGGCGCCCCACGAGCGATAACTTCTGCGGTCGCCTTGCGCAGCGCGTCTTGAGCGTCCTTGTCGTCAAAAACTGTCTCAGAAAGCCGCGAGGCGCTGGGAACGCCACTGCGCCGCGCCACGTCCAACAGGACAGATCTGTCAGTGATGTCCAGGTCTTCAACCCAGTACGCTCTATACAGTGCCTGGCTGAGGGCCGGGCGTTCCTCAACTGGCACATAGTATAGCAGACGAAGTGCTAGGACGGGACTTCTCGGGTGGACAGAAGGCCACTTGATCTCGACGTTGTTGCGCTGCAGTGTCCGGCGCAGCGCCCGCGATGTGAGGCGTTTCTTGGTCGGATTGAAGACATCGGATGCCGAACCAGCGGCACCCTGAGGCGCGGCGGTTTCTCGATAGATGGCGCCCAGCAGGACGGGCGTCCAGACGAGGTCAGCCTCGGTGCGACGGGCGAGGGCTTCGACGCTAACCGACACAAAAAGCCACCCGAGTTAGAAAGCTGGCATATTCTGGGGTATCCCGAAAGGGAGTTGGCATTGATGAAACAAGCGTCGTTTGCCTACCGAAGCGCGCCCATATATGCGAACGGACATGTTATCTGCATTTGCAACCAGGATCAGACCCCTAGACTCGACTTTTCAAGCGCATCGACCGAGGGTGCGAGAAACAGGTTACATACATCGTAGTAGAATTGAAGCGTCGGCCTGTCCTTGCGGGCCATTTCTAGGTGAGGGCTCTCAACCAGACAGTCCTACAGGAAATAGGTGTTGATGACCTAGTTTCGAGGGTATGTGAGACGGATGAGTGAGTTTGGATATTATTACTGCCTGGTAGTTTTTGTGTTTTAAGCAGCGGGAATACGACGAGGAGGATGGAGGATGGACCTCGGCTTGCCGGTATTCGAGTATAAGCGGCACCAGCGGGGTCCCATACACAGCCTCGCAGCCTTGCAGCCTCGCAGCCCAGCCGTCTTTCAGCTGGGCGGTAGTCCCAGATCCACTTTGAAAATGTATCCGGGCGATCCATCCCAAAAGACAGGAAAGGTCGTTGCTCCCCTTGGGGATCGAACACAGGACTACATATCAATGCGATGGATACGACGGTTGAGACTTTGGAAACTCGGGCGCCGGTGTCTAACCAGACGCCCATAGCTTGTGATCTTTTTCTAGCAAAAGCTCCCTTGAATACAAGATCTTCGTTAGCTACCGGGCAATGGCTTCACCTCGACAGAGACCCGCGGGACGTTCTTTGCGATCTCCGTCTTCACTCCCGTCTTGCGCCACCCGCCCAGTGTCGCGGGCAACACCTTCAACGCTGGTTCGAGGAACCCGTCGTGGGCCAGGCACACCAGGACATCCTCTCTCTGGCTGAGCTCGTGGAGTTTGCCGATGGTGGTCTTGGCCGTTTCAAGGTCCTTGTGCATGGAATATGCGCCGTTCGGCCCGTGTCCTTCTCCCAGCTGGCCCTCGCCCGTGAATATCTTCCTGTGGTGGCAACAGTCGCCGCCCATGACCACGTACTCGTCCACACCCGTGCGAGCAAGCCCCATCAGATGACCTGGCATGTGTCCCGGAGCATCGAGGAGGAGAAAACTTCCATCTCCAAAGAAGTCAAACGCGATGGGGAACGGACCGAACGGGATCCAGCTGTCTTCCTCGTACGAAAGTTCTCGAACACTGGGATGTTCGAGGATGGACCCGAGGAAAGGCGAGTCTGGGTTCGTCGGGTACCCTGGGTATGCGGCGGCCTTTGAGCCTGGACCGACGACCACCTGACTGCGCGGAAACTCGTCCGGGTTTCCGATGTGATCAAAGTGAAGATGACTGTAGACCACATAGTCGATCGAGTTTGCCGAAATGCCTGCCTCGTCGAGCAATTCAGCAGCGCTCTTCGGCACTCGCGGCTCTGTAAGAACAAATTCTTCTCGAATGCATTGGGGATATGCCTCTAAATCCTGCACAAGTGTTCAATATACCTTCCCTCGAAGTTGTACTTCGGAGACCATACCTTGCGAATGCCCAAGTCAAACATTAGACTCCTGCCGCTTGGCTTGTGATGTACGTAGAAGCTGTAGTCCGGATACAGGGTCTTCGTTGCATGGTCTGCGCCGGCGAGGATCCATTTGTCAGGCAAGAAGAGCTGTCCCGTGGGCACCAACGAGACCTGGACGATCTGTCCTGCGTGAGTTCCGTTCTCCATGGTCGTCAACTGCGTTTGTGGCAGGGCGTACCTCGTACAGTGGACTTCACATGTTGCCGATTCACGAAGAGAAAGACCTTTATCGAGTTGGCCGTTGGTCTGTCCAAGCGGCTCCCCGCCACGGACGTGCACCGTGTTCAATTGCTTGCCCGGTTCTCTTCTTCTCAAAGCTCCGACGAGAGTACACCATTTCACCACAGCGAGACGAAGATATGGCGAACTGCCGGAGGAAAGCCTTCGGGATCTGATCCCGAAGGTCACAGAAACTTCTTTCATTAGAGGTGAAGCCGCGGCTTGGACGGCAAAGCCACAGAGCTCTGCAATTGGACGGTGCCTTTGCTCGGTAGCTCCCTGTGGAGAGGAGAGAGGGCTAGCGAGGCCTAAGCCAACCTAAGGTTAAGGGTTGGGGGTTCAGGGTTAGTGAATGCAGCTGCTAAGCACCCTCCACAATCTCCGCAAATGCAGTTAAACGCACAGGCAGCACGTGGAGAAATTGGGGTGCGAATTGTGGGCTACTAGGCTGTTGTGGGCTTCTACCTATGTACAAGTACTTACTAGGGCATATCGCGGGGGACTTGAACTTAGCCTAGTGCCTGCAGTTTGCCGCATCCTCGCGATATTGATACTCATCCTCTCTGCGCGTCCGTTCCTGTCGTGCAAGTCCAAGGCTCTGTCTCCGTCGAAGCCACCGAGTCTCCACTGTTGGATACACACTCGTCGCCGTGGTATTCAGCTTCCTCACTGCTGAAACTTGCATGACAGATGGTGATGGACCAACTCCAAGATCTCGATTCCAGCCATGAAGCCACCTACCCCCCTTCGAAGCGACGACGCGTTGGAATGGCTTGTATCCCTTGTCGGACGCGGAAGGTGAGGTGCGACGGGACCCGGCCAAAGTGCTCTGCCTGTTCGCGCAATTGCACCTCATGCGCATATCAGCCTGCAAGCCAGATGGTCAATGTCTCCCGAGAGTAAGCAGCCCTCTAGCGTTGTCTCTCGTCACCATTCTGACAAGATCATAGGTACATAATAAAGCTCAAGCAAAGAGCAGAAGTGGCGGAACAGCGTCAAAGGGTGGAGAATTCTACCGACCACAGTCAAGCTTCGCCCCAAAGGCGACAGGTTCTCCAGCACCGCGAGTCTGCGAGGCATCCCCTTGAGGAAGCCTCTTCAGGTCCCTCGGACCCAGTCTCATATTTGCGTAACGACAACATAATCCGAAATCGAGGCATTGACCGCGCCCAAGGCCGAATCTCGTCAGATTCGATCAGCGGTGCAGGTACCGTCACTCAACCCGATAGACCCTCCATTCACGGTCGTTCACCACTAGCTCAAGAGCTCGACGAGAATAGGATTTCGAAAAGGGACTTTCCTTCGAAGGCCCCTTCCGCGGGGAGATCAGAGAAGACTCAATCATGGTCTCTCCAACCTTGCCATGACACCGCCACAGATTTTGAAGAGCCAAACCCCGATGACTTTTACGGAGACTCGTCCACCCTTTCTTTCATGCAGGCCGTTCAAACAACTATTATCTCGAACTCTTCTCCGGATTCAGTATCGCCAGACTCAAATTACATTAGAAGTGGAACAAAGCCCCGCCCAGCCAGAGCAGCCTCATTCAGGTTTGGGGTGGAGAATTGCTTGCCTCAGAGATCGCTTGCTGACGATTTGGTAAACTCTTACTTTCGCTACGTCCATATTCTGTACCCGTTCTTGCACCGGCCCTCATTCGAGGCCCAGTATGAACGTACATGGGTCTCAGGAGAGCAACAAGACGATCAGTGGCTTGCTATGTTGAACGTCATCTTCGCTCTTGGGATTCATTTCGCCTATGGACAGGAAGATAAATCCGCGGCGAGTGATCGGTTCTTTGGTTATGCGCAGAAACTCGTGTCGATGGAGCAGTTTGCTCACGCAAATCTGCAAACATTACAGCTCCTTTTGCTCAGCGGCCTCTATTACCAGTCCACCAGTCGACCAAATCAGACATGGAACGTGATAGGGTTAGCAATAAGGATTGCCACCACCATTGGTGCTCACGTCGATCCCATGCCGTCTCAATATAATCCCTTGCAGATTGAAGTACGAAGGAGATGCTGGTATGGGTGTATTGTACTGGATTCGTGGGTACAAGTGCTATCTTCTCGCCAGAATTTACTAACCACTTCAAGGGTTTTAGCCCTTAACTTCGGACGTCCCACTGCCATTCCAAGCACATTTGGTGTCTCGCTGCCTTCAGATCTTGATGATGAGTATATCACCGAAGAAGGATACCTTGAACAACCGGGACATGTCCTGCCCAAGACCACGGTCTTCACTAAGTCGGTGGCGTTCTGTTCCATCATGAAAGACGTTTTATACACCCTGTACTCGCCTCTCAACGGTTCTGGCCACCGACAAAGCGGCAAGGTATATCAGCCTCCCGAGTTCAAAGATGCTGTCAGCCTAGACAAGAGCTTGGTTGAGTGGTTTCAAGGGCTCCCCGAGTACTTGAAAGTAGGAGCCTTGAATGAGATGGAAGAATTCCGACGGACCAGAAATATCCTCATCGCTAGGTAAGCTGGGTCCCACTTTGCGAGCCGTATGACTAACTAATTTTTGCAGGTTTCTGAACCTAAGAGTTCTGATCCATCGACCATTCGCCTCTCTTTGGCAGCAGTCCTCTGCCGGCTCCGAGCCGGTGTACCTCGCTTCTCTTGACAACTCCCTTCATTCTATGTGCGTCACAGTGTGCAAGTCAGCTGCTATACAGCTGGTGAATGTCATCAGCAACAATTATTATCAAGGGCTGTCAAGCGCTTGGTGGACAGATATGACCTGTAAGTCCACGAATGTACCGGCCGCGTTTTCAGTTGTGCATTCTCGCATATGTGCATAGCTTCAGCCCTTCCGCGAGAGCCTGCCATCCTGACGTGTTGGTAAAGACTAACGCCATCACCCTTCTGGACAGATCTATTTACTGCAGCAACCGTTCTGCTGGCCATCGAATACGAATGCGAGGACCCGGAAGAGAGCGATGCGACCGAAAGGGCCTTTGAACAAGCTCTTATAATTCTGGGTGAAATGCAGGGGCGCTCTTCTATGGCATCATCATATGTCACCATGTTGAAGAAGGCGAAGGAAGCCCAAGACTCCGCACAGATCGCCCCGATAGTCCCGACCTCGTCGCCAAGAACGCGATCAAACAATGCAGCACCTAGAAATTCTGGTTCCGCCTCTGAGCTCGCGTCAAATGGGATCAACTTGGACGAATTCTTGAAAGATGACGCCAGAGCCGACGCGCCTTTCCCGTCGTGGAACATGCAAGACTTTTTCCTGGTACCTTGGGATATGATGATGGTAGACAATCCCATGCCCACATTCCAATCTTGACGGCTCGGATGAGACCATAGCTTTAGCTTTGGATAATCCAGAAGGTGGTTCTCAATGCACTTTGGGAGCGAAATCTAAAGTTCCACAGCTCCGCCTTCTACCCATTTCTTGCATTGCCAGTATAGTTCATCATGAGCTCTGCCGCAGTCGTTATCGCCTTCGCGTCGATGGCCAGGCATATCCAATTTCACCTTTACTCCCAAGACGGCCTCCTGACAGTATGCCAGATAGCGATACCCTACAGGGTACTTGTTCAACTTTTCGTCATCCAATACCGGTACCTTACAAGGATTGACGGGGATCAACTTGTCTTTTTCGTACCAGTGCCGGACGAAGCGAGCAGCCCACGCGCCGGTGATCGAGTCTCTCTCCCAGAAAAAGCAGAATCGGCAGTCCGATTCTGCGTCGGCCTCTACCCCATCAAGGTCAAATCGCTGGGTGATGGCTGCTTTCATCTTCGTCACAGCACGTGTGGCTTCAGGGTTGATGTCCGTCGTCGACCCGTGGACCCGGTGCATTATAAATGCGCCTTTGTCCATACCAAGCTTCGAGGCCTTGATGAAGTCCCTGTACGGCGTCCGACCCGTCCACGTCGTGTACACGTACGCGTCCGGGTGGAAGATTGAGGCAAAATTCTCCCATTCACATGCATCTCTGGAAGGAGCTTGCTGTCAATAGAGATCTAGCTTGAGCCTTGCGCTTTTCGGAGAGGAAGAGCCATACCTGTAACAGGGCCACCCTTCAGCCAGTTCGCGCAGCTTGTATCGCTGTAAAGCGAGGTCGTTAGGGCCGTTGTTGCGAACTGCACTGTCTGGTCGAGAACCGCTGGGCAGGGAATGCAGGTCGACCATGGTTCTGGGCCTGTCTGACCAGGGATACGCCCATATCCGCTCAACGTCACGGGGCCACCAGGCTTATGTCTCTTCTAGCCTACTGTGCCTGGCGAGTCTAGCTACGGAGAAAGGAGTGAAGCCTCGCCCCTGGATGCCGAGCAATGTGGCGCTAACCCGATTATATTGAGCGTGATATGGTGAGAGACACTGCGGCATCTCTGCGGAGAACTGCCCACAAACCCTCGCCTTCTGGTTGACTTTGACAATGCTATCAATCACGAACAACAAGTTCTACAAGCACAAAAGCTCAACGGGTTGAAGGTGAACACACTTGCCGAGCCGACGATCCCTTCTACTCGGCACACAGTATATATTTGGCGCTCGGATAGCTGGCTTCACGGTGCGCCTTCGGGAACAGATCCCGCAGTGCCCACACAATCGATCCTGCCACTTCCCGCCGAGCAGCTCGAGACCCGAGGCTAGAGACGGAGGCGCGGGCAACCCCCGGGCGGCCAATGAATTGCACACGCGAGGTTTGGGGAGCCATTTACCCCAGAGCCTTAGCCTCACGACCCACGGGAAGCATTGTTCCAGCGTGCCCATGTCTTCTGGCCCGTATGTCATCCGAGACTAGAAGGAGACTGTTCTTGGGAAGATGGCACGATAAAATGGCTATGTCTGGACGTCTGGGGGACCTTCTCCGCAAAAAGTTGCAACATATGGCAACATGGCTTCACCGAGGGTGGTTGACATCGCGATTGACACGGCCTCTTATGTCCGGTCGCATCTTTGGTTGACCTTGGCCGTCTGTGTCTTACTTTATTTCGTTTCTCAAAGGTATAAGACTGGTCTTCGACACATACCAGGACCCTTTGTCGCGAGCTTTTCGGGCTTCTGGAGAGCCTGGGAGGTCGCCAAGGGAGACTGGCATATCAAAAATCTTCAATTGCATCGGCAGTATGGTCCGCTTGTCCGCATCGCCCCGAATATCGTCAGTGTCTCTGATCCAGATGCGCTTCGAGTCATCTACGGACTGAACAGTGGCTTTACCAAGGTCTGGAGAGCCATGCTTCTAATTTACATGGGCAAGTCGATGATAACACGTGAGCAGACAGACTTCTATCCCATTCAGGAAATGAAATATGGTAAAATCTACTTGGCGAATCTATTCTCTACAAAAAGCGATGAGTTTCACGCGAAGCAGAAAAGGTCTGTTGCGAGTGCGTATTCAATGACCTCTATGCTCGCCTTTGAGCCATACGTCGACAATTGCTCCGAGCTCTTTTTCAAGAGGCTTGATGAACTCTATGTCAACCCTCGTCAGCCTTGCGACCTGGGTAAATGGCTCCAGCTTTACGCCATGGACGTGATCGCGGAGGTCACTTTCGGCAAGCGGTTTGGGTGTATGCAAGAAGGCGGGGATGTGGGCGGCTTGATTGACACCATCGACAACTTCTTGGTCTACGCTTCCGTGGTAGGCCAAGTTCCATATCTGCACAAATTTCTCTTCGGCAATCCTCTGCTTCCGTACATCATGCCAAAGCTGGATAGCATCAACCACGTAGTGAAGTTTACACTGGAACGAATCGCCGAGCGGGAAAAGGACCCAGAGAGGCACAAGGACTTCTTGGGGAGACTGTACGAGGCAAAAGCAGAGGGCAAAATGGAAGCCGTTGACACCATTCGCCACAGCAGTGCGAACGTGTTTGCTGGTAGTGACACTACAGCCATAGCACTTCGGTCTGCGATAGACGGACTGTTGACGCATCCTGAATGTTACCGCAAGCTTCAAGCAGAGATCGACCAGAAGAGAGCCGAGGGGAAGCTCTCACTGCCAGTCAAGTACGCGGAGGCGCAACAGATGCCGTATCTCCAGGCTGTACTAAAAGAAGGCATGCGATATCACCCTTCAGTATCGTTCCTGCTGGAAAGGCATGTCCCCAAAGGAGGCACCGTTATTTGCAGCACCCGAATTCCCGAGGACACGATCGTCGGCATCAATGCGTGGGTGGTCCACCGAGACCGCAAGGTTTTTGGGGAAGATGCCGACGTCTTCCGACCAGAGCGGTGGCTGGAGGCAGACGAAGCGCAGCTCAAAGCGATGGAAAGAGCATTCTTCGTGGTACGTATTATGTCCCATGATCTTTCAAACCCCCTTCCCTCCTTCACATTCAATACGATGTTCGTTTGCGTGTACCCTTCCCCCTCTTTCCTTTTTCGCCCTGCAAACTAACGCATGGAAAATTTCACGGCACAGTTTGGTGGCGGTTCGCGGACTTGCACGGGCCGGAATATCAGCCTGATGGAGATGTCCAAGGTGATTCCGTCCTTACTCATGGTCTACGACATTGAACGCGCGGATCCTAAAGCCCAGGTGCGCACTAAAACTTACTGGTTCGCCGTGCAAAGAGGGTTGATCTGCAATATTAAAAAGAGGGAGCCACCAAAAGCCTCAGACAGTGTGGCCTGAAGTCGTTTAGTTGGCGGTTTGGACAAGCAGCAGGAACTCATTCCATGACTTCAAAGCAGCTAAAAGCAGCCAAACCTGAAAACTTGGAAGAGAACGTCGAATGTGGTTGTCGATTTAACAGTTGAAATGGTAAATCGATGTCTTGATGGGAATGCTCAATTCAAGTGAGATGTGGAAATGCCACAAGCCCTCTTGTAGCTGCGTGTGATTGTTTTAGAGGGTCTGGGTGGGCGGGCGACTCCATAATAGTATGTCAATACGACACCTTTAACCTGTGTTCTCTGTCCTCGCTTGAGCGTTTACAAGTCTCGCATACACTGCATTTACGAAGTATAGTCTGATCGAGAATTAGATGGGTGGGAAAAAAATCAACGAACGAAACCAAGCGCCAGAAAGGGTGGTTTAACAATAGGTGCGAATTCTCCCTCGATGCTTTTTGCTTGGTCTGGCGAGCAGACAATAATAACAAGGATGATAATAATGTGCGGAAGATGCAAGAGCAGATAGCCTAGCCTGAGTATACTGTGTACAATTTTTCCTCCAGGTGCTGACGGATGGTATACGTATGGATGTACGTAATGTGTTGCACACACGGAGCACATGATCTACCTCACAGCGCGATTCTGACGGGCCCCGCCCAGCGGCGCAGCCTGGCGCCGTAAACCTGGACGCAGACAAGGATGAGGTAGGCGGCGACCACGATGACGGCTTGGAGGCCGAAGGAGACGTCAAAGCCCATGCGCAGGCCCCATGCCTGCTGGAAGTATCCGACGGTGAAGCCGCCGAGGACGCGGGCGAAGTTGATCAGGGCCGACACCTCGCCGGAGGCGGACGGATAGCAGTCGAGCACATAGGCGACGGTGGCGACGGAGACGATCATGACGCCGAACTGGAACATGCCCCAGCCGAACACGATGCCGACCCAGTGCAGATGGTGCTGCAGTGTTTGGCCCACCAGCACCAGGCCGGGCACCATGAACGCGCCGCCGATGTAGTTTGTCCAGAGCCGCGTCTCGGGCACGAACAGGCCGTGGTGGTTCTCGATGTACCGCGTCGCGATCCAGTCGTTGAAATAGTGCCCGAACGCCTCTCCGATGAGAATCGCAACAAACGGCGTAAAATACATGTATCCACAGGCGATGGAGCTGAACCCGTACCCGCCGGCCTCGACGGGCGTTTGCAGCAGGATCGAAGACGTGATGTTGATGCCCACCGACCACATGAATATCATCAAATAAAACATCATGCACAGCGGGATGACGGGCTTGAACAGCACCTCGGCCAGCCGGCCGTAGCACCGGGCCAGGGTCGAGAAGTAGCCGTTCGAGCGGTGCTGGATCTGCCACAGACCCAAAACCCGCGAGAGCCGGTCCATCTGGCCGTCGGGACGGCGGGGCTGCTGCGCCCGCGGCACCGAGCGCTTGTAGTAGGTCTCGTCGCCGAACAAGAGGATTAGGCAGAGCAGGAAGCACGACCAGGCAAAGACCAGCCAGAAGACCGGGCGCCACTCGCCCAGCGTGCCGACGATGAAGTTGCCGCAGAAGGGCCCGACGAAGGGGGAGATGATGTATATCGCGTACCAGACCCCGATCTTGCGGGCGTGCTCGTGGAAAAAGAACATGTCGTGGATAAACGCCAAGCCGATGGTCTGTCCGGTACTCTGGGTCACGCCCTGCAGCGTGCGAAACCCGTAGAAAGCCGCAAAGTTGGGAGCCAGGGCCGAACCCAGTGTGAAGGCTGCACCCATCACGGAGCTCCAGAAGAGCACAGGCGTGCGGCCCCAGTAGTTGAGCAGCGGCATCCAGATGAGGCCTGAGACACCGCACATGATGACATTCAGATTGCCCGCGTAGTTGACGACCACGGGGGACATGTCCCATTCGATCCCCTGCACGACGATGGTACCGACCCCGGCGCCAGACCCAAAATCACCGGCGAAGGCTCCAAAAGCGACACAAATGAGTATCATGTGCTTTTTGAAAGACGACCAGTTTAAGGGATCGTCAGGGTCGTCAGACGGTTGGGGGACCAGCACGGTTTGGCCATCCTTTGCGAGCTTGAGGTTGGTCACATTCGACCCTTTCTCAGTGCCGGGGGCCAGCCGTAGGAGAATCTCTCCGTTGTCCAGTTCAATCTGCTCCCTTTTAGAACTTCCCCGAGGTCCATCACCTGTGATTGACTCACCTCCCTATCGTCGTGTGCGAGATGCGACGTAGCGTCGACCAGCACATCTTCTGCGTGGATCGTATTCTTTTCCTCGCCTGCCATTATGCTGAGGTGTCTCTGACCACAACAGTGAGCAGGATCGAAACTGATCAGACGTCCTCCGTTAATATGCTTGCTCCACCAGGCCGGGACAAAGCATGAGACGGGCATAGTCCGGGGTTCGGTTGAATCCAGAATTCGGTCCAATCCGGGGTACCCGTTCGGGGTCGGGAGAGTCTCCCGAGCTTGGGCGAATCGAATGGCAATAACATATATCGAGTTACAGTTTCAACCGTAGTCCTTGTACCCAAACCATCGGAATCACTTGCCGGAGACCACATGGCCCGGGAGACCTCTGTAGGCTGATACCTCTCCGGCCATACCCTGGGCAGCCCTCGGCCAAGTTGAGCACCTTGCTCAGACTCACCAAGGATGGACTTGCTTGGCAGAACAACCCACAGACAGAATAGGTCACATATTCTGCCATCTATTAAACCCCACCGAGAAGACGGAGTCTGACAGGACCCCACGATGCTGCGAGATAGAGGCCAGGTCCGGATGACCGCCAAAATCATTTGCACTGCTCATCATGGCCAACGAGTTAGAGGGGGGGGGGAAATAGACCAGGCTGATAGAAAGGAATTAACATGCTCGCGCCGATTGGACGGACGAGACCGTTGCCATGAATAAGCAGGCCCAACTTTTTTGAAATGCTGTTGGGCGGAGATGGTGGAAAAATAGAAAGAATAGTCAAGTAGAGGCGGTGCTCAAGTACCGAGGAGAAATTGAGATATTAAAAAAAAAAAAAAAGAAATCGTTTATGAGAAGAGATCAAAACAAGCTCCGAACGTGGTTCGAACACGTGACCTAGAGATGTTGGTCGTTTTGTAACTGCAATCTCTCGCTCTACCACTGAGCTATCGAAGCAGATTTTGTCGAGGTGACTTTTGAGCTGGAATTTGGAGGTTCCAAAATATAGGCAGTGAGAAACATCCAGGTGTGGGGGCTTGGTGGAAATCATTGGCGGCTGGGAGCTGGCGGCTGGGGGCTCAAAAGCGGCAAGGGCCGGTGTGAGTATTCGGCGAGGCAAGCTGTACGTAGGGGCGGAGGTGACAAGAGTACAAGGCTACGCCACAAGCATAACTTTGGACTCACTGCTAGATGACCAATGCGTTTTGTAAACTGCCAAGGGCGAGACAATAATAGCAAATCATTGCAGGATATGTTTTTGAGCACTCTTCCGTGCAGTGATTCTACACGATTGAAGTCTTTAGAAAGATATGAGAGGCAGCTTAGTCCGACTATGGTTGTGAGGCTGCTACGGCATCTCCACCTAAAAATCCACCACCCTTGCTGTCGGCTCGGCGAGAAGGTCTTGTGCCTTTCGGATCATGCCTTTGACTCGAATTAATTCATGGAACACCCTCTCACTCAACGGTTCACTTACTCTCGAAGTTGTCCAGGAACTCCTTCTCTGGGTCATAGCCCCACAAGAATGACTGTGCCTTCGCATCACCAAGCAGGTCAGGATTCTCGCCGCCCTTTGAAACCTCTTTGAACTTTTTGTCTCTCGCCTGTTGGTCTGGGCCATCGTGGAGGTGCAGAACTCGGCGCGTGGCGCCACCTGTGCCAGCAACGTGCTCTGCCCGGGATTTTCGTGCTACTTCGAAAGCCTTGAGAAGCGTTGGTATTTCATCTGGCTTCGAGACGTGGTTCAGGGCCAAACAAAGGACACCGACGTCTTCGATCGCTTGAGCGGCCCCCTGTGCCACATAAGGCAGCATGGGATGGCAAGCGTCACCGAGCAGAACCACTTTGCCCATTACCCACGTTGGAAGTGGATCATGCTCGCATAGCCGCCACTTCATCACGTTCTCGTCAGGGATGAAGTCCAAAAGCTTGCGCAGTCGAACTGGATCCCACGACCCAAAATGGTCCAAAATCTCCCCCTTAGAGGCTTTCGCGGTCCAGGATTCCTCTGAGAAACCCGTGTCTGGGTGGCACATCACCTACGACTCAGTGAGCCACCGCGGGCTTGGCAGTGAAGCATCCTCCTACCATATTATAGAGATTTCCATGGCGTATTGGATAGGCCTGGACATGTCTGTCAGGACCCATCCACCTTGTGGCAACCGGTTCTGTAATAAAAGCTCGCAACTCTGGATCCGTAACAACATCCAGGGGTATGCAGGCACGGAAGGCAGCGTCTCCCGTTGGCCTCGCCTTGTCGAGCAGACCCAGGTTTTGGTAAATCAACCTTCTGCAGGTAGATTTCATTCCTGATTTTGTGAGTAGTAAATCCCCAAATCACGATCCGGGACGCGCACCATCTGCACCAACAACCGTATCTGCCTCGAGCATGCTGCCATCAGATAGAGTTACCGAAGGCTTGTCAAAATCAATGCTCGCGACCGTACTGTTGATGCGAACTTCGGCCACCAACTCAGCCTCTTCCATCAATGCTCCATGAAGATCCGCACGATGGATCGCATACTGTGGAGCGCCATGTCTCCTCTCGATCTCAGGCATGAGAGTCGCAGCGCCGAGAAATTCGCCATCTTTCCATCGTCTCAGGTCGATTCGAGTGAGAGAATTCGTGTGCTTGAGTACACGCTTGTCGAGGCCCCATCGGGCTAAAAGGCGCGTGAGGTTTGGAGAGCAATTAATTCCTGCGCCCACCTCAGCAATCATCGGTGCTGCTTCTAGAACAATGACTTTGTGCCCAGAGTGGCCCAAGATACCGGCGAGTGCTAGACCCGCAATACCAGCTCCAACAATAATAATGTTCAAATGGTGATTTGCCTTTAGGTATGAACCATTTTGATTGGCACTTGAGTGGGAGTTTCCGTTGACGCTGTTGCTCTGGACACCATTCGTGTACACTCCATTTGACGCTGTGGTTTCGGGTGAAGGCATCGCAGCTGGCGATAGTAGCAGCGTTTGTAACCGCGGCGTGAGCAATTTGAGGATCGGGCCCGTGGATTGACAATATCAGTCTGATGTCTGATGGAATAACTAATACCTTTCGTCCTTTCTCCTTGAACAGCCAGTTGCGCGTGGTGTGGGGTCCCAAAATAGACCACCCGGCTTTTCCAAGCGGTAGTCTTGAAACTATTGCCTCACGGCACAGGTTGGGCTTCGCGATGGCGATAGATTGTTGCTCGGTAACTCAATCCTGAACATACGGGATCGTCTCCCGCAGACAGTGAGAGGCCCCTTGGGCATGACCAAGAATCACACGTGACCTTGATGGATCGAGTTCTCAAGCACTGAGATTTATTGTATCATTCAAGAAAGGGATTAGTGGGACAAGACTCCAGACTGGGCTGCAATTGGTGACAGCCAAATGTGGGCTTGTGCATAAAGGCATATCCTATTCCACAGAACAATGTGCGGGAACAGAGAAGATCAGAAAGCCCAGTCGCCCACCAAGCAGACATCAGGCAATAAAACAAGATGGGAGAGAATCGTATGAACGGTCAGAATATGAACAATGTTCCCCTCTGGATCGACAACAAGTCTGTGCAATCGAAGACCACGTTCAGCGTAATAAATTCGACGACCCAGAAAGAAGTATGGACTGCGTCTGCTGCCGATGTGGAAATTGCTCGAGAAGCTGTTGATTCTGCTTCCAGAACGTTTCAATTGTGGGCTCACACACATCCAACAGAGAGGAGACGCATTTTCTTCAAAGCTGCAGAATTATTCAGATCCCGGCGAGACGAGATCATCGAAACCATGGTTCAAGAGACCAACTGTAGCAGAGAATGGGCTGCTGGAATCAACATGCACATGGGAGTTGAGTTCTTGGAAGAGCTTGCAAGTCTTGCCACAACTTGCAGCATGGGATGGTTACCAACGACAGAAACTGAAAGTTTGTAAGCTCCAAGTTCCGGCGAATTCTCAGCTAACCGCGAAGATCGCTTGGCTCTTGTATTCAGGGAGCCGTACGGTGTGGTGCTCGGAATTGCACCATGGAATGCGCCGTTCATCCTGGCAATTCGAGCAGTAGCGACACCCATCATTTGTGGAAATACTGCTGTGCTCAAAGCGTCGGAACTGAGTCCCAAGACCCACAACATCATTGGACAAGTTTTTCGCGAGGCAGGTCTGCCACCTGGAGTGCTAAATATCATTCAACACGCCCGCGAGGATGCTGCTGATGTGGTCAACGCCCTGATAGCACACCCCGCAGTTCGCAAAATCAACTTCACAGGCTCGACGGCAGTGGGAAGAATTATTGCACAGCAGGCAGGCAGACACCTCAAGCCTGTTTTGTTAGAACTGGGCGGCAAAGCTTCGTGCATTGTTCTTGAAGATGCAGATTTGGTCAAAGCCGCGAAGGCCGTCGTGATGGGAGGATTCTTGCATGTAAGCTAGTCTCCCAGAGAGCCTGACAGTTGTTGACACGCCATAGCATGGACAAATTTGCATGGCGACTGAGCGAGTGATTGTCATGCGTCCAGTTGCGGAGGCATTCTTGAAGATACTCGAGGAAGAGGCCCATGGATTTGTCGTAGGCAATGCTGTGTCAACCGACGGAGCAAAGCAAACGGCATCCCTGGTCCAGACTGCGGTAGGACAGGGAGCTCGCCTAGAATTCGGACATCCCTCTTGTCTCAACGCATCTCTCCAACCAACAATTCTGAGTGGTGTAACAAAGGACATGGATTTGTTCTATGCCGAGAGTTTTGGACCTACCTTAAGCTTGACCGCAGTTGACACTGTGGATGAAGCGATCGCACTGGCCAACGACACGGGATACGGTCTCTCAGCGAGCATATACTCCAAGAATATCCCTAAGGCGTTGAGATGTGCAAGGCGGATTGAGACCGGAGCTTGCCACATCAACGCAATGACGGTCCATGATGAGCCATTCTTGCCGCATGGGGGAGTGAAAGAAAGCGGATTTGGTAGATTTGGCGCTCAATGGGGAATGGACGAGTTCCTCCATGTGAGAACCGTCACAATCCTCGACGAGGAAAAATAGTTAGGAGTCATGGTTGAAGTTCGGGGTTCCCGTAGAAATCTGCCATTACCAGAGCGCCACACCAGCGGTGCCACAAGAGAGCCGAACAATATTTCCACGTCATATGGCATTTTGACCTCCACCTTTTCTTCGGCATGTTCGGCCCTTATACGGGTTCATATACCGGCCACCCACCATGACCCCACGTGAGCTGTTTGTCGTTGCTATAACTGCTGTTCAGTCTTCAAAGGATCAGACGAAGACACCTAAAGCAAAAAATGGGGTCCGTTTCCAGTCCAAATGGTGCAAGCAGCACCGTCGCTCTCGTGGTCTCTGAACACAACGGGCCTTTCGAAGTTAAAGAAGTACAACTGAATGATATGCGACCCGATGAGATTGTGGTCCGCATGATAGCAACGGGTGTCTGCCATACAGATGTGGCCACTTCCATAGGCCACAGAGGTCCTGGACTACCTGCAATCCTCGGCCATGAAGGTTCTGGAGTTGTTGAACAAGTCGGTTCTGAGGTGAAACATGTGGCTATAGGCGATCATGTGCTTCTGTCCTTCAACTACTGTGGGAATTGCACGCCCTGCCGTCGCGGGAACCCATCATACTGTCGAAAAGGGCCCCATTTGTGTTTTGGCGGCTCCCGCTTGGACGGAAGCAAGCCATTCTCTCTCAATGGCACCGACATCAACTCATCCTACTTTGGCCAGTCTTCTTTCGCTGCTCGCTCGGTTGTGAGCGGGGTCTGCGCGGTAAAGATCCCTTCAAATGTCCCGCTTGACATTCTTTGCTGTCTAGGCTGCGGGGTCCAAACGGGGGCTGGTACCGTCTTGAATCTTCTCAAGCCCACCGTGGGAGCATCGATTGCAGTATTCGGTGTCGGTTCAGTCGGTCTGGCGGCGATCATGGCGGCGGCCAGATTTACACCTGCCACAAAGATCATTGCTATTGATATCGTGGATTCCCGACTGGAACTTGCTTCAGAGCTGGGAGCAACACACACGATCAATTCGAAAGGAAAAGATGTGGTTGCACTGATCAAAGCCGCCACCAACGGCGAGGGTGTCGACTGTGCACTTGATGCGACCGGGATCGTTGCTGTCATTGAGTCCATGATCGCAGCAGCAGCAAATAACGGAACAGTGGCAACAGTCGGAGGAGCGCCAAAGGGGGTTTTCGTCAACATTGAAGCGGCGTCCTGGATAGGTAGAAACGTCAGCTATGTGGGCTCATGTCAAGGTTCTTCATTTCCACAAACGGTATGACCGGTGTGTATTTTATGCTTGGGTTCGCGTTAACAATTGACAGTTCCTTCCTGCCCTTGTCGACTTCTGGAGGCAGGGCCGGTTTCCCATAGATCGCCTTGTCACCAAGTATCCCTACAGGGAAATCAATCAAGCGATCGATGATATGCATCATGGGAAATGCATAAAACCAGTCTTGATATGGGAGTGAGAAAGGGCCAAGGACATGAGCTTTTGAGCAACCACGTCCCGTCGAGCTTCTGGCCAATATCAAGAGAATTCTGTGTGTGGGCATGCCCAACTCATCTCAGTAGAATCCGTTCATATCATGATTGATGTTGGGAAATGGTTCAAGGATCCATTAACCCTGGATGACAAGACACTGAGTTGAGCTATCAATCCTTTCTGGCATTACAAGGGAGAGACTTCCTTGATTCAGGATGGGTCCTCTTGTGGATAAATAATATGTAGCATCTGTAGATGAGGATTAGATGAGGAACACACCTGGCGGGCTTTGCGAGCTGAACTTGATAGCTGGGTGTTCGGACTAACATTGTCCCGGGCCCGGGCGCAATTGCTCACGCTGCCACTCTGGCGCGTCTACGTCGCGAGATGCAGCAGTCAGCATAAGTTGGGTAATGAAACAGTGTTTGATCTACTGTTTTCCACCAAAGGCCATGCCTTTATAACATTCACCCCCTCTGATGACTTCTCTTTCAATAATCCTTCAGGATGTGGCTGGACCGCTTAACTGCTGGTGCTGCAGCGCCCAGTGGCTCTCGTGAGTCGCTTGCTCCGACCAGGCCATACTCTCCCTTGCCACGCAAGAATTCCCAGCTTGCTGCTCCGACTCAGCGGACAGTCTCGGGGCTGGGCCTACTTGCGACTAGATCTTCGACATCCCTTGACCTCAGTGCGAATACTTCTACGACATCTCTTACAACTCTACCGAGACAGCCCAATGGATCCTCCCTAAGATTCGAGCAGAGGCCACCACCTAATGTGCCGGACCCTGTGAATGTAATAAAGAGCATACTGGGAAACTCGGAACATGGAGCAGTGCCTGAAGGATGGTCCAGGAAGCAAGATGGCGAGATCAGCAAAGAGATTGACATTGGAGGTCTGAGCCTTGAAGAGTTCGTTGCCCAAGATATATCGCCACGACCTGCTGGCAACGGCTTTAGGGTCGAAATATCAGCAAAAGAGAACAGGCAAAAATTTGAAGAATTTCACAAGTCGATTGCAGAATGCGATCAAATTCTTACCAATGTCGAATCCTACCTGACCAATTTCAAGGCCGAACTCGGCCAGGTCTCCGCAGAAATTGAGAACTTACAGGCTCGCTCTACCCAGCTGAACGCCAAACTTGACAACCGCCGTAATGTCGAGAAGCTTCTGGGACCCGCGGTAGAAGAAGTCAGCCTCTCTCCTTTCACAGTAAAGTCCATCGCCGAGGGCCCTATCGACGAAACATTCGTCAAGGCTCTGAAGGAAGTTGAAGCAAGATCATTCATAATAGAAGCCAAAGAGGAGAAATCGGAGCAGCTCAAGGCGTTGCAGGATCTGAAGCCTCTGCTTGAAGACCTCAAGATCAAAGCGATCGAGCGAATTCGAGACTATATCGTGGCACAGATCAAAGCGCTTCGGTCACCCAACATTAACGCCCAAGTAATCCAACAGCAAACTTTCCTGAGATACAAAGATATTTATGCTTTTCTTGCTCGAAATCACCCAGTCTTGGCCGAGGAGATTGGGCAAGCTTATGTCAACACGATGCGATGGTACTACAGCAGTCACTTTTCCCGATACCAGCAAGCTCTTGATGCTCTACAAATCCACGCCTTCGATCAACATGACCTGCTCGGCTCAGAGGCCCCCCCGACCAGGCGAAACGTGCTAGGTACGTCCAAACCTGCTCCTCCACCGCATGACGCCTTCAGCCTAGGACGAAGAGAAGACGTCCTCAAGTCCAAGAACGACACAGCCATCCCTGCCTACCTGGCCGAAGAAAGCAAGTCGGCACATTACCTAGAAGTGCCCTTCTGGAACTTCAACCAAGCGCTCATCGACAATGTCTCGGCCGAGTATTCAGTCATCACGGAATTGTTCTCCACCAGTACGTACCATCAAATCTCCCGAAGGGTAGTCGAGATCTTCGAGCCTACATTCGCCATGGGCCACAATCTGACCAAGGGCCTTGTTGAAAACACGAACGATTGCCTGGGCGTCTTGCTCTGCGTCCGACTGAACCAGCACTTCGCATTCGAGCTGCAACGGCGCAAAGTCCCCGTCGCAGATTCGTACATCAACTACACAAACATCCTCCTGTGGCCGCGTTTCCAGATCGTCATGGACGCACACTGCGAGTCGCTGAGAAAAGTCCCAGCTCCGACGACCAGCAATCGAGGCGCAGCAGCGGCATTTTCCCTCGTTAGCGGAGGATCATCGTCAGACGCCTCGAAAACCTCGGTCGCTCCTCACGCCATCACACAGCGCTTCGGCCAATTCCTGCAAGGCATCCTCTTGCTCGGTGCAGAGGCCGGCGGCGACGACGAGCCCGTCTCCAACAGCCTGGTCCGTTTGAGAACCGAGTACGAGTCTCTGATTGGCAAATTGGCCAAGGCGTCGGGCGACGCGAGCAAAAGGGCAAAGTTCCTGTACAACAACTATAGTCTGGTGTTGACGATCATTAGCGACACGAGAGGCAAATTGGCAGACGAACAGAAGGAGCACTTTGGCGGTTTAGTACGAGAGATGAAGAAGTAAATGGGATAGGCAAATAAATAACGAGGCCCGGTGGAGAAGGGCATAAGGTAAATCGATTGGTGCTCCTACGTAACATGGACCATGGGTTCCGCTCGGCCGCCATCCTTGCTGGCATAGTTCATGTGTAAACTATCAAGCTCGAAGTGTAGCATAAAAGAATCTCGACTTAGAGAGTGACGTGTCAGAAACTGGAAAGGCTCATTCTCGGTGGCAGAGCAGAGAGATGAAACATGTCATACCAGCAAGGCATGAGCAGAAGTAGAGATCCCACGCCACGATGAAGACGAACGTGGACCGATAGAGCAAGGGGTCTCCAGGAAAATTGGGCGCTTGGGAGTCACCTACCAAGTACAGCGATGCTCACATGCGTTGAACGCAGACAACGAACCCGTTGTGTGCTCCGTCCAAGTCTGGTTAGCATATGCCTAGATTGAAGAAGGTGTGGCAACGCTCTCCCGATTGATCGCACTCTTGTCTACCAAGTAGGTCTCCCAACTGATCTGAGACATGGACTGTCACAATCCAATGTGTAGCCCGACAATGATGATAAGCCCATAACCCCTGTAGCGGCAACCCAGCCGCAAGCCAGTAGCACTTTTGAGGTCGAACGAGTTATCTGTACTGTAAGTAATGAAGCCCAGCAATGTGAAATTCACTGATTGCATTGCTGGTGAGAGTGAGACGTCATTTTTGAGTTTGTATGCATCATTTTTGTCTAAATGTCCCGTTCCATGGGGCCCGGAGTGACGTTATAAACACCGATGCGAGAGGAAATGGGCGAGACAGTGATGTCAAAAGGGCTAGTCGAGCGGACATTGAAAAATGACATTGAGATTCGAACAATTCGATAGCTGTGAAGCAGGGCATCGCTGATCAGCAACCTCTGCCCGACCAATTTGGGAAATGGTTCAAATTAGGAACCTGTGAGTTTGCAGATTCGGACAGTGATGAAAAACCTCATCTAGAGTTTAGGATGAGAGTCAATCATGGTAGGAAATACAAGTAGATCGACGGCAGTGGGACGCGGAAGAGCACACTCAGGTGATTCTCCTCGAATCCCAAAGGCATATCTAGGCGAGCGAGGCTCGGTCGCCAAAAGGCAGATGATCGAATCTTGGCAAGATAACCTGCTGGCTTCAAGCCGTCATTGAGACGCCAAGGCTGCTCGTGGATCATGACGATTTACAAGCTTGTCCAGATGAATTCCCGCGCCAAGTCATTTGCCACGGGGTGCTAAGAGCGGGCGATGTTCCGGAGGTCGTCTGCCAGGAAAGGTGAGCCAGCCTGCTATACATAATGTGGTGAGATGCTGAAGAAGATGGCTCAATGTGGTCCTGGAGGAAGGTGAGGGAGCACCTGAACACACAGTCAGACGAGCACCGGGGGGGCTGAATACCTTTCCGTCGGGTAACATGATGCTCCATAAAGAGCTCGAAGAGCGCTTATTCTCGGGGGCAATATTGAAGTAGCTATCTCTTGCGCATTTGCTTTTTCTTCCTTCTTGATCTAGCGCATCGGCATTGCACGAAGTCACAACAGAGCCAGTTGCCTCTGTGGCAACGCACTTTGCCGAGGACTGAGGGTTAAAGTTAGCGAACACGAGCCGCGACCTTCTGGAATCGTTGTGCTTGCAGTGGGAAGGTAGGGTTTGGCGATCCGGGTCGGGAAGAGGATGTCAGCACTGTGTTTGATTGCAGCGTTTCCTATCGAATGATGACAGTCAGAAATGAAGGGAGTGGTTGCCAAGGCACCTCTTGGGAAATACCAGAGAGTAAGAGATACGCCACCGCATGCGCAGCCAAACACCGGCTTCCTGGGCCATGGCTTGGCCGTTAGCCCGATGCAACTGTCCTTTGCTGCCCTTCCAGAAGCTGCTTCTAACTGACTACTCATTCGAGCCCAGCGCAGGCCAGCGCATCGGAGGCGGGGGCCGGATTGGGGGACCAGGGCCGCCCCCTGCCGCCTTGTTGCTGGGGTCTCGCTTCGAGTGCCCGAAAACTGCTGGGCTCCCCCTCCTCGCGGTGGTGTTGGTTAGGTCAAAATTGAGTAATTCAAATTGGCAATGGCGCCATGAGCCAGTGAGAGGACACGAGCAGGACTTTGTCTTGAGGTGCTGGAGGCCGTACTGGTGATATGGTTCCTGGTGGTCGTGCTGTGGTTGGTGTCGTGGTAATTTCAGCAGAGCACTTTTCTTTTCTTTTTTTTTTTTTTGTGTGCAACTAAGTAGGAAGAGGTTGCGAGACAGTTTCTTGGGGAGTTGCTTGCCCATTGCTTGCCTGGTGCTTGCGTGCTCTTGGTTGCTCTTGGTTGCTCTTGGTTGCTCTTGGTTGCTCTTGGTTGCTCTTGATTGCTCTTGGTTGTTCTTGTGGTGCTTGGAAGCTCGGCCACCTTCCGTTCTGGATGGCACCTGGGAGCACAAGATGGAACGCTACTTTACCCCACACTGCGCTACACCAGCAACAGGCAAGCAGGGCATGCAGGATCATCACGGGCCTACCGGGTACTGGGTACATCTCAGTTGTCTCTCATTTTCACCTCATCTTCACCTCACCTTCGCCTCACCTTGTCCCCTCGTTGTCGGGCGTAGTTTGCACCGAACAATGAAAATTGGCCCTGCCGCATGTCGAAGCCTTGCCCGAGAAATCAACGGCGGGCAGTGCGATGGCGTGCCAATACACAATGGGCGCCCTGTGGAACGTGTTATCTGCAAGGCTCACCTGTTTTGAGCAGCCTGAAATGACCAGATTGAAAGGAAAAAGATAAGAGAGTTGCGCTGTAAGTGGAGTGGCTGCTGGCTGCGCTATGCCTCGCCACCCTGCATCCACCCTTCATCCACCCTCCGACTTGGTCTCCTTCTGGCTGCCTTTCGCGCCTCCTCAAGTCTTGGTCACTCCTCACTGGCTTTTTGCTCTGCCCTTGGACTGCCCTTGAGCTGCCTTGATCGTATCTCACTCCAACGGAGATCACACCCTACCTGCTCCACCTCAATTCCTCCAGACCGGCGACTTCCACCTGTCACTCGGCTTCCTCTAGCACGCATCGAGCCATTCTTCCACCTAGCGGCCCTCTCGTCCCCTTCGCCGCCCTCGCCAACCCTTGTCGAGACCGCCTAGAGCTACCCCGTACCTGGGTGATCACCTTTCGCACCATCGTCCTTGTGTCCTAGCGCAGGCCTTTTCCCCCCTCGTTCTCGCAGTTCGCCTTGCTCGAGTGGGTCGTAGTGTCACACTCTGGCACACAGGCTTCAGGTCTCGACGCTTTGCATCTCGTGGTCTTTCGGCGCCAGCGATGATGCCAGAGCTGTCGATGGGCTCGATGCGGCCAGGGTAATCTGCCCGCCCCCAGACACATCCCATCCAATGGCCCACGCGCACTTCTTGTTGTCCCTACATATAACTCTCCAAGCCGCCCTGATCCTGCGAGGCGTCTCTTGTCTTGTTCTTCCCATCCCCAGGTCTCTGGCCTTGTTGCTCGACCCTGCCTGACCTCCAGCAGCTTGTCGAGCTCTGTTAACCTGGTAAAACAGTCAGCACTTGACTTCCTCAATAGCTCCAACAGGCTCCAACATGGAAAAGACTGCCGATTTCCGTCTCGGCTCTGGCTCCGAGTCGCCAGAGAACATCCCAATTGACTACAGTGAAGCCAACAAGGTTGAGGTGAGTGGGGCTTTGTGCGCGGTCCAACAGTTCTGTTCAACGTCGCTGACGTCTGTCTCTTTTCTTTCAGGCCCGACGAGGCTCCAAGATCAACGAAGCCACCGATGTCTTTGGCGACATCGCCACTGCTGAAGAATATGGCTATGTCTCGCGAGGTCTCAAATCCCGTCACATCCAGTTCATTGCTCTGGGTGGCACCATTGGAACTGGTCTGTTCTTGGGTATTGGCCGTGCTTTCCTGCAAGCCGGCCCGTTGTCAGTCCTGCTCGGTTATACATTCACTGGTCTGGCCGTCTTCGCCATGATGATGTCTCTCGGTGAGATGGCCACATGGCTTCCTCTCCCCGGTGCCATTCCACAATTCTGCGCTCGTTATGTCGACGATGCCATGGGTTTTGCTGTTGGCTGGAATAACTGGTACTCCTGCGCCATCACCCTCTGCGCTGAAATCTCTGCGGCATCGAGCGTCATTCAGTTCTGGCCCGGCGCCCGAGACGTCAACGTAGCAGCATGGATCTCGATCGTTGTGGTGCTAGTCCTAGGCCTCAACATTTTCGCCGTCGCCATTTATGGTGAGGCCGAATTCATTTTCGCATCCATCAAGATTGTCACCATTGTCGGCCTGCTCATCCTCGCCCTCATCATTGATGTGGGTGGCGTCCCAGGGCAACACCGTCTCGGCTTCCAGTACTGGAACAATCCCGGTGCTATGAAAGCATACATAGCTTCCGGCAGCACTGGTCGTTTCCTTGGTCTCTGGTCCACTCTGGTCAACGCCGCTTTCTCTTATGGTGGTGTCGAAATGGTGGCCGTCGCTGCCGGTGAGGCTGAGGATCCACGACGAAACATCCCCAAGGCCGTGCGCCGAGTGTTCTGGCGTATCCTCTTTTTCTACATCCTGGGCTCGTTGGCAATTGGTGTTTTGGTCCCTTACAACGACCCCAATCTCCTGAATGCTCGCGAAGAGGATGCCCCTGGTGCCGCTCAATCACCCTGGGTTATCGCCATCAACCGTGCCGGAATCGATACCCTTCCATCCATCATTAACGCTGTCATCTTGACATCTGCTTCTTCTTCAGCCAACGCCTTCTTGTACACCGGCTCTCGATATCTTTACGGCATTGCGCAAATCCGCCAAGCACCCAGATTCCTGCTCAAGTGCACAAAGACCGGTGTCCCCGTGTGGTGCGTGCTGGTCACCTGGTCAATCTCACTCCTCACCTACATGTCTTGCTCCTCCGGCTCGAACACTGTTTTCACGTGGTTCCAAAACTTGACCACCATTTCCACCCTCTTCACCTGGGTCAGCATTTGCATTGCTTACCTCCGCTTTTACTATGCCTGTGGAGCCCAGGGCATCAACCGCAACGAGTTGCCTTTCAAGTCTCCCTTCCAACCGTACCTCAGCTACGCATCCGCCGTCTTCTTCGGTCTGATCATCTTCTTCAATGGCTTCGATTCGATTGCCGGCACCTGGGATTACCAGGCTTTCATCACCGACTATATCGGCGTACCCATCTATTTCGGACTGTATTTGTTCTGGAGAATCTTCAAGCGCACGCACTTCCGCAAGGCGTCCGAAGCCGATCTGTACACGGGCAAGGCTGCGCTGGATGCCATAGTGTGGCCCGAGCGTAAGCCGAGAAATATCTTGGAGAGGATCTGGTTCTGGATTGCATAAAAGAGGAGCGGGTGGCGACGATGTATCTTTGACGCTTTTCCTTGTCAAAAAAATGATATACCATACCCTGCATGCGTTCATGTTATGTGTATCTTTGAACAAACCAGCCAGACAGCTCGAAAGTGAGCTATGATAATAACATATTTTCAAAACTGTTACAATGAGAGAAATACTCGACATACCTCGATCGACTCTCGACGCGTCTTGTTGTATCCCTTGTCTCTATTCGTATCCCGTGACACATGTCCCTTGCCGCCCAGTTCGGTGCTTTCTTGTCCGTGTTCGTCTACGTGTACGCGCATTCTGAGTGATCAGTCAGCCAACCAAATAGCTGATTGACTGATTGGGCCCAGGAAAGGCGAGGCGAGGCTGGCCTAGCCTTCGTGAGATCCCTCCTCCCGCGTCAAATGTCACGTTCCCATTAAACCCCCTCGTGCCTCGGTTTCTTGACGAGCCGAGTGATTCGGGCCGTGGTGAGTCGAGGGAGAGGAAGAGTAATGGTGATGAGGAGGGTGCTCACCGAGGAGTTTGATTGATTGATTGGTCGATCGAGTGAGTGCCCATGTGAGTGGCTGATTGACTGACGGACTGGTCGCTTCACCAATCGAGGCCGGGTATGCGGATAGGCAGGAATGGAGGTATGATAGGGAACCTAGGGAGGTACAATAATTTGAACCCCGAACCGTCTGGACATCCGCCCCGGTGCTCACTGACTCGCTTGCTCGCTCACTCCCTCTCTCCCTCTCACCTGTCGATATTGCCCGCTCTAGGGATGCCAGAGTCCACGCTTGGTGGAAATGGAATTGGCAGCGGAATTGGAGAGAAAGGAGAAGTGGTCGTGCATGCGTGAAGGTCCGGGAGGCTGAGTACGTGAGTAAGTTAGTGAGTAGTAATAGCTCCATGCCCGTGCCGGTGGCCGAGTGCCATCGAGCGAGTCTCTCTGCGACGTCTCCATGTCAATTCCAATACAAGGAGGTAAATTGTCTGTTGAGGGAGGGAAGGAGGCTTAGGCGGAAAGACGAGCCGGGTGCCGCGACGACTCTGGAGCCACCTGTGTAGTTTCCCATTCAAGATCGTGTCGCGAGGGGAAGTCGGGTTGAGGCTTTCTTTGCGTGAATGTCAGCTTGATCCTCGTGGTCGCCTCTTGTTCTCCTTGTTCTGCTCCGGGGATGGTTGGTTCAATGAGTGAGCGATCGAGTGACTGAATGGGAGGCCGAGTGGACTCCTGGGTTAGGTTTTCCCGACTCTGCGGACTGCAAAGGGGTCGAGGGCTGTTGAATGGATGGACGACCGAGCGAGCGATTGACTCTGTACAAGTTTCTTAGACGAGCACTTCGGTCAGTCGGTCGCATCCCGGGGTGGCTGCATGCTCCTCTCTGAGCCTGCCTGCGAGATGCCTCTCCGTGCGCGTAAGGGCTGGTCGTTTCTAAATCAGGCCTTTCTTCCTCTTGGTCATCGCCGCTCGGGCTAAGTCCCTCATTTCGCGAGCAATCAAACGCTTTCTTTCTCCAATATACCCTTCGATGCATCACACTGTATTTCTCCAGGGTTATTCTTACTAGCTTGACACGACGATGCAAGGTCGAAAGCCGATCAAGAAGGCACTCCGAAGAGAGAAAGACCCTCAAATATGGTTGGTGAGGACGAGAACAGAGAAGAAATAAAAACGAAGAGAGTATTAGTGAGTCAGCCCGGAAAGTAAAAGGCAAACCTTCTACTCCAGAACCCCCCCCCCCCCCCCCCGAGGCTGTCCTCGCAATACAACACTTCGTACCGAGTGCTCCGTGTTAGTGCCGACTATGTCCACGGCACAAAGCCCTGGTGGATGTGGCTTGCGTGCCTCGCCCCGAAGGAGTAATTTCTAGTGGTCGAATTCGGTATTTAGCGGTGCCACGTTCTGGGGCTAGCGTCATCTTAGCCAAGGTCGATGTGGGCTGTTTGGCTCCAGCGCGGCTACCTATGTGCTCCTGGTGGGTTCTTGCTTGTTGAAGGGCGTGGGATAGGGAGAAAGCAACGTCAACTGTTTGCCATCTTGCATATTGCCGAGGACTTGTGGTGTTTTGATCTTTCGTTTCTTCAGCGTAGCTTGCGATTCAATCGTCTAGGGAGGGAACAGGAAAAGCCACCAGATTGAGGACCGGTTGGGTCAGGCGGCGCTAGGGGATAGGCTTATACTTATCCAACGGAGCAGGATGTGAAGAAAATCAGAAAGATGGAAGACGTACTTGTAGATATACCAGTACAGCCTCAGCCCATGAGCGATGAGAGAAAGATTGGGCAAACCTGGCGGCAAGCTGGAGATTCCTGGGGGCATGATTACGATCTTGCTCCACAACCTCCCTCCAGCGGACGCAACAAATACCCAAATCTAGTATCCGGTAAGCCTCACGCGCGTATGCGTATAACGAAGACCTCCTCGAGTCAGATTCAGAGGTTTGTTGGTCTTCTCTGCTCATGGCACACACTAATACAACAAGCACTTCCCCCAATGGGGTTGGGCGTACCCTTTACAGCGGAAGCATCATGTGCCGGGATTGCTTCGCTTAGCTACGTTAAGTACTGTACCTATGCCTCACGCCGAAGCAAGTTGTGGCCTGTGCTAGCCTCGTCCATTATCATTGGTTGAGTTTCAATTTCTGTTAGTAAGAGCGTACGAGGAGGTATGTTACAAGTCAATGTTTAACAAAGTGGGATGACAACGGCTCCACCAGGTCAAAAAAGAATAAGTCTTTGAGGGACGCGCCCTTCCGACGTCGGAGGCTCCAGAGACGCCATTTATGCTGACACCAATCTGAGATTTTTTGAAGGTTCGATTTGAGGGCGAGTTGATGAATCCGTCGACATCCTTTTACGCCTGAGGGGATTTGGAGCAAAAGCCCGTCTCTTGAGTGAACGATCAAACATCTGCAACTTCGTCTGCATCTGCGTCTGCTCCTAGGGAGAACGACAACGAGGCCCTCGGCCCTGGAAATGCAAATGTTTGGACCCAATGTATTCCATGCAGCCCTAGCAAGTGACCGTCGCTGATGCCACAGCAATAACTGCCATCTCCTTAGGCTTTGCGCCACTCACATCCTCACGGCCTGAGCCGTCGGTGGCAATTGGTTGTCTCCGTAACGCAAGGACAGGTGATGCTTTGTGGAAGCTTCCTCTGTTACTGTATTCCTGGTTACTCCCGACTCCTTCCACATCCACCCTTATCTCATCCTGGAAGACCACGAAAGGCTATGTAGATGAGGATCGGTTTGTGAATCTCACAACTGGCTGTAATTCCCATGCGCATACTTAGCTTTGAGCTTTTGTGCTTTCTGACTCGCAATCTCCTCGAAGTGTAGCTGGAATATAATATTGGCGGCCACAATAGGAGCTGAAATAAACCCTCTAGAAGACATCATCACTGGTCTTTCGGTAACGGGAACAAAAATGCCGGTGTTTCGATCGGCTTTGACAATTTCGTCTACCGCTGCACCGTAGTTTTGGTCCTCTTACCTGCACTCGGTTGACTATCTTCTCTTGACCAATGTTAATCCACCACAGGGCCGAAGCTGTTAAAACGGAAAGCTTCTAGGTTCCAGATCAGGATTCATTCTCACCGCACGTGCTCGGTAGACATCGTTCCTGTCGGAACATGAGTCCTGAGCCATGATTCGTGCGTGTATCCCTGCAACCCGGTGTAGTCGTCTGCCTTGTCGCGAATCGCCCACGCTGATTCGCGTGCAGAAAGAACACAGTCACTCATTCCGGGGGCGCCCCGCCACCAAGGACCTGCAAGTTTCAAACGTCCGTGATACATGGACGTCAAAGCCTCGTGAATGGCGGCCATGTCCTGAGCATACCCGACAGGATACTGCGGAATGCATTCGCGGTTGAGCCGCGCTTTGGCCACTTCGGGAGATTCTTGGATGTTGAGATGTCTCCTCAACAGGGTTTGGGCCATTTCAATTGCCTGCTCGTCGCTAGGAAGGTCGCTTGGAGCCCATTCACTCCACCAATGTCCACCCATCATGACCGTCAGTTTTGTACCTGGTGCGGTGTCCTGCAACACAATCTCTGGATCATCTTCGGGGGGATCTGGATCTAGTGGGCCACCCCGGTCACTGTCGATAGAGATAAAGTGAGGGCCAGCGGATCTGGGGGCGATTGAATCAGACCGACCAGATGTCTCGGAACTGAAAATAACGCCCAGTGCACGTTCCGGATTCTGTTCGAGCGGCACAGAGCGCGGAATAAGGTACCCAAACCCTCTGACCGAGGGAGGCAGCAAATTCGGGTTACTGTAGTACAGATTGACCACCATGACATTGACAGAGGCATCACTGTGTTCACAGGCATTTGTGACCTTAGGATCTAACGCCGAACCCAAAACTCGAGCGCTGCTGGATAGAAACTGCTTCAATGTCCCGGGCCCCAGTGTTGAAACAACATAATCATAGTTTGAGGTGATTCCAGACGGATTGAGCCTCACGGAGACTTGATTCTTGTTTTCATTGAACACGACATCTTCGACTGGACTTGACTGCAAAATGGTAATGTTCTCGTTTTTCCGAAGCTCTCGTTCCAACGAAGAGGTTATCTGGCCTAGCCCCCGCCTGAATGTAAAAACACTCATTTCGCCGAAGCTGTCCAAGTTCGGTATTCTTTTGTAGTAGGTCTCCAGTGACCTGAGCGCAAGAACCTGCCGGTTCGCGTGTAGAACCCCATCAACAGGATTAAGAGTAACGCGGTTTGCCATGTTGGATAAAATCTCCATCAGGATGCCGGGTGCTTTTTCTCGGTCTCGCGTTTCAAGATGCCACAACTGCGGTAGTAAGGTCCTAGCGCTGAGCCTGTAAATGTCGCCGGCGAAAATTCCGTGACACACAGCAGAAAGGAGGTTATCCGCAACGTTCTTGTCAAATCTTCGAGACACGAAATCTCCGACGGATTCGTCCCTCACATTTTCATCGCGGGGAGGCACCCACGGTTCTCTCAAGCATCTCCATATTCCATCGTACAGGGGTTCGGTGAGCACGTTGTTCACAGCCCGGAGCAGCTCCAGGAGCGAAGTCTGTCTATTCAAGACAGGTAAACGAACAAGATGATCAGGATAGTAGATGTATCGATTGAGGGCAGCCGGGCTCGACTTTGATATCGCGACGAGATCTTTGCCTATGCGAAGTTGCGCAAGCTAAGAAACCATTTTAGCAACACGGGCAAGAAGACTCTCGGTGTTGTGCTTACCAGCTCCAGCATAGCAAGCGGCGCAGGCCCAAGCCCGGCTCTCAGCGTTCGAGGACCCCATTCAAAAAGAACCTCGCCCTTGTCTACCCGAACCACTTCTGAATCGACCCATCCTCCAAGCCTATTGCTCTTCTCCAGTATTGTGATCTTTGCAGTGGGCAGTTGGCTGCTCAACAGGAAGGCTGTAGCAAGACCCGTAAAGCCTCCCCCCAGAATGGCTATCTCTCGGGCATGTGGGTTTGGAGGAGGTAGTTCATCTTTACCACCAGGATGGCGTATCTTGATGTAGCCATGGCCGGCCGTCGTATGAAACGTACGGAGGAAGGTCGGCGTCGCTCGAGGCTGCAATGCGTACTTTACGACATTTTGGTAGGGAGCATTACAGCCACCCACGCGCATATCCAGAGGATACACACCGAACGGTGCATGCGGAAGAGGTCACGGAATGAAATCTAGAAGGGATCTGGAGACTGCGGAGGAGATGACAGGGGCATCAATCGGGAATTTGAATCCGTTCTACCAAAATTTTGGCGAGATGGTGCTGGTCGGCTCGGCTCACTTGCCGCAAATCCACCTACTTGTGAGGAAGTCCGCTTCCGCTCCTTCGCCCTTGCAAGGCGGCGTTTGGCAGATGTCGCGCAGAAGGCGAGAAGGATTCTCTCCCAGACCGGAATCAAGACGTCGGCTGCATCACTGAGGGCGCTTGCTGCTGGCTGTGGATGTCTCATGCCTCGATCCCCACACATCCACACAGGCTGCAATTCTCAACCATTTGATAAATCCAGTAGCCATTGATCATCTTCCGTAGCTCTTCAGCACACTCCCATTTCATGCAGTGGCCATGGCTGCTGCGGTGGCTTCCGCGCCGGAGGTTCGGCGAGGACAGGTTCGTAGACAGTCTGGAAAAGTGGTAGGGTTTCACCTCGCCGCCTGAGCTGGAGATCAGCCCACCAGCCCCAAAATCAAGCACCTGTCTACACATCGTGGAACAGCGGCCGCATCAGCCCCTCAACCGACCAAGTTGGTCGATGAAGCAACTTCATTTACAGGTTCAGAAGTGTCTGCCTGCAACTCTGGACCATCGTAGCCCAGCTTCTTCAGATCACGCAGCAGTTCGCCTTCTTTTCCGATCTTCATGATCTGGTCATGCGACAGCTTCTCGCCGGCCGGCCGCTTTTCTCTCAGCTCACGGACTGCACGTAACTTCTTGAGCTGGTTGCGGATTTTCTTTTGTTGTCCCACGTCGGCTTCGGCGGCCGGTTCCTCGTTGGTTGCCAGTTTCGAGGGATCGTGCCAGTTTTCCTTGCCCTTGGCTCGTCCCGAGATATCGGCGTTTTGCATCGCTAATGTGAGTTCGTCTTCTCCGTCCTCAGCTGACCCCTCTGCTGCTGCCCTCCTTCGTGCGGCCTCCCTGCGTTTTGCGTTCTTGCTCAGTGCGGGAGACTCGTCTTTGGCTGCAGGGGCCGACTCTGCCCCAGGTACGCCACCTTGACTTCTGTTCTTCCATGCTTCGGCGCTCCTATTCTTGTAGGTTTCGACGTCTTCCGGCGGCCTGTAGCCCGGCCTCACTCGGATCTCTTTCCTAGTGGACCCATCCGCCCGTTTCGAAGCCGGAATATACGAAGCACCATCTGCAGTGGTCTGTATGCCAGATTTGCTGGCTCGAGGCGTGCCAGACGGTCGGCTCGACATAGTGCGGGGACAAGTGGCGGAAAGGATTTCAGGGGGACGTTAACATGGCGAACTCCTCTGCCGCTCCAGAAGTTTCGCGGGCACGCAGCCGAAGGCTTCCTGAACTAGGCCTTCGGACAGCGAAGAATGCGTCGCGAGTACCGGGTAATCTCGGTGGCTTTAGTGGAACTCGTAGTAAGTGGGGGAAAAAAACATCAAAAAGAGATGTGAATGATGGGTGATGGGCCGTGCTTTTGGCCCTGGCTGGTGGTGGGTGGGTCAAAGGTGAACCTGGAGCGAAACTCCGCACCTGGTGGGGAGAGAAATGGGCACCAGACTCATTGCTGGGCTCGCGGCGTACGTGGTTCATATGTCTCAGAACCTAAGACAAGTTGGCGTTCCTTGCCGGCGACACTTCGACTTGGTCAGCTTGAGATTAAAACATTAAGATTCAACTCAGAAATACTGCCACTTGTTCCCTGTACTCCGTAGTTAAATGCGGCTCTACTGCCAAGACATTACACTCAGCCTCCCTCGCACCTTCGTGGGGAAGCGATCGGTCTGAGAGCTAGCCTCTCTCGGTCACTTAAACCTACCTTAATACTCGCTAGGTATCACGCATCTGGTGTTTAGTACTGGGTAATGAGGTAGAATATCTTCTAACTTGGTCACGGCGGCAGTGGCTGCCTAGGCTTCACAACATCTCAAAACCTGCGGCTCAGCAATGTAATGGCGAATGCAATTACCTCTTCAGTGCTTTGTGCTCCATGTAAAACTATCTTTGCAGGCGGCGGTGAGCTGTTCCCAGGAGAAGCTCGTGAATTCTTTCACCATCGCTCGGCGAATACCTTCAGGCAGGCGCTGGCGGCCAGATATCATCTCTGCTCGATCTTGAGAAGCCTCTTTCCACCTCACCTTCACCAACTCGACTGGAGATATCAGCCGTCAACCGATGATAAACCACTTCCTTTTGACGAATGGATGGAGTTGTCAGATACGCTTTCCTCTGAAAAGACGGACATCCTCGCACTGAAGCTGTCGGCACGCCGTCACCACGATACACCAGTCCGGGTGACTGCCCGTACCTGGCTTATGAACTGCGTGAAGAACCAGAGCTCGTCTTGCCCTCTCCAAACCCCAGCTCCTCTACCATAACTGTTGGAAGCTCAAAGTAGCGCATTGTTAGATTACGCTGTACTGCTTAGGTAGGCATGAAGGGCGAAGAATACATGACTCTTTCCCATTGCTGGGGTGATCCCGAAAGATGTTCAAATTGACGAAAGCTAAGCTCAACGCTTGAATCTGCGGAATGGCATTGGAGCATTTCCCCACAGAAGTTCCGTCACGCGCTTGAATTTGTGTCCTTTTGCGGCATCAACTATTTATGGATCAATGCTCTTTGTATCATGCAGGACGACAAAAATGACTGGTCAATGGAAACCCCATTAATGGTTCTATATACTACAACGCCTTCTGCAATCTCAGTGCCGCCAACTCCGATGGTCCGGAAGGCGTCTTGTATGTCCGTCAAGACCCTCTGCTCGTTGCACCTCTCTGCATCTCGCTGAATCTAGATACGTGGAAAAGGACCAATGTAAGCCCCGGACAGCAGTACGTCTGTGTTGCAGAGTCCTTGTGGAAGCGATGTGCTGATGAATCCTCAGTGAATGATCGGGTTTGGGTCATGTAGGAACGGTTGCTGTCTCCCCGCAAAATCTTCTTCGCAAACCAGCAGCTCTTTTGGGAATGCCGCTACAACGAAGCTTGAGAAACGCTCGCAGATGGCACATCGCAGGATCTGTCAGGAACTTGAGGCTTTAACATTCAACGATTGGTCAGCTGTTGCTCCAACGATGGAGTGGTCCAACCGTATCATCTACTGATACCAAGCTTAAAAAGGATCTTCCAAGGCTTTGGGGTGATTTTCTGAAGTTGTACACCAGATGCAGGCTAATTTTACAGGGTTGACCGGACAATAACTATAAACGCAATTGCAGAATGTCTAAAAACCGTCCTGGAAGACGAATGCCCTTTTGGAATATGGCGCAATGAATTGCCTTACCAACTGTTCTTTGAATACGATCCCGCAGTACACCACGACTCCGAAGACTCAATGTCCGAACTCAAGGACCTTACTGCCAATCCCAGAGGACCGAACTGGAGCTGGGCATTTCACGACGGAGCACTAAGTCAGGCACCTTCCTCCGGCTGGAAGGTAAAAGAAGGTAGGATCCCTTTGGTCTCAATCGTGGACTTCAAATGGGGCAAGGATGCAGAAATCATCCTCGGCGGTGAGAAGCTCAACCACTATGCATCTTATCCACAGCTCAAGGGTTTTGTGTTACGATGCACGGAAAATCCAGAAAGAAGTGGCCCAGAACGTAATCACTATCGGCACTTCAATTGTACTAGTGCATCTTGGAGACTGCTCCATGCCTGCAGTGGTGCATTTCGATCAGAATATTCCACCAAACGGCTTTATCCTGCCATCGTTCTGGTTCTACTGGTCCGGTCACGGTAAAGCAATCATCCTCACTAAGTTACGACGTACAGGTCCCTACGTGTACAAAAGATCGGGTTTTGTTGGTGCCAATATAAGACTGTGGACTGCTTTCAAAGAATACAAGGAGTCAGGAGTGGAAGAAGAGACTTTCTACTTGGTCTAGCCACTGACACGCGCTGACACACGCTGCCCTCTGGCATATTTACTGTGTCAATCACTCGGTCCAAAGCTGTCCGCTCACATTCCTTTTCGGCATTGGGCTCGGCAATCGAAGAAGCGGGTTATCAGCGACAGCGTGAGACGACACAAGCGTAACGTCTACACTGAATCGTGCGCCCCGAATGGTCTTCGGTATCAGTCGATACGTTGGGCGGGGAAAGGGTATGTCATTTTACGGAGCCAATAATCAAGTCATAGTGAAGGCAAGAATGGCCGTTGTCACCACCATAGCGAACTCCATCGCGAACTCACCCTTTTGCAGAGAATTTGTGTGCATTCGTGTAGGAATTGGAATCTCTTCAACTCCTATCTCCAGACGTGATTTAGGACTTTCAGGTGCAGCGAGAGATATAGTTATAATAGCCATGACCACAACCGCTCAAAGCACCAAAGGAGACCAGCATCTATGCTGATAGTTAGAGGACCGACGGCAGCAACCGACGAAAAGGGGGAGTGAGAGGTCAGTGGCTTGTTGGCGATCAGCGTCGGGCCGCTCGAAGGTTTCAGTCGAGAGGATAGATTTTGGAGAAGTTCTCACAGCAGGCTGTTCTCCGCGTCAGGTAAGTTCGTGCTCGAGTGTCGTTTCGTTGAGCAGACAAGCGAAAACTGAGAGGAGAGCGGTAATGTAGGTAAGAGAGTGCAAGGAGCATGGCGAAGTAGGACCGAGCCACTCGAGCCTCGAAGCGTATGCTCAGCGACGCCGCTTTTGAAAAGTCTCTCGCTTTCATTGGATACGCTTACAGCGTTAAACTTGGAGGACCAATTATTGTTTCCATTTTCTGTCTCCACGGGGGCGGCTTTGGCGAGCAGGAACTGATCAAAACTGGTCTAAGGGGTGAGAACAGGGCGGCATCACTTCTGCTCCAATTCGGGCTACTTGCCCTGCTTGCCTTCTGGCTTGGCTTCCGAGCTCTTGCGGCAAAGCTCGTTGAAGGTCTTCAGTTGATTCTGAGCTGCTGAAGAAACTTCCTCGCGTTCCCCTCATTGAGACTCCCAAGCCCTAAGCAGCCGCTACTCGTGCAAAGATGCCTGCTGTGGTATGTCTCTGCCTCCTGAGATCTATGTCGCAGTTCAAATACTGACTAGCCATCGCAGTCTCAGATTTCCAGCGGCATCTTCAAGTACGAGCCCCCTTCCAGCTATTCCGTCCCTACTCCTGCTCACTCCCTCACAGTGGCCTGATGCGCAAAAATGCTACCTGGTTGACGACTATCTTTCTTGGCGCCTTCACATTCGAACTGTGAGCTCGTCTTCGTGGCGATATCCTTTCTACTCCGAAGCTGATACACTTCGCAGAGCGTTCGAGGGTGTAACGAACTCTATGTGGGACAACTGGAACAAGGGTGTACGTGCTCCGTGATTGACAAGTTTGTGGAACGCAGACTCTGACTGTACAAAACAGCGGCAATGGAAAGACATCAAGCACAGATACATGCAGCAAGCTGAAGAAGAGGAAGAGGAGTAGTCGGGCCACTACAGTACATTTGGAGTACGGAGTTGCCGTCAAGGCCGAAGGACCCCGATGCAGCAAGGAGAGGAGAAGTCACCTGCAAGGCAAAAGACCCAGGAAGACTCTGTACATAACCATAAACAACGAGAACGAACCTGAATTCGAGACCAACCCCATGATCTTGCCAACAATACCATTCCCCACGAGTTTCAGAGGCGGAACTACAAGTAGGCAATATCTGTGTTTCGGACGGCCTCATTGAAATAGACCGGCTCACCTTATCGTTGAAAGAGTACCAATGATACAAATCGGGTACAATGTTGTGGCGGCATGCCCGACGGAGACAGTCAATACCAAAAGAGATCTCTTGGTCTTTGGTCTGGAACTCTGATAGTGATATGCGCTAGACCTTGGGAAAGAGAAGAGAGTTGAGTGACAGGTTTCACGGATACCAGTAGAACATGCGTCCCATCTCGTGACCGTCCTTATGATGTTCCCGATTAGAACACTACTTGTTAGGTATGGAATCCGGGGACAGAAGCGTACCGAAGATGAGGCGGGCATATTCGCCTCGCCGGCTTGGCCTCCAGGTAACGCATCGCCCATGCTTGGTAGTCGTTGCATCGCAGCCTTCGTCCCGCTTCCCTTCGTCAAATCGTAACAGAACTCCTGCTTTCCCTCCCGCAATCTGCAATATACGATCCGCGAGATCCCATCCACTACCGGAGCCCGAAATCTGAGTGAAATCTGAGTTGAGAAACTACCCCAAGTACAATCAACCCTGTTCAGCTGGAAATAGCCAAACAACTGCGCAAGAAACAATCTTGCCATCCCCGCCTGCCCTCCCATCTATCCACGCAGCCAGTTCCCAACGGTACCCTTCTCTGCCGGACTACACTGCTCGTGCATGTCCAAATGTGGGCCACAGGCACCACGGGACTCTCATCATGACAACGCCAACCTCCAGCCTGGACCGCCAACTCCGCCAGGCTCTCTGCGATCACCCGCGGCAGCATGACTATCGCTACGATGCTAGTGCCAAAAACAGTCTCCTAGAGATCCTCTTTCGGTCTCTGACCAACGATCGAGCAGATTACTTGGACGATCTCTTCCCCCAGGGCTTCCCTTCCTCATTCAAGCTTCAAGACGCGCAGGGAGTACAAGAGAATGCTGAATACAGTGCTGCTGCTAGAGGTCATCCATGCGGACACATTTTCAAGCCGGGAGAGGCCAGCTATCATTGCAGTACCTGCACCGACGATACAACAGCCGTCCTTTGCTCGCGCTGTTTCATTGCAAGTGACCATGAAGGACATCAGTATAGCGTAAATGTCAGTGCAGGAAATAGCGGATGTTGCGACTGCGGTGACGACGAAGCTTGGAAGAGATCTGTAAAATGCGCCATTCATACAGCGAGTGACGACTGGACAACAACCGACGAGCATGTTTCTCCCTTGCCGGCAGATTTGCAAGAGTCTATTCGTATCACAGTCAGCAGAGTTTTGGATTACTTCTGTGATATCATATCATGTTCTCCGGAGAACCTGCGGTTGCCCAAGACGGTGGAGTCGGTGACCCAAGACGAAGTCAGAAGTCGGCTTTCTGCAGAGCACTATGTTTCAGGGGACGAGATCGAAACCAATCCTGATTACTGCTTGATCATCTGGAATGACGAGAAGCATACAGTTCGTGAGGTCCAGTCGCAAGTGGCGCGAGCATGCCATCAGCGTGAGGCGTTTGGTTTGGCCAAAGCCGAAGAAGCTAATGACGTCGGCAGGAGTGTGATTAAGCACTCTCGCGACCTCAAAGAGCTGACGAGAATGGCGAAGATCATCGAAGAAATCAAAGTAACAGTCACGATCAGGTCGTCTAGGGATACTTTTCGAGAACAAATGTGTGGCACAATCATTGAATGGCTTGGTGATATTGCCGGTTCTAGCATTGCAGGAGATGGCCATATCCTACGGCGCGTTATTTGCGAGGAAATGCTCCAGATCTGGCGGATCGGTAGTGAGGCTTGGAATGCCAAGGTGGGGAGAGAAGATCTAGATGATCATGGCGATGAGGACGATCGCGACTTCAGAAGGAGGTCAAGGCGCCGCTATTTCCACCCCATTCAATTCGCAATGCAAAGAGCAATCGTGAGGGAAATCCTGGTTGACGATGAAGCTAGTGACGGGAACGAGACTGGGGAGGTTGATGATGACGAAGAGGACGAAGATGAAGACGACAACGAACTAGTCGACATGGATGATCGAGAAATGAGCGATCTCATCCTCACAGCGGCGGGTTTCGATGCGCCACATCCTCTGAATCTCTTCGAACAGCAAGCAGGCGATGCGGATGTTACAGATGATGCTGAGGAAATGGACACCGACGGCGACGGGGAGTTCTTGGATATTGCCGAACGAATGGACATGGACGGACCGTCGCCTCCACCGCCAGCTCTTCCTACTCAGGATATCGGAGACCCTGGAAACAATGTGACAATGGGTGGGGATGCATCCCCCACGGACCCAGACAGGAATGCCAATTATCTCAACATACCTAGGACGCCTGCAGTCTCTGCCCGGACTACACACCATCGATCCACGCCGCCAAACCACTGGAAATTGCCTCCATCAAGTCAACCTCCGCAGAATACAACTCTCCCCGTCTATGAGGATCTCACGAAGAATATCCGGGTGGACTCCATGATCCTCTTCGATTTGCGCTTGTGGAAACTTGCAAGGACAAATATCCGAGATCTTTTCATCAGCACACTTGTCAACATTCCTCAATTTAAGCGTATCCTTGGACTTAGATTCTCTGGCTTGTACACAACCCTCGCCCAGCTCTACCTGGTGGCAGACCGCGAACCAGACCATTCCATCATAAACCTGTCATTGCAGTTGTTGACCACGCCCTCTATCACGGAAGAGGTGATTGAGCGGGGGAATTTCCTCACAAACTTGATGGCCATTCTTTATACCTTCCTGACTACCAGGCAAGTGGGATTTCCGAAGGACCTTGACCCAGGGGCCACCCTAGGCTTCGATGCCGGGTCCGTTGCCAACCGTCGACTCTACCATTTCTTCTCTGATTTGAGATATTTTCTTGCCTCACCATTTGTACAGGCCAAGGCCCGGAGCGAGCCACAATATTTGTTCCAGTTCCTCGACCTTGCCAAACTGTCCCAGGGCATCTGTCCTAACGTGCGGGCTGTGGGGGAGCATGTTGAATATGAAACAGATGCCTGGATCAGTGCCTCTTTATTGACCCGCGACATCAACAAACTATGTCGACAGTTCGCAGAAGCATATTATGTCTCGAGGGACAGCAACCCTTCGGCCCTTCGCGCAACTTGGGATGCAATCTCGCATGCTGCAGGTATCGCAATCATAAATTCTGTCGGGCTCGAGCGGCGGCGGTTCGAGCAGGCGGAGATTAAGGAACCTGTCCGATTTCATACTGTAGCTCCTTACGGCTACAAAGTTGTCGACTTCGTAGTCGAGAAAGGCGCCTTAAGTTTCCACCATCCGTTGCACTATACGCTCTCCTGGTTGTTGGAATGCGGCAAGGATTTCAAACAGTCCATAACCACCCTCCGAGACACCGCGCAGACATTCTTGTCACACCTACACGACACGCCGCTGGGTCCCCGGGATAGCACAATCAAAAATGCCCTCAATTCAGTCGACGATGCACTTCTTGCAATGTTCGACTTCCCACTTCGTGTTTGTTCCTGGTTGGCGCAGATGAAGGCTAATCTTTGGGTTCGAAATGGAATGAGTTTGCGCCATCAGATGGTACAGTACAAAAGCGTCGCACATCGTGACGTCGGACACCACCGAGATCTGTTCCTTTTGCAAACTGCACTTGTGGCTTGTGACCCCAGTCGAGTACTTGCGTCGATGATCGATCGTTTCGGCCTTTCTGCTTGGATGCGAAGTGGCTTCGACTCCCTCGAGATTTGCGACGACAACCAGATGCTGGACCTTGCAGAGGATTTTGTATATCTCTTGATCAATCTACTGTCCGACCGAGACGCTCTCATTTCCGGCCGAGACAACCCCGAGTCTCAACTTCTTACGCTTCGAAAAGACATTGCTCATACACTCTGTTTTAAACCGTTGTCATACTCTGACCTCTATTCTCGCCTGACGGAAAGAGCACAGGACCACGAACAGTTACAGGAAGTTCTTGAGCAGATGACCAGGTATCGGCCACCAGAGGGTCTACACGACTCTGGCTTATTTGAGCTGAAAGAAGAATATCTGCAAGAGCTGGATCCATATAACTCCCACTTCACGAAAAACCAGAGAGATGAGGCAGAGAACATTTACAAGAAGTGGATGGGTAAGAAGTTGCACAAACCACCGGAAGATATCGTCTTGGAGCCCAAGCTGCACCGTATCCCATGCGAGGCGTACACCAGTCTCTGTGCTGTTGTCAACACCACTCTTTTCGCAGATGTTATTCACAAGGCTCTGATCTACGTCGCCCAAGGCCATAAGTCCAAAGCCGGAGTTTCGGGAACACGTGTCGAGGCGTTTCTTCAGATCGTTCTCCAACTTGCGCTTATTGCTACATTAGAAGACAATTCCACGGACGATGCACCTGACGGTGCCTCCTTCGTTCGGCATGCCATGAAGCTAGAACTAGAATCCCACAATAGCCTACCATCCACCATCATTGCGATGCTATCCAAGATATGGCTCATGGAAGAATTCAGCTCTTGTCGAAGCAAAATCAGACATATGCTACGACTTTTCCATCAAAAGCTGCCCCATCAATTCACTACCGCAACTCGGAACTTGGATTTCCCATCAGGCAGATTCGACACAGCATCTCCCGCTAACGTTGAAAGCGAGATCGAGGCCAAGAAGAAACAAGCAATGGAACGAAAAGCAAGAGTCATGGCTCAGTTCCAACAGCAGCAACAGAGTTTTATGGACAAGCAAGGCATGACCGACTGGGGTGACGAAGACCTGGAGTCTCCCGATGAAGAATTACCAAAATCGACGGAGACTCGGAATTGGAAATATCCTGCTGGATTATGTATCCAGTGTCGTGAAGATACGTCCGATTCAAGATTTTACGGCACGTTTGCTATGGTCACCGACGCTCACATCTTACGGCAAACGTCTACGTATGACGTAGACTTTGTTGGTGAGCTCTTTGCGATCCCTGAGAACCTCGACCGCTCTATCGAGAGTATCCGGCCATTTGGGGTTTCTGGCTCCAATCACGAACAGGTGAAGCGTCTGACAGCCATGGGCCAGGAGGTCACGGTTGATTTTCAAGGTTTGGGTAAAGGTTGGCCAACAGGCTGCACCATGAAAGGTCCGGTCTCTACCAGCTGTGGCCATATCATGCATTTCACGTGTTTCGAGAACTATTATCAGTCGATTACACGGAGACACTCACAACAGGTTGCCAGGAACCACCCCGAAAGGATATCGTTGAAGGAGTTCGTGTGTCCCCTTTGCAAGGCGCTTGCAAACTCGTTCCTGCCGATCATATGGAAACACTCACAACAATCTTATCCAGGAGCCCTTGCTGTTTCGCAAGATTTCGACTCCTTCTTGTACAATATCCTTCCGTCGGTTGACGCGCCGACCGCGGATCTGGACCCTTCGTTTGATGCCCATGCTTCACAGAACTACTTACAGACTCTGGCAACATTCTCCAACAGCTCCTTGGCCCCAGCCGTAGCTCGCTGGCAATCAGGTGATCTCACCATAAGCCCGACGAGCCAAGCATGGGCCGAGCGACCAGAGCTGGCAGCTTTTGCAGAGCTCGCAAGCATCTATGGTCGGCTTCGAGAAACTCTCACGATAGTCGCAGCGACGAGCCAAACTGCGGCTCCGAGAGAGGACTCGAATCTGAACCACTTTCAGCTCCTGGTCAATACATTGGCAAATACGATAGCCTCGGTCGAGATCGGCCACAGAGGCCGCGAGGCTGAATTCGGCACTTCGTTGTTGACAAGCATACCACAGCAGACGCTCAGCCACTTACAAACGGTGTCATCCACGTTGAGCGCCTATGCGGCTACTGGGGCCTTGACTGTCCGTGGTTCCGTCGAGGCTCAATACAGAGAACTTTGCGGACAGCTCGAGCGTCAGTTGGCTGGGACAACGGGAACTATGACTCCATCAACCGAGTCTGAGAGGGTTTTGCCTCTCCTTTGCATGGATCCTTTCCAGTTTCTCGTCCAGACAACGATAGTGCTTAGCCCTATTCGACATTTGGAACTCCGCCACGTTTTGCAAATGGCTCTGACCATCGAGCTCCTCCGTGTGGTTGTGGCGTTTCTTTACAATCCCACAGCTCTTCTAAAGGTGGGTGAGAAGCTCACTCAAAACCAGATTCGGCATGCTAGCCTTCAAACCACGGAAACAGAGCAGCTGCGCAGCGTGGAAAACATTGCTTTATGGGTGGGTAATCAGATCCAGCAAATCGACGAAGGTCACCGCGTCGAGGGTGCACTGCAACACATGTCACCAAGCATGGCTGGGATGTTGTTCAAGCTATGCAAGGTGTATGGCCTGGCTTTCCTCCGAAAATCTGCCATCTTCTTTCACGTCGCGCACGGCGTCGACTTCCCAACCACAGCAGGCTCAGAAGCTGGGTTGTCGGAGCTAGAGCGTCTATGCCATCTCTTACATTTGCCAAATGTTGGTGAGATTCTCACGTCATTTAGCGAGTATTCAGCTTGCGCCGCTCTGAAAGATCGGGCAGCCATTTGGCTACTAGATTGCATACGTTTCGAACTGAAGACCAAGGCGATGCCTCAGCTCGTTAGGCACCCACTGAGTATCCAACTGCTGCACCCGGCGCCGTTTGAATTGATTGGGCTTCCGAAGTATTTTGATGTGCTGATGGAAGAAGCGCACAAACGAAAATGTCCTACCACGGGTAAAGAGGTGTCGGATCCTGCTCTCTGCCTCTTTTGCGGGGAGATATTCTGTTCCCAGACGGTCTGCTGCCAGACGAATGACAAGCGCGGCGGCTGCAATGCTCATGTCGAAAAATGTTCGAGCCCGATCGGTATGTTCCTCTTTATACGGAAATGTCACGTAGCACTACTGCATGTTACAAAAGATTCCAAGGCTACTATTGCCGATGCTGTCCGGCGAGGTCATGGGTTGTCACCAAGTTCTACTATGAGCCACGGATCCTTTTTCCCAGCACCATACTTGACTAAACATGGGGAGACGGATTCGGGGTTGAGGTCGAAACACCAGTTGATTCTGAACCAGAAGCGATATGACAAGCTGCTGAGAGACACGTGGTTGATGATCAATGGCAGCGTCTGGAGCACAATTGCTCGGAAACTGGAGAGCGAGGTCAATGCTGGCGGATGGGAAACACTGTAAACACACAAACTGGGCGGACCTCATGATAGGAGTTATCTCGTTTGGGTCGTTGTGAGTTGGAGTACCAGACTATGATGAGAAAGTAAGGGGGCCACCGATGGCGTTGCCGAGTACAGAGGTGATTATCCTTCAGAGTCTGAAGGCCCTTGTTGTGATATCCACGATAATATGATGACACAAGTGATATACCAAGTGCTCGGTACATAATTACGTGCCACTGGCATAGCAACATGCCAATGGACGCGAGGCTGCCAAGCCTTGTGATGGTTTCAAGTGGGCGCTTAATAGAACTTCACTAACCCAAATGGGGCCAGCATGATTGGCCTGTAACTCTTCTTCTCACGTTTCATCACTCGCATCCCATCTCCAATCGCACTCATCACACTTGTTGTCCCGGTTGTCTTCGCCCTGTCGACCCCAGGACCGACCTCAGAGGCCACCGGTCAGAGGCAGTGCATTTGCCCGGCACACCGTTCGAGATGGCGCCGTCCAAGGGTCGGCAGCTATGCAGACGCCCATCCTGTTCAACATAAGCTGGGTCGATACCGCAGGAGAAGACCAGAAAACCTCTACTCAGGACGTCTTTCTGTTTTCTCGCCACTTCTGCTGCTCGGAACTGTCCTCCATATTCTATAAACAAGTCGCTTTCCCTCTCCCCTTGGCAATCGAAAAGCGCAGGACGAAATTCTCCTTCAAGGAGCCATAGTGACCATGACTTCACCACTCGCACGACCATCACGGCACGTCCTTGCGCTTCTTCTATGCCTCGACTTTCTCGAATATTCGCGGGCCCTTGCACAGTCTGGTGATGGCGGTGGAGCTCAGGGCGTGGAACCTGGCGACATCGGCTCCAGTCCTGGAAGTTCCACAGAAGACGCTGGGGCTGCAGGTCCGGATACTGGCTCGGTAAACCTGAGCCGGGGGGCTACGATCGCAATTGCCCTGGTTGTTAGTATCATAGTTGTCCTAAGTGGTGAGACTCTCCCTCGATGACCTAGAATCATCCTATGCCTTTGAGTACTAGTCGAACGTCCTAACATGGTGGATTTTCACCTTTCGCAGGCACGATGACCGTTTTGTTCTTCTTGGCAAAGAAGAGACAATGGAAGATCAAGGAAAGCATTCGGCGGTCAGCAAGAAGATTCACGAGCGCGGTCAAGGCCGTTACGACACCAATTACGCCCAAGAAAACGACATTCTCTCCAGTTGAGAAGAGACGACTGGCCGAGGACACATTGAAGAACGCGAACGATCAATTATCAAAATCCAAATCGGATGCGGCCAATGAAAAGAAGCCAGGGAGCGGAAGCCGATCGTCGTCGACAGGCAGTATTCGCGATCTCGAAAAGGGACAGACTGATTCTGCTGTCAAGGTCGAAACAAGAAGGGAAAACGACACGGCAGGAGGCACGGCTGCAAAGAAGGATAAGGAACGGCCAAGGCTTCCCAGTGTCACCATTCCCTCTTCGGCCTTTGAGATGGACAGCCCGAAGACGCCCTTGTGGAAGAGAGTATTTGGACGATAGAGAGGTTGTCCGGAACGACCTGAAGCGAGACTCTGAGGTTTGACTGTACGAATTAACGAATTCCTCCAGGCGAGTACCAATATTGAGAGAGTGTGGTTAGAGAACGTATTGATATGTCGGATATGCCTCTTCTTGAAATGATACCATGGCAATGAACAGAACAGGCAGACAGACTTGACTCTCTCTGTTCGCATCTTTTCCAATTGCTTCTCTCCGCGGCCTCCTCTCTTCAGGGCATACAGAGCGTTTTCATCGATTACCTGGATTGACAGGCAGTTCCGAGATTGGCATTCTGCAACAGTGATCAACGGTCAGGTTTTCCGGCATCAGAAGGTGCCCCGTTCGCGATTCACTGTTCAGCTGGAGCCTTCAGCGGAAGAGTGCGTCGCCTCAACCCTCTGATCGATGGCCCTTCACACTCCTATGAAACTATGAGATTTGGTCAGCAGTCCGAGTCTCTGAGACCAGACGACTCGTTGCTGATGGACATATGTCGAAGCATTATATGACTCGTGCCTTGGGAGTTTGTCATGTTGGCGCAGTTGGCAGTGGCCTCAGTCTTGGCTTTGTAGACTGCCATTGCCATTGCCACTGCCAATGCCACTTGCTAGTCCACCTCCTTCAGTCTCCTCCCTCGTCACCTCACTCTCAGGTTTCCTCAGCCCTTGTCAGCACTCGTCCAATGTTGTGCAATGGCTTCAGAATCCCACACGCCACAAAGCACTCAGGTTAAGGCCATGTGTGACCAGCTACAAGAGGACTCTCACGTAGACGACATACATGGCATTGAAGGTCAGGCCATGCTGCCACAACACGCTTCTTCTAGCACCCACACTGACGCAGACGATCTAGAAGACCGGACCACATCCATTGAAGCAACTCCTGAAGCACCGTTCAAGGATGACCATGATCCTGGGCACAGCCACATCAGCCGCCTTCCCGCTCTACTTGGAAGAGAGGGTACGGGAGTTGTATCGAGTGATGAAGTTCAATTCGAGTTTGCACCTATCCAAACGAGTCATCTCAACCACCAACATATGAAGTCTTCCAATAGTGTTGATAGGAGAGTTTTCAATGGCCGGCGCTCTATGCCTTCACCAAAGATCCATACTCTAACAAGAGCGAGCTCCATTACCGATATGGCGGACAGTGTGGGTGTAGGTCCAATGCATGAATCGAGGGTTTCAAAGACTCCAAGGAGACACCGTCCAAAACCGAGCCAACTTCGTCGGGTGCATCAACACGGTACTACCGGAACCCTCCCTCAGCCATCAGAAGAAGATCTGCTTTTCCTTCTCATGTCCCGAGCACGAGAAACACAAAAATCCCTGGAGAGGCTGGTCTTCCTTGAACACGAAAATCAGAGCCTCCGACAATTTCAAGGACAGACAGATGCAGAGCTTCGACAGATTGCTAAGGCGCGAGACGAATGTGCTCAATATTCTGAGCTTCTCAGCCAGAGCTTAGACGTGTTCAGAGAGAAGTACTACAAGTTGAAGAAATGGGCGCTGGAGACAAACAAAGACTGCCAGATGCTGCAGCAAAAGGCCGCAGGGTTCCAACAAACTCTCATAACCTTGGCCGAAGACAGAGATCAACTGCTTATGCAGCTGCAGGAAGTTCGGTGCTCTTCAGGCTTGACCTCAGAGCGAATGGAAAGCATCCGGGAAGGAATTCGTGAGGCCAAATCAATGGCGGAAAATAGCGGTACAACTATCAAGCAGTTGGATGCTTTCGCCATAGCTCAAGACGAGCATTTGAGGAGCGAGAAGCAGAGATGTCGAAAGTTGGAGGCTCATATACTTCATTTGGAGCAGGAGAAAAATAAGCAGAATATCAAACTTCACCACCAACACCAAATCACCAATCAAGCACTGCAGGATATCTCCAAACAGCTCGGCACACTTCAAGATGAGAGGTCGGGAGCGAATGCGGCGGCCGAACACATCAACGAGTGCTTGTATCGAATTATGTCTATGATTGAGGACAATCTTGTGGACCTGATTCGGTCGCAAGAAGATTACACATCAGTAAACGCGTCGTTCACCAAGCTTGAGGGTTCGCTTTCCGAGAAAGTTCAGGCAGCGATAGCGAGCCTCAGGCATGACTTGCAACATGACGTCTCTACTCAGGTATCGGGGTTACTATCGGAAGTACAGTCTGGTAATATTGAACTTGTGGAAGCAAAGGCAGAAATGGCTCGACTAGAAGGAAAGACAGAGCAAACGCAAGAGATCATAGAACTGCTTCGCGAGGCAAAACGCGAGGCACAGAGGCATAAGACAGAATTGCAAGACGCTAACAGGAGCCTCAGAAACAACAAGGAAGCAGCCCAGATACAAAATGAGGAGCTTCGGACTTCCTTGCGTACGGTCACAACAAAGTGGCAAATAGCATGCTCTGAGCTTGAAAAGTGCAGACAGGACAAGATCGAGAGGCAAGCTGAAGTCACTGATTTGACGATCTGTCTAAGCGAAGCCATGCAAGAGCACAACTCTCTCCGGGCCGAGTTGACGACCATCGAAGACATTTTAAGCGAGTCCAAACAGCAAAATGAACAGCAAAATACAGAGGTAGGACAGCCAGATCCGTCTGACCAGACGTTGCTAATCTGAGATAGTTGAATCACATGAGTGCTCGACTTTCAAATCTCCAGACTGATCTAGACCATGAAATACAGAGAGCACTGGCGATCGAAGACGAAGTGGCGAGAATCAAAGCCCAGGAGCTACAAACTCGACATGATCTTGACAAGTCTCGGGCAGAAACGGCTACGGCCATCGAACATCACCAAGAGTTGCAAGAGCAGATAGGTGTGCTCGAGCAAAAGTTGAGCCATGCAGATGACGATTCTCGAAAACTTGAGGAGACTCTTAATTCTCTGCGAGAAGCTACGGCTGAGCTGGAGGACCTGAGACAGCTGCGTTGCACTCTCCAAGCGCTTAACCAAGAGTCTGTATCTCAGCTCCAGCAAATTGCGGACAATTCAACAGAGATCCAAACCCTCCAAAGGCAGATCGAGAGCCTGCGAAACAGGTCTGCTCATCTCGAAGAACAAGCCCGAGAAAAGGACAGACTCGCAGAGGAGAACGCAATCATCCATAATGACCTCAAGAACCTGCGGGGACGGCTCTCTAAGCAGGAGGATTTGCAGGAGAAGCTCCAGCAGAAGATCACCGAGACTGCCATCCTGGAGTCGGCCCTTACTGCTGCTCAGGTTCAGACAGCTCGAGCCAGCGGATTAGAAACAACGAACACCTCCCTCAAGGAAGCCGTCACGTCTCTTACAGCGAACCTCAATCAATTGAATGAGCAATGCGCTCAGATTGCACCCTTGCAGGAGACAGCCAAGGAGAAGGACAATCAAATCGCGGAACTGCAGAAGCAATTGGCATCACTTAGCGGTCAGACTGACGAACTCAAGAATCTCAGAGGCGAGTTGCGACAGAAAGAAGAGCAATTGACACTCATGCAACAGCAAATCTTAAGTCTTGAGGGTGCCGTCTCCAATGCCAAACTCGATGATTACGAGGCAACCCAACGCCGACAGCAACGAAGAGGTGCGGTTCGCTCAGGAAACGCAAAGAGCTTCCATTACAATCAATTGTCTCACTCCCTGCTGAGTTCCACTGGCGGCGATGCTCAACTGCTCAATGATGACAGTCCTTTGCACTCCAGTTCGTCAAATGCTTTGACTGGTGTTATGAGCGTTGTGCCAGAAACACAAGTCGAAGTCCAAGAGACTCTACCAGTGGAGCCTGAAAGCCTCTTGCTATCTCCAGAGAAAGGGCAAGTGGACTGTGGTTCAGAACTCACCCCGACCCCTACCCCTGATGGGGAGGCCAATCTCGAAACTGTGATTCATCAAGACCTTGGCCATGGGACTAGGCGCTATGGCCGCAACCAGACGCATGTCTGGCCGAGGGGAGGGACTAGTAGCACTAGCCGCGCTCAGGAAACAGGTGAACAGGCCCTATCTAGCTCGTATGAGTCGCAAAGTGATCAAATGCTTCTAGATCAGGTCAGCCAAGGCGATTCGAAGGTTGCGAATGATTTCGACACCATTGATATCGGTCTCAACTTTACCATTCCTGGTAATAGAATTACCTCGAAGGAAGGACCCAGTCCAAGAAGATTAAGAAGTGAACTTCGGGTACGGAACGGCCAACACGCTGCTTCTCCCGACTCAAGTGCCGAGTCTCAAGGCAATCGGCCATCCACGCCTGCTATCGTGCGTGAGCGGTATCAGCCCAATTCAGCTGCCAAACGTCGAATAGATCCGGACAACGGCGAGGACAAGGCTTCTCCAGAGAATTCTAAACGTCTCAAGCGGAGGCCAGCGAACCTGGAAGCGAGGAAGCCACCACCAGCTACGCCAAAACAGAGGGTGGAAAAGTCTTCATCTCGAGGCACCGTCAGCTTTCGTAAGGACAGTACCGCCGGCAGCGGCAACAGCGTCGTAGGAACGAATGCCCCCGGCCCAGGAAAGAGTCAACGAACATCAAAACCTGCCCGTAGGGGCTCCCGCCAAGAAAAGTACGCCACTCGGTTTGCTGCGGAGACTTGATACAGAGCAAAGCAAAAGACAGTCTCAGACGAGAAGGGCATGACGAGAACAGAAAGTGAGCACGATACGAAGAAAAGGAAAATAGAGAAAGAAAAAGGGAAATTGTGTTGCGAGAAGCTCCTGTGAATATTTTGCTTTTGGCAGTAGCGATATGTGTGTTGTATGTTTTCTGCTCTTCCCATGAAGCGTCGACTCGTTGAGCTTTGATCAAAGGACTTGTCGGTCACTTAGTCAGTTAGACGCCTGCTGCTACTAAATGGTATATATGGTGTATCTCACGGGATAGATTGTTGCACAGAAAAAGGAAAGAAAAAGGCGGCAACCAAGCAAACAAATATAACATAAAAAAAGGAGAAGTCCTTTAACGGGAATAGCATAGCGTCTAAAGAGACCCCGGTTCGCAGAAGTCAATGGTTCGAGTGAGTACGTATCAGACAGGCAGAAAGACACAATCTTCATTTTCTCCTTGTGAGGCGAGAGATGGGTTTGAAGTGTGTTCAGTGTGTAGAGTGTGCAGGAAGGGGCAAGGCTGTGTTTCCAGCCTCGTCAACAGAATGGCTCAACAGGCCTTCCTGGAGAGGTGTCATGTGACTTCACAATCCAGCGACAGCTCGGCGGCCGATCTATCAACGACGTCAAAGAACCGGCAGGAAGCTGTAGTGGCTATGATCTTAGAGAATCTCTTATTGTACAGTACAGTATGGGAAATGAAGATGCAGTGCGCCTTCAACCTTCACAATAGGCACTGAATGGCCTCCCACCCTCGTGATTACTAAATATGTATGTACATACCAATGGAACAATTACGTCTTATCAGATAGGACCGGACCAGACCAGATCGTGCCGGGCCACTTATTCCAGAACAATTTCTTTCCTTCTCTTGTCTTGTCTTGTTTGGCAGCCCTTGGTTGGCGCTTGGGTCGGATGAGAACTTCAGTTCCGCATGTGGGTGCAGTCTCCTTGAAACGGAGAGTACATAGGCCCAGGCGGTGTCAATCCAGCTCGCTTCATTCCCAAGACGGCTGTTTCCTGTGTTTGCGTGTGTGGTGTTTATCTTGTGAGACGCATGGAAGATTCACACCAGCGGTGTCTCGTTTGCGACGACGGGCTGTGCTTGTTTTCTTGGCATTGAGGGATTGGGGTGGGGAGGTTTGGTCGCATGTCGATTGAGAGTGAAGAGGGATGGAGTGAAGGCGGAGTGCTGCGCTTTTCTTTCTCGAAGTGGAGGTTCCGCACAACATGATAATCAGTCTTCCTCGAGCTGGCGTGGGCTGAATCGGGATCACTGCGGCGAGCGTTGAGAATGCAATGTCAACTCGATCTCGTTCCCTGGGTACCGCTCGGGTAGCTTTGTCGAATTTGTCGTCAAACGCAAGTTTTCAGAAGATTCATCCTTCTCTCCAACCTCAGGATTTCGCTGGCTTCGTGCTCCCGTTCCTCCTCTCACTTGCTTGCTAGCTTCCATATATTTTTTTTTCCCTCTCGTTATCCCAAGCTACCATGCAACCAAGCGAAGCGAACCCTCTCAATAGTATCCGTCTTATAATTTCCTCTTTTCTTTGGGGCCGCGGCGGCAATTTTATTTCCCTCGTTTCTGTTCCAAGAACAGCACCTGCCTCTTGACTACAGGGTCGTACTTCATCATGCTCATTGGTCTCGACGTGCGAGGACGTACCATCGTCCTGTAGTACCCCGTCATGGCCATGGAGATCAGCCGGACGGCGATAGTGCGGGATTTGGCTGTGGCATAGGATGTCAGTTGATGAATAGCTGTTGGGAGAGGGTGAAAAGAGACTCGGTAGACTAAGACGTACGCTTTTTGGCCATAGCTCGCGGATGGGTCGAGCAGAGAGTGGGTTAAAAAGAGTCTATGCTAGTCAAGCGAGGGCGTTCTACAAGGGTTAACTTCTAGATGAGAGTGCAGTGATGTTGACAGAAGAGCAGGCCGTGCAACTCAATGGAGAGCTCCAAGTCGAATCTTCAGTCGGAATTGGACGCCAAGGCTGGACAAGTGGTCGGTTGATCCGCCGTACAAGCCACCCTACTTCCTATCTACGGTGGACTATTTACCGAGTATTTTTTGCCCCTTTCCAAGTTTCTTGCCTTTATTGCTCGTTGAGCCTTGCCTGGGCCGACAGAATATTAAGAGCAACGAAGGTATTGTGTGTCACCGAGGTTGGTTTTCAGGAGGTCCCTGTGGCCAACCCAATGTATTGAGAGGCAGCTTTCAAGCCCAAGCATGCCGATACACTAAAAATAGGCCATTTAATTCGCGATGATCTCGCCGCTTCGTCAGCGACCGCTGCGACACTTCCCTCCGCTATCGATAAAATGACTATCAGGCGGGACCTGAGACAGCGCCAGGACCATCCTCTGAGTTCATCGAGAATGACTCGAAATCCCTCCAGTGAATTCATTCATGCAACAAACACCCGCTTTTAGGGTACCATGCGTCGTCATGTCGTATCACTTTTGTTGTTTCCGGAGTTGACTTTTTATAACCTGCGATATGCATGCTATGCGAAATAAAGAACACTATGTACGGCGCATCGGAAAAGCTCTGTTATCGGCATGATAGGTTTGTGGCCGTCGGATCAGTCGGCATAGAGAGCATCGGTCTCTCTCATCAATCACTGCAATAGTGGATCCTAAAAGCCAGTCAGCGTCTCTCCGATGGAATGCACAGTCTTCTTCAATCAACACTTACCCGGTAGTGTTTTTGACTGTTGGCCTGCTTCTCCAACTTGGCCTGATACCGATTTTGCGCCCGTCGCTCCTTTTGTCTAGCTCTAATCTCCTCAGAGCGGACATCTCGTCGCTGCTGGCTCGTGGCGCCTAGCATACCGGCCTCACCGCGTCGCATGAGACTATTTCGAGGAGGGGTTGCCGGAAGATCCACGTCGTCCATGTCCGCGTCTTCTGAGCTTCCCTCTTCGATCAATCTCTGGGCACGTTCCATTCGCTCGGCGGCCGTAGGGTAATTATGCAGATTTTGCCGGTAATATTTCCTCAAGCTTCGGTGACCAACCACCCTGCCACTGGGAAGATGCATTTCATGTTCGTCGTAGAAGACCGCGTTATTGTGGTGATGAGCGTGTGAATGCCAGCCGTCTGCGTTTCGGTGGGGTCTAGGATCGGTGTTGGAATGGTGTCTGTGCAGGGGAAGTCGTTGATAAGAGAGGGTTCGATCGTCATTCGGGACAGACGCAAGTTCGTTGGTGTCGAGCGAGGAGAAGGAGGAATCGGTTTCCCAGCCATCGTCTGCACCGTCTTCTGCTGTACCCTCCAATTTGACTCCACCATTCTGTTGTGAATTTGCTCCTTCCATCTCGCCATCGGACCCTTCCTCACCAGCGTCTGAATATGTGCTGGAGAAGTCATAGAACTGTCCGACCTCGATCATCTCCTCCTCTGTCTCAAAGGCAATCTTACAATGACCCTTGTCTCTCATGTGGGTTTGCGCACCTTCTGCATTGCCCCTGAGTTTGTGACAGTAGAGACACTCGAAGTTTTGGTGGATTTTGGCCTGCATATATCGGATCAAACCTTCCAGGTCAACAAGATAACTCTGTTCAGGGATAAATAGGCTGTGTATCCTGGTCATGTGCGTGACACTGAGTTTCAGGTTGGGAGAGTCGTAATTGCAAAATAGACATCTTGAGAGGGGAATTGACGAGATTTCGGTCTTTTCTGGTGACATGGGATGATCTTCTCGAGGCTCTGCGTCTGGTGGAGGGTTTGAAGGTCTCCGTGTAATTCCAGGCATATCTCGGATGAACGTTTCTTTCATGCCTGCAACCACTTGCTCGAACTCTGCTTCCGCCACAGGATCTCGGGGTTCCGAGTCTGCTGTCGAGCCGACAGTGGATTCCGGCCGCCGCATGTCGGACGCAGTTACGGAATTTGCATCTCGTGCTGAACCTCTGTCTGACGCCACTTCTCTTGTCTTGTGTGCCTTGCTTGCAAGGTGGTTCTGATATGCATTTTCACTATAGTATGTCTTCTGGCAGGTGGTACACAGTTTGGCGTAGGCAGCTTGGGCGGCGGCAGCATTAGTGGTCGCCTGAGCGGCCATAACTTTCTCGTTGTAGTCTTCCGAGGAGACTGCAGGCAACTCGGCCAGCCTACGCTTCAGGTTGTATCTGTGCCAGTCACTCCGCATGTGAGTCCGTTGGGCATCACTGTTGCGAAAGGCCACCGCACACGAATTGCAGGTGTAGGGATGAGTCTGCGAGATATCGACAGGAGCCTCGGTCGCCATGGTGGCACTGCAGGTACGAGGTGCAAGAGGTGGTAGGAAGGCGAGGAAATGAGAGCGGGCAGAGCGGGAGGGTTTGTGCGTCCGGGATTCTTGGAGTTGTCGAGGTTAGTGAGTGAGTGAGTGAGTGAGTGGGATGGTTGCAGCTTTAAGGATGCAGGGCAAGGCAGGGTGCACCAGCGAAATGCCTGGCTTTGACTCGCTCGGCCAGTGGCGGGCTTGACCCGCGGCGACACAGACAACCAGGAACGAACAAATGGAAAAAAAGTGGTTGTGGTGGAGTAATTTACTGTACACAACTTTGTGCGATGATGATTTGTGACGTACCTACCTACGCCGTGGGCAGGGCAGGGAGGGGAAGGGAGGGCAGGGGAGCCAGCCTGGTGCCTTTCCACCCACTCATTCTTACCCCCCCCCCCCCCCCTTTTGGCCCACGGTTAGGCTGTTTGCGAGGGGAGAGATACGGATGGTCAGCTGGGCCTTCCACAACATCTGTCTTCATTTTTCAGGAAGCGGAAATGAGCGGTTCTGGTATCAAATGCTGCTCATGGTCCAGATAACGGATGGAAAAGGCATCAATTTTCTCACTACGAGGTCCAGGGCGATAAGGCATTTGCCCTAGACCAGCAACCCTTACTGTTCGCCCAACACTAATACCAGCATGTCAACGAAATGAGGTCCAGGGACGGCGCATTATTGGGTGTATCATTCGTCGTATCCAAAGCCCGCCTGAAGAGAACGGGCCAAAATCTCTTGTCCTTCTATCCGGGTATCTCAGTCATTTCTCATCATGTCCACAGCGCCACCAGTGTGATGTCCCTAGGCTGTCGCAGCCTCGTGCATTCGCCAGACCCCTGAAGCCTTCTGGAAACCTTCCAGCGCCACCCTCCATTACAAACCCTGGTAAAGCTGACAAATGCCGCCCCCGTTGGTCGACGCCCCTCCCAAGCTTTTTCGCTCAAAACAAGCATAATGCCCCTAGCATTACAACCCCTTCCAGGGGATGGAAAATCCGTTTCTGAGCCGCACCATTCACTGCAGGCGGCGTTCCTGATGCTGTGGCCGATGTCGAAATCGTTGATGTTCTGCTCGACACTTGACTCGATGTCGCCAATGTTGTACTTTGTTGTGAGCTTACTGTGCCGGTTCTGCTCCGATTTCCGCTTGTTGTGCTTCTTGAACTAGTCGTCGACAAAGTTTTGCTAGAGACCGAAGTTAAACGACTTGTTAAAGAGGATGACGCTGTAGATGAAGCTGGGGTTGAGATCGATGCACTGCCTGAGATGCTCGTGGCACCTGTGCTGCTTGTGATTGGGGTCCCGACAACGGTACCAGAGTTCGAAAGGGCGGACTGTGATTGGGAACTAAATAAGCTAGAGAAAGACGAGCTGGCGACGCCTGAGGGAGAATTAAATGTGGATATGGTTATTGATTTCGTTTCGGTGGAAATAACTGTCGTTGACGCCGTGGGGGAGTCTGAGGTGGATACAAAGCTCAATATCGGTGTGGATGTCGACCTGAGAGTCGAGATAGGCACTGTGCTGGACAATGTACTCGCAGCTCCAGGAGCTTCCGATGCCGTAACACTCGAGCTCTGTGGAGCGGAAGCTGCGGAGCTCGGGCTTTCGGATAGTCCTGGGGCCGAGGTCGAAGAAACAGCAGGTGCTGAGCTCACCGATGACGGAGAACCTGCTACACTTGTGACTGGCGATCCTTGTGCCGTCGCAGGTTGATATGTGGAGAGAGGAATCGCAGTGGTGCTGGTGATGAGGAACCCTTGGCTATCGTAGCTCTTTGGCGCCGTTGGCGCCGCCGGATTGATGCTGACCAGTGTCGGAAAACCTTGCTCGTTGTACGACGTGACGACTTCAAGCGAAGCCGAGGCCGAACCCAAAGGCAAGGCTGCCGACGAGGACGAAGAGAAGGGAGGGGATGTTGACTAAAGACCGGTTAGCCCATATACACGATATTGGGAGCTGGAGCGAGAGAAAAATTCACTGACTTGTCAGCCCAGAAATTGAAGAGCTTACCACCGACACTGCTGTGGCTGTGGCCGTTCCAGACCACGGCCAGCCTGTTCGCGTTGCATACACAGAAGAAGTGTCGCCGCTGTTCCCAAAGGCGAGCGGAGCACTGTTGGGCACGGAGGAGGTAACGGCGGGTGCTGTCCCAGACGACGCAGGTGTTCCATCTCCTTCACTGTTGATTTGGCCGCCAGTGGAAACAATGGATTGCCATGTGCCGCTGGTCCCACTGTAGGTATACTGGGACCCGGTCGAGTAATCTGTGACGTGGACGGACTTCACATACATGGTGAAGGGCCCGTCCGCGTAATCAGTGACCCCTCCAGCCCACTGAATCGTGCCTTCGGGATTGGACGGATCACCACCAGCCCAGGCCCCCAGTTTGACGTACATGGGAGTTTGGGGATACTGGCCGGCTTCAGCCTGTTCTTGAGTCATGGCTCGAACCGTAGTCCCGTCGATTGACCAAACAATCTGGTTGGCAGTCCAGTCGATGCTGTATGTGTGGAACTCGTCATGGTTGTTGGGTGCCCCATGGTAGGCTCCTCTATTGTAACCAGTTGTTGTGATGCCCTTTCCAAAGTAATTGCTCTGGGCCTGCGTATTATCCCCGCCTAACCATTCCCAGTCGATCTCGTCAAGGCAATCAGACTGCAAAATAGCGGCGCTGACTATTCCTGTTCCTGGCGCAGCTTTCACCACATAATCGACATGGCCGAACATTATGTACCAATTCGAGGAGAGGGTGGGGGCATCGCCATGCTGGGAGATGGTGAAGGCTGCACCGTCGGAAGTATAGCTGACAGCTCCTGACGCGGTGAACTCGCTTGAGGAGCCTGCCGTAAAATCAACGTCGACGCTCCTGCCCAGAGCAGGGTCTGCAGGACATCCACCTGAGTACAGTCAGTCATCGTACTGAAAAGTGATGGAGGAAATGGACTCACTCTGCAGTAGCGGGTTACATGACGAATAGGTCTGTGCTTCTGTGCTTGGTATGAGAGAGCAGAGGGTCAATGCCGCAAGCACTGAGCCTGCCAGTGTGGGATACATGGTGTACAGGGTAACAATATCCAACGCCGGAACAATGCAGCAAGGACCAAGCACAAAAAAAAAGCTGGAGGAAACTAGCAAACTCAGGTTGATAGCATGACAAGTAACACAACAAAGTTCATCAGCGGATATTTACTGGACAAACGACAAGGACAGATTGAGAGTGATGCGGCAGGGAAGAGAAGAGAAAAAAAATTCCATGGCCATGGGCACAAAAGTAGTCACTGACGGTTTCTGCGGAGAGGAGGCTGGTACTGGGTAGACAACACGACGTCAGCTTCTGTGACAACACCACAATCTCCTGACGCCAAAACCGAGGAGCCGGGAAACATTTTCGACCAATTCAGTTTAGCCGTGAACCAGCAGCGTGTCCGTTCATTGGCCATTTCCACAGCAAACGGGTTCTATTCACAGAAAACAACGAGATGGACAACAGGATTGGAGAGATTGAAGGAGGCTGGAAGCCCAGCTCGAGGCAAGCGAGGCTGACGCAGAGCCTTAGCGTCGAAGATCGGACCGAAAGACCCTCGTCGCCTCCTTGAACCCTGGCGGCGGCCCAGAGCGTGGGTGGCTGGGGTCCCACTAAACCTTCCCGGCTTGGCAATACGGAAGCCACAGTGGCGCCGAGTGGCACTATCAAGGGTCCGCCATCCAGTTGGCGGTTTCCCCTTGCCTCAGTCTGCAGCCTTCCCCACACACAGCCTTGTTATAGCCAACGTGTCCCTTGTTCACAGGCCCAGCCTTGCCCACCATGGACAATCAGAGGCTTCCAAGTTTGCTCTGATTGGATTGAGCTGATATGATAGGTATGGCGTCTCTGGTAATTGGACTCCATCTCTTCCCTCGGGTGACCTGTACGTGTTGATGCCACTATTAACCGATTCAGACTCACTCCTCCAGACTTTTGATTCCTCCCTCATGCTGCGAGATGCTGCTATACTCTTTTGGATACCTTTCGATGATCCGTTTGAGTTCTTTCATTTGGGCTCGGGCCTCCGGCGTGATCTCCTCATACACATCTTCGAACATAGCTCGTATCGGTGGTTTCTTGACCTTTTCTGCGGCCGAAAACTCTCGCAGCACCTCTTTGCGTATCGACGCCCTCGCTTCCTTCTCTTTGTCATCGTCCCAGATGCCCTTCTTTTCCATCCACTTCCGTAGTCGAGTGATGGGGTTGTCTCTCCGTTTCCACTCCTCTACCTCTCGTTTGGCTCGATATGCAAAGCTGTCATCACTGGTGCTGTGGTGGCTGACGCGGTAACTCATAGCTTCCACGAGGATGGGCTTGCAGTCACCTTCAAGAGCCCGTTTACGAGCTTCCAACATGACCTCCCTCACGGCAAAGATATCGTTGCCGTCTACCCGGATGGTGTCAATGCCGTACCCCAATCCTCGACTGGCAATGCCATCTCCCTTGTACTGCTCGATACTGGCTGTCGAAATCGCGAAGCCATTATTGCGACAGACAAACACCACAGGGCATGATTTCGTGGCGGCGATATTCAGTGCTGCGTGGAAATCTCCTTCGCTCGCTGCACCCTCTCCAAAGTAACAGGCGACGATCCGAGGGGGAACATTCGGGTTGATGAGGCGCTGCATCTTCAATGCATATGCAGCCCCAGACGCTTGTGGGATCTGGGTTGCTAGAGGACTCGAAACGGTATGCACGTTAAGCTTACCGCTGCCATAATGTACAGGCATGTTTCGTCCTTTACCGTGATCGTCCTTGTTCGAAAACAGCTGGCTCATCATCTCCTTCAACGTGAAGCCACGTTGGACGAGCACCCCCTGTTCGCGATACTGCAGGAAACAGACATCGTCCGGCGTCAGTGCCGAGGCTGATCCCACGGCAATACCCTCCTCGCCCGCAGAGACCATATAAAAGCTGGTCCGTCCCTGCCGTTGCGCATCGAACATGATCAAATCCATAATGCTGACAGTCAACATATTACGGTACCACTGAATGATTTCTTCGTTAGAGGCTGACTGGGGGTCTCTGGTATTGTCGACAATGTTGCCATCGGCATCCATTATTCTGTAAGTGGGCATGGCGTTCTCCTCGGCTGGATTCTGAAACTTCATGGTCGAGGTAAATTTGCTATTCAGGGCTCCTGGAAAATGTACTCTAGCGGCGTAGGGTCAGTCGGGAAAAGCGTGGACAAGAAGCGGCAACGTCGAAACGTACGAATCCGATCCTACTTTCTGTGCTGGCCCGGCAGACCAAGTATCGCTTGCCCATCGTATCCCTGGTCGCCGTAGCAGTACACCCTGTTTGTATCTGCAGGATGCCGTCAAGGACCTCAAAACAGCTCGACTTTTCATCCTCACTCTTCTAAAGCGAACAACCCGCCCTGAGCAAGTAAAATAAAAAAGGACTGCTGTTGCGGGAGCAGATTGAGAAGAGAAGAGAGAGTTGGAATGAGGATTGCTGAGATACTGGGTGCAGTCAATGTTGAATGGGGACTTCGGTTATCCTCGGCCATGGCCTTGCTTGGAATGAGACGCCGGAGCCGGAGAAGTCGATGATGGATGCTCGAGCCTGGTGATTGGCTGTCCGGGATCCTATTGAACTAGATCGTTTTTGAAACTGCGACAAGAGAAAATTGGCCTTGAGCTCCGAGTCTCTCGTCGACTAAAGTTCTATAGTACCGGTTAGCATCTCACTCGGATCAATGCTTCGTACCTTTTATCGAAGGCCTTGCCGCCTACAAGGCTGTTCCGTTGGTTCGACACCGGCACGGCGACTACTTACGACGAGCTCGCTAAGACCCCAACAACTCCCTGGTGAAAATGAACGAACAACTCACTTCGGCTTCGAGACCATTTCGGAGACACAAAAGGAGGCCAGAGGTAGCATTCACAAGCCGACCATGATATTCAGATTGCTTATGCCTTTCTAGTGGGTGCTGTCTTCTCCTCGGTCGCATCCTCTTACGATACCATGAACGATCTGATGTCCCTGGGAATCCATCGCCTGTGGAAGGATTACTTTGTCCGCAGTCTCAACCCGGGCAGACGAACCAGCGAAACAGGGTGGAATATCCTTGATGTGGCGGGCGGCACCGGCGACATTGCATTCCGCATGCTTGACCACGCGACCAATGTGAACCTTGACCTCAAAACCAAAGTGACTATTGCAGACATCAATGCAGACATGCTAGCTGAAGGCCAGAAAAGAGCTCAGGAAACACCGTATTGGAATTCAGGCAGACTGTCATTTATGGAGGGAAATGCTGAATCCATGCCTTCTGTTAAGTCGGAATCGATTGATCTTTATACGGTCGCATTTGGAATCCGCAACTTCACAAACAAGGAAGCCGCCATTCGCGAAGCATTTCGAGTCCTTAAACCAGGCGGGGTTTTTGCGTGTCTAGAGTTCAGCCACGTCAACAACTCCCTGTTCAATGCTGTCTACAAAAGGTGGAGCTTCGGGGCAATTCCTTTGATAGGCCAATTGGTCGCCGGTGATCGAGATAGCTATCAATATCTTGTCGAAAGCATCGAACGGTTTCCCACGCAAGAGGAGTTCAAGGAAATGATCGAAGAAGCCGGATTTGTCACACCAGGACAAGGCTACGAGGATCTGACGGGAGGCATCGCTAGCATCCATCGAGGTGTGAAGCCGTTATAAGCTTTTTTCAGTTGTCTAGACCAGTCATCGACTTTCCGACCATTTCCCGCTTGAACAGTCGAAGCCCAGGTACCGGAGAAGGAGCGTGTGCCATCCTGCGACTCTGCTGTCAGTATGCACACCGCACACTGCAGCACTGTCGGCCCCTGCATGAAATGAATATCTCGGGGGCTCCGATCCCCTGCGCACATATGATCATTGCAGGTGTCAGGTCCGCACGCCATAGGAACACATTGTCGAGCTGGCCCGTTGAAGTGTATCGAGGTACAATCCTTATCGCGACAACTCTGCCTGTGGATCGGCCTTCGCGGTCTTGACTGTATCCATCTAGCTGGACGACAAGACGATTGCCAATGTCCGAAAATTGCGCATTATAGGCATTCGCAGCCGGTTGAGCAAGAATTGCATTGCAGCCAATTTATCGCCCTCTCAAGGGGGAAAGGAATGTACCAATACCATGTACTTATATACTACTCGCACCTCTCCCGAGAGGACCAATCCAGATGCTCTCTTCCTCTGCCATTTCGATTCATAAAGACACTGTCATTCTGGCGACATGGCTAGCACTAATGCAAGCCACATATTCCCCTTTCGGCTGTCATTACATGCTGTGATACATACCTACCAAGGCCTATCAATAGCCTACTAGCCTTACAAGTACTTACTTCCAACTACTGTAATCTGGTGAGCCTCGGTTGGGGCGGCATCTCACCCCACAACTCCGCCTCTTCCCTTGATCTGCTGCAAGTATTACTCGGTCCTTTACTGTGTGCAGGGAAATCTGCCGGGTAACGTCACACTACCATCTGGCCCCAAGCAGCGCTTTTGAAGAGGGCTATGCCGCATCTGTGTGATTTGACGTGAGACTGTGACCTATTCTTGGATTTTGCCTGTCTACAGCAAACCTACTGGGAGGTAATCTCGAGGACGTACTGCTCCGATCGTGGTCGCCTTTTGCTTTTTTTGTTTGTTTAAAAACGAAAGTTTCATGGGTGGAAAAGCACTGAGCTCGAGGGTAGAATCGATCGCGAACAATACACCAAAGCACTGCCACCGCCCAAGCTTCTGAACTGGGGAAATTGGGTTCAACCGGCCCGGAAATCGCGAAGTAACGACATCATCACCACCCACCGCCGCATTCCTCTGTCTTGATGGGAGCTAGTTACTCCAACATCTCAAGAACAACGTAATCTCCTTCGACACAGGCAAAAACAGGCAACTTGTTACATTACAGCTGTCTGAACTCAACAACAACAAGAATCCCTCAAAACATGGGCTGTGGATCGTCAAGTCTGAAGGGAGCAGACATACCCGACCTCAACAGCCAGCCAACGACAGCAACGGGTGCGCAACCAATCAGGAAAATCAGGACCAACTTCTCAGAAGTTGACTATGATCAAAACGCTCGAGAGCGGCGTCTTACAGAATATGCGCCGCACGAGCAACCCCCACCGGTGAGGGAGGAGAGTCATGACTTTACGGCAGAGCAAAGTGGTTACGAGCAGTGGCAACAATACGACACTCAACCCGGTCGCCAGAGTTATGACGCCGGCCCGCCAATGGGCTATGTGCTGCCCCAAGGGAGCATGTCAGGCCCAGACGCCGCGGATAGGGATCGCGGCGCGAGCTTGAAACCATATCAGACCTTCGACGGAGGTGACTGGGACAACCAAGACGCCTCGGCTCAGAGGCAAGAGTCCTATGTCAACGGTACACAGGAGACGCGTGGGGACCCGACATCAAATGCGTCCAAGAACCAGTTCGCTGCCGCAAACGACCCGGCGAACCCAAGCAACCAGGAAGGGCACCACTCTCAACCAAACGACCACCACCGTGACCAGCGGCAAGCCTCCAGGTACAACAACAACGACGATGAACTCAACAACGTGTCTCCGATCTCGTACAACACCGGCACGGACCCGGGCGCGAACCCGGACATCCACGGCGACGATGACGAGCCCAAGAAGTCGTGGCTCGGCCAGAAATACGCGTCCTTCCAGTCCGCTAAGCGCGGCTCGGGCCTCAGCGACGAGGATGTCCTCAAGTACACGGGCAAGGACAGAAAGGAGCTCAACGAGTGGGTGCAGAACAGGCCTGGCGTCGGTCCAAACCAGGAGGCTGGCCGAGTCGGGTCGGATTCGGGACTGGCGGTCGGTGCACCTTGGAGCTAGGAGGGCAGAAGGGGAAAAAGGGATTGGGACGATGCAATGGAGAGTCCATGGTGGTGGTGGTGGTGGTGGTGGTGTTGCAGGGTAGGTGGAGCGTGCTTGATACTGTACTTGCTTGGGTAGATGCAACCGCAACCACGTCCGCTCTCTCCGGCCGGAAGAACGGAAGTATGACACGCAGGGCACACATGGGGGAGGGGACGCAGGGTATGGGGTATATCGCATTGCTCTCCGATAATATCTATTGTATTGTGGGAGATGGTACGAAAAGGTTCATTCAATGTACATGTTCCACCTTTCAAAGAACAAATTGTGTTCCGGAATCTGTGATGGTAAACCGGTGTATGCGAGACATTGTGAGAAAACTGCCCAACATTCATGGGGCGCAATGCTACCGGTGCAAAATGTCATGATATACCGAGTATATAGCTTTCTTCCCTCTATCCTGGCCTCTCCGCCAAGACTTCCTCTATCACGGCATCTTGCCCTCTACCAAAAAGGACCACCCTCTGAGCTTCAGTGGCCCAGATGGCTTTATATCGACGTCCCTCAGTCTCTGTGCACATCATATCTCTAGAGTAATCATCTTCACGGCGTAAATCATTCGACCACTCCATCAACGCCAGCGCCAACTTTTGGGTTGTTCCAAGCGCACTATCCATACGTACTCGCTTTGCCAACTCCGCATGCTCTAGATGTCTCGTCGTTGATGAGTGCAATGCTGAGGCAGGTATATGCCTCTCTTTGATCACACAAGTAGAGTACCTGGCATTGTGCCGGAACAGTCAGTGTTCATCGTCATGGCAAATGTCTAGCTCGTTTTCTGGTAGCATTTTCCCCCTCGCACGCGGGAGAAACTGCTTTCTTCTTCTTGGCCCGCCTCTCCTCGAGGACATGCTAGCTTGGCCGGATATTTACATCAAAAAAGTTCGTAAATCGTCATATAACGTTTAACTGGCTGCTGGGGTTTCCTTGGACTTCCCTTTGTCACCATCCGCGTGTTGGATAGAAGTGGTGCTCGAAGAACGAGCATCATCTCTGTACAGATGGTTTTGCTCGATATATTCAACAACGGGTGCTGGGATAAGGTACTGTACGCTCATGCCTCTCCTCAGGAATAGTCTTATCTTTGTGCTGCTGACGTCATTCTGGATGAGTTGCTGGATAACATGGATATTGTCGCGATAGTTTTGCAAGCTTGCCAGGGCTTCGTCAATATCGGTGCCAGACCTCTCGATGATAAAAGTGCCATATCTTCCGAGGATATGGTCCAGATCTTTCTCGCTCCATACACCGGGGGTAGACATGGTCTGGATTAAGTCGGCCCCGGCGAGCAGAGAAATCTTAACAGGTTTCCGGGCACCGTTTCCATTGTCAATGCCCTTTCGGATAACGTTGATCTCATGATCGAAATGGTCCAGCACCTTGGCGGTGGGCTGGTAATCCTTCTTTTCCGCTTCCCATGGGTCAACCATGAGCCAATTGGAGGCTTTATCAATGGCAAGTTGACACATGGCAACTCTAAAAGGAAGGGTCAGCAATCGAGAAGCTTCAGGCTAGAGTCTGGCTGCATACCTGTGTTCTGCTGGGGCTAAGCCTTGCTTCTTGTATGCATCGGACACAGGAGATAGATATCCGCCTATCATCTCGTAATCCGTGTTGTGCTTGACGTAGTCGGCAGCCATGACGAACATGCGCAGATGTAGGAAGGTAATAGGGGAGAAGGAGCCGCAGGCAACAAGCAGAAGAGGTGTCTTTTCCGGGTCGTCCATCTTCTTCTTGAGGCGGGAGTTAGGAAAGCGGTATTCGTCCATCTCGTCGCCGTCACCGGTAATCGCTTGGGGTACGGTTGATCTTGTCTGTACCAATGTCTTGCCGGTCTTTTTGAAGATTCGAACGGAGCGTGAGGGACACAGGAAGATGGCCGAGGGACGGATTGATTTGTCAGAGGAGAGGCTATTATCTATGGAGGTGGGTGAGTCGGATGGCGGGGCTTTCGTGCCTCGTCGAAGATTGGGAAAGGAAGCAGAAGACCTGAGGAAAAGCCTGCTCGTGATTGAATAGGACGGAAGGAAGAGACTGTGAGGACGACTCAGCATCTCAGGGCATCATGGCCCGAGTAGAGAGTTTTGTTCGGGGTCGGGGGAGGGGGGGGGGCGTGGGCAGGAATGTCCGGCTTCGGCAATATGGAGTTGGAGGAGGAGGAAAATTGAGAGGCACGAGCTGGAGTTTTTCACAGTAGGCAGACGAGGGAGGGTCTGGGTCGATCTCCGACCGCCTTGTCGCAGCCTAGTGACCGGGACAAGGTTGAGTAATTGCTCAATGTAAGTAGATGGAGAGTTTGCTAGTGTGCGCCCAGCTTGGAGGAGGATTCGGCTTATCCTTGCTGTGAGAAGTGGGGTGGCTGTGAGGATGGAGATGAGGAAGAATGGAAAAAAGAGAGATAAATCGAGACAGTGGTGGAGGGCGCAGTTAGTGATAGATGTAAGTACTCCGGGTATTTCACTGCAACGTCGAGGAGAAGACGGCGTGCAAGGGGCCGCACCCGACATGTTGACTTATTTTCTACTCGCACTTCATGGCGTAGAGGATGATGATTATGATTACTAGGGGGGTTCAACATCTATTTGCCACAACGATTGGGGGGTGAGATATTGATGACGATGAAAACGAAGATTGAAAACGACCTGCGCAACACCCTTGGCTGCTATTGTGAAGGTAGGACAAAAGTGCAAGGTGTTTTTGTCATTCAGCATCCTCATTCGCCTCGCATCAATGAGCCCGTCTGAATCTGGCGTCATGCGAGTTCCCAGTGAGATGAACTCCTCATCTAATGCAGGCTCTTCAGCAGTGGGCAGATTGATCGAGTTTGGAGTGTGTTGCATGCAGAGTGCATGAGTCTCGTCCGTGGGAGTGGCTATTGTTCGAGAAAGATGGCTGAAGGCTTCTGCTAGGCTTGAAAGGGGGGGTAACAGTGAGGCCTTATATACTCTGGCACCACTGGAACCCCCCAAGACTCCTTTAGAGGGGCCCGTGCCCCCCTCCCCCCGAAAATCAAAACACATGCCCTGGTGGCCCTGTTGGCCCTGGTGTCCCGCCCATCCAGTGGCTCAATAGGGCATGGCGTTGCGCTCTCTCCTTCTGACGCCAACGCAACGGGCGATGGGCTGCGGTTGGTTTGCCATTGCCGACCGAACCTCGTGTCGCTCGTTCTTGGGATCCAAGCATTCGTCCGTCACGGCTTCTTACAACTCAGACTCTGTTTCCTATACCACAAGCCAGTTTCAGACTCATATTTCTGTTTCGCTCATCTTGTTGTACATTCCTTTCCCCATCTGATCACAGTTAGCATCTTCCCGTCGCTGCAGATGGCGGGTTAACATGGCACATCTGCCCGCACGCCCTTCAACCTCCCACCTCATCCACGGACGTGCTGAAAGCCTTCTTGCCTCTGATCACCAACCTGTAACTGCGGCATCCGCTGCCACCATCACACCCCCTGCGACTTCCTCACATCTAAATTCTTCACACAGCAGCCGCACATCCAGGTACTACTCACTTGCCTCTATTTTCGCTGCCTTGCACTTCACCTGCGTCGGTTGCTTGGCTCTGAAGAACCCTTGCCTTTTCTCCGCCTCGCTCCTCACCGGGTTCGACAAGAGCCACGGCCACTTTAATGCCACACATAATTTATTGCCACACATCTACGCTGTTCTTTTTTCTTGACCTTTCTCCAGACTACATTCTGGACACATTTTGACGAGATCCATTGCTCATGTCACGCAGAGTCACTCGTTCATCTGCGAGGCTCGCTGCAGAGTCTGGCGCCTCCACTACTTCGCCTGCCGCTCCCTCCAACCCTTCGACGGCCATCTCCATCCCAAACCCCCCTGCTGCCGTGTCGTCCAGAAAACGAAAGGCCCCGGCCCGTCGACCATCCAGTCCTACCGATCATTCTGAAGAGACGAGCCCCCCGTCAGCCCGGCGCGGAAAGAGGCAAAAATTGATCGAGCCGGCCCAGCCCCAGCCAACAAGCGCACAGCCAGCTCCTCGGTCAACTCGAAGAAGAGCAGCTCAGAACGAGGTGGCCATGTCTAATAATGGGTATGTACAAATTGCAGAAAATGGGTTCCTAGATACGTTATCTGACCAACTCAGTTCCTCTTCAAAATACACTGAAGAATCCGAGAAACAATTACACTCAAAATCGAGTTCGCGCCGTCAGTCCAGCAGAAACAACAAGACACAAGGTACCTTGCGGTCTACATCTCATGAAGACCTCGCTTTACTGACTGCCACGGCAGACCTTTCTCCGCCTGCTCCCACCTCTCAGCCACGCCGACATAGGAAACGCTTGACTAAGAAGGGTCAGGATGTTCAGATGAAAGACGAGGAAGAAGACGAGAAAATTTCGACTCAAGAAAAAGATACTGTCCCTCTCGCCCACCACTCGAACAGCGATAGTAACGACGGAGACGATCACACCGATATGGATGATGACGATGGTCCCGATCCTTTTTCCGCGGCCCTTTTCGGTGCTGGCCGTGGCCCTTCCTCAGGATTGTCAAGTACACTGAGAGCCTTGAGTGGAATGATGAGTGGCATGTCATCAAGATTGAGAGAGATCCTAAACAATCTACGACAGTCAGACAATCCTACGATGCAGATGGTGGCCCTAGAAGAGTTGTCGAATCTACTGCTGGTCTCCAATGAAGACAATCTGTCGGGTCAATTTTCGCCAGATCCTTATGTCAAAGAACTTGTGGCCTTAATGCAACCGAATCCCATCACGGGCGAGGAGAATCCCGAGATGATGCTCTTGGCTTGCCGCTGTATTGCCAATCTAATGGAGGCTTTACGAGGTTCGGTTGCCAACGTGGTGTATGGAGGTGCTGTGCCGGTCCTTTGTCAGAAATTGCTTGATATTCAGTACATCGACGTCGCCGAGCAGGCCTTGAGCACGTTATCTAAAGTCTCGATCGACTTCCCTGGATCAATCGTCCGCGAGGGAGGTTTGACCGCTTGTCTTCAATTCCTTGACTTCTTTGCCACCGGCACACAGCGAACTGCCGTTACCACCGCGGCCAATTGCTGTCGTAACATACCGCACGATTCGTTCCCCGTCATTCGGGATGTTATGCCGATTCTACTCAACGTTTTGTCCAGCCACGATCAAAAGGTGGTTGAGCAAGGCTGCTTGTGCGTCACTCGGGTCATCGATAGTTTCAAGCACAGTCCAGACAAGCTCGAGCAACTGGTTGATCCTCCATTACTTCGAGCAATCCTGGGACTGCTTCTACCAGGCACTACCAATCTCATTGGCGCAAATATCCATACGGAATTTCTTCGCGTGCTCGCAATAGTGGCGCGAGCAAGCCCCCGACTTTCCGCAGAATTGTTGAAGATGAATGTCGTCGACACCTTGTACCAGATTCTCACAGGCGTCTCGCCTCCGACTGAGACCGATGACGCTGCCTCCAAGATCGACAGCGTTGTCATCATGCAAGCCTTGATCCATAGACCGAGGGAACAGATTTACGAAACTCTCAATGTCATCTGCGAACTCCTCCCAAGCCCAAACCTTTCCAGCGAAACGGATTTCGAAGTTTGCGAAGACCTGGACGACTACATGTCCGACGATGGCAGCCAACAACCAGCCCAACAATCGAAAACGGAGAAGAGGCTGGAGCTGCTTGCAGACTGCAAACAAGAGACACGCCGCTTTGCGACTATTCTTCTACCAACGCTGACCGATGCCTATTCGAGCACCGTCAACCTCAGCGTCCGACAGAAGGTACTTATCGCGCAGCTCAAAATTCTTTCCAATCTTGAAACCTCCGTCATTGAGGAAGCTCTGCGTCCAGTGCCGTATGCGTCATTTCTCGCGTCAATATTGTCTCAGGAGGACCACCCAAGCTTGGTCATGTTTGCTCTCCAAGCCTCAGAACTGCTTTTCGAGAGACTTGAAGATATCTACCAGTATCAGTTCCATCGCGAGGGTGTTATTGGCGAGATCAAGAAATTGGCTGACAGGCCCCTCGAAATCGACGCCAAGTCCTCCAAAAGCAGCGACCCTGCCGGTCGCATTAGTGCTGTCGGGGATAACAGAACCCATGCAGCGCTCGGCAATAACCAGCGCGATCGACGAGCTGATAATGATGACAATGACGACGTCGACGATGGAGAGGGTGATGAAGAGGATGGCGAGGATCATGAAGACGACGACCCAGAAGACGAAGACCATGATGAGATCAGAGAGGACGACGATGAAGAAGACGATGAAATCGGAGGCCGAGATCACGATCATGGTCTAGATGATTCTCAGAGTTCAGACTCTTCTGATGATGACGACGACGACGACGATGAGGTGCCTTCTCCATTGGCCATCGCCGGGGCTGCCGATTTGGTGGTTATGCGTGCGAAGAAATTTTTGGAAAAATATGACACACCAAAGGGGAGAGAGCTGAAGGACAAGGCCTCCAAGATCCGTTCCGACCTCCATAAGCTGGCCAACAATATCGAAACTTTCTACCGCCAACCGAATCAGGTGGACGCTGACGACAATCTCTTTATCCGCCTCGCAAATTATTTCGATGGAGATGCCTTGGAGAGCATAACCAGTTCCGAATTGTTGGACTCAGGGATCATTCGAGTGTTAGTCCAAGCTTTGTCTGAGGTCCCTTCGGCGTACAGCACTGCTAGAGCACATCTTGTTGCGGCCTTCATGGAATCGACCTATCGAGGCAACATCAAAACGACCTCTGCGACATCTGCGGCGACGCCCTTCAGTGTTCTCATTCAAAAGCTACAGGATCTACTGAGCCGTGCGGAACATTTCGAGGTTCTCACAGTGAACAACAACGCTTCCGAGAGCAGTCGGAGCAGCTCCACTTCTATGCTGTCGCGCCAGCTACGCTTGAAACTTTCAGCCGATGCCGATAGCGATATCCCTCCTACATATCGTGATATGGTCGTCTCCATTCACGCTATTGCCACCTTCAGAGCACTGGATGACTACCTTCGACCTCGAATCAGCCAATCCGAGCGCCCAGCATCGGCTCAGCGACGTCGGGACATGCTTCAACAACTTGCAAATGCTCGTCTCGCTCATCTCTCTGGTGCGGCCGAGTCAGGATTACTGTCTCCCTTCGGCCAGGAACTTAGTTCCCCGGCCCCTCCTGGGAGGATAGATTCTCGTGCCGAATCTCGTGTCTCTGGTCGAACGAAACAACGATCCGAAGAGCGCCAGAATCCTGTGGACAGGAAGCCTACCGAAAAACCCGAGCGGAAGCGACTAACTCGTCGTACCCAAGCGTCCTCGTCCAATCAGCCTCCGGCACCCGAGCCCAGCACCGAAGACACGTCTAACAAACTCGAATGTGCCGATGAGAAAGTTCTTGAAGATGTTGAAGCTCCTGATGCAGAAGACCACGGTGCGCTTGAAGCTTTCGTCGATGGCCTTGAAGAGGATGTTTCTGACGGAGAAGCGCCTGAACCGGGGGCCGTAAACATGGAAATCGGCTCCAGTGGCAAAGTGACAGCTCGAAAAGAAGATGGTACGAGAGTCTTGACACCTCAGCCAGGAACACCTGTTCCTGGAAGCACCCGCCCATCCTCGGGGCAATCTCCAGGGCCATCTCCCGCGGGGCCCGGAGGTCGCCCCTCATATGCTCAAGCGCTTGCATCGGTTCCTCAAGATTGGCACATCGAGTTCAGCATCGACGGGAAGATCATACCGAACAATACGACCATCTACCGAGCCGTTCACCACAACCGTGATCAGCCACAGGTTCCGGCATCGCGGAGCGTGTGGTCTGGCGTTCATACCGTCAAGTTCAGAAAGGTCCGAGGCCCTCCTCCTACATCATCAACTATCTCTACATGGGACGAAGGCGAAAGCCGAGGATCCAAAAATGGTCTGCCGGCTTCGTTTAGTGGCCACCCTGTCACTTCCTCCATTCTCGCTCTGCTCCGAATCCTCCACGAGCTCAACGCAAATCTTGACGAATTACGAGATTTCATTGGACAACCCGGATTGAAGCTCTACCCAGAATCTCTCGCATCTTTTATCAACACCAAGTTGACTGCCAAGATGAATCGTCAGCTGGAGGAACCCTTGATTGTGGCTAGTAACTGCTTGCCAGACTGGAGCGAAGACCTTGCTCGGTCATTTCCTTTCCTTTTTCCCTTCGAGACTCGGCACCTTTTCTTGCAGTCAACCTCCTTCGGATACTCACGCTCTATGATCCGATGGCAAAATAGTCAATCGGAAAACGATGACCGCCGCGACCGTCGCAGAGATGACAGACCCATGTTGGGCCGGCCTCAGCGGCAGAAGGTGCGCATCTCTCGACACCGTATCTTGGAGTCTGGCATGAAGGTGATGGACATGTATGGCGCGTCCCCCAGTGTCTTGGAAGTTGAGTACTTTGAAGAGGTTGGGACAGGTTTAGGCCCGACTCTGGAATTTTACTCGACCGTGTCGAAGGAGTTCTGCAAGAAGAAGTTGAAAATGTGGCGCGAGAACGATTCGGCCGATAACGATCAGTTCGCTTTTGGCAAGAACGGCCTTTTTCCAACCCCAATGAGTGCGGAGGAGAGCCAAAGCGAAGCCGGCAAAAAGCTGTTGTTGCTGTTCAAAACACTCGGAAAATTCGTAGCTCGTTCGATGCTCGATTCCCGCATCATCGATATCGCCTTCAGCCCAACTTTTTTCAAGATGGGTGGTGTCAGCAATGCAGCGCCCTCAGTTGGCTTGTTGCGAACGATCGACCAGGACCTTGCAAATTCTCTATCTCAACTTCAACAATTCCTCAAAGCCAAGACAAAGATCGAACTCGATTCATGCATGACAGAGATTGAGAAGGCACGAGCGATCGAGCAACTCACTATCCACGGAGCCAAAGTTGAGGATCTCATGCTCGACTTCACCCTACCTGGCTATCCTGGCATTGAGCTCATTCCCAATGGATCGAACGTTACGGTCACCATGGAAAATATCCAGCAATATATTGAACGAGTGCTCGACTTGAGTCTCGGGAGCGGTGTTCGAGCTCAGATTGAGGCCTTTCAGTCTGGCTTCTCCCAAGTCTTTTCGTACTCATCTCTGAGAGCATTTACCCCCGATGAGCTGGTCATGCTGTTTGGCCGCACCGAGGAAGACTGGAGTATTGAAACACTGATGGACTCTGTCAAAGCCGATCATGGTTACAACATGGACAGCAGGAGTGTCAAGAGCTTGTTGCAGACCATGTCGGAACTTACACCAGCTCAACGCCGCGACTTCTTACAGTTCGTTACCGGCAGCCCCAAGCTTCCCATTGGCGGATTCAAGAGCCTCACACCGATGTTTACTGTGGTCTGCAAACCCAGCGAACCACCTTACACATCCGACGACTATCTACCCAGTGTCATGACCTGCGTCAATTATCTGAAATTGCCAGACTACACGTCGCAGAAAGTGCTAAAGGAGAGATTGTTTGTGGCGATCCGAGAGGGGCAAGGAGCGTTCCATTTGTCTTGAGATTGACTGCAGTTTACACTGGGACGGCGGGGATCCAGAGGAAGAGAACAAATCACAAAATTGGGGTTGTGCATGAAGGTGGATTTTCCGTGTGCATCATTCTTCAGCGGCAATAAGCTTATGCTTGAGCTTGGAAAATAAACAAGATGGGTTGCAAGTAATGGTTGAGTCAGGAGACTGGGAGCTTGGTCAATATAACCTCACGAAAGGGACAACACCGCCTTTGACCTATGGCAATGGAACTTGGTGCAAAAAGAAACTATCAAATTCGGAATGGTCGCAGAAGTCCTGCGATTCAGCCATGACCAGAATTGGTATCCAACAATGGAGGCTGGCAGGGTTCGACTGGCTGGGAGGACACGGATAATGGCTATCGCCAGGTTGCGGACAGGATGTCAGCGGTCATATACTGCCTTGCCAATGATGGAAGGTTAAAAAAAGGAGAAACAGGAAGTATGAGATAAGGGAGGCGTCCTAGTTGGAGGGGAAGCAAGCAAGCAGAAGCAGAAACCAAAAAATTTCCACACCCACATAGCTTAGTTTTCAACGACAATGAGACCCTCATGAAGATACATAAAGCAGAAGAGATGCTTCGGCGATGCCGGGATTGCATATGGAGATTCATGGCTCCCTGAGTCCTCTCATAACGCACAGAGTCCAACCTGACTGGACCAGACTCAACCGATCCACTAACTACAGAGCCTGTATTAACGATATCCATCGCAAAGAGCAGTGAACAGGGAAGGGGAGTAACGATGTAACGATGTACTTGCGTACGCGTAGCGATGTATGTACTCGATTTACTAGGGTCGACATGCATGGTAATCTTACTGTGGAAAAGGGGGATCAATATGGCACAACCATTTCCAACGACCAATGAGGTGCTCTGTTCGGAGTATTTATTTTCCAGATTCCATTTTCCAAAAGGTCCCCGCGAGCCAGCCAGGCAGCATCCATTTTCTGGCGTACTGGGTACAAAGTCCAAGATCCCAGCCACGTCCGTCTTCCTAATCTACCCGACTCGCCGATCATACCCGGTACAAGAAGCCTAGCCTCGGAGGCGTTTTGCTGTCACCTGATGATTTGACGACTTAAGCGAGTGGCCTCAGCGAGCAGGCCCTTGCGTGCCGAGGACTTTCTCGGTACTCTGGTAATTATTAACCCCCTCCCTCATGCATTGTATGAACTTGTTTAGATGAATGGAGATGGAAAAATAATGTTTGAAACATCTGAAGGGGTTTTTGGAGGGGCATCCTTTTTTTTTTCCTTTTGCACGTGAATTCCATTGCCCCTAACTCAAGTCCGATCCGGGGTGTGATTGTGGTTGTCACCCTCCGTGACTGTCTGTGATCGTGTAACCTCTATCTTGGTAACTGGCTGACTACATAGCTATCCCTCTAACTCACTCCTCGCATGTATTGACGTACAGTGCATGCACGTACGGGGCCGAGGCATTTACTTAGGTACTTCCCCCCCTTTTTCAAATTCCCGATGGTTGAACCTTGACTCGAACTTTTTTTTTTTTTTTCTTTTCTTCTTTTCCTTTTTACTTTTCTCCTGGCCGGTCGGTTGGCCGCAGGCCCATCTGTCCCGTGCTGGCGGAAACGGGGGGGGCCAAAGATAAATTGAAAGCTCTGTCAGTCCGAGGGACTACTCGACTCGAAAGGAAGGAACCCTCTCCCGGAGTAGTACTACATGACCCAGTGTGGTCTGACTTTACTGTTGATTGCTGCTCCGTGATAGTAGGTGTCGTGTTGGCATGGAGTCAAAGCCTCGCCACGCAGCCGAGGCCAGGGATTTTTTTTGGTTCTGGGTCTGACCCTTGCCTATTACCGAGCACTAGTGCCAACTACGTACTCGGTGGTGGCCTGCCTAATCTGCCTCCCCTGTAACTCCTTGTGATCCACTCGTAAGTATCTGTCGACTAGGCATGTACATAGGTAGGCTTGTCCGAACGAGTAGGTGCAAAAGCGGTAACAAAGGGCGGGTACAAAGGACGGGACCCAATCTGATATACTTCCGTCTCCCGTGCCTATTGTACTACATAACATACTTGTACTGGTAGTGACAAATTCAGTAGTCGGGCCTGGGCAGGTCAATGGCAATCCCTCGGAAGTGCGGAAGATGGAGGCGGGCTAGGTGAAAACGTTCGTTCAGCCTTGTCTCGGAACCGGCATGCTGGACTGGGGACAGTTCCAGCGCTTGTACGGGTATGTACCTCTAAGTACTGGGTAGTACACTTTCATGCACCCTTGCTCCCTGCTTGGTAAGAATCTCCCTCGGACACTGGACAGCTTCATCGCCTCACTCGCGCGTGGTTGGAGAGCCGTGATCCATGTCCCATCGCAGTTCCTGCATGAAACTCGCTTTTTGACTCTAATCTTGATGCTGGTCGGCCGGAAATGACTTTGCCGGTTCCTTCGGTAGCTCGGAGGGGAGCCGAAGGACCTGCAAATTTCAGGGTTTTTGTTCGCCATCTCAAGGCTACCCCAGTAGATAGCGGTCGCCTCACAGTAATGACTCGACTGAGGGGCTTTGTTCGCGGGACAAGGGTCCACATCCGCGATCTAGGGTGGAAGCTGAATGGCTACTGTACTAGCGGGAGGCTTCGCTTCGCCAATGCAGGTTGAAAAAGGTTGACGACGATCCTCTTGCGGTGAGTGTTTCCCCATGTCTCCTTCAGCAGCCACTAGGGCCGGGCCTGACCGGACCTGGACATGTGGAGCTCGGCAGTTATGATCAGCCCCGAGATTGTCAACTAGGGAGGGGAGTGCTGGAAGATGAGATAAGGCAATGAAGAGAAATAGAAAAGTAGTCCAATATGTAAGTACATGTACAGGGTATATGTTCCTGGCACTGGTTCTGCTCCGTCGGCAAAAGAAAACAGATAACGCAGACAATATTCAAACGGACATGAGCGAGAGCTCTCTATGCCAATTGTGGTTCATTGGCATCCTCACAGGAGAGATTTGAGTCGTCTCGTCGAGACCCCATGAATTGAGGAGGAAGACTAAACCAACTCTCCCTCCTTACTCGACCGCTTTTGTGTTGATTGGCCATTATTGCACAATTGCAAAAGTTCCATCACGAAGCGGGGCGCCGTTGTCGCACAGGGCGAACAATCACGCATACCGGTGCGACGCGGGCGGATGTGTCTGTCTGGGGGCCTGAACGAAATAGATAGGCACCTCCTGCTGGTGCTCTTTCGCTTCTGTTACTGACCCACTGTGCTGGCTGTCACTAGTTCTCCCTCTATGCGAATTGCTTCTTGATCCTGACCCTGGGCTAGGCTTAGAGTTTAAGCTAAACCTAGAACCGCTTCCTCGGTATCGCTCTGAATGCACATGTTGGGGCCAAGCAGTGCTATGGTCTCCCGAACCATAGCTCAGAGTGGGGCCATGTCGACTGGCATAGCCTTGCCTACTTCCCCGAGAGGAGCTCCGCTCGCTCCGGGCATACTGCGCAATCTTCTCCCGTTGCAGCTGCTTGACTAGCATGCAGCGCCTCAGGTTACGTAGACTCACCAGGAACAAGACAAAATGCAAGCTCCACACAAGCGTACCGAAGACGATCCCGGCAAGTTGCAGGCCCCCGATGTGGTAGAGCGTCGGCTCGCACTCGCGAGCGAAGATGTTCAGCATGTTGCAAACCAGGATTCCGGACTGTGTGCGAACTGCTGGCTGCCAGAGACGAAACAAGGAGCCGTAGCCTGCGAGGAGAAGAGCCGGAAGAAGGCTGAGCAGTACAAGAATGGAGGCGGCTGTGTGGATGATCAGGGATGGGCGGGAAAGTGAGGAGCCGTGGGTTGAGTTCCCAGCCGATCGTGAGTTCTTTTGCACTCGGCCATGGATCAAGACAATCGCGTGATAAAGGAAGGCGAAGGCCAGAGGCCCCAGAGGCATGCCATCGGTCCAGTCGCCCCGGTTGGGCCCTGTGTTATGGAAGAAATTGGCGTTCCATCTGGGAATAGCGGCAGAAAAAAGTGAAATGGCGATCAAGCTGGCCAGCAGGCTCACGAGATGCAGTGTTGTAATGAAGCAGCGGCGTAAGCGGTAGCGACGGCTAGTGGGTGGCGGTGAGAGGTCGGCGGGGTAAGTTGAGGTTAGAATGAGGGTTTTTGAGCCGAGCATCCTTTTTTTTGTTGGTCCAAGGTGCTGACAAGTGTCGTACTTCGTAATAAAACAATCTCTCAATGCGGGCGTTCAACGGGGCGTCAGGCCATAAGGTCGTAATAGGGGACAAGAAAAGAAGGAGATCTCGCCAGCGAGAATATTAGAAGCCCAAAAAAAAAAAAAAGATGATGAGAGCACAAATCGCACTGTGCAGGTGGTCGGGAAAGTAGAACGGGAAAAGCAAGAGAGAAGAGGAGAGAAAGAAAGGACAAATCTGTAAAAAGAGCAGTAGGAAGATGTTGCGGAATTTTTCAGGTTGATGTCGCGTCCTGTATCAGAAGCGTGTCCGAGTTGCAAAATGGTAGCGAGTCGATCCTGCGACGCTTCATGAAGGAGGTTGTGTCGGATGGCTCACTTCTTCGAATCAGAAGGCCCAGAAGTGTTGGTCTGGGCGGCGATGAAACGATACACCGAGCAGGGGGACGACCTAGCGTTTCGCCGTCAGCCTGACCCGCAGACCGCTCGTCCAGCGATTGGTGATAAAGGCCCGGACTTCCCAAGATGGCCTCGACGGCTTGACGGCAAAGGAGACGGGGAAGTCCCATCGAGTCTCCGTCAAGCCAACCCACAAGCGGTCTACGCCATCAGCCGGGCTCCTGAAGGCTCTAGCTTCCTTAAGTCTTAAGTGCTCAAGGCTTGGGCCATCCCTGGTCATCCCGCGCCGCATCCGGGTAACCCATTCTGTTGTAGGCTGGCTAGCAACGGCTAAGAAGCCGATTATGGAATTCCTCTGACAGTTGCCCACGAATACTCCCTTGTTGCTTGGCAGTTCGGCGGTGGGGCAGAGCCCAATTGGAGGGGCAGGTTTTGGTAAGAGAGCTCGCAAAAAAGCGTAGTGGGAGGATAGTGCACTTGGGCAGGAGTGCCTGTGCAGAAACTTGGTCACCGTCACAATTGACGGCAATGTCCTTTTCTCCGGAATTCCAATTTGGAGTCAGGCTGAAAAGATATCGAGGCTCCTGGGTCTTCCATTGCAGGCCGAATTCTTTCTGTGCTGTCCACTTGCCGACCTCTTCCTTTCTGTCGTATCGCCCGTTGGACAGGCAAATTCCGATTCGATTTCGATATGAGCACAACGCCCATCAGGCTGCGAGACTCTCCCGCTCAAGTGCAGGAAAAGCTTGGCCTCAGCAACCGACAGTTCGACAACTTTAAGAACTTTGCCCGAAGAGTCCACGGCGAATATTGTGCCGCTCATCCCAATTCCAAATGGGCCGATGTCAATGCCGTCTGGACCGCCGTGCCCGAACCAGAGAAACTCGATGTCATCCGACTGATGTACAATCTGTGTACCGATTCCAACCTTTTCCCTCCCACCACCGCACGAAACGTGATCGAGGCAGGCATTGAACAGAGGCTGCATCAGGTGCGGCGTACCTGGCAGCAGACCTCAAGAACAAGGACGAGACCGTCAGCACAAGGGGATGATGGTGGATCCTGAAGATGACCACACTAGTGCACTGGCCTGACGGTATCTGCCCGATACATCTGATCAGTCGCAGCATGCAGTTACGCACGTCTTGTCCCCGATAACCCGCCAGCATCAGCTGAGATCCTATTCGTTCTGCGTCAACGAGGGAGAACCCACGTGCTCTGTGCTGCAAAAGCACGCAAGCAGATGAGTCCCACGGAAAGGTCAGTGGAGGAGCCCGCCGAGCAGTTGGTGGAGAATGGAGCATTTTCAAAGGAGGAGGAGGGTTTTCTTAAATACTCCGGCTTTCAGCCCTACCATAATCAGAAAGACAGGGCATTGTTCAATCTGTCCACACACATCGTGTGTGCTGATGACGATGAGGCTTTTGGATTCGGGCAATCAGGGTGCACAACTCGGGTGCACTAGGCTGTGCCGCGACTTGGGCAGGATGCAGGAAGACTGAAAAGGGCATATGGTTTGATGGCAGGAAAGGATGGTTTGGCCAGCGAATCTGGCCCGCTCAGCCCAACTCCGAGACGGGCAAGGGTGTGCTAGGTCGGAGGAGGACGGTGGACTCAGGGGGGGTTTTGCTCTACTCATAAGACTGGGGTGTGGATTGGTCTAATGGTGGCCATGGTGTCGCGGCAGATCCATGTCGACTTGTGCTCCAGCCTCCTCACAGTGTCGGATTTTGGCCGGGGCCGGGCTGAAAGAAAGATGCTCTATCGTACGAGGTACCTTGATAATAGTCTTCGCAAAGTTAAAAAGCCTGGGAAGCCTTCCAAGAACCTCGGAACTTTCTGCTAAGCTTGTTACGTATCGGAATCCCCTTTGATCCGGTTTGAGTTCCGTGGGTGTTGATGATACGGTACATAGCCCTGAAGCTTGTGAATACAATCAGTCGGCTGTGGGATCATTGTGGCAATTAATCGAAGGCTCATTGTTCAGCGCAGTCTGTGCCTTTGTCTAGAACCTTGACCCGGGGTCGATTCTTCGGGCTGCTTCTGCTTGGCTTGGTGTCCCCTGTACCGTATCACCAATAACGTTGAGCGGGACCTTGTGAGGTGACCTTGACGGCCTGTTCAAGATGGCAACTTTTCGGTGGCCGAGCATGTAGTATGCTTCTTCTCACGACAGGTAGACAACAGCCTGATTCTAGGTGGATTCGGGTAGGGAAAGCTGTCAAGAAGAAGTTGAGAAGTTCCCTTCAGGGGCGGATTACAGGCACGATTCTCGCAGCCCGCGTCGAACAAGTTATAAGAGGAATTCGTCTGTTCTTCCCGCTACCCGCTCCTCGCTTCAGCAAAACCTGATCTGCGTAAGTGCAGGATATCGTGATGGAATGGCCCGTGTTGCCCGTGTTAGGCGAGACAAGGGAAAGTAGATGGTTGGTTCGGGTGTCCGCCAGCGAGCGATGGCAGGATCTGGCATTCAAGGATTAACATGGCCCTCCAACGAGAGTGATCGAGGATTCCGGGGGTGGCTGTTCCTGTTCAGGGCTGCTGTTGTTAGCCAAGTGAACTGTCCATGCGTCTGCTGGATGCACCGACTTAGCCACAATGATTGAGCACCTGCCCTGCTCATTTCACTTATCCTGACTGTGGCCGGAAACGGTGTGTTTTAAGGCAAACGCGGAAGAGGGATAGAGAAGCAATTGTGCTTTCCTTATGGATGACAGTCTGCAGCGCCTCAGGGGTCCTCCAAGCTCCTCGTTGCCGCATCACGCCAGGGCCGACACCAGGGGCAAAGCTCACGATAACGGGAGAAGAGCCTAGGAATTACTCTTACTGTGGATTTCGGTAGGGTTTTGGGTTGGGGCAAAGTTGGGGACGGAGGCGCGGCGGGTTTGGTGTGGGGGATTATTTGGCTGGACCAGGCCGAACCAGCCCAAACCAGCTGCATCATGCAGTGGGCACCAGTCCCAGCCGTTGCGCCGCATGACGCATGATGCAAGCCCAGTAAGGTCACTGTTCGCAGCCGCAGGCTATAACAAGTACAAGTAACAGCTTCAGCGACCACCCCTTCACTCAGTGGTCAAGTGCCCAATCTCCCTTTTCCTATCTTTTCGTTGTCTTCCCTAGCTGCTGCAATTATGGCCTCAACTGTGCCAATCCGATCGTTGAGTCTTATTCTACAATCCCTCTGAAACAGCTGCTAGGTTGGTTACCAGCATTTTCACGTCGAGCAACTTCCAAGGTTACGGCCGAATCCACCCTCTGCGTTCGTTGCAACACTCACCCACCAGACCTCCCTATCTTCATCATGTCTCGAAGCTCTGACAAGTGGCCGTAGAAACTGTCCCAATCCCTGAGATGGCTCAAATTCTCGCGCCTCTGGCATCTTCCACTGTGGAGCACGAGACCAGCCCAACCTGTGACCCTCTTTCGACGTCCTTTCCCTACCTTGAACAGGCGCAATCAACCGAAGATAGCCTTCGTGGATGCTCAGATACCACTCTACACGATGAAGCGCATTCGCGAGATCCAGAGAGCATCAAAGCCGATCAACAGAACGGCGACCTTGAAAGGCCGCGCCTTGCTTCACGCAAGTTCGAGACCGAAATTGCTCGCCGTCGTCCCTCAGGAACATCCGTTCCTCCCAGACAGCATCGCTCCACGGTGAATTACCCTATCCTACAAAGCGCTAGGCGTCGAGTTTCGTCGAGCAATTCGGATACCTCGACTTCGTCGGATGAGGACAACACAGCTGGACTGCAAAGGGCACAGACACAACCAGCTCACGATGCGCTGTCCAAATCCCAACTCAATCGAGTGCGCACTCACCCGAGGCCATCGCATCTCAAGGTAGGAAATGAGTACTTCCAATCTCAAGGGAGAATAGCCAAGGATGGGAGATTGAACATCTCAGTCAATGAGACATCTCAAACAGGCTATCTCGCCAAAGCGCTGGGCGCAACCATTCGACACCAGCTCGGTCCCGACTACCAAGAGGAGGCAAAGCTGGCAGAGAAGGCTAAGGCCGATTTTCTGAGGGACAAACACAAGCTTGTCGTGCCTTCGATGAACATAGTAATTATGGTGATCGGCAGCCGTGGCGATATCCAACCTTTTCTGAAAATCGGGAAGATGTTGAGAGACAAGTATCACCATAGAGTCAGAATTGCTTCCCATCCTACCTTCAAGCAGTTCGTCGAGAAGGAGGTTGGCCTTGACTTTTTTTCCGTCGGTGGAGATCCTTCCGAATTGATGGCATTCATGGTCAAAAACCCTGGGTTGATTCCGACGCTCGAGACCGTCAAGTCTGGAGAGATAGGCAAGAGGCGTGAGTCCATGTATCAAATGTTCCAAGGATTCTGGAGGGCATGCATCAATGCCACAGACAACGAAACGGACGCCGCCAACTTGGAGATGATGGGCTCAAAACCCCCTTTTGTGGCCGACGCAATCATCGCCAATCCACCCTCTTTCGCACACTATCATTGCGCAGAAAAGCTCAGTATTCCGCTGCATTTGGTCTTTACCTTTCCTTATTCGCCCACACAAGCGTTTCCCCATCCCTTGGCCAACATCAAGGCTTCAAACGTCGACCAGAGGTACACAAATTTCATGAGCTATCCGTTGGTCGATTTGATGACATGGCAGGGGTTGGGTGATTTGGTCAACCGATTCCGTGTCCAAACGCTAGGTCTGGAACCCGTCTCGACTCTATGGGCCCCCGGTCAACTCTCCCGTCTCAAGGTTCCGGTAACCTATCTCTGGTCACCGGGCCTTGTTCCGAAACCTCGTGACTGGGGTCCGGAGATCGACATCGCAGGTTACGTCTTTTTGGATCTTGCGGCATCTTATAATCCACCAGAAGACCTGACCAAATTTCTTGACAGGTCAGACGAGCGACCCATCGTCTACATAGGGTTTGGGTCCATTTCGGGAATTAGCGATCCGTTGGCATTCACGAGGATGGTTTTCGAAGCGGTCGAGAAGGCTGACGTTCGCGCCGTGGTTAGCAGAGGATGGGGAGGTATGGGAGACGGAATGGAAAAACCCGACGGTATCTTCCTGATTGACAATGTCCCCCACGACTGGCTATTCCCTCGCGTCGACGCAGTGGTTCACCACGGTGGTGCTGGAACCACGGCCGCAGGGCTGAGATTCGGCAAGCCAACAATGATCGTTCCTTTCTTCGGAGATCAGCCTTTCTGGGGTGCAATGGTTGCAAGGGCAGGAGCTGGTGCAAAAGAGGCTCTTCCTCTTAAGAAACTCGACAGGGACAGATTTGCTGAGGGCATCCGACAGTGCCTAGAGCCTGAGGCCAGAGCCAAGGCGCAAGTGATTGCAAAGAGCATTCAAGAGGAAGGCGACGGCGCAGAAAACGCGGTGGACTCTTTCCATCGACACCTGGATCCCGCAGGACCATATTCGGCGCGTTGCAACATCTTCCCGGATCGCGTCGCTGTTTGGAAGACCAGACATGCCAGCACGCGACTATCGGCGCTGGCAGCAGAATTGTTGGTGGAAAGTAAACAGATCCACTGGTCGAACTTGGAGTTGGCCAAAATTCATGAGTGGACCGACTTCCAGGGGCCCGGGGAACCTATTACGGGCGCGGGCGGTGTGCTTGTCAAGGCCTTTCAGGAGGCATGTTATGGGCTTGTGACGATGCATGAGACAGCGAAACGGGATATCAAACACTATGAGAAGCGCAGACGGAGGCAAAAGCAGAAGTCAGCAATCGAAGGACTAGTTCTACCTGGACGAATCGCTATGGCTACACGGGGCACCTCTGTGGACGAGCAACGGAAAGAGCACGCCAGGCTCATGCGACAAGTCAACTTCCACGGCGAGGCAGAGCCAGTGAAGTTGCCCTTTGGTCAGCCCAACCCAAGCCAGGATGCTATTGGACAAGGCTCCAAGTTGACCAGGACTGCGACGGCGAGCTCAGACCGGACTTCCCCAATGGTGGTGATCTTGCAAGATGTGGGAAAGGGGATTGGCTACTCCAGCAAAGCCATCGCAAAGCTACCCTTGCAGATGTGGAATGCCCTTGCTCTTGGATTTCACAACGCACCTCGACTGTATGGTGACAAGACAGTGCGGCCTTCTCCCCAAGGGATCAACGGATTCCGGACGGGACTGAAGGTGGCTGGCAAAGAGTTTTGGCTCGGGCTCTACGACGGGGTAACGGGTGTGGTGCGAATTCCATACCTCGAAGTCCATGAGGATGGCATGTCTGCACTGCCCAAGGGAGTTGCGCGAGGCATTGGCGGACTGGTGTTGAAGCCCATCTCCGGCGTGCTTGGATTAGGGGCGTATACGGCGAAGGGAGTCCATAACAGCGTGCGGCGACGAGTACGAGATACTCAGAAGACAGAACGATGGATCCGGCATGCCAGGATCGCGCAGGGACACAGAGAAGCTCAGATGTTGGAAGAGCAGCGAAAAGACGGTAGCCCGGAGTCGTCACAACCACTCCGTTCCATGCTACCCGACCTCGCAGCGGCCCGCAAGCACGCCGTGCAACAATGGACGACGCACGAGCAGGAAATGCTGTCAGAGGAGTGAGAAAAAGAAAAGCGACGTCTTCTGCTGCACAAGATACATGGTGAAAATACTTGACGGGCACATGTTCCAAGGTGATGTGCAAGAAAGCTTGCGACCGCCCAACTTGGGCTTTTTTTTCTTTGCCAACCCCTCCTCGGCTCCAAGTCCCTGACGATCCAAAGCTTCATTATGTCATTTACGTGATTGTTCAATTGCAGAGCAATCACCAATCAGCTGTCGACGATAAGCTGCGGCACAGGGGAAGCGGGGAGACGGGAACAAGGGAGCAAGGGAGCAAGGGAGCGAGGCAGGAGGAGGGGCAGCATGCGCCGTGACGGTACAAATCATGGCCTCGGATAGATACCGAGTTGGGTTCTTGTTGTTTCTCTGGCTTGAAGATACCCCATTCTGTTAGATGCTTTCTTTTTGCTCATGCCACATGACGATCAACTAGACGGACTGGAGGACGTGACAGGGGGAAGCATACACCATGGACGACACGGCACATAGATAATCACCTCGCTTGGAGGGGATGAAGTTGGAGAGCGAAAAAAATTTTGCAGACAGGCGGCACACATGGATTGGGTAAGAGACGGGAGGTGCTGTGGTGTTGGCAGCTGCAAGGTACAATAGCCCAGAAGCGAAGACGCGAGGAAAAGAAGCAAATAATGCATTGCTCGTAACACTTACGAGAGCGTCCAACAAGGAAGCTCTATCTGATTTTCCCTCTAGTCACCAGATGGTTCGGATTGGGATTGCGTGGTTTGTCGGTCTGCTCGCCAGACACCCCGAACGGCAAAGATGCCTAAGTTGATTTCGTGGAGTTCGACGGCCAAACAAGGCCGCCTCTCGGGTTATGATAATGCGACAATGTCAGCAGCCACACTTGCGGTTCATGCGAAAAGGCGGAGACTCCACAGCAACGGGGGACTGTGATCTGGAATGTCTCGTGCCACCAGGGCCAGAAAGCAAACAAGGAAATAGGGGAAGAGGAGGAATTGGCATCTGAGTGGGATTGCTTGGGTTGCTGCTGACGGTGCTACCTGGTGACGCCGGCATAATCATCATCGTTGCTCTTGTGCGGTGCCGTGAGTGAGCGACATGAACGACCGAGCATGTACTACGTAGGCAAATGGGCGATTGCGTGAAGAAATCCGATCGATTTTTCCTTATCTCGCGCTTCTCTGTCGCTAGCAGATTAGAGTCAGTTTGGCGGGTCACCCAGTGGACGGGAGCGTCAGAACGGGGGAGGACCCCTCGGCGATCTCGTTTGGGGGGGAAGCGCAAAAAAGGGCAGAGCACAGAAGAGCAGAGGGCTGGACCCTTTGGACTCAGACTGGCACCGGCACTGGGGGCCATGCTCACAACAGGGCCTATTCCAGGCATCCCAGTGCCGAGCTGACGAGTTTAGTAATGGCCCCGGCAAAATGAGTGGCTTATGGCTTGTAGTCGTATCAGCTCGGCTTGCCTTGGGCGACGAGTGGCGACGAGTGGTGAGTGGTGACAGATTGGGCTTTTTGGTGGGGGAGGCGCAAGCGGGTATGCCCAAACCCCCCCCCCCGAGCAACCCCCCTTGGAAACCACCCCCCCCCTCAACTGCGGTCTGCACGCTGCAAGCTGTGGCCAGGGTGCCAGCAACCAAACCATACGCCATGCGGCAATAACATGGTCTTTGTGACATTTATTTGCTTGCTTCTGTCTTTTGTCCTCTCTGTTATCGCTCCTCTTTCTTCTTCACTTTCCAAACTTCCTTTCTTCTCGCCCTCCTCTTCCCTCCTTGTTCACTCTTCAAAACTACAGTCATCAAGGACCTTTTGTTCTCCTTCCCCCCTTCTCTCTCTCTATCGGCATTGTTCAGTCCGATCACTTGCTCGTCTATCCACCATGGTGAGCTCCCCTCTCCACTTCAGTTGCGGCGAGAGCCTCACCACACATCAACCTGCATGGTTCATACTGACCCTGACTCTCTCCTAGGCTGGCGTCGGTGAATCTACGATTGTGTCTAATGCCACCAACGTGAGTTTCACCTCACTGCGCTCCTGTTTACCTTTCTCTCCACCATGCGCCATGCCACACGCTCTACCCGGTGCGAACTTCGCTGACCCCACCTGTTGCAGTTGGCCAAATTCATGAAATTGGACCAAAAAGGCAAGGTCCTGGCTGAGTACATCTGGATTGACGGATCAAATGGCCTTCGAAACAAGACAAAGGTAAGCATATTGTTTTCGATCTGTCTCTCACTCGTTCTTCGATTCTCCTTCTGGTACTCCGACACGAGACCTCCCATTGCCACACTGGGCGCGCTCTCACCGAATCCCGCCAAAAGCCAAAAAGTCCCGAGAACGAGAACAGGGCTGCCGCCTGTTGGTGGGTAGGCTGCGCCGCCGGGCTGGGTGACCCCACGTTGGGAAACCCTGTGGTGGCGGCGTTACACTCTAAATGGGCTGGCTTATCCACCACCCCGTTTGACCCTCCGAGGCTGCGCCGCACACCTGAAATCAGCATTTGCCAATCGCCATCCATCCGATCTCGGCATCTTCCAAGGCGACGTCAAACCACCATTCGACCGCAGCGAGATTGACACGGATCCACCGGAGACTTGACACATCGAAATCCATTATGACTTGCAAAGTGCCCACAAGCTGACTTGGAAACTCCAGACCCTGAGCGAAGCCCCCAAGAGTGTCGATGATCTTCCCGAATGGAATTTCGACGGCTCGTCGACCGGCCAGGCCCCGGGTGACAATTCCGATGTTTACATCCGGCCCGTGGCCATGTATCCCGACCCAATCCGTCTAGGCGAAAACGTTCTGGTAATGTGCGAGACTTGGGACCCTGATGGAACACCCAACAAATTCAACTACCGCCACGAAGCGGCCCGACTGATGGAAGCCAATGCCAAGCACAAGGTGTGGTTTGGTTTGGAGCAAGAATACACTCTCTTGGCCGCCGACGGTTGGCCATATGGCTGGCCCAAGGGCGGATTCCCCGGTCCTCAGGGCCCTTACTACTGCGGTGTCGGCACTGGTCGCGTTTACTGCCGTGATATTGTCGAGGCACACCACAAAGCTTGCATGTACGCCGGGATCAACATTTCGGGCACCAACGCTGAGGTGATGCCCGCTCAATGGGAATACCAGGTTGGTCCTTGTGAAGGCATTGACTGTAAGTCGCGCACGCCATCGACCGGTTCTGCAAAGGCCGTCGCCAAAAATGAGCTAACAGAGTATATAGTGGGTGACCAACTTTGGGTTTCTCGATGGCTCCTCCACCGTATCGCCGAAGAATTTGGTGCCAAAGTCTCATTCCAACCCAAACCTATCCCGGGTGACTGGAATGGAGCTGGCCTCCACACCAATGTGTCGTCCAAGGAGATGCGTGAAGAAGGTGGCATGAAATTCATAGAGGAGGCGATGAAGAAGCTGGAGAAGCGCCACGTTGAACATATCAAGGTCTACGGTGAAGATAACCATCTGCGTATGACTGGAGCACACGAAACATCCAGCATTGACAAGTTCACCTGGGGTGTAGCCGACCGAGGGTCGTCGGTCCGCATTCCCCGAGCCTGCGCCAGAGAAGGCAAGGGCTACTTCGAGGACCGACGACCAGCTTCCAACGCTGATCCATACCGTAAGTCTGAAACCCACTTAGCAAGTTGTTACTGGGCTAATTTGTTGTGCTACAGAGGTTACTGGTATGATTGTAGAGACTCTGTATGGCTCCCTGCCCGAGGAGAAGTTTAACTGAGCCGTCTAGAGGCGGCGGAGTGGAATGGGCAGTGGTGCGAGGAGAACATCGACAAAAGATAGCTAGACAAAGACATGGAAGCGTGTGGATTTCACGAGCGTTGGCGGTAGGAGTTGATCTTAGCGCCCTGAAACGGCGTGCAGTATGCCAACAAGACAACAGCGTTGCTTACATAGAGCACCGGAGAGTTACACATATTGAGATGCAATATTACGATGCGCAAACCCACGAGCATTAGATGAACTTGTCGGCCAATATATGGCATGAACATGGGCTTGTACCCATTGTCTGGTTTTCTTCTCATTTCTATCCACATTCAGCCTTCAGAGGCCTCTTTAAAGTCCTCCTTTAAAGAAACACTTTGCTCTTGAAAAAGTTGATGATCGATCAGGGAGCTAAGTAGGCAAGTATTCCTTCCCCACTGCCGCGTATTCCCCCGCTTAGCTGATTCGAGCCCGAGAGCCACCCACGTGCCAGACCTGGAAGAGCTTCTATCTGCCTGTCTGTCTTCCTGCAGGGTAATGCCTTAGGTCAGCGCAAAGGGACCAACACGAGAGAGAGCAGGGATAGGCGAGAGCGGACGGAAATGGTCGCCGCGGATGCCAGATGCCCGGGTGGGTCAGCCAGCAACAGCCTGGTGTCAGTCCAAGTATTACTTCGCACATACCGAGTAAGTATGTACTTGTAGGTAAGGTCTGCTGCGGGACGGGATGGGGAATCAGGCTGGACTGTGCATGAAGCCGCTGGTCTCGTCACCAGCCCTGCCCCGAACAAGGCTGGTACGTACAGCCGGAGGGCTTGCCACACCCAGACAGAGCTAGAGAACGTCCCGACCGATCAGACCAGACGCGATCCCTCGTACCCAATCCTAGGCCATCTCCATGGCAGCTCATGCGCGAGCTCAATCAGCTCCCACGCCGTCTCGATTGGTGTGTGGTTCTCTGGTCGAGCGCGCTTGGCCCGCTTGGAGCTGGCCGGCCCTTCCGGCGCGTCGGGTCCTGATCCCCAACAACGATGGTTTGCCTGCCTGCAAAAGCACAGGTACAGGTACAAGTGCGGCACATGCCACCGGCTCAGACGTCTGCCGACATTTGTTGTTTGAAAACCCCCCTCCAAAGAGGCAAAGTGGCATGATAGTCCAGAAGGACCTTGACATGGAAGCTCATTTCGTTTTTCGTTTTCCGCCAACAAAGAGACAATGCTGATTGGTGGGCGGCAAGGGGAATGTCGGCCATGGCAGAGGAGAAAAAAGAAACAAAACAAAGACACGTAACAACTGATAAGGATGCAGGTGAGGTACCTTGGATTGAGCTCAAAGCTCAAAGCCCTTCCTCCCTTGGCTTATCTTGAAGTGCTCCATCTTTTTTGATGAGCACAATGGGATGCTCTAAGCGACCTTTTGGATGAGACAATTTTTCAAGCTTGACAGCATCAAAATTTTTTCTCCTGCCAGCATGACTTGACAAAGTCAGGGATGCGAGGACAGCACCAACCAGAGCTGAGTAGCTGCATGAAGAGACAATGCAGCAATGCAACGATGCCGACTAGTACCCTGGGGCTCCGGATTCGGATGATGTGCTTTTTCTCCATGCACCCCAGGGTGTTGGGTTGGTACTTGTTACTGTACTTGTTATGTGGACAAAGGCCGTTTACCCAGTACCATTCGAGAGAGTTGCGGCGAGAGATTCATGCTCACGTGCATGTGACGTCAGTGTCTGATTGTCGAACCATCTCGGCTGCATCACGTGCGTCTCTCGGCTAAAAGGCAGTGGGAACCATGCACAAAACGACTTCGGCCCTTGCAGGAGACTAACAACACTTAACAGTAACTTGGTAAGTACTTGTTAGGCTACTTTTAGTTCCCTTGAGCCATTGCAGGGTCCAACCCTGCAAGCGCCATGCACGAAAACCACGAAACTCTGATAAGCTTTGCGCTTTTCATTGGATCTTTTCAACCTCTATCTTGCACTGCTCGTCGATGAAATGAGTAACCACTTCTGTTTGACACAGTTTGTTGAACTGTTGCGCGCGGGCAGCACCAGAAGCAATTTGCCCTTTACTCGGTACCACCAGTGTCTTTAAGCACTGTCCTTGGCATTACGAGACATAAATCTCTCAGCTGAAAATTTTTCCCTTCGTTGCGTCCTCTGGTCGCGTCTTGAGCAGGCCCAGCCAAACGGTGCCTGGGCCTCTTTGTTTCTCAACAGGCCTCCTATGGACCAGTCCAGCCGATATCGGGCAAAGCATCTTCACCATTCACCCTCTGCCTGTCAGTCTGTGAAGTCAGTCAGGAGAGTCTTAGGGATCTGCTGATGAACCGGATGGATATTTGCAGGCCAAGGCTCTCGGGCTGGCTGGGCGTCAACTCACTCACACATGTCTTTGATAACAATGCCAGCACAGCCACTCACCCACCGACAATAGCATCAGGCTGGGCAACCCGGGGGCAGCCCATTCAAGTCCAGATCAACTCTGCCGCCAAGCCACCAGACATGCACACCAAGTCGCAGAGATGGATCTTTTTCGTCACTGTCATACTGTCATGGTGATGTTTTCTTTTCCTCGGTCCGGGCTCCTGGTAACTCCACGACTAACGCACATCGCAACCTAGTTAGAAACCCCACAAATTCCAAACGAACCCAGACCACCGGCGGGCGATTTGCCCATGCTGCCCATGCTTCAGGCTGGCCATCATACATCGAGGAAGACATACTGTTGCAAAAGAGGGGAAAAAGAGAGAGAAGAAGAGAAGAAGAAAAACAGCTCATCAGATCAGCCCACGGAGCACCTGTGACCACGGTTCCTCCCTGCAAGCTCCCTGATACCATCTACTTTGTGACGTGCGCTCCACCAGATCGCCGCGACCCTTGCTGCATCGAGATTTCCCAGATGCAAGAGCTCCAAACCTCGTCGTTCCCGCTCTGCCACCGCTGCTGACCCATGACGCCGCTCCGAACTTTTCCCATCCTGTCCAAATGTCCACTGGCAGTCTGTCCAATGTCCTTGAATCCCTCTTCTGATGCTGTTCGCTCGGTCCTGTCATTTTTCCCTTTCTTCTTTAAAAAAAGACATTCGGGCCCGTGCCGTCTTGGAAGACAGCGTCCATCCCATCCCATCCCATCCCATCCCATCCCATCCCATCCCATCCCGTGTCATTTCTCTTGTCTCGTGTGCCTGTCGGTCTTGGTTGTTCATATCTTTTATGTATGTCTTCTGCCCTTATCATCGCCACGAGATTGCCTCCCCTGCCCGGAAGAGTCTTGGAACGTCTCTCCTAGCCAACCAGCCTTGGGACATTTGTTTCTGATACGGTCCCCGACAACACCCCTTCCGGCGCGAGGTATATATTCGAACTCGCCGCCCCCCGAGGGTGTGATAGCTTTGAAAACGCCCTTCTGAGGCTCACTTCTTTTGCAAAATCTTCCTCAACTCTGGTGCCGTCACAATGTCGTCGAGTGGCATCACCAACTTCCTCCCTTCCTACGCCTCCTACAACTGGACTGGTGCCCCCGCAGACTACTCTTTAGCCACAAATGCGCAAACAGGAGGAGACTCACGTAGGTCTCGTGACCACATCTGGACAAGAGGCCCTCTAACCAAAGTGCAGGGACGGAGAATCTGAACAAGTGGTATCAATCCGGCGACCAGGCATATATCATCATCTCATCATGTCTGGTCTTGATCATGGTGCCGGGCCTCGGCTTCCTCTACTCGGGCCTCGCGCGACGAAAGTCGGCCTTGTCACTGATGTGGGCTTGCATGGCTGCTGGCAGTATCGTCAACTTTCAGTGGTACTTCTGGGGCTACTCACTCACCTTTTCTCCAACCGGCCAGAGCGGCTTCATTGGAGATTTGGTCCATTTTGGGCTGAAACGGACTCTGGGGAACCCGAGCCCTGGTTCGCCTCTTATTCCTAGTCTCCTATACTCCTTCTACCAGGTGAGTCTTCTTGGTCCTTCGCCGGTTACACCATTTTGATGGGGTGATGATCACAGATGCAATTCTGCGCCGTGACCGCCGCGATCGTTGCCGGTGCTGTTGCAGAGCGCGGTCGATTGATGCCTTTCCTTGTTTGGACCTTCCTCTGGGCCACCCTGGTATACAATCCGATCGCTTGTTGGGCGTGGAACGCCAATGGGTGGGCATTCAAATACGGTGTCATGGATTATGCCGGCGGCGGGCCTGTCGAGATTGGCTCTGGCATGTCTGCACTGGCTTATTCGATGGTTCTGGGGAAGAGACAGGAGAAGATGATGCTCAACTTCCGACCCCACAACGTTTCGTTTATCCTGCTGGGCACGGTTCTGCTCTGGTTTGGCTGGCTGGGCTTCAACGGAGGCTCCGCCTTTGGAGCCAACCTCAGGGCTGTCATGGCTTGCTGGAACTCCAATCTGACGGCCACTTTTGCCGCAGCGGCTTGGGTCCTGCTCGATTTCAGGTTGGCTCGGAAATGGTCCATGGTCGGCTGGTGTTCCGGTACCATCTCTGGACTTGTGGCTGCTACGCCGGCATCCGGATATCTTGAAACGTGGGGGAGTGTCGTGTTGGGGATTGTTACTGGCATTGCCTGTAACTTTGCCACCAAGAGTGAGAGAACCCTCGGAGTTTCCGCTGTGGACATCTACTAACCTGTGTGGTTTTCAGTCAAATACTGGGTCCGGATTGACGACTCCATGGACGTGTTCGCCGAACACGGCGTTGCTGGCATGATCGGTCTGATGTTCAATGCCCTGTTCGGGGTCGACTACGTCGTCGGTCTCGACGGAGTCAACACGGGCGTCCCGAACCCTACGACTGGCACCGGCGTCGGCGGGTGGCCCATCGGCAACTATCGCCAATTCTACATCCAGCTGGCTTATGTCCTGGCATGCACGGGCTACGCCTTTGTCATGAGCGCCATCCTCGCCTACATCGTCAATTTCATTCCGGGCCTGCACCTCCGCGCTTCGGAAGAGGCTGAACTGCTCGGCATGGATGACGACCAACTCGGCGAGTTCGCCTACGATTACGTCGAGGTGTGTACGATGTCGTTGTTTTCTCCCTTTCCCCACCCAGTCATTCCCCATCTCCACGGGTCGTGAAGACTTAACTAATCATTGCGCAGGTCCGCCGTGACTATCTTGCCTGGACACCGCAAAACCGGGATCAGAACGGCATCGACCCGAACATCCCGAGCGAAGACCGCTACGGCATCGGCGAACACTCAGACATGATCAGGAAAGCGGCCAACAGCGCCAACGGTGCTGTCGGCGGCGACTCGACGACGGCCAGCTCGCGCAGTAACCAGGAACTGCCCGCCCAGGGAGACCGGCATGCCATCAGGGCCGAAGACATAGAGAAGATCAAGCATGATCCGGAGGCATGAGACCAGTCAACCCGTCAGTCCCGTGGTGTGCACTTGCGGTGCTGTGCATTGCCGTAAGGTTTGCTGCGGTGCGCTACGGTGCGAGGGATAGACAAGAACGCCTCACCAGCATGGGAACTCCAAGCGCTCCAGTCTACCTACCCGCCGGCCTACCTACCTACGCCTACGATGAGTTGTTCTCACTGTCCCCATCTCCATCTCCGCCTTCATTTTACGCATGTTTGTGTGTCCGTGTGTCCGTGTTAGAGCGTCTGTGTCTGGGGTTCTTCGATGCGTTTGAAATCTAGCTGGCTGGATTGGACTGGATGGAATGGGTGATGAAGAAAGACGGGGAGAACGGAGAAGGGGATAAGAAAAAGTTCCCTCCTAACTCTTTTTTTTTAAAAACCTTTACAACCTAAAAGAGGCGTATTATATATCGGTATACGTACACATATACACACATGCCTGGGTACACACACGCACGAGTGAGATGTTAGGATAAGAATCGGGTAGGATTTGGCGAACGAAACGAACGGGAATATATATATACCCTGCCTTGCCTGCCTGCCTACCTGCCTGGTTCTCTTGACACAGTCGGTACATACGCAAACACATATCCGGACACGAATGCTCCTTCATGTGACGGAGATACATTACAACTCAACGACCTTCCCGTCTCTATTACTTGTCCAAACTGCGTCGATCGCGCGGTGGATGTTCAGCCCGTGTTCAAAGTCCGGCCACGCCCACGGCCCTTCCCCTTCCCCTTCTCCTTCTTGCCCACCGCGGACGAACACATCCCACAGCCTATCCACCGCCGGCTGCCCCGTTTCTTGCTCCGAGACTTCTTCTTCTTCTACTACCTCACCTATTCTCCTCCCTTGACCTTCGCCTTCGCCTTCGATTTTCATACGAATCTTCCACGGGATAGGCAGGTTAATGTGCGGGATCATGCGGAGAGGGGTCGTGATTTCCATCTCGCCGTTCGTGCCATAGATTAGCCAGGTCATGCCGCTAGAGATGCTGTTCCCGCCGCGCATGTGGATGCTGTAGACGATGTTGTTGTTGTTGTTGTTGTTGTCATCGTCGTTTTCTCCTCCATCACGCGGCTGCCGTAATTTCGGTCCCGGTTTCGATCTCGATTTTGATTTTGATTTCAACATCCCCTGGACGAGGACTTGGTCTGGGCTCTTCTTTGGCGCGTCCCTCTCGACAATCTTCCCTGTGACATCGTCCACGATATTCGTCGTGGGATGCATCGTTTTCACTTGTCCCGAGACGGTCGCGACATCAGCGTCCAGTGCGAATGTCAGACACTCGATGAAGTGCGCCAAATGCACGTCTACCATTGTCGCCCCATTGGCCGGATCTAGGGCGTATTGGGAGCTGCGTTTCTCGGATTTCCCGTCTCCCGTGGGCACCGTGCCGACTGCCGTTGTGCTGAGAATCCTGCCTAATCGACCGCTGCGCACGAGCTGAGATATCCGCTGGGTGATCGCCGAGAAGCGCCCCTGCAAACCCACCGCCGTGCGAAGACCCTGTTCCCGCGCAAGACACACGATTTCTTCGGCCTTGGCAAATGAGCAATCGATAGGCCATTCGACGAAGATCCCCTTCAATCTCTTGGACAGGAGAGATGGCATGAGCACGGTCCTGTGGAGGGGCGCTTTGACGCCGACGACCAGGAAATCGACCTCTTCGTCCCTAGCCAGGTCTTCAGGCGCGCCGTACGCGCGGACCATGGATGGGAGGTTGTGCTTCGCGATAGCTTTTTGAGCGTTCGCGAGCGACGAGCCGAGGACTGCGACGATCTGGAAGTCAGCAGCGTGCTTCTGGATCGCGGGGAGGTGGAAGTGATTGAGCCACCCGTAGCCGGTCGGAGAGGAAGAGAGGCCGATCAAAGCTGTGCGAACAGGCCTCGGCGGGAGTGAGGCGGTCATCCTCGTCTGTCGTTCTGGGAGGCTCTTTGATCAATGTTGTTAGGGCAGAGTGTTGGGAGGCTCTGGATGTGCGAGGGCCCCGAGGATGAAACCGTCGTCCCGCTCGATCAAGTCCAAGTCCAAGTCGCAAATGCAGACGGTGAGAAATCGAGAAAATTCACTGGCGCCGAGCAGAGTTAGCCCCCTTTCCCAAACGAAACGGTGAAATGAGTACTGTGGACCATGCTGTGGAACGACATCTCGGTTCGATCGTGGATATTGCTCGAGCTTTGTCGATAGAACATTCTCCTGTCCGGGTCGATAGGGTTCGATATGTGGACCGAGACCTAAGTCGATCGTAAGCTGACATACCTGGCGTTCTTGCGGACTGGGCCCCCTGGGTCCACATGGGATGACTCTGTCATAGGAAATTTCTTAGAGTATCTCCGTGCTCATCAGACGAGACGTGGAGCATCGTGGCAGCTTTGCGATGGCGAGGACGGCGGCGACTAGCCCCACAAAACACGCATTATCAGCGACACGAAGACCGTCCAGACAATCGGCTCAGTCGGTCGAGAATGATACCCTCCCCCAGTCTTGCGTATCATCGTCTCCGACGTCGGCTTTGGAATTCGGTGCAGTCTCCAACCTTTCCTTCATCATCCCTATCCGTTTGGAACACCGCCCTGATCAAAGCACGATCTACCCTGCTGTTGACGCATTTTCTGCTCCAAGATCTGGGTCAGTTCCATATAGCCCCACAATCTTGCATATTCATTTATGGGTATGGAGAGCGTACCGACTGGGTCGAATTTGATATCAGATCGTTCGAGCAGAAGGCCAACAACCGCTTCTCTCCGCCCGATGACCGCGGAGGATAGTGGAGTGTCGTGATCACCGTCTCTTGTATTCACATCGACATTCCCATTCTCAAGGAGTAACCCTACAATCGAGTCCTCCGCTTCTTGGACTGCCTTGTGTAATGGAGTGTTGCCAAACTAATTTGTTGCGTTCACGTCGATGTCCCCGCGCTCCAGGAGTAGCTTTACTATTGCTTCGTGCCCTCCGGTCACTGCGGCGTGTAATGGAGTGTAGCCATTGTCGTTGTCTTTCTCATTCACGTCGACATCCCCACGCTCTAGCAGCAATTTCACCATTGATTCGTGCCCGTATAAACATGCCCAGTTAAGAGGGCGATGATGGTCAATGGTGACACCGTGATGGTTGACTCCATGTTTCAGCATTAACTCAATCACCTCCTGATGCTCTGCTGACAAATTCAGACCGACGCCTGGCGGGCTGAGATCAGTCATGTTTGTTGTTTGGAGAAGCATCTGTACTGTGTCTACTTGGCAGTTCATCACAGCATAGTAAAGAGGAGTGCGCCCGGCGTCATCTTTGTCATCCAATCGGTTGATTTTATGCTCAATAATGTGCTTCACGAGACCTGGGAGTCCGTATCCTGCAGCATATGATAAAAGCGACCGAAAACGGGCATCCCTGAAATTTAAATTGACCCAGGTGCTGTGGGAGATTAGGGCGATCAAATCGGCGTCGTTGCGCAGGGGCTTCACTTCCGTGGACCTTCCGGTCGTGCAAATCAGATGCCAGATCAAATGTCTGATTAAAAGTCCATATCCATGCTCAAATGCCCAGGGTATCACATGGACTTGGAGCAGACGTGATGCCAATGCAACTTGGGTCGAATCAAGAGACTCACGCTGATTGGTATACAACGATACTCTTATTGAGGTCAGGTGGAACACACTGGTACTCAGAGAGATCTGTAGGCGGCATCCATTTTTGATCTTTGTCTGACAGTCCAACTGGACCTTTTCCGTGGCTAGCAACGTTTCGACGAGGTCCATCCGGCCTTTTGCGACAGCCCAGAAGAGTATTGACTCTTCCCCAAGATTGAAAACCTTTGAATTCTGCACCAAGAACTCTGCACAATCGAGTCTTCTTCTGTTCATTTGGGTGAGAATAGAATCGAGATCGGGTTGCGCAGGACTCCTGATTTCAATAGCTGACATCAGAAATTCCTCGACTGCTTCCTTATTTTTTGCTGCTATGGCAGCCCGCAGAGGAAATTGGTGTCGCTCACCTCTGATGTCCATAGAAGGCACTTGTTGAAGCTGAATGCGAATGAGTCGGGGTAAATTCTTCTCGGCGAAAATATATAGAGGGCTCACGGATGGGGTATATTGTCGGATGTGGTACTTCTCAAAAATGTTGTTGTAACGCGTCCAAGTTGCGAAGTCGAATTCCATGGTGAAGGTTGTTTGCGAGACCTTCTTCTCTGCTGCCGCCTCTGCGTGATCGAAGACGTGGTTCACTGCGTAGCTTAAGAATGGATATTGCGCGCACAAGTCCTCGCGCAGGCTCCTAGCCTCCATAGAAGGAGGAGAAGAAGAAGTAGAAGGAGCAGCCCGCGGCTCGGGGTCGTCGTCGTTTAGAGGGGTTGGCTAGCTGAGTGTCATTGTCAGACATTCCATCATCCTCCAGTCTAGAGTCAGCCCTATCTTGTCTGCGCAAAGGCACATGACTTGGGTGTTGAAGCGTCAAGTAGTTTTGACAGCACAGCTTCAGTTTTTCATGGCTCTGCCCTTGAAAATCCGACTCAATAGGCTGTTGAAGGTGCATGAGTCCGTCGCCTTTAAGAAGATAATCCCGAACTGATTCGTGGATGAATTGTACTGTCTGGATCTTCGTCCTTGTCAGCTCCGCGAGGCCTTTGGAACAATTCAGAATAAATCGGTCCATGACATCTGTCGTTGTGTCGGTTGGATCCCTGGGTGTGAGTTGGTCAGGGTCGTTTCCGGCCAAGATCGCGAAATATAGTTCTTCACGTTTCAACGGTCGTTTGGCGAATAGGATCCATTGTAGACAGAGCAGAAGATCGTCGCTATTTCTCCCGTCTCTTGTCAAGATATCTTCGAACAACTTATCGAGGCCGTCTGGAATTTCCCTGAGCCGCTTCTCAAGTGTATGTATCCGTCCTCTGTCAACTTCTTTCTGCAGGATCCGGACGACGAGCACAACCCACAAAAAGATACCATTAGCCCTCTGGAGGACGGCCGTTTTGATCTTTTCGCTGCGCGGGCTCTCGCCGATTTTGAGTTCGGTGCGGACGTAGTGCTCCAAGTCATCTTGATGGCCCTCCTGGTCCTCCAACACGAGTTCAACGCACTTATCCACGGCGATATAGGGGTAATGGCGACTCGAGAAACATATATGGAGCTGTGTTCCTGATTGCACTGCTTCTTGGCTGAGAGTCTCGAAGAATGCCACCATGTCTCGGATGTCATCTTCATGGCACTCATCTAACGCATCGACAAAGCAGACCAGGCTTTTGGTTCCAATACATCTGATGGCGGCTTGAAAGGCGTCTTTCAGGGTCTCAAGCTGCCATTGGACCTCGAATTCACCTGTCTCAGACAGTAACAGCCGCGGAAGAAGATTCAGAATGCTTCCAAGCTCGGGACGGCTCTCCAGCAGTTGTAGAAGCAACGACCGATACATACCTTCAGTAGAATTCTCCAGGTCTCCCCCTCTAGCGTTGAAAAAGAATGAAATAACTGTGGCCTCCGACATTATTTTTTTGGCGTTCGCAAAGATATATTTCATGATTGTAGATTTGCCAGTGCCCGCTTTTCCCTTGATCCACAGAAAACCATTGTGCTCGGAGAGTCTTTCGACAGCGAGCCAGTCGCAGTACCCAGATTTTTTGAGCAGCCATCTGCAGGTTTTTGCATGGGCTGTTTTGATTGTCCCATGACGACCATCAATCTGATCGAAACCGAGCGATTTGATACAGGCTTGCCGTTGTCGGATACTGAGCGTTGTCTGACTAGCGTGGAAAGGTTGGTCGCTCGAATTTTCAAGAATTCGACTGATTGCTGCGGCGACTTTCCCATATTCGGCATCATGGAGTCCGCTAAAGCGACACATATCCATGTGATCGTTTGCGATATGCTGGGTGATTTCCAACCTCGAATCAGGCAAGCAAGGAGATGGATCTTCAACAACCTACAAAGATCAGCAAGCTCTGCAGAGTTCTCACATTGAGAGTCATGCCTACCTTCCTTCCATTGAGAGCCTTGATACCGTGATCTTCTTGGAAGCAGTGTATCTTCCATCCCTCTGCGCGGGCCATTGGACCAAACTCGTCCCGTAGTTGCTTCAGACGTTCCGAAGAAGGGAGCAAGCTCTCCAGGACAGTTTCGTTCGCTGTGAAACCAAACGCTCGAGCGACATTTTCGGCAATGGACCTTAAAAGCCCGCGCGGATCAGCCCCGCCGTGTGGAGTTCCGAAGAAGACGATACCCAGAGTTGACTCAGATATGGTTCGAAGATGAGGATGGTAGTTGAGGTAGCCATATGACTGTCGGAGCATCTCCTTGACAACGACTCCTCCAAGACTGTGGGCAATGAACAAGAGGGGTCTGGTAGGCTGACACCGACGTACGGCTTCCAATGCCATCAAGAAGTCCTTGGCAAAATCATAGACCGACTTCTGACTCCTCGGAGGACTGAGTCGATGTCCGAAGCGAGTGTCGTAGCCATATGCTAGTATTCGTGCGTGAGGAACAGTATGGGGTAATAGATCCTTAGGCCAATAGACGGACTTGCGATCGCGGGAGATCTTCACGGAATCAAGTATCTTTTGGAATTTTCGAGGTCGCCCATCCCCTTGATCTTCAATCAGATTGTCGGCATCGCCCTTGTGCCTCCAGGTTCGCTCTGGGTGTCCATTAAAGCCATGGATAAAAACGATGCTAGCGTCGATATTAAGATCATTGTCATCGATCGAATGCGCGTGCTGCCGAGAATGACTTCCTCGATTGATGGGCGTTTAGGCGCAACAAGCAGCGAAAGACCTAACATGGCGGGTTCGTCGAGAACCTTCAAGGTCGAATCATCGAAGCACGCCATCGCGCTGCAGGTCAATGTAAAGATTGGTTCCAGCGATACGACATTGTGGGCGGATGACCCAATGGTCTCAGGCATAAGTCCGTTGCTGGGAGTCTTGTGCCACATAAATAATAGAGAAAATCACCTTGATAGGAGTGAATTTTATTAGGGTCAGAATGACGATTGTCGGACTGCAGGTAAGGCTTGCAGTTGGACTGCTTCAGGTCTAGGAAGGAGTTCTGTTAGGTCGACAACGCTCGCCAGCAATAGGACTAACGATGAACGGCAGCCCTTTCGATGAGGTTAGAAGAAGATTCTGTGAAAAGTAGTAGTAGTAGTAGCAGCAGCAGCAGCAGCAGCGAGCAACGGTCTAAGGCTAGCGGCGAGCTCAGCGCTGCCACCGACAGTGGTTGCATGCTGGGCCACTCGGCCACTTGACTACTGCCATGTCGACTTTCCATGCTGAAGCTGCAAGCCACAAACCGCGTTGGCGGCAAGGGTACCCGGTATTAGGGTGGACATGACTGGTATGGCCAACGCTTTCAGCTGCCTCCTTGTAGACGAAGGCGGAGTCCATCACGCGGCCATCCTTCGGCCGGGCGTATTGTTTTCCCTCGTACCCATATTATCTATGAGACATCCTCAATTCAGACACTGGCCTGCCAAAAAATAAATATAGGATACATGATAGAACAAGGCACTTGCTGAGCAGGGCAGCTTTTCCGGACCGAGAATGATGACGAGCGTTGGCGCCGTGGTTGAGCTGGCAAGGCAGATTCATGCCGGGGGGGGGGGGGCATTTAGCTAGTGAGTGTCCTGGACAGAGTACCGACGAGCCGAGTCCAGGGAGGCTCGGGACGTTGACTGGTGGCCCTACCCACTAGTTGAGAGCCCCTGCAGCGCCTGCCACGGAGCCTCGTGAGCCTCTCAAATGCCTTCACTCTCATCCAGCAGGTCCACTCAACAACATCCCCCCCCCCGGGGGAAAACAGCCTATTTCTATGGATACATGCTCATGGGCCGACTCTCGAGTTCAGCCTCACTCCATTCAAAAGCACAATGCACCGCCATCCACTCGCAAATCTGCCCCTGTGATGTATCTGCCTGCTCTTTTACTGCTGAGAAGTACGATAGGTGCGGTGATTTCTTCCACTTCGCCCATTCTGCCCATGGGACACCGGCTGGCCCAGATGTCTCGCACTGGCTTCAGGTTGTCACCGGCATTAAGCACTGTGTCCATGTAGCCTGGAGAGATACAGTTGACTCGGATCCCGTGAACTGCCCACTCAGCGGCGAGATTCTGCGTCAGATGCGCAACCCCCGCCTTGCTCACATTGTACGCTGCTTGAGGTTGGGGATAGTTCGTCGTGTGAGCCGAGATGGAAGCTGTGAAGACAATGGATCCCCCGGACTTGGATTCAATCATGCGTCTTGCGGCGGCTTGAGCGCAGAGGAACGACCCAGTTAGATTGACATCGATGACTTTGCGGAATTGGCTAGCAGTTGCTGAGATGGAGTGCATACACCCAACTATTCCTGCGAAACAACATAACATGTCGAGGCTGCCCATCAACCCCTGGGCAACCTGGAAGGCTTGGTCCACTTCGGATTCCGATGTCACGTCGACCGGCATCGTGTGGATATCCGCATTGGGGAAGTCCTCCTTCAGTTTCGATATTGCATGCGAGGACGTATTAAGGGTGGACTGCAGATCCATGAGCGTAACACCAGACGCACCATGCTCCAGTAGTGACCGGGCAGACACCAAAGCTAATGTGCCAGCACCTCCGGTGAGGACAGCATTGCCCTCTATCCGGAATCGAGCAGCAGCTCGCGCGGCAGGTGATGTTGTCTTTATGGGGGCCAGGGGCGCTGTGAGAGGATTTTCAGCCATGGAGAGACTCATGGTTGGAATAATTCGCGAGGTAAGAGCAGACCGTTCGTCCTCAGTCGCCATAGGGGCTGCCGGCACTGAACTGGGCTCGCCCATCTGTGATGTTTTGTGCCGACACTTCTGCAGATGGCCTTGATGTGAGATATCTGGAAGAAGAGTTCGTCCACTTTCCGATGTAATGAGATGCTAGTTGTTGGTGCCTGGCACAGAGAGAGAGAGGGAAACAAGCAAGCACTTGATGGCTAAACAGACCTTTATACAGCGTCACTTTCACCGTTCACTTCACCTGTCAAGATTCTTCCGCTGCCACTGGGGGTTGTTCAATTGGGGTTGCTGTCGGTCTACCAACAACTTTCGCCGGGGAGTTTTTCCCATGTTACGTCCATGTTATGTTCGGCGAGAGATTCCCCGGTCCGCCGACCGACAAATTTTTGTCCCACTCGAATTTCTTCCCGGTTGAGCGACCAGTCTTTTTCTACAGTGGTTCATCTGCAAGTATTCAGGACAGTCCCATATGCGACTCTACCTCTCCTAGTACTCCAACGTGCAATGGCTCAGTCTACCCAGTCCGGCTCGCTTCCGGTCCCACCGACACCGTCCTCCCCTCTATCCTCCCAGATTGACCTTTTAGTGGCGCTCCAGCTGTGGTCCTGGCCGGCCTTGACACTTGCGATCCAGAACTCCTGGGGCGGCTCTGCACAGGTCTCAAATGACAAGAGAGACTGGTTCGCCGGCGCTGTGTCTGAACTGCTCACCTCGAGTCCTCCACAGCTGGCAGATGTTAGCGACCTGGAAGAAGTGTTAATACAAGTCATGCTTGATGAATTTGAGGTCGTGGTCGACGATGGTAGCGCCGAAGAGACTGCCCAAAAGATCTGGAGTGGATCGACTAAGCTGATCGGCGGAGACACTTCTGAATTGAACGAGCTCTATGCGAAATGGCAAGAGAAGCAGAAAAATGGAGGTGACAAGGTCGTCGGCATTGTCAGAGGGGAGGACAAGGAGGCTGAAGACACCGACTGGGACGATGACGACGATGGCAGTGAAGAGGAGGAAGAGTGGAATGGATTTCCTGACCGACCCGACGTGCAGATGGATGACGCTCCTTCAATCATTGACATCGACTGGAAACCAAAGCAGAAGCCCGAGCCAGAGGTTGACGAGGATGGCTTTACCAAGGTTGTGAGCAAGAAGAAGAGATGACTCAGTTGGAGCAGCTTGTCACACTCGCTTGACTATCTAGTAGGCAACTTCCAGGATCAGGGTTCTGAAGGACACATGATCCAAACAACACTTGTTCGACGGTGGCATCGCAATTACCCACAACCTCAGTGACCCTCTGGATCGACTAGCCCCAGCTTCTCATTCTCCTTTTTACTCCTCTGGCTCCACTCCGGCGGCTCATCGACACCCTCTTCCTCCTCGCGATCTCCCTGTGCCTTGTCCTTGTGCACAGTCGTTGGTTTGTGCTCCGCGGGAGAGTATACGGTATACAAAATCAATGGCGTCGGCCCGGTGTTGATGAACTGGTGCTGTGTGCCCGCAGGCACGATGATGAGATCGCCAGCCTTCACATCCTGGTCTACGCCGTTGATGGTAGCCTTGCCCTTGCCGGACGTGAAGGTCAAGATTTGATCGACGGTATGTTTCTGCAAAGAAGCAGAGAGAGGGGAACATTAGCGAAAACATCGACACTTTCAATGCAACCCAACACAAAATTTTACGAGATAGCGACCCAGACAGACCATACCTCGTCTCCGATTTCACCATCCACCGGCACGGTCATCAGCACCAACTGGCTGTACAGGCCCGTCCACAAGACGCGACGAAACTCGGCCGACTCGCTGGGCAGCGACGTCGTCATGTCTGGAAAATACGCCATCTCATGCTTCGGCGGATCCATCGAGGGCGTCTTGAACTTCATCCTTGTGGCTGTGTACGGTCGAACCGCCGCGATTGAGAATCTCCTTCTAACTATTGTGGCGGACGCAGTGAAAAGCGGGCGAGCAGCAACTTCGTGGTAATATCCCCTTGATCCAAGACGACGGGATTCCAAACGTAGACAGCAAGATGTCCCCGATCTGAAAAGGAGTTGCGGTGGGAGAGACATGAAACAGAATACGAGAACTATTAGGGGGGAGAGAAAATAGTCTGCAATGATGATGGTGGTTTCTTTTAATGACCCCACCCCTCCCCAGGAGAAGCAGACAGACCTCAGCCAAGGTACAGATCCTATGGCAACTCACGGAACTCCTACCTACCAGTGCACCTTGTTTCCATGGAGGTTTCATACGACTGCGCCTAAATTGTCAGCGTGGAGTGACCATTGCCCAGAGAGAGACAAGGAGTCCTGATGTCATGACGACGAAAAGTCATCATAGCGGTTCGTCATAAAGTTGTAGCCACAGTGGCGCCAATAGGGACTCATCTATGCTCTCTTTTGCATTTAATCATATCCGGGTGGTGACGTATGTAGCAGGGCTTGCCGGCACTGCCGGCTCTATAACAGCGTCCTGAATCACGTGTACGGTCTATGTAGGTATATCTTGCGAGCATGGTATATCCCGTTCTCCGCGTCTGTTGAGGCTCCGTCCGACATACAAATGGGATAGATATCAAGTCCACCTCACCCACTCAGTTCGACGACGCCGACTGCCTCTTCATCTCAATCCCCTTAGTCCCATCCATGACCTGTTTGATCTTGTCCACATCCACCTCCCTCTTCGGCTGGCCCATGTACCAAGTGATGTCGCTGCCGTCCCTCTCGCAGACGTGGAATCCGTCGCCGAAGAAGGCAAACATGTCGTCCTGGTTGTCGTAGTCGATATCGTAGTCCTCGAAGCGCGGCTTCTCGAGCAAGCGCAGAAAATGCAACCGCGACCCTGGATAGATGGCGGGCTTGCCGTCGATTTTGCCGCCTTTGAACCAGCTTGAGCAGGGACCTAGAAGGAAGCAAAGGCACAAAAAGCAAGTCAGCGTTCTATGCGTCATTGTCACTCTTTTTTTTTTTTTTTTCTTTCGACCATGCCATCATGTGGAAAAACTCACCCGTCCATGCGGTCCTTTTTAGAAATGAATCCGCGTGCCTCAAGAATTGGTCCACCACTTTCGACTTCGGCCTCACGCTCCTGATGTTCTCTACCTGCATCTTCTCAATCACCTGGATCGTGTAGCTGCAATACCCTTGTATCAAGGGGAAGAAACTGCCATGTGCTGAGGGACAATAGGCCCCCCCGTAGACGAAGTAATTGGGCACTTCGGCCAATCCAAGACTCAAGTACGAAGGCACGTGTGGATGATCTTTCCATTCTTCGTTTTTCGAAATACCATTGACGCTCAGGGGGAAGCGAGGTTTGTAGGATGTGTCGAAACCTGTGGCGCAGATGACCACGTCTACTTCTCGTTCTTGGCCGTCTGGGTCGATGAATCCTTTTTCTGTGATCTTTTGTATTTGTGACGTGTAGGCCGTGGTCTTTTCGCCGGTGAGGGTTTCCAAGTATCCGTTTCCGGGAGTGGGACGACGACATCCGACGAAGAAATCGGTCGGCATAATCTTTTCAAGTAGGTCCGGGTGGTCCTTGAGCAGCGTTCTCATTTCGCTCTCGGAGTACTCGCGCGCGGCATTTTGGGCTTCGGAACCGTTGATGATGAAGCCGAATCGTTGATTGAGCTCGCCCTCGATCATCTTGCAATATGCGAGATACTCATCGGGATCATCAAACAATTTTCTTTGCTCCTCGTTGTAAATGAAATTCGCCCCGTCTTTACCAGCGAACGCTTGAGCGAAACCCGCGGTGATCCAGATCTTGTTCCGAACCCAAGTGTACACCTTCTCGACCTTGTCGTAGATATTCGGTAGGATTTGGACAGCACTGCTTCCCGCGCCAATTAGCGCGACCCGCTTGCCCTCGAGGTCGGTGTTTGGATTCCATTGAGCTGAATGGAGAAGCGTGCCCTTGAAATCGGGCAGGCCGGGAATGTCGGGCCACTTCCATTTGTTCAAAACGCCGCCCCCGTCGATGACCATATCTGCATGATCCTCGAATTCGCGTCCCGTGTTAAGGTCCTGCACACGGACGGTCCACTGAGCGGTGCCCTCGTCCCAGGAGAGAGAAACGATTCGGTGCCGTAATTTGACGTACTTCTCGACAAACTTATTCTCCTGTTCGACCTGTTTGATATAGTCCCAAATTTCCGGCGAGTATGAGTAGTATCTAGACCATGGTGAGGGTCTCCAAGGAAACTGGTAGACAACGCTGGGGATATCGCATGCACAGCCCGGATAACGGTTCTCGTACCAAGTACCGCCGACATCCGCGTTCTTTTCGTAGCAGATGATCTCGACATTCTTGAGTCTCTCTTCCGCGGTCTTGAAGAAGTTCAAACCAGACATGCCAGCTCCCAGGACGGCTATGCGCATTTTCTTCCGGGTGCCGTAGAGTTGTTCCAGGATTTCAACATCGTCGGGCGACGGGTTGTTCAGCAGTGGGCGCTGTTGTCCACTTCGAGCAAGTCCAGCTCTGTCAGGGTCATCGGGGAGATACATCCCCCCATAGCCATTAGTAGTAGCCACCGGAGCCATATTTGTGGATCCAATAGTTGCTGGTGCGCGTTAAGAAACTTGGTCAATACGTCTACAAGAAGGGATCGTCTGGGTAGCCACAGTTATATATGCATTCACAAACAGGAAACGATTCACATCGGTTCCGAGAATCGGTGGTGCAGGCTTGACGAAATTCCCACATCTGGTGACAGGTAGAAGTCGAGAATGCGGAGATGCATAGTACAATTGGACGCTACTCTCCGCATCGTTGGAGAGCCGAGGCTGCCTTTTGGCTTTCTGGAACGAGACTCGGCGGGAAGGACGTTACGCATCTGTAGCTGAGCCTCGAGGCGCTGGCCAAGAGGATAGGATTAGCTAGGAGCAGGTTCATCATAAGCCACGGCGCACGTAACTCTCGGTGAGAACCACGTCTTGTGAATAAGAGGGCGCAGCATAGGCACCAAGATAAAGGGGAGGAAGATGGTCAAAGGAATGGAGTACTGGGTGGGTACGTACTGGGTAGGAACCTCGCAACTCTCGGACGAATTGGTGGCAAACAGGCCAAATAGGAGGCTCAGCCTCGGGCCAAGATTCGAGGCTACGGAACATCTGTTTTTCCGCCGCCCGTGGCCGCGGAATACCCAGCGAGGAATTTGAGTGGGTGGCTTTGCATGGCCGTTCTCAGCCTTCTTGGCTCGTCCCACTTGCCGTGAAGAGTCTAGTCTCCACTGCCTCCGCCTCTCCGCGTATCAGACTTGGATTTGGCTGGTCTCGATCTTCTCGAATCCTCGAAAAACAAGAGGCGCCAACCATTGGATTGCTACGCACGCAGGAGCGAGACTCGACTGCGCCTCACTGAACAACAATCATTTGCCGTGCACATCACATTGCCTCCAAGTACCGTCCAAGCACCAGGTACAACTACAAAGAGTCTTCTCTTCCTGAGTTGACTTCTCCCTCATCTTCAGTCTGCGTTCCTCATAGAAACAGAAACTTGTCCTTTCAATCTCGAGAAGTCAATCCGACCGACACAACCACAATGGCAGAAACACTACGAGAACCTCTTTCTCCTATCCAAACACAGATTCCTTCCTCAAACTCTCCTCCTACTTCGACCGCCTCCTCCCCTCGACCGTCCTTATCCGCCAAACGCTCCCGATCACCTCTCTCCCTCGATCTCTCGTCCCTCCCCCCTCTTTCCCAACCAGCACCTCCCTCCAACACTCTCCTCATCACCCGCCTTGAGGACCCCAAGATCTTCCATCCAGCATCCCTGGCGACCATCAGACAACATATCACAGAGATCGCACCCTTAAACTCGTTCTCCCCGTTAAAATCCATGCACCGCATCATTTGCTCCTTCTACGATGTTGACGCCGCCATCGCAGTGCGACAGGTATTTGACGGGTCCGCAGTGATGGGAGACACCGTCGCAAAATGCTACTTCGGTGAACCCACTCCAATAGGGGACGAGAAGAAATACCTCGACCGACCTGACGCGGGGCGGTTATTCTTCATCAGCCCTCCGCCCAGTCCCCCCGTGGGCTGGGAAATGAGACAGGAGGATCCCCCAAACAAACATGTACACGCCAAGGACCTGGCATCCAAGCTGGAGAAACTGAGCGGCAAGCTCACATCCTCTTCTCCCAACACCACCACCACCGCCAACCCGGACGACTCGGCGTCTGAAGACGAAGCCAAAATGCAATACACGGCTGAGGGGCTCCAGAGACTAAAAGCCAGCAGAGCACGTGCCTTCTCTAAAGTGTCGGCAGAGAACTCCCCCACCACGGCAGACGCCTCGCCAAAGAAACATCGGAGTCGAAGCTCGACTTTAATTTACGACCCCAAGGCCCACGGAGACAGTCCGGCACTTCCGGCGGTCATGTTGGAGGCCGAGGATGATTCGGATGTGGAGCTCGAGCCGGAGGGGTCGACTAAGAAGATATTGGCAAGCACGGCACGGCCTCCTGTGGAGTTGATGGAGCATTGATGGAATGGTCTCTCGCGGCTCAAATGGAATTTTCGGAAGAGACTGGTAAGGGCAGCACAACGCTTTTGGATTGACATAGGAAGGCGGCATTTCCAGGTAAAGAGGCTCAACTGGGCCAGCCGGACTTGGGGAAGCAATTAATATCGGCCATTGGGCAGGAGCCCTCTGGCCTCAAAAATACGGCCTGGTCGAATTGGGATTGTTCTTATCCCATATATACCGTTTTGCATATGAATACTACAGATTCCCCCTGTATATGAGGCCAAGAACAGCTCGCATTATCCCGTGATATCCCCAGCAGACCCTGCATCTGTACCTCTGTGACAGCGATTGCTGGAATGAAAAATACGTCGGACACACGCGCTGTACGCCTGTCCGACGTCGCGAATGGTACCTTCTTCCAAAACTCCGTCCCCATGCGAATGCTGTGCAAACGTGACGTTCGTCAAAGCTTCCGGAAATGCCATCCCACCAGTTTGAAATGTAGAAATATGAACCAAAAAGGCCAGATTAGTGCCTGCTCAATGCATAGACATCTTAGCCGTCTTCATTCTTTTCTCCTCATTCTTTTTTGCTCTTCTTTTTTGCTCTTCTTTTTTGCTCTTCTTTTTTCCTCTTCTTTTCTCCCCCTCTCACTCTTCAATTCCCTTTAACCGCCTATACCATTTCTTGTGCTGTTCGAAGAAAACCATCGTACATATTGTCTGCGGGCCCAAGCGCATGAAGCTGGGAACCCAGCCGCGGAGCATCCACAGGAGCCCTTCCTTCTTCCTGGCTTGCGCCAAAATATCTAATATCGACTTCTTCCCCCCTGCGGACATTATGCGGGTTTTTATCACATCGACGGGGGAACATATCGTAGTTGCAACAAATCCCGCCGCCAACGAGGCGCAGAAGTGGGTGCCGAGAGTGTCGGCCATTCCCAAAGTGTGAAGACAGGCAGATTTGAACACGTCGTAGCTGGCCAGCTGCGAGACATTCATGAGTAATGCTCTGGTAGCATTTGCGGTCACGCCGCGAAATATAGAAGATGCACCTTCTTCGCGAATCATTCGTATTAGGCCATCGGGTGCATGTTTGTAGTTTCGTTGAAGGTGGGAAGGTTTGGAGGCGTCGGATTGCATACGCACGTTGAGTACGTCTCCAGGGTTGCCGGCTATCCCGCCCAAGAGTCCTGCAGCAGAGGACATGAGAATCAGATTCAACATAGGTTGTTGCGGCTTGGGATTTGAGGGCGTCGGTTGCACCGCGAAGCGTGACTTTAGGTCTTCGTATACGCCAAAGCGCACGGTCGAGTAAGTCATTTGGCGCAGGAGAGCGGCCGAGAGGCCCGCGTAAAGACCTAATAGACCTTGATTGCGGACAACAAATGCGAAGGTGCCGAGGGTAGTTTGCGGCGCAGAGGGAGTGCGGGTTTGCAGGCGGACCTTGACTGTACCGGATTGTCAGAGAAAATTTGGGAGTGATTGCTCTCGAGTGTAGTTACCCAAGTCTAAAGGATGTGTGACTACCGCAGCCATTGAGGCCGCACTTCCACCGAACCAAAAGGGATAATGTATCGCTGCAGCTGCCTTCCGCTGCTTTGGTGCGGGCTCACCATCGTGGTTGGGGGTTGCGACAACGGTTGGAGCAGCTTCGGCCATGGCTCCATTCCCAAAGGTAGCGGTCGTGTTCATCAGGAAACAAACATCAAAGGAAAGTAAAACCAAAAAGGAGAGGACGGGAGTGGGGAGAGGAAGAACGAACGGAAACCAATGCTAGCAGGCGCGTAGGGCTACTGGTACATGAGGAGAAAAAACTGCGCCGGTCGGCACGAACAATCTTCAGGAGAGTCGGAGATGACTGAAGATGACGGAAGAGGCCTCGTTCCGAGAGACACGCGGATCTTCGATTCTCGAGAAACTCCGGGAGGAGAAAGCGATATCGGTCCCGAGACGCGTCGACACGGCTGCTACAGCCTGACAAGCTTCCACAGAGCCTGGCCAGAGCTGGACAGAGCTCACCTTGTCTCCTACAAACTGACTTCGGAGCTTCGCGCCGTGTTCCTCCACGCTTTCTTCAAGCTCCATCAACTACACTGCTCTCAAGGACTGGCTTAAGCCCCCTCAGCCTCTCCGATGCGGCTTCTCAAAACTGGGGCTTTTGTGCGTGCAGCCCAAGCAGCCAAATTCTCCGTCCCTAGCTGCACAATAGCTCCTCCTTCGTCCCCGGTCTTGGTCTCATCAAGATGGGCATCCTCTCAGGCCCAAGCCCAAGCTGCGCCCGACGCCCAGCCCTTCCCTGAACAGTCTGTCAAAGTTGTCAACGAGATCGACCCAGCAAAGACTGCTGCAGCACCAGGCCAGAGTGGGCATCATGCCAGCTTGGAGAGAAAGCTGCAAGAGTTGGACCAGGGGAACAAAATCATCCGCGACAATGGGCAGTCTGGAGCAAAGATACTGGGGTCTCCTTACATCTTCGATCAGACATCAAATCTCTCCAGCTCCATCCTAGATCTCGTTGGTCGCAATCTCTATGATCACCCGGACCATCCCATCTGCATCACTCGAAAGCTCATCGAGTCATGTTTCGAAGAATCGACGTTCAAACACTTTGCCATGGGTAATCCAGTGGTCACAGTCAGGGACAATTTTGATGTCCTGGGCTTTCCTGCAGACCATCCCGGTCGCTCAAGAACAGATACATACTATGTCAATTCAACCCACCTGTTGCGCACACATACTTCCGCTCATCAAAATGCGGCTTTTCAGTGGCTAGCCAACAACCCTTCGAGTAAAGGCTACACCATCTGTGCCGACGTCTACCGCCGAGACAGTATTGACAGGAGCCATTTTCCTGTCTTCCATCAGATGGAAGGAGCCCGGACCTGGGAAGCTCAACAAAACAGAGTCGCTCAGATAAAACGGAATTGCGAAGAGATGCCCGAGACTGGTATCATCGTGGAGGACCAAGCCACCGATTTCACGGGAACTGCAAACCCTTTGCAATCCGAACACGACCCAGATGAAGTGCACCAAGTTGCCAGGCATCTCAAACTCAGTCTCGAGTACCTCGTCAGCCGCATCTTTGAGGCCTCTCGGCAATCACTCCCCTCGGCTGCCAGAACGGACGCACCGATGCAGGCCCGCTGGATCGAAGCTTATTTCCCTTTCACATCGCCGTCTTTTGAATTCGAAGTCCTCTGGCATGGAGGGGAATGGTTGGAGCTTCTGGGGTGCGGCGTCGTCAAGCAAGGTATCTTGAACAAAGCCGGTTTGCATGACCATATCAGCTGGGCCTGGGGTGTAGGTATTGAACGATTCGCCATGCTCCTGTTTGGTATCCCCGACATCCGTCTATTCTGGTCCACCGATCCCAGATTTTTGAAACAGTTCACCCGTGGAAAGATCACCAAGTTTGAACCCTTTAGTAAATATCCTGCCTGTTACAAGGATATAGCCTTCTGGATCAAGCCGGTTCCTTCAGCATCGTCACCCCTTGGTTCACAATTAGCACACACTACTTCAGGCGTTGCAGCTGCAGCAGGCGGAGACGCCACAAAGGCGTCCCCGACAGAAACCCAGCCTGCCGCATTCCACGAGAATGACATCATGGAAGTTGTACGGGACGTGGCAGGCAACCTGGTTGAAGATGTGAAACTGGTGGATGAATTCGTCCATCCCACGACAGGGAGGAAGAGTCTCTGTTATAGGATTAACTATAGGAGCCTGGAGAGGACATTGACGAACGAAGAAGTCAATGGGTTGCACGAGGAAGTTGGAAGGAGGATGAAGGGCCTGTTTGGTGTTGAACTGCGTTGACGCGTTCTCGAGCCTTCGCACACCTTGTCCTTTTCCAGCGATTCAACCATAACCGTGGCTGAGCTGAAGCAGCTCACCGAGTCAAAATGGTCCACCAAACCGCGGACAGCTCGTCCTGACAGGTAATTTCGTCCCCAGCCGTGTCTCTTGCCGAACAACTTTTATGATCCAATGACGAACTGCCTAAATCCTAATTGTTTCAACCCCATATGATCAACCGACTTGATTATATTGTGCATCGCCGAAATCGATCGCAGACTCCCTGGTTTGATCCTGTGCCCGGGGCGATGGGACAGGTGCTGACTTGATACCTTTGAGACAGGTAACGGGTTTTGGGCGACAATTTTGGCCCTGATTATTCAAGTCGAGGCTTTCGTTCTGCTTCTGGGGCTGCCGAGTTTAAATAATATACGATCGTTGCTCCGACTTTACCCAGCCGTGCCGGGAAAAAAGTAGATGCATATACTCGCGGGAGATGCATCATACATTGTATTACTAGATATATTTCCATGCCTTTAGGCCCCACTCATCTTCGTCAGCGAAAATGAATATACAAATGTGCATTGCGGTCCTAGTGAATCCAATATGTAAGAGAAGAGGGTATGCTGTACAAGGAAGAGGCGCTCGGACATATCAGGGTGCATTGAAACTGTAGCAGCGACATCTCATGCGGGATCGTTGTGATCATCTCCAGCACCGATCGTGGCTTGATAATACATGCCAACCCAGCTTCCGATTCATCCATTTGCGCGATGCCATTCTGGTGCTTGCTTTCCCACATGAATTTCCAGGGCGGAACATGTTAGCCGCCAAACGTACACATTACCATGCGATACGATACGCTCTCCCTAGGTCCATCCCGTCACTTCTCTAAGAAGAGAGCCCGCCCTACCGTCCGGTTCTGCAAGAGCCCTTCTTCGTCTTTGTGCCACCTTTTCCGCGCCGGCCGGTTGGCGTAAAGGGACGAGATGGAAATAAGGCCGGTAAAACTTTTTATACAAGAGGGCAAAACAAACGCCCCCAGTTTGTTTGATGTCCCAGAGATCATCGATAGTCGAGGGAGAACTAACCTAGGAGTTCTTGACGACTCCGACCTTGGCGGCCCTCACAACCCGACCGTTCAATTTATATCCTTTGCTCTGGGTGTAAAAGACGTCTCCGTCTTCTTTCCCCTCCACCTTGGTGAAGAAAGTCGCCTCGTCGGTGTTGGGGTCGAATTTGCGCCCTCCCCCTTCCAGGGGGTCGAAGCGCTCTAGACCGTGCTTTTTCAGCGTCGACATGAGGATATCCTCCGTCATCTGTAGGCCTGAGAACAGGTTGACAAGGTCCTTATTGGGTTCTGAGGTCGATGACTCGGCGGAGGCGGCGACGTTGGGGTCCGAGGACGTAGTGTTGGACGTTGTTGTCGTACCCGAAGTGATCCCAAGGGCGGCTTGGGGTACTGACGACATGGCACGGTCGAGATTGTCTATTGAGTCGAGCAGGTCGGTTGCGAAGCGTTGAATGGCAAATTGGCGCGCGGATTCCATGTCTCGTCGTGTCCGCTCTTGCAGGTTACGGTAATCGGCCACGGAACGGAGGTATTTGTCCTACAATTCAAGAGCATGAGTCCCCCGTGCATCAACTGGAAAACATGTCCAAAACAAAAAGAAACAAAAAAGGATTACCTTAAGGTCTATAACCTCCTTCTTAGCCTTCTCAAGCTCTTCCTTGAGAGGGTCTTGTTTTGCCTCCTCCGCAGCTTTCCCTTGTTCTGACGAAGGGGCCGCCTCTGCGACAGGTTTCTGCTGCTCTGCCTCTGTGGACTGCCATCTTTGCCCTACCCGTGATGAAAGGTAGGCCGGTCTAGATGTACGAGGAGCAACGAAGGCTGCGGAGGAAAATGGCGACCGTCGTATTTGCGGTGACACTGATAGCGACTCTGAGACGCTGCGCACCTGGCGGAGCAATTGTTTTCGAAGCATCATGTGCACGGAGGAATTACAGGTTTCGAGAAGACCGCAGTAACAAAGGGTGCTGAAGGGCGATGGCAAGGAAGCTACTTGCGTACAGAAAAAAGTCGTCGCCGTGGATATATTGCCGAATTTTAGAAAAAGCACACGACTGGGGAGAAGCTCCCACTGAAAGCCGGTTCCGCTGGACGACGGGAATTTTTGTCCCTGCCGCTTTAACAAATATCGGCAAACGTGCCTTTTCGGGACTTGGTTTGGTCTATGAAAGTCGCCCTGTTGAACTAAGTGATGATGTTGCCTGGGAATGGACGAGAAGAATAACTGAAATAAACTGCTCATAAATAATACGCGGGAAATGCTGCTGAACACCGTGCACGTTCGTCCAGCCACCAGACGAAGATCTGTTTCCATCCCCATTCAGATGCTATTTTAGTTACGAACGTCAAGTCAGACATATAAGGAAGCACTGTCAGGAACCGAACCTCGAGCATCCAATCCGGCATTGGGGCGAAAGACATGCTTTAACATCGAAAACAGCGGGCGGTGGCATTTTGCGTGAGATCAAGGCCCGCCATTTTGATGTTTTAGCACGGAAGCTTTGGCATGGCGTGCCAAAGCAAACGGAATGCTAAAGATTCGTGGCACTCGCGGTCCGCTGGCTGTGTTGCTCGTGCGGTTTGCGTTGTCAAGGTAATAAATGTTGCCACCCATGATTGTGACCTCTTCCGCGGAGTGTGCAGTCTCGTTTTCAGCTGGAAGAGCACCAGCTCCGATCGGCTGTGTAAGAGCCAACGCGAGGCTGAAGAGCCGCAAAGGTCGAAGCATGCTTGCGGCACTGGTTGTTTCGTTTTGCACCATGATCATGGCCTCATTGGCTCCCATGATTTTGAGCTTGCCCCCTGCCTCCGAAGTCGTGTTCTCGATTGGAAGAATGGCTGCCTTGACGTGTCGCACAAGGACGAATGGAACACCGAAGAGTTTCATGAGCTGAGGTCCAACGGAGGCTTTTCCTGCGCCGCCCGTGGCGCCTCTATTCCCTGCCGCCGGTTGGATCACAACTATTCCCGACCCTGGCAATGTTCCTCCAACACGTCCGCTGCCGCCTCCTCCTTTCTTGTCCTCTACGTCAGCACTGGAAGCTCTAGAGAGTGTGGCCGGAGATATTGACACATCCCCTTCGTTCTCTTCTCCAAGACACATTTCACCAGCTGCGGCTCCACTGATAGGTGGCCCCTTGTCCGCAGGACAGGCTGAGCCAAATATCATCGACCGTGCGAGGACGATGAAAGCTCGGGGCGGTTGGACCGTACTCGCAGCGCCAGAAAAAGGCCAGTTACCTGTGGCAAGTCTCGTAACGGGGTTGGATAGCCCAGTACGGGATGCACCAAAGGCGCAACAGGCTCCAGACTGTAATATGTCCACGGTATAGTAAGTACTAGAAGAAGGATAGTAATTATCTATAGCGTCATAGAAGGTCATCTGGCCCTGACAGACGCCCCCGCGATTTGCTAATTCTGAAGGGTAGGTGAACGGGTCGCTTGTCATGGGGGGAGGATGTGTCAGTCCTGTCAACGGATTTGATGTCGAAATCGGATGGTGCGGTTGAGTCATATGGGTTGGACTTGTTATATGATTGAGACCGAGGGCTGGAAAACCCAAGACCAGAAGGGTCAAAGATGCAAGAAGGGTTTTCATGATGCCAAGTTCTTCAGATCTTGTTTTTGGATACTGTAGACTTGGTCGGAAGAAATCAAATATACCAGAAACAGATGGGAACCCTCTTATAAAGGAATTACAGGCATCACTGGCTGGAGGAGCTTCGCTTTTCCGTTTACTCATACCTCTCTCGCTGAAGGGAATTACCTTTAAGTAGTCACTCATGTGAACGGCCTGTTTGCTCTTCACGCGCGGTCGTTTGGAAGGCAACCACAAATGGGTGGACAATGACACCACCTATGGGGAATTGGGTAGGGCGAAACAGAGAGAGAAGGGTATATGTGTCAGTGATTCCCGGAGACCACACGTGACCCATATCTCATGAGTAGGTGTTCCGGGTGATTATGAGAGGAAGTCCTAGAGAAGTAGTGGTGACGATGAGAAGCGAATGATCAGATTGACAGACGAGCAAATTTCGTTCCGAGCATTGTCTTGCTCTAAGCTTGGAGGACTCTCTCGCAAATAGGCATGATTCATCAATAAAATGGTCAACTCTCTAGGCGAGGGTACGACTTCGGCACTGTCTGAAGGATTTGTTCCCAGCCCGCATCTACGGAAAGGGAATTCAGCAGGACCTGTGAGGCAGTAAATGATCACAATCCTTTATGTTTGTCTCATGCTGTTTGGTCCGAGCCGAGGACTTGGGTATTCTCCAAAGTCACACCCTGAGCATTCTTCGAAGCTATTGTGGTGGTCTTCGTACTGGGTGCTGAGCCCTGTGAGGAGACTAGTTCAGCTTGCATTCTGAGGGGAGCCATCTCAGCCGTGTTATCATCTCAATGTTGGAAGTGTAAAAGGAAAGAGGCAAGTGGTCTTACCTTCGCTGCGACTGTTCCTTTGTCTTTGCTGCACTGGTAACCCACGGGTCGGACTCTTTGGTATGAGTGCAATCTAGTGGAACCCCCGTTATGGATGTTCGCAGCCATTATTTCAAGTCAGTGTAGACGTTCTGAACGGTCTTCGATCTAAGTATGTACCGAACGAGGTTTGAGGTGCTCAAATCGGAGATGTTGGAAGGAATGGGTATCTTCTCGAAATCCACTCGGCTGAGAGCCGGCTTTGTATAACGTAGATTCTCAAAGTGGCCTGACGGGCTCATGCGTCATTAGTGTGACGCTGCAATTGGTCCCGCTTGGCTCAGAATATCGCCAGCGCACTGTTTTGAAGTAGCTTTGGTCCCGCAACCGCAGCGAGTTCTGCAGCCATGCCTTTCACGGTATCGGGGTCGTCTATTTTCCAAGTTTCCCAGTCTCGAAGATCCTAGAACATGGTTAATAGCATGCTCAAGTTGAGTTGTGGACTGGAAACCTTGTACCTCTAATTCAATCAACGTATTCCCGACGAGGAGACGCCAGTGGTCGAGATCAAGACGGTTCACCTCATCTTTCGTCAGCACACCGGGTATCTCGTAATCAAACAAGGACCCCTCGGGTATTTCTGCGTCTTCTTCATCGCTCGGCGCTTCATCAAATTCTAGGTCTTGTTCATCGTCGAACATTCTTCCTCTCTCCTTTGTGGTTTTAGTGGCAGTGCTGTGGTCCGAGCTTGCTGTCGCTACTGCTTGTTGTGTAATACTCTCTGCGGCATCTACTCCTTGTGTTCGATCATGAGAAGGAGAGAAGTATTTTCTTTTGTCCAACTCCTGGCGGTACTCGTCATCGAAAGGATTCCATTCAAAGCTTTCTGGGTCTAATAAGGTGTCAGTGGATATCTAAGCATAAAATCATGTTGGCATACCCAGTATATAGGTCGGATCGAATGTGGCTTTGTATCGCATCTTGTTGCACGAGTGGATGTAGTAGCCTGCTTGCGGTGAGCAAAGGAAGATGCTAGGAAACTCTCAATATACCCATGTAATAGTATTCATAACCGGCCTCTACTGCAAGCGATATCTCTCGAAGAGCACTCATCTTTCCAAGGTCCCAATGCTCGTATTCAGGATCATAGCTTGCGAATGAGTACTGTATCCTGGGGCGAGAGAACGAAAACTTACAACAGATAAACTGAGCTGACAGCATGCGGCAAAAGATCGAGCACTCCCACAGCAACCAGCCTCCCGTCGAGGCGATAGCACTGGTGGTACGAACCTAGTTTCAGTGTCTGGCCACCAATCTTGAGAATCTTCCGGTCAAGACCAGTGCAAAGAAACCGCTTGAAGTCAGGCTCTTTCCATCGGGAGGCAGGGTCTTTGTGTATTTGCAACTGATATTTTAGGAAGATATCGTATCTGGCGCATGTGAGACGTATATAGGAAGCTCATGCTATTATTACTCACTTCTCCTCAGTGAAATTATCGCCTTCAAGATTGACTTCGAAATTATGAGCAGGTTCGATCGGAACGCCAGTCTTTTTGCTCATTGGACGCTTAACATTGTCATATTCCGCTTTGTGGACCGCGGTAGACAGGTCAAATTTGTCCCTGAAACGACGTTTTTCCCTGCAAATATTAGCTGCATATTTGCAACCAGATGGTTCTGACTTGCTCTCGCGATTGTGGGCACAGCATGGCAGCTTTTCTTCTGTACTCTGGGCCGAGCACGAAGTCATTCCATCGGTTGATCGCCCGTCGTTGGTCTTTCTTGGCCTGGAATTCTGACGCCTTCAGACTGTGGATATCAGCGGACCTCCACCATATTGTTTCTGTTGCAAAATTTCCCGTACCGTAGGGTGTAGTGGGGACAACATGACCGCCGGAGATCAGGTTTGTAATAGAGTGAGCCTGATCTCCTCCAGCCCCTGTCAACCAGGTATTGGTAGTGGTCGACTCGCATATTGTCACACGACAGGTAATACGAGGAGCCTGCGATTCAGATAAGACGTCCGCAGAAGCAAATATGGACAGGGGGGCTGTGTGGCAACTGCGCCGGGGGCAATGAGAGGATGATGACCTACTGCCTGTGGCATTCTTGCAATACCCACACCAGTTTTTTCTCTGATAGCCTGATCACAGTCAGAGTCAATCATATGCTCGACGCAAGAAGCCAGCCTTGCTGAACAGGTGGACAGGATAGAATGATGGACCGATTCATGCGGGCCGAGCCATGCCATGATATTTGCGTAAGGCTAGGGTCAGGTGTGTCTCAAAAGCCACTTACCGAGAGGCTTCAGAAGTGAGATTTCGTTTGTCATGGTTAACCGTGGACACTAGTGAACCCCTGGTCAAGCCGAAGAAGGAATATCTGGAGTTCTCATCACACGAGTGTCTTGTATGGACAGTTAGACCTCCAGCAAGGTCAATGACGGCTCTCCTGGCTCAATATGATGTCACCTGACCCCGAGCGGCAGGCAGACTGGCAGACAATGACGAATTCCCATTAATGTCCGCTGTCCAGGCAATCCGCATCAAGGACATCAACAGAGCGACCCAGCAGCCGGAGAAGCCACGGTCATATCCAGGTGGCACTCTCGGTGGAACTCGCTCGTGGGATATGCACACAACGGGCTCAAGGCAGCCAATTGAGGATACTCTGGCAGTGTCCGGCGTGCTGGACCTTGAAGCCTGGAACGCAACGCAACGCAGCGCAACGCAGCGCAACGCAGCAAGTCGTCCAGGAGAGAGACCCCCACTTACTGCCTGAATCTTGGGCGCTCGCGTGAGCAGTCCGAGGAGGGGCACCGCTAGCTTCGAGGCGAACTTCGAGGTGCTTGGATGAGCGGTGTTAAAGGGCGATCAAGCCGAGGAACCGTATCTGGAGCGTCAAGGCGAGCAGAAAAGGTGGTTAGGAAGGACGAGGACTGGGGTCGAGTATCAGAATTTTAGACCAGTATAAACGTGAAGACGGGCACGTGTATGTTCGTCGTGTGCTTCGATTCGGGGGGGGGAATGGCGTGGAAGCGGTGGAAGTGGACACGGAAGCGTTTTGGATGACATGGGGCCAACGAGCCAGCGAAGAGAAATGCGAGGGAACAGGGCAAGGAACCACTGCATGGGCCGCAGCGAGTCGAGCGAACCAGATGTGCTGGAACCTTGCAATTAGTCGGTGGGCAAGCTTCTGATGCCGTTTTGGAAGCCAAATAAAATACCAAAAATCCCACTCGACCGTGAGCGAGAGTGTGGTAGTCTGTCTCTTGCTGCAGTCTCCCTAGTCTCAGCAGTCATGAGGCGTTGGCGGATTGAGCAATGATGAAGAAGGCAGAGGATGGGAACATGGAACATGGGAACAATCAAGTGGTGGTGGGAGACTGCGATTCGCCTGCGCTCACCAGCCTGCCTGCGCCCAGGTCAGGAAATCGCCGCTACTGATGTTTTTTTCGTGCTCCCCCATGTGTGTCCACCCACTATGGCACTATGCACCTGCACCTCCGAGAGTCACTGCCAAAAAAACTAAACTTGCCCAAAGGCTACATAACTATGGCTGCTCCCTTTCTCAGAATGCTCTGCACGTCAACCTCGTTCCCTCAGCCCCGTGCCACACGGGACTGAAGGTATCCCTCATTCATGCGCTGTATCGCACCCTCTGCTATCGTCAACATGGGTCATCTTTGATCCCCTTCGTCCTCTCTTCCTAGAGACTGAACCTCGCCCGCCTTGCACTGGAGCAGCTCGATAGTGTTCCCACGTGCCCTTCCTTCACCGTCTCTTTTCACGTTCGCTTCTGCCCTCTGCTAGCCCAGAACTACCCCAGAGAAAGCCGTGACCAAAAAGTCCTTCCTTGACTTCTGGTCTGTGGCCGCCCGCCCAGGCCCGACGGTTTCCACCACCATGGCCAAAGAAATGTCCATGACCTCTCGCACCGGCACGGCGAACCAACGTATGTGTGCCACTGCTTTGTTTTGCCTCCTTGCACTTCACGGGCTTATTGTGTCACAGGCTATGGAACCAAGGGCGAGAGACTGGTCGCCGGCGTTGTCCCCCTGTCTGCAGATAAAACCCGAGTTCTATTGATTCAGTCCTCCCGCCGGAATGGCTGGGTCCTTCCCAAAGGCGGCTGGGAACTGGACGAGGCTTCGGCGTCAGTTGCCGCTGTCCGGGAGGCGTGGGAGGAAGCTGGGATCATTTGCAAGGTCGAAAGAGACCTGGGTCACATTCCGGACACGAGACCAACAACCGCCGTCACGAAACACGCTCCTAAAGCAAGTTACCACTTCTTCGAAGCCATTGTGACTGAGGAAAAAGACAATTGGCCCGAGAAAAACAAGAGATCTAGGCAATGGTACGCGTATGCACAAGCAGTTCAGCTGTTGAACTCCCGGCCCGAGTTGTTGGAAGCGTTGAGGAGGAGTTCGGTCAAGAAATGAAAGGAATGGATGAACGGCGGTGTCTAGAGAGCATACATCGACGCCGGATAGAGAAAGACCCAAGAGGAGTCTTTCGGAAGATGACGGCTATGCGGCTTCATCATTGTCTCACTGCTATGTTGGTCCTGACAGGCGATCTGGTGGACAACAGCAGGCTTCGGGTGGTTGGCATTGAGAGCGTTAGCTCAAGCATCGAATAGAAGAATCCAGAGCTCACATGAGCAACTGCATCTGGTGCTGTGACGCACCAGCCCTTTGGATCAAGGGCGACATATGCAGTGGTGAACTGGCAAAACAGGACCATGGGCCTCACATTGCCCTCAAAATGATAGCGTGAATCTCACTTGGGACATTGAGCTCAGTACCATCTGTCCATGAACCAATGGAATTTTTGCCCATCAGCACGACATGAGTGTTCTGGTTGTTTTTGAGCCGACGAATGTCAGTGGACATTTCCGGCGCCCAATGCACAGGTCTCGGCGGTGCATGATACACACATATTAAGATGCAGTAGAAGGATACATTGGTCAATGTACCTAGCCGTATGGAATTGGGTCGTGTGTTGGCCGCCGCTGGATTCATCCGGGTCTATGTACAATATCCATGCCATCTTGAGCTTGCCATGAGAACTCCGCAACTGCAGGCCGCTTCTTTCTCTTCCATCTGCGTCACGATAACCCATCCATGTGCCTAGTGCTCCAAGTCGACGGGGAAGTTTCCAGCTTCACGTTGATCGTCCCATCTATGAATCCAGGAGCTAGGGCACAATGATCGGTACGCCAAATAGAACTGCGACAGGTCAGCGCTGGCCTCCTACTCTAGTGCTCCTGTGCATGTACCTGTCTACATGGCTTGAAGTCTTCGCCCTTTGCAAGGATGCACTTGTGATAGTCGACATAGTTTTGCCAGCAGTGCTTTGTCCTATGATCCCCATGGTTAGGCTGTTGGATGTCTTCGGCCGGTATGGAAGGGAACCTACTGGTTCTGGTTTGGGAAGCGGGCGTCGTATCCGGCTATAGCAACTTCAGCACGACCTCTAAAGCAGTGACAGAAATGAATTCTTCGTACCCGTAACAAACTTGAAGGGCTTGGTGACGTTTCCACCGAGCTCATCGGCGTCGGGAGTCTCGATATGAGTCATCTTGGCGGAGCAAAGATTCCTCTCGTGGCCGCGGTGTAATATAAAAAGGAAGCTTGAGTGCTGAGGTTGAGTTGAAAAGGGAAGCTTCAGAGGGGAGGTTGTCACCTGAGGCCTGCAGCGAGTTGAAAGTCGGAGATTTCAAAAGCTACTAAGACGCACCTTGCGTGGCCTGACTCTGATTGGCTATTTTGCTACGGAGAGCTTGGGAGCAACTTCACCTGCGACTCCAACGTCACTTCTTTCCCTTGTTGAAAAGATCATTCTCTTCAGCTCGGCTTCCACCTCTCCACTCTACCATTACACGGCAAGGATGAACACTGCGAGACTCTTGAGGCTTCAGCCTCTTCGGGCGGTCGGCCTGAGGCAAGCTGCCTTCCGTCAATCCGCCCAGAAACAGACTGCCAGGCCGTTCCATAACACCCGCACCAGGTTCAGAACAAAGGTGAGCAAGAGGATTTCCTGAACTCCGGGAGGACGATACTGACCAACTCTAACAGGAGGATGACCAAAGCGGTAAGAGGGCCTGACCTATACAAAGTACACCTTGGAGAAAGCAATTGACACTGACACATCCCAGCGCACACCATCACCCAAAGAATCCGCATGCTCAAGAGAATCCCTCCGGAACTGCTGCCCCTTGGTGTTGTCATTTCGTACGTATATCCATCCCGACTGAATATAGAAAATCATAATACAAGACAAGAACCTTGGCCCCGGAGAAGAATGCTGAGCTGTTTGTTCTTCTTAGCTTCGCCTTGTTCGCTGCTTGCTTTGCCATGGGCAGGAAGCTCATGACCGACAGGACCCTTCGCTTGCAGAGATCCTCCGAGAAACATTAAGAAGGCAATGGTGATAGCTTGGGTCGGTTCAGCAGATGCACACACGAGCGAGAGAAAATCGTGGAGTCCTAAATTGCCGAGAATGGAGTCGATTCCAAGCGGGGACGTGTATATAAGCACTGCAGTCAGAAGAAAATTGACAGTCTTTTCTGAGACATGTTGACAGACCGCGTTGGTCTTTCCCCCAGCATTGTTTTGCCCGGCAGTTCCACTGTCGCCAGAATGATCCATCTTCTCCATCCCGCCTCTCCACCCATTCCTTCCTCCACATCCGTTTTACAGACAGTCCTGAGCCCTTCATCAACTTAGAACGGCAGAACTCAATGTTGGAGGCAGTGACTGCCTTCCTTTTCCAGCTTCTCATGGGAAGTGACTGTTTTCCTGAACATGATTTAGGCGCCATAGATGTGTATGTCGAAGTGCCTAGTCATGGCTGGATGCTTTTGTTTTGGAGTCTATCCAACACGCCATGGTGTTGATTTCATCCGAATTATGGCTTTGCTCACTCGGGCTTGGGCCCAGCAACGTCGAGACCCTCCAATCCGTCCATGGGATCCGGCGGCCTCACATTCTTCGCACTTTCGACAGCAGCTCTATCCTCGTTCGCCGTGCCATATTTCGCGAGATAGTCCTCCTTAATGATAGAAGATTAGAACTTGTCCCTCGTCGATATGCAAAATAAACAGGCAAGAATCACTGGTTCGAAACATCCTAGTCAGACTCACTTGTTCCCAAATAGCAGTTGTGCTTCCCAGCCCAACTTCACCAGTCTCCTTTCTGTCGGGTTTTGCCATGGCCACTTTAATCACCCGTCCGTAGAGTTCGCTCTGATCCATATTGTCGATGGCATCCTTTGCATCAGAAGCATCTTCGAACTCGACATATCCAAAACCACGATGCAGATCTGTCGACGACGGCGCCTCAGGCTTGGGTAGAGTGATGTCCACTATTTCACCAAACGGCACGAAAGCCTCGGAGAGAGTTGCAGCGGTCACAAGGGTCGTGTCAAGTCCACCAACGTAGATTGTACTGTTCGGGCGCGTTGATCCCTCCGCCATCCTCGTGCTGTTTGATTCTACACGAGTTGAAGGAGGCTGAAAGTTGAAAAATGTAGTAAACCGAGGTCACGTGGGTTGATATCCGGCTGTGCTGTGCGGAGTTTCAACATGGAGAGGGCAAGGAGCGTCAGGGATGACGCTGGGAGCCACTTGGAGGCCACTAACCGTTTTGCAGCCCCCAAACCCGTCTGGACAAACGGTGTCCAGATCTGAGAGTCGAAATATCCAGATTGAATGATGAGAACAGCTGCTTGCTGAGTCCTGCTCCATCTGTCCATCTCTTCTCTCGGTGTCATTTTCTTCTCTGCTGCATGACTTAGCCTTTCTTTGCTCCCTTTTACCTTCTCTTTCTCCCTCTACCAGCACCGCACCACATCCGTCATGGTGCGCCTTAGGGAAATTCCACGCACCGCGGCCTTCGCGTGGTCTCCCGATGCGCCATCTTCTTGGATCGCAACCGGCACAAAATCAGGTGCTGTCGACGTCGACTTCAGTAATGAGACTTGTCTGGAACTTTGGGATCTGGCATTGGAGAACGGGGAACAGAATCAGGAATTGCAGCCCTCTGTCACCCTGCCTACTGAGACTGGGTATGTGATTCCACCCCTTACCAACGCGCATGCTAATAAGACACAGCTTTCACGATCTTGCCTGGACGCCTGCTCAGATTGGACACAAGAGAGGGATTATTGCCGGAGCCTTCGACAATGGATCGCTAGGCCTCTGGGACGCGGATAAGGCCGTAACGAACACAGCGGAAGCCTCAATCTTCACCCACAAAATACATAGCGGAGCAATCAAGGCCCTACAATTCAACCCCAAGATACAGAATTTCCTCGCCACGGGTGGTGCCAAGGGGGAATTGTTCATTTCAGACCTGAATCACCTCGACACCCCCATACGACTCGGAAGCACTGCCGCTCGAGCCGATGACATCGACTGCCTCGACTGGAATAAGAGAGTCTCAAATATCCTCGTCACAGGAAGCAGCGGAGGTTTCGTGACAGTATGGGATATGAAAACAAGGAAAGAGAGCTTGACGCTCAACAACTTCCAACGGAAACCGGCCAGTGCTATTGCTTGGGACCCTGAAAAGCCCACGCGGCTGATTACCGCTGTGCCACTGGAGCAAGAACCTGTCATCTTGGTCTGGGATCTTAGAAATTCGAACGCTCCGGAGAAGGTGCTCCGTGGGCATGACTCAGGAGTCCTTTCAGTTGCTTGGTGCCCTCAAGACCACGACCTCTTGCTGTCGTGTGGAAAAGACAACAGAACGATTCTGTGGAATCCCCAGACCGGAGATGCATATGGCGACTATCCCGTTGTAACGAATTGGACTTTCCAGACTAGGTGGAATCCTCATAACCCGAACATGTTTGCGACTGCCTCTTTCGATGGCAAACTGCAGATCCAGACCTTGCAAAACACCAATCCGAGCAGCACACAGACAGACCAGAGTCAGGCTGCCGACGGAGAAGACTTCTTCTCGAAGGCTCAGACGCAGCCTCAGACTTCATCGTTTTCTCTTCTCAAAGCACCCAAGTGGCTGGAGCGACCGGTTTCCGTATCTTTCGGCTTTGGTGGAAGAATCATCAGTGTCAAACAAGCGGACCCTGAAAAATCGAGGGCTTCAAAGATCTGCATCAGCAAATTCGAGGTTGATTCGAATGTTGGGAGCGCGACGGAAACATTCGAGAAAGCCATTCAGTCAGGAGATCTCACCAGCTTGTGTGAGGATCGTGTTGCAACTGCGAGGACTGAGGAGGAGAAGGCTGACTGGAAGGTTATTGAGACTCTGGTATCCAAAAACCCCAGAGCAGAGCTTGTGAAATATCTAGGCTTTGAAGACACAGCTGAAGACAGCGCAAACGGTGTTGGAGAGCAGCGCCCAGAGGATGAGATTTCTGAAGAGCAAAAAGCCCCAGTCAACGGCGCCTCAAAGGCCCACAAACGTTTTCAATCCATTTTCGCAAGCTCAGCCGATGGGGACTTCCTAGCGGAATTAGCCGCTACGAAGGGTACCAGGACCAACAATCCATTCCAGATCTACACAGGATCGGAGTCTCAAGCTGACCGCAAGATCACAAGAGCTTTGATTTTGGGACAGTTTGAGAAAGCTCTGGACGTATGTTTGCAGGAGAACAGAACGTCGGATGCTTTCATGATTGCCATCTGCGGCGGCGAAGCCTGCATTAAGAAAGCGCAAGAGGCATATCTCGCGAAACAATCTAGCGGACCAAACTACCTCCGTCTTCTCGCCTCGGTCGTCGGCAAAAATTTATGGGATACAGTTCATAATGCTGACCTGGCGAACTGGAAGGAAGTCATGGCTACGCTGTGCACTTTTGCTGACGAACAAGAGTTTCCAGATCTTTGCGAAGCACTTGGAGACAGGATTGAGGAACAGATCGATGATCTTTCTTCAGTTTCCCGGAAAGATGCTTCGTTCTGTTTCTTGGCTGGTTCCAAGTTGGAGAAGGTGGTCGCCATCTGGATTCAAGAGCTCAGGGAGCATGAGGAGGCTGGAGCCTCGGAAACGGACGCATCTTCTGCATTTTCCCTGCACGCCCGTGGTCTCCAAGATTTCGTTGAAAAAGTTACCATCTTCCGACAAGTGGTGAATTTCAAGGATGAAGAGCTCTCCAAAACTGGGGAGTGGAAGCTGGAAGCTTTGTACGGCAAATATCTGGAATATGCTGACATTGTGGCTGGATCGGGCCAGCTCGATGTTGCTCAGAAATATCTTGACCTTCTTCCAGCAAGCTATCCAGGAGCGGATGTCGCAAGAAGCCGGATTCAACAGGCAAGGAAGAAGACGGTCGCTCCAGCTGCTGTTCCGCAAACGACCTCCACAACGACGAGAAACAAGCCCTTGCCAGGCACGTCACAATTTCAGCCTCCGACAACTGCATTTACTCCTCCAACTCCTCAAGTCTCAACTCCTTATGGTGCAAGCAACCTGCAACCGAGCAACCCCTATGCGCCTCTCACAACTACCAGTGCACCATCAAATCCATATGCACCCGTTGGCGGCGGGTATCAACCTCCACAACAAATGAGAATGACTCCCGGCCCTCCTCCCGGTCCATACGGCATTCCACAGGCAAATCCTATCCAACCACCTCCGAGATACAATCAATCTCCTGCTATCCCTCCTCCATCTCAGGACAGGAGCATGTCTAACTGGAATGATATTCCAGAGGGTTTTGTCAAACCTCCCACTTCGAGAAGAGGAACACCTAGCGTTCCTCCACAGCCTACTCAAAATCCACTCAATCCACCACCGGGACAGATAACCTCTCCTCCCCCCGCCCCGCCATTTGGTTCAAGGCAGAGAGCGTCTCCAGTTCCTCCTCCACCCAAAGGGACGGGTCCACCTCCGCGAGTGACGTCTCCTCTAGGTGGTCAACCACCTTTTGAGCGACCTTCATCAGCGAGCAATCCTTACGCACCGTCGACTTTGACATCTCCAATCGGGCAAAATATCATGTCACCACCAATTCCTAGAGGCCCATCTCCATACAACGCCCCCCCTTCTCACGCTCCTACAGCCCCCAATAGATATGCGCCGGCAACGGGGACTCAGCATACGACGGCGTCAACTACACGCCCATCTATCGCACCACCCCCCCAAAGTTCATCCTACCAAGCGCCTCCTCCTCTCACGAATCCCTATGCCCCAACCCATCAATCGCAATCAACTCGGCAAACGAGCTATGGTCCACCACAGCCAACCCAGACACCACAGTCAGCCACGGCGCCGCCAATACCAACACCACAGCAACAGTTCATCTCTTCCGGTCCGCCTCCCGCAGCCAGCGGTTCTGCGCCGCAAAGGCCACCATCCAGGCCTGGCACCGCGGGTTCAAATAAAGCGTCCGCTACTCCTCCGGCGCGGAAATATCGTGAGTTGAAAATCTGTCCTTTATCCGCTCTTCGAAGCTGACCAGTTTTTGTATAGCCAAAGGCGATCGCACGCACATTTCTCTCTCCGCGCAACCGATCTACACCATTCTCTCGTCCGAAATGTCCCGCGTCAAAGCCCGAGCTCCACAATCGTTTAAAGCACAAGTCGTCGACACCGAGAAACGACTCGATATCCTCTTCGACCATCTGAACAATGAGGATTTGCTGAAGCCAGACACGGTTGCTCAACTAGTTGAGTTGGCTCAGGCCCTGGAGGGAAGGGACTTTGTCAAGGCGCAGGAGATTCAGATGGATGTGCATACCAACAAAGTAGAGGAGTGTGGACACTGGATGGTGGGTGTGAAGAGGCTAGTGGGAATGTGTAGGGCCACACCTTAAGGGCAGCAGACAGCACTTGCGGGGCCTTGAAAGGGGGATTCTCCCGGGCAAGACAAGCGTTCTGGGCCCAGAGATGGAGCATTTGCATGAATATGAAGCATGAACACGACTTCCATGGCCAGATGGTAGGTAGAATAGTGTGGATTTACGTCAACGAGAGCGCAATGCTGCTGGGATGGACGACTGACTGTATTCCGAAGCAAGCGACCATCACTCAACTTAGAGTATGGCAACGTATGTTGAGCCCGTGTGTGCCATGCACGAGCCGCTCATAGAGGAATGATAAGATTGAGAAGAAAGGAAAATGGCTGACTGAAGACTTCGCTACTGTACCGAGGAAGCTGTCCTTGTCAAACATACCGCTGATTTTGTGAAATACTGTTCCGGTGACTGTCAACATCTTTGAAAATCTTCGACCATTGGTAGCTTCAATATTATTTATATCTGAAGTTCATGTATCACCCTTCATGAGACCTACCCCTTTGGCAAGCAATCCATTGCATCTGCTCGACGATGCTCATCTGGTCGGCAACGTGAATGGCTGTGCCGGCCTCGCCGTGGGAAAATTCCTCGAACTGAGCAAAGCGCCTTTCAACGCACGGATCTCGTTCTTGAACTTCGTGGCCTCGCTGATTTGCTTCTTTTGTTTATTATCTGTACCTGTCGCCGCAGATGACCCCGGTCCGCTGTAGCCGGTGAATGATCCCATGAAGTCAACCTGAAAAGGGTTGTGACTTGCTTCGAGTTTATCGATAACGCCCTGGAAGCCACTCATGGATTCTTTTAGCCGGTCTTGGGAATAGCTATTGTTTTGAGAGTTCAGCAGAGAGTAGAGGGTGGAGTGCAGGGAGCGCAAGCGCGAAGACTGCGAGGTTGTGGGATCTTGTGAGGACAGATACTCGTTGCCCTGGAAGGAGGAGAGGGACATAGACCGAGATGGCCGAGGAGATGTTTGTGTTGCGATATCGCGGTGGAAAAGTTCTGTTGGGTCTGAATCCGTGGATTCGGCATCATCGTCATCTAGGGCTTTTTGTTGTTGGAGGATTGTGCTGCTCGGAATGTAGGGAACGTGAGATACCGTGGATTCAAGTTTCTTGTTGAACGTTTCAAGGTCTGCTTTTGCCGTTTCGGCAAGGTCGCGGCGAGCTTCAGTTAGGGATTCGAGCATGGGCTGTACGATGTATTTGCTTGCGGCACATGTCAGGGCGGATACGCCAGCGAATACGTAGGCTGCGTGAGCAAGGCGTTCGAAAGTAACCAGCGGAGGCGGCTTTTGGGGTTTGAGCAAGAATTCGGGATAGGTGATGATCGGGGGAACATCTCGCTTCTGAGTGACTGTTATAGATTGTGGTGGCGCCTCTTCACTGGGTGGTTTTGACGCTGTCTCCGTTCCCTGCCCCCTTGAAGCCGGTGACTGACTGCTGTCATGTATTGTCTTCAGTTCAGAGGAGTCGTTGGGGGTTGGAGGAGAGGGCGAGTGTTCAGGGCCAAGGAGCTTTTCTATATCTTCTGCTTGTAGACCTTTCTTCTGTAAGAATGCGGCTTTGCGTTCACGAGAAGCGCCTCTTATCGATTCGTCTTCGAGGAACTTCTTGGCTTGCTCAAGAAGAGGTAGTTCTGACGACGGCAAAGGTGGTTCTGTGCTGTGATGTGGAGGTTGGGTATCGGACGATGCGCGCCCGTCTGTTGGTTCCGACTTGTATTGTTGCTGCCATGAGGGAATGGAAGGACTCTTGGAATCTTGGTCGGCCATATTGTAGCGCTGGGAAATCTATCGCAAAGGTTGAACTGGGAGAATAGAGACTGCGACACTTTCACTTGTTCACGAAGTGCTGGGTGAGTGCTGGATGAGAATGCCAGCCTCGGCTCATTGACATGGCGGCGCAGGTGCGGAAGTCGCAGGGCTGGAAGGCACCAGCCACATCCGCCATAATCATGGTCCAGCGGGAACAGCCACAGCAACCATCCATTTCCCACGCATCATTCTTCGAAAGTTTTCACATCAAGGGTTGGGTTATTTATGTATTTCTGGATTTGAGCAAGTTTGACAGTCATATTTGTCATCGAAGCATTTATTTGAACTTGTGTGAAATCGAAGACATCGATGCTAGATCTAGGGATAGCCACCAAGCACGAAAATACGACCTCTGGCGCGAGAACTCCACGAGAATCCAGGCCAGACACAGACCAGCGACAGCGGAGAGCCTAGGCATTTAGCCGAGCCTGGAACCTCAGAAAAAATGACAGATAGGAGCCGACGTGTGCGACGTCAGATTAGTGAGGCCACTGAGGACTTTACAGAAGAGTCAGACCTGGGCAGCGGTGAAGATTATGATCCAAGAAGGTCTGACTCAATGAGGCGAGCAGGCAGATATGAGTAAGTGCCAGTTTCTAGTTTCGCTACAAAGACATCTGCGGATGATTCAATTGACGGCGATTTCTGGATGAAGAGTGTGAGGTTACAACTCGCCCCCTGCAACATGAGATGAGAGCAATGTTCAAGGCAAAAGTGAATGTCTGCTCTGATCACTGTCAATCCCCATTCAATCGAATCATCGTCTATCTCACCCGTTCAACCTCCTCTTTCTGTAACTGTTTACATTAACCAGAAATCTTCATCGAGCTTTCCCCCAGACAGAAAAAAAAAAGCCTCTAACCCTGTCATCCATCATGCCTTTCATTACCTTGTGCTGTGCACCTCGTCCTGATGCAAGAGCTAATCGGACTTTCAGATCTTCGGCAGCGTCGACCCCGGCATCGTCCCGACCCCGGCGATCGGGGGCATCGGCTACTGCGAGCAATGTCTCTTCCGCCACGGTTCAGCGCGGATCTAGCTCTGCGGATGATCGACGACAAAGTCTCAAATTGACCGTCAAGGCTCCTCCAAGCAAGTTGCGAGAAGTCATGCGGGCCAATGAAGTGGATTCGCTCCATGACACCCTTGGTGGAGGCAAAGTCCTCAACGCCCCTCGAAGTAGTCGACGTACTGCCGTGGCTGCACGGGCCAGCGCTCGGGGTAGTCGACGACCGACATATGCAGAGTACGGTGAGAGCGACATTGAAGATGAAGAGGAGGACGAGGACGAGGAAGAGGAGGACGAGGAAGAGGAAGAGGAGGAAGAGGAGCCCAACGACTTCGACCAGCTCGGTGCTGAACCCGAGGGGGGCACTGATGATGAAGACGTGGAAATGGAAGACGCACCTCCGCCTCCGCCTCCGCCCCCACCCAGGCGTCATGCTCCGCCCAAACCGCCAAAGATTACGTTGAAGCCACCTGCCAAAGGGGACAGCAAATCATCGGCCAAGCCCAAGCTTATCGTCACCCCCGCCAAGATTGGCCCTCTCAAATCCGTCGAGGAGCAAGAGATGGAGGATGAATCAGAAGATGAGTCCGTCGAGGATGATGATGAGGTCGGCAATTCATCCGAGCTCTCTGATGAGGATGAGGAACCCACAATAAACGTGCACGACGAAGACGCCGAGGGTGAGGAAGAAGAGATTGTGGTCGAGGAAGACGCACCAGCCGAAGATGAAGAACTCGACGAGGAAGACGAAGATGAGGATGAGCTTGACGACAGCAGCGACGAAACACCTGCTTCTGGGGCTGCCACTCCCGACCCGACCAGAATGACGAAGAGGCAAAGGGGCAGGCCAGAGGATCAAGGTTCTCTTATGGCGTTGGACATGGCACCGCAGCAGCGAAAGGTATGACGCAAAACGATATCGGCCGTCAGTCCTTGTGCTCACCACTAACTGGTTTAGTTCTTCACGGATGAGGAAAAAGCAATGAAGAAGGACGAACACGCTAGAAAGCGAAAAGAACTGACCAAGCGCAAAGTCCAGGAAGAGAAGACGGCCGCCTTGAACAGATTGGTACACCGATGTCCCTAGTTCCTTCATACCTCGCGCTAACAGCCGTTTAGCTCAAACCTCAAGTTTCTAAGGCGCGAGGTGCCGCTCCAAAGCCAGAGACCTTGGCCGCTGCCGCGGCTGCGGCAGCAGCAGCAGGATCACCATTCGAAGAGGAAGACCTACCACAGAGAGCCAATCCAATCTATACCAGATGGCTCAGTACGCAAGATGGTGTGAGATTGGGTGTACCAGAAGAATGGTTAGGAAAGAAAGTCGGCCGCTACTTTGGACCTCCGCTGCCACCCAACGGCAATGTCCTTATTCAAGAGATCGAATAATGGCAGATCGCGGTATATGCATCACGTGCTCGACTATCAACTTCTGGAGACGTGGAAGTCTAGAAGAAACCGGGTTACTCAGAAACGGAAAGAAAGCCTCATGGTCTGAAACGTCCGCGAATCCCACAGGATTATGACCATCTTCCTGGTCCCAAGTATCAGCTATAAGATTGCAGCAGCTCTTAGCATAGAACTTTCAAGTCAGCAGCAATCTAATCATACATAAGAATACTACTCTGGTATGCTTCAGTAGGCTCCATCGTACTGGCTGCAGTCGTCACAACGATATTGGAAGACATTATGCCTTCAGCTCAGAGAGTCTTTTCTCTTTCCCGTCCTTGAAGCCACCTCGGTGCCACACTGTCCATGATTGGGCAGGCAACTTTTGCTCCTCCTCATATTACAATCTCCGCCAGGATCCATATCCTAGCAGTGCTTCCAACAATCATTGACTCGCTGAATCACAGTAGACTCAGACGTCTTGCACAAGCAAGGTGACCTCCCAATCCTTCCAGAGCTTCCTAACTTGGCATCTAAGTGCGTTACCAGAGTGTGGTGCAATTCCGGTGCCTGGTACTCCTCAAATGTTGCGTGGTCGATCTGTCCAAGGACATGTAACTTGGAGACTGCATACTGCGGGTGCTCAGTTATGGAACACATGCCCAATTGATCATACAATGCAGCCCCTCATTGTTGAAAGGTGGTTGATAGGGAGGGAGCTGCCTCCCTATTGTAGGTTCCATGTTAACCCTACGACCCTATACCGTTCCGATGCAGCACTATATCCCACAGCTCTTGCAGCCGATATCATATTCGGGGTCGACAGTGAGCACCTGTCACCTGGACGTAGCTTTGTCACTCATTTGCCCGTGCCTTCGGCGTGCTTTGGTTTGATGAGATCGTATTGTCGCTTGCCTGCGCATGGATTTCGATCATGTTCGGTCCAAGTTCCGAAGCAGCCCGCTCCCTATATTCAAAGTGATAGCATCAGCACCTGTCCCAGTAGTCACTGGAAACATGGACCAACTCTTGCTTCAGCTTCTCCAATGCTCGGGCTTCAAAGGCAGGCTTGAAGGTCATGTACCCTGTAGACGACATTAGTGATGATCGATGCGCAGCGTAGAGAGATAGTGTTACCATTGAGCACACCAAATCCAATGACCAGAGCCCACCCAGCTATTCGATAACTCATTGCTGTCCGCCTGAATGACCCTTTATCGGATATTAACACTGAAATGTCTCACGGAGTTCAAAGGGTTTGCGAGAGCCTCAAGTCACGGGACCAATCGGAGGGAATTCCGTAGCCTCGCCTTGGCGCTGCTCGCCATTCTAGCCTCGGCGCGTCTGTGACGCTCAAGACGCGACTCAAAAAAACCAGCAAACCCTCACCGATACCGACAGATTCTGGCCTGTGTTGACGGGAAGATCATGGAAAGCAGTAGCGATGGCGAACTGGAGGGAGCGTGGCTACGTGCCAGATTCTGACGAAGACGATGAAGCGGAAGAAGAGAGAGGAGGCAGTTTCAGCATCGACCATACCAACGGGACAACTTCCAAGACCGGCGCAGTTAATGTGCAGGCTTCGGTGAAACAAGCCATTGTGAAGGAAAGTGATACTCTTCCTGGTGATGACGACAATCCGACAAAGCAAAGCAGCAACAAATCTGACAATCATGGCGCGCATCACCACCCTGGACTGACCCGCACAATCGGGTTGCAGCATGATACTCACACCGGCCATCTGATATCGTCGCAGGCCTCTGACTCTCCTCTGAATTCGACTGCAGCGAAGCTCGAAGCTGAAATCAAGAGAGGCCTGCGGACTGTGCAAGATGTACTTGCTTCCGTGGACTCTGGCCTCAACAGTGACACAGACAGCCCTCTGTCTTCGGTTCCCTCATCGGTGCATACTTCACCCTTGAAAAGTCAGTCAGGGCAATCACGACCAGTTGCCCTTACCGAGGTGGCCATAGATGAAACCTCCACTGACAATAGATTGTCGCCGGGTCCGTCTGCTGACGCCTCACGGAGACGATCCTTTAGACCTCGTGCTCCAATCCAACTTCATCCCTACGCAATTGAGGATGCCAGGTATAGACAAACTTGGAGAGATAGGGGCTTGCACCCTGTTCGCGCACCAGACCCGCCTTCACATCTGCGAGAAAGTGCCAAGGAAGAATCCCAGGGCACCACGGCATATGAAAGCAGCCAAGCCGACCATTTGGATAGTCAGGTTCGACGCTCAGGCCCTGGACCGGAGCCTGGGTATGATGATTCCCAGGTAACTGGAAATGATGAATCTCAAAGCCCGATACGTGGGACACGTCTCCGCATATATCCTCTTGTGTCTGATTCCGACGATGATGATGATCTTCCAGACTTGTCGGACATACTCAAAGGCAGAACTGCGACCTCTTCCATTTCGAAACTGAAGAGGCCCAAGCGTGCGCCAGCGTCCCAGCCATCAACATTGATTGACGAATTTCCCAACTATGATCTTCTCAACAATGGCATAGCTGTCAGGAATGCATCCCAAAATGGTAGCGCAAGTTCCATAATTCCACTTTCCCCGCCTCGATCTGGTGGTGGACAATATTCGCAAGTCGGCGAGGCGAAAAACAATCCAGAAGCATTAATAGGGAATAGTACACCCGTGCTGCTCCCAACTCCATTGGTCTCTTCAGACAAGCAGGCGTCAAAGAGGAGGTTCAGCGAAACCCTCAGTTTTTCTGATTCGGAGACCGACGTCATCAGTATCAGTGACGATTTATCAGCGCCATCTAAGTTAGAAGAGAGTTTAGAGGATGGATTTCGTGGTATCCGACAAATGCGTCGCAAGATTAGGGGAGTCTTGCCGGCATCCTGGCTAACGTTGGATTTGGCGCAGCAACGGAAGGGCAATCGTGGTCCTCGAAATCGACCCCAGTCCCCCGTCAAGAGGGCTTTGGAGAAAGGGATAGCGCAACACGTCTCATCCTCAGGGGGGAAAGCTAGAGGTCATATTTTGAGTGCTGATGTCGCCGATTTGGAAGCTTCGTCAGAGAGCCAGCCAACTAGCCCTGCCAGCAATGAAATGAGAGGGGTCGAATACGAAGGACCAGGACCATTTGAGGACGATGTTATTGAAGATGATACCATCGATGCTATGCTAGCTCCTCGACAGAGAAGGTCGTATGCTGGACAGAGACAGCAGCGATTGAAAGGTGTTTGGTCCAGGAGGAACACCTCCGAGGGTAGCAAGAGCATTGCTGGTCCAGGGTCAGCCTCTCGTCGCCAGGGAATAGCTGTTGCCTCTCAATCAAATAATGGGGCGCGGCCACGCAAGAAGATCAAGAGGAAGCAGAGAAAGCCGCAGATGACGATCTTGGACGCTCCTGGTTTCAGGGAGGAAGAGGTGCCACAGTTTCTAAGGATTGCATCGAGACGCACTGCTCAGAGTTCGGCACGGAAGCAGGACCCATCAAAGAAGTTTTTCAAGCTGGCAACAATGAGAGATACGGATGATGTGAATGAAGGGATGAGGAGTTGGAGAGCCCATCGCAATCAGGCAGATCATTCTGTCAAACCCAGCGACATTGCCAACGCCGCAACCCCCTTATTGGCTCAGCCGCACAGTGTCGACGACATAACGTTCGAAAGTACTGCCGCTCCAACACGCACTCCTAACAACGACACTCACTTTTCAGACCCTCGCCTCAAATCTTTGAAGCAAACCACCAGAGCCATCCTCGAACGTATTCGCAATCATCAAAGTCGGTCTCGCTCGTTGCGAGACGAATCTATTGTTCCCTCAATTGATCGCCGTTCCGCGATTCTCGACTATTTCAAGCCTCGAGCGCCGCGTCGTAGTCATCCCAACGCGCGGCAGCCGGTTCCAACCCTTCAGCAGAACAGAGAGAAGCCTGAAGAACCGGCACTCGCGCCTACGAATCCTTTCACAATCAAAAAACGTGTGCCCCAAGCAGCACGACGGAAACAAAAACGACCTCGTCAGAATCTTCCACAGAAAGCTTCTACAGAATCTTCAATTCAAGCAACCCTTCCCATGGCCCAACCTATAGAGTGTGTACCTCGCAACAATCCACAACGTGTTGATGCTGACTCAAGCTCCAGAAAGCGAGACCTCTCTCTACCCTCTCCACCACTCCCGTCGCGTCCTCCAAAGTAAGTATTTCTTTCATCAGCCAGGAACCCAGAGAGACTAAGTTCTGAATCTAGGAAGCAACGTCCCATCGCGCTCAGCACGCGTGTCGCCAGTGAATTCGATCAACATGATGTCCTATGTCTTCAGAGTCTGAAATTATATGATGACAACGACATTATCTCCTATGCCATTCAATATCCTCCAGGAACAAGCTCCTGGCGAAATACTCCATTACCCCATGACTCTACATCTGTCCGCGTTCGTTTGCTAGACGCCACATTCTCCTCTATGGCTGATACCACTCGACTACTCCAACCACAATGGTCCCACAGCTCAGTTACCACTCCCAAGTCGCAACGTACGCTCCACGCCACTGGTTGGACCATAGAAGTTGAAAGCATCATTCGAGACGCTTTTCAAGAAATCTTCGAGATCACCTGCGGCGACTTTGACACGTCTGACGCCACACCAGATGAACAAGCGCGTCTGTTGAGTCAGGCTGCGGAGTCGGTCGAAACCATAATCACTTACACCAATGAGAGCCTCTTCTTCTCGAATATCCAAGAGTTGGAAGCCTTCATCCACTTAACATTGGACTCGATTGAAAATCTATGGCAGGGCATCGCTATATGCGACACCGTCACAAGCAGACCGCATGTCTCGCAGACTTTAAGGGTCCTGAATGGTCTCCTCATTCTAGGATATCAAATCTATCAATGTACCACAATCTCGGGCTGTCCAGAGACAATTCGTGGCAAGACCTCGAAGACTTGGAAGAACATTGCCAGCCTTGCATGGGAACTTGCTTTCCGGAAACAAAACGTCGCTCATTTCTTCTGTTACATCGCTGCTCAGCTCGAGGGTGACTTTGTATTAGATGGGCATCGAATCACACCCACAACAGAAGTCGAGACCGTCTTCCTGATACACCGCCTCGGCCCTCACCAAGAGTGGAATATCTACTTAGAAAACATCCTCTCTACCCATGGCAAAATGGGGATGGTTTGGGGGTCTCAAGCTGAATCACTCGCTTTCACGATTGTCGTACTTGGCTGCATCCTTTCCATCGTTGGACCACATGGGCTCACAACACATTCCGATGCCAGCTCCGCGAGCTCTCTGGGCTGCTCTCTTCTTCGTCTACTTCCGACTCACGTATCAGAATTTCTCAAGTTCTTTGTTGAGAAAAAGGCGAGGTACAGCACGCGATTCAAAGCCAAAATACACCAAGTAAGGAAGCTGGAGCGATTCGGTCTGGTCATTTTTCGATGGTGTTTCGTCTTCGCACGAAATTTTCAAATCGACACTGCCGACAGTTTGCTAAAGCAGATGTTCAAGTACTATTCGGACAAGACAAACAACATGCTTGAACTCTTTACGTCGAATCTTACAGATGAGGCGCCACCATTCATCGTTCGTCTGACTCGTCCTGAACAACTAGTCCTGGAGGCTACCGATACAGACTTCCACATTTTCCTGAAGCTCACGGCCATCACTTTGGCGGCCCAACCTCTAGCAGACTACGAGACTGAAGAGCATGTTCGAAAACTGGCACTTCGTAAACGCTCTCTCTTGTTCATCTTGTTACCTAATAAGGGCCGCGACAGTCTAGATGACAATACAATGCTCGTCGATGAAGACTACCCACTTCCAGACCTTGACCTTGCTGCAATATCCAACCGATACACCCTTTTCACGACGCTGTATCACTATGCACCTATCGGCTTCAAACCAGAGTTATCACAGATTAGAGATTACATCGACTTTCATACAGCTCATGATGCTGTCCGCAAAGTCATTGTACGATGTTGGGAAAACATCGCCAACTCAGCACTCTCCCAGGCAGCAGGTCAAGCAGCAGGTCGTGTGGAGCTCCTAGAGCTAGGACAGTGGCTTCTGAGCCTGTTCTTCTCCATGCGCGATAAGCTGTCGCGGATTCCAAATATCGACAATAGCATGCATGAGGACGAGAAACGTATTCACCGAGCCAATCGAAATACTACGGTTGACTGCATCCTCAATATTGCAAAGCGGTATGCTACAGCGATTGATCTCTGTGCCAATCAAGACCAGGTTTCGTGCCTCGTCACTCATGAAGAAGTGAATAGTCTGACTGTTTCATGCTACTCTAAGCAAGGTCTTGGTGATATTGTGGTCAGCGGAATCTTCGACCTCTTCACATCCTATCTCAAGAAAGTTGGAAATGTTAACGACGAAACACGTTCTCTTATGCGAGACATTCGTGGCGTGCTTGTTGACCAGCTCAACCGTGGCGATCCTCCAGACGATGTCTTGTTGACGTCTTTGACCGACACCTGGTTTGCAATCGGAAAGCTGATGATAGAAGGTGGCTACTACCACGGGGATCAGTTTCTGACTGCTCGGTCTCAATTGTCCTTTCCACAAATTGCCGACACTGAAATCGCAAAGCAATGTCAAGTGTTGCTACTGAGCAAGATTGCAACGGATAGGAACGTCATTTTAGCTGATCCCTGTCCTTTCGTCTCCACCTGGTTGTTGTCGATGTTAAAGCCGGAACCGATGATCAAGTTCGAACACCGCCTGACGAACCAGCTCATGGAAAGCATTCCAGATGCGTTCGGTCTTGATGAGCTACGTCGAAACATTTCAAACGGCGCCTCTTCATTCTTCTTTGACCGGTCTGATATCATCAAACATCGCTTCTCAATGGTCGACCATGTTGTCCGCTATGCCTGCAGCGTTCAAAATGATGCCAATCCACCTTCTAGCGCAAAGCTCACTAAACGTCAATGGGACGAATTGATGACGAAGATCGAGAGGGCCATGAAGCAAACCTGGGAACAACTCGATGGGGCAGCAAGACCAGAATGGACCATCTTCATGCAGAAAGTAATATTCCGACTCAGCATGTATAAGAGCCCGGGCTTCGAAATCGACCCATGGTTCCTTAATCTAGATCAGAAAGGATTCGAGGACAAGGTCTTCTTTCTTGAGCGCCTCTTCATTCGTCTATTGGATGGAAATCGACGTGATCGTTGTGACGCCGAGCACATGGCCACGGTCTTGCGCACAGCTTGCGAAACGGCATGGGATAGTGACAAGGAAGGGCAATTCTACCAGCACCTGGTCGGGTTGTTTGCTGCCAACGACCCGAGCTACGTGGATAACGATGGCAAGTTCCTACTCGACATTGCGTCGCAATTGGACTTCATGAAGGCAGTCTTCCCAGCATACATTGAGCGAGCACTCAGCGACACTCTGCCCGCGATGCTTTTCGCTGTGCCCATCCTTCGCACAGCGGCAGCAATCCTGATGAGACTGGAAATGCGTGTTGACCTCGAGGATCAATCGCATATGGAATCGTTCGCAGAGCTCATCGTCGCCTTGATGGAAGCAACAGTCACAGCAATGCGAGATGCCGGCTGCGCGCCTCTGTTCAAACACGGCTGGGAGATCGAAACAATCTGCCATCTCGGCCATCTCTGCTGGCTTGGCTGTAGCCGGTGGGCTCACCTCCATCGACTCTTTCCCTCCTCTGGCGCCGTCCTCTCCTTGCAGGCATACGTGCAAGCGTATGCTTACTACGCTTACGAATGGATCTGCACCGCTGCAGATCTAGAGGACGACGCCCGGCCCTCAGACCCAGAGCTCTGGGCGAAATACCGCATGAGCGCCGATAGGGCGAGGGAGGACTTCGGCTTCGAGCTGCCGAAGCTGGTCCTCCCAGAGCACATCAGTGCTCTCAAGGATTTTGCCGCCGACGACCTCGAGTGGTCAGGTCGAAGCGACTGGGACCGGCGCGAGTTTACGACCTGGGGGCCCGTCTGGGTGTTTACGCGGCCCGGGTTGAAGCCGGCGATGAAGCAACCGCGCCATGCGGTCCAAGACGACTCCATGATAAATGGAGTCAGGGCGGTGTTGGCGTCGCTGGAGCGGGCGTTGACTCTTCTGGGGGTCCTGGAAGAGGAGTTGTGAGCGGTGGGGGCGGTCGTAGTGTGCTGGTTTTTGGTCCTTCCTCTTTATTAGAGTACAACGATTCAATCAAACAGGTCAGAGTAACGGTTGGTTCCACCTGCACGCTGTTCTCGATCGTGCTCTTATGTATGGACGTCCACCGTCAGCCCATCGTAGTGACCGGCACCTAATTACGAGGGTAGACGAGTTTCGATGACATTTTCCGCACAGCCGAGGAGTCATGTGCTCGTCAGAGACAAAACATACTGGCCTGGAAATAGGAAGACAAGCGCTGGCGGTCTAAGGGAGTAAAAGAGAGTCCATGCTAATCAACAGCTTGTTTTTGATCCCCCCGATGGATTCTGGATCCGCACTTTGACAACGTGTCACAATCCTGGTCGTGATTATGGTTGGCGCAATAGTTATGGCCTGTCGAGCTGGCGAATCTGACGGCCTGTTTTAGAACCCCAGCCTCGTCGGTCCTTACCAGGGGCAAAGCGAGGCTGGACGAGGCTGCATTAGGCGAATCGTTGCTGGGCAACTCCCTGCCGGTAAATAGAGGGTTGGTGGATTGACACCAACCACACCAGCCTCTTGAACCGCCATGACCTTTCTTAATACCCATGTCAGCACCAACATTCCACTCTTTGCAGTTCCATCTCATTGCCAGCAACAGCATTCCAGCAAAGCATGGGTGTCGAACCTCCATTCATTTACGACCGACCCTCGACATACACCTTTGGCAGCCCAACTGATCGTGCTTTCAATCCCAAGGCTGCATCCCATGCTTCCTGGACTCCCAAGCCTCTGAAACCCAAGCAAGATGGTCCACTGGTTGATTTTAACAAGCATCCTGATTCCGTATGGTCCCTGAAGCAGAGACAAGTGCTCCTCGACTGACCCATACGCAGTACATAGTCCTTCCTTACGGCAATCTCAATGCCAAACCGATGCCTCCTAATACCCATAAGAAGGTCGTCCGCGTCCGATACGTCCAACTCTTCCTAAGAATTTGTGCCTTGATCGGGGCTCTGGGCTCCCTCTTCTGTGTTATCGCCATCAACAAGACCACCGCAACAATAGGATGGATCATTCGCTGCGCTCCTGCTATTGCCCTTCTTCACACCCTCTATGCAGTCTTCCACCTCGCGCGTGCACCTACAAGCCGCACTCCTGCTTCTACAGCAAGCTACATGATATTTGCGGCCATGGTGGATACTGGTCTGATCCCCTTCTGGGTCTTCTGCGCATGGGTGGCACATGCAGACTACACAAACAACGAATACGGATGGAGCACGCTGTTCAACAATACAGATCTGTCATACAAGATCATCAATGCTTTCTTCCTGCTTTCGTGCGTTGAAGGTGGCCTGATGCTGCTATCGCTGCTCCTGGACATTTACCTCGGTGTCAAGTTCAGACAGATCTCCAAGCTGCCGCCAGACATGAATCCTCTGGAGCCGAATCTCACATCCAGGCACAAACGGAATAAATCCGAGATCACCGAGAAGAACATGAGATCCTCAGCATTGGCCGCTAAGCGAGAGTCGCAGCTTTCGGGTTTCAAGAGAGTCCCTTTTATCCACACTCGGACTGACTCGGCCGACAGCGTCACGCTCTACGGCGGTGACAGCGCCCGCAACTCAAGGGTAGAGTTCCGCAAAGAACTGGATGAAAATGAAAAAGATCCCTGGCGATGGTCACGAAATTCATCTCCTGAACGACCTGGCTCTGCCGTCAATCCCTCTCCAACCTCTCGTGCAGCTGGTAGTGGACTTGATTTCCGCCCCGAACGCTCTTCCCAACTCAAGGAGAAACCATCTCGTCCATCTTCATGGCTGTCATATCTCGATTACGAAGGCGTGCCCAGCACGATGAGCGAAGAGGCCTCTGCAGAACTGGACCACGAAGTCCGGCCCATGTCCCCTGTGTCTGCCATCACCGTTACAGACGCTCCATCCGACAAGATTCATCGTGAACGAGAGAATTGGTATCATGGTTCCCCAGCACGCAACAGTCAGGCCCAGCTAGCACCACCAACAAATAACAGCCTGACCCACATCCACTCGAAAAACTCGAGCAGAACTAGCTTACACCAATCACTTCCTATGCCATCCCCTGGCTCTCCGCCAAAGAAGAGAAGCCGTGAACCTCTAGGCATGAACCCTCCGACACCTACACGCACAGCGTTCAACGATGAAAATGCATATTTCACACCCACAAGGGATTCCCGCTTTCAGCACGACGGAAGTCGCGCCGCCCTCCACGACGCAGATGGTAATGCCCAAGCTCAACTCAGAGGCACCCCAACCGATAGCAGACCATCCAGCTTCGTCGGTAGCGGTGGGAAAGCACGCTTCTATGGTGATCTGCGACAATCCATTGGCTCTGCATCTCCCACTCACAATGACAACGATAAGAAAGAAGAAATTCGAACCAGCATTAAAGAGGTTGAGAGTATGTACGAACGCACTCGCACGATGCAGACGGAAAGCGACTACTCTGCCAACTTCGAGGTCTACTCCACATCTGATGACGAAGAGGGACGATTGAGCGCCAACATCACGAATGTGCAGACCGCTTCTCCGTCCCAATGGAACGGCACCAGACAAGCTTCTAACTCAACCGGGTTTGACATGAACGGTGGATACGCGGGGCTCGGTGCAGAGTTTGGTAAAGGCATGGGTAGACGGAGAGATGTCAGCGGGAAAGCAGCTGAAGAGGGAAGAGCAAGTCCGACAAGGAATGGCGCTGCGGGTTGGGAGAGGTTCAAGGGGTTGTGAATCGTACTTTTCCAGGTAGAGTGAGGGTCAATGGATTGGATTCTTCAATGCGGATCAACTGCAATGGGATGGAAACGTGACTGACTGAATGATATGGATTGGATTTGGAGTTCGCAATGGATGGATGCAGCAAGCAAGATATGAGAGCAAAATACAGGCTTTGGATTTAGGGACAAACATCGAGCCTCTACAATTGTGGAAACTGCAATGGTTGATGCTTGAAGTGCTTTGAAATTGGGATGACGGAACCTGGCCTGGATGGATGGATGGATGGATGGACACTTCACTGACACTTCAACGGGCGGACATTCTCTACCCAGTAGAGATAGGTAGACTCCCTCAAAAATTGCACAAGGGTTAGTAATTTCACGCACATGCACACATACATACTGGGTACAGGGGGACTGAGCACACTTATCCTGGCTACGGAGGATACAGTAAATTATGTTTCTCTATAAACCTTTTCGCCGGCTAGGCGCATCAAGGACTCGGACTTCCGCCGCCGCAAGACGTATTTCAAGACGCATCCACGGGACAATACATACTAGGTAGGGAGAAGTGAAATTGGATACACATGTACGTACACACAGGTCTATGTGTCAGAGTACCAGGGATCTCATCTCCCATGCTCCGTACTCAGGGTCTACTCCGTACCACGTCGCCACTATTGTCAAGACATGTCACTCATCGGGCTTACATATGTAGCCGGACTGGGGCCCCTCCGCAACGATAATATTAATACGAGGTACGTCCTTTTCTAACCTAGTTCGGGGTTGCTCCACTGTGGTGGAGCGAGCGGGCTGGACTGGAGAGGAGAGAAGCAAGGGCGAGACGAAAGACAGAACAAGAACTTCTTGCTCTCCTGCAGGGTAGAGATGAGATTCGCACTACATACTCGTCACGAGCACAGGCAATGTGTCAATCCGTAGATGAACCTGGGTTTTTGCCAAAGTCTATATAGGACATAGAATATATATATATATGTGTGTGTGTGTGTGTGTGTGTGTGTGTGTATGTGTGTGTGTGTGTATGTGTGTGTGTGTGTATGTGTGTGTGTTCGTTCATGCTACGCCGCCCTACATGCCGCATGAAAAATCAAGATCGGGAGCAAGAACTAGTCATGCTGTTCCTTACCATGCGTCATTCTCTACCTATCATATCATATCGTTAATGATCGTAGCTCCGAAGTCAAAACTCGTATGGCCCTGCAATGAAACGGTCAAGACCCAGCTGGCCAGAGAAGACGGATCAGTGCCTCCTCGGCCGCAAGATGACATTGTATTCTCGATCCGGCTTGAGAATCGTGAACTCCTTCGTGCCCAAAACGAGATTTGGATCTTCAAGCTCGATATCATATTTCAACAACAAGGTCGCAATCATCTTGATGATAAACTGGTTCGCCACGTTTCTCCCGATACATTGTCTGCTCCCGAAGCCGAAGCCCAGGAAACAAGTCTTCATTGTAGCCAGATCGGCCTTTTCGTCCAGCCAGCGGTCCGGGTTCCAAATGTTTGGATTGCGGTACACGACGGGGTTGCGTCCAATGGTAGCTGCGGGCACGCCGACGTCGACGTTGCCCGGTACGTAAACTCCGCAGATGATAGCTCCCTGGGGTGGAGTCATGCGTGGCATGGCGTAGCCGATGGGTGGGTGCATCCGCAGGCATTCGATCTCGGTAGCTTCTAGAAGGCTCAACTTGTTCAACATCGCGAAGGGAAGAGGCGTCGACGCGTCGAGATTATCGGGGAACATCTGCTCGAGTTGTTGAATGATGCGCGCCTTCACAGATGGGTTCTTGCTGAGATAGTAAGTCATCCAGTTCATGGTAACGCTCCCTGTGCTTGCCCCGGCCACCATCAATGAGGAGGCCTCAGCTCGTAATTCTGGAAAGTCCATTCGTCCGCCTGTTTCTGGGTCCTGTGCCTCGATGAAACGTTGCATGATGTCTTGCCTTGGCTTGCCGCCAAGCACTTGGTTGCGATTATCCTGAAACCGTTTCTCCAGTGCCTGTCTCGCATAGTCCAAATATTCAAGCCGCGCTTGGTACAGTTTCTGGATGTATGGCAATGGCACCATGCTCAAGACTTTCACATTGTACTTGCCGAAAGGTAGCATGCCGCTCAGATTTGCGAAGTGCTGAGAAAGCTCCACAAGCTTGGAGTATTTGACCGGCCGGCCACCCTGAATGGCACCGAAGTTATGGCCAAAGGAAAGTTCGCCCATCAGGTCCATGGTAAAGAGCTCAAACCAGAAATAAATGTCGAAGGGTTGCTGAGTGCTTGCAAACTCGTCCATTTTCCGAAGAAAGATTTCCATGACAGCGTCGACATAGGGCTCAAAAAGATAGAGAGATTGCATGCTGAAGCCATGGGATACCATACGCCGCTTCCGTGCGTGATTCTTCTTTGACCGCGTCGAGAACAGAGATTCTCCAGTCGTCGAGAAGGCATCGTACCAGCTTGACTTGCCGAATTCATCCGCCCCCTTTCCGTGGCCTGTTGTCTTTTGTGAGCTCGACACTCGGATGAATTCGCCGCAAATAATCACATACCATAGATAGCCTTAACCGCATCGGGGTGATTAAATGACACTGCATTCGGGCGTGTCCTTACCGCCACGGAATCGGGATATTGGGCAAAGAGCTCACTCGCCCATTCAGCACGTCTTTTGTCCTTCAACGCAGTTGCTTCGGGGATATCAGATATTCTCGTGATCCACGGGCCTGCAATCTTGCTCATGGGCGAAAAGAATAACCGGTATATCAAAAGGGCCGGGTAATAAGCCACCAGGAGGAGGACCGGACCCCATAAGAGGACAGGACGTACAACCGGGGGTGTGTCAGCCATGGCCATGGTTCTGCCTGTAGAATGCCTGTTCCAGCAACCGCACAGAGCGATACCTATTTAATGGAACCTTTGCGAAGCTACACGGAGGGCGTCGTTCATAGTCGACACAAGTCATGTCTTCTCCCAATTATACACTCCGCATCCTGTCAGCGGCAAGTTTCGGCAGTGCGATGACATGGTCCCGATGGAGACTGAGGTGGGATTCCCCCGCAAACAATCTCCAGCCCCACGACTTGTAGCGACGTCCCTTCTCGATTCTCAGGGGAGCCACGCGCGGAGTTTGACCGTCGTTTGTGGGGTCTTAGACTTCCGGCATGGGAACGAAACGATGGGAAGAGCCTGGTAGCCTGGCTCCAAGATAATGGGTTAAGTCAAGCAACGCCTAAGCCTTTTAGGCTGCCTGGTCGAGATGAGAAAAGGGGGATCATTGGTACTTTCCTTCCAGCTCCACAGGGGCCAGAGCAACCGGATTCATGGACCATCTAGAATCCAGCCTCGGCCCCAAGTAGGTGTACCTAGAGCAACCGTTCGTCTGCGTCCTCCACATGGTGAAGATGGGAGAGCAGGGGGCACGGGGTTGATCAGAGCCACTTTGGGGAACTTTAGCAGCTGCTGGTAGCAGATACAAAAAGTCATGGCTCGTCTCACCTGCAGTCTCTTGGAATTTTTTTATTTTTTTTCATCCACTTCCCCTACCACACTTGCTCCAGGTTGTACCCCATCCGCAACGGTGCCCACAATGCAGGAAACAGCTGAGCACAAGGCTGTCATGGAGGGTGAGATTGAGGTTGCCCACAGTGAGGGCCGCGACCTTCCAACAAAGGGATATGAAGATCCTCACAAAGCTGCGCTCGAGGATAATCCTGAGCACGCTGAGAAGCTCAGTCTCTCTGTCATTCTTTCAGCTCTTTTCTTGGGAACCTCTTTCACAGGACCTATCATCTTCGGCTTCATTCTCGCTACCCCTATCTTGGTACAATTGAGTCAGAAACTGGGCGGTGACACCATCGACTTTTGGATACCTTCCGGCTGGGGTGCAGCCGCTGCTGTTGGCTTTTCGGTTGCAGGAAGACTGTCAGATATCTTCGGTCGTCGATATGTTATTCTTGTTGGACAGCTTCTCACAGTCGTAAGTCTTTTTCACGCAGCAAAATCCGATATCGAACGATGTCGAGGTTTTGATGTTTGTTCCACTGTGCACCGCGTGGAGCCGATATTTTTGGCTTGCGATGTTTCTATCCGCGACAAAGCTAACTGTGATGTCGATGTAGATTGGTGGCGCTGTTGCGTGCAGCGCACAGACTATGAATCAACTCATTGCCGGCGAAGTCATCCTCGGAGGTTCCATTGGAACAGTCTCGGTCGCCTACGCAGGTGAGCCTCTCTCAGTCTCCCGGCTGCTGCGATGTTCAGTTCCTTATATATATATATGTTTAAACAGGTATCTCTGAAATCCTGCCCAACAAATACCGTGGTGTTGGCCTCGCCTGGACAGAACTCAACCTTGCAAGTTGGGCCATCGCGGGTACGCTTCTTGCCAATGCTCTTCTTTCCCACGCCAGCTGGCGGGTGATGTTCTACATTGCCATGGGATACGGAGGTTTCTCACTCGTTGGAACATTCGTTGTGTATTTTCCGCCCAGTCACCCACGTCCTGATGGCTTGACCAAGTGGCAAGAATTCAAGCAGCTCGACTTCATCGGCACCGCCCTTTTTGTCTCTGGCCTTGCTGTCTTCCTGTACGGCTTGAACTCCGGTGGAAACACTTATCCTTGGTCTGCTGCGGGGACTCTGGCTCCTTTGATCCTCGGACTGTTCGTGTTTCTGGGATCTTTCGTGTACGACTTCACCCTCGCCAAGGATCCTCTGTTCCCGTGGTACTTGTTCAAGAGCTTCCGGTCATTCTCGTCACTGCTCATGCTCGTCTTCGTGGCGGGCATGGTGTTCTTTGCGGCCTCTGCGCTCAACGCCCAAACAATCCTCTTCCTCTATACTGCCGATCCAATCAAGATTGGTGTATACTCTATCCCTTCTGGGTAAGTACCCGCCCTGCCGAAATGCGGATGGTGATGTTAACAATCCATCAGTGCCGGTCAGCTCGTCGGAGGCGTCATTATTCCCGGCCTTGTACACTATATCAAGCACGTTCATATCCAACTCACCTTTTCCGTCTTCATGCAGACCCTGTTTTTCGGACTGGCCGCACTCATCACTCCCCACAACATCAACTGGGTCATGGCGGTGCAATTCCTCGCCATGCTTCCATTCGGATGGATCACGCTAAACTGCTATACAACGGCCTCGCTCCACGTGCCCCAACGTGACCTGGGAGTCGCTATCGGGCTGATTGGCACCTTCCGGTCTCTCGGTGGAGCGGTTGGTTCCGTCATCTTCTCATCCATTTTCAATCAGATCTCGGCCAAGCAAGTCCCCAGCCGTATCTCGGAGGTTGCTCTGGCAGCGAATGTGTCGGCCAAGACTCTCCCAGCCTTGATCGAAGCAGTCTCGCTGACGCTGGTTGGCGTGCCTGACCAGGCCGCAACTGTACCTAGCGTGTCGGCAACGGTGTTCTCCAAGTGTGTAGAGGCAGCCCGGCTTGGATATGCGTATGGGTTCCGCATCACTTGGCTGTCGTCAATTCCTTTTGGTGTTGTCGCCATGCTTTGCGCAGTGGCCGTTTATGACCCTTCAAAGTATTTCACCAACCATGTCGAGGTTCACCTCGAGAAGGAGATTGGTGGCCGACATGCCAACCAGACGAAGGAGGTCGAAAATTAATTCAAGTTCGCTTCAGAGGCATGTCCGTTATTTGGGCATTTCTTTGTCATTAGGACGACATCAGCTAGGACCAAAGCGGACACCAGATAGCGCGCTGTTATGTACCGTCCGTTGAATGTTCAAGAGAAGAGTTTCTCTCGATAGAGCAATCGTGCATCTTTCGTCTTTCGTCTCCATGGGCATCGCCGGCAAGCTCCGGGATGTTGGTCCCAACTTGTGGCTAGTGGTTGCTTCCCCCACTCTCTTTCTGAGCTTTTTTTTGGTCCCGTTGCAACTCTATTGTGGCGGCGTAGAAATGCCTTGTGCTCGCAGGTAGCGAGGTAGCTAAGTGCTTGAACCGGGGAGTGGCTGGAGACATGGAGGTGGGTGATGAGTGGTGAGAGGTCAGAGGAAAGTGAAGCAGCGAGATGTGACCCTGGTCGTTGGCTCAGGGACGAATCGACAACGACGAATGGGTGAGGGACAGCTGAACCGTCGAGCCGTCTTCTGTGTCGCCCCGCTCCGAAAATGAAAAAAAAAAAAAAAAAATTAAGGTAAAAGGAAAAAAAGGTTTAGTGAGAGAAAACGTAGCAACGCGGTTCACTCTCTCACGCAGTCACACGACGAGGACCTGTGCATTTTGACCAGCTAGTGCAGCGTTCCTTGAACTTGCCCGCTGCCCACCTTCGTCTAGGCTGTTGTTTGCTTCTCCTCTTTCTTCTTCGATCTCTTTTCCATCCTCTTCAACGTGTACAATTCTTCGTCCTCTTCTTGCTTCTCCAACAACCCATTGACGGTTGCTGTGGCTGTTTACCCCGCGTTCCCTCACTCGTTTCGGCATCCGCACTTTTCACATTCAACTCTGTTGCCATGATGTCCGAAATCACCCATCCTACGATCAAAGGTATGTCACCCCTGTTTAATGCTCTATCCCAAATCGTGTGGCCGTTCTGACTCGCTTCGTCATCGCAGATGGCTGGTTCCGAGAGATTTCGGACATGTGGCCCGGCCAAGCCATGATCCTCAAGGTCAACCAAGTGCTTCATCATGAGAAGTCAAAATACCAGGACGTCCTGGTCTTCGAGAGCAGCGACCATGGCACAGTCCTGGTCCTTGACAATGTCATCCAGTGCACCGAGCGGGATGAGTTTTCTTATCAAGAGATGATAACACACTTGGCCATGAACTCTCACCCGGATCCAAAGAAGGTTCTCGTCATTGGTGGCGGTGATGGAGGTGTTCTGCGCGAGGTCGTCAAGCATGAATCGGTGGAGAAGGCCATTCTGTGCGATATCGATGAGGCTGTCATCCGCGTCAGCAAGAAATATCTCCCCGGAATGTCCATTGGATTCCAACATCCTGCGGTCGAAACCTTTATTGGAGATGGCTTCAAATTCCTCGCAGACCGCAAGGACGAATTCGACGTCATCATCACTGACAGCAGCGATCCCGAAGGTCCTGCAGAGACCCTCTTCCAGAAACCATATTTTGAGCTTCTTTATGGAGCATTGAGAGACGGTGGTGTCATAACTACCCAAGGTTGTGCGCACCCTTCTCCCTACACATTTCCTTGAGCTCCAAACGCTCTGTTCCCGCAGATCTGTGGAAAAGAAAACACGCTAACACAACCACTACTGTCTAGCTGAGAACCAATGGCTCCATCTGCCTCTAATCACCAAGCTCAAGAAAGAATGCAAAGAAGTCTTCCCCGTGGTCGAATACGCCTACACCACGATCCCGACCTATCCTTCTGGTCAGATTGGTTTCATGGTCTGCTGCAAAGACCCCAACCGAAACGTCAGAGAGCCATTGCGATCTTGGAGCCCCGAGGAGGAAGAGAAACTGTGCAAGTACTACAACAAAGAGATCCACCGAGCAAGCTTCGTCCTGCCCACTTTCGCCAGGAAGGTACTGAAGTAGTAAACGCACGCAATGAGGCTGTTTGTGAAAGGCTGTTGCGGTTTACAGGCATGATACCAGGATGACTTTTGCGTTTTATTCATGGTTTACTGGTGGCATTGAAGTCTGTCATACAAAGAGCAGGGGATGAAACCCGCACTCACGGCAACATAGAGAGAATGAGACTGATACGAGGCTTTACGACCCTTAATGATAGAAGAATCTGGTCGATCAGCGATTCATTGATTTGGGCTCGGAGAAAGAAGCCCAGCCAGTGGCAAAGCTGGATGGCGACGTTTCAACCATGACTTCACAGTGGAACCCTCGAGTGATGTCACAACCATTTCAACCACAGCCTTCTCGATGATCATTTCAAGATACTGAATATTTCTTCGATTGACATTTCCTGGGTCTCATGAGCATTTTTCTTCCTTTCTCCTTCCTCATATAACCCTATCTTCAAGCCTATCTCCCAATTTTTGATCACAGACTCTTTTTCAAAGACCAAAACCCCTAGCTACGGTTTGAAACACGAATCCAATCCAATCCAATCCAATCCCATACACGTCCCCCATCACTTGACACCAAAAGGCTCGCAAGAAACCATGTCTTTCACAGCAAATCCCCGTGCGCCCAAACCTGATTTCAACAACACCCCTCAAGAGCCAACCGGGCCCATCGCTTCGGACTCCCTGGCAGCAGAATCCATCAAGAACCGCGGTGCCTTCTCTGAAAACAGCCCGGCTGTCCCCATGGGCGTACGAGGCGACCAATCCACGCTCAACACGACGGATACATCCGGGGCAACAACGCTGCCCCCGGCCGCGACGGGCACCGAGCGGGAGAAGAGAGATGCTCTGGGCGCAGGAGCCGATGTGAAGGGCGCTGCAGGCCTAAAGTACCCCGACGCTGCAGGGAGGGCACAGTTTGACGGCGTCCACAGCGACCAGGGTACCTATGCTGGCGGAGGATCGAGTGCTTTCCAACAGGCTGGAAGCGGGACTGGATATGGGGGTTCGACCGGTCGACCGGCCGGGGAGAGTGACTTTGGCGCTTCAACCATGTCCTCGTCCGCCGGCGGTATCGACCAGTCCCAAATCCGTTCTGGCTCGGCGAACATCAAAGGCGGCGCTGGCGGCCCCCCCGCCGCGGGCACAGGTATGCGTCCCCACGTTGACGCCGCGCCCGGATACGCATCCACGGTGACGGGCGTCGCGATGCCGGAGAACACATTCAAGCCCAAAGGCGCAAACCTCGAGGACGCAGACGTCACGCACAGCATGCCCCAGACCAAGACGTTCACCGGCGCCATCGGCACCGTCAACGACCCCGGCCGACTCGCGGAGCGTGAGTTTCTGGGGAGGAACGAGGATCCCATGGGCGAAATGGGCCAGGCTGGCGTTGAAGGTGGCCGGGCCCGACAGAAGGGCCAGGAGAGCCAGGCAGGCGAGCAGGGGGGGCTGTATGGTGTCTTGCAGAGCGAGAGGGCCTAAGAAGGGCCGTCAGATCCGTGACATCATCTTCAGAGGAAGGGAAAGGGAGGCCAGATGGCGAGTTTTAGGTCGATGTGTGTGGTGATAGTTTCAAAAGGATGAAATGAATCTTGGAGTTGCGTTTTTGACGGAACAAGGAGAACTAGAAACGTATTGGTCGATAGCAGGAGCAGCCTTCTGCTGTCGCACACCAAATGCTACATAGCATAAAGCATGCCACATACCACATACCACATACCGGAAGTCGATATGACCCTTCTCGTCCACGACAAGATCTCGTCTATAGACCGAACCATGTTTGTTTGTGCGGCAGGCTTAGCACCTGAGTAAGAAGCATAAAATAAATCCTCAAGCGAGCTTTCGGGCGCGAATCCTTGGTGCTCCCTTCCTCCCTTCTTCGATTGTTCGTATACACATCAACTTTCCACAGTCGATCCCAGGGCGTGACATATTTTCATCGCTGACTGCCTCTGCCCCCGTTTCGGATAAATCAATCCGTCAGGGCCCTGTCTGCGGGCTGAATGGCCGCTGCACCTAGTTAGGTCCGCTTTGCTGGCTGTGGCGGTATCTATGCATGTATGCATGCTAGCCACCTAAGTCCGTTGTGGTCTTTGTGGGCCCGAAAACCAAACCTGCTGTGTCCAGCTCAGCTGTGGTCCGTGCTTTTGTCCTTCGTTTACGATCGTCATCCTCGCTCTACCGCTCCCTGCATGGATGGCTCAAGGTGGTTGTGCGGGAAATGCTTGGATGCGGATTGCTTGGATGCTTGGAACGCAGCATTGTCGTGCTGTGTAGATGACTCGTCTCGATTGATCGTGTTGGTGGATTCCTCAAGATCTCTCGAAGAGTGCTGGGTTTGTCGGATCCCGGTCATAGCGAGGAGCGCATTCATAAGGGCCTTATGTCGCACAGACAAAAGATGCTCGTTCTGGCAATATCGGTATTCGGTTCGTAAGATCGAATGTCAACCATTTATCCCGTGCTCGCACCTGCCTCAGTATTCATCTCGACGGTCAAGAAACCGTCCAGACCGCTCATGACATCCTTCGCAACGCCTTCGGTAAGCACAGCATTGACCACCTTCTTCAACAGACTCCTCTTGACACCACCGATCCTCGGCCGCCAAACACCGGGAACATCAACCCCTTCTTGCACCTCGCCGGATTGTAGCACGCCCTTCATTGTATCTCTCGCAGGCGTGTCGATCATCCGCGTCGCAAGCAACTGGAACTCTCCCTCTTTCGTCGTGCTCCCGACACTGGCGGCGATGACACCGTCCGCAACGGCAAGCTCTTCTCGACTGGGATCGAAAATGATGTTCTCGCCGACTACGACGACGAGAAACGTTACGGGAGGTTTTGCAGGAAAAGATTTGGTTCGGGGATACAGGTACGTGCTGGCCATCCAGTCGTCATCTGCAAGGGGGTCTTCTTCGCCTTCACTCTTGAGCTTTGGAATGCGGGTGTCGCGTAATGCCACATGTGTCGCCATGCTCAGGAGTGGAAGTGGGTAGCTTGCAAGTCCATTTGGCGAGGTAAGAAGCACATCGATGTATACGTGCCAGTGCCATCGGGAGTTGATGATCAAGCTGTCCTGCAGCGATGGAGCGTCCGAGGAAGAGGACACCACCAATGGCTCCCTTAGCATTTCCTCGAGGAAGACCAAGTTGGGATCGTCGTCTCGTAGACCAGGAAGCGTGAGTGTAAGAGTCACCCACTCCGGCTTCCCCTTGCCTCGTCTTCTTTGACCCGTGTTCCGACCTCGATCGTCTGCGTCAATGTCCATTGCTCCATCTTCAGTTCCCGACAACACGCTGTTCCCTGCAACAGTCCTCTCGACCTCGAGCTTGACGCCGACAATGGCTTCACGGCCGTCATTAAACCCGACATGCGCACTGCCATTCACGGCTGGAAGAACACCCGTCTCTGCTCTCAGCGGTCGAAAGTCGGTCGCCAGAGGGCGCGCATCCGGGCGCAGAGGAGGGATAGAAGATAACGAGGTATGGAGGTAGGCCAGCTCGGCCGGTGAAAAGGGAAGCGAGTTTGCAAGCGAAGGCATCGTATCGTACAATACAAGTCAGCGAGGGGACAGTCTGGCAGCGCTGGAGAGTGTCCAAGGACCTTTGAGATTGGTTCGAGTCCAGGTCGCTCATAAAGTCTAGAGTCTCATATCAATAGAAATAAGGAGCGACAAAGGCACCAGGCCTGAATAGAGCTGTGTTCCGCGAATTGGACAAGTTTCTGGAGGATTTGTGTCCAAAGCCGAAACTTCTGAAAAAAAGGTCCAGGTCCATTTCCCGGAGTTACCATTCCTGCACACCATGCTAACTCCGAGGGCCAGCCTTGCACTTGTCAGGCGAACAGGGCATGGAAACGGGAGATGAAGATCGATGTTCTACAATGCGAATGTGTTTCACACCCAAAAGGCTAATAATACCAGACCAACATATTCCCCGTCGTCTGAATCTGCTAAAATTTATTCATCCTTTCATGTCTCCAAGGCGTCAGCCGTCAAGCGCCATCCCTTCCGCATCACCTCTGACACCCACCAGCCTCGGCCGGCCAGCTTTCGCGCCATAGACCATTTCCATCAGTTTGCTCTTCTGCTTTTCCCTAACACCCTTGAGATAGTCATAGGTCCCCTCGAGCCCTCTGATCTGCTGATCAATGACACTGGCATTATCAACAGTGACGGAGTCATTCCTCCTGACCAAAGGACTGACCAATTTCCTCCGCAAAATTTCCAAATTCACTTTGAGAGTCTGCAGTCTTCCGTGATGCTCCATGAGTAGATGCTTATTGTTGACAGTCCTCGATCGTACGCTTGACAACAGCTGCTTGTTCTTCTCAAACTTTCTCAACATCGCTGCATTTGGACCGATGACTCTTGTCCACAAAGATGAAAGAAGGTCGTTCTCAAGTCTTTCCTGCGTGTCTGTTTCTCGGACCACCGTTCGTTGCAAGTTGAGGAACTGCCGATCAATCGATTCAAACAACGCAAACAGCGCGGCAGAGTGAGTCAGTTCGCTGTTGATCGACTCCTCAAGCACATTCACAAACTCGTGGAAGGTCCTCGTCAGCGTCGCTCTCGCTCTTTGCGGCGAACTTGCACCAAAAACATCGGTCAAGAATTTGCCCAATGCTGTGGGCCCTTTCGACGTCTCAAGAAATCCTCCTCGGTTGAAGACACCGTGTAGATGATCAAAGATCACGCCAGACATCGACGTTCCTTGGGCAGATGTAACGCCCTCCAGTTCTCGTTTCGCCCAGTCCATCACCAGCAAAATGCTGTCGACATCGGAATCAACATCCGCAAAAAATCGGGTCAACTCGAGGCCAAGAGTTTTCAAGCTCTCCGATAGCTCGTCCAGGGAATGCACAATCAACGGTGCTGAAGTCATGTTGGCGCTCCTGACCGACTCACCCAGGTCCCACACCGCCACGCTCGTTTCCTGCAATGCCGTAATTTGGGTATAGCCGTTCTCGGAATAGAATATCAAGGGCTCAAATGACTTTGCCAGAGTTGAAACCTTGACTAGGTCAGGGACAGGAGGTGGAACCGGAGGAACAAGAATGATGCGCAGAAGTGAAGCAACTAGGATGGTGGCTATGATCGACATGAAAGTGCTTGATCTCGTCTTAGTCATTGCGTCGAATTTTCGTTGTATGAAGTTGAGAAAAGGAACGAACGGCTCTCGATGTTGCACTTCTGCTCGGAGCTGTAGGCGAATGTCTAGAGCACAGTCAGTCACTTGGAGAGACTCCATTGGCAGTATCATTTACAATTGTTCGGACTCTCTGGAGGTACGGTCTCTCCTTGACCGAATGTCCCCAGATTTACTTCATATTGTGGCTCTGCTTCCGGAGAACGCTCCCTCACCGGCGAGTCCGTCCCTGCTGGTAAAGGCGTGTTCATTGCTATGGTAATATCCGGATCTCCTTCGATCGCATCTTGATAGACCTCTGGACTGGTCTGCCGTGACCGTGACGGACTTATCGAAGGGCGCAAATCGTATTTTCCGTAAGGATCCTGCCTGAACCATCCACTTGCGTTCGAATTCCGACTCTTAAAGCCTGGAGGTGACCAGGGCAAACCTGCGCTTGACTGGTCGTCGACTTCACTGTCTCCCTGCTCCGATCTGAAGCCAGACAGAAGGGGTGAGCGCCGCTCTTGTTCCTCGAAATCTTCGATCGACGCCTCTAGCAACGAATGCGCATCTCCATGCAATCTTTCCGCATAAAGTTCCTCCATCGGCGGTGAGGGCATCATGGCAGCCATAAGGAAAAGGAAAGGAAACGGAAATGGAACATCAGGCTGCGCAGAAGGTTGACGTGAGGCGGGGCAGGGCAGAAGGCCGACGATCAGGTCGCCTTCCACAGCAGTCCTGACCTTTGTACTCTGTACAAATAAGTGTCACTAGGCAACGATCGGGTGAATGCAACCACTCTTGAGCAAAGCTGGAGCGATTTGTTTCAATTCAGGAGACCAGGAGAAAGAGACGAGAAGTCACCATGTTTGAGAAGGCAAAAAGGGAAAGTCTCTGTCTGGGAAAGTCCAGCCTCTTCTCACAACGCGATCATGGAGATTCAGGGACGGAGGGGACGTGCTAGTCAGAGTCAGTTTGACCGGCACGACTGCAAGAACTCTCCAAAGGGCTGCGTTCAGGCAACTTTGCAACAAAGAGGACGGAATGGGAGAGAAATGATGGAGGCTGGGCTGGCTGGGACAACTGGGACAGCTGGCCGTCATGGAGTCGCGGATCTAGTACTTTGTAGCCTGCCAATCATGGCCCAGAAACACGGTCAAGACCAGGATTCCTGCTGCAAGGGCGCTTTGGGGCCGACTTGGGGCGACCTGCTCTGGCCGCATCCCTAGCCTCTGTCCATGCGGCAGCGCTGGTCCATCATTGGAGGTGTGGGACAGCTCAGAGGAAGACTACCGAGTTACTGTAACTGGCTTATCAGCTCGACACCCGCCAAATCTCAGAGCTCTCTGGGGGGGGGCGAGCGGATTGCGCATTTGGATCATCTGAAGGTTCCAGGAGGAATAGTTGAGCAGAGAGGAGTTGCTTGATTGTCGGTCCTCTACAGCTAGCTGTGCCTGTTTCGGGTGAGAAAATGCAGGTACGCCTCTTGAGGAACCAAGCAATAGGAGGATGTTTTTTTTTATGTACAAAGAGCTTCGTCTACCGGCTTCTCCGGCTTCTACCGTCCCATCCCACCCGGCTTATTGGTATGCAAAGTTCAACATTCAGATTAGGTAAATGTGCGCCTTCGCCGTTTCTTTGATGATACAAGCAGCCGATGATCCCGAACAGCGTCGAAATGAGCGCACCGTCAAGCAGTTGAGGCAACTAAGGTGTAGAGATCGCATTTACTTGCACTCCTCGCGCAGCCAGCTGGTAGAATGTTAGCACAGGCAGAGAGACAAAGCCCTGGAGGCCGTCAAAGGAAACCAACGTGATCAGGTCGTTCCTGTCCTTGCCCTTCTTGAGACCTCCGAACGCCATCTTTGTGCCGGGGATGTATTTCTTGGGGTTCTCGAGGTATTCGAACTAGAGCGGGTCAGCCACGACGAGAACTACGAGAGGTGACAGTGATAAACTCACCAGAGAGGCCTCGTCCCACGTAATGCCCTTTTGCTTGTTCGCATCTGTGTATGAGAAGCCCTCAACGGAGCCAGTTTTGCGGCCAAACAGGCCATGCAGATTGGGGCCAATCTTGTTGCCTTCCGACTCGACGCACGAGTGGCACTGTGCGCATCTTGTCTTGAAGAGATTGGCTCCCTTCTTAGCGTCACCTGCAGGGAGCGATTGTGAGCTTTTGTTCTGCGCCTCTTCTGGATCGACCTTGTTTGCGGCCACCTTCGCAAAAGCTTTCTGTCCTTGCTAGGCCCAGGTCGCCTCAAGCTCGTCGAGCTCGTGGGGGAGAGAAGCCAAGTATGACCAAGCCATTGAATCAAGAATCTCAAGTCTGGGACATTGCGGACTATGGGTGTAGTAGTCTGTCGCGCTGCAATCGTACGATCATGGTATGATTGTAAGGACAGAGGCATTCCAGCTCGAGGCCGAGCCTGAAAAGCAGCGGTGGGAGGTCATGCGACTTGCAGAGAGACTGAGATGTGATACAAGAGGGCGACTTGTGACCAGTTGACAGGTGAAAGCAATAGGTGAAGCTGCTGCGAAGCTGTGAAGGCCACGGGAGAAAAGGATGCACTCACCCTCCTTGAACCCTTCGTCGCCTTTGGCCATGTTGACGAAACTGACTAGACGGACGGAAAGAGAGTATTGATATGAGAGCGACTGAGGGAGATCTTGGGAATAAAATAGCTTGGATGGGGTGTTGTAGGAGCAAAAGGTCCAAGATGTTGAGGTAGATGGAAAAAAGTCGAGAGAGAAGCAAGAAAAGAAAAAGGTGACGCCGATGAATGACGGACAGGGATCGATCGCATCCACCCACTGAGCCCACTAACAAGTACAAGTACCCAGTACTGTACGAGTAGTTTCTTCCGGGCGGCCACCTGCGAATCACGTTGGCGCCTTTGTCATCGGCATTTCTCGGGGATTCATTCCTGCAGGGCATGTAACAACGTAACAATCCGGAACAACCTGCCCTCCCTCCAGGCTTGCTCCGTGCCTGCGCCAATTTCACCTTGGTCGGGTTTTCATCTTTCCAATCTCTCTATTGCCTCTGCCTTCTGTCAAAAAGTCAAGTGCTAGATATGGAGGACATCCAAAGAGGTCTTTGTGACGCCTGCCATCCGAAGCCTAACGAGAGCTCTCCCTACGTCACCAGCTCCATCCCAGCGAGCAGCTACTCAGTCACTTAGTGCACAAGAAAAGACGAATACTATGACGTCGGCGTACGGCCCGGGAGAACGGCTGAGCTGATCACGTTGCGGAAAGAGCTCGGGTAGCAGGCAAGCAGGTCTACCATCGCCACAATACTCGGTACTACAAGCACTGTTGTGCATCCTATTACCCGATCGAGGCCCGATCTCGTTCGTCTAACCGGTGTCCCTGTAATAATCATCATGACAGACCTCGCAGCTATTACCAAGTACACTGGAACAGGAGCTGGTACCGCCAGATTGGGTAATGCCGAGCATGCATTCCCTCATATCTGCATCGATGCCCAGAATTCGTCAATGAGCTCGTGCCTCTTCACCGCGAGATCAAAGTCGCCGTACGGTCCTCCTGCTGCAAACGCTTCATACAGCCGACCAATGTTCTGACCCTGCGTTGGCAAGTCTGTCCATTCTTGTCCGCCTTCGTCCACGATAATGTCCTCCACCACGCCTTTCTCCGCATTGGAGAAGCGCATACTGGTCGCCTTGGCCATCTGTGGTCCAGCACTAGCAAATTCGACGGCCAGTTCGCCCTTGGTGCCATATATTCTCCACGTCGACCCCGGGTTGCCGATGAATCGGTCTCCGGCTCTCAGGTGGAAACTGAACACGGCAGACGGGTGTCTATCCAGGCGGCCCTGAAGAAGAATCTGGTCCGGCGTGTCCTTGTCGTAGAGTTCTTCCGACAAAGACCCGTCATATCTCATGACATGCATCTTGGGTCTCAGGTTGACAGCCATGGGCGTGTAGCTGCCCGGTTTCAGCTCTCCCACGGCATACAGGATTGAGTCGAGGACATGGCCGCCATATATGGTCAACAGGTTCCCACCGACTTTGCGATCCATGAAATAGTGATATCTGTCACTCGCTGCGTTGTTCTGCCAAACGTGAATCGCACCTTGGTAATTGACGCTGTGGATTTCTCCAAGTGCCCCTGTGTCGATGAGTGCTTTTACCTTCCTGACGCTAGGTGACATGCGACCTTGAAGGCCAATAATGGTCTTGACGTTCTTCTCTCGGGCGAGAGTGGCCATCTCCTTTGCCTCCTCCGTCGTTGCGGCGAGAGGCCATTCCACAAACACATTGCGTCCTGCTTTCAGAGCCGGCATGGCGACATTGTAATGTGTGTCGGCTCGCGTGGAGACGACGTACAAGTCCACATCAGGGTCGGCGGCGATCTGCTCGTAAGAGTCGTAGGCCTTTGTGGATTCGGGGAGATTGTGCGCCTTGATGGCGGCCTTTGTGGATTCCAAGGTCGAGTTGCACAACGCCACAATCTTGTAGTTTGGAGAGTTGGCCAGTCGAGGCAGATGTGCCAAAGTTGCCCATGCGCCGGGTTTGCTTGATAGCCCCACGATTCCTACTCGGATGGGAGCCATTATTAATATTCTATTCGATGCTGACTCTGTGGTGAGTGAACGGGCGGCGATTGCGACCTGAGGAAGTGGCAGTTCTACAAAACCCAGATGAAACGGACTGCAATGATGAGACCCAATGCGAGTTCTGCCTGGCAATCGAAAGCACCCAATTCTCTATACGTGGACAGGAGGGAAAGAGAGACGATAATAATTAGATTAATGAGAGTGATACAAAGTCATGGACCCTGTGGCACGAATTGATTGGCTTCATTACAAATCGCGCCCTACCTGTCTAACGGCGGGCTTTAACTTTACCATCGTTGCTTTTCCATATCTCGCTCGCTAGATAATAGTAACAGCGACCTGGCCATCCATCTTCACGTCGTGACTAGCCGGCTCGCTGTTTTTGCTCACCTTGCTCACCCTCAGCCCACCTCCTGCTTCCTGAGCGCTCAGGGAGCACCTCTGGAGTCCCTACCTACAGAAGGTTGGCTTCTAATAGTTGATTGAGAGTCACGAAATAGAACGGGGTTGCCGCAGGCAGACGAGTTGTCGGCAACATCACCTTCTTTGGATTACGGTTTAGGGGCATTGAAAATGAGTTGTCCAACTGGGTAACGTCTCCCCGGATATTCTCCCCCAAGGATCATTCGAAACTTCGACATCTTATTATATAGCGCTTGCAGGCATGAACATAGCACATCTAAAAGCTCAACGTATCAATGGGATGCAAGAGACGGAATTTTGGGGGAAATATATTACGAGATGTCTCTTTCACAGACTGGCGAGAGACGGCCAGCTTGCTAAATACGGCAAATCGAGGGCCATTTCCCCTGGTCAACAATGATTTCAGGTCTGCAAACGTTTTGTCGAACGCCCAATTTCTAGGTCATCGGAACAGTAGACGGGGAACTCACATACGCTGGGCCCCGCGGATTTGCTTACAGTGCACCAGTCTGGCTTCTGCTTGAGCTTCCTGAGTACTGGCCGGAGGGACTGGAACGATTGGACGCGCGTCTACCATCAATGCCTTCCGATATTTTTGGCAACTGTCCGTGAGAGAGAGAGAGAGAGAGAGACTGCTGCCACGCAACGTGGGATATTGAATGAAGACCAGTGCCTCTCTACCGCAGTCGCAAGACGCAAGGCAGCCCTTTGGAAAGGGGCCCCGCGGCTGGCTCGGGCTGGAGTTGGCCATGACGGGGCTCGGAATCGTTCTCGTCCTGCTGTGTAGGGAGTTTGACTTTGAGATTGTCTATGCTGAAGACGCGCTGCGGGCGGGGCCCCGAGCACGGCGTCCAGGGCGACAGGCGATATCAGATCATCGAGTTCGCAGCGAAGCCCGTGGGGCATATGCCGATGCGGGTACGGCAAAGAAAGATACAGTGCTTGTAGGCAGGGGCGGAGCGGAAGGGGACTGGGTACACGGGAAATCGACTAGATGAAAGTAGGTGAATGGTTCCACGGACATCTAGGACACGCACGGTCAACATACATACACGCTGGGACCGGCAAACACCCGAGTCCGACGCGAGAGCCATCTAAAAGGGGATTGAGAAAGGCTTGCAAAGACACTGCATTACATGACACTGCATTGCATTTACTGCCTTGTGTCTATCTACCCACGAGTGAAAAGTGTCTAAGATTAAAACAAATCAAGATTCTCCCATGGTGCCTCTACTCATAGATAAGGCCTCGTCTACGTGACCGGTTCTCGTAACCTGAAACTTTTTTGATCGTTCGTTCTGTTATCATCTGGAATCCTCGGGGTCCAAATTCCCCCATTTCACTCGCGTCACACATCTACATCTCTGGCTCTCGTTGAACCCGTTCATCATGATGGGATGGTGGGGTTGCCTGTCTCTTCTTTTTCCATGGTCGTCGGGCGAAGTCGTGTATGCTCACAGCTGAGCCTTTGGCTCGCGTATAGCCGCTACTAGTCAATGAGCCCCGTTCTGCTGCGTCGCCTTTTCGTCGATCTCGCAGAACGCTCTGAACGTGACCATCTCGTCGGCCGCGCTTTCAATGACCAACTCGGCGGTCGCGCCCACAAAGTACACCCAACCTTCCTTGAAATCCTCCGTCTTGGGGCCGACGCTGATCTTGCCCTCGCCGCTCGTACAAATGATGATGCTCGGGCCCGCGATGCCCTCAAAGGTAGCCTTTGCGCCGGGCTTCTTGAGCGCGGTGCGCACGACGCTGAATTCCTCAATTGGAGGATCGTAAAGCAAGGAGTCACTACCGGAGCTGTAAGCTCTGTCGTTGAGCGTGACGTAAGGGTAATCAACGGGCTGGAGGAGTTGTTGCTCAGGTGGATTGTGGTCGTAGGTCAAGATGTCGGTCAAGGTGTCGACGTCTTGGAATTTGGGAGTGAAGCCGGCGCGGATCACATTGTCGCTGCTCGCCATGCATTCGATGATGTCGCCGGAGATGTAAGCATGGATGTCGTCTGCCTTCAAGTACATGGCTTGTCCCGGGTTGAGTTTGACGTAGTTGAGGAAGAATAGCACGAAGAGGCCGATGTCTTCTGGGAACTGGCTGTTGCACCGCTGCACGAGTTCGCAGAGCTCTTCGGAGGTGTTGACACTGGGACCGGGAGAAATGGAGCCCTTTTTAGCGAGATCCAGGAGGTCGTGAGATTTTGCGGCAACATCTACCTTGGAGGACTTCATCAGCGAGCTGAAAGCTGCCTTGAGGCGCAATTTGGCATCGGCTAGGGATGGCGAGGGAGAATTCGCGATTTCTTCAAGAGCTTTGGCCTCGCTCTCGCCGACCAGTTCGCGCAGGGGTGGAATGGTTGCGAGGAAGTGGGCAATTTCTTTAAGGGGCCGGAATCCACAAAGGCCTTCAAATGGGGTGATGGCGAGTGTCATCTCGGGTTTGTGGTTGTCGTCTGGATAGTTCTTTGGATCTTTGGCGTGAAGCTTCTCGGCAAGCTTCTTGTTAGGATGGGCTTGAATGGACAATGCCTTGTTGATGGACAAGACTTTGAAGAGAAACGGAAGCTTCTTGTTGTATTTCTCGGTGATGTCGCTGCCCATCAATGCTTGGTTATCGGAGACAAGATCGAGCAGAGATCTCCCGGTGACGAGGTCTTTGGACGGTAGAGAAGGGTGTGTGCCCATCCATAGTTCGGCATATGGCTTGTCTTCTTGGATGGTGAAGTTGTCCGAGGGAGTTGCCGCAGCATATTTGGCGGCAGCCGAGTCCTTTCCTTTTTTGCCCCAGTCATAGCTATTGCAGCCTTGAGGAGGTCAATTTCATGGTGGCGAGACACAGGGTGACTTGTTGATACATACCGCATTGGAGACGAATTAAGGGGACCTGCATGATGGCTAATCCAACTGCAACGCCAGGGGTGTTTTTTTCTTCTTCTCCTTTTTTATTGTTGGCACTTGATGATCTTCTCTGAAAGGGTCTGAGATAGGAGGAAGGGTTAGTATGACTTGGAGACTCTACGTCTCGAGGGGAGAATATTTGTTGGAAGCAATATGGCGGTGAAAGAAGGCAAAAGTGGCTTGAGATCAGATCCACTGGATATTGAAGGAACGTGCTGAACGTGGTTGGTTGGTCTGATCGAGTTGGCCAGACTCGTGCAAGACTCGTGACAGTTGAGAAAGAAAGACCAAGTAGAACGTCAAATACTTCGCCGTACTCGCTGCGCTTTGGGCGTACATATGCGTGTCCGTATTGGCCACCCTCGCCTTCCCTGCGAACCAAGGATTCCTTCCGTCTCTCCACCAATCACGCGTCCAACCTCGTCTTCCATGTTCTTAACCACTGCAGTCTACGTGGTATATCTTGAAAAAATCGCACATTTAAACCCTCTGTTCATCTCTCGTTGTCCATATAGTCTACGAGTCCATTTGGTGTTTTCTATTTGATAAGTAGCTTTCATTGTCCAGTCACAAATACATCTCATCGTTTGCGCCTGCCGCTTGGTCTGCTCTTCAAGGAGCACGACGCCTCGTCATCCTTTTCAGCCCCTGCGATACTGTGGGCTCTCGTGAAGAGACGAGAGACATTCTCCTTCCCAGGCCATCACAGATATTTCTTGGTGACTATCACCACGATCTGGTGCAAACAACGTGTTTGATTCCGAGATGTCATCCCGCCCTCGAGGGGGTCGCGGAACGAGTGGCCGAGATGGGAAAGACACGGAACTTGAGAATGATATCCTCACTAGAGTCCTTGAGAGCCTGCGTAAGGCCAAGGACTACAATGACAAGTGCAAAAAGATCGGCCAAGATATCATGGCTCTGGAAGAAGAGATCAAAGGATCCGGAAGTAGGTTCACCTTTGGTCCTACTGTTACATGTTTCTCCCCTGTCTCTTCGTGGATCCAGGCCTAGCATCAGTGATTTCAGGGGGGGAAAAATGATCTATGAGTCCGTGTACAGACCTTGAGCGAGTGTCCAGAGTCCGCCGTCAAAGATTCTAGCTGTTGAGGTTTTGACTGACCGTCATGATATAGCCGGTACTCCTGAACAATATCGACGGCTTGACGCTCTTTACCGAGAAAATGTCCGATATGCGGACTTGGAGAAGAAGGTCCACGATGACGACGACATCATCAACAATCTTGCCATCCTAGCGACCATGAGATCCGGCGACGAACCCGCACCCCGGAACGGCCAACCCAAATCACGGAAGCAGCAGCGGCCTCCTGTTGATTCAGAAGCTGTTGACTCTCCCGGGCCCAGTCCGGGAGACGGTCGTCTAGAAATGATGAAACGGGTTAAGGGCACGTCTCAACGAAGTTCAAGCACAGCAAGCCAAAGCCGAGCTGCCTCAAATGCCAGGGACGACGGAGGTGAGACGCACAAGGGGCTCCAAGCGGAAAGGGCAGGCCAGTTTGTAGCTGGAGCAGAAGTCTTCTACAAATTTCCAAAGGACCAACAAGAGCAAGAAGAAGGCGTCGGTATTCATGGCATTATCAAGAAAGTGTGGCAGGACAAGAAGCCGTGAGTGGAAGCGTCACCTTTCAACAACAAGCCACTGATTTGATCCACAGGATACAATACGACGTAAGAGACCCAGAGGATGATCCCACCGGAAAGCAGACAGTGCGCAAGGCCACATTCAGAGACCTGGCACTCATCCCGCAGACAGCCCCTAGTACTCAACAGTTCTCGGTGGGAACGACGGTGTACGCCAAATATCCCGATACCGATACCTTCTACCGAGCTAAAGTCAAGAGCTTCCAGAAACCCAACTACAGCTTGAAATTCGACGAGGATGTACAGGAGATGCTCGTCGATGCACGGTTCGTCCTACCTTCCGGGTTGAAGTAGGGCTATCATTATGAAAAAGTTACGCGCGAGAACACATTTAGTGTGGAAGACGACGTGATCGATGATGACCCGGATGGGAATTTGGGGAGGACACGTGGTGAACGGAAGAAGATTTCGCTACTGATGAGCGGCAGCGGGAGCGGCAATTGACCCATGGATCAGAGTTGGCCTTTGCTGGCCAGGTAGGCAGCACCACTGTCTGCCTTGTCGTTAGTATCCGTAACTGTGTCGCGGGGACAGAATGTAGGAACACTTGACGGAGCACTGCAACGCTTTGGAGGAGGTGGACTTACCGGCCCAGACCTCGTAGACCTTGACTTTGCCTTCCTCGTCAAACTCGAGGACGTAGGTGAAGACTTCGTCCCACGACTGGCCGGTCTTGGTCCAGATGAACTTTGCTTCTCCACGCACAGACACCTTGGAGACCTGTGCATCGACAACGAAGTTACTGAAGCGCATATCTTCGTATTTCAGGGTAGAGGACAGGAGCCCAAAGTACTCTTCCAGGCCTTTGTGCCCGCGAAACTCGCGGCCCAAGAAGGGTGCCAGCTGGGGCAGGCCATGCTCCAGAGCAAGGACATCCTCTGCGCTCGCGAAGTGGCTGAAAATCTTGTCTGGAGCCTCTTTGTTGGCCAATGAGTTGCAAAACGCCTGGGCGGCCGCCAGGAGGGCGTCTCGATCTAGGGAGGGCATCTTTCTCGACCGATATACATTAGAGAGAGAAAGAGACAATGGAGAAAAAGGTGCTTACCCAATCCCATCTGCCGACTGACCAAGCAGACGGACGGCGACGGCTAATTGAGAAGAAGAAAGTGCGGAGGAGAGGCCGAGGCTTGAGGTTTGAGGTTTGAGGTTTGAGGCTTGGATTTCGTCAGCGTAGCGGTTCTTCTCCTTCTCTCCACTTCTATTACCTCGTACTCCATACATGACTTTGAGGTGCCGCCGGCATCCTCCTCTTTTCCCGACAGCCAGCATAAACTCAACTCCGATGGTCCTTTTCTCCGCCTGCTTGTATAGACTCGCCATGCTTCTCTCTTGAACATAGACAAAGACTGCTCTGCATATACATCCAACAGTCTTGCCAACCATGGCTCGCCCCACCGACGACCTTCCCTCACATGCTTCACCCGTCATATCGCCCGTCCCTCGGCCTTCATCCGCGTACTTGGGTGGCTGGTCCGATCTCGACGACAATGCTTCCCCTACGCCTGGGCTACCAAACAACTTGATATCCCCTGCATTCACTCCGCCTGCTACTCCAGGAGCCGGAACCCCTTCCCGCCATCTCCAGTCCGAGCCCAAGTCCATTCCCGTCGACACATCCGTCGACGACCCCTCAACAAAGCAACCCCGCTTGCTCGAGAGACTACCGCACGTAGAATGCCTGGTCCGGGCACGGATACCCACGACCTCGGGGGCCGAGATGTTTCTGCATTTATATCAGAATGATTCAGACAACAAGGAACACTTGGCGATTGTCTTCGGCAATAATATACGCAGTCGGAGTCTGGATGCCGAGATGCCCGGGGAAACGGAGATGGATCGCATGATTCGTGGCGCTTATGTCGGAAGATTGAGACCAGGCCGAACGAGTTCGAGAATCGATGCTCCTGAGCAGAGTAAGAGGCCACTCAACAAGCGGCACAGGAGTGGCTCGGCGTTGAAGAACGTGACGACGGTGCCAGAGGACGGTGTTGCCGAGACTGCACCATCAGAGGGCGCTGTTAAGGCCACGGGCACTTCTCAAGATGTTCAAAACTTGGAGTCGCCCCATCATCCCATCGCTAGCCTGGGTGGTGTCCTCGAGAACATACAACTGATCACCCATTCACTCGGTAAACCACCTCTCGTCCGAATCCACTCAGAATGCTATACAGGCGAAACAGCCTGGTCCGCTCGCTGCGACTGTGGCGAACAGCTCGACGAGGCCGCCCGATTAATGTCCCTGCCAGGCTCTACCGGCGGTGTCATAGTTTATCTCCGCCAAGAGGGACGAGGAATTGGTCTCGCGTCGAAACTCAAGGCGTACAATCTGCAGGATTTGGGGAATGACACAGTTGAAGCAAATTTATTGCTCAGACATCCGGCCGATGCCAGAACTTACGGACTTGCTACTGCAATTCTGCAAGATCTCGGACTTGGCACCGACAGTGATGCGCAAAAACCCGAGGCAGAGAGAGGCATCAGGCTTCTCACCAACAACCCGGATAAAGTGCGAGCTGTTGAAGGGCCCAGTAAGGAGGTAAGAGTCAAGGAAAGGGTACCCATGATCCCTCTTGCATGGAGGACGGCTGGCGCAAAGGGTGTCAGAGGCGCGGAGATTGAGAAATATCTCGAGACCAAGATTGGGAGAATGGGACATATGATTCACGAAGAGTACTAGGAAAAACGGGCGGTACAAGAATTGCGAACCGAGAACAAGGTCGGAAATTCTTGTGCAGACAAAGTCGAATGGAAACCATCGCCGGGAACTTTGGAGCCTCTGCGGGTCACTCAGCCACCGACTTTGACCCACGGCAATGCGTGAGAGCGAGAAGTGTCTCAAGGGAAACCATTCCTGGAAACATGTTATTCAGGCTCTGGGCTTCGATGTTGACCTGGGGAAGAAGGCAAGGCAGAAACCAAGCACGAACTGGGCCAAGATCCTCCAGGGCTGAGAGAAAACTTCGTCCAAAACGATTCCGACGACTCACTCCTATATAGAGCTGGCAGGAATCGCGACACGCTCAGGCCAGATCTGAGAGCATGGTTGTCCTTGGCTTGGCTTTCTGGGCTCCTCCCTCGAAAGCAACCCACCAAAGTCAGCCCCCAGCAGAGGATCAGAAAAGACCGGAGATATGACGATGATTTTGCAATACCATCAGATCCAGGAGATCCAACACAGCCGCCGCCGCCGCCGCCGCAGCCTCCATTCCTATGATGAGGATGAGGAGTGATGGATCGCGGCGCCTGAACGGAGTTGGAGTTATTCTCCGGATGCTCCATACCATATCCCAACCTGAACCGTACAGGGAAGTCTCATGGCGATCTGGATCGATGATGTACATATTGACCGACTTGCATCCTCGTACAAAGAGCATACAGCTAAGAAGGAAGACGGGCGGACATGTACCTACCGACACATCCGCAAACCTACATACATACACTCCGAGCTAGTATATATACATCCATCTACGAATATACATCCATCTATAGCTAAGATAGACGGAGCAGATGTAGTAAAGCAGTATACCAAGATAGTGTACATGCATTCAATCCGCGGATTTTTCAGCGCCGGGAATGACATGCCATTACATAGAACGGCAGTGGGAGTGGGAGAGGCACAAGGCCATCTCCATATCTATGCATACTCCGGGCTTGTATTGACATCCGTACCTCCATATCCTCTCGTGGAGTCTGGGGTCATGGGCCGGGGTTTTCAGTCCACCTCCACCAGCCCCAGCCCTATCCATCTGGCTGGCGGGCGCTAGTCTTGTGATATCCATTCAGGCACGATCAGAGTCAGGCCCATAGTTCTGCTCTTGCCGTTGCCCTTGCGAATATAACGAGCAGCAAAGCCGCATTATGCCAATAACTCTGATCTGCTATACATACAAGTGGAAGGAGAGAAAAGCCTCCAGGGGTTACCCCCCGTACCCCGTACTCTACAGTCGATGAGATCACCAGATGCCCAGCCACAACTTCCTCTTTCGCTTCTGCTGCTGCTGCTGCTGCTGCTGCTGTTGGGGTTCGTGGTCCTGCGACTCCTGGCCTCGCAGCTGTTGCTGTTGCTGTTGCTGAAGAGCATCCTCGAGAGTCAGGCCTCCGGCTTGGGCTTCGGCCTCGGCGCGCACGACGGCGTCCACTCCCTTCTCCTTGACCAGCTTCATCCGCTCGCCTTGCTCCGTCTCCATCTTCCGCGCGAACTCGTCCACGTCCTCCAGCCCGCCATTCCCGGGCACGCCCCCGAGCGCAACCACGTCGCGGCCCGTGAGAACCATCTCCCTGCCTCCCTTTTCCCTCTCCTTGGCCGTCAAGCCGTCGTCCCACGGCACCAGACCCCGCACGTCGATGCCCTGATCCTCTTCCGCGTTGAGATCCTCCAGGCCGTGGGCGCGGCGGTAGAGCCTGCGTTTCTGGGCGTCGAGGATCTTCTGCTGCCGCGATTCGTTCGTCTTGGCCGTCTCGTAGTCGACGTGGAGTCGGAGCACGGATAGGGTTTCCCGGATGTAGTTTATGGGGTGGAGCGGAAACGAGGATACGGGAGGCACCAGATGCGCGTAGGGCGACGTGCGCATGAATGACTGGGTGAAGGTGATGCAGGCGAGAATCGTGAGCGTGCCCTATCGGTGACGAAAAGCATATAAGTAAGTTGACAGCCTCCCATCTAATTGTATCTGGAGACTTCTCGACCTTTGGTTTTGTCGTTCGTTGAACATCCAGCCAGAGAACAGCAAGAGAAACAGTTCGAACTCACCATCGTGATCCAAAGATGAATCCACCGATCCGTCAAGAACCAATGCATAAAAGAGCCCTTGTTGGGGAACATGTGCGGGTAGGACTTGGTCTTCTGCCTCTCCTTCTCCTCCGACGTCGTTCCCTGGTTATACGCCGCGGGCGGGCGCCGGGGACGGTTTAATCGCGCGGGATGTGAGGGCGGGCGAAATTTGTCTGGCTGCTCGAGGACGATGGGTTTGCCGCCGCCTTCCGTCGAGGCTGCACGGCGCACGATGAGAGGTGGCTGGAGTCGAGCACGGTGATACTGGTTGCGCAGGGTGTTGCGGAGGCATTGACGGCACATTGAGAGAGAAGACATTGTGTGGTTGGCGTTCATCAGACTCTTGGAGGGATTCACCCTTTGCAGATTGTTCATCGTAACAAGACACTGAAAAGCAAAACTCAGATCATGGGAAAAAGGGCAGTTGTTGTCAAGTACCCAGCAGCTAAGCTTAAGTGAATATGGAGGTCTCCAAACGGGGCTTGGCAGAAAGAGATAAATAGCTTTGCAGGACAAATACGGAGGAGTACATATAAGCCAAAGTCAATCCCCCGAATACCGGGCACAAGACAGCTCGCCAGCAATACCTCTTAACTCTCTCTAACCATGTTGTGCAAAAGGTGGGAACACAGCAATTCACATATCCATTCCATTGATACTCTGGAGGTCATATGTCTCGGGAACCCAGGAATCAGCACCTCTTCCTATGCCAACCACTAAGTCCAACCGTCCCGCAATTCTCTAAACCTTTAATCCCAATATCGCTCCCTCTCATCTTGTCCATACATATGATGGCAGTAGTACCTATGTAGCTGTACAGTTCTCTCTTTGGAGCACAGTTAACAAATGAAAATTCTGTCGCTGTCTCAACCGACAATGCCAAAATATCACTGGCAAAACCCAAAAAATGCAGCCCATACAAAAAGAAAGACTTCTCTTCCTGGCTAACTCTGATGACACCTTCAAAAAGGAACGCAACCCAATGCCACGGCGACACTGGCACAGTCAAGCCGGCCAGTTCGCCAACTGCAAAGAATCGAAAAAGACCATTATATATGGACATTCTTCTTGAAACACTCCCAGACCGTAGTGGCCAGTTCTTCGTGCATCGGAATTCCAAAAAAAAAGCCTTCAATATTACCGCGCGTGAATCTGCCTGCGTACGATGCACACACTTTCTCTTTTCGTACAGGATATCAAGTAACAGTATATCGTTGTAAGGTATTCAGAACAGAAACTTTTCTTATCTGAACGAGCGTGGTAGGTCTGCAAAGAAACCATCATCATCATTTATCGGAACATCTGTCCGGCTGCGAAAATGCTGTTGGCAGCCGCAGATGCCCATTCATTCTCCTCATATGGCGGCGTAGGCCAGTGAGAAGGCGCATGTTCATACTCGGTTCGTTTCTTGGTGATATTTAATGGCTCAGCTTGAGGTCCAGCATCGGAACTAAACTGAACTCCATTCCTCTTGGCGGACGGGGAAGGCGTAAGGTAGGCGCCGTGCAGCGCTGGGTTGCTCGGTAACTGCGGTAAGGACTGTCGGTTATAATCCTTCTGTGCCAGCGCAGTTCGCTGCGATTGGTCTTTCGGATAGTTGGTTTGGTCGAGGCGCCGCACCGCCCGATGCGCGGACCGAAGAGCTTCATCCAACAACTCGTCAGCTTCTTCAGGAGTCTCGTACTGGTTGATTTGTATAGGCCGACGTGTCCGATTGTTTGTGGGAGCAGGAGTCTGTGTGAGATTCTCGCTTGATCTGCTGCCCTGTGATCTTGGGACTGAGTGTGTCCGTTTCAATGTTCCAGAATTGGATATGACCTCGGTGGATGATTTTCTCTGTACAGAGTCTGGTTCGGCACGATCAAGGCTGTAACGGACATTCTGTAGTATTTTGTCAAGATCTGAGAAGTCATTATTCCCTTCGGGGATGACGCTGTCGACCATGAGCGAAGATCTGTTCGACCACGGCACATTGGCGGCATTGGCCTCGACATCATCGCCGTTAGGGGAAGCCAATCCGTGTCTGCCAGAAAATCGTCTTGCACGTTTCCGCAGGTGTGAGAAGAAGCTCTCTTTATGTCCACTCGGTGGGGACACGAGTCCACTGTTTGCATTCAAAGCTCGTTCGGCTTCCTGACGATGGATTTCGGCATAATGATTGCCGTTTGAATTGACTGATAGCTGCCGACCGATTTTCTTCGACTTCTCCTCGACTGGTTTAGAGTTGGGCTTCGACTCTGGCTGCGATGTAAATGCGGTACTTGCTTGGGCCGTAACAGCGTTAGGTAGAGGAGAGATAGGACGGATTGAGGGCAGGATGGGCATTGGTGCAGCACCAGTCGAACTCGTCCCATTGGTCCACGTCGCACGTTTACTCGCTTGAGGTCGAAGTCTGCTGACCAAACCCTCAGATTCTTGCTGTGCAACCTTGGGTTCTGAGTTGTGCTGGGGCACGACGGGTGCGCTCTCTCGAGCAATAAGCGACCTTCGGAACCAGGAAGATTTTGATGTGACAGTCGGTGTTTCGGCCGCGTCCTTTGACCTGAAACTCAAGTCCGAGTGTTTCCGGCCCAACAGGCGTGACGAGGACTTGGGTCGAAGAGGATCAACGGCGTCAACAAAGAACTCGTGCTCCATGGCTTGCTTGGATGTTGGGCGATTTTTTGGATCCCACATCAGACACCAGGTCACGAAGTTGCTAAACGCCAATGGCCATTGAGGAGGCTGTAGGATGGTTTCCATAGCATGGGGTGCCATCTGTGAAGAGTTAGCAAAATTACCACGCTTCAGTGTTGGGGGTCGAATCACCTTTGGGAAAGAGAAGCACAGCTTCTGGGCCAATTTCGTTCCCTCTCTCCATTCACCGCCCCCGACCCGGGTACCGGTCTTGGTATACCAGTTCCCTGGGCTACCCATGACTTCACAAATCCGCCAAACCTGGTCTACCTCGTTGCCTCCTGGAAATAAGGGCTTGAGCGTAGCCACTTCAACCGCCATCGCCCCGATGGCCCAGATATCCACGGGAGCTGAGTACTCGCCAGCTCGCAGTAACACTTCCGGCGCTCGATACCATCGAGTTGAGACGTATGTAGTGTAGGGCAACTTGGAGTGGGTCTCTCGAGCCAAGCCAAAATCGGCAATTTTGATGGAATAAGTTGGCGGTGTAGCAGGCGGAGTGACCAAAGATGAATATCTGCTGAAAGCTGACTGTGAATCGTGAGGTGCTGAAGTGGAGACAAGGATATTCTCTGGTTTGATGTCTCGGTGAAAGAAATTGTGAGCGTGGATGTGGTCAAGACCCGAAAGAATCTGGTATAGAATACTCTTGACGCTTTTGGCGTCCATGCATTTGTGTTCCCGGGATTTCATCAACTGATATAGGTTGCCGTCCATGTACTCCATGCAGATATGGAGCTTCTTGCTGAAAGGATCCAAGAAGATGTCCAACGCGGGCACCAAGTGAGCATGGGACGGCAGCGTCCGTAAAAATATGACCTCGCGGAGTTCTAGACATGGTGCGAAGGAGTCGAAGGTCTTCTTCATGGTTTTGATAGCAACCTAGAGGAAGTCAGTCGGAGGGGCTATTCACGCAAGACCATCTTGGAGGTAATAATACCATCGAATTCCGGCGAGCCACACTGGCACCGCTCGCTCTTACTCTTGCCAAAGCAACGCTACCAAAACTTCCATCTCCAATCTCCTTGATCACTTCGAACCTATCTTCTAGCGCAGCCAAGGCATATGAATTAGGCCTTTGGCCATACTCCGTGACAGCCATAGTTGTCGACTGGGTTTGTCGGGACAGCGCGGGCTCTTCCTCGGTCGCTTTCTCCTTTGTCGTCGTTGGATTTGCGGGACAAGTATATCTTATTCAGGCTCCCCTGCGCCCATGGATAGGTTCTCCGAGACCTTTAACACGTCATTTCTCGGTCGTTTCGTCTGTTCCGTACATGTGTTTCAGAAGCATAGAATTGAAGAGGGGGCGGAAGGTGTCGTTTGGCTTGGTCGTGCAGTCGCTCGATGCTCGTCAAGTTGCACTCACGCCCGCTCGGTGCTGAGCAGGAGGGTAAATGATGATCGAGCTCGAGCTTCAAGAAGATGATGCTCAGGATCAAAGGGCCCAGGACCTAATTCGAAATCGCTCGAGGGAACTAAGGAGCTAGCTAGAGAATGGTCGATTGGCGGATGCGACCCGCAAGGGGCGTTGGGAAAGTGGATAGACAGGTCTTCCCCTTTCTTAATTGACACGGAGGGGGGTGGGTGGTCACAGCCCAGTATCAAAGGAGGGCCAGTCGAGGTGACAGATTGTAATTCGGTCGTGTTTTCGTGTTGTCGATGTGCTCAGACAATTAGCTGGTGAGGCGGGAGGCGCGTCTTGCGTGTCGGAACGGCAAAGGGGGCTGGGAGGAAGGGAGAGGCACGGAGGTCGATGGCGTTGATGCCCGTCCGCCCAGCGAGCTCCCACCACGGTTTATGTGACCAACTGGGATGGAAAATTGCGCTGACAGAGCCCAAATTTTCCGTGTTTTTCTGACATTGGAGCAGGGCAAAGGCAGACGAGAGTTGTGTGATTACAAGTATTCTTGTGTGAGATGGACTGGAGGGAGTGATTGTTTTCCTACGAAAAGGGAGGGACAAAATAGTGACAGCGGGTGACAAGCGAAACGAGATGGTACTGGCACCACTGGCGCGGTGTCAGCACGAATGCGATGCGAGGCTTCAAGGTTTGGAGAGTGAGGCCCATCCGGCATTCTGGCATCTGGGGGGGTGGCGGCCCTAGGGAGGTAGCTTAAAACAGGTCAAGCCTAGTGCCTACCTACGGTAGGTAAGTAGGGAGCCCTTGGTGCTAGCACCGCCTAGGCCAGTAGGCCAGGAGCCACAGGGGATAGCTTGACGGAGTCCCTGGATGGCTGGTGACTATCCCAGGGTTTGTGCCTGAAAAAACCGTCGCTAGCTGCTCGGAGGGGCCTGATGCCTCCCAACTCCGACCTGTGGCGGACTCCCTGTCCCCTCTTCTCAGCCTCCGGGATCCGTTCCTGGGCGCCAGCGTCCAAACGACCTGACACCCGACACCCAGAGGCCAACTGAAGGCCACGACGGGGCGCGGATACCGGATCTCATTGTCCATTCAGCATTCGTCTTTTTTTCCATTCCTCTCCGGCGAGCTAGTCGGTTTGCAAGGGTGCGCCCGTAATAAATAAAATACTTAAATCCCTCCTGAAAATCGTCCAGCAGAGAAGGCATTAACCTTCTCATCAACAGTGACAGTGTGAGTAGTCTGGACGGCGTAGGTTCCCACGTGTGCAGTGTCTGTACGAGGTACTGTAAAGTACCGGACATTTTCTTGCGCTTCGCTTTCTCCCAAAGCCCACTTTCATACACACCGCTCTTCAATTACTTCTACGGTGAGAGATGATGGGAAGCAAAGCCCCCCCGTAAGTGTACCGCATCGAAGTGGCGAGTGGTGAGTTCCTCACTGCTCCTTATTGTACCTACCTATGGGATTATTATCGTCAGCTTGGAAGCAGCCGGGAAAAGAATAAATTCCCGCCTGGTGTTTGAAGGCGGAGAGGAGACAAGCATTGGTGTCTCATCCCGTCCAAAACGTCCTAAGTGTTTCGCTTGGTTGTCAGGGTATGTATTGGCTGGCACCTTTACCCACTGCGACATCCCGAAATCGAGTCGCTTCAATTCTGACTCTCATTGCGGCTTGTTTGCAGTTGATGTTTCTGATGGAGGTCTACATGTTCGTCGCTGCAGATGATCGAGGAGTGGGAAGTCCCGAGTTGTCGTGGCAAAAGTGGGGAGGGGTGTCGAAGGGGGTGAGTCTGGATCCGGCTTCAGCACTGGAAAACAGGTGTACCTACCCAGTACATAGCCATATGATCAGCAGCTGCTAGTACATAGGCGTTGCTATCACGGTGTATCCTTTGTAACCTGTCTCTTGCCGCCGCTAACATGTTTTCCTCGACTCCTTGCCACAGAGACTGACAAGTACCTGCAGCAACAGCATCAACAGGGCAACCAACGCGAAGATGCCAGGGAAGAGACCGTCAGTCGAGTGCCACGTTTCTTTGGGAAGCCGACCGTGGCAACCCAAGCAGCCAACTCACACACCCCTTGGCCTAAAATCGTCGTGACCAGTGGTTCCTGATTCTAGGGTAGCAGGATGGTTCCAAAAACAGGTTTAGGCGCGCACCTGTCCCTGGATATAGCATGTCCCGACTCGCCGTACTTGATCCTTGAACCAGGACCGGGGCGTTGTTGGTGCCGACCAACGGTGCCGATCAAATCTCGACCTTGCCATCGATTGGCTTGGTCTCTGCTCGTTTTCGGTAGCATGGAGCTAGGATCCAAAACCTCTCAGAGGCACTCTCCGATCCTACTTACCCTGTCTGCCTAGCTTCTTCGATTTGGAACAAATGTGATGGTGATGGAATCATGATGGAGTCGCAGACGCGCAGCCAAAACTTTCATCTCCAGCGCCAGTGCTCCCCGCGAGAAGCTAATCAAGGGGACCACATCTTTGATGTTCTGGAATCAGGAGAGTCGAAACTTTTGTAATATGTACTTGCGTGTCAAGCTGATCATCAGCCTTTTGCCCTTTCCAGACGAAATTAGAAAGGGACAGCGGGTACCCTTAGGTAGATTGATTGACGACGGCCCCATGTGCAGCCGGATGCTCCGTTCTTCGTACCGAGTACTTGTAGGGATGATTGCTGACGGAGGAGAGAGAGAAGGCGAAGACGCGAATCTATAGAAGCAGTCAAGGATTTCGTGTCTGATCATACAGTAGGGTAGTTAGTCAGCTCTAAGCGACGAATCGTATGATCTTCGTGGCTGATACTCCGTATATCTGCCACCATGAATTCCTCCTTGTCTTCAGCCTGGTTGAGACAATGTCATCATTCGCCATTTCTCAGCCTCGTTGGAGCGAGACCAAGATAGACACCTCGTTTTCGCCCTGTGCATATGTCTATCGCGTTCCTGTTGTTTCAAGCGGTTGTGTGCAAATCTTCGCTCTCTCTGGTCGGTGTGATTTGGCCAGAAGCAATCAATATCATATCCTATAAATGCCAATGATGGATCGGTCACCAGCGCCCGCTGCCTGCCAAGAAGCGTCAGAACTCCAACCTTGAACTGCCCGTCGGCTTTTATAACTGTCCTCCTTGAGGACCTCAAGGCCAGTCAAACATCAAAAATCCGCTGAGATTGCATCTAGCCGGCGGTCAAGGTGTAGAATTGCTTGACAAGCGAACATATTGCTGTCTGGACGCCGAATTTAGTTGCTGGAGGCCTTTGGAGCAGAAAGGACATTTCGCTCAGAGCATTGACATCGTCAGCTCCCTGCCAGGATCGCAGAAAAGAGCTGGTGATCCAAATCCTCACATCACTGATCGGGACTCAGAAAAATAATCAGATTGCCACGGGGAGTTCAAGTGGACAATCAGGGCGGAGCGTGTCTCGCTGGTGTTTTCACTACCGGCTGCTCTTCACCTCAACACCCTCAACCAACCTTACCTGCCAGGTCGATTACCCTGCTTTACCTTTAGCAACCATCTTGCCATGTCTCATAAGCAGAAGCAGAAACCGTTCTGGGAGCGGAAGCAACAATCGTAAGCTGGTTCACCGAGAAATCTCATCTCCACGTGCCAATATCCTCCTCTGCTCTACACCCACTCCATCTCTGGCGTCCCTTTTGCCTTCATTTGCCGTGTCAACCGCGATGGCTGCTCTCAGACTGCCCAGTAATTGGCAAAACAGATTCACGAATGTCGATGTCGGCACCATGTGAGCAAATACCCCCTTGACTGTTCTTCCAGCTCACCTCGATTGCAGGATTCCTTGCATCGCCTGCAACGTCCAATGTTTCAGAGCACGGTTCTCTCAAAATCAGCTGACGAAATATCAAGAAGCACTTGCAAGAGAGATGCGAGGTGGCCCCAAAGCCGAGCTTCCCCGTTGCAGAAACTGTACGCCAGAGGCCACTGCAGAATTGTATTGCACCGGCTGTCGAGTGACTAAGGATCTGAGCTTCTTTTCCAAGCAACAGCGAAAGAAGCCCGATGATGCGGTAAGAGAGGGCAAACTTGTCCCGCGGACTCTGACTACGATACTGATCCGTACATTAGAAATGCTTGAACTGCCAGCAGGAGGTTGAAGATCGTGTGCCTTCCCTCGAGGCCGCTTTGGAAGAGGAACGCATCAGAGATGACGAGATTCGTGGCAAGCATCTCTCTGGCTCGGTTATGTCGAGCATTGCTGGCTCCGTCATCAGCTCCCGCTCCCAGTCGCAAGTACAATCAGCCAGCGCGAGCGGGATCTACATAGTCGGCGATCGAGATTCTGCATGGGGAGGCGACGAAGGTTCTATCCGCCCACCCTCGCCCACTGAGACTGAGCTTTCTAGCACCCGCAGCACATCCAGCCGCGCCAATTCCGGTTACGCCAAGTCGGTTTCGAAGAACAGCTTCGCAAAATCCCCTGCATATGTCGCACCAGCAAAAGCACGCGTCATGAACCAGCTAGAGCGTGAAGAGAGGCAGAGGCAAGAGGTACAGATGGGCAGCAGACATGGTGACTCTGATGATGATGATGGCGAGTGGGAATTGTGAGGGACTCGACTGAATAGCACGATACCGCAGTGGCGACGAAGGCACTAGCTTATCATATGATGCACCTTCGCTAATGGTGCTTGAACATACAATTACTTGCTTGATCAAATCAGCTAGAGCTTACGAGACAACACGAAGGGGGGAGGGGGAATAAAAAACGTAAAAGCGAGCCTTGAGAATCTGCCATCGCATATGTGAGCCAGCACAGAAGCCTTCGGTGTATCCACCCACTCTCGCCCTTGCATTTCATGTTCGTTGCGATGCACGCTGGTCAAAAGCTCTCCTGGCGCAATTCTTGGCCGGTTCCAGTTCTTGATTCAAGTAGCCACAACTCGGGCCCAAGGTTTTATGCTACGGAACAACGGTGCCCTTAGGGCTGGTTATCCCTGGTGCTCAGGGGGTGGAGGCTTACAATTCGGGCATTTGATGCAGGCAACACGATGAATGTAACCGACGGACTCCACGCAGAAGCCAATTACGGATACGAAGTCGAGAATGAATGAGCCGCAAAAACCAGAACAGAGGAGAGGTCCCAAAGGAACCTTTGAAGTTGAAGGTCCAGGATGTTGCCCTGTTCGTTGGGCTACACAGGGAAATACTCAACGGTCCAATCCGCTCCAGCAGCATCGTCGCAAGTCAAGGGTCTCACAGGTCATGCGGCTATGTTGCATGGTTCGCAAGCTATGCACAGCATTTGTTACTTCCGGATGTCTCTGCATATCGGCAAGTAATCAGGTCGTGGCATGATTTGTCGATATCCTCCATGGCGTTATGGATTAAGTTCCAGCGGCTGGTTCGGTCGTTGGATCTCTAAGAAACAGGGCGCAACGACATAATGGTCGCACGGCATCTCTGCCCGTGGTTCGCATGAAGTGGACCGAGAGACGGGTGGAAAGTCCCAGGTTGATGGTGGATGAAGAAACCATGCTAAGTTGTGGTGTGGTTGAACGTTGATGTCGGATTGGCGATGGATATTGGTGAATATGACAACAGGTGAGAGAGCACTGACACCCTGGGGCGCGGATGCTTTCCGATGACGTTGTTGAATTGTTAAATCTCTTTTGGCCTACTTTTCTTTGTCCATCATGGTTTGGGGCGACCTGTGTTTCCTGAGTTGCGCCCCTCTAAGTGCCTCGAAGTGCCTCGCTCGCTTCATCCAAGATCCGATCGTGGCTCAGTCTTCTGGGTCAGAACTATATTTATCCTCGTCGACCTGCAGAAAAAACCAGATTTGCGCACAGAATGGATTGGATTGTGGCTCGCGGCCAAGTAGACGAACCTCGGAAGGAGGGGGAGTTCATGGACAAGCATTGACGAGTTGTAAGGGCAGTGAATGTGGGTCAATAGGCAAGAAACAGTGATTGTGGGCGGCAACCAAGATTTTGGGGCTGGAGTCGATGGGCGGTTCTGCTGCATGGCTACCGTGGCCGAGGAGGTCGAGCCCTATGAAGTAGGCTCAAGGGCTGAAGGGCCCCAGGGACGCCTACTTAGCCATGCAGTGCCTGTTCGCGCCTATCTCGATTGAGCAGCCTGACGCCCAAGCCCGCCAATCCCTTTCACCGGTTGCAAACATGGGTGGTGGTTGGTCTTGCGCTGTCCATGATGCAACACACCACACACCACTTCGCGCATCATTGACTGTCGCAGCTAAGCGTCGACCGTTCTCTAGCCACATCATCGTCGTGTTCTTTGTGTCTAGGGATGCCGATGCCACGCTCATCCTCAAGGCTTGGACTCGGCTCGCTTCCTATCAGTTGTTACTCACTCTGCATTCTCGATTATCTCTATCTCGTGATGGTAAAGCCGGCTTGCTCAACGCCTTGAAACGCTCTGAACCTTTCCGTGCCCTCCTTGCAGAGAAAGGAAGGAAGGAAGGAAGAAGAAAGAAGAAGAAGAGAATTGATGTCTGCGGACCTCCAGGCTCCTCCCACCCCAAAGCAAGGAGTGAAGCTCAAACACGACCTTCCACAACACCGAACCGCATCCCCGACACCAGACTCGATCTCAGCGCATTACTTATTTCTCTGCCGGCTCCCTCCCTCCCCCCCCCCCACTGGCGGGCATATAACATCCATACCCTCTCACAACTGACGTCCTCCTTCGTCTCCCTTTGTCCTACCTTGACCGGTTCCATTACCAGGATCACACAGGTTGGGTCCTTCATATCCAGCCAGTCAAGCTACCGTACATCGTCATAAGGCTGGACAGGACGCGAATCCCATATAGTATTATTGGCGCAGCTGCTGCATACTTCCAAGGTCCCCTGGTCCTTTTCTCAATTGATTTGAAAACCATACCACCGACACGTGTGTTGAGAAGGGGTCATCTGAATGCTTTGAGAAACGGAGAGCAAGTCTTGGGACGGGACTGTGCTTCCCTCACACAATGGCTTCCAACAATGACCGTCTGCCACCGCAGCCCAACGTTTCTAGTTCAGGTGACGATGGAGACACGCGGCGACTTCATCCAACTCTGAGCAATTCAGCGCCTGAGGAGGGGCGGTACCGGAGGCTATCAGGGGCATCAGCGAGTTCACAACAGACATCACACAACCCAGATCCATCCAGATATCACCAGGCCCGCCAACCTATAAATGACGCCGTCACTTCAGCCTTCAACACCGCCGATGCTGCCTCTTATGGCGGTTTCTCTCCCGATTTACTTCAACAAATCACGTCGCAGATCACGGCAAGTGTTTTGCAACAGTTGAAAACCGCGAATCTATATCCGCCTCCTCATCAACCACCGCCGGCCGGCTCCCAGATGGATACCTCCTCATCCGCTGCCGGCTCTCCGCCATTGGATCGAGCCACAGTCTACACTCCTCCCACTCCCCATCGATGTTCCGAAGATGCTGGCGTAAGTCAGGCCTCTCCTCAGTTTCCTCCGCCTTCCAGTCAGTCATCATCCTTCCGGGCCCCATCGCCTGGCGTCGATAGGAGAGCCGTCTCGCCTCTAAGTCAGACGGGCCATCAATCCGAAAACGAAGCAAATCAGACTCGGCCCAAAGGGCCCAAACGCGTGGCTACCTGTGAAGATGCAACCATATTGGAACGGGTATGGGGGCAACTTTTCACTGAGCAGGGTGAGGCTACTCCTAGGCTGGGCCAGTTCCTACGTGGAATTGCTACCCACCTCATCGAAGATTATGAGCCCAAGCACAGCTTGGTCATCACTCCTACGAAGATGCAACGATACTACGAAGAGACAAAGCTTGCCAACGAGTTTTACCCTTGGAAGATCATCTTTGACGACAGGACTTCCTCGATTTCTCGGATGTTCAGAGAGATTGAGTGCCAGCACCATCTCGTCCAAGTGAAGTTGAATGAGCGGCCAGACACTCCTGGACTCACACCTCAGGGTTTCGAGACCTGGGCGACATTGCTCTTGAAAGCACATCCCGATCAAGAGTATGAGCGACTGGCAAAGACGGCATTGGACATGCCTATCAGCAATCCTGATGAGAAGAAAGAGCGGTTCCCGAAAGAACTCTCCAGGCGACTCTTCCCCAAGCACGGAGATACCGAGATTGCCTACAAGCTACGGAAGGCTATGTCGACGCATTGCAATGTCAGCTTCGCTTCCCGCCACAGCAACATGGCGGACTCAACCTCCCGGACGTCGACGTCGACGTCGACCGCGACTGTCGTAGTTGAGGACTCATCCACCAAGACAAACTTGAAACCTCTGACAGACAAGCCAGAGCATACCAGCAACAACGTCCAACCCAGTTCAGTGTTGTCTCAAGCTAGTCTAGAGCGACAACGACAACCGTACGGAGGGACACACCCGGACGACGTGAACGGTGACGTCGCAGACGAGGGCGGCGAAGGCACTACTGTCTCCCAGCCAATCGAGCGCGAGAGAAAGCCCTACGTTGCTGCGCCGGGCGGCGGGAAGAATTACGATAATATCGATAGACCAGCCGCCGTGCCTGAGATCAGACCAGGACCACCTCTTCAGGAACCCAGACTGGGACGTTCAAGCTCCGTCAATGCAGCGAGCACGGCAACCGATGCATCAAGGTTAGGACAGCAACCTATCGCTCTCCATCAAAGACCGCCGCCTCCGGCATTGGAAATCCCCGAGTCCCGCCATCACCGCTCCAACAGTACCTACCACAAAGACCCTCCCCAATCTGGTCGCAAACGATCGCCCTCCATGACCAAAGAAAGTGGTGCCTCGTCATATACGAGAAGGATGGACCCCGACGTTTCCTATATGTCTTCGTCGCATCATTCTGATCATCACGACGACACGAGACGGTACAGAGACTACGAGGCCGGGCGCGAACGGCTGGCTAACGACCGCTACGACGCCGCCAGAATGTCTGCATATGACCCTCGCGAACGTGATCGCGACCGAGATGGCCGCCCACGTATGCAGACTGTTTCGAACGCTGGCCTTGGCTTCGTCGACAGCCCACGAAGTCCGACCCTCCGCACTACCGGCGGACCGTCGCTGTATTCCAGTTCTCTACCTACGGCAGGTGGGGAGGAAGAATATTACCTCAGCCGCATGCACACGGGCGGGCCCCCACCTTCTTACAATGGGCATAGCCCGCCTTCCTCCATCAGCACAGGCTTTCAACCTCCACCACCACCACCACCACCGCCGCCGCCGATGATTAGGGAATCGTCGTCAACGAGCAGAGACTCGGGATATCCGTCATACCCGACTAATCCGGGCTATCCGCCCACAAGTTATCGAGAAGTGCGGTAAGATGGCGACAATTTGTGGAAAATGAACGGGAAAGGGCAAGATATAGGAAAGCGGGAAATTCGATGCACAACGAAGAACCGCCGGGGCGTGATGATGCTCTGTTTACATTTTCTCCTGTACCATATTTGACGACCGATATGATCGAGGACTTGGTTGCTCCCGCACTCCCTTGTACCTCGCGGCGATGTTAGATCTTGAGCAGATTTCGGCTAGCTGGAGCGTTGATTCACTTCTTGAGATCCCGGCCTTTTCTTTCTGAGCGTTGCTTGATGAGAATGTAAACTAGTGGACACGTGTATCGGTGATGGGTGGGTATATGTATCAGGACACAAATGCAGATGCAGAGGACTCGCTCAGAGCTCACCGGAGCATGCATGCATACATGTCACATGTATATGCGCAGGTATGCGCCTGGTGTAGGAGTAGTAAGATGTATATCATCAACAGTAAGACTGCGGCCCCATGACCAAGGTACTCGTTTTTCTTGTCGTCTGAATTACTTATTTACTGTGGTTGCTACTGTTATTATTACCTATTACTATTACTACTTGCTTCCCTCGTTCCTGCCTGCTTCTCTCAAAACCGTTACCGGATCCACGACGTCCCTAGTACCACCTATGTACGCAGCCTGGGTAGGTGTGTAGGTATGTCCCTACATAATAAACAGTCAGCACCGAGTCAATCTCAACCTTGATCCGTATGGCGCCTGATCTGCGCCCTGTTGAATATGTCCTCGACTCCGCGAATGAAGGCTTGCGCCAGGCTCTTCATCCTATCCGGGCCCAACAGTCCGTCGCTATGGGCGGCGTGACTCCCGAGCTAGTGGTTATAGTTGTCGCGATTCGGGAGTTGGGAAGAGTGATGCTGCGGCGCCGCAGCGACCGCAACACCGATCTGTTCGGCCATGGCTGTGTAGTTTTGCGAAAAGGTCACCCAGAGCTGTCTGGTTTGAGCGCGGAAAGTATCGGTCGTTGGCGAAGTAAGCGGCGATGCATTTCATGATTCCTGGGTCGACGAAAGCGCTGCTCCTCCGGGGGGAACCGCGATGAGCACTGAGCCCACCAGTTCGTTGAATCTGCGAGTATCAGAGTGTAGGGGAAAGGGATTTGGACCTGCAAATCTGCGTCAATGCCGTCTTCCCCCGAGGACCATCTGCCGAAGCCGGCCGAGACGAGCTTGTGCATAGCATATTCGCCTTCTATACTCCAGCACGAGTCGCTGTCCGAGTTGTTCTTGCATTTGGAGGTCACGGGGACAATTAGGTGCGCAAAGACGGCGGCGAAGCTGCCCTGGCCGGTTTTGCGAAAGGGCTGTGGAGGTTCACAGTTTGAGATAGAGTATCTTTGACGCACCCCTTCGGCATGCGCGGATGACTGGTGGAAAGTCATACTGCGTACAGGAATAGTTCAACATTGATGAATGAGAAATGAGAAGAGAGAAAATGCAAGACGCGTTTGTTCTGTGGGCGAACGTGAGTCTGGCCCTCCATGAAGCTTTTGCGCTCCATGGCTTTGGGTATAAACTCTCTCGGGTCGCAGAATCAACAGGTCCATGGTCATTGCCTCCCATCCTTGCCTTCTTGTCTCAAGTTGTCCCAAGATGCTGCTCATAGTGGACGGGATCATCTGTGCCCCTGTATTCGATCTCAAACCCCACGGAGGCGCCTGTCGGCTAGGTGGAAAATCGAGGTCGGGGAGGAAGAAGCAACTTCTGGACGAGCTTCATAGATAAGGCAAGTCTAGAAATACGAATATGTAGAACAAGTAGTGTGGGCAGTTGATTGCCTGAACTCTGAGGCGATAAGCCATAATATTCGGAAAGACGGATCATGCTGTTGGTCGCAAGCACCTAAGGATAGTAGGATGCCTGGGCACCTATTACCTGATGGGAAAGTGCTATCTGAGGGGCGATCAAGGCCAACTAGTCGATTGGCAGATCTCAAGGCTCTGTCATGCCTTAGTCAAGAACAGGCGAAAGGATATGCACGAAAGATGACCATGATGCTCCATGACGGGCCGAGATGCTCATTCAGCAATTGCGGTGGCATCAGCGGTGCTGGGTGTTATGGGGTGGCACCCAACCAGGAGGCCTCTCGCTGCACGCCGCTTGTGCTCCCTTCCACGTTCCCGCAGCTCGTTTTCCCTCGCATCGACCATCAGCTGCCCACACACACCCACACACACCCGCACACACCCACTCATCGCCGACGGCCTGGCTTTGTTGAGGCTAAAAGAATGCAATTCCTGGCTCCGGCAGCCTGTGGCTCTCAGCTCCATCATGTCAACTGCCCTGCTTCCTCACTTTGCACTTCTGGGTTCCTCTCGGAGACTCACGTTGTACCACCAACATCGAAACACTGCAGCTCAACTCCTGTAAATACACGCTCCCCGTGGGCGAGCATCTTTCTCGATTGAAACCACCAAGAACCATCGCAGTTTCCCTACAATGCACATCGACCGCTCGTAACGCCCAATGACGCCCACAGACAATGGTAGGCTACGATCATGCCGAGCAAAAAGAGCTGGAGCCAGACGAGGGTCCTTCAGGTTCCAGCTCGGGTGCGAGCGAGAGTACCACCGAATATGAGAAACAGAAAGATTGGGACGAAGGTCTCGAGGAGACCGACACCATAAGAACCTTACCGGACAATGAGGCTAGACATGGCAAAAACAAGTTGCAACCGCAAGGGAGTTGGCAGGCACACCATCATGGTCTACTGAAGCTTCGCTCCGTCGAGGACGACCTTCCTACCAACTGGTGGTTTGCCTCGACCGCCATCCCTCTCATTGCGGCCACATTTGCCCCCATGGCCAATCTAATATCCATCACGGCGTTGGTGGTCCCTTGGCGGAATAGACTCACTCAGAGCAAGGCCGACTTTCCTCTGACCTACCAAGCCACTTCCGTGGGCTACACTGACCCTCGATGGTGTGTCGACCTCAACATTGCCTCTCTGGTCTGTGGGTTTGTAGGAAACCTTTTCCTTCTCTTCAATTTCACGCGGCGCGTCCGATACATTGTCGCTCTCCCCGCGACCATTATGCTCTTCTACATCGCGTCGGGTATATTGATCGGCCTAACCGTCTCGATGAAGCTTAATGCTCCTCCTGGCCAAGACGCCATCTACTCCCAGGGTTATTGGAACGCCGTCATTGCCGCTTGCCTCTACATGTTCAACTCGATGATTCTGATGGTCAACATGTGCGGCTACTTTCTGGGTCATTACCCTCAACACTTTACCCTGACGGACGAGCAGCGCAATTTGATCCTCCAGACAATGATGTTCTTCGTATGGCTTGGTGGAGGTGGCGGCGTTTACTCTAGAATCGAAGGTTGGACGTACCCAGATGCCGTGTATTTCTGCGACGTCACCATTCTAACAGTCGGTTTTGGCGACTTTTATCCCACCAACGACCTCGCTCGGGGACTGGTGTTTCCTTATTCGGTAGGCGGAATTATCATCCTGGGTCTGATGGTCAGCTCCATTCATAAGTTTGCCGGAGAGCTCAGTACAATCAATGTACTCCGTAAACATGTCGAACACAAAAGGGTCCATACCCTGTCGCGGGTTGTGACGGTGGAGGATGGCGCGGATGAAGACAAGAGGCGGGATGACCTTGAAAAGGAGGTGGCAATTGAAGAACGAAGCGGCCGACGGCCGACAATCTCATCTCCACTTCCGAACCCGCAGATCCAGCATGACTTGGATGAAGCAGCAGCCCGTCTCCACGGGACGGGCACCTCCGTTCGAGACCCAACACAGGATCACCGGATCGAATTTGGAAACACCAACGCCAAAGAGCTGAAGAAGTCTGAGGAGCATGAGCCGCACCCCAATCAATTTCTGAGCTCGCCATTTCGCAGGGGTCCTATCCACAATACATTGCGACTGATCACAAGGCCCCTCAGAAGGACTTTGTCGAGATCACAGAAGAAGGCCATTTTGATGAAAGAAGAAAAGGACAGGTTCGATGCCATGCGGGACATTCAGCTCAACGCCAAGAAGTTCAAGAAATGGTACGCTTTATGCCTGTCGGTGGTGGCTTTTGGGATCTTGTGGTGCATTGGGGCGGTGGTGTTTTGGAACGTCGAGCACGACACCCAACACTTGAACTATTTTGAGGCATTGTACTTCTGCTATGTGAGCTTGTTGACCATTGGGTATGGCGATTTGAGCCCTAAGAGCAATGCTGGCAAGCCTTTTTTTGTGGTTTGGTCGTTGATTGCGGTGCCGACCATGACGATCCTTATTTCCGACATGGGTGACACGGTCATCTCCAGTTTCAAGCAAGGGACATTCAGACTCGGTGATCTGACCGTCCTCCCGAAGGCAGGTCTTTGGCGCGACATCGTCATGCAGCACCCTTGGCTCTGGAATTGGATGAACAGAAGGGCGGAGAAGAAGCGTCTCAAGGCTGGCTTGCCTTTCGGACCGGCTGGCGACCAAGGTCCCCCTGACCTGAGCCTTGAGCAGATTGCAGCCGAGGAACTGACAGAGGCGGAACTGACGCAGCGTCTGGCTTGGGCCATTCGCAAGACGGCCGACGATCTCCAGCATACCCCCGGGAAACGTTACACGTATGAAGAGTGGTGCGAATTCAGCCGCCTAATCCGGTTCACAAAGGTGGGCCTTGATCAAATGCAATACGATGAGGAAACGGATGGGGTGGTGGAATGGGACTGGCTCGAGGAAAACAGCCCGATGCTGAGTCAGCAAACCGAGTCCGAGTGGATCCTGGACCGGCTTTGCGAAAGTCTACTCCGGTTGCTGAAGAAGAACATGATTGCGAACGGCATCGCTCCCAACCCAGGTCTCCCTCGATCGAGCAATACAGACCTCAGCGCCTTCAGCTTCAACCGTAGCGGTACCGTGTATGAAGACCCATCAGCGGATCGGAAACCTGACACATCTGCCAAAGGCAAAGGGATCCTGGGGCCTCGCCCTCTGACAAAGTCCGAAGAACGCCAGCGAAGAGCATCAGGCGCTGATGTGGTGCTCACATTCTTCACTGGCGACAGAAGGGGAACGCATGCATATGCTAATGAAGCGCCTCAGTGGAGCAAAAAGGCGCAAGAACGCATGAAGGAACGTCGAAGGAGTAGCGCAGGCAAGCGAAGAGGACCGTTCTGCAAGCTTGAGCACCATGGCAAGACAGGGGCTATTGGTGGTGGAAGAGGTGGAGCTGGAAGTCGCACGCTCAAGATGAGACAATTTACTGGGGACGGGGAAGGGAAGAGATGATAGGGCGGACGCGGAACGACTGAAACTTCAACTGGGTACGAACTGTTACATGTCAGTGTCTTTACTATTGTATTATTCTACGAGGCGGTGGGGTGGACTACGGAATCCAGGGGTTGGGGGGCAGGATCTTTTGGACAGACAGGACATCAAGCGCAAGCTGAAGGGAGAGGAGTTCGGAATGTGGTTTCCATATGGTGGAATCCTTGGGTGGCACCCCATTTGATGCTCGCTAAGAATTCAGTATTTTCAGATTTCGAGCTGAGCAACCACTGGCGAATTGATTTGGACATTTCATCCCGCCACCGTCGATTCCAGGAGCACTTCATCACCGAACCGGAGAGGGGGCGCTCCGCCCAACCGGTGCTGAACATGAAGCAACACAGCCGTCAGCACCGCATGACGAAGACACCCAAACATGACGGTGCGTGCTATGCCGGCACGAATGCATCTACATATGTAAGAAGTTGGGGCTCGACTGCTCAAGAAGTTGAACCATTGCTGCTGACATACATTGGCTCGCCCGTCGAGTCCGTTGAGCCCAGCCAGCCAAACTCGGGCAATCCGACGAGATGGATTGTGTCTGACTACCTGGACATGTACTTACTTACTTTCGTACTCGTGCTCCCACCTAATTGATACGCCCGCTCGGAATACGGGGCACCTACTCGTAAGTACGTGGGATCATCGCCGCTGGCTGGCTGGCTGGCAAGTGCTCTGTCCTCTTCGTACTATAGGTAGGGCCTTTGGGGATCATCTAATATCTACTCACGGAGTACCTCATACCTAATGATGCACGGAGAACCTACTTGCACCTGCTTGTACTCGGCACGTACGGAATTGATTGAGTGCTTGAGCCAGCGAAAGAAGGCCACGCAAATCCACCAGAAGCCCACAAGTATGTATTGTTCGAGACACCCCTGCGGAATATGGTTTCCGGGGCCGGGGGGGAGGGTTGAATTTATTTCCGGCATGATGATGGAGGATGTAAGATGATCATAGAGGAGGGAGGAGAAGGCCAAGGGTGGTGCGCGCTCGTGCGTAAACGGTAGGTGTGTACCGTGCCTAGGAACATGCTCAGATACATATTGTATGTACCTAGATACTCAAATGCCCATATATCATGTGTATAGCTATGTTCGCGGAACTTACCCACCTCCCTACCTGATCGTCGCTTCTTTCTGTCGTCCATTTCAAACCTCCCCCCCTCCCCGTGCACATTCTCCCCTACCTGTCCACCGAGGGAGGGAATCAAGGCGTGTATGGCTTGTATTGTAGTACATTATGAAGTCGTCCCCTAACGCGTCGCTCATTGTGAATAATTTTCTCATGTCCTCGTTCCAGTTCGGACGGCCCAAGACGAAGACGTGAAAATCTGAGACAACTACCTACTTACCGCCAACTATGTAGGTACAACAGCCCTGTGACGACCCGTATATGGAAACCCACAATCAACAATACCTGCACGTCCACCAATACATCCTCCGTCCATGGCGCCCGCACCCGTCGTAGGCCTACTCACTGGGTCAGTAGGCTCTGGTCGCTTTTAGGTACTTCGTCATGGATGACGCTTGCCCCCGACCCTCCGTTCCCCCTTGGTAGATGATGATGTTCCGCCCCCTCTTTCTTTCTCAGATTGTGATCGCTCACACGCCTCTTACAGGTGGACTTGATGGCAGAGAATTACCTAGTTGGTTAGTTTGGCACATGCGTCGCTTGAACCGGGCCGGAGACCCACCAGCTCACCTGGTCCAAGAGCCGAGGAGGAAGTAGTGCGCACGCGGTTTCAATCTTGATCAATCTCCATTCTGACCAAGGGGCACCCTCATCCTCATCCATCTTCCTCGCTGGAAACCGAAATCGTGCCAAAAACCTCCTCAAACGCCTGGTCCTCGAGCAGCCCCTCGACCCACACGAACGACCTCGCCAACTCCTCCAGCCGCCCCATGGTCTCGATCCCCAGTAGCCGCATTGACGGGACAGCGCGGGCCAAGAACCACTGGTGCTCGTCCTCCTGGTCCGTACTGCGCGCGCCGGAGAGACCCGTGATCAGGATCCACAGGAGCAAGTGGTTAGATTTACCTGTCCATATCACGTGGGCTTCGTCGTTGGATTGCGGTGGGGTATCGACAACAGAGGGGATTTCGTTTGACGGCTGGAGGATTTCGTATTGGAGTTCGCGTCTAAGCCGTTGTGTGATTAAGGCCGGGTCAATCAGTGGGTGTTTATCAGGCGCCGAAGAAGAGCAGTCGGTGGAGTGGAGCCTGGCCAGAGTCGACTGCGAGATCCGTTGAAGCAGCAAGACCAAAGACAGACGACAGCACAGTTCGCTACCATAGCTGGGGAGTTCCAGCAAGCGGAGGACAAGGAATTTGCTCTTGCTGTGAACCCAGTCTGTCTCGGGACCGATGAAGTCGGGGTTTCGGAGTAAGTGATCATATAGCTGCAGAAGAGAGGGGAGCTCCTCTATCAGGTCCTTCAGGTCGGGACTGTACCTCGTCTGTTCAAGAGCTGCTGAGAAGGCTGAAAAGTGGCGATCCGAACAGATTCGGTTTGGATGCCAGGTGTCGGATTGATAGATGGTTCCACTGCCCGTAGAAGGACAAAGAAGCTCAGGCGTGGCCACTAATTCCGCCAAATTTGTGGCATCGGATTCCAAGAAGATGGCATTATAACTAAGCATGTCATGAACGTACTGATCCAGCGTCGACTGCCCCGGAGCCAACGTCTTCCAAAAATGCTTGAGGACATTGAAGTGGGTCTGTGATTCCCCGTAGTTCTCCATATACCACCCGCATACGCTTAGGTAATATATGTCTACTATGATCTGACGGTCTTCAGCCGCCGACTGGCTGTCGAGCAGTAATCGCAGGCATTGAAGAGCCTTATCTAGGTAGATTTCAGGTCCGTTGTCCGCATGGAAGGAAACGCCAGAGACCCGTCTCATCCGGCTGGCTGTGGCTGCTAAGAGGGCATACATATGGACACTCTTCCTCATGCAGCCTTGTATGATGGCGTCGATGCTAGCGAAATGTCGGGCAAATGGCGCATCTGTAGGTCTCTGACCATCGTTATCTCGAGGTCTGGAGAGGAGAGCAAAGAAGAGATAGTATTCGAGGATGGGAACCATATCGCTGTCTATCGTGCCAGCCGTGCAATCAAATGGGTCGACGGCCGCGTTGTGGAAAGAACCAGAAGACCGGGTGACTAGCTGCTGAATCACCTCATCATCCAGATACTCGTCCTCACTCGAGTCTTGCTGCCGCTGAGACTCGGATTCTGGGCTTGGTGATAGATCCTGGCCCGTCATCGCACAGAGGCTTTCGGAAGGTAGCTGCTGCGGTTTCGTGGACCGTTTTCTTGTTGTATGACTCGTTTGCTTCGCATTTGCTGAGCGCCGCCCCCTGGATGGTTTATTTGGTTCATCAAGTAGCCGAGAAACTCGGCACCTCGTCAAGCATTTCTCGAAGAGTAGTGTATCTGTCTGGCGTGGAACGCCGCTGCCACTGAGCGTCTTGGAAGTGGCCACCTCTTGAGCCCACCGTTGGGCATGGCTGTTGATGCTGGCAGCGGCGCTTCGGGTAGTTGAGCGGGACAATGCGCCGGAAGTCGGGGTTTTGACGATGAATAAAAAGGGAGCTTTGCTTGATGCGGCGCCCTGAGAGCCGACCTTGATGCTATTGAATGTAGCGAACTCGAATTGAGCTGGAATCGGATCAACGACTGCCATCGTCGGCTGTGGAGAATGTCATTCGAACACGGGTTGTGCAGCTGGCACTATGAAAAGCTTGGGTTTCTTGGAGTGTCGTGGGTTTTCGAGTAGATGCGCCAATCAGGGAAACTTGCAGATTTTCGTAACCGTGTCGACACTCGGGACGATCAAGAAGGCAGGCATCGATGATCAACGTCCTGATATGTAGGGGCACAAGAGCCTTGAAGAAGCTAGGGGCAATTGTGATGATGGCCGGCACACTGACGAGAGTGGCGCCCACTCTCTAGCAAGAGGTTATCACTAAGGAGCAGGCCGGACTAGGCAAAGCCTTGCCTCGCTTAACATGTTCCACCACAAGAGCCCAAAACTCCTGTTAGATAAGCACCATGTTTTCGCGCTCTTTGGTCAAATCGAGTAGTCGCTAAAAGGCTAACAGGGTTGAGCAGCAGAGGGAGATCAAAAGGCCCTGAGGCAATGTCAAGGCAAAGCATCCAGAGATGGATCCTTCGTGCTTTTTGCAGCGGTCAAGGAAAAGATGGCTATCACCGGACCCGGTGTGGACAGAGCTGAACATTGTCTCCGGCTTGTTATAGACTTTGTTTGGGCTGTATGGATCTGCATCTGAAGAATTACCACGCGATACAGAGCAATATACAAGTGGAGGTGTTGAGTGGAGAGGGAAATGACTGACAAAGTCGGGGAGTTGGTATTCAGGTGGTGATTGGCTGTCGAATGGACCCCTCCCACGCGGGACATAGCGTGTAACAGCGTCCTTCAGACATACGGTCCGAGGTGTGAGATCGGGCTGGAACTAGCAGATTTCTCAGAAGGCTGGAGGAAGGGGGCGTGGTGATGGAGGTTGAAGAGGTGCAAATGAGAGGTCGGGCGACATTCAGTACAGGTGAGCAGGTGGCTAGGTGGTCTTGCCGCCTGGACAGCCTTAAGAGGGCAACTATAGCAGTCCATAAGCGGTATAGTACGGGTCCACTCATAAGACACTAATCCCAAAGTTGTATAGCAGTTCCGAAGCTTCAGAAGCTTGTTCGCGCCTTAAACTGCTCTGTCAGATCGATATAAATATGTCCCACCACCTAACCCTGAGCAGACAGGGGTCTATACCGAGTACTAAGTCTCCCGTACTTGTACTGCTACATACGACCTCGTACCCAGGCCAAGCCGGCGGATCTCCTTGATCCAATACATTGGGTCTGACAGCAACATGTACTCCGTATCAATGACAAAGATTCTAACCGTGTCTTTGCCAGGATGACATTCTCCCAGGGAGACAGGGGGCCTGCCTATCATACGGAAAGATGATCCCGACTATCCATATCAGGGTATTCACCTGTTTGTTACCAGCTCGGCCCCTCGGCATCCTTACTACTCAGATGACCTACTTCGAGCTTTACGTCCAAGTCGGAGTTTCAGTTCGTACCGAAACAGTGTACACTAATGAACCATTGTATGGATCTTTGGGCAGGATTAGTCATACTCCAGACCTACACAATCAATCACCACTATCCCGCTGTGCCTTGCCAGTCTAGAATGCCTATGAGGAGCTGTTACGCTCGTTTATTCCTCGAGGAAACTAGTTCCTCTTTCGAGCCACTCGCAATCCCATTTCTCGTATTTGTGGAACTTTTTATGTCCTTGAGATGACTGTGACAGCTGCCACGCCATCCACCAACCAAAAGCATTCGGTGAGTTGTCGTTATATCCTGGACGAATTGATAGTGGTAGCTACGGGAAGGAACACCACCTCGGTGGCGATTGTCCCAGATATTTCGTGGCATGCAACCTGATCAATGACATCCAGCCTTCTTATCCTCCCGCCCAATTAGTTTCCAATGCGAAATACTCGTTACATTAAACTATACGCCCCCACCTACTGTTGGACGGCTGGCAGCACCTCTCGTCATGTCTGAAAGCCGAGTCATCTGGCTCACCGAGAGGCGTCGGTGGATCTCGTCTTTTACATCGTCGAGGACTCTTGCACTCAATACGCCTGAGCAGTAAGGGGTGCCGGACCCGGGCTGAAGGACGGGAGGAGAGTCCAGGCAGGGCAGAGTCGACATGAAAGCAGTAACATCATCATTCTTGGGAGCTCTCACTGGGCCTCCGGCTGACAATCGACCCAGCAATGATCGAAGGCGGCACGTGGATCTCAAGACAGAGCTCAGCTCGTCGTTGTTGTTGTGCCCTTGTCAAGATCAAAAGCTCAGAGTAGTATTTGCCGAACCCCGAGCCCCTTTCATCCAGCTTTCGGGCTGGAAATAGCTACCAGCATACTCGAAATAGAGACAAACAGCACGGCCTTAAGCGGAGCTTGTTCTACTCGGTAGGTAATATGCACATGGGAAGACTCTCCACTGACCGAAGCTCCTAGAGGAGGTTTGTTGCCACGACAAATATGGGAGGGATCCCCAGCTCTCCAATCATGAGTAGTTGTCAGGGAAAAGGATATTTGACTGCCACTTTCGATAGTCTGCTGCGCTGGAAGACAACAAGCAAGGCATTGGACGTACGCGGCTAGGGAAGTCATTTGGGGATCGAATACTAGTATTTCAATGAGAGCCTGCGAAAGAGCTTTGTCCTCTAGTTTTGAATCCCATTCCAATGGCTAGGTTTCCATGTTCAGATTTGAAAGCTGGACGGGATGGACGGGATAGACAGAACGACGTGTGTGCAGACAATGAATCAGCCTGTCCAATGTTTGGTCACATCAATACGCCCTCATAGGATCACTTCATTCTGCTTCAGACTCAGCGACTGACTGATCATAGATAGCGCTTTCTCCGATCGAATCAAACCCTTACTCGTCAACTTCAGCTGTCGATAGTTCTCACATCGCATGTCCTAAGGGTATCTTGTTCTGCATGGTGGCAGCTTCCCCGCCTACCACCAGTGGCCACAGCTCTCGCTGCAACGGGACTGCCACATTAGTTGAACCAGAACAGATTCAAACGTCCACAGATCCATTCACCGAGCCGATGACCTCATCAGGAACCTTAGGCCATTCTGCTTGTAAATGATTCTTTCAGAAATCGAAGAAGCCCAGATCGATAAAGAGGAGACCATAGTCAGCGACGCTTCCAATGTAGATGCCCTTCGTCTTCCATGACTACTTGTCTCCAAATTTTCTTGGGTGAAAAAGACAAGAACCGTTTCTAGCTTGTGCAGCACGTGTCGACAATAGGATATTCTGCATGAAAAGCTTCCTCCAAGTATATGCTTTCAGGTGGGTTTAGAACCCTGAGACGATGCCTCCCAACTGGCCTACCAATAATCAGGTACAAAATCCTGGAGAGCGGTTGGTAAAATCCATCTCCCAGTCCAGAGCAAGTCGAAAGCGATTTAAAGGCCATAAAAAACGGGTATCGTGTAACTTTTCAAGTTCTAACAACGACTTGTCTGACCTTATTGCATACACACCCACTGGTTACGTCAAACTGCGCAAATTAATTAAAGAATGTAGAGACTTGCTAGTACGCACAGAGATCAGCGACACCGACGAGGCAAAGAACAAGGCGCTGCGCAGACACATAGCGCCAATGGACAGGTTGATGTTCAGATAGCAATCTCGATTGCGAAGAGTCCCCGAGACACACCGCAAATGGTGGGCCAGGTGTGAGCCCAAAAGCCTTGCTCGCTCGTTCCTTCAACCGAATTTATCAATGAGATTAGGATGATAAAGATTGAAAGGCTTCAGACACCGAGATAGGCGAAGTCGAGGGTGAAGCACCGACCTCTTTCTAACCATGTCAGATAGCAACTTGGCTAAGCCTTCTGGGTGCGCGTGCTGGCATCCAGGCAACGGGATCATTGCCTAATATACTGCAAGGCGTCTCCTTAGATGTTGGTGTTTCAGAGTATGCCAGATTCAGGTGGTCAAATGGCCCCAAATCATGATGAAAATTGATAACAGTACAATTTCAGCTCACGTCTCCTTCATCTTCCGCACGGTCCTGATATGTTCGTTCGGATACACCATTAGCCCTCACTCCATAGTGGTATCTGAGTAGGACACCGTGTAGTTTCTGTTATCAAATCTCGTGATGGATGGGCATGGATATTTACAATCGGGTCGTCTCTATTACGGTCATTGGACATTGACGGCACCGAGGTAGACGGAGGGGCATCCACGGGCTCCAAGGTCGCAGACTGCGTTGGTGGTGATATGGAAACGTCGGACCACAAGTGGAATGAAGCTCTCCGACTATAGTCGTCAATCGTCGATCTCGTGATTCTACACGAGCGAAACGGCGACGCAGCTGCTGTCAGCTGGTCACTCGTGATGAAAATGCTAGCAGGCGGGTCTTCCATGTGTGCCACTGTCCCCAACCCCTGCGCGCCTGTCCTTGAATTGTCGTGCACTGGGTTTTGAGTCTTACCAAATCCATTGACCCTAAATGGGGACACTGTGGCCTGGGGAGGGCGGGCAGCGTCTGACCTTCCGGGAATTGTTGTTTTAGTACTGTCTCGCACAGCATTTGTGGTATTGCTCATGGACCAGGGACTTGGCTGACTGTGCGATGGCGGCAGTGATTTGGGACTTGAACAATCCATGGACCTGAGCCAGCATGATGATGATGTTCGTCCCCCTTGTGGACCTAGTGCCCTTCTTTTTGCTGGGACAAGCGATCTTGGAAGAGCACTAGCCTCTGGATGTCCAGGCTTCTGCAACTTTCCGGCCGAACTAGTGTTGGGTCCAGGTTCGGTCATGGGAGCGTTGTTGTAAAGTGATATATCCACCAGTCCCTCGTCAAAGTGACCTTCCATTGGACTGAGATGTGATAGAAAATCCGTTTCAGAATGGTCAAGATGTTGTGGAGAATGTATGAAAATCGAAGTATTAACCGCAGTTGGAACCGATTTGGGTGAATCAAAAAGGTCAGGGTCTGAGCTTGGCTGCTCTGACTCGAGCCAGAGGCTGGAAGTACCATGCTGAGCACACGATGGTTTGTTGATTGCTGGAATTACCTCAGGCCAGCTTGCGGTAGATCTAGGTGGGAGGTGGC